GATTTTTAAAAACTTTTTTTAAGATTTCTAAAATCTTAATATAATTATTTAATTTATAGATTTTATTTTAAATATATAATAAGATTTAGATATATAAGATTTCTTTAAGATAACTAGTTATATAAATTATTTTATTATTTAGGGTTAGAAAATAATTAAGGTTTATAGTTATTTTCTAGTAAATTTAAGAAATAAAGTATCTTAAGTTATTTTATTAGTTATTAAACTTATTAGGGTTAGAAAGTTATTTAGAGGTTTAAATAATAGAAATAAATATAATAAGAGTAGTAATAATAGTAAAAAAAGTAATAATATTAGTATTTTTTTTAAAAAAAAATAATAATTAAGAAAATATATTATTCTAAATAAGTACTTTAAATAGCTTTTATTAGATTTCTTTAACTTATATTTTTTAATACTTAATTATACTATCTTTCTATTAAATATAGTTAAGAAGGTTAGTAATAATAAAATATAAAGTAAATAATTTATAAAATTCTTTTATAATAGTAATAAAGAACTAGTATATCTTAATAATATACTATCTTAATTTATTAAGAATATTATATAAGAGGGTTTCTATATCTTTAAGTAATATAGGTAATAAGGCAGGCATGATAGTAGTAATTAATTCCTAGTAAAAAGGAGCTATATAATATTAGGGGGTAGAGTTAGATTTAGATATTTATTAACTAGGAGCTAACTAGATAGAATAGTAGAATAATAAATATTAGGTAATAAATAGAATATAGCTTAAAGAGCTATAACAGGATTAAGGATAACATGACTTAAATACAGGAATAAGGGTGGACAGTCAAGGCAGAATCTAACTAGATAGGTACTACAGCTTCGCACCATGACATAATTACTATAATATTAATAAAATCTTATTAATAATATATCTATCTTATTTAACTTATTTATTATAATTACTTAATATTAAGATCTTTAGCTCTCTCTCTACTACTTATAATAAGAATCTTAAGAACTTTCTATATAAATTAATAGGCCTTAATTATATTATTAAATAGGATTTCTTCTATCTTTTCTAGCTAACCTAAGAATAAACTTTATTAATAAAAAATATTCTTTTTTTATAATAAATTATAAGAATATAGCTATTAAATTTAAAAATAATTTTAATTTAATTTAATAAATAAAATAATTCTAGATTTTTCTTAAGTAATTTCTTATACTCTATCTTATAAGTAGAGAACTAGTAAAAAATTAAGAAACTTTTAAATTAAGTTATTACTAATATATATAATAAAAATATTAAAAAATTAAATTTAATAATATATTATCTCTCTATAAAGAATATTATTCTAAAATTATATTATTAAAGCCTTGAATTAGTTTTCTAGAATAAAAAGAAGAAATATTAATATAAGAAATTCTTATAATTTAAGCTTATAATTTTTAAAAATAATAATATAATTTTTTACTCTTCTTAAAAAATTTAATAAACTTATAATCTTTAAATATAGAAGAATAAAATTATATAATTTACTAAGATATTAAAGAAATAAGAAAAGATCTATTAATAATTTATTAAAAAGAAGAAATAATACTTACTTAAAGAATAAAAGAGAAATTAAATATTTTAATAAGAATTATAGTTATTAGAGATAGAGTAAAAAAAATAATAAAAGGAAGATACTTACCTAGTAAAAAAGATAGATTACTAGCTTTAAAATAACTTCTAGTAAGTAAAGAAGTCTCTAAAGAAGATCTTTAAAACTTTATACTAGTAAAAATTTATAGAAACTAGGCTAATAATATCTATAGAAGTCCTAGAGGCCCCTCTAATAGTAAATTATTAAAGCTACAAGATCTAGCTCCTATAGTACTTTTAGACTAATTAAAAACTATATATAAAGTCTTAATAATAACTATATTTATTTACTAAAAGATTATATGATAATAATAATTATATATAGTTAAATTACTTCATATTTAATATTGCTGGTGGTGGTGAAATCGGGCGTCAGGTGGGACTGGGCATCAGGTGATCACTGACTGTATACTCCGTAAATCTGGGCCATTTTATTTTTATTGTTTTTTTTTTAAAAAAAAAAAGCAATACTTTTCTTTACTTACAGACAATCAACAGCATTAGAATAATGTATTTATTGACATGGTTCGAAATGAAAAGGAAATATAAAAATCAACACAATTCTCGGCTGGATGAGACTTCCCTACACCTTATCCGGGTCGTTGATTCCACCGTTCGTGATCACGTAGGTCGCCTCTCGTTCAGGACAATCTAAATCATTAGAAAAGTATGGTCGTACAAAGGTGTACTATATAGCATACCTGGGGAATCTTGAATCTTGGCTACGCGTTCCTCGCCACGGCCCTTGCGAAGAAGGACACGGGTCGTCGACGCATGCGCAAGGACATGCCCGCCAACGGGCTTCCGTCCATCAGCGCCAGCAAAAAGGGCATTGGCTCCCGGGTCGCTCTGGACTTGGTTTGTCTATAGAATGATTAGCTCTGAATATAGCGTTTCTTCAGCAGCCCAGTTTACCATCAGAACACAAACATTGAACTCTATAGATCGCACTTAGCCATCGTTGCAGACAGAACGAGAGCAGGGAAAAGAGCGCAAACCTTCGGCCATATGTGCAAGCTTCATTAAGAACTGATTCAGCTTCTGCTGCCGATCAGCCAGCTCTCCACGGCCACAGTAATCAACCCGAAAACAGTTCATGATACTATCGATAATCAACAGTCTATAGTCTCCACCAACAAACTCTCTGCTAAGCGTATTGAGCAGCTCCAGCTGATGCTCGCTATTCAAAGCTCGAGCGTAGGCAATGTTCTCCTTCGCAGAGTCGGGATCAACACCGAACCGTTCTGCGATTTGCCCGATACGCTCTGGACGGAAAGTTCCCTCGGTGTCAATGTATGCAACTTTGCCCTCTGCGCCGCCCATATCTTTGGGAAGCTGTGCAATAACAGACATAGTATGTGAGAGTTGGGTTTTACCGCAACGGAATTCACCAAAGACTTCGCTAATGCTCATGCTTTGGAACCCACTAAAAGGTTGTCAGTGGAGTCGAAGTCCCTTTCAAAGGAGAGATCAAAAGAAAAAGAAAAAGGAAAAGAAAAGCAGACCCTCCAAGTATAGAATCGAATTGCTTGCTCCCAGTCGAGATCCGAACCACTCGCTTGCGTTGGTGACATAGCTCCATTGCCGTAATGAAGCCAGAAGCAGATGGCTGCTTGGTTTAGTCTCACCTGCATGAAGACTACAACAAAGACAATGGTATGTATCCCTTACAAGACATTTGTTGATAGCCTCCTTAATCTTTTCTACCTTCACTTCACTAAATCCCTTGATCTTCAGGAGGGTCTTTCTCGTCGCGCCGTGGATAGACTAAAGATGCCCCAACGGAAGAAGTATCAGCTCAGCAAGAGAACAATAATACGTTGGACGAATACCTACCGCAATGGTATAGAATCCATTTGCCTTTAGCTTTGTGATATCCGCAGCCCCAATTCCTTCCTTCTGTCAGCTCGGACCGGACGATACGAAAGGATTAAGTACCGTGAGCCTGGATGCAGTCAATGTCGACAATAAAGGCCTGTCAAAAACCAATTGATTAGTGCCATACTAGCTGCACAGATAACTGCAGTCAGAGGGTCTCTACATCGTCACCGAATTCGTCACTCGCCTCAGATCCCGGCATTGCGTGGTGTTTGAGCTGATGTATGAAGGGAGATTTGGAAGAGTTTGGGGCTAGAAGATGTTGAACGCGTTCATGGCTCAGATAAGTAACAGAAGAGCGATGGTGCAAAGAAACAGAAGGCCAGCCAGTGTCACGGGGTCTAGAGCCAACAAAAGGGTTGGTGTTTCAACTGGCAACTCTCACAATCTCCCGGTCAATCCATCGAGCTTACAGGATTACACTTAGAACCATGAAGAGGCCACTCGCCTGCATGCTCAGATACCAGCCGGGATATAGATACATATACGGGTACTTTTGATGATTGAAATTGCTTTTCTTCTTTTTTTTTGCTTCACTTTCGACGAATATAAGAACGACATCGTACGCACAGATGAGCAAGGTAACCACCGCAACAGGTACCTTTCCTAGTTCACTCACGATCTTCAGCACAAAAAATCCCATCCGTACCGGTTTTTCAAGCCTTTCCCCTGCATACCAACGCGCTTGCTTCGGACCACCAACGTCTCTCCTGCGCTTGATTAACCCTTCGTCTCACCTTGTCTCCTTCCTTTTCTTGCCACACCTAGAATTTATATGAGAAAGATATCCGGGGAGAACAGTAGACGCCAATCATAAGACCCTGAACCGTCATAGGATCCAAGCAGTAAGGGAACCTAAGTCTTCGTGAAAACTTTTTTGGTCGTATACATAAGAGGAAAATGAAAAAGGCCGTGCCGAGAAATGAAACATGAAAAGGGGGGGTAATATATGCAAAGGAAGAAACACAGTAGAAGAAGTAAATCCAGACCGAAGTCGGTAGACCCTAATACAAAAATAAAGGAAAGAATAAAGAAAGGGCTCTCAATAGCATTTTTCTTTTATTTAATTGAGATTAGCCCATTATGCAACAGCGGTAGTAGGGGCCGCAGCCGCAACAGGAGCTGCCTCTGGGGTGGCCTCAACAGCGGTGGTAGCGACAGCAGGAGCGGGAGCCGCAGCAGGGGCAGCGGATTCCGCGGGCTGCTGAGCAGCAGCCTCATTATTAGGGCAGTCCCTGGAGATATGGCCAGCCTGAGAGCACTTGTAGCAGACCTTGCCGGCAGAGCTCAAAGGGCCTCCGTTGGGAGCAGTGCAGTCACGAGAGATGTGGCCCTATAAAAGAATGAGTTTATAAATCCCCGACTACGCAAACGGTATGCAAACTGCACTTACTAGCTTTCCGCAGGCGTAGCACTTCATGGCCTGGGCCTGGCAATCACGGGCAAAGTGGTTAGGGCCACCACACTTGTAGCAGGTGGCAGCACGGGGGTAGCCACCGTATCCACCGCGGAAACCACTGTTGAATCCTCCGCGGGGAGCACCGGTTCCACGGGGAGCACCAGAAGCAGGAGCTGGGCAGTTACGCTATCAAGAAAAAAAAAAAAAAAAAAAACAAGGCGCAATTAGCCTTAGACAAGGACCGCGGAAACGAAACGCTCAACATACAGCAAGATGGCCGGGCTGGCTGCAGTTGTAGCAACGGCCATTGGCGCCGTTGAGGCGCAATGTGGGACAATCGGCCTGAACGTGGCCTAGTCCTTGGCAGTTATAACATTGCTTGGCTAGAAAATAAAGATATCAGCACCCCCTGCACTGGTTGTCGATGAGGCCCAAGAAACCCTTACTCTCGGTAGTACGAGGACGCGGGCAGCTGCTGGATTCGTGTCCTATTAATGGATTAGATATCTGGTTCGTGCTGAGCGGCACACCTCCCGAAGCTTACCAGGCTGCTTGCCTATTATGTTAAAACCCGTCAGCCTGATGATGATCGTAATATGGTAGACAGTAGGAACATAGCGGTCACCCACAGTTATAGCAAAGACGCTCAGAGGAAGAGCAGACCTCTTCATCAGTCCGTTAGTACACCAGTCCTGTCCCACGGTATTCCTTCCTTGCGACTAACCAGCATAATGACCAATGTTGCCACACTTGTAGCAAGCACGTCGGGAGAGCAACATCTTGAAAATATAATGAACTAAAAGAAAATCCCCCCCCAAAAAGCGGTTTCCGGTCAGTATTGTCGAGTAAACCCATACGCGGGGAAGTGGATGGTTTTCGAGGTGCATCGACATAGCAAAGTTGATATCATCAAAACAGGCCCAAATAGTAAGAAAAACGAGAACAAGGGGTGATTGGGTTCATGTCTTTAAGCAATCGCGGGCCTTCAGAAAGTGATGAGGTATTTGAAAGGCGCCCATGATGGCTGATATGCGCGGAGTGTGGTAGGAAATAGAGGATCGGGAAGCACGCAAAAGCACAGTGATTGCGAAATGTCCGCCGACGAAGGGACCGCAAGAAATAGGTACAACAGGGCCACGAGGGAATGTCGGCAATTTCACTCACCCTTCCTAAACTCAACAGACTTCAAATCACCTTGTGAATAGCGCTTGCCTTGATCGTCAGCCTGGGAACCTTGGAGGAGGTGCGCTCTTCCAACAGCCCACTCTTGAGGGACTCGAAAAAGTGGGCTGACAAAGAAAAAGCTACCAAAAAAATCGACGACACACACAAAAAAGAAGGGGACGACACACATACCGTACTCCAAACAAGAAACCTCGCGGCACACCAAACCCTCCAAACCAGAGAAACCGATCAGGAAAAAATCCCGGAACCCAGAAAAAAAGGATGCTAGATAGGATGAAGAATTAACAAATGGAAATAAGCGATAAAGCTAAACAAGGCAAAGGGAACAAGCGGGAAAGAGACACTGAGAAAGGGAAAAAAAAAAACTTTAGCTCCCGGGCTTTCCCGTATTGCGTAAGGGTGGATGACCCCCGGATTGATTTAGCACGGGGGGAGCAAGGGCCTGAGGCACACACACGTTCCTGTAAGAATGTGCATCCTGCAAGTCACAGAGAATGACAGGTTGAACAGTATGTCTCTACCCAGACTGACATAAACAACACAAATCATAGAATCCTAGGGATCAGTTAGTGACAGACTATACAGAGTAGTATAAAGCTGATTCCTTTTCGTTTTTCTGTCTTTCTTACCTAGGTAGATAGTACCTTTGGGATTTATTTGTTTGAAGGAAAAAAGGAAATATAAGCAGCAAATTAAGAAATTCGACAGGTCAGAATTTGGGGTCAGCTGATTGCTTCACCACTCCGTTGTATAGGCCCAGCCTCAATACTAGAATGTCACTAAAATATGTATATACTAACTATTTAACAACATATGCCCCAGAGTACCACCACCAGTCTCGAGAATGGAGACGGCAGTTCTATTATTTCCACTAGTCTCATACAGGCAATGTTTCTTCATTGACAAAATTAAACTCTACTCTTCCTTTTCGATAATCGCAGGTGCTTTGATCTCGCGGCCCTTGAGGAATTCGAGCCCTTCTCCACCCTGTAAACAAATATTAGTTTTATCGCACTACAAACCAACATTCCGACAAAACTTACATAGCTGATCAACGGCGACACTTCGACACCGGTTGCGTCTCCTTCGCTGACAACAACGCCACCTGCACTCTTGATCCATCGCTCACCCTGGTCCATGATATCCTGCTTGCTGGTATCAGGGTCATCCTGGCCAGTGCCTCGGGCATTCTTGAGAGGGGAGAATTCGTCCTCCCGGCGCACTTCAATACAGGCAAACTTCTCCAGAGGAGTCATGGGGAAGACATCGAACACAAACTGCTCCAGTTTGATCCCGTTAGGCTTCTCTGGCTTGAAGAGCTCGCCACTTTCGGGCTTAATGCACGGGATCTTCTTGCGGGCAACGTGGTGAGGCAGCTTGTGAGCCCAGTTCTCAATGGACTCGAAGAATTCGAAGGAGTAGTAGTGGTTGACGATGTTAGCTGCGCGGAACTTGAGCAGCTCAGGGTTCTTGGGGTCCTTGGCCTCGGCTGTCTCCTGGTCGATTTCAGAGTATTCAACTACGTCAGGCTTGCCATTCTTCTGAAGAATCAAGCCCACTGACTCGCTAGCGTTACGCTTGCGGACTACCTTGGTGGCAATATCAACCTGCTTCGAAGCAGCAAAGCCAATGAAAACAGGGTCCGCAACCTTGACCAAGCAATTGTCGACGCAGTAAGTGTGAATGTGCTTGATTCCGCGTTTGCGCATGTCCTCCCTCACACCAGAAGTAACCAAGGCCTGGTAAATTCCTCCATTGCCATCAGGAGCAACAGCCACCTAGAACACCCGGGGTTAAATCAGCCAAGTCTACGATAACCGAGGATTTGAAGCATACCTTGGACTTAGTCTCCAGCAGAATCTTTCCCTCGTTAGAAATGCAAGGCAAGACACCCTGCTCGAAGATGAAAACATTGCTCTTCTCCAACCCGAAGTATTTGTGGTTCTCGAAGTATTCCTCTGTTGGCTTGCGAGTCGGCCCGCTGGTCATGACATACCAGGGGATCACTGCATCCTTCCCCAACTTCTTCTTCGCCAGAAGCTGAAGCTTGGCGATACGCTCCGCCTGGATCTGGAATAGAGGCTTGTGGCTTGGGAGTCCGATATCGAAGCAACCCTTGGGCTGGGAACTACCCAACCGAGTACCCTGACCACCAGCCAGCAAGACCACCGCAACCTGGTTTTCCGCCACCAGTGTAAGACCCTCATCGTACCATTTTTGGAGATCGTTTGGGTCGGAGTCTAGGATGGAGGCTGTGGCCACCTCTGGAAGGGGTTCGAGAGCGACGGGGCCTTGCTCGGCCTTGGGAGGGTTCAGGGCGATGTTAGCCAGCTCATTGATGCGAACTGGATTGAAGGTGGTCAGTTGGTGGAAAAGCTGGGTCTTCTCTGTCTGGCTCAATTCATCGAAGAAAGAGAACACTTGGTCTTGTCCTGCTTTTTGGTACTTCTCCTTCAGCTCTTGGATTTCCTCGGCGGATGGCTGACGAAGGGTGGGTTCGGAGTGCCCCTGGAATTTGTCGACCAGGTTTGTGAAGGTTTCTTTGATAGCTGCAGCCATGATGAATGGGATAATTGAGGGGGTGTACTACTTCGGGGAATTGAGGTATCAACGAAGAACCGTTTAAGGGTATGTAGATAGCTAGATAAAAGGGAGAACAAGCGAGAAGCGGAGGACGAAGGCGACGAAGAAGAGAGTAAGAAAGGTAGGAAGGTAGTCAGAGAAAGGGAGGAGGGGGATGGATCAAGTCAAGAACGAACGAAGGAGCGCGGGGTGAATCTGCAACTCGACCAGCAGCAGAAAAGAGGGTGTCCCGGTAACCAACTAGTAAACTACTGACCGCCAGAGCTTCACTCCGTTTATTTTTAGTTTTCTGGTTTAATCCATTTACGTGGAGCAAAGACAACACGACTTGCGCCAGTTTCGACTTGTCTTGCGTGGAACAACCAATCTGCGCGGGGCTTTGCTAGTCGTGGAGCTGGGTTCACCGACAGAGCTCGGAAAGACGCCACTGGGAAACTATTTTTGCTAGTACGTATCCCTAATTAGTTATGGACAAGGAGGCTGAGAGAGCCTTTCTATTATTAACTATCTTCATCTTAAGACATTAACTACATTTTGTCATTTAAATCCTTCTTCTCCCCTATCGTCGTCGATCCCTGTATCGATCACCGTCACGATACCCACGGCGTTGGTTACCCTCGCTGTAATTTCCCCTATCCTTGTCAGGGTAGGAGCCCCTCCGTGGAGGGCTTCGACTGTAAGATCGATCACGCTGGCGGCTCCGGTATGAATCTTGTCGTGGACTCCGACTGTCTCTTCGATTGGGATGGGAGGTTCGTTGTGGACTTCGGCTGTACCGCCGCTCACGAGGCGCAGACCGTTTACTGGGACCGTTTTTATCAAACACCATGTTATAGTCGTCTCTCTCGCGAGTGTTTTCCGTTGCCCTGTACTGACGCTTCTTCTCTAGACTGGCTACACCACCAAAGCCACCCCGTTGTGCGCTGCGCTTCGAGATGGTGGCATTTCGCCAGCTTTCCGACAGTTTTGATACCTATTCCATGTCATTAGCGTAGAGAAACAATAGAATCCAAGAGTAGAACTCACACTCTGAGAGAAATCTACATGAATCCGGTGATCGTCTATCAGGACGCCTTGCATTTTAAAGTAGGCCTGCTCGCAGTCTTTTTGGTTTTCAAATTCAATGAATGCGTATTGTAGACTGTCACCCGTCCGCTTATCCCTGATAACCTCGCAGGAGAGAATTTTCCCAAACCTACTAAAGATCAACTCGAGGTCCTCATCTGCCTAGGGTGTTAGTGAACTCAGAAATATCGAAAGAGAAAGATGAATGTCTAAACTAGCCCGTACCTTGAGTTACCGGATTCAATTTGCACACGAACAAGACGTTTTCCGGAGGCTTGACCTCTGCAAAGGGGAGGTCTCCAACCATTTCTAACGTCAAGGCCTGCGCTCTTGCCTCACGCTCGCGGCGGAGCTTCTCCATCGACTCTTCGTCCATTTCTTCTTCAAGGTCCTCGTCATCGGCGATTCTAACCGTAGCCAATTGTGCCTTTGTTGGCACAGGGCTTTCTGGCGGCTCTACGAGACCTGGGGGGTCTTCGAAGGGGTCATCGAGAATGACAGTATGGCGGATGCGAATATCCTTCAGCGGTCGGCCGCGATCATCGATGAAAGACTCGTTGACTTTCTCAAGAACGTCAAACCCTTCCACAACCTTACCAAATATCACAGCCTTGCCGTCCAGGTAATCAAGATTATCCCCCAGCGTGACAAGGAACTGGCTGGTGACGAGACGAAGGTCGGGGTCGTGCGGAGAAGGCACAGCAGCCATGCTAACGATTCCTCTCTCATCGTGTTTCAGTTTCGGTGGGAGTTCGAGGGGGAAGGCTTTTCTGGATGGTCCCTCCAGCAGACCCCAGATCGATGATCCACCATCGCTCTCTGGGGAATCGGGTCCGATTGGGTCGCCAGTTTGAAAGGTGAAATTTTTTTGGACGCTGTAAATCGGCGAGAAATTATAGTACTTGACTTTGCAAAGCTTTAGGAAGCTATGGCGGAGGAAGAAAGATCGCTTAGTTTCTCGTTCAGCAACTCGACATTGCACGCGCAATACACCCAAACAGCGCCTCGGGAAAGCACAAGAAAGACGGAAATTGGTACACTGCAAAAGGACGGGGAAGCTTACTTCTCACATGCCTTAGGCGACTCGTCGACCAAGAGATCAATGACAATGTCACCTAGGGAGGTTTCCAGCAAGACGCTCATTGTGTCGTGTGTGGGCAGCTGAGGCGGACCGACGGTGCGTTCACAAAGCACAAATGACAAGTTAATGAAAAATCCACTTAATTCAAATACAAAATAGAAAACAAAATTGAACAGGGATATGCATCGGGAATCAAGCCTCAGCCAAGAAGCAGGATGGCTAGGATAGTAATGTGCGTCGTTCGTTGAAGCTCGATAGTTAATCAACCACAGAGGAAAAAGTAGCAAAAGGCCCAAATGCGGAGCCGCTGCCGCCCTTTCGAAACTGCAACCCACCAGCGTCGATCATCCAACCGCCAGCCTTCAACCACCACTACCACTACCACTACCGCCGGGGATGGAACTTCTTGCAGCGCCTAGATTCCTCATCACAGTCTGACAATGTCGGTATTACAGGTACTGAGAAACTATTTTGATTTGGACTCCGATTGTCGATGTGATTGAGGTGCTCACTCCTCTCACCTGTTCGGATGGTCGATCCGATGTCTCTGTGTAACGGACACTACTCCAGAGTCCAGACCAGCTGAATATCTTCCGGAAATCCCTCTTGGACGGGAGAAAATTCCACCGTGAAGGGGGTAAAATAATTCTCAACATTGAAAAAAAAAAATACCGGGAAAAACGCAAGTCAAAAAGTCGAGAAGACGAAGGCAGTCTCCACTCGAGTGACGAACTTGCAGCTCTCTAATGCTTGAGACACCGAGATGATTCGAAGTGATTCATTCCATTGATACGACCTGCTCTCAGGCATGAATAGCTTTGGGTGACTGCTACCTTGAGTGCAATGGCAGTCCAACTGTGGTCCAATACCATTACCCATTTACGGAGAATTCGTGGCCCCGACCCAGTCGAGTTATAGCTAAGTATACAAGAGGACCTCGCCTGGAGGTGCCACTGCTTGCCTTTTCTGAGCGAATTTTACCGTTAAGTTCCACGGCCAAGGCGTTGGAAATAACGGGCCGTCTCCTGCAGCTTGTCCTAACAACCATCTCAATCCTAGTATGGGAAAATTATGTTGTGATGTGGTTGGCGCGCTGTACCGTATTTGTCAAGGCGTGCTGATCTGGAGAATACACGTGGTGGATTGTAATATTCCCTTGTCTTTATCTACATGGGGAGTGAACGAAACAAGAATGGTAGCTTGAGATCAATTCTGGCGAAGGAAATCAATTTGACTGGCCTCTTGGAAGGTCTGGCTGGTCCTCTCTCAAATCCTTGATTTGTTGGCCAATATACAGAGACATATGTACAGCAGGGAAGGATGCTCACACATCCCCCCTTCTTCAGCTCCTCGAAATCCCAACTTTCACGCCTGCTGCTTCACCATCCCTGATACTCATTGCTTTTTATTTGAAGCATGCATTTTCCAACCCTGAGCCCGATCTCAACTCGGTTCTCGCCTTGGCCACCCGAGGCTCACGCTAGATCTATTGACTTATTTACACTCCTATCAATGTTCCCCAGGATGGAACGATTCCAATTATGACTGTGGCGGATTATAATCTGTGAGTTTAAGACACAGACACACACACACATACATCATTTTAACAAGTTGCTTTCTTATCCTCGCAGGTATGTACATTCATACCCCGTACTGTATACATACAAAGTACCCCTGAACTCCATGCATGTTACTAGATTTGCTTGCTGCCCCACGTCTCTGCCAGGTCTGGCCAACCTGATAGAGGCACCCAGAGTACCCCAGTGCTCCGTACAGTGAAGTACGATCAACGCATTGTTTTTCACCTTGTTATGATCGGCATCCCTCACCCTACCTTTCTTCTCTCCCCAAAGTATGCCTACCCTTGTTTCTCTTGGCTTCTCGGTGGTTTATCGTTTCCCTTATTTCGGCTTGTTGGGGCGATAAGAGAACTATTCGACTCAAGGGCCACGCACAGTTTGACGCAAATTCGTATAGGGGCATTGGTCGAGCGGCTCATTATGTCTGCGCGGATGTCCTAGGAAATTCTTGGCTCCTAACCAATTAATGTTTCACTGAGACTCAAATGGTCCCGTCAAGCCGATTAAACCATTCTTATCTCATAAACTAAGGCGCGGAAGCCCCAGGGTTCCGAGACATTAGTGTAATCCTCATGGGTTGCTTCGTTTGCCAGGGCTTCTTCTTGACCCTGAGTTCCTGGACTGGATGGACTGGTGGATCCTGGATGACACTGACGGCCATCCATTGTCGTGGATTCTGTACCAGATCCTACCTATTTCGCACGTCGCAAAAGTACTGATAATGCTTTGACTGCTCCATCCAGAATTTGTTTGATGAGGGCACCATGGACCGGCCCAGTAGGCTCCTCAGATGAATACATCTATAGCGAGCAAACACTTACTTCATTCCCACATCTCTTGCCTTTGATTCAAGGGACAGGTATTGCGCTAATGGACACACGCAAACGTAGTCGGCAGGTGTCCGATCTTTGATCCAGGACGAACAAGCTGGCTGTTGGTACTATCGCAGCCAACGAGATGTATCTCGTTTAACAAGAGGAGAGAAAGAACTCCCAAATAGAGGGAGAGAAACCGTGGAATATCATCGTCCATGGCGATTGGCCGGATTGACTTACTGAGATCGCGGTTTCCTCTTAGGGAATGATGGCCCTAACTCTCGTCTCCCTTAGGACAAAGTAACATGTGTGCAACGTTACTTTGTGAAACGGAACCTCTTAAACACCGGGATATTCTTCTGTCTGCCTGGCCTCCCAACAGCATGTTCTGACAGTTCCAACATCCTGCCTCTGGAACTGGGCGCGACACGGAAGTTTGCATATGGTCCTCCTAGCACAGCCCTGTCGGGGAGAACAAAGAGTCAGGTATCAAACTGACTACCGATAATTTTGAAACTAGAAACCAATGGAGCGACAGCTTTCAATTTCTGAGAACGATCCAGACGAGATCATCACCAGTCTAAATTAAATCTATGGTTCAAGGCGCCCACAAGCCCCCCTACGGTGAAAAGCAAAGAACAGAAGAGGGGAAGAGAATTGGAGAGAAAAAAAAAAAAAAAAAAAAAAAGGAGCCAAAAAGCCAGGCAATCAAGACAAAATAAATAACTACTGAACACATGGGCTTAAATCTGGTCTTGCATCCACAGAGGCCCCTCACCCTTCCCGGTTCCTTTCCCAATGCTTCAAGTAGATGGAGCATGTTGGACACAATCCGGACATCCCTGACTGATCCGTAAACCTTTTATTGCTCCTTGTTAATCTCTGAGAGCATACTTTTAATTCAGTTGCCTTGTCTCGCTTCGTATGTGAGTTTCAAAAATAAGGAACATGATGTTTTCCACCACACTGATTGATGAAGTCATGGCCCAACCATTCTACTCTCTGGATGACGGAGACTGCTTTGATCCACAGTCCAAGCGAGATGCTCTGTCAATACCACACGCCATTCAAAATGATAACCAGCAAGAGATGGTGGATATGAATACGGGCTGTCTCAACACTGGGCCCGAGATTGACGCCAAAGGCCGGGGTTCGACAAGACGCCGGATTCAAGTCGCAGTAAGTCACTGGTCTGTACCTATTTAGAAAAGAATAAGAAGGGGCTTACATCAGCAGTGTCAACGGTGTCGAAAAAGAAAGATCAAATGCAGTGGTGATGCAGGAGACGGTCAAGGCTGTTCCAACTGTCGGAGCTCAGGAAACCAGAACTGCCAGTTCTTAAGGGCAAGCGGAACCCCTAGTCCTGACCACACACTCTACCTGCCCATATAAACAAGAAAAGAAAAGAAAACGAAAACGAAAAAGAAAGAAAAACTAACAAAATAAAAGGTCAACTCTGCGGTAGTACAGACGAAAGTCTCCAGTTGGCCGTATCCAACGAACACTATAATCAACCCATCTCAAAGGCCAGGAGCACCAGATTCTCAACCCGCTTTTAGCTGGCAATCCTTTGGACTTGACGCCACCAACCACGAGGATGGGGGCCCAGCTCCTTATAACGCACCGTCCTCCACCTTTCTATTGCCAAACTCACCTCAAGGCGTTATGGCGGAGTGCTGTGGGTTAACATGGAACGCCAAAGCCTGGAGCTCAGGCATTCAAAGTGGTAGAGCTGCAAATGAGGCAATGTTCGGGGGCAATTATGGGGAAAACCCCTTGGCCCTTTCAGGTTACCTGTTTACCGGACAGGGGACTCAATCAACGGAGATATCTCCAATTGTTCCTACGCAAGCATCCTTGACATTTCCCATCCAGGGAGCGGAGCGAACGCTTCCCACCCCTTCTAACCGGAATCCATTCCAAGGGAATGTAGGCGGACTAGTCGCGTCTCCTAACGCTCTCGCTGGACTGCAGTCTGCCCAGGAGTACAAATCAGGTAATCATTGGATGCAGAAAAACGACCCCCGCACGCCTATGCAGCCGACGTCGAATAAGTCTTTCAGCACTCGCACGGTAAACAGAGCAAAGCTGATTCCATCTGGTGCGCAGGACATAGTCTTTGGGGTCTTGCCAATAGCTACGACAAGTGCAGTTTCCCCTCTGATGCCCTCGAGTGGAGCATTTACAGGCTTGATAGCCGCGACAGACTCGGCGGATGAGTTCCGCAGCAGTAATGACGGTCGACTCAGGGCATTCTCGCGTGATAACACGCGGATGCTGTCGCTTACAGAATATGGCCCGGATAGCTATGGATACAGCACCAGTGAAAGAAGTGGCAGAAGTCGTTCAGATGTGGGCAACGCCAGCTCTGTTGCTACATTGATCAATGGCTTGCCATACATGCGGCCGAAAAATCCAGATCCAATTTCTCAAATGAACCCCCTCACGACAGACAGCCTCACAGGGAGTTACGGAGCATCAACCGAGACACACCGCACACCAGTCTCTGCTCTAAGTAACTCGAGTGGGTTTTAATCCATCGACTTGCGGTTCATTCAGACTTGGTGTCGGGCGGATTGATCATCCATAGAGGAGGTTGCTGTGTACGAACCATTCCGAAAAAAAAAGAAAGAAAAAAAGAGAAACCCCCCCCCCCCCCCGACAGTAACAAATAAAAGAAAGGGGAGGATAGAAGGAAGAAACCAAAAAGAGGTCCCTTTTCGATGGTGTCAGCTTGGCGTTAAAGTGCTTTGGTCCGTATGTTTTGTTTTCTTTTGCTGTACTTTTCTTTCCTATCTGTCCCGTTTATTTATTTAATCACTCCCTGGAGTTTTGCAATTGCCCAGAACGCTGCTTTCTCATACCCGGTGTCACGGTTTTCTTGAAGGCGCTTATTTTCTTTAACCACTTTTCTTTTCTTTTCTTTTCTTTTTTTTTTTTTTCCTGATGCTGTAGCTGGATGAGCAGTAGGCAGGGCGTGGCAGTAGGCGACAGCAGCAGGAGCAGCATGGGTGGCATTACTGGCGTTCATCTCGGAAGGTGGCTTGGTTGATAATATCTTTGATGGGTTGATTCTGTTCCTCCCAGGCTTTCTTTGTTGTTATTACTTGCTTTACTTGGTTGCCTGCTGAATTACATATGTACTTAATGCCCTAATAGCTTCAATATCTCCAAAAGACCTTGCCCCATGTCCTTCCGGGGGACTTATTCCTTCCTACCAGTTTTGTCGATAGGAACTAGTTCACCATTAGAGCTGCACATACTTTCTTTTCTGTACTTTTCTCTACTCCATCCCCCAAAAGTCCAACCAGCCTGCTACCAGCGACACACACACACACACACACACAAAGGATACAGGACCAAGATAAAGAACCCCTCCCAAGAGCAGAGGAAGCAACCACTCAGCCAGAGGTTAGTTAACTATCATGCTCATACATATACACTACCTCCAGGTAGGTACTGCAGACTCAAGCTTATCACAACGCTTTTTCCATCCCCGATCATGTTGATTTGCCGGGGATGGAGGGTAGATCATGCAATAAGAAAGCTACACACCTCCCTGCCTAATGCATCCATCGTATGTAGTAAAGTTGGAATTAGATGACTGGTTGGGGACGAGATACAGACAGGGATACCGTTGTTCAGTGGGATTTTGACGCTGGCTGGGGAAACAAACATGTCCTAATGTAAATGTATCCTCCCTGGCTGGGTAAGTGGCTTGTTGGGTCCTGCTGGATGGTTAAAGAGTTATTTGGTTGGTACTTTGTACTTATTACCGTGAGGGGAGTTATGGAGGTGCTACTACTACGAATATATATACTAGAACCAACAATGTAATCTAATCTGGATAGACTTTTTTGAAACAGATTTAGATCATTTTTCTATTGTATTCTTCATAAGAAGGGTTCTTTCTCTCTCTCCCTTACGTTAATCGTGGATGTAGTGTTAGTTGGTAGCCGAAAATATGAGTCTATACTTTTGATGGACGGAGCAGTAGTAGGTAGGTAGTAGGCCTTTGAATTCTTGACTGATTCGATCCAAGTAACTAGAGAAACCGAACCTGGCTGCCATAGCACAAAAGAAAAAGAAAAGAAGAGACTAGAACAGAAGTATTTTCTCAAGTCAAATTCAAATTTTTTGGTTTTTGCTCTGTTGGTTGTTTGAAAAAAAAAAAACGAAGAAAAAAGAAATCTCAATCCCTGTTGTCTATCCACACTGTCCTGGTACCTGATGGGTTGGCGAGGAGTGAGAGGAAAGATAATGGAACAACAAGAAACAGGGCGAAAAAAAAAAAGGGGGGAGAAGGAGAGGGGGGGGGAATATGAATAATAATACAATCACAAAACCACCGTGGATCACATATTCGTGCACTGTTTTTTTCTTTCTTGATCTCACTCTTTTTTGCTGATTTGGGGAATATCACTATTCACAGGGCCGGTTTTATCATTATCATCATAAACCATCAGCCAGCCCTTTCCCCCCCCCATTTCCAGCTGTGTTCGTTTCCGAGCCTGAATCCGAGTCCTTCAAGTCGAGTCCCGAGCTTTTTTTTTCTTCTTTCCCCCCCCCCTTCCCCCAATCGTCTGCTTCTTCTTCTCCATTTCTCTCTCTCCACAGTATCTCTCACTTCCCTAACCAAACCCCTCCCAGCACCAAAATACAATCATGCAAGACGAGTAGAAGAAACCGCTTAGTCCTTGCTCTTCTTGGGGCCCTTGGTCTTGGCGGTACCGCGGAACTTCTTGGAGCGGTTCTTCCGTTGCTTGCCTGGACGATATTAGTATATTCTCTCACCAGTTGTATCGAAAAGGGTAGTAGGAGAGAGGAAAAGCATACGCTGCTGTCGGCTGGGCTTCTCGATCTTGCTAGCGGCACCGATGCGGACGAGACGGTAGTGAGGCTCGAACTTCTTCAGAGCCTCCTGGGAGTCGTAGACCATGGCGAAGCCAGTGCTCTTACCACCACCATACTGTGTGCGGAAGCCGAAGACGGAAACCTGGTCCTTGTTGGACTTGTACAGGTCGGCGAGCTTCTCACGGAGTTCGTCCTTGGAGACGTTGGCGCGGTTGGGGTGGAGGACGTCCCTAAAGTACCCTGATCAGTACTGATTCCTGAGTCCATTATGTGTGTGTGTGTGTGTATCCCCAAAAAAAAATCAAAAGAGAAAAAAAAAAAAGAATATCATCTCGAAATATCCGATTTGGGGGAATTTTCTTTTTTATTTCCATCTCTTCCTCATTCAAAAAATTCTTTCTTTCTGTCTTGTTTCCAGTTTCCCATCGTATCTCCGAACCGAGTGTAGATAGTGCAAAAGGTGCAGGTGAAGGAAAAAGCTTACACGACCATCTGCTTGCGGGCAAGGAGAGGGTTGCGGATGAACTTGCGAGTCCGCAGAGTAACGGGAGCGTCGGCCATGATTGTGGTGTTGTAAGTTGACGAGACTGAACCACCAACAGCGAGAATGACAGGGAGGAAGGGTCGTCGGGGGTTGTCGAGGGATGGCTGTCGTTCTGGGCGGGCTCGAGATGCGCTTCGCTTCAATTTCGCTTTTCGTTTCGTTTCGTTGTGCAGTCGCTGTGGGCTCGGCTAGGGCGCACTAGGCCGAGAGTGGTTAGTGCGCGGTTATGGGTCACGTGGTATGCCCGGACTTCAACTTCAACTCCTCCGTACTACCTGTATACCGACACCAATTGTTGTTATTTCAGAAAAAGAAAAATGGTCGATATATCACTCCTAACCGCTCAATACTCCCAACAAGTTGACCCTCCGCGCCTCTCCATCCCCCATGGTCGCGATCTGGTCTCCCCCACGACGCAATCCGCCATCTACGAGACCATGTTCGACGACACCAGAACCTGGCCGCTCCCCCCAGTACCATATCAAACGCGAGTGTTGAAGATGATTCTCTCGCGCATTGAAGAATCCATCTGCGATCCCGAGGAGGATGTATGAATCCCTATGTATGCACACATACCACGATACCATCTATCAAAAACCCAGAATAGAAGACAACAACAGAACGAAAATAATAAACAATAATCCATAGGAAATCCTCGACTCCCTCCTCGAAAAATGGACCTCCCTGCTCTCCCACCCTAAACCCTCCGCAATCCAACAAGCCCAACAACTCTCGGATATAAAATACACCGCGCCCACAGGAGAAGAACGAGAACCCCGCAAAACGGTCATAACTCGCGAATCGCGCGGGCTGATTCTCGCCGCCGGCACAACCGGCTTCCGAACCTGGGAGGCAGCCCTCCATCTAGGCTCGTATCTCGCCACGGACGCAGGCGCATCGCTTCTCCGTGGCCAGCGGGTGCTGGAACTCGGTGCGGGAACGGGGTTCTTGTCGTTATTCTGCGCCAAGTATCTCGGGGCCGAGAGTGTGTTTGCGACGGACCGCGAGCCTGCGCTGATTGAGCAGATTAATCACTGTATTGGGCGGAATGGATTACATGGTGGGATACAGGCTGGGATTTGGGAGTGGGGGGGTCCGTTGTTGATACCTTCTTCTTCTTCTTCTTCTTCTTCTGGGTCTGGGTCTGACGATGAACCTGCACCTGCACCTGAATCCGAATCTGGGCATGAGAACGAGATCGAGATCGGGAATCAAAAAAGTGTCCGATTCGATATTGCCCTCGGAGCAGATCTGGTACGTTACGTCACATTCCTCAAGGTTTCTACTATATGCCGCTGAAACCTCTGCCCGCGTACTTAATACAAGTACAAGCACAAAGTACACAAGGACCAAAGGAATGCACCCAACTAATACGATATATGCATATGCATATGCATATGGATATGGATGGAATAGATATACGACGTCGATCTCGTGCCGCTTCTTGTCTCTACCATCGAGGATCTATTCAACAACTACTCCCTAAAGCAGTTTATCATCTCCGCGACCCTGCGGAATGAAGAGACCTTTGCGACGTTTATAGAGACTTGTTGTGAGTTTCCTTTCCTTTCCCTTTCCCTTTCCCTTTCCCTTTTCTTTCTTATTTCTTTCCTTAAGAATGGAAGAAGAAGAAGAGAAAAGAGACAACTAACACAAACACAAATAACATAGACCAAAATAACCTGCTCGTCGATCGGATCCCGTTTGAGTCGACGACGGAGGAGACCCAAACGGGGTTTTTCCATTCCACGGCGATTCCGATTCGAACCTATCGGGTTTCGAGAGCTTAGCTTGCGTACGAAGTTACCTACGAGGTACTACTCGTAGTACGAGAAAGTCTCTGGTACTTGATTATAAATAAAAATGGAATGATTAACCAAGACAAGAGAAAAAGTTCCAAGTATGTGATAACGTTTTCTGGTTCCCGATTCCCGATTCAGGCTCAGGTTTAGTATAAGTACAATATAAGTCAAGTATAAGTCAAGTATAAGTGAGTATAAGTCAAGTATAAGCAAGTATAAGTAAATATAAGCAAGTATAAGTGAGTACAAGTGAGTACAAGTATAAGTGAGTACAAGTGAGTACAAGTATAAGTACATGCATACCTGGTAACCAGCAAAATGAATCCCAAGACTGGTTGAGATGTAATATATAAGACGAAACGAATCAAGGAGAGAGAAAAAAGAAGGGCGTCGCTCGTGGGTATCATAGATCTATCAAGAACAAAATAGATGCGAACGAAAGTCAAACCAGTCCGATGCATATGCAATGCTAGTATAGTAGTAAAAGATGATACCGATATGAAACAAGTCAAGGAAAGAGTCGCTAATTGATGCGGTAGAGGGGCCAAGGAGTTTTACTCTGCTAAACTTTCCCGGAGTAATCCCTCATCAAGTTGTTCCGCGTGAATAGATACAGGCGGCGGAGGCGGCAGTCGGAACCCCATTATCGGGCCCTTCTGGTTTACGCCGGGATTGCGGAATCGCACCAAGGAGAAGGATCGTTTGGGCTGAAGGGGCTGGGCCGGGGTATGTTGCTGCTGTCCCGAAGAAGCGAGCGAATGGTCTGAGGAGATGGTTGATGAAGCAGAGGATTGCGGGACATCTTCTTCGGTGAGCGAGTCGAGGTTGCGGGTGGGCGATGCTGTAGGGGCTGTGCCCCAGCGACCGCGAACCCAACCACCGACCCGACTGCTCAGGGTCAGTCGGGTAGGAGTTGAGGAGTCATCGAGGGATGAGGCGGGACTGTCTACAGGAAGTTGGCTGGTTGCCACGACTGAGGCAAGAAGGGATTGCGGGGTTTGGCCCGAGGGTTTCGCAGGCTCCTTTCCTGCAGTGATAGTGCTGGTTGAGGTGACAGCTGGCGTAGGGGAGAGGCCGGTGCCAGACGACATTATGCGATGTGGGATTCGCAGGGGCAGGGCGCCAGATGCAAGATCGACCATGCATGATGGAAGATGGCTGGGAGTATGGATGTCCATTCCGGCAACCGAGAATAGGCTTTCGTGAGATGTGCTCCTGCGCATCGTTCGATACGGAGTAGAAGTAACAAACACATCCTTATCAGCGATGGAACGGGCCCTCTCAGATCCGCCATACGGCATTGACGAATCCTCTATTTCCTCAGGGATGACAGAGTGGATTGAACCTCCATCCAGCTCATCATCACTGATCGGATCATTCGCACCGTCCAAAATTCGATATGCATCCCAGGGCCCGCCACCAGGCTTGTATCTGCCGTTTCTCAACGGCGAGGAAAATATTGTGCTATCGGGACTGGTGGGTTGAGAGGAATCAAATCCACGCTCGACTCGGTCAAAGATAGACATTGAAGACCGATAAGCTGACTGCGGCGAGCTGGCCATAGAATCTGGGGGCACAGGCGATTGGGCTGACCAACGACGTGATGCACGCGGCGGAATCGAAACGGAGGTCTGGGACAGTATCGTAGATGCAGAAGACGTAGAAGACTGTGATCGATGTTTTGCCTTCCGAGAGGACTGACCGGCCGAGGCGGAGTGAAGAACCGCAGGGCTGCCCAAAGAGCGCCGTTTCTTCGATCGTCGCAGCAGCGTACCCTTTTCTTTCCTCGCAATGGATGGTGTGTGATAATGATGATGGATGTGAAACTCTTGTGATACCCGACGCGAATCATTCGCTTCCAATTCCTGGCTCAGCGTCGTTGACGGCCGGATATCGTGGGTTTCTCCAGTTTCAGAAGGCATCATCATAAGAGGCTGGTGGGATAGAATCTGATCTCGTAGGTTCTGGACCTCTTCGTTAGAGCTATCGAGCATGTCCCGCAGCTCCATAATCCCCATCTGCAGGTTGGCATTGTCCTGAAGAATATCCCGAACAAAGCGCGACACCACGTTGGTGCCACCATCTCGCCTCAGATCCTGAGCGGCGGCTGCACCCTTCAGTCTCCCCGCTGCACCATCAAGCTCTCGCTCGACAGCCCGCCTCCTCTCCATGCGCTGAACCAATTCCGCATGGCGATCGCGCTCCTCGCGAGCTTCCTTCTCAATCCGGTCGACCTGATCATGCAGGTCGCGCAGGGTACATTCCGCCTTCTTCCACCGATGCACCGCTGACTTCGAATCCTCCTGAGCTAATAACAAGCTCTCCTGTAACTTCGACTGCTCCGCTTCCATGTGTGCCAGCTGGGCCTCGAGATCCGCCGCCCGCGCAGCCGACGCCGTCAACCCGCGCAGCTCGGCCTCGCTGTTCTCCAGCGCAACCGCAAGACACTTTGCATGAGAATCCGAATCAAGGACCGCCTTGTTCAACCCCTCGAGCTGCTCCAATAGGCTGCGGTTCTCTTCGACCATGCGCGCGTTCTCCGCCTGCACCTGGCGCTTTTCGCGCTCCAGGCTTTCAATGTTGACGAGTAATCTTTGGCGATCCTCTTCCGCCTCGGCCATGTAGGATTCATGGCGGTGGAGTAGAGCCTGGAGAGCAAAGGTTAGCGATGAAGATACCATTTCTGGTGCTGGCGAGGCCAGAATTTTGTCAGTGAACAACAGGGTAGCCATGACGGACAAAACAACGAGATAGAATTGGGGACTGGGAGGATTTCGTCGCCATGAGGTCAACACTCGGAATAGCGTTTCTTTCCCTTCCGAGGGGGTGCATCCTCGTTTGGTAAAGGTCCGAGGTCAAAGGACGGACTAGAATTCCAAGCCCCGATAAACAATGTAGATGGGGTACGTATACAGCAAGACGGCCGACCAAGTATGTACACAAAGGCAAGTATGTATTGCCAAACAAAGCCAACGGCCAGTGTACAAAGAAAAACAACCCAAGAAAGACATCCGGTTTAAGGCAAGTAAAGTCAGTCAGTCATGATGACGGCCCAACTAAAAGCAACTGAGTCCGTCACCCAAACAAACAGGGTTCAGATCTATCCAAAAAAAAAGCAAAGAAAAAAGCAAAGAAAAAAGCAAAGAGTGAAAAATAATAATAATAATAATAATAATAATAATAATCACTGAATGAACGTACCTGACCTAACCTCGCAGCGGTTTCAAGATCCTTCTCCAACCCCTCCAGCGCAACATGGTTAGTATGGAGGTATGCACACTCCTCCCTGCCACAACAGCAGCGCAGGTCCGTCCGAGTGGTAGAAGAGGAGTAGTGGGTAGGAGGAATGCAGGGCAGCGCGGGCTGGCTCCAACCAGACCTACAGGCAGGCCCGGGACTATGTGGGCGGGAATGAGATTCCATGGCTAGCCCACCTTGCTCCAACACTTGCAGGCAGGAATGCGACTAGGTCGTTAAGCGTCTCGAGAGAGAACGAGAGAACGAGAGAACGAGACAGGAGGAATCCAGCAGTGGGACTTGGAAGATGAGTTGGCGGCAGTAGGAAGTGGACACTACTACACTTCCCCCCCTTGATGGAGTGATGAGCTGGTAAGAAAGTACCATACCATTCATTACTGGATCATCATCCAGGAGATACAAAGAGCGCACTGAAGAGGGAGGAAGCAGGGTGGTGAGAGTAATAGAAGGAAGGATATGAAAGAAGAGAGAGAGAGAGAGAGAGAGAGAGAGAGAGAGTGGGAAAAGAAAGAGCGGAAAAGCGAAAATGGTGTTTGGGAGGTTTGATGACCTGAACTTCCTCCCTCACAATCCAACTAGAGTATTATTATCCAACTCTTTGGAAATAGTCATATATACTATAGCTATCTCGAGTAATTCTTTTGAACCTCCTGGACCCTCGAAAAGAAACAAAATTACAGACAAATCAACGAGCAAAAAGCCGGAAAAAAAGGTGCCAGAAAGGCGGACACTGAAGACAACATTACATTACTGGTCATAACTTACAATACACCTATCTGATCACACAAAATATGAGCGACTGACGGGTAACAGGGGAGCCTGATACCATATCATTACCATCATCTCTACCAGCTGGAATAAACACCCGGCTCTACTCTATACTATGTGTATACAATCACCTCAAGATGGACCGCACTTATCCATCCTAATAATCCGGAGGGGTACAGTTATGGAATATTTATTTAGCAGGAGTTGTACGGAGGATATCATAGAGGTGGCTTCTTGTCACGCTACCCCTCTCCAACTAAACATCCACTGGACGCCCAACCTGCAGCTATATAGATATATATATATAGAGTGACTGACTGAGAGTCTTCCCACCTATCAACTACTTCATTAATTAATTAACCAGGTAGCATGGAGTTGAGTCACACCCCTACTAAATACTCCGATTTCAACCCTCATGTCAGAAATAACCCGGCGAGATTATGAACCAGAAAGACGCAAAGCATATCTGAGGAACCGAAAACTACCCGCGTCCGTAGGAAATGAGTTGGAGAGGGGGAAGAGGGAATAGAACCCATAAAAAAAAAATCATCAAACAAAGCAGTACCAGTCTTCATATGCCATGTAATCACACAAACTTAACCCACCCTGTCTTCCCAGATGCGCCGGCTGCCGACTCAAACCAGAAAGTCATTGCGTACATTAATAAACGCCCCAGCGCCTCCCTCTTCACTGATTTCGTTGACCAATACTTCTGTTTGTTGGTACAGCCGCTCCAGAGCCGCCGATGATGACTTGCCCAGGGACACTGCCGAGGTTAGCCAAAATTAGCTTGAAGGAACAAGGGAAGGAGAGAAGAAAACAAGGAGTTACCTAAAATCGCCGAGTTCAATTCCTCCGCTACCGCAACGCGTCCAGCAGGGTCCAAGTAGTGCCCATGCACCGACCGTTTCGGGTCCGGATAGGCTACTAACGAGAAGATGTCATCCAGCATCTTCTTGTCCCCGCCGTTTTCGTCTGTCGGGTAGTCAATCCGGAGCTGCTGTCCATACTGCACTGCTTCGGTCAACAGCTCATTGGATTTGGCCGACGCCTCTGTTTCCTCCGTGTCCATTCCATCCCCATCCCAACAACCATCTCGATCTTGCATCTGCTCATCAAGTTCCATCTCCTCATCGAATACTGCACTACTGTCGGAAATTCCATTAGTAGCTTTGCCCTTCTTCGCGGATGCCGCCGACAGCTCCGTACAGCGTCGCATCATCTCCAGGAATTTGCGGCATCGTAGCTTAAAGTGAATCTGAGGATATTGTTGCAAAACATTAGCGTAATAGGCGTTGGTATATTTCAGAGCTTTGTCGATATCGCCGTCCAAAATGGCGGCTCGGATCTCTGTGGCTCTGTCAGTAACACGTAACCCCCCAGTCAGGAGCGAGCATCCATACTCTGTCGGTTGATCGCCTCGACATCCTCTTCAACTTCATATTTCTTGAGCTGCGTCTTGCGGCCGTTCTCTAGTGCCCCAGACTCCGCAGCAACCTCTTCAGCAAAAGCTCGCGCGGTTTCGACGTAGCCGTCGTGAGCTAGGAACTGTGCAATTAACTCTTGTAATAAAGCGGTCTCATCTAAAGGCGGTTGGATATTGGCGGTACTAGTCGACCGAATTTCGGAGTGAATGGCATCTTTCTCTTTCTGTTGGAAGAGAATTAGTTATCGCTCAACTTCCCAAGGCAATCCCCCCACCCAACGTACCTTGACCATGCCGTCGATATCAAACATAAACGGCTGTTGTCCGAAATTGGCTGATAGGTGTACTGGCGGCTGTTTCTTCATTCCCACCGAGGGGTAGACCTTCAAATTTCTCAGTTCCCGGAATGCATTGCCTAGCCTGGTGTTAACATCAGGACCGTTGCTCGGAAAGGACGGGCACAACATACCCAGAAAAACGCCATTTTTGGTGAAAAAGGCACACCCAGTTGAAAAGTTCACTCCACATCCAACTGTATCATTGACGCCAAAGGTTGGGCCATACTGTCGCCCTTGTCCTTGACTTTCACCAAAAAAGGATTTACCATCATCCCCATGATACGCCCAAGATTCCTGCTCCCACCCGGGAAGTCGTTCGACAGATGCTTTACTGCTGGAAAATCCTATTCCGATCATTCTGGTTCGGTCAGTACAAGCTGAATCAAAACAAAATCAAATGAACCCGCTAGACAAAAAAAAAAAAAAAAAAAAAAAAAAAAAAAAAAAAACCCACCCCTCCTTAGGTTTAGAGTGAATGGTAATCTCAAAATAGTAGATCCCACACTGTGGTGGCATGGGGTGATCTGCACGGACGGAGGCTGCCTCATGGTCGTGCTTATTGAGGGGTCCGGTATACCGAACCTCCAAACCATTATTCGGAAGTTCTAGGCCAGGGTATTTATCGGAATCATTCCATCGGGATGGAAGCGGCATGGGTTGGTCTTCCTCGGTGGCGGCTGGCTCTCGGTCGATGATATCATACGTCATTCCACGGTATGACGGTGCAATCCGGGGCAGATTCGGTTGGAGAAAAGGATTTAGCGCTCCATCTCTTTGGGAAGCAGGTGTTGCCTTGTGAGCAGCGTCGAGGCGCGATATATACCGGGAGTTGCGGAGGTAGGAGGGTGTGAAGGAAGAGGGTGTGTCGGAGAAGCCACCGGGGCCATGAAGGACAGGATCATAGATCGGGAAACTGGCAAACTTCCGAGAGTAAGGAGGAAGAGAGTCACCGGAGGAGGACCTCCAGGAGGAGTTCATCTGCATGTCTGCATCCACGGCGAGGGAGTGCCTGAGGAGGCGGACGTCGGGGTGAAAGGGCGGGGGAGGATAGGATGAAAAGGAGGTGGGCGGATGTGAGAAGGGAGGATTGCCCTGTGGCGAGAGGGCAGCAGTGCCAGAGAGGACCGAAGCGTAAGAGGAGCGGCGGGGGATGGAGGAGATGCTTGGGGAGGAATAGGTGGTGGTGTTGGTGGTTGTAGTAGTCGTGGGTAGAGGAGCTCCTCGAGCTCCACCGGAAGAGGAAAAAGACGCATCAGTCATGCTGTTTGTTGGCCGATGGATGGACCAAAGAGCCCAAAAGGCGGGTACTGTAGTTAGTCGGATTTGTATGATCCAGGAGGATTATCCTCTCACGCGCCCTCTGTCCTGGAAGTGGCAGTATTCGGTCATTCAATTCTTCACTCCCTTTACCGTTTCTTCTTTTCTTCTTTTCCCTTACCTCGGATGTTCCCAGCTATCCGTAAGTAAGGCGGGGAGGTGGAGTAGGAGGTCACGATCACGATCACGATCACGATCACGAAGAAAGAACCTGAGATCGAATCAGAGACGGTAATAATACTATGTGGTATTATTGTCCGAGGAAAAATAGAAAGAAAGAATGAAAGAAAGCCAAAGATTCGAATCTGGTTCAATTCAAAAAGCAGATGCTGAGGTGAGTGCAAACATCACTGTTGGTGGCACCGAGGAGAGAGTCAGTCAGACACGGCAAGAAGAATCGATCACACACCGAGTAACTGGCCGACAGAGGAGAAATAGGAGAGTTAGTGATGGCACGACCACAAATGACCAGAAATTGCAGGGGAAGTTAAGGACCGGGGCTGGGACAGTGTAGGAGAGGCCAAATTAGATCAATCAACAATACAAGAATACCTCACTGAAATAATTGAAACAAAGGAAGCACCTCGTCAGCGTGAATGAAGACTTTCCCCGGGAAAACTACAGAAATTTATAGTACCTTAGATTAGGGACTCGAATTATACATACAATATAATATATATTTAGCTTCGAAGCTGCTGTTTCAGAAAGCAGGTTCAAACTGTTTTATATGAGGGAACGGAGGACTCAAGATGCAATTCCCTGCTTTTAAAACCTGTCTCTGAATTTAGCGATGCTTTCTGTCAATATCTATAATAGCTTTTAAGAGATATTCTTCTCTGCTTCCGGGCTCCATCCATCACCCTCTAGTGTTACATGGTTTTGTTTTTGTTAAAAAAAAAAAAAAAAAAAAAAAAGGATGAAAAAGGATGAAAACAGAATGATAAAAAAAAATTAGGCAGACTAGATGCCATAACCTTTCAAACAGACCAAAGGCACCAATAGAATCCAGATAGCCCTCTGGTTGGAGAATATATCATAGCAGTAGCTCCCAGGACCAATCCAATATCCGACACAAGACCAAACGCCCAATATAGAAATAACAAACCGCTTGAGCCCACCAAGGAAGCCATAATAACAATAATAATAATAATAAAAGTAATGTTGTCAAATAATGTACAGAGGAAATTCGCAACAAAGCGGTAGAATAATTTAAGCGGCCATGGCGATGGCCGGGGAGGATGGTTCGACTATGCTTGGTGGAAGCGGAGTGAGATCCCCGTCACCAGAGTTGCTCTTTTCGCTGGCAACTACACTGACACTTTGATTGGCCTTGCTGTCGCTGTCGCCCGTTTCGAGTGCACCCTCTTTCACACCCTCATTCTCTTCATGCTTCTGAGGCCGAGGAGTGCGCCAGGTAGGCAGCTGCCATTGGGCGCCAGTGAAACTCTTGAGTTGTAAGGGTTTGCGCTCCCATTTGCGGCACGGAGCACCGCTACGGTCGAGAGCTCGGAGACCTGCATTAATGGCCCCGGTGTTGGCCTTGGGTCCTAGTCTGTGGGCTCCGCTCAGCCTGACGTTTTCGGTTATTCCATCCTCACTATTGTAGACGAAGGTGTTAGTTAAATTCGAGCTAAAAAGAACGGGGATGCTGGGTTCTGAGCGTACAGTCTAGGCTTCTTCTTGGGCCCGGGTTTGGCTCTGGGCTTTAATAAACTATCAGCTTGAGTGAGGCCCCTCTTGCTACCAGGCTTGGGACCCGGGACCCCCTTCCGACGAGGAGTATCGGCCGCTGAGGCGCCAGGAGCAGGTGTGGAGGCGGCATCGGAGGCATTGTCAACCGAGGATGGAGGCAGAGGTGGATCCGCAGCCGACGAAGCTGGGGAGGAGGGAACTTCCTCCTTCTTGGTGGGGGAGTCGACACTGATTTCACTGGTCTTGTTGGTGGTTGCGGCCGCAGGAGTCGCGGGGGCACTGGTCCCCTTCTTTTTCTTGTCCTTGCTCTCTTTGCTCTCCGGGGTAGGAGGAGGCAGGGGAGCGAATTGACCAAGGAGATCGGACGACAGCTTCAGGACGACCAGCAGCTTGGAAGTCCCGGAGCGGTTGGAGCGACCGTTGGAGGTAACAGCCGGCATGGTGTGGTCTCAATCGGGAGCAGGATAGCTCGGAGATATAGATTTGGGATGATTCTGTATTTGCTTTTCCCCCCCCTGAAGACGATCCTGCCGGTCGCACGAGTCGAGAGGGTTCAGTTAAGGGGCGGCGAAGTGGCAGTGATCTGATTTAGATGGTCAAGAAAGGTAAGATGAGCTAGTGGGTGCCGTGGAGGGAGATGAGATGAGACTGCACGGGGGGTAGGAGACGGTCAGAGGTCAAAAGGCGATGATGGAGATCTGGTCAAGGCGAGGCCAAAGTTCGGGAAAGACTGGTGCAGGCAAAAGTTGAGGCAGAAGTGACATAGTCTGGTGGTGAGGTGAGGATGGAGATGGAGCTGAGGGGGGGGGGGGGGGAAGAGGGAGAAGAAAAGGAGGAAGAAGGGATGGGGATGTCGAGGGCGCCGTGTGGTTTCATTGTTGTGTGTTTCCTCAGTTTCTCTCGTCTAGACTTTTGGCTGCGGTCAATCAGTCTAAGTCAGGGAGAGAAGCCGGAGAAAGAGGGCGAGAGAAGGAATTTCACGTCTGCCCAGTTCCCGGAAAGGTATCGTTACGTGTGGACTCGCGTTTGGTACGTGTATTTACCTGGTTTCTGAACCTTTTTCTGTGTATTGTACTATGAACCAGCGGAGATGACAGTACCAAACCAGTTTGGTTCCTCACTGCTACTTTCCTGGTACCTCACTCCGAACTATACAAAAGAATCTCTTGTCTATACCTCAGTACTACTCCGACTAGGTACAAAGTATAGTAGTGTATATAGTATCGAGTTCTTCAGGAAGAATACTGAACTGAATTCTGAACCTACTCTGTAATGCTATCTATCGAGTTATGGATCACCAATCCCGTCTCATCCCGTTAACTTCAGCCTTTCCACCACTTCCGTCCTCGGATTTAATTCGCTTTGTGAATGAGTTGGCTTTGGGCCAAAACCTCACACTCCTTTGGTCTCATCTTGATTCCCGACTAATGACTGGATGGTCCCATCCAGGAAATCCAACTCGAGTCAGATTCTCAAGAAATTTCTTCCGACCGGCTGCTACTACTTTGATCGACCCATCTGAACAATGCTCGCTCCTTTATTTACACCTAGACAGATAGCTACCTTATTTACAGCTTATTCTACCTTTTTCTCCTGTCTTTTCCGCTCCATCACCTCATTTACAGCCTGCTGCACCCCAGGACTGGCCCTGACACTGCTTAAAACTAACCCTTCCTTCATCCCCTTCCGCAGGGTCGCGACACTCTCCCGATCTCCCTGGAACGGCGCAAATCCCAGACGTAGAAGCCGGGTGGCTTCCCCGTCCGTGGTCCGACTGAGCTGCATTATCTGCCCTAGTTTCTGGAGGGTCTGCGGATGGAGACGCTCGCCCGGCGCAGAGCCCTTGCACACATCCGGTGGGGTGACCTGCGAGATGAATATGTGTAAAGTCACCGAAGCCCGCTGCGCTAGTGCCATGACTTGGAAGGGAAGAAGATAGAAACCCGGGGCGTTGGGGGAGATCCCAACCAACTCCCGCAACCCAGGAGGAATATAAAAGCTAGGAATAAACACGGCGCCCGGGTGGGTGGTTAGAGCTAGTTCTAATGTAAAAAGCGCAGCAAAAGTGAAGAAGCGCCACTATCCGCTGATTAGCAAAAGAATACCGTCAAGACCAGAATATATATATATATATATATATTAAACTCATATAACTCACATAACGACCCCATTCAGACCACCAGACAAAGTTCAGAACCAAAATTGTCAAGAACCCTCCCACATATCCTGGGATTGACTTCTGGAGTCCGGCCACCAGAAAGGCATGCGCTGTCTTCTTCTCGCCCCAGTTAAGCATGCTGGGTCCGAACCTGTCGTATGCGAAGCGCTTGGCTGGATCGACCAGCGTCTCCTGCGCCATTTTCAAGAACACAAAGTAGTCGTCTGAGACCCCATCGCCGCTCCCGACTTTGTCTGGGTGATGCTGCGCGGCAAGACGTCGGAATCGGGACTTGATGAACCTTTCATCCGCTAGGGGAGACACCCCCAGCACCTGGTAAAAGTCACCCTGAGCTTGCACCCGATGGAAGGCCTCGAAGAGAGTGTATAGCAGGTATGCGGTCACGACAGCGATGAAGATGCGACGGCGATGTCGGGCGTATCGCGGGGAGCCTGGTTGAGGCTTGGGATCACCGGCACGAATGGTGATCCCATAGTAGACATTCTGAAGAAAAGAAGTTGCATACTACCCATTTCATTTCATGTGGTCAGCGACTGGCGATAGTTATACCACAAAGGACAGCTGGGGAAACAGTGCGGATATACTCATTACTCACGTTGGGGAGGACTGCCCAGCCAACAAAGGACAGGAGGGACGACATGAAGATATTATTATTATACCTTTAGACACCATCCAAATCAGAATTAAATTATTCCTGCTATTGAGCGTCCTGATAGTCATTCATTGCAGATGAATAAATCGCTTACTGGCGCTTTGAGCCGTTGTTCTGATCCTGACCGCCTTTCCCACCGCCTTTCGATCTTCTTCTCCGCCAAAAGATTAAAAAAAAAAAAAAAAAAAAAAAAAAAAAGAGGCTTCATAAAAAGTTCGCCGACTCGACCTCAGCCAGTTCGCCATTCTCCCCTTCCGTTTTCAGAGACAATGGCTGTCGATGCGATGGAAATCGACTCCAATCCCGTGTCTACGGGCCTAGTGGAGTCCGAAAAGGAACGCAAGCGCAAACACAAGCACAAGGACGAATCTTCGGCCTCTCCCTCGAAAAAGAAGCGCAAGCACGAAACGGCCGATGGTAGCGACAAGAAGAGCAAAAAGAAGGACAAGTCTTCCAAGAGCCAATCCAATACCGCACCGCAAGCAGCAACAGCGGTGTCTTCCGGCTCTTCTAGCCCTTCCAGCGACTCCCCATACTCTCTGACCACCGCAACGCTCTACCTGCCTCTTTCGCCCATCTCCATTTCCCCCACGCATGCTCTGGCCTCGCTGCTGGCGGAACATCTCTCGCCCCTCCTGCTTACCTACTACCCTCCCCTCCAGGGAATTGTCCTGGCCTACTCGAATGCGTCAATCTCCAGCTCCCCACCAACGGTGTCATCCGTATCCGGCCCCGCAGACCCTAACCCACAACCGCTGACTCTCGCAACCACGGCGGGCGAATACGGCGTCATGTATGTCTACCTCACAGCGACCTTCCTGGTATTCCGCCCCCAGCGCGGGCAGATCCTCGAGGGATGGGTCAACGTGCAATCCGAGGGCTTCTTGGGCGCTGTCGTCCTGAACCTCTTCTCCGTAGGCATCGAACGCAAGCGCCTCCCTTCCGACTGGAAATGGGTTCCGCCAGGCGAAGAGGAAGACGAAGCAGCAGCAAGCGGCCGCAACAGTAATAACGCTTCTTCCTCCGCAGCTGCAACAACAACTACAACAACTACAACTACAACTACAACAACAACAACATCCGATGACGACAGCGATGAGAACCCTTCTCCTGCTTTCGACCCGGCCAAGGAACACTTTAACCCCGTGACGCTGGCTTCCGACGCGAATCCCTTTTCAGATACCCTGGCCGCAGACGTGGGCGCCGATGGCGAAGCGGCCAGCGACGACGCCGTGGAAGGCTACTTCCAGTCTGTCTCTGGGCACCGGGTGCGCGGCACGGTCAAATTCCGCGTCGTCGATATCGACGTCATCCCCGGCACTGAGCGTGACCGTGGGTTCCTGAGCATCGAGGGAACTATGCTCTCACCGGAAGACGAGGCCAAGGTCGTCGACGGCGAGCGCAACGGAGTCCTGGTGCCGTCTAGTGTTGTGCGGAAGCCGGCGCAAACCGCCATGTCGGGGGCCATTGCATTGGAGAGCGAGATGATGGAGACACCGAGTAAGAAGCCAAAGTCGAAGCCTTCTAGATTGCAGTAACTTTCTTTCTCTCTTTCCATATTATATTGTACCTGTTCTGTTCTGTTTTTTTTTTTTTTTTTTGATCGATTTCTTGTCGAGAACACGTGAATAGACGGACAAAATGTTTTCTCTTTTCATGTTTCATGTTCACATACTTTGTTGTTGTTATTATCATGCCCGGCGTTAGGAGAGTTAAAATGTTTTCGTTACCACTGCTGATTCTCTAACTTTGAGTACATAAGAGTTGTGAATGAACCTCGAGTGCAGTTTAATTAAGCTAATGTATTCCCTCCAGTAAGCGCCTACTATACTAACTATAGGTAAGGTACGGACCTAGGTCCACCCCGACATGACATGCCACACGGGCATGCCTAAATAGAAACACAGCAAAGAGACGAGAACGAGACGAGGACAAGAACGAGAACACCAAGAGGGCCCGGGGAGAGAGGTGGGAGGGGGGGAGCAGAAAATATTAAAAGCCTTCCAGCTTCAGAAAACCCCAACGCTCAAAACATCACATCCACTCTGGATCTGCGTCTTGGTCAACATATTGTGTTTCCGCATCAGCTCTGCACTCTTCACCATCACGGGATCCATGCCCATCGTTGCAACAGCCACCACCGTCTCGCCCCGACAGTAATACGCCACGAACTTGGCGTTGTCCGGCTCTCCCTGGAGAAGCACATCGTCCCATCCGTTCGCGGTGCTGCCGCAATACCGGAGCTGCGCACCGAGCGCAGACCAGAACACGGGGATGAAGGTCTTGGGTTTGAGTGTTTGCAAAGAGGAGGAGGAGGAGGAGCGGTTGAGAGTATGCACGATGGCGCGGGAAACCGCCCGGCCAGCGTTCTGGGCAACGTTCCAGTGTTCGATGCGGACGAGGGAGCCCGTGTGCGGGGCCGCGCCGGGCCCGTGGTAGGGATAAGTCGCGATGTCGCCGACGGCGAAGACGTCGTCGTGCAAGCCTGGGACGGCGAAGTGCTCGTTGGTTCTGATGGAGCCGTCGAGTTCAAGCGAGACCGCGGGGTTCCCGTGGAGGTAGTCTGTTGCGGGGCGGACGCCGACGCCCAGAATGACCAGGTCGGCTGGGAGGAGGGTGCCGTCGCGCAGGTGCACGGCGCCGACTTTGCGGGGGTCGTCGGGGGAGGGCGTTGCCCTTGCGACGGCCGGGGCGGCGAGCCGGAAGGTCACGCCGGCGGCGGTTTCGAGATTGCGTTGGAAGATGCGGCCGACGTCGAGGCCCATGACGCGTTGCAGCGGCGCTTGCTCCTGGCCGACGATGGTGACGTGGTTGTCTTTGGCGAGGGCGTTGCCGACTTCCATGCCGATGAAGGAGGAGCCGATGACGACGATCCTCTTCTGTTTGTTTGTGCCGATGGCGGCGAGGATGTCCTGGACGTCGGCGACGGTGCGGAGGGTGAAGATGTTCTCGAGGACTTGGAAGCCCTCGAGCGGGAGCGTGCGCGGGACGCCGCCCGTCGCGAGGACGAGCTTGGTGTAGGGGTAGGACTTTCCGGAGCGCGTGGCGACGGTCTTCTGGGCGAAGTCGACGGAGGTGACTTCGTCCGTGACGGTCTCGATGCCTGCATCGCGGTACCAGTGCGCGGGGCGGAGGAGGAGCTTCTCGGCGTCAGGGATCAGGGCCTTGGAGAGCTTCGGGCGATCGATGATTAGATTTGGTTCGCGCGTGATGAGCGTAATGGGGCCCTGGTATTTCAGGTCTCGAATGGAGAGGAGAACACCCAGGGCGCCGGAGCCGCCGCCTACGATGACGAGGCCGCCGCCGCCGTCAGCGCTGCACTGGATGTCGGTGGGCCGTTGGCCGGCTTTGATGGCTGCCTCTTCGCCAATAATATACACGGCTCCGTCTCTCTCGACAAGCTCGAATGTATTCAGGGCTGCGGGGGCCGGGGCATCTTCCACGTCTCCAGTCGTGATATTGAAGCAAGCTAGAAGAAGCCACATGAATCAGCACCCCAGCCCTCCTCCTCGACTACACAGCCACAATTCAACATGAACACGATGCATGCGTACCTCCATGCCACGGACAAGTGATCCTGCCCTCGGGAGAAACAACACCCAGTTTCAATGGAGCACCATAATGAGTACATCTCGGGCTGATGGCGTGTACTTTGCCGTCCGACTTCACAAGCAGCACCTTGCCGTCCTGTACACCCTCTACCTCGCACTCGACCTTCTCCAGGCCTTTGATGCCCCCAAGGGAGGTAATATCTTTGAGTTTGTATTCCTGAGCCATGGTAGCAGGAGGAAAAAGACGACGACGAGAAGGGGGAAAGTGACAGTGAAGGTGAGAGAGATAGGGGTGGGATGCTGCCCCGCTCTCAATAGAAACAAGCCCACGGAATGATTCTAGTACTTCTACCCGAGGCACAGACAGGACGGGAGAGGGGCAGTAGTTTGTTTCATCAGTTGTGGCTTATATGATATGATGTCTGCAGTTACGATGACGTTGTGGTGTTGTCTATTTCGGCCAATTGGCGTTGATGTTTTGTCACACTATCAAGTACTAACTAGTTAACTAACTAGTTCACTATTATTTCTAAAGGTCATGTATGTACATTGGAAAAGAAAAGAGGGAGAATATAAACAAATACAAATAAAACAGACTATGATTTGCGTCTTCGTGACTTCCGTAGAGGGGATACTGTTGCTTGTGTCCCCTGCCGCTTGTGCATCCCCGTCTGAGAAGACGACTGCCTGGTTTTGCGCCGTGTGCTAGGAATATTCTTCGTGGCTGATCCCCGCGCAAGTCGATGGGATTTTGCATAGTCTTCGTCACTCCCACTAGGGGAAACTAAAGGACTGGATTGGGTCAGGTCGACGATAAAGTCTGACATCTGGGGTGCACTGGGCCCCTGAGGTTCCAGAACTTCACCTTTTGTTTCCTGCCGAATGCTACCCTGAACCATATTGGCCAGTGAGGTATCTTGTGCCGAGGAGGGAGACTCCCGATCCGCCTTCGTTGACTTGTGCGGCCGTGAAGAGGACGATGGCTGCCTCAGGCCACTGTGTGAAGAACCTTGTGCCTCACGTTGACGCTCCTCATGAGCTTTATCGATCTTGTAAAAAGGGTTGGGAACGATCGATTCTTGTGAAGATGGGCGGGCAGGACTGCTCTCTCTTTGATTTACGGAAGAAATGCTTGTTGTTTCATTTACCGGAGGGGATGGATGTCGGCCAATAAATTCATTCAGTAAGCGGTGTAAGGATACAATACTGCTGGGACTGCTGGGCGCCTGCAACTGGTCCGTCAAACCTGATCCCGAGTTATCATTAGGTTTGACGGCATTGGGAGGGCATGTAGAAAGTGAGCGCTCTTTCTCCTCCTTCGGAGACGAATTTTCTGGCATCTCTGCCTTTGGACTTGTGATTGAAGTAGAGGTAGCATTTGAGGAAGGGTTGGACCCGTTGGGGACAAAGTCAAACCCTTCAAATTGTGGCGATCTAATAGGACTGGCATCTTTGTCAAGCACATTCGAGGCGCACTCAGGACAGCTAGGGCGTTGAATTGGGCCCCCTAGCAGTTGCTGGTCCTCGCGCCCACCACCGACGGCTGTAGGGTCGATTGGTTCTTCGACTGCGGGAGAGCTTGGTCGGGTGAGCGCTTGGAGCCAGACATCTCGAGGAACGCAAAAGAAAAATTAATTTACTGACTTGGTGGCGTTCATCTCCCCTCCGTTATCTGCCTGTGCAGCGCGGAGAAGCTTCGGGTCAATGAGATCGTCAAACGGCACTTCCCGAAATCCGTCATCTTCCCCCTGGTCATCGAAGCCCGGCATCTCAAATCCGCTGTATTGAAACGGGCCCTCCTCTTCGTCCGTATCCTTAGGTTGCCGTCGGTATGGTTCAGCGAGCTGGATACTCAAAATGTTATCATTAAAGACCTCACTGATCACAGCCACTCGATATTCAGATACCACCGGTTGCCAATTCGTGGCTTTCGACACATCTAATTGCTTGAATGCAAATACCAAGCCTGGCTTTGCCTCACTTCCAGTGAGGTTCGGGAGAGCACTTGGGTCGCTGGGTAAAGGAGGGAGAGCATCCTCGGATTCTTTGCCATTGGTTTGGGCCGCCGCAGGCTCCTCGACATCATCGTAATTAAGCTGCATGCTATCCTCGAGGTAGCTTTCACCCTCATTATATTCCTCCTCATATACCTGAAGCTGTTGCCTTCTCTTTCTTTTCCTGTTCCGACCATTTCGCTGCCTTATGATGTTTCCGGCTTCCGCATCCCAATGCTGTTCGAATGGGAAAGGCGGAGTGCTGAGTTCGATGTCATCATAAAGACACTCAGTAGCTCCCAGGGTTAATTTGTCACGCCAGTCCACTTCGAGCTCGCCCTCGACGTGCTCTACGGTATCTTCCGGCGCGGCTTGCGGAGGGACGAATTTCTGAGCCTTTCCAGCCAATTTTTTTCGAGTGGCTTCCTCCTCCTCTTTCGAACATGGAGTCCTCACACCCAGGGAGCCAAAAAGTAACCGTCGGGTGCTGGCAACATCCAGTGTACGTCGGTGTTCGACCTGAGGGCTGATCTCAGTGGCGTCATTGGCAGTCTCATAAACCTCATCCTCAGGTTGTCCTAGGGTGTTTTCAAAGTCAACTTCTGGAGTAAGGTTCTCTTGTTCAGAGATAGCAGAGATATCAATGCCTCCTGATTCAAGCTCACGGAGTAGCTTCTGCCGTTTCGCTTCAAATTCTTCCTGCTCTTGCTTCTTAATTGCAGCCCTTGTCTCCGGGATATAGAAAGAGTTACCGTGCTCTTCCTCCCACTTTCGGAGAGAAGCAAAGTCGGCTTGCTTGCCTAGAATTCCGAGTTCTTTGAGTTTTGCAAGCCGTCTTCGAAGCTTAGTCCGCTGATTACTTTTCTTTGTTCTGAGAGAACCCTCCCCTGGCGGATTAACCTTGGTGGCTAGCTTTTGAACAGCGCTAGTGGCGTTAAAGTCTTCGAACTCGTCCTCCGACTCTGATGAAGAGCTATCTGATGTTGACTCCTCCTCCGACTCAGAACTTGATTCCGAGTCAGATTCAGAGGAGACCGAGTCAGACTCAGCGTCAGACTCATCCGATGACGAGTCATATTGCGAATCCGACTCACTGGAGTCGCTTACGGACGAACTGCTGTTACTTGGACTGGAAATAGAATGCGCAGATTTCTTTGAAGTCGACTCACACACAACAGTCGAAGCTTCAGCTTTTGTAGCGGATGGCTCATGCTGCTTCTCTTGATCGAATCTAACGACCTTTGAATCCCTTCGCGATAAAGCGCCGTCAGATAGTCTTGTCGCAAAGTGGCGAGCAATGGAGCTCTTTCTCGGCACGGTCTCTTCAACATGGGCCTTCTCTAACTCGGGTACGACCGGAATATCCATGTCTTTCTTGAGGTCTTGGAGCTCCTGCGTAAGATCCTCGACTTCAAGATCCGATCCTTCATCGGTCTCCGAAGCTTGGTCGATAGTGTGACGAATGACAGTTCCATCGCCGTCGTCCTGTTCATGATAATCCTCGTAGTCATCCTGGTATGCATTCTCATACGCGTCCCCAAGTTCAGCCTCGGGCTTGAGAATGGAAAGCTCTTTTTGGGAGCCGATATGAGTAGGAGCCCACTCGGTGTCCTCTTCCTCGTAATTACTCCTGTTACCCCAAAGTGCAAGTGTCGCACGTCTCTTCTTTCTTGGTGGAATCGCAATAGCTGGGCGTGATGCGGTCGGCCTCTTCAAGAACGGCTTCCCAAATGGAACCCCATCGATTAGGTGCTTGCCGTCAGTCGAGATTTGGTGACGACCAGAGAGTCGTCTCGCTCGGAGGTCGGAGATTTGCAGAGCTCGAATTCTTTGTAAACTCGGGGTCAGTAACGTCAAAGACGGCAACGACGGTTGGAGTATGCTCACAGAACCTCATCCCCATCTCGGAGCAAACCTTGTACTTCCATAAAATGCAAGCACTCCGAGCCGCCCACCTCGACCACATAATCCTCCAAACCCCACTGTCCACTCGATTCATGATCAAACAAGCGAGGTTCCGTCTCCAGCGGGATAACTTCGTTCACATCCTCCAGCAGCTGCGCAACCGTGTAGCCTTCATTCGAATACAGTGCATTCGGAACACGCGATGAAGTAATAGCGGATGAAGCCGCAGGTATCAGCGATGAGGGGCTCGGAAGATTGTGTCCGAATAGAGACGGCGGTGACGTAGTCCAAAGAATGCGCGTCACGGGCAGACCGTGACGCTGGATGGTGAGATGGAGACGCATTGTCCGAGCCTCGGCCCAGTTCTCTCCCCGTTATTGGAGGCAGAATCCGAACACACACTATACGATCGACAAAAAAAGCTCAAAGCGTATATGCGAGGCGGGAGAGGAGACGCTTAATAGAGAACTCGAGATTTTCCGTTGGGAGCGTAGGAAACGGGTGCAGCACAGAGGATTTGCGAAAATACGAGAGAAAAAGCAGAAGAAACGCCAAACCCGAAAGACGAAACGAACCCGCTAAAGAAATTGCTATGAATTGAAAGAAGCAGCCATGGCTGAGGTGGGAAGAAAAAGCAGCAGCCGGGGAAAAAAGCAGAAGAAGAAGAAGAAGAAGAAGAAGAAGAAGAAGAACGAGTCTCTTCGTCTCACCGCTCGGGGTTGTTTTGATCTGCGCCTGAGGCACCCCACCCAACGCCCTCCCACTGGACTCTTCGTATCTTAGTTTGGGATTTCTTCACTTTTCTTTTTCTATTCTACACGGTTCATTCATGGTGAGATTTGGGGGTTACCCTGTTCGGGAGGAGGGAGCTTATTGTGGGGATGCTGGCTACTCGAATGCTGGCTACTCGAATGCTGGCTACTCGAAGGCTGGCTACCGATGTACTCTACAAACGGTTTTCAGAAAAACAACTCCCAGCTGGGTTTCCTGACAACTTGAGAAGGCCCCAGGGTGTTTATCCAGCATTGGAACTGTTCATGCTGGCCTGAAGGTGCAGCCCTCTCTTCTCTCAACGGATCATATCGATCCACAAGAAACACAACATCATTCTCAACCAGGTATTTCGATGACAAGATATCTCTCTGCTCTCTTCTCAATAATACCTGGGTTATGGGAATGGGACGAAACATCAAAGGCTCCAGTTCAGGCCAGAGGAGCCCTCTTTTGATGCCCCTGTAAAGAGTGTCCAGCCGAACAAAGTCGCCGTCATTCTCGGGAGTCAGCTTGACTTGGGAAAATACCAGCGCGTTACCATTGGGGAAATGCGGGTTGTTTGTTTCAACAAACCCGAGCCGAACCGTCGGTGGTTGATGCAGTAGCATGCGTTTCCAGCTTGCTTGCTTTCGCAAATACATTCTCTCCGTTTTTGCGTGCATCCGCGAGAAATCCCTCATCAGCTCGCCGTAATAACGGGTGGGCTGCCTTCTAAAGAGGCCATCCCAGAGAAATTCCTTGATAAGTGGGTTGGTTTTCCGCCGTTGGCTTTCCCAGGCGCCTTTTGCCTGCGCTGGTCGGAAGAATAGCATCATCTGGAGGGCGCTGGAGTCCTGGATGAGAGCGTGCCAGCGACGGGAGACTCGCTGCGCCGACGTCAGCAAGGTGCGCATGTCAGTTTCGAGGAGGATGGCTTCGAGAAGCTCTGTGATATCGAAGACTTTTTGAGATGCTGTTCTCCACTCGTCTTTGAACCTTTCGTAGTGTATAAGAAGTTTTTCGACGGCGAGGATGCACAGCAGAGATCGGAACATCCTGAAGAATACTGAAAGATTCCTCTCCGAAAGCAATAAGATGAAGAAAAAGACCTCTAGGGCGAAGGAAGGGAGGAGCCAACAGATGTCCATATTGGAGTTTTCTCAGCTTGAAAGGAGTCTATAGTTTGAACTGTGTAAGAGGAAGTAGTAAAGAAGAAAGAAAAATTATACCTCGGAGTAATTGTCACCCAGTCATCATTATTTGATCACCATTCGGGATAGTTCTCAACTAAATTTAACCTTCTCAAGATATTGTATCTCCAGGTACACTATAGGATTTGATTCCGGACCTTAATCCCTGGGTTCGATTCTTACACTCTTGAGCAATTCTCTCAAATTATGAAGTAATTAATATAGCTTTGATCCCTTCCCAAAGGAAATATTTCAATCGATGTAGCTTGTGACGGAGAAGCCTGATATCGCAAGGCATCGACAGCCAAATTCTGGATATCAATAGCCCTACCGACTTACTCTGATTAGGTGTAGAGTAGGAAGAAATATTACAACTATTTCCCACCCGACTCGAATATGAACTGGTATCAACCAATGCTCTAAACCCCGAAACTCCCGATATATGCATTCTACGAGAATGTCCCATAGATTCCTCCCTACTATCTTGGCTAGAAGGAACCCCCCCCCCCCAAAAAAAAGAAAAAAGAATGAAAAAAAGAATCGCCATCATGTCATGTCATGTCTTCGGTGGCATATTAGGTGGTCCGGTTCGGACTAGGAACTGGTTTCCTACTTGGGACTCCGAGATTCATAGGCCGGAATTCTGGTCGGGGTGGCTGTTGCGTTTCCTGTTCTTGGGAAGTGGGTCGGTGATCCTCTGCGACTAGTTCGTACTGCGGGGGGCTTTCCTCGTCCAGGAGCGGAGCCTTGTGGATTTTGAGAACACTCTGCTGTCGGGCGACTGGGGATGTCGGGGGTGATCCGCATCGGGATTCAGGAGGGGTCGAGGGAAGCATGTCAAATGATTCGGAAGACGAGTTGGCCTCACAGTTGCCGTATATCGTCGACAACTTAGCAGGGTCGTTGTCAACTGATGACTTCGGATCAGCTCCAGGTTCAACCGTAGTTCTGGTGGTGGAGGAGGAAGAGGAGGAGGAGGAGGAGGAGAAGGAGGCATCTGGTGGGTTATACTCGCGACGAGGGCCATCCACAGGACTCAGACTTTCAGCCATGGCGTCTTCGTAACTTGGAGGGGCGTCATCATAACCTTCATCGGATCCATCAGCTGGGGGAGCCGCCGGTCTGGGAGGCATAGGGGGCCGTTCAGAAGCATTATCCTGGGGCCGGTTGGGTGCAGGTGCAGGGAATGTTGGTGCGCGCTGTGTGTTGGTGGCCATTGCGTCTAGTAGGGCTTGAGGTGGAGTGATTCCAGAATAGACCTTGGCGGGTACCCGTAACGGGATGACGATGAGCTGAGGCTGTTTTAAATGATTAGCTCGATTTTGGGACCAGTGTATATGTACAGAATATGAGTGACGTACCTTTAGCTTTCCAACCGTGCCATGCGCCAAACCGACGCGTATTTCGAGTTCGTAGGTTCGAGAAATATTGCAAGTCTGGAAGGACGGGGCAACAGAGCTGGGCAAAGGTATGCGATTCCACATTTTCTCATCGAGTGTCCATTCACTGCCTGCGGGATCGCCGCCTCTGCCAAGCGGAATGCCCATATTGCTCCGACTAAATAGGACCCATGTGCCACTTTCTGTTCGTTGCAGATCTTGAGCCAAGATGTGGGTGTAAGAGATGAGTTCGATTTGGAGCATCTGTAAGAAAACCGTCTCGTACGATTCAGACAATTTACTGACAAGAACGCGCATTGGGATGGGTTCATTGCACGTGAGAATGGTCGGGTTCGGAAGTCTGAGGTCGGCAGCGACGCGAAGGGATTTTTCCCCCGCATCGCGAAGAGACGGAGTTGATCTTTTCTGGAATAGCGATTTTGGAGATGGAGCTAGGCCGCTCGAGAATCGATGTTGGCGTCTTGCATAGGTCTCTTCGTTGGGATTTCCTGTCCGTGGTGGTTCAATGGGGAGGAAGGTTAGGTTGTTAATCTGAAACCGGCGAATTAGTCATTTGAACTGGACACTCTTCAACATCACCCATGTTCTTACCGCTCTGAGGTTTTCCTTGTAGAATTGTGGACGGATGACAGTGGCTTTCACATAGTATTTGATCTCCGCTTCACCAGGAAAGCCGCTTAAAGATGGAGGAAGCGTCTTCTTCACATGGCGGGTGGTTTGTTTCGCCATCTCCACCTTGAGCCCACTGATATTTAAATTGGTGAGCATACTGTTATGTAGACTGCATGCATTATTGAAGGGAAACTAGATAGAATTAATTGAACAATCGCAGAAGATGATCGCGACGGGTTAGATTTACCTTGAATTGGAAGGGATACTCATATCGTCCCGGGGCAAAAGTCCAGGAAGATGCCGGAGACGTCTGACTCCTCAGCATTGCAGGATCAGGAAAGAGGTCCGTCACTTTATACAAAAGCTGCCTTGCATCAATACAGAATAATCCTTGCTCGGTAAGAAGAGGCAGGAAGCCGTACCTTGTGGACCTCGAGCTCCGTGCGTTTCTTGTCGGACTGTTCATTGTGCGGATACCGCGCCCCAGCCAGTCGCGTGCGACTTTCTCCTTCTAGTTTGACCTGTATCCCTGCTACCGACGTTTCTGTGTGTAGATTGACGACTACCTTGCCAGTGATAAAGTCGAGGTTGGTGAAATGGGTGTGGGGACGATCCAGATAGATGGTCACAGACATGGCGAGCTCTCCCGATTACACGGGAAAAAGGTGACGACCAAAACGGTGTCGGTTGCGAAACACAATGAATTGCGACTTCAAAAGCGCTGACGAAGACTCCCCGATACTCGACTACAGACAATGTGGAAGAATTAAGATGGAGCCAGCAAGAAGAGAAGAGAAGAGAAGAGAGAGAGAGAAAAGGAGGGGAAATTGGCATGGACTACGGAGAGGGTGAAGATAGTAAGAATAAAACAATCGTAGTAGAAGAGAAAATGACGTTGTGAGCTAAGGTGAGCGTGGGGCAGCAGAACTGCAAGATCTCGGTGGACTCGGGAGGCAATGGATGAGGGATGGAATGATCCCACACGGGATGAACTGGAATAAAAGACGACCCAAAGATTGGTTTTATTTTCCGAGAGTATAGACGTGACTTATACTCAATGAGTTTTGTTCTGTTCCAATTCAACCTATTTAGGGGAATTCTGGTTGCCTTCTACTGCTTCTAAATCTACCAAAAGCTAAGCCACTCCGGTCATTCCTTGGTGTCAGAGCTGCACCGCCACTTGTCCTGGTCACTCAAATCACAATCGAGACTCTCTCTGGCTTTGCAATAAAAAAGAGAGTGGGTAGTTCGTTGGTTAACTCGGTTCCGATAGGCGCTGTCAACTGCCTAATATGTACATGGCCCAAATCGCGCCCCTGTGGACTTTCTAGGCATCAAGATTCTAAACTTAAAGCCCTTCCCTGGCAAGCATGTCTGGGAGTTCATTAGTCGAGTTCGTCAAAACTGTCAAGTCCCTAGATCGCTCAGCGCGTACCTGCAATATCTAAATAGAATGCAACCGCATTGAACCTACAGGGGGGTTGTCTCATGTTAGCCAAGGGAGAGCTCACAACAATGCTGTGACTTGCCCAACTATCTAAAACTCACTTTGGTCGGTTCCCAGTGATCTCACCAACAAGCCACTTCAGGCGGTTGCTCCAATTGATGAGGTCCAAGTGGCTCACACCCATGAGTGTACCCTTGTAGCCATCCGCTCCTCCCCACTTGCTGCTGGCTACACTGACAAGCCCGTCGTTATGCCCTTCGATTTGTTCGAGGAGACGGTGGGACAGGCGGAAGACAGACCAAAAGCTTGGCTGCATTGCCGCCCCATAGGAAAAGTACCTGGATTCAACTCAGTTTTACGTACCGGTCTCGAGAGGAACACTTACCGGACATCATCAATGTCTGGCGTGCTTGGGTTGAACGTCTGTTCCATGTATTTGCGTGTCAGCTGGGAAAAGGCCCCAGTTTCGACCTTGAGCCGGTCAAGAGCGTAGTATATTTGCGCCAGGCGATCGTCTGGGATTACGGGTCCTTCAGATATTAAACTTAAGTGTGAGAGAATGTTAGAATCTTACCACCGATCTGTTCAATGACATAGTCTGCCACCGCGGACCCTGCGAAGTGACTTAGCAACAATTCCCAAAGTAAATCCAGGAACGAACCTCGGTGTGGAGTCGCTATGGTGGTCAAAGAGGACACTGTGAAATCCTTCGGCTTCAAATGCATGATCATATACCGGGCGTCAAGACCACTTAAGCATCCATTAATCCAATAGCAAAGTGAGACCTAGTATGACGAAATCTTACCCCTGTCGGGCATCGTGAGTATCTGCACCCTTATCACCAGATACAGTCAATGGGTGCCTACCATGCTATGTCTGCACCATATCATTAGGAAGGAGAGCTCATTAAGAAAAACGACATATAAACGTACGCAATTATATTTACATTCTTTCCGCGCGCGCCGAGCGCAATATCATTTGCTAGCTGTGCCGCACGCATCTCAATCGAAGCTGAAGGTGGCACGGTTGCTGTGATAACTTTGATTCCTTTCATCGACAGTGCATCTTTGATCCCTCGCCAGTACTGAACCCCAGGGAGAAAGGGCCCAGCAAGACGTAGCTCATCGAATCCTAGTAGTCCATGCGCGAGAACTATAGGGTACTTGGGGCAATCTTTTTATCATCTGAATTAACATGGTTCGGGAATCTTGTTGTTTCAATTGATTGAAGCAGAGAAGCAGACTGACCATAGTGATCTCTTATTACTGCGTATTCGTCCTTGATGACTTTGCCTAGGCCATCTAGACGAGGATCAGTCGACGCGTGTGAATTGCGCTTATGCGACGAGTGGAAACCTCGCGGCGAACCGCAGAATCGAGAGGCTTTAGACGCAGGATAGCGATAGCATGCAGACTTGAAATTTTTTGTCATGCGTATGCAGATGAGATCGAGTCCCATAGTTTACGGTTTGTGTTTGCGAAGGAAGAGTTCCTGGATGCGAAATGTCCATGCTCCGGCAGCCTATCGTGGTGACGCAAGGGCCATATAGGATTTCTGCCTGAGGCTGAAACTGCATGTATGCCATGTGAAGGTGCTTCCAACTACCATATTAAATTAACGACTAAGCTACTTTTCTAAGAATCACAAGGCTTGACAGCTACCTATCTATACTCAAGTGTGAAAATTCGATCGCAGATCCTTTGTGGATATGGCTTCTGGCGCATCTTAACAAATAGAGGAACCCGCTTGTGGAAGCATGAAATGGGCATAGGTGTATATCACACTCAATTCTGGAGCAAAATACTCTATTCACAGGTTTCAAAGAAGAAAAGCAACTGACTGTCTTCATCCCTACCGGCCGATCAACGAGCAGCCAGCCTTCTATGCCTTGACAATAATCTTCTCTGACGCCTCAGGCTTCACATCAACCAGCGCATGAATCAGATCCTCAACCACCTTGGGGCCCTTTGCTTTCCCGGACTTCTTGATTTCCTCAAGTTTCACCTCGGCTTCCTTGTTCGCTTCCTCTTCGGCCTTCTTGTAGCCACTTGAGTGCTAATATAGAGAAAGACATCGTATTAGCTTTTCCATCCTTAAAGGCAAGCGCTGTCTCTTCAATAATCTAATTGAAGAAAAAAAAAAATCCAAACCCTCTCACCTCGGCCTCGAATTTCTTGAACTCTTCCTCCTTCTGCTTTCTGTAGTCTTCGATCTCCTTTTGCGCCTCTGACTTTGCGTCCCTTATGCGCTTGGTGCGATCTATCCAATTACCATTAGAAACGAACAAATAGCGAGCGAAAGGATATTGGTCTCGTACATTCTCTGGCTAATGAAATGCGACACGTCAGCACATACACTTCAAGCTACGGCTCCAGCAGGCGAACATACCTTGTTGAACGATCTTCTGAGCCTCCCTCTCGGCCTACCAAACACACAGTCAATTCTATACAACCCACATAATCCCATCTTAGTGAACATACATCGAGAAGGGTCTGAATGCCCGCAGAGTTCTGAGCCGACTATGAGGGGTTAGTATCTCTGTCATCGCAGCGGCTCGAGACGCAACAAACTCACCATTTTCGCTTATGATCAGCTTTCTATCAACACACAATTAACGAAAAATCAAGGCTTTAAACGCCTTAGGAGAGAATATATCAAGATATGAAGAGTGATGCTCGTGATGCGGCGTCTAGCTTAATCTCCCCGACAGCACAAATGGCCCGACTCCGGGGCGGTCGGGGATTCTGCCAGTTCTCACCGCTATCATCGATAACCCGCCCATCACCTCCAACATGGTCTCAAGTTTGTTACTTGAGGGGGGGGGTTTCGTCTTATTTTTGGTTTTCTTGCCCGCTTTCTTGCTGCATTCCTCTGAATTTGAGGCAATTGGTTTTATAGTCAGGATGTCTCGCGCTTCTAAGCTGACATTAGCTGCCACGGGCCTTGGTACGGCGGGAATCGTCTACTTTGTGCACTGGGCGCAGGAACAAGAGAAAATGGTAAGTTTTGAGTTCCGGACTGCGTTTCAGGAGCGATTTTCTAAAACAAAAACACCTCTATGATATTTTAGGCAATGCATAAAGGAGTCGAGCGAGATATGGAGAAACAGCGCGTTCGATTAGAGCGACAAGCGGATTTCGAGATGCAAAAGGCCTTAGAGGAGGAATATCGAAAGCTCCAAAAAGTTTCTCCGAGTACAGATGGCGTTGGATCGGGAGGAGCAGACACAAATCTGAATAAGGGGACATGATATTGGTGGCTGTGAGATTGCACGGTTCAATTCAGCGGTCTGTAACGCCAGAGATGTGACTGCTGGTGAGTCTGAGCGCTACAAGAACCCTGAATGCCTGACACACAGGATCGCTAACTACTTGAGATTTCTAGTGATGGGGACATATGTAAAATATACACTTTATGTACATTATTATATACAGCCAAACGCCTTTCTTTATGGATTTTGCATAGCTGCATTCGAGATACCTCTAGTCCTGTCCCGTTTGGGGTTATCAGCACGTTCAGCATACACAAATATGATGATTGATGGCGCCAGGTGCAGTGGAAAGTGACGGTAATCCATTCGAGTTTCTTAATTACCGGCGCCAGACTGTCTCTAGCAACGGTATGACAGGAGTCTAGACGCCTCTCATCACCGGTCCCCGGCTGAATATTAAACGATGGCTGTTAGGGTGGACATTGTTATTACGCCTATAGCGCTAGCCGATGATCGTGCTTTTTGAAGAGTGTGGGAATGTGTTTGTCGATAATCGCCAAAATCCCGGCTCCCTCCCTATTAAGGAGACCTGCCAGGCATCAACTCGGGATCTCGTTGCTCTTTCTGGCCAATTTATATCTAGGCCGTGCAACAGCCACCAACGATACGAGGTTACCACCTGACCGATGTTCTGCTTTGAGGACCCTGGATAACAAGTACCTACCAATATGGTACTGCACACAGAAATCCACAACTTGCTACATAGATAACGACCTGGAGCATTATGCACCTCGGAACCAACCAAATATTCACCTGAGCCTTGGTGATCTCCCTGGTTATTGGTAGAAAAGCATAAAAGGCCGGCTATTGCCGGAGGCCGGGCCAATTCCGGCCTCGTCCACACAAAAACGCGCAGGCGGAGATCCTGATATTGACACGGGATCGCGAATATACGGAGTACGTGAACTACACGCCTGTACTATGCTGGGAAACTGAATCCTAGCATACTTTACTAGTATCGGCTGTCCTCGACGGGAAAATTGGGTCCAATATCTCAAAACCAGTCGTATCACGTGATTCCCTCCAGCCCTACAATGCCAAGTCTTTATATAGCGAGGACTGAATATCCTCATTTTTATGAAGCAGGTATAGACGCTGAGGGAGACAGATGTGTGGGAATTGACAAGTGAATAACCCCTCATACGCTTAGTGAAAGGTTCCTGTATGATTCTGGGACAGTCGTATCTCTTATTCTTGTCTCCCTGCACGCTTCTTTCCCGTTTCGTAATGGACTTCTTGAGGCCGGAATTGATACCGGCCTCTGGCAATTATAAGAATCGCCTTCTTTCCCCTCCCACTTTCATCTTCCTTTCATCTCCCCAAAGCCCTGAGACAGAAATTTCATCTTCCCCTGGTATTTCCTTCTTTTCTCCAGGGCAATCTGACTGAAACCTCTATCACTAGTACCTTCCTCATCCTTCCTCATATAGATCGGAGCCCCTTTGCATCATGTCGCCTGCCAAAATCACCATACACTCCCCTACTACTCTAGAGGCCTTCCCTCACATCCATGATGACCCGGCTACCCTCCCTCATTCGTTGGACCCCTTCACCATCACCACTACTACTGGCTTCCTCCCCTACTTGACCTCCCCTACTATCCTGCCAGAGGTGTTCAAGCCTTTAATGTGCCTGCTTGACCGTTATGCGGTCGTTAAGGAGGATGGGATTCCAGGTCTCCTTGCTACATATGAGTTGGGTCCAGCTGTTCTCAAGGAGCTGCCTGACCTAACTGATGAGGTTGACAAGCTCGTCACTGCCAACGGTGACCTCGACCTCTTCACCATTATGGCAGTGTTCCGTGACTATTCCTTCCTGGCCTCTGCTTATCTCCTTGAACCATGTTGGGAAAGCTGGTGCAAGAACCCCGAGAAGGGGTATGGTCTGGGTCGTGATGTGCTGCCCAAGTCTGTGGCCCGTCCATTGTATCGCTGCGCACAGATGTAAGTGTCTTGCTCTACTATCCTTCCTCAACCTACCTTAATCTATGCCATCCTCCTTGAACATAGACTTTGCCTTCTTCTACATTGTACTATACGATGGCAATGCTGACCCTTTAGTCTGGACATTCCACCTTTCATGTCCTACGCAGCCTCCTACGCCCTATTTAACTATACCCTTGCAGAGCCATCCAAGGGTCTCGTATACTCCAACCTTCGCTTGGTCCGAGCTTTCGAACGTGGCTTGGACCCTCGTAGCTCGGAGGCAGGATTTATCTTGACTCACATTGACATGGTCAAGGAGACTCCTGCTTTGGTCACCGGAGCCCTTCATGTCATCGAGACCCTAGAGCAAGGTGGACCCCGATCGACTGTCAACGACGGGTTCCGGGAGATCCTCGCATCTATGGAGAAGATCGAAACTTGCATGGAGGGTAAGTCATCGATTCTATCTTACGTTCTATCTTCCATCAACCTCAATGTGTGGAGCTAATACAAAAACCAAATACTGCAGACATGTGGGCCAACTCTAAACCAGCCGAATATCTCTCTTTCCGTGTATTTATCTTCGGCATCACCTCTCAATCTATGTTCCCTAACGGTGTAATCTACGACGGTGTTGAGGACAATAAACCCCTTTATTTCCGCGGCGAGAGTGGTGCCAACGATAGTATCGTATGTTCCTCCAGTCAGTTTCTCAGGAAACGCAATGAAAAAAAAAAACAAAATTAACGAATCATCTATAGATCCCCCTCCTGGACCACCTTCTCGAGATTCCCATGCCTCATACACCACTTACCAAGATCCTACACGAGTTCCGCGCCTACAGGCCACTCCCCCACCGCACATTCCTCGCTCACGTCCGGACAAAGGCTGAGGAACTCGGAATCCGCAATTACTCTCTCAAAGACACTGAAACCACCATCCTGTTCCTGCGTACGCTGAACCACGTTCGCAGTTTCCGCTGGAGGCATTGGCTATTTGCCAGGGAGTATATTATCCGTCGTACCCCGCATCCTACTGCTACAGGTGGAAGTCCAATTGTTACTGTGAGTTTCTCTTTTTCATCTCACATCCTTTTATATCACTATGTTATAGCCGGGTGCTGACGAAAGAGAATAGTGGCTTCCTAACCAGTTGTCTGCTGTCATGGACATGATGATTTCGATCTACGATAGTGTGCTTGGGCCACAGAAGACCGAGGAGGGCAGCGATTACGATGGCGCGTGCCAGAAGCTAGTTGAGCCCATGATGGAGATGGTGCGTGATCAGCAGGAGAAATTAGCGAAGGAGGTCGAGAAGTGGTGTCAGGAGAGGGGGGTCTAAATACATACACCCACCATGAACTTTCTTTTCTCTTTTCCTTTCCTCTTGTCTAGTATTATTAGAGAGGCCTTGCTAGACCGTTATAGACGGTGATAATCGGATTCTTTTGAATATTTGGTATGCCTTTTTTTTTTTTTTTTCAAGTCATGTTCATTCATTCTATCCAAGTATTAAGTCGTGCAGATATAAATTCCCTTAGATCGTCCGTATTCAATCGCATCCGAAGATACCCCCTCACACCCCTTGATATATAAATGATCCACGCTGGCCTTATTCTCGGCACCACGGGCATCGACGACCGATTTGATCGCGCAGCCCGTGATCTCAGTAAATGACATATTAATGACCTTCAAGGTCGGGATGTGTTGCACCAAAACATCAAGAGTCGAATCCCCTATCCCGAGGATATGGGCTACGTTCAAGGTGGTTAGCCGTGTAGCATGTCCACGAAACACATCGACCAGATGGCTCCCAGAAACACGGAAACAGCTATCGACGTGAAGAACTTCAAGCGGGGATTGAGCTGCCACCAGGAATGCGTAGAGAGTCTCGGTGGTAACCCAGGGAGCGTCACTGAGGATGAGCGTCTGCAGGTTTGGGAGGTGGAATGGCTCTTCGGTTGCGAACGGGAGGGTTTCGATGGCTGCGCCGCCGCGGATGCGTAGGAATTGGAGACTGGCTGGGAGGCCGAAGTCGCCGCCGATGTACAGGCCGCTCATGTCGAGTTTCTGTAACTGGGGGAGGTCCATGGGGTTGAATGAGGGTGGGTAGGGGACGAAGATTTGCGGATTCGAGTGGAGGCGTAGCTCGGTGAGATTGGATATTGGGAGGGGCGTAGACGGGTCGGTTAAGCGGGGGAGGTGCAGTGCTGGCAAGAAGCCTTCCGGGGAAACGGCGGATTCGACGGTGCTGAGTGTTATGCTTCGTAGGTTTGGTAATGACGCGGGCCATTTTACGTCCGACTGGTGGGATTTGGTGGCTTGGTGGATTTCGATGCGTTCCAGTCTGGGTAAACTGGATAAAAGTTTGGTGATTGTTGATTGTGGGGTGTTTGTGTTTGCGGAGACGAGCAGAACTTTCAGCTTCTTGCAGCCTTTGAAAAGCTCGAAGATGCCCTCTGGTGAGAATGAGGACCATATCTCGAGGTGCTCGAGGTTAGGGCATCGGCTGATGTATTCGAGAGCTCTGCGGACTGACGGGCCGGAAAGATTATGCACGATGGCTTGTGTGAGCATTGCTTTGGATCGTTTGATATAGGCTAGAACAGACGACCAGTGGATCTTGCCACGCCCTCCTGAAAGGTCGAGGCGCATCCATAGATCGCGGATTGACGAGAGAAACCGGTCCCATCCTTTGGAGACTCTCAAAATTGCCCTTTTGGGGGGTCAGCGGAGTATGAGATGGGACTAGTCAAGAGCACCTACACAATCTGCCTGAAATCAAAATGCTGTACCACCATATTTGCTATTTCCAGTGGGAGTACACTGAACGGATCATAGCATTTGGAGACCAATTTGTCCCGAAGCTTGTCGTGCAATTGCTCCACGAGCTAAGCAAATTCAGCAGGCTGGCCGGTCCACACAGTATCGAGAGGAGGAACTAACCTGGCGGCGGGAATGCTGTTTCGGTATCGATTTCAATGCATATGCATAGACCTCGAGTGCCTTTTCAGGCTTTCCATCCAGCAATAGTGCCTTGGCACAGCGAAGATATCCCTATATCGATGAGCAAAGGACAAGAAAACAGTTAGTTAGGCCCTTCCTTCGTACCCTTTCATCTTGTTTGTCATGCTTGATCATTTGCCTAGAATCTTTCAGGGCTTGATCGAAGCGCAAGAGTTTCGTATAGGTTGCCGCTCGATTATCCAGTACCGAGACCGCGTCCACATCCTGGGATTTGAGCGCCTGAGGCATCAACGGGTTAGAGGTGAGCACCAAATCTCAACTCGAGGAGAAACAATGTCGGTTTCAACGCCAAAGATTGGATCGACAAAGACCAAGGTTACATTGCATTGCATACCTCTGTGAAGGCCTTTACAGCAGCCTCCCAGCTGCCTTGCCGATAGAGATTCTGACCATGCTGCTGCAACAGCGCGGCTTCTCCTGCTTTGGTGTCAACATAAATCTTTGTTACGCGTTGATATCCTACCTAAAGGGCGACAGACCTCGAGATCCCATTGTTAGCCATCCACGTACTCCATTTCCACTCGCAGGACGATTGGATTTGCCGGAATTCGATGTTGAAACCCGGAAAAGATGGTCAACCTGGCAACCGACGCCACAAAACGGCGGGGAACAGCGCTTGTGGGCTGTGCAGCATCCCCGAGACCCGGCAGTGTTTACATTCTTCCGCTTTTGGGGTCGCATATTGAAAGTTCTTTTCCTCTCTTCGACTGAACAAACGTTCGCGGGGGAAACCACCTCGGTTTTTATTGTTACGGGAATTAATCCAGGCAGCTTGCAGGACAAGCACGCCCATCATGGAGCAGCAGGGTAATCTGCAAGCTGCTTCTACCTACATTAATAATGTCTTATTGGCCCGGGGTCTGGTGAAGAGCGGGCGACCCATTGATTTTGCGGACCCAGAGAATGAGGAGGGCGGATTGGGCGCGACCATGGCAACGATAATCAACCTGGTCAATGACTTGGTTTTGAGGCGAGATGTAGGTTTCTGGATTTTGATTCCGGTCAACGCCGACTGACGAGCCCCCCAAGCGTGAAGTAGAACATCGAGAGAACCTAGCGACGACGATCCGGGCGTTACGAGCAGAAGAGTCACACAAGACCATGGAAATTGTATGTTCGAAATGCATATTTAGAGGGGGTGAAATTGTGGTAGAGAGTTCAGGGCTAAAGGGGCAAATAGGAAAAACTCCAGACCAAGACGACCGAATTAACACGGGCGTTAGCACTGGCGGAGGCGCAAGAGCGATCACTCAAGACCAACATGTCAAGCGCAGAGGCGACGATCCGAGGGCTGAAAGACCAAGTACAGCGCATGAAGACAACAGTGCAGCAGGTGCGATCTCAGTGTGCCAACGATATCCGCAAACGTGATCTCGAACTACAGAAACTGAAGGGCCATCTAGCGGATCGACAACGGGGGAAGCGCGAAGGGCTCAGTGTGACGACCATCAATATCAACCCGAGCGCCAGCCAATCGTCGAAGACCAGGTACCTAGCTGGTGGAGAAGGCGTTCGGGATCCGGGATACAGCTTAAAGCAGGAGACAAATGACTTTCTCACGGAGCTATGCCAGAATCTGAGCGACGAAAACGACTCCCTCATCCTCCTTGCACGGAACACGATCCACACGTTGAATGACCTGCAGGGCTTGCAGGAAGAAGAGGCAGACGGTGGAGATGAGTATTCTCACGGGATGGCCAGCGTGGGCACCCAACGCTCGACCCACAGTGTCCCTGCTATTACAACGCTACCTGCTTCATGCGAAGAGCTGACCGGCCAGATGGACCGGGTGCTGGAGCATCTGCGGACCTTGCTCACCAACCCGTCATTCGTCCCGCTGGAAGAAGTAGAGATACGAGACCAGGAAATTAACCGACTACGCGAGGGCTGGGAGAAGATGGAAAGCCGATGGAGGCAAGCTGTAACGATGATGGATGGCTGGCACAAACGAATTGCTCAGGGTGGAGGCTCCGTGCGGGCAGAAGAGCTTCGAATGGGCCTGAAACTAGACGTCCAAGTTGATTCCAGGCATTCACGAGTCAAAAACGAAGACGTAGCCATTCACTCGCCGATTTTTGAGGACCAAGAGGCCGAGGACGAGGAGGACGAGTACGATCAGGAAGGGGAAGAGACGGTTGAAGCAAGCCCAGAGGACGAGTCACCCTGTACAGCGGAGGAGGCTCCTCAGCCAAGCGCTAGCCGAGCCTTAAAAGAGCGGAGCGACAATATCATTGCGGCGGGACGATCATCACGGAAAGAGGTCACATTCTCAGATAAACAGCAAGAGTCACCGAACAAACCACAGGAAGATGACACACTGTCTGTAAAGGCTCATCAATCAGACGCGGTAACGCGGAGACCATCCAGGAAGCGAGTTGAGCCGAAAGGGCCCCGTCCGGTGAGTTAGTTCCGCATTTCTTTCGGGCGGACCGCAATATCTAACCGTACAATTTACCTATAGGCCCCGACCCGGATGAGCGTGCACCAGAAACTCGCAGCCGCCGAGAGCGAAGCACGAGCCGCAGAGCAAGCGCGCAAAGAGCGCGAGAGCCGGAAGAGAAGTCGTGGAGGCAAAATAGCGCGAAAGGGCACTCAGGATCGACGACGGAGCACTTTGACGCACGACGAGTTGGACGAGCTGATGGGGATGAAGTAGCATATACCCCTATGATTTTTTTTTTTTTCCTCTTTTGTTTTTCGTTTTGTTTTCATTATCTTTCACTGTTCTATATTCCTCTACTGCATAATAATGTATTGTTCCTGAAGAATTCCAGAAGTAATGGCAGGACATGAATCCGCAACCCTCGGCAAATATCAGTTTATGTTTTCCACCTGGGCAAGGTATCGATCGATATGTGCTGGAGAAGAGGAAAGTTGGGAAGTTATAGATTTTTATCTCGTGTTAGCTTCCTTGCTCATTGTTGTAAATGTATTTATTGTACAATCGCCTGGATTTGGGTCCTTACTCTGGTACTCTTATTTGCGAAGATGGATCTTGTACTGTTCTCCTAATTAGGAAATGGGTATGAAATGAAATAACCGAGTATAAGAGGAGCTTCCATTTGGTTGACTTCGCGAATATTTGCAGGAGGAGTCGTAAAACAGCTCTCAGGACATTTCTTTTCTTTTCTTATATATATATATATATATTTTTCTTTAATTTACTTTCCTATCATACATTTTTGTTTTACATCCAACCATGTCCAGCTACGCAGGCTAGAAAGCCTACCTTATCTATACATACAAACAAACAATCCCTTGACGGCCGCAGCGGATCGTTTGCATGATGATGATGCATGCATGCATGCATGCTATTTGGGCTGGTGGCTGCCTATTCTGTACCGGAACAGAGTTCTTCATTCCGCTTGTCATCGGAGCTTATTGTGAGTCTGTCTTTCTTGGTCCTTTTTTATAAGATCAAGGATCTGGCGAAAGAAAGATAGTCGAGGTGTTAGCGGCCGAGAAATATCAGCATCGCAGTCTCCAAACTGGCCCTTTGCTGTTAGTTGCTTTATAGTTACTTGTCCGCCGCCAGCATCTGCATGTGCTGAGGGCGGACGGACTATCCTCGTGCGTGGCGATAAATTGGCCATAATCCCGGTCCGCGGTCATCGTCATAGGTCTTATCACAGATAGATAATCTGTGCATACGTCTTCCAGGGAGAATTTTCTCTTTCATAAATCCGCACGGATAACTACCGATGCGACGCCATGGAGACAAGAAACGTAGAAGCAATCTATGGTTCGAGTGTATTGTCGAGGATCTGCAGGGATGGGACGGCCCGTTGCTCCGGAACAAGACTTCTTATTTATTTTTGCAAGCGTGGCGGGTACTGATTTATCTTCGTCGTTGGTTTAATGGGCGAGATGGAGGAATTGTCTTCCTGGTTCGGGACGGGACGGTTGCGTGTCAGTATTGAGATGTAAATAAGACTCAGTTCTAGACCAACTCTCCTGGTCTTTTCTCACATCGGCGCACGTAATGAATGGGGAATAACGCTGTGCACTTATCCAAAGTTTAAATACCGCTCTCCAAAAATCTGCTCCATGGAGCTGTGCACCAGTGGCCGCCATTGGTCATCTAGAATATACCAGATCTCCTGTGCAACGCGTGTCCCCCATTCATCCCCGAACCAAACGTCCCGGAGCTGATGCATTACTGCGCAGTAATGCACCATGATCACCATCGCAAGGGGTCGACGCTCTCGGACCCGATCCACAAAAGCCGCCTGCAGCTTGATTGCGAATCGACAGGCAAGAGAGAACCCCATGCCGGCTTTTACACCAGCCATCAGATCCGCCAGGTTGTCAATCGTCTCCTGGTAAAGCAACGAATCGTGGAGGATAGGGTCTTGGCGGGCACAATTCCCATTAGCCTTGTGCAGACGGTCGACCGCAGCTTGCGCATTCCCCGATAGGATAACATCGTAATCCTCCAAGTCCCGCATTGGGGCCCACTTAGGGTCTTCGAAAACCGTGGCCATAGTCTGGTTGAGAATCTGTTGCATCCCGCGCACGAGGACAAACGCCTGCAGGAGATCCTCTACTGCCGTACTGCCCGGGTTGTTCGGGTCGGGCTGGTGCGGAAATCCAAAGGCATAAAGGACAGTAATTCCGGCAAAGGCAAACATGGCTTTCCCATTATGAATGTCAATGCTGCCGAGTTGGTCACGAAAGAGCGCAAGGGCCTGGTTCTGGTGCGCAACGGCAACCTGCAGATAGTCCCGTCCAGGAGGACTACCGTCCGATCCCATCCGCGCAGGTCGGGTGCGGGCAATGTGCAATGCAGAAGCCGCGAGCATACCATGCATCAGAAAAGGATGAGAGAGCGCCTCCTCTGGGATGTACAGGCGCCAGATGATTTCCGTCTTTGGATTCCGGGAGAGGGCCAGGTACATCTCGTTGTACCAATGCATCATCAACTCCAGATCACACAAGTTCAAGGCGGGGAGAGCTGCATCATTGCCACTGGCATTTCCCTGGTTTCCTAGCCGCCCCAGAAGACTGAGATCCGGAGAGGGTCGTTGCTGGCGATCCGATGTCGAACGCGGAGAGCGCGAGGGCTCGTCCGTCATCCAGCGAAGGGGCCCGCTTGAATCGTACTCGCATTCCGTCTGACGCCTGGCGCAATTGGCACATACAGGCCGTGTTTCATCGCACTGGAAGTAAGAAGACAAAAATGCATGAGAAAAGGGAGGTTTCACGGCCGTAGACTCGAGGAAGAATTGGGAAGTAGGGATGGTGACTACCTTGACTCGTCGCCGCTTGCATTCCAAGCAGCCGTGCCGGGATTTTTGGTGCGACCTTCGCTGGGCCATTGTTAAGAAGAGCCTTTCATAATAGTAAGAGGGAGGAGAAATAAAATAGATCAAATTCCCTCCCTACTATTTGTCATTTATTTGGTTTTTATTTTTATTTTTATTTTTAATTTTTTTTCTCATAGATCTGTCTCCCCAAGAAGGATTCAGTTTAGTGGGAGTTAATATAGCTAAGGCTGGGGCAATTAGGCTGCATCATTTCTTAGCGAATTGCTTAACTTTGGTTCTTCAGGTCCATCTATGCGACATTTTTTTTTTAAATTAATCGTAATCATGGTCTGAGCAACTATGTACTATCTAGTATGTAGTTCCCCCCCCCCCCCTATATTAGGTCGAGTCAAACCAGGCTTGATTCCTGCTCCATTATCCACCCTCTTCCTCCGCCGCCTCCTTTACTTCCATTACTTCGACGCCTTTGTTTCTCATAAATGGCTAGTAGAGTAATAAGCACCAATAGGTCAAAGTCCGGTCCATAATCCACTCCAACCTGGAGCTTGCCGGCCTTCTGAAAGCTTTTCAGGCCGTTGTTGGTAAAGACGGCCACAATCTGTCCCGTGTGTTCCTCCATGAGCTTGTAATTCCACGGGCTGAGCTTCGACGGTGACTCCCCATGCACACCAACGGAATGTGTTCTTTTCCAGAGGAAAGATCGTCGCTCAAATCCTCCGTCGGCTGTACGGATGGCCATCTGCCAGTGGTACTTGGACAGACGAAAGTTCTGGCAAAATAAATCCTCCCACACCATGTCTCGGACTTTTTGCGGGTCTCCCAAACCCAGTTTGCAATGTCGTGAGAAATGGAGGAATTTGCACACGCCCGTGATTGGGGCCTTGGGGTCCTCTCCTGCATGGAACGTAAGGTCTGGCTTCTTCGGCGTCAGGACGGAGTTGTCCACGTAGTAGAGGGGGGTTTTATCGGTATCTGATACTTTGTAGTCATGTCGAAACGTGGTATGATAGATGTGATAGAGACGGGAGCAGACAAGATCAAGACTTTCCGCATCCACCGAATCTAATTCCCGGGAACTCTTATCCACTCGAGTGGTCTTGTTGGAAGTCATGGTTTGCGAGTCAGTCGCAACTGGTCAGCAGGAAGATTGTAAAAATTTCACGCCGAGGAAGGAAATCCCATCTTTTTATAGGTATGCCATTTCCTTTCGTCCTCGTTCGAATGCGCAGGGCGTAGCTCCTCATGTTCTCTCCTGTTGCAGCGTTTTCTTCTTTTGAGGGACCAATTAGGAAACTCTACGAATACGAACATCCTCAATGCGGTTAGTCCAGATGGGCTCACCTGACCCCCGGCCATAAAGCTTGGCATAGCGACCATTTCCATTTTGGGGAGTTGCCTGGCAAGGCTGAAAGCCTGAAATGGCCGAGACAGTTGGATACGAGAGGCTGTGAGAACTCTATTTTCTGAGACCTAGGTAGGTAGAATTGCCCTGTCCTGTTTATACTCTGACTGTCTGACATGTCTTCGTGTTAGCGTTGGTCGGTGGTTTTGACGAGATCAAACTCGATCGATATTTAGTTATTACCAGATCGCGAGTTTTCTCCTGACTTCCGACTTCCGACGTCCGAATCCCGACTTCCGATCGTCATTAGAGAGAAAAAGAAATGGGTCGATGTTAGTTATAGCAGGGAAAATAAATGACTCCCTTCAACGTGATCAAGCAGTCAGTCAGTCAGTGGTTATGACGCACGCCACTTTATTCTTTATTATACATGAAAAAATTCAGGGTCTAGGAGTTTGTCAAACTGGCAAACATTATGAGCACAAGATTTATACCCGTGACTAAGATTATGCATCACCTGGTCTCACATGACCCGCCAAGCCTCCGCGGCGAGAGCCACCACCATAATAACACCGCCAAAGAAATTAATTGTATGCATCCTCGAGCTTCAACACGGCGAAATTGACGGTTGGCTCGAGCTCTATCTCACTCCCTCACATGTCTTTTTAGTCTCTGTTAGTAAAAGTCCTTCGAGGCCGCATCCCTCGATCCGTTCGGTTTGATCCCCGTCGCGCATATCGATTTTCTTTTCCGCGGTACCTAATAATTCCTCACTCGCCGACCTCGACGTTTTTGGTTTCGCGTTTTCATTCACTCCTTTCCTGAAGATGAGCTTTAAGTTCCCCTCCGACACGAGCCCCTCTACACCGGGGAAGCCTCGGGGTCTCTTTCACAATGGTTCTGCGGCTGCTCCTCCTTCTGCCTCCCACTCCTTTACGCCGCAAGGCCCTCCCCCATCCACCATCTATGGAAGCTCTCAGATGAGCTCAGGGTCGCACGGAAATTCTCCTAAACCTTTCTTTAGTCAATCCGAGATGATGAACGACAGTATCTTCGGGTCTTCCATTGCTTCACCCGACTTTGCTCCCTCGCGAGCGAAAAAGACTGCCGCCACACACCCCTTCGCGGCGTCGCAATCTCTGTTCAGTGTGACAAATGGCAATGGATTCGGGGGATCGGCTAATTGGGGAGAATCAACCGGACTCGGGTCGTCGCAGATAGAGGAAGAGCTCGACCACAACGACGAAAAAGAAAAAGAAAAAGAAAGAGTGGAGGAAGAGGAGGAAGAGGAAGAGGAAGAGGTTGACCTGCCACGTCAGGGACTGGTAAATAACACTAATGCCGGGCGTGGGCCAGGTTTTTTGGACACCCAGTTTTTCAACCCAGGTTTCGCACCGTCGATGCCTGCGCAGCGCAAACCCATCTACTCTAACCCCGGGAATGCAAAGCGACCTAAACTTGATGAACGTTGGGCGAATCAGTCTCCTCTGCGCAAGGCGAAGCTCTTACCCAAAAAGGCCTCCAATATCCCATCGATTGTGCGAAATTTCGTATCGCGAGGACAGCAGGCGCCGGTGGTGGTGGAGGAGTCCAATGATATAATCGTGAAGACTGAGGACGAAATCTGCCGGATGTACGATGAAGCAAGACAGGTGGAATACGGGGATGTGGAATTTCAGACCGCATTATCAGGGGTCTGCAGTCGCCTATCTAAGGCATGGCAATTTTCTACCGAGAGTCATGGCGCCTTTCAGTCAGGAACGGGGATCGGTCCTCACGAAAATGCTCCGAACGTTGTCAAGGCCAGCTTCTTGGGATCACTCCTGCTTCAACTCCACCACCCCCCTGTTTCAACCGCAAAGTTTGGGGGCTTCGGTCCTTCCTTTGGACTCTCCGCCCCTCGCGCTTTGATGCTTGCTGGCCCCAGATTCGGCCCAGCGGACCCTATTCCGAAAGTCCTCCTGGACTGGCTCGACGCAAACAAGGCTCCACAGACACCTGACATTCGGGCATTAGCACAAGTTGAGCCTAACCCCACGGCCTCTCCAAACTTCTGGGAGCTCATCAACACCGCTGTCCTACGCGGTCACCTCGCGGAAACAGCGAAGACCCTACGGTCGGCCGACTTCAATTACGCTCGATCGGCTTTGGAGGATGGCTTGCCTCAGACTGGATACCGTGGAGCACAGCTACAAAACATTCAACGATGCATCAACAAAGCGCTGCAGATCCTAGAGTCTTGCCCCAGCGTCCGGGATGACGACTGGGATGTCCGCGGTGCAGAGTGGGCATTGTATCGAAAGCGGGTAATTTCTGCGGTAACTGATCTAGAAGAATTCGCTGAAGGCGATGAACAACCCAACCCAGAGCCGCCCGCTGCCGCCGCGGCCATGGGCAATCGATTCCAAGCGGTCAACTTTGGTCTAGGGCCTACGAATGTTACCCAGGATACTTCGTTTACGCAGTCCGCGCGTATGGCGGAAAGCCGGGTACCATGGACCATCTACCAAAGCCTTCGAACCCTGTACCGCATTCTCCTCGGCGATCCAAGTGCGATTATGAACCAGGCCCAGAGCTGGATCGAAGCCACAATCGGGCTGACGGTGTGGTGGGACGGCGAGGATGACAACGAAGAAGAGGAAGCAGCAGCTAGCAAGAATCACTTCCTGCGCTCCCGCACACCAAGATCCATGGCTGCTACACGTGCCGAGGCTCCTTATCTCCGCCGCTTGGATCTCGCATTCAGCAGCGCAACCACCACGGGGGGGGCCGACGAGACAGGATTTCGCATCAACTCTCTCAGTGGACTTGAGGTTGGGTTGGCATCGGTTTTTGAAGGGAATGTGGAAGGAGTATTGGAATTGCTTCAAACATGGTCGTTGTGTGTGGCCTCGGCAGTTGCCGAGGTCGCCTCAGCTGGTGGCTGGCTGGACGCGGGAGGCGGAGCCCAGCCACTTTCGGGCTTGAGTGAGAATGATCTCATGGTGCTCTCGTACGGTCAGGATGACAAGGGGACAGACCGCAAAAAAGTGCGTAAGGATGATGTCCTCAGTGCTTATGCGATGGGGTTGTTCGAACGGCGGTCTATCGAAAATGAGTCTGGAGCTCGCGAAGGATGGGAGCTAGCGCTCGAAGTCCTGAGCCGGCTGGACGACAACGAAAAGATGCAGAAGAGTGTTTCAGAATTGCTGGATAGATTGCCTCTTGATACAGCTGAGCAGATGGATAAGGTGGTTTTGCTTTGTTCCGAACTCGGCTTGGATAAGGAGGGTCGCCGTGTCTCCGAGGTATGTTATTTTTTTTTTCTCTTTCTTTCTTTCTTTCTTTTTTTTTTTTTTTTTTATTATTATTATTTTTAAGATTATATACTGATACTCTGTTTTTTTTTTTTTTTTTTTTTTCCCCCAGCGTTACGGCGATCTCACTGTATCCAACACAGACGAATACGGCCTAGCACTTGTCTGCTACGCTCGTGCGCACAACCGACGCAAGGTCAAGTCGGTCGTCGATCTCCTTATTTCGTATAGTTTGGTTCAATCGCGGGCTTACCCAGCCACGAGTGACCTAGATGAGCAACTTCGAACGTTGATCCGAGAGCCCAAGACTTGTCTTTCAGCTATCGCGGCCGTGGATGAGGAGGCGGCATCGGTCCTGCAATTCTACTTCAGTGGCTACGCAACGCTCCGTCGATTCTACGAAACGCGGGATGAAGCCATTGGGCTGCCGACGGGGCAGAAGCCACGCTACAAACCATTGGCTCGGCGGCGGGCGGCAGCGCAGGCGTTGGTTGCTGCGATCAGCAGTGCAGCGGACAGTATCTATGGTGGACTGTACGACCCAGATCGGGACTCTGCGATCCAAGTTGATGGGCTCCTGGCTCTCCTGGGGGAGGCGTTGCCATTCGTCAACGGTGGTCTGAATTCCGGAATTCCAGCTGAAGCTAATCGAGGCGGTACAGAACGCACGCCCATCTTGACGACCTCTCAGCAGGTTACGATTTTATCTGCGGTGGAGGATCTTGAGACGGTGACGCCGCGGGTGTATGCGCAGTGTGAAGAATGTTTCCGATCGACGCTGCGAGAGTTCCAATCTTGGCAGCGAGACTCTGGCAGCGGAGGCGCGGCCGTTGAGTCATACGTGCTGCCGCCGTCGCCACGGGCTCTGCTGAAAAAGTCCGTGTCATCGGCGACGGGGTCGAGTACATTCTCCTTCATTGGCAGCGATCTGATGGAGACGGCGCGCCCGCGGTCCCTGTCGGGATCTGCTGAAGGGTCTGGGGTTTGGGTGCGACGCAGTGACGGGGGCGGCTCCTCTGAACGGGAGTGGGACTGGCGGGCCGGACTGGCAGACGACGCGCAGGGCGATGATGTTCTTCGGATGCTGCGGTTGGGACTGGCGAATGGGCTGAGCTTGGGGGCTTTGCTGGTGTAAGTAAGTAAGGTAAGGTAAGAAGTAAGAAGCTGGACTCGCGAAGTGGGATTTTTTTTTTACAAGGCCAGGTGTTATTCCTTATTCCTGTGATGTAGAGTCATAGTCCTCCGGATTAGTAGGAGTCATCATCACAGGAGCAGTCTTAAGTGGTTTAGAGTAGTATTCTGGATTGCAAATCAACCGGGTTGTTATTTTTAACTAACTAACTTAGTTAACTATTCTCTGGTTACAAATCGGAATCCCGTCAGCTAGATTATACCTACAAATCACAGCAATCCTAGTCAGCCTCACGGGATGCCATGCCATGTGTTTCACACATAATAATACCCATATTATTGCCGTAAACTAGGGTGAGTCCAGTCCCTGCTAATTCCCCGTTCGTTCAATGAGATTAGTTCCTGAAACCAGAGGCTGGGAATCCTGTAAGGATCTGCCCCTGAAAGTTGAAACTAAAGAAACGGTCGACCTTGACAGCTGAACTACAGCCCGCTCCTAGCTACCTTGGGTAGCTGTCCAAGTAGTGATTTGCGAGCTGTTCAGCCCGCGTCGACGTTTCGTCTAGTTTTGAGGCATGCCCGACATGAGCAACAGAAGCCGGGTGGGATTTGGTCTGGTCTGGTCTGGTCTGCAATGCAATGCAAGGCATCCCACTGCTGCTGCTGCTGCTGCTGCTGATGTTGGCTTCGGCGTCTTTCTGGTTGTTTTCCTGTTTGGGAGGAGGGAGGTCTTTCGAACGGGTTCGAGTGCTACTATACATACATACTAATATATATATACTATATATATATAGGACTTTTATAAATGCTGGATGCTTAGCTGGTTTCTTCTGGTGTACTTGAGATATCATCATTGAAAGAAACATCTACTCTAATCGTCTACTTCTCTCTCTCTCTCCTTGAACACATCTATCTCTCTACTCTCTCGATATCCTTCTTCCATCGAATAATTATTCAGTGAATATACATATCATCTCGGCATCTCAAACAATGTGCTACCAACTCATCGAACGCTTCTCCGTCTGCGGATGTCTCTACTTCCAACACGCCATCGACCCGTGCACGGCCTACGGCCAACGCGGCCACCAGATCCAAGAGAAAACCGTTCTCGTGGGATACGCCTGTCCGCGACACACGGGGAAACGGGCGCCGGATGCGAGTGCCGCTGCGTACGCGCATCTGAGATGATGATGCGGTTGGAGTGTTGTTGTTGTCTCGTCTCGATTTCTCATCTATTGTCTACCTACTCTGATCTAGCTAGCTGGACAGCGAGCTAGCTCGGATATGATATGATGATATGCTACGATAACATGTGATGTGATGTGAACCTGAGGGGCTTTCTATATGTTTGTGATTGGGTTTAGATGTGACGTGACTCTGCGGGTTCAGAGTGGGTTGTTTCATGAGACAAGAGTTGATGGATTGATGGATTGTATGATATTCACTTGTTGTTTTGATTTTAGTTCTAGAGGGATGGAGGTGGTGTTGATGATTTATACGATATATGTATCTAGATATGTACGACGTATGTACTGTGTTGTACTCTGTAAGTGTAGATCTCGACTTGGCTTTCTGTAGTCTACACACACACACAATCCGGTCATAATTCATCTCGTCATCACCTTCATCTCTCCTACTCTACCTCTCCACCTCCTCACCACTCGTCCACCTGGCTTCATACCGTGCGGACCTTCCCAATTCATATCCCGGAACCAGTCGACCACATCACCGGACACAAGTCGAGCTCAGCTCGCAAGCAGCCGACGATGAGGCCCAGCCAGTTCAATCTTTTTTTTTTTTTTTTTTTTCGAGTTTTCAACCTAAGCAGGAATTCTATTCCTGCCAAAAGAGCGACTATTGTACTTGAATGGCAAAAGCTCAACAATGCCACGTTTCCAATGTCAAGCTAATCGGACCCAGTCCAGGAGATTCTATCATGGGTTGTTGTTGCCGTTATCATCACGGAGGAAGCACAGAGGTGTGTAAAGAAAAAAAAAAAAACCTAGTTTAACGGCGGACAACAATACCCTGGCGGCGCACGGCTCGGCGCGCATGCCGGTATTCCTCATCACTGTCGGATTCCTCGGAGCAGCTATCCTCGGAGGATTCAGTCGCGTAGCCGCACCGGCTGCCACCGCAGTCAAGCTTGACACGGTCACCCTTGCGCGTGATTCCGTAGCGCTCGCAGTGGCAGACCGATGGGGGATCGGACATGGACGACAATGAGGAGGGGGAGGTGCTGCCCGAGGACCGGGAAGACAGGGACGAGCCAACAGAGCTGGGGGGGCTGTTGGAGTACGAGTACTCGTCGGACATGCGCGATCCAGCAAAGCGCCGGGTGATTTCATCTACGCTGGGCGCAAAGTCAGCCTCGCGGATCTGGCGCGACGCATAAGGCTTGGAGGGCTTGGGGTGCTGGATCTTGGAGGGGGACAGCGCACGGCCCGTGGCGATGTCGGTAGAGCCACGGCGCGTACGGCGACTAGACGAGGATTCCTTGCCTCCGGGAACGTCGAGGATGTTCAGTTTGCGGCCGGTGGTGGGCTCCACGGTGTATTCGACAGCGGGATCATGCGAGACGTGGTATCCGTCCATGATGTACTATATCATTCATTAGCTTGGCCCTTAAAAGACAGAAACAAAACAAAACAAAAAAAAAAAAAAAATGAAAAGACATACGTAGTACCAGTAACGGCCGCCGAGCTTCAGCATAGAGGTCTGGAAGCGGAACTTGCCAACCCAGGAACCGGATTTCGAGTCATCGCGCGAGAGAGGAATCTGGCGCGAGTAGTTGTCCCAAGAGCCGAGCAGATGGACGGTCTTGACGTTGGAGGAGGTGCGCAGGGCAAATTTGAGTTGAACAGCAGACATTTTCAAGTAACTTGCAATTGATGGGTTATAATAGGAATTATTAGATTATGCAATGCAGAAAGAATAGTATAAATCGTGTCGAGGTCAACTTCCACCGAGTAGAAGCGGGCAAAGTCGTTGATGATGAACTTGGTCGAACGACTACCAGAGTCGATGCAATCGAGTTCACAGCGTTTGATTGGATTCCGGAAGAAACCAACAACAGAGGCTTAGTCGCAATGACGAGGATCCAGTCCACGACACGTTGGGATGGAAATTAAAAGTAGAGTATCAAGCAACAAGGCTGAGCAATTGGGTCTGAGCTGGCGGGCGGATGACAGAGCACGTTGACCAGCAACGAGAATGAAAACCGTCAAGGTTGATTAATTAGGAAGTATCCTGAACCAAGGTATAATAGGGGATGAGTATAAGCAGAGAGCACAGCTCGTCTGAAGGATTTTTGATATAGAATGGGGGGGGGGAAAGAGATTAGTTAAAAGGGTATAAAACGAAGAAGAAGAAACCAAAACCAAGTGCAACCAGTGCACAGGATACTTCAAATTAGGGGGCAGCTTCGACAAGACTGGCTTGCTGAAGAAGAAGAAGAAGAAGAAGAAGAAGAGAAGAGAAGAGCAGGCGCTTGGAGCCTCTTAAAGGGTGGCAGCGCAGGATGAGACACACTGCAGGTTTTCTATTTTGGGATGAGATAAGAACAGCAGCGGGGGAGGCCAACAATCAACAATGATTGGACGGAAATCAACTTGCATTCACTGGAACGGGGTCTGAGCTGACAGCCAACCAATCACCAGGATCGAGTTGACGCCCGTGATTGTGCTTTCTCAGCCCCACTCAGAATCAGAGCCAATCAGCGTTGGATTTGCATCACATTAAGTTTGTTCGTGCATGGGTTTCCCTGTATCGAGGGAGTATACAAAAACGACAATACGGTACTTGAGGCACTGAAATACAAATCGATACCTACTTGGTACCAGGCTAGCTCTGGAGTATGTTCTCCAATGCGTACTGGACTAGAGTTCGTCATCCAGGTACCTCCAGTCTCCCTGAAGGAGCAGGTCGCATCACTTAGCGTCCCGAGGCGTCACACACGGCAGAGCACAAACTTTGCAAGACCGTCAGATAGAGATAATTGGTATTGTATCATCAAGTAACTAGGAATCCTCTTGTCCACTATACGCCAGGAAAATGCCAACGGCTCTGTTTTTAGTTGATATCACCAAAATTTTGGGAGGGGAAAAAAAAACATAATCGCCAAAGTGGGAATGAAAAAGAACAAAAAAAAAAAAAAAGACAATATAGAATGATGTACATTATTGTCCTGCAAGCGGCAAGACTCAATCAAGTCCATTATTGTGCGGTGACTGACTTGGTTGCCAGTAGTTGTACCCCTCACCGCACGGACACGCCGGATCGGTTGGTAAACATACGGGCTGCAATATTCATCGCAGCCAACTCTTGGAAGAGGAGCTTGGCTGCATAGGGAATATGCACCTGAGAGATTCGGTGCTTGTTGTTGCACAGTCGACACTCGAAAAGCCCCTTCTTCAGTTTCCTGCCACACGGGTTATTTCACGTTAGCGTCAAAAAAAAAAAAAAAAATTACCGGAAGCACAACGCAAAAGGTTGAACTTACGCAATCGGGGTCATCAATCCACAATCATCACAGATGTGGACACGGAATGGGTCGGAAACATCAAAGAGGCGCTCCTTCAGGAATGCGCTGGCTCCATGTGCGATCATACAATCGCGTTCCATCTCTCCGAAACGAAGACCACCATCACGAGCACGACCTTCCACAGGCTGTCGAGTCAAGATCTGAGTCGGGCCGCGCGCACGAGCGTGAATCTTGTCGTCTACCATGTGTCGCAATCGTTGATAGTAGGTCGGCCCCAAGAAGACCTGCGCCACCATTTTGCGCCCAGTGTGGCCGTTGAACATCACCTCGAATCCACGCGACTGGTAGCCGTGCTCTCGAAGCAGGCGCGAGACCGAGTCGACGGTAACATCCGTGAACGGAGTCGCATCACCTTCGAAACCACGCAGAGCAGAAACCTTACTGAGCTGACACTCGATCAAGTGCGCAATAGTCATACGGGACGGAATAGCGTGGGGATTGATAATGAGATCGGGCGAAACTCCCTCCCGAGTGAACGGCATGTCTTCCTGACGATAGGTAATACCAATGGTACCTTTCTGACCGTGACGTGAAGCGAACTTGTCGCCAATCTGAGGAATCTTAGTCGTCCTCATGCGTACCTTGACGAATTTCAGATCGTCATTGCTGGTGGAAACCAACACTTGATCCACGATACCACTTTCCGTACTACGGAGCGGAGTCGAGACATCCAGCTTGGTATGAGCCTTGGTTCTCTGGCCAAGCTCCTCCGCTTCGGGCGCGAGGGGAGCGGTCTTGCCGATAATGATATCCTCTCCGGAAACACGTACTCCGGGAGCAATAATGCCATCTTCATCCAACTTGTCGTATGTGCCCTTGCGCATGCCAATAGTATCTGATCGCATTGGCTTTTCGAACCGTTCAACAACCGTCAAACCGACCATCTTTTCACTGTCCGTGTATGTCCGGTAGAAGAGACTGCGGAAAAGGCCACGATCGATACTACTCTGGTTCATAATAACCGAATCTTCTTGGTTATATCCGGAATAACAAGAGATAGCGACAATGGCGTTCTGTCCGGCAGGGAGCTCACGGAAACGCAAAAACTCCATCGATCGTGTCGTCGCCAGCGGCTTCTGCGGGTAATACAGAATATTCGCCATGGTTTCCATACGCTGGTCAAAGTTGGTCAGGAACACACCCATAGCCTGTTTACCCATAGCAGATTGGTAGGTGTTACGAGGCGACTGGTTGTGATCAGGGAAGGGAATGATACTAGCGCAAATTCCAAGAATCATACTCGGGTGAATCTCGCAATGTGTCCAGGTGTGTGCCTTCTGGCTAAGAATAGACCGCACACGTTTGTTGGGATCGTGCTCCTCCTCGGGTAACGCATAACCTGCCTGAAGCTGCTTCGATATATCCAAGTCTTCCGGTGACATGACGATCATGATCGTTTCTTCCTCCTCGGCATCCACGTATTCAACAACTCCAGATTTGACTAACCCATCCCATCCGAAGTAGCGCTCCCGGCGTTCTTCGGGGTCGAGGTCGGGTGGCAAATCTTTGTCCTGCTCCAACTTGCGAATGTGCTCCTTGTTGAGAACCAGAGAGCCGCAGTTCTCACTCTTCGGGTCATTGTCAATGACGAAGAGTGGTCGGCAGACACGACCAGCATCGGTGAAAATCTTGAACTCACGTTCACGAATATCTCGGATAAGACTGACTTCGTGAGATATCATGTTCCGGCGACGCAAGGAAAGCATGGTGTTGACAAGATGCGCCGGGTCACGATGGATACCCACCCAGACACCATTCACGAAGACCTTAGTAGCATTAGGTGTCACTTGAGGCTCGAATTCCTCGAGGACTTCCATATTACGTTGGATCATGAAGTCGATGATAGGTTCGCTCGGTGTACCGACAGTGATGTAACACATAAGAGCTAGGTTCTTGACCAGACCACAAGCCTGACCTTCAGGAGTTTCTGCAGGGCAGACCAGGCCCCAATGGGTGTTGTGTAGCTGACGAGGTTTGGCAATCTTTCCATCACGACCGATGGGAGTATTTGTTCGACGAAGATGCGACAACGTAGAAGAATAGGTGTAACGACTGAGCACCTGCGACACACCGGCCTTGGCGCTGGCGGCCTTCTTCTGTTCTCCCCAGTTACCGGTGGCAAGAGCATACTTCAAACCACCCGTCAAGGTGCTAGCCTTGATACCAATGTTCAGATAAATCTCCCGGTTCGTTTCCACGCACCTCTGCACATATCGCTGCAGATCCCGAGTGACCCTAGTGAACAGAACACGGAAAAGATTCGCAAGAAGTGGGCCAGCAAGATCAAGGCGCTTCTTTCCGAAATGATCACGATCATCGACATCCCGACGACCGAGAGCGCACTGAAGGAGTCTATGCACCATGTAACCCAAGAAAAAGGCCTTTCGCGTCTCGCTACCCTCACTTTGGGAAATATGGGGCAGCAACTCCTTCTGCATAATTTCTCGAGCATATCGGACACGGCGCTCATGGTTCATGCTGGACTGAGAAGAACCTCTCTTCGCGATGAAATCCAAAGCAACCTCACGGTCTTGGATGACGAAACCTTCTTCAATACAGGGCTTCAACATCTCGAGCATAGGAGTATCATTGCGGTCGTAGCAAATGTGGTTAAGAATGTCCTCATCCGAAACAACACCCAGGGCACGGAAGACAACCACAATCGGGATATCTGTCTTGACGTAGGGTAGAGTGGACCTGATGGTAGGACCGAATCCGCCCTTGGCACTATCTCCTTTCGCGAATAGCTTAAGAGATAGCTGTGAGAGTAGTCGTGAACCTTTCTCGACGGCACTGCGGATTTCCGCCACATAAGGTGTTGGGCTGGGGGGGGCCTTTTTGAAAACCTGAACAGTATTTCCGGCACTTCGTTCTTGAGCGATGAGGACCTTCTCACTTCCGTTGATAATGAAATAACCACCGGAGTCGTAAGGACACTCGTTCCAGTTGTAGAGAGCCTGCTCGCTCAGATCCTTGAGAATACAGTACTTAGACTTGAGCATAATAGGCATTTTGCCAATGAAAACAGTTTCCTCCTTTGCTTGATCAGCAGGCAACTCTTTCTGCTCCCACTGGAGATAGGTTCCCGCCGCCTTCCTATCCTCATTCGATTCAGCAATATCGTCCTCATCACGGTCAGCGACCAGACGTTCTCGGCCCTCCATAATCTTCTTGGTAATTCCCAAATACAGAGGACTAGCGTAGGTCAAGTTACGTAGACGAGCCTCCTGTGGCAACATGATCGTGGTCGCGCCATCGCCCTCAGTAACGGAAGGTCTTGACAACATAACAGTCCCAAACTTCAGTTCGTATCGGCGGACGACAACGGGGTCAACTTCATCCTCGGAAGGGGGAAGCGTCTGATCGAGAGTAACTTGACCCTGTTCCTCCACCAATTCTTGCATGGTCGATGAGATGAACTCATCGAAGGAGTCTAATTGCTGCGAGACCAGACCCTTGGTGTCGAAGAAGGACGAGATGACGGTCCAGCAGTCCTCCGACGTAATCCCCTCATCCATATCATCGTAATACTCCTCATCGTAGGCATCGCCGTAGTCAGCCATCTTGACGGTTACTGGTCACACAAGCTCGAAGGAAGGACAGATGGAAGATCGGAGAGCGCAAAGGGCGGCGCGACGCGCTCGATAAAAGAATCCAACCGCAGGCCGTCTGGCAGCGAAGACTGCAGGTCCCTTCAGTCTAAACGTCGTGAATGGCCACAATGAAGGGAAATCAGCAAGGCGGGAATCTCAGATGGATGGAATGTGAGAGATCCCAGCCAGGCAGTAGATGCTGGAGAAACACAAGAGGCGCTGAATTGCTTCAAGTCTCAAGTCTCCGTCCGGTCCTTCACCAGTGCCGCCACTAGCGCCTCGATCGCCCCTTGGTAGGAAGGCGGTGAGAACTGCTATCGAGTCACGTGAATATATTTATTGCCTGAGGCCTACTTTAACTCTACTACTATATTACAAGAAGAATCATATTTCGCGTTTGGAGTAATGATACATTCATTCCCTTGCAGATATCTAGGCACGGCTTGGCCATGGCGCTATCTACTTTACAGGAACTGGAGAAGAGTCTCCAACATCTCCTTGTGGTCTTTCTGCCCAGGTTCATCTTCCGAAAGACCCTCGATTTGCTCTAGAATGAAGTTAGCGTTGATACTTGAGTCGCTATGAAGGGGCGCTGATTCGCAACTTACCCTGTAGAGTGCTTCGAAGGAGGGATAAGTCTTCATCGCGATCCGACAGGAGCGACACTATCTTGCTTTTTGCTCCGTCATCTTCGGCAACAAGCCAGGCCAGGATAACATCGATAAGCTGGAGCATTTCGTTAGTATTTAGATCACGAATTGATCCTAGTGTGAGAACGAACCTGTAAAGAGAACAGCCCGGCATCGAATCTTCGTGAGAGCCACTCGCCTGCCATGACTTCTTGCTCCTCTTTTGTAAGACTCTTTCGCTCTTTCGCAATCGCCTGTTCCACTGGCGATACTCGTGAGGCGTAATCCCTCCTCAGCTTGATTAGTTTCTCGATTTTCTCGTAATCCTTCTCCATAAATTTGGCTAGGGTGCGGATTCTTGGGGCTGACCCCCCCGGCAGAAGTCGCAGCAAAGACCCAAATATGCCCAACAAATGCTCAATTATCTGGCTCTCTTGCTACATGGAATCAGCCTCCACACTCGAAGTGAGTCCATGTTGGTGAAGCTCTTACCTTTCGCATGAACATGCCGAAAACAGTTCGCAAGCCTGCTGCCTCAACTAGTCGTTCGCATGCAGCACCGCCTCCACTGCCACCCATTGCATGATCCAGAATTCTTAGAGCGCGCGTTTTGCTGAATTTACCCTCCTTCAACATAATCTGTGCAAGTTCCATACCTTCTCCCTCAATAAACTTTTCTTTCCCAGAAGCCTCGTCTACGAGACAAGTTAAAGAGTCAAACAAATTTTCTGCGTATTCTTCCTCATCCGAGTCCTTCTCCGGGTCACGCTTCCGGTATTGACTTAGTAGCTGAAGCAGAGCCTCTACTCCGTCGAGACTGATACATCGTTCCCGGTTCTTGGGGCTTGACTGTAGAAGAATAGCAAGAATTTCGGCAGAGTATTGCTGATTCTGGCTCACTGGTCGTTCTTTCTTCTGTATACGTGAAAGCAACCAAGGCATTGTGTGAGAGTCCTGTCCGATTTTTTCTGCGATAGAAGCTTGGGAAGCCAGGTTTTCAAGAACGCCTTCAAAAGGTTAGTATTCTCGCAGCTCCAATAGAATTAACGAACCATACCTAGTACATAGTAAATTCCTGCTCGATCGGCTTCGGATCCTTCATCTAAGCGCGCTAGGTTTTGAGCAAGGAGTTCGATGAGATCCGCATCCAACTGAACAAGTTAATATGAATGCTCTGTATAACACGGCAACGAATATCGTACCATTGCGTTCACCAAGGTGTCCCATTGTTCTTGTTCTGCTTCCACATCCTCGTCTGTCAGCTCACTGATGATTTGAATAGCGTCAATTGCGATGTCAGCATTTTCATGCGACAGTAGGGATATCAGAGAGCCCACGCAGCCCAAGTTGGCAAATTCATTGTATAGTTCCGGATGCTCTGAGAGAATCGAGAGGCTTTTGATCTCAGTATCTAAATCGGCTTCAGAGGCCATGAATCTGGAAATTATTAGCGTTTTCTAGTTATTCTTGACATCCATAAGCGGTTCGACCCGAACAAGACTTACTTCTGAGGATCATTTTCAAATTTCCCTCGCAGTTCCGCGTTCTTTGAGATCTTCTTCTCGAAGTTTAGGGCAAACCGTCGCAACCAGGTAACGTCGAATTTCTCGTTCTGGTCCGAATCAGCCTCTTACTTCTCCAACTCTGTAGGATTTGAGTATTCATACCACGACCTCTCCTTGATCCTGCTCATCAATGTAGTTCATGGCCTGCGCTGTTTGGCGTTCCATTCCTCCGCCAAAGAAGCGTCCTTCATCATCATCCGGGATATCCTCGGATTCGAAGTCAGGAGGCAGCTCCGGGCCCGCATAGCCATCGTCCTCCGCCTCATCCTCCACTACAGGCGCTTTTCCTTTCGATTTGACATCTCCGTTGGCTTCTAGCTTCGCCGCCTTGTAGAGCTCGTCTATTCGCTTGCAAGTTAGTAACTTAAGGTCGACTTCTTGAGACGTCGGGGTTTGCGAACGTACTCGGATCTTTCGTGATATCTAACTTGCGTTTAGCACTCGCTGCCGACAAAGGTTTCTTTATCTCATTAGCGACAATCCCTCAACGACCAGCGGTAAAGAGTAACTACCTTGAAAAGCTCGTCGATGCTTGTCATGGTTGCGACGGCTTTCGCAAAGCCAAACTTATGGATTCACCAGCACGGAGGGACAACAAATGCAGAGGGATAGTATGCGTCTAGAATAATTCCTCCAATAAACTGTAAGAATTACCTGGTCAACCTCTAACTTCTGAGCGAATCTTTCCTCTCAAGTAGTAACTGGTCGCGCAGCAGCTCCGCGATGACTACGGGCGCCACAACAAGCTTAAAGCGCAAAACCAGCGCCAAGGAAAATCGCCGACAGATTTCTCGAAGCGACTTTGCAGAACTACATCATCACCTCTCTCTCTCTCTATCTTTGTATTCGCCATTCACACTCTTGACCTTCCGAGATAATTCACTTGGTTTATTCAAATTTTACCCTATATTCAACCATGGCCCCCAAGCAGCACATCATTCCCGCTGGTCGCCCCCAGAAGGGCCTTTTCAGCACCACATATGAGCAACTCACTGCCCCGGAGAATGCCACTATTGTGCGAAGCATCCTAGTTTTCGGTGTATGTCTAGTCCTGACTATTTATTTCGCATGGCTAGAGATGCTAACTTATTCTGTTCTGCAGGCTGGCGTCGCTTTCCTCCACAGCAGCCTGTCCGAGCTCCTCCTTCCTCCGTAAGTCCTGATCTACGATGAAATCCCGTCACAGTGCCAGGCTTTGCGCTCTGATACTGATATATGCAGTCTCTAAATATACTTCCGTTGCCGCCGGTTGCTTCAAGCCCAACGCTCCGACGAGATTATGATATGAGTTAGTGTCGGCTGGGAAATGAGCGATCAATCTTCTACGATATTCCCTATGTTCAATTATCATTGAGCATTGTATTATATGGTGTGTTTCATCAGGCATGTTCTGGATGTATCTTGTGGATAGACAAGAAGTCCTATTCACGGTATGGGGTACAATATCCTGTGGCGTTTAATAGACGTGTTTAAATAAAGTGAACCGGGGTATTCTCCCTCTCATTTAAATCCTGTGGATAGTACAAATGGGCTGTTTCCAGCTTAATGTATTGAACGGCATGAAGGGTGCTGAAGAGTATAATCGTGTAGATACTTGGGTTCGTATAGCCTAACCTTCTCCGCTGAATCCGGACCAGGACGCGACAGAATCGAGTCACGTAGCAATGAAAGAGGAAGACTACGAAATCTCTACATACTAAAATGCTTGGGAATTGAAAGTAATGTCTCGTGGGAATCAAAATTTGTAGGTCATATCACATATGGACTTCTGCCTCAGGCACTGCAGTCTCCTTTCACCAGCCGTTTCCAACAGCCGCGTTTCTTCTCCAGGAGTCCAGAGTCCAGACTGGGTCTTAACTTAGCGGCGCAAAATGCCGGATCTCTCACCAATTAAACCCGTCATATTAAATTGGCATAGAATTGGCGGGGAAGCCCGCAAAACCCCACACTTATTTAGGTATGCTACCCTTTAGGGGGTGTTGCCCAGTGTCTTCAATGTCAGATCCTGAACACCGCCTGCATTCATACCAGGGAGAACGCTATTCTCAGCGTTACCACAGAGACTACCGCTCAAGTCGTTGATCTTTTTCCAATGCGTCCGCTGCGGCTGGCCGACTTGGGTTCTCTGCGAGCAAGATGATGTCGACCATCAAGCGCAAGCAGTCGAACACCGAGATATCCGATGATGGGCCTAGGGCCAGGAGAGCAAGCAACGTTCTAGGTTACAACGCCCATAGCCCATGGCTTCAGGACTCTACATTCTCTGCGAGCAGGAGGTCAGTAGGGAACCGCGCACATGCGCCTTCTTTGCCGCTGGCCAATATGGTCACAACTGTGCAGGAATTGATTGATCCGGACTTCGATCCGCTCATTGCCATCCTCGACGAAGAACCGCGCTTTCTAAAACCACTACCAGACCGAGTGCCGCCAGAGGACTTGGAATTTCTCCGCTTTCGAGGCGCCCTCTCGATCCCTGAGAGCGGATTACGCACAGAACTCCTGCGTTGTTATATCAAGTGGGTGCACAGCTTTTTGCCTCTGTTAGACTTGCAGGAGTTCTTACGATGCATTGCCGAAAACGATCCGAATGGGAATATCAGCCTGCTTCTATTTCAGGCTGTGATGTTCGTCGCGACTGCTTTTATAGATTTTAAGCATCTGCAGTCTGCGGGGTACACAACCAGGAAGAGCGCACGAAATGCATTCTACACACGACTCAGGGTATGTGCAACACCCTTCGCTTTGGTGATTTACCCTTGTACGAAAACCTGTACTGACAGATTATGAACATTAGCTTTTATACTCCCTCGACTGCGAAGACGACCGCATAGTGATTGTACAGACTCTCCTTCTGATGACTTATTGGTCGGACCACATGAATAGCCCGCAGAGAGACATATGGGACTGGATTGGAATCTGCAGCACACATGCCCACTCTATAGGGTTGAATAGGGATCCGTCATTTTCTGACATGGATAAGAGAACTAAACAAGTAAGAACTCGGCTGTGGTGGTGTTTGTTTTCCCGTGATCGGCTCATTGCGATGGGATTAAGGCGTCCAACACAGGTTAACGAGGGTACAAGCAACCTTCCGATGCTGCGGTTAGAAGATTTTGACTTTGACCCATTCCATCCGGCAGTAATTGAGCAGTTTCGCTGTCGCCAACTGGAGGACAGTACTCATCAGAAACGTCTTGCCACGATGTTCATTGAGAAGACCAAGTTGTGCCAGTGTATTGGCCGAGTGCTCTTTGCCCAATATACTCCCTCACAATATCAGTTCGGCGTGACAAACCGAACAACTATTAACCTAGTTCCTAGACACGCATCGGAATCGGAACTATCGCGGTGCAGTCAGCGTCTCGAGTCATGGCTTACAGCCCTGCCTAAGGATGTTCAATTCATCCCCGCGTCAAGGTCCAATTTCAGCGACGGAGAGGATGTCCTTCTCCTCCATGGCGCCATGGTACGAATGCTCTACCATGCCACTATTAGTACCCTTCATCGTCCATGGGCATTTGGTCTAGCCAAAGACCAAACAAACTCCTCGCTTAGATTAGCAAACATTGCGCGAAATAAGATACACGAAGCCGCTATAGGGATCACCAATATCATCCAAGGCTTGAACAAGCTCAATCTCACACGATATCTCCCACAATCCGGAGTAACGGTCATTCTACCGGCCGCTGTGGCGCATTTAGCCAACTCCATGTCCAACGATCCGACTCTTCGTGAACGCAGCATCAATAACTTCCAGCAATGCATTCAAGTCCTCCAGGGACTAAAGGACATTTATCCCGCGGCTGACATGGAGGTGGCTAACATCGAAGCCGCCGTGAAAGCCCATCCAGAAAGCACAAATGCTCTCCTCCAGATTATGCAAGTTAATAGCCCTGCTGCCCCTTCGCAAAGCCAGGACGCGCCGCGCCAACCCAGCTCTACATCAAACCCTCCCATTCCTCACAATAATACATCTTCGTCTTCCGAGGGTGTCCACGTCCCCAACCAATGGACCCCCCTTAGCGAAGAAACAGACCCCGCAACTAAATCCAGCACAAGGCAGCTAGACTTCGAAACCCCCTTAGCTCAACAAACATCCCCCACAAACCCACTCCTAAAGAATAGCACCGTGAACGCGCCCCAAACCCACCCCAAACAAGTACAACCAACACCGCCTGACGACTTCACCGATCCCCTCATCTTCACCGATCTTCTCCAATTCGATGTCGACATGGTTACTTCCACCTTCTCTCCTCCTGATCCCAACCCCCCCGGTGCTGCCGAATTCGAACTAGATTGGACAACCGAACTACTGCAATGGGTCGACGCCAACCCGGAGTACTACTCTAGTGTGACTGCAGATGCACCGAAAGATCTTTTCTCGTTTGCTGCCAGACGTGATCAAAGCCCACCACCGGGATATAGATATAGCCATGCAGGCGGAAATATAACCGGAGATCTAGATCGAGACTTGGGATTGACGTGTTCCGGCGACGAAATGTATTAGGATGTATTTGCGAGCATGTACGTACGTATTATTTGCGACTCCCCGCGTTTGTTTGATACAATATTAGCACATCAGTGGAAATGTAAAGAGTGATTTCTTGATAAAAATCAAACAGAAAAACGAATCACTAGGAATATATATTATTCTATGGACAAATGAATCCCATCAGCAGATGAGAGAGTGTGATAAATACAATGCCACCCAGAACTCCAACAATGTATGCTCTATGTGCACCGCGGTGGCCTGTGGGGTCTTTGCTTCTATATTTTTCGACTTCGGTTATCTATTTGGCATTCTTCGTCCATCGACTGCTCTCATCGCCCTCTTCCCAGACCTGCTCAACATATCCTAGTCTCTTTTTGACGCTTTGAACGGTAGCCTTGTCGCCTGTGTTCTTGCCCATGTTGTCGCTCAGCTTCACGGCGGGTTCCCCATTTGCCGTTGAGATTTTGATGACGATGTTGAGAGGCTTGGACTTTTCGCCGGTAGATTTGTGGGTGTAGTCATCTAGCCATATTGTTAGTTTAAACTGTTGAGAAAGACCGGTATGAATCCAGAGAGAATAGCTCACTTGTGAAGAAAGTTCCAACGCCAAAGGTTGGTTTGAAGCCCGCCTCCTCTGCGATGGTCTTGTACTCGAGACAGTGCTCAATATCGAGTGAGTCAGAAAACACAACGACCTTCGTATCTGTGATGCCCTCCCGGTCGTAGAATTCGCGGGCCATTTTGACGAAATATGTTGGATCGCCCGAATCCTGGCGAATACCGGTATACACTTGTGCGTATGTTTTGCAAGGAGTTTCGTCCTGTCCATCGATGGGTTTGCGGAAAGCGTCAAGGAATGCGGGTGTGCCGAATGTGTCCGTCAGTGCGATTCCGAGCACCTGCAGTTTGGTTAATTAGATTTACTTGTTAGATATGTATGGCACAGGAACTTACTCCCTCACCGAAGCAACCGAGCCAGTACTTCAGTGCCAGCTCATTTGCGTTCTCGTAGTCATCCGTGATCGCGGCAATGGTCATGTACCATTCATGAGCCACGGTTCCGACAGGGTCAACGTTATACTTCATTGCGAAGTGCACGTTGCTCGTCCCAGTAAATACGCCGGGTACTCCTTTCTCTTTTCCCTCCTTAGCCGCCTGGCATAGTCCATTCATCACTAGATCTTGCGTATGGTAATCACGGCGTCGTCTGGTTCCGAACTCAGAGAAAGTGCATCCATTCTCAAGCAAAACACAGCCCTTCCGATATGCTTTCTCTTCCTGGCAGCCGTAATCCCAGTCCTTCTCGCTAAACATAAAGTATGCTTGACTGGTCAAAGCCAAAAGCGGAATTTCATACAAAATTGTGTCAACCCAGAGGCCCTTCACAACATACTCAATGTCACCAAAGTCATCATCGCTACCGGTGTCGTTGTCTGGAGTGAATTTAATTTCGAGCTGTTCTGACGGCTTTAGTCGAAACGTTGTGAGGAAGTTCAAGTATGCGTCGTTGAAGTAGGGGCATCGCGTCTTGAGAAACTCCAGTTCGTCATTTGTAACTTGAATATTGGCAAACTCTAGACGCGGACGCTTACGTTAGTTAAGATATATTAAACAGAGGAGTATCCGTCCGTACGTACTATCCATTTGCGCCAGCATCCATTTGTACCCACCCCGCGTCAACTTCATTTGCGGGGTTCGATTTGTGAAGCCATAGGTAACGTCTATAGCAGGATCCAGGTTCCGCATTAGAGAGGCCATGAAGTCCCACTAGGATATGTCCAGAACTTACGAACTGTCGGGAAATACTTGAGAATCGCGCATTGCATAGTCAGCTTGTATAAATCCGTATCGAGAAGGGAGAAAACCCCCTCCGGAAGCGGGGAAGACGATTGTTCCCCCATGATTAATATGTGCCCAGGTTTGCAGAGCGTCTGCTGTTGACTGCGTCTGGATATGGAGAAACAGTAGTGCAGAGCAGATCTAGGTAGTTCCTAATAGGAAGATATACAGACTGTGCAATACCCAAGGAAGGCATTTAAGTTAGTGAACCATGAAGTTATTTAAGCCGCGGGGCATGATTACCGAAAATAGATGGTTTGCACCGTTTGCAGGGGATAGAGAGGGGGGCAGTTAGATATCAAAACAACACTCAATCGCCCTCTAACAGGATATTTTACCTTAAAATTACTCGATATATATACTTAAAAAGGGCCATTTCCTGTTTCCTAGAGTCTGCATAATGTTCACTTTCTATGGGTGTGAAGTAGGCGCAAGTTATGTAGATTGATATGCTATCACCGCTGTATAGATCAGAGCCCCGCGATATCGGCGCTATAGTTCCAGAAGCCGCCCATTTGTGGAAGTATTATAGTCGCGAGGTTCGTGATCATCACAATCAAGTAAGGGATTGAACCTCCCCTCTGAAAGTGAATAATTGACACTTGATTCTGTACTTTTTGCGTTGTTGAATTACATCCAACAGATCTCGAGCCTCGAGGCACATGAGATGTGGCGCAGTGTGGCTGACAGATCTACACGTGGCGCAGTATCGGACGAGTGATTTCCCCGCTCCGGGAATTCTTCTAGTGCATCTACGATCGCCATTCGTGCATTTAACCAACTGTTTCAGTACTCGTCGCCTTTCTCTCTCGCATCATTTCAAGGGGCAAAACCGTCCCAGTTCTTCGAAGGACTATATCTCCGCATATATAGGCGCAACAGTTTACGTGGAATTCTCCTTCCGAACCCACTTTTCACATTGCTTTTCTAAACAACTGCCTTTAAGGCTGAAATATGGCGCACGGTCAGGAGGATTGCGCCTCCGTGCTAGAACAGTTTGTTCATGATGTGGCGAACTTACCAGCGGAGATCAATCATTTGATGGAGGAAATACAAGCAAAGGACAAGATCATTCAAGATTGTCGCGTTATGATCAACTCTCGCGATTCCAGTTTACAGAAGTTCATCAAGCTCAACGGGAGTCTGACGCCCAACCCGAAGGAAGAGCAGTACTCGAAGATCATACTACAAAATTTGGATCGGTCCCAGCAGCTACAGGATGAAAAAATCCAGCTGAGTGAAAAGGCATGCATTCTCTTGGACAGGCAAATAAAGAAGCTGGATATCAAGATTCGCGATTTGCAGACTGATGGTGTACTTTCGAATGACCCTCCTCTTCCATCCCTCTTCAACAATAAGGATCAATATCGCGACCCCCCAAAAATCTTCTTTCCTGAATCATCCACCGAATCCCCCACGTACAACTCTCCTCTGAACACCACGTCAGGCAATGCGAATATCGTCCTAGCTGCTACTCAACGACTAAACCAATCTCTTAATCGATCAACGACGGGAACCGGTGTAGCATCGGGGAATGCTGCACGCAGCTCTGCCCCCGCCACTCCTGCGTCTGCTACCGCACATTTTCAACAGCGACAGAGGGAATCATCGGCAGGGGCAGTGGAAAATAAACGACGACGTCTCAACGCCTCCCTAGGAACGCTGCCCGCAGCCTCTTCAAATCTCCGGCAGTCTTCACTGGGACCCGGAACACCTAAAGCTGGAACTCCAGCTTCAAGCCGTGCCGGAAGTGCTGGCCCACGTTCAGCAGTAGTCACGAAGAAAGCCCTAACGAAGAAAGTCGCACCCCATCAACAATTGAAAAAGATCAAATCTACTTTGGGCGCTAGTGGGAAACCCACTAAGCGGTCGTCCAGCACGAGTGGCCGTCTCAAGGCGGGAAGCCAGAAGAAGTCTCCGTCTGCCGCTGGTGGTGATGAAGAAGAAGATGACTCCATGCTCAGCAGTGCGGACATTTCAGACTCCGAAAATGCTAGCGAGACTCGCCGCGGGGATGACGATATGGATGAGGACGATGAAGATGAGGGCAACGAGGACACTAAGGTCTACTGTACATGTCGCACCGTCAGCCACGGTGACATGGTTGCTTGCGATAACGAAAACTGCAAATTTGAATGGTTCCACTGGAAGTGTGTGGGCTTAACTCGGGAACCGGTAGGGAAATGGTACTGTCCTGAATGTTCTGCCGCCAAGGCGTCCGAATGATTGTCTCGAATCTTTTTATGACCAACTTGTACGATATGACATGACATTGCTTTCTTTAGCGTGTACGTTTTAGTGGTAGTCTACCAAATATACTCAGTTAATATGATATAACTTGGAAGTAAATTGATATTCCCCCGTCTCTCTCTCTATATAGTATACAAAGAAAATATATAGCAACATGTCAACCCCCTTTTCTCATTTTTCCATATCCCAGCGTACATTTTAAATCCGCCCTTAAATAAGGTCCATATTGAACTCAACCATGGCCCGGGACCAATGCAGGACATGCAACGCCATCGCTATGCATAAGCAAAAGAAACATCAAAAAGAAATCCAAAATGCAAAATAAAAGAAGGGCAAAGAAAAGAAAAGAAAAGAAAAATAAAGATTTAGAAAGAAAGCGCACTCTTGTCATTCAGCCAGCTCTCGAAATACTCGCAGTTCTCAGGACTGACTGCACCACCGGGCGCACAGAGGTTGAAAACCGGACATTGGCCACAGGGCATCTCGGTCATGCCGTTTTTCCCTGTCTCGCCGTCGACAGGAGAGTTTTCGTCTCCCGGTTTGCGGGCCTGTCGCGCTTTCACCTGTTCAGGGTTCTTCACGGACTTGTAGACTTCTCCATTGTTCAGGGCTACGAGTTTGTTGTCGTAGCAGAGCATCTCGAGAAGCTGAGTGATACTTTCTTCGCCCAGGCGGACCGGGGTGATGCCACTCTGATTAACGGCTGTGGTTAATGCCGCGATAGTAGGGTAGCCCTGGTAGCCGGCCGGGTAAGGGAGGTAGCTCTTTTGGCCAGGTTCTCTATTCACGGCCACACCGCCGTCCTCGGTTTTGAGACGCTTGCTTCGAGATCTATCGGCCGGGGCTTCGTACCAGCTTTTGCGACTGACGGTGTACTCGATAAACCCGGATACGACATTGATGAAGTTCTCGTCTAGGACGCCATCTGTGAACCAAGCTCCACCAGTTACGTCTTCACTTGGTGCAAGACCCGCCAGCATGTACATCTTTCGGGTGGGGAACTTGACATTGTGGACGCTTTTGATGTAGTTCTTTCCCTCGAGGGACTTGAGGCAGCGGTCTAGAATGGATTTGTGTAAATTGGTGCGGCTCTGGATTGCTCGCACCCAGATACCCGATCGTCCTGTCGAATGGATGACATTGTAGACCAAACTTTCGTCGGGGCTGAGGTTCTGGAGTCTAAAGGAAACAAAGGGCTTTAGTTTGCTCGGTGCATATTATAGAAGTACGTAGGAAGAATGGAGAGGGTCTTACTTTTCAGCATCCTCTCGGGGAATAATTTTCCAGGCCAGTCGGTCATTTTTAGCCTGAAGTAGTCGGAAGAGTTTCTGGTCGACGAGTGACTGAGTACATTGGAGGAGAAGTGGGAGATCGTTCTTGGGCACAATATCTAGACCCAAAAGATCTTGTTGATAGAAGAGATGGTCGACAGAGAACTTGCTGATACATGCCTCATACAGTCTGGAGGCAAGTTCAGTCACAGAGCCGCCAGACGGCCCCGCGGAGGCCATTGTTCGCGAGTAAGAAACCGATCGTCAGATGAAACAATCACCGCCAAGGGATACGAAATAGCATATTTCAAGGACGCACGCCAGGGCCTAGTATATTAGTGACCGCCCAAACGGACAATTACCCCAGGAGTTTTGCAAAGGAACCAGGCGCAAAGGGAAGAGGACGTCGAGCTGTGGGAGAGTCGAAAAAGATGTATTTTTTTTGGGCTGGGTTGCAATTCTTTTTTTGGCTTAGCGTATATGACTATCCTGGAAAGGGTTTAGCGCTGGCGGAAGCTCCCCCGTCTCGGCCTGAGAGCCTGAGGCAGGCCAAAAATGGGCTCTCGGAAATTTCCAGAAGCTCTGGAGCTCACGAATATTAGGTGCATCGACGCCCGGATGTCGACTTGGACCAGCCTTCACCTCTCCATTCCCCATCATTCTTTAATACTCACCACTTTCATTGGAAGTCTTGCAGCATGGCTGACGCTTTGAAGGCTGAGGGCAACAAGGCCTTCTCTGCAAAGGATTACCCTACTGCCATGTAAGTATATTCTACCCCGCTTTGAGGATGAGGATGGAAGACGGGGACATGGCTTGCAAAAGATGTATGCTAATCTGGTTTTTAGTGATAAATTCACCCAGGCCATTGCGATCGACTCCAGTAACCATGTCCTCTTCTCGAACCGCTCCGCCGTCTACGCTGCCCAAACCGATTATGAAAAGGCCCTCACCGATGCCGAGAAGGCCGTCGAGCTCAAGCCCGACTGGTCAAAGGGTCATATGCGAAAGGGGGCCGCCTACCGTGGCCTAGGAGATCTCTGTCAGTACTTCCGGCTTTTCTAGGTTGTATTTAGGTCTGCTAACATGGTATAGTGGCTGCCCACGACGCCTACGAAGAAGCCCTTAAGCTGGAGCCCGGTAACGAGCAGGCCAAGTCCGGATTCACCGCCGTGAAGAGAGCCATTGACGCCGAAGCCCAGGCTGACGGTGTCACCGGGGACCCCACAGCCGGGCTCGGTGGTATCTTCAACGACCCCCAGCTCTTCCAGAAGTTGGCCAGCAACCCTAAGACCTCCGCCCTTTTGGCCGATGGCGAGTTCATGGCAAAACTGAAGCGCGTGCAACAAAACCCTAACAGCGTCGGCGCGGAGATTCAGGACCCCCGATTCCTGCAAGTTATGAGCGTGTTGTTGGGCATTGACATGAGTTTTGGTGCTCCTCCTGAGGCTGCACCTGGTTCCTCGGGCCCCACAGCTGAGGCTGAGGAGGACATCCCCATGCCTGACGTGCGTCCTGCTGCCCCTGAGAAGAGGAAGGAGCCCGAGCCCGAGCCCCAGCCCGAGCCTGAGGATGAGGACGCCATTGCCAAGAAGAAGGCCCAGGAGGCTGGAGATGCCGAAAAGAAGCTTGGCAACGATTTCTATAAGAAGAAGCAGTTTGATGAGGCTATTGGACACTACGAAAAGGCCTGGGAATTGAACAAGGACATCACATATCTGAACAACATTGGTGCTGCCAAGTTCGAGAAGGGTGATCTCCAGGGCACCATCGAAGTCTGCCAAAAGGCAGTTGAGGAGGGCCGCGAGCACCGTGCAGACTTTAAGATCATTGCCAAGTAAGACCCTTCCCCTCTTTTTATAATATATATAACAGTTAGGTACTTACATAAACACAGGGCTTTCGCCAGAATTGGTACTGCCTACGAGAAGCTGGGAGACCTCGACCAGGCTATTGAAAACTACCACAAGTCTCTCACCGAGCACCGAACTCCGGATGCTCTTACTAAGCTGCGTAATGCTGAAAAGGCTCGCGACAAGGCCAAGAAGGAGTCTTACGTTGACCCTGAAGAGGCCGAGAAGGCCCGCGAGCTGGGCCAGAAGAAGTTCCAGGAGGCTGACTGGCCTGGTGCCGTTGACGCTTTCACCGAGATGACCAAGCGGGCTCCTCAAGACCCGCGAGGTTTCTCCAACCGTGCTGCAGCCCTCATCAAACTCATGGCCTTCCCTCAGGCTGTGCAGGACTGTGACGAGGCTATTACGCGCGACCCCAAGTTCATCCGTGCGTACATGCGCAAGTCGCAGGCTCTGGTGGCTATGAAAGAGTACAACCGTGCTCTCGACGCCTGCACAGATGCCCTGGAACAAGATGATGGAACCCACACGCGTGAGATTGACCAGCAGCAACAGAAGTGTCTTGAAGCTCAGTTCAGCGCTCGTGCGGGAGAGACCGAGCAACAGACCATGGAGAGAATCCAGAATGATCCCGAGGTATTTTTCCTTTTGATTTTTTTTTTTTTTTTTTCATTCTTCCTCGCTCCCCTCTCTCTTTTTTCCTGTTGAACGATTTTCTAACTGAAATAGATCATGTCTATCCTCCAAGACCCTGTTATGCAGAGCATCCTCCAACAAGCCAAGAGTGACCCTGCAGCTCTGCAAGAACATATGAAGAACGCGCAGGTGCGGACGAAGATTCAGAAATTGATGGCCGCCGGTGTCATCCGTCTTGGACGGTAAACCGTGCACCCTGAAATCGGGGGGGGGGGAGAAAACAAACGTACATGAATGAGAGGGAGAAATGATTGTTGGGGTCATCGGCCATGCTCTTTTTATTTTTCTTCCCTTTTTCCAGTTAATCGGTTCTGAATTGACGATGCCTTTTTTTTGTTAGTTAATGATCTGCTTTAGATGACATTTTTTAGTAGGCGTTGTTGTAGAGAGCGGTAGACGGTAAATAAAATCCAGTGGCTGGCCTCGTTCTCTTCCACTCAGCACTAACGGAGTATCTGCATTTGAAGCTGAATCTCCCTCGGAGTACGACCAGCCACCCGAGGAATTCCCTATTTTAACAAGTCGAAATGATTCAGTCTCGACTCCACCAGAAATCTCTGAGCCACGGGAAAGATGGGACGAACTACTCCAACCTAACCGAGATTATCTCTGAACGGCTCGACAACTCAGAGAAGAGATAGAACCGTAGAAGTACGTAGTCCGTACCTGGGTAGTACTCCAGGGCAAAGTGGAACTAGATCGAATGGAAGGAAATACCTCGGAATTGGGAAGGATTTCTCGGAGAAGGAGGATAGGATGTGCGTGTGTTGTGTGTGTGGGTGCATGTGTGGCTGGTAGTTATTTGGAGGACGGATGACGGATGAACTCGGTTGCCTAAGAGAAAAAAAAAAAAAAAAAAAAAAAAGACACCTTTGGTTCTACTCTGTATACGCACAAAGATTTGAAAATTCAACAAGAATTTAACACTGATCAAAGGATTCAAGAGTTATTTTTATAATGATCTAGTCTTTCGGATGTACACTACTGCAATTCCAGAGTCAATTCACATACTCTGTACTGTATACGTGTAGATGAGGAGAACCTGAAGATATCTGGTGTAAGGGTAGTGTACTAAGTTACTGGAGAAGTTAAAGGTACCTAGTATGTACCAGATACTACCTTGTAACCCTCTCCTGTGCTACCGTCCTTGGCAGGGCAGAAAAGAGTTTCCTATGTATATCTAGGTACCTTTGAACTCCCAAGTAGAACTATTCCCCAATTCTAAATTCCCTATTTTTTTTTATGAGAGAGAAGATCTTTATATATCTATATTTATCCCCAGTTGATCGATCTCCTAACTGGGAAGATACCTGTGGCGCAAAGCAGATCCGTGGCGGTGCTGGTTCTCAATAGATCGAACACCGGCGTCCAACTAATTCCCCCCGGCGATCGATGGATGGCGTAACCGAGGATTTGGAACGAACAATCCAGAGCACTAGATAATAATAATAATAATAATAATGATAATGATAATAATAATTAAAAAATAACAATCATTATTATAGTAGTGGTGGCTAGATCACCAAGTCCTCCGTAGAGCAGGATTCAAGTCTCTGATATTCCCAGTATCGACCTCACGACCTGCAAAATCCGTTGCGAACCTCAGGTTGCGACTTTTCTCTTCGGTCGCTTCTATCATCATCAATCGACAACTCCTCCTCTCGTTTTCAACAACTTTCAACGCTTTCGGTCTGCGAAGGATCACGCATGGCCACACTAATCAACCCGCTATTCAATTTAATCTCTCCTGAAATCCCTATTATCCAATATCTTGCTAGCTGACGGTGGACTCCTTATTAGCCACCCTTCCTGGCCCTCTTCTTTTGACGCAAGTGGCTCCGCATCCCAATTCATCCTTTCACCTCCCCCCCCTCCCCTCCGGTTACCTTTCCACATTTTCGGTTGCCCTGAATCATTTATCCTTTCTCTCCTCCTTTCGGAGTTTCTCTCCTTTCCTTGAACCATCGCTCTTCTCTACTTCATTGTGGTGGAATCGTTGTCTTCATTCTCGAGTAAGCAATCCCTCAAAGCTCCTCCCTCCCCCTTCCAATCGTACCACTCTCCCACTCCCTTCTTTCTCCGAGAGCTTAGGAGCTTCCGTGCTCGAGCCACCACCTCCCCGCTGCGGAGGTTCTCAGTGAGTGGCAAGGTAGCAGCCGCCTGAACCGCAGCTCATAGGAAACACCCCATGGATTTCTTTTCCTCCTTCTCTGTTCTTTGGAAGTATTATTCAGAATCCTTTTCTTTCATCCGTGTACAGAGTACACCGTGGATAAGGGGGGGGGAAAAAAAATTCAATCAAACTGACCGGTTTCCCGCTTCAGATTCAGATCGGTTGGGGACTTGTAGTAGGTGGTTTTGCGCCAGAGGCTCATCCTCCTCCCCAATCCGAAGAGAACCATGGCTTCGCAAAAGATTGAAGAGCAGAAGAGTGAATTGAAGCAGCGAGGCGCCATTGAGGCTGCTCAAGGCACTCAATATCCCTCAATGGCTCGCGCCGAAGCGGTTGAGAAAAAGATTGTCGACGAAACCCTAAAAGCCGGTTTACCAGCCTACCAGTTCGATCCGGATGCGACACCAGAGCAAAAAGCTGCTGTTGCAGAATCTGTACGTTCCCTTTTCTATTCTGTTATACCTGGTGTTCCCCCCCCCCCCAAAAAAAAAGACATCGGTTCGCTGAACCCATCATTTGCTGTGTTTCAGCAAGTACCTCCAGGCTTCCACCATGACAAAAAACCGATGGCTGTGGCAGCCATCCCAGATAAGGTGAGTGTGGTATATCCTCTTCTTTTTAGGCTCTGGGTCTGGCTGACGGTCTTTTGTCTCAGGGCGATGGCACACCCGATCAGGACAAGCTTCCACCCCCCAAACCTGCACCCGCATTGCTAGTGGATAAGTCGGCCGATGCGATAGCGCCCAAGAAGGATGGCCAGCCGATGGACGATGAAGCACGATGGGCACGCGATCGCACTGGGTGGGCCCCCCAATTCGCACAAGAAGAGACAAAGCAGGAGCATGATGATGCAACCCTCTTGGACCATCAGACCCTGTTGGAAAGTAGTCTGGACGATAAGTTCTTCGGAGGTGGGCGAATCTCGATTAAATCAATCAATTCTCTTGGTACTAATACAATCTAGACTGGTATCACAATGCCGGTGTGATAGTCTTTGCGTGTCTCGCCTCCTGGCTCGTCGCCGTGTTGGGCGGCGGTCTTGGCTGGATCTTTATCGTCATGGCTGCATGCGGCACATACTATCGAACCTCAATTCGACGCGTGCGACGGAATTACCGCGATGACGTTCACCGTGAAATGGCAAAGCAACGCCTGGAGACTGATACCGAGAGCTTGGAATGGATCAACAGCTTCCTGGTCAAGTTCTGGCCCATCTATGCGCCTGTACTGTGTGACTCAATCATCAACTCCGTTGATCAGGTTCTGAGCACCTCCACCCCCGCCTTTTTGGACAGCCTGCGGTTGAAGACTTTCACCCTGGGTAGCAAGCCTCCACGACTGGAACATGTGAAGACCTACCCTAAGACGGAGGTCGATACTGTCATCATGGATTGGAAATTTAGCTTCACACCTAATGACACTATGGACTTGACCTCTCGCCAGCTGAAAAACAAGATCAATCCCAAGATTGTCTTGGAAGTCCGGGTCGGCAAAGGGGTTGTGAGCAAAGGTCTGGATGTGATTGTCGAGGATATGGCATGTAGCGGCTTGATGCGGGTGAAAGTAAAGCTTCAAGTTGCCTTCCCCCATATCGAGAGGGTGGACGTTTGTTTCCTCGACCGACCCGAGTTTGACTACGTTTGCAAACCCCTGGGTGGTGACACCCTTGGGTTCGATATCAACTTCATTCCCGGTCTGGAGAGCTTTATCAAGGAACAAATCCACAACAATCTTGGGCCCATGATGTACAGCCCGAATGTCTTCCCTGTGGAGATTGCTAAGATGCTGGCTGGAAATGCCGTTGACAAAGCAATCGGTGTTGTTGCCGTCACCCTCCATGGCGCCCGCCAGCTTAAGAACCCTGATGCATTCGCTGGTACTCCTGACCCTTATGCAGTTGTTTCTCTAAACCACCGCACCCCTCTCGGACGCACCAAGACAATCCGCGACACGGACAGCCCGAGATGGAATGAAACGATCTATGTTATTATCACGTCCTTCGCAGATACGTTGACCATCCAAACATACGATTGGAACGAGTTCCGAAAGGACAAAGAACTAGGAACCGCTACTTTTGCGATGGACAAACTCGAGCAAGAGCCTGAACATGAAGGTATTTACATGGAGGTTTTGGCCAGCGGTAGATCCCGTGGAACTATCCATGCCGACATCCGATTCTTCCCAGTGCTGGAAGGTAGGAAGCTGGAGACTGGAGAGCTTGAACCCCCTCCGGAGTTGAACACTGGTATCGCACGATTCACGGTTGAACAAGCCAAGGATCTGGATGGAACGAAGAGCATCGTCGGTCACCTCAACCCTTACGGTGTGCTGCTTCTGAATGGCAAAGAAGTCCACATAACCAATAAGCTAAAGCGCACCAATAATCCTATCTTCAAGGACGCCTCCAAGGAATTCCTCATCACGGACCGGAAAAATGCACGTCTTGGTTTGGTGATCAAGGATGACCGTGATTTGGTGAAGGATCCGATTCTGGGCACTTATCATATCAAGCTGAATGACATGCTCAAAATGATGGAAAAGGGCAACAATTGGTTCCAGCTCCACGGCGCCAAGACGGGCCGTGCAAGGCTGCTCCTGGAGTGGAAGCCTGTCGCAGTCGGAGGTATCTCTGGCAGCGCCGGATACATCGACCCTATTGGTGTGATGCGGATCCATTTCAAGAACGCATCAAACCTCCGCAACCTGGAAACTATGGGCAAGTCAGATCCTTACGTTCGTGTCCTGCTGTCTGGCTTTATGAAGGCCCGGACAGTCACTTTCAGAAACAATCTGGACCCCGAATGGGACGAGATCGTATATGTTCCGATCCACAGTGCTCGCGAAAAGCTTACTCTGGAAGTTATGGATGAAGAGTCTGTCGGTAGCGACCGATCACTTGGTGCAGTTGAACTCTCCGCCGCCGACTATGTCCATGAGAACGAAAACGGGGAATATGAAATTGATGACGAAAAGCAACTTGTGTCTAGTGGTCTTCGTCTTGGCAAATCCGTCAAAGGAACATTGAACTACACCATTGCCTTCTACCCAACGGTGCCAGTTGTCAACCCAGAGGATGAGGTTGAAGAGGAGCAGGAAGAACAAGCGAATGGCGAAGTTGAAGGATCCGATGCCTCGCGGAAGAGCATTGACTCGAAACCCAAGAGTTCCCACTCCAAATCCGCCAGTGTTGACTCGAAAGCTTCTGCCACCAAAGCCACGACAAACGGCACCGCCGAAGTGCAAACCAATGGCCGTGCCAGTCTCGAGACGACAACCCCTTCCACCCCTGCCACCACAAAAGACTCCGAAACCATGTCAGTCAAATCGGTCAAGGAAGTGCCCAAGACTTACATCTCTGCGGAAGAACTCAAGAACTACGGTATTTACTGTTTTCATACAACTCATATTTATTCAACACTAACGTCTACAGAATCCGGTTTCATTGTTTTCAAGCTGCATGAGGTTCACCTCTCTCGTGCCAACGTGCACGTGGAAGTTCTCATGGACGACTACATGTTCCCAGCTTGGTCATCTCAGAAGATTCGCACCAAGGCCACTCAAATTGAAGACAGTAGGTTTTTTTTTTTTTTTTTTTTTCCCTTTCCGTTGGTACCATGGGGAGAAAACTAACAATGTATAAAGTTGGTGATGCATTCGTGCGTGAACTCGAATTCTCGAAGATCACACTCCGGCTCGTAGAGAAACACAACTCGAAGGATGACGACGATCATACAGTGGCCAAACTAACAGGAGACACACTCTCTACTCTCCAGCGTATCTTGGTAAGCGTCCACATTTCACGATCTCCTGAATACTTTCTAATTATACCAAGTATACTCCTACTGAACTCGTCCTTCGGTCTAATGACGGGGAAGTGAGCAAGGTTACTGTTAGCGCCCGATATATTCCTGCCAACATGAAGCTCGATCCTACTGAGAGCATCAACAATATGGGAACTCTGCGTGTGGATGTTTTGGACGCCGCCGAGCTTCCTTCGGCTGATCGAAACGGCTTCAGTGATCCATACTGCAAATTCCGTCTGGGCGAGAAGGAAGTGTTCAAGACGAAGGTACAGAAAAAGACACTTCACCCCGCTTGGAACGAATTTTTCGATACTCCTATAAAATCGCGAATAGGCGCCAATTTCCGTGTCGATGTTTATGATTGGGACTTTGGCGATAAGGCGGACTATCTCGGTGGTGTCCCTATTGACCTCGAAGCTCTGGATCCGTTTCAGAGCAAGGAGGTGACTCTAACCCTTGACGGAAAGTCGGGCGCTATTCGAATGAAGCTGCTGTTCAAGCCAACCTACGTGATGCGCTCGCGCCAAGGTTCATCTACCTTCTCCGGTACATTTGCTACGCCCGGAAAGATTGTCGGCGCTCCTGTTAAAGGAGTTGGGCTTGTTGGCGGCGGCGTTATCAAGGGTGCCTCTTTCCTTAAACACGGGATCATGTCTAAAATCCGTGGAGATGAACCAGGCTCTGATGATGAGGGAACGGAAAGGGAGGTTCCGAGAGCTCCCGCTGCTATTCTGGTTGACGGAGAGACTCCTCCTAGCGCGACACCTAGCAGCACTCTCCAGCATGCGCGCACGCGAAGTGTGGTTTCGCAGTACGCTGATCGACTTGGTATCAGCGGCAAGGGTGAGCCCGGATCTGCTAGCATTTCGATCGTTTCTGCAACCGGATATCCGCCGTCCGCTCATGTACGTGTTATTGTGAAAGTCGTTGGGACCAAGGGTGCCAAGGAAGTACTCAAGAGCAAGGCCGTCAAATCCGGCGGTGGCCCCGTGTACTTTGACGCTTCACACGAGACGTGCCGAGTACACAACACGACGGCCGATGCGCAGTACCAAATCAAGGTTGTGGACCATGCAACCTTTGGTTCCGACAGCGTTCTTGGCGAAGCCATGTTCTTTGTGGACGACCAGGGTTCAGCTGCGGGACAGGAGAGATCGGTGAGCGTTGGCAAGGGAACTATCGCACTCCGCAGCAGCTTCTCCGCGGTGGAGGGTCTGCGGCCCGGCACGTCATACTCGAACACGGGCGATGCGGCGTCGGAGGTGATGGACAGCCCGGACTCGAAGAAGCCGGGACGCCGTAGCTTCCTTAGCAAGCGGAATGCCAGCGGAGCTTAAGTGGTTCTAGGTATATAAGTGATTGATGTCTTGATGATTCCGTGTTTACTGAGTTTTCTATTTTCTTTCTCTTTTTCTTCCTTCCTTCCTTTCTCTTTCTCTTTCTCTTTCTTCCTTTCTCTTTCCCTCTTTCTTTCTTTTTTCTTTTCTTTCTTTCTCTCTGTTCCCTTTTCCCTTTTCCTTTTCTCATTTAGGATCAAACATTATGAGATGGTGGGCCATCACATGATCTAGTATTTAGGGGGTTGAATTGGATAATGACACTCTCAATACCATAAACAGATACATGACATGCATGACTAGTCACCTGTAGGTCAACAAGAAGCAGTTGAAATCAGAGAGAACCTGGTGGTTAAATGAGATGAGAGGTGATCCAGGCCGCCACACCGCTGGAAACAAGGCAAGGAAGCCGAGCTATGCGGCTGAAATGATATATCACTCTCTGTTCTTGTTTCCCAATCCTTTTGGGATTTTCTCCCAACCCCATAGACGAACCCAGGGGAGGGGAGGGGGGAGGGGAAAGAAAGTAAGACAAACTGGCAAACCAGCTGAAATCATGAACTAGTGGCACAGCGGGCAGCCAACAAGATAACCTATAGTGTGGTGTTGGGAGTATCCACCGGAAGACAGAGAGGTATGTGTACTAGTTTAGGGGCCTTAGTTTGGAGTCAGTCACTTAATTAATTAACGAGGTAGTTTACAGAGTCTCCATCATCGACTCAGGATATTTAAAATTAGAACTGAGCGTGAGAGGGATCCAGTCCGGTTCCAGAATCGAGAGGGGCATGGCGGAAGCTGGTGTCTTGAATGGTTATATGATTTTATTTGGATATAGATATAATTATATAATTATGTATCTACTACGAGGTACAGAATAGTCTTACCTATTATTATCCTGTCTCCGTACTAGATAGAGAATCGTATAGTTAAGCATAGATCCTAATAGTAATCCTCCATCCTGAACCCTGGAAAAGGGGAGATTGTTTCAACTTTCAATCGGGAATGTATACGGAGTAGGTGGTTTTGTATGGTATGGTAAATCTCCTTTTTTCCGTCACTGATCCACTTCATCTCGGTATCGTCATTGTTGTTGTTGTTGCCCCCAACTCTCTCTCAAATAAATTCATCTTTCCAGCTTCTTCTCTTATTCTTTCTCCATCCATCCACCATCTCTCTCTCTCTCTCTCTCTCTCCCATCTAATTTTCCATGTAAGTATCCTTTCTCCCTCTCTCTCGTCAACCCTGTTCTGTTACTCAGCTACTCAACCCCCCATCATTTCTTTCCTCCTCTTCCCTCTCTCTCCCTCCTCAACTCAGCTAGAGCTGTGATTAATGCTTCGATAGACTGTTGAGCGGACTCTCTTCGTCCCTTCTCCGCACTGCTTTGTGACCTACTACCTGAGCTTTTCGATACACTCTCACTCCTCCATACCACACAATGGCCTCCAAAGTTCTGCCTACCCATCTGAGCTCGAATACCGGCTTTGGAAAGCACCATGGAAAATCCCAGTCTCACATGGTAAGTCGTAAAATGCCTTTTTGTTTTTTTTTTTTTTCTCTTCTTATTATCTCCACTCCTCGTCGGGGAAAGTAGAAAGCAAAAAGCGCCCCTGTCAGGTTGCTTTACGGTGCTGTGCATGCCACTTCACCCCTAACTGAAACCCCCTCCCCCCACTCCAATTGAAAACAACAAAGCTCCCAACTTCTGGATTTCCAAAGCTTGGGTTTGGGTGGTGGCGATGACCTCAATGGCGGTCTTGCCCTATATTTTATTATAATCATTGCCCATGAATGTCTTTGCCGTTTCCTTTTTTCTCTTGCAATTTCCTTTTTGTTTTTTTTTCCCCTTGAGTTTTTGGTATGCTTGCTTGGCTTTGGCTACTCTCTCTGCGTATCCTATGTGTGGACAGATTTTCCCTACCGCAAAGGTCTGCTTTTATCTGCGTTTTACTGTCCCTCTACCCCTCCGTATCTCAAAACGGCCCGGCAGCGTCTATTACCCTGAGAGAGCTCATTACCTTTTCTTATGCTTGACTTGTTGCTTTATTAGCCATTCCCAATGCTTGGTTCGACTACTAACACTTACAGGCATTCGAAAATGCCTCTACCAGCGTGGCTGCTTCTCAGATGCGCAATGCCCTGAACGCCCTCGCCGAGACCGTCCCGGATGCCACCGAGCGCAAGCGCTTTGAAGCGGAGATGGACAACTTCTTCGCTCTCTTCCGTCGATTCCTCAACGACAAGGCCAAAGGAAACGTGGTCAACTGGGACCGCATCGCTCCTCCTAACCCCTCCCAGGTCGTGAACTACAACGACCTGGGCAAGGAAGCCTCCGTCGAATTCCTCAACAAGTTGGCGGTTGTTAAGCTTAATGGTGGTCTGGGAACTTCCATGGGCTGTGTTGGCCCCAAGTCCGTCATCGAGGTCCGTGATGGCATGTCCTTCTTGGATCTCTCTGTCCGTCAGATTGAGCACCTGAACCGCACTTTCAACGTCAATGTTCCCTTCGTCTTGATGAACTCCTTCAACACCGATCAGGATACACAGTCCATCATCAAGAAATATCAGGGCCACAACGTCGACATCATCACCTTCAACCAGTCTCGCTACCCCAGAATCATCAAGGATTCTCTGCTGCCCGCCCCCAAGTCTTTCGACGCCCCCCTCCAAGACTGGTACCCCCCCGGTCACGGTGACGTGTTCGAGTCTCTTTACAACTCCGGCACTCTGGACAAGCTCCAGGAGCGCGGTGTTGAGTACATTTTCCTATCCAACGCAGACAATCTAGGTGCCGTGGTGGATCTCCGTATCCTGCAACACATGGTGGACACTGACGCCGAATACATCATGGAATTGACCGACAAGACCAAGGCTGATGTCAAGGGTGGTACCATCATCGACTACGAGGGTAAGGCTCGTCTCCTGGAAATCGCCCAGGTGCCCAAGGAGCACGTGAACGAGTTCAAGTCCATCAAGAAGTTCAAGTACTTCAACACCAACAACATCTGGATGAACCTCCGTGCTATCAAGCGTGTCGTTGAGGAGAACGAGCTGGAGATGGAGATTATCGCCAACGAGAAGTCCATCCCCGCCGATAAGAAGGGTGAAGCCGACCAGGCCATCTACCAGCTCGAGACCGCCGTCGGTGCTGCCATTCGTCATTTCAAGAACGCCCACGGTGTCAATGTGCCCCGTCGCCGCTTCCTGCCTGTCAAGACCTGCTCCGATCTCTTGCTGGTCAAGTCTGATCTCTACCGCCTGGAGCACGGCCAGCTGCTGATGGACCCCAGCCGATTTGGTGGCGTGCCTGTCATCAAGCTTGGCAGCGACTTCAAGAAGGTGTCTGATTTCCAGAAGCGCATCCCCAGCATTCCCCGTATTGTCGAGCTGGATCACCTTACCATTACTGGAGCCGTGAATCTTGGCCGAAACGTCACCCTGAAAGGGACCGTTATTATTGTGGCCACGGAAGGTAGCACCATTGACGTTCCCCCAGGTTCAGTGCTGGAGAACTGTGTTGTCCAGGGCAGTCTACGTATCCTTGAACACTAATTTATTTCGCCTAAAATCAGAGGGGGAAAAAAAAAAAGAAAAAAAGAAACAAGAAAAAAAGAAACAAAAAAAAAGGGGGGGGGGGGGGGGGAGTACTCACTATTTATAGCTGTCTTTAATATCTCTTTACCTTCTACGCCAATAATTCTACTTCACGACTGTGCTCGCGGTCGTGCTGCATTCCCCTTCCATGATATGATACATGAGAGGTCTTGCATGGGTTGATAGAGCTCACTTTTTTTTTTTTTCCTTTTCCTTGTTGAAGCGGGACTGTCTTGTGTGGATTTTGGGTTTTCGGAAGGCTGGTGGTGATTTCAGTGTCTCGCGCCGTGGCAAAGGGATGGGATCTCTCGGCTTGAGTGTGCCGCAACACGAGTTTAATCATCGAGGTCTATTTCATTCTAAGTTATCCCCCCCGCAGTAATATCAGATGATTCGCATATCGTCCGGGTAGAAAGTTCGAATATAGCACATGCTTTCTGGCGGAGTTGTGTCACCCGGTTTTCCCTCGTAGCCGCAGCGAACAAGGGGACGAGGATGGGGGGATTCTCTTGTTCATGATGCAGTCACGAATCTAGATCGGATGTCTTTCTTTTGCAACTGGGTGGTGCCACTGACTGCTGTGGGTCGAGTTTTCCATCGGACCTACAGCCACAAACAGGAAGACATATCAAGCATTCCTTTTTGTTCGATTCATGCTGCACTGGCCGATGATTTATATGGGTTACAAGGGTTGCATTTTGCATGCCACTGGGATTCTCCCTTCACCTGGTCATATTATTACTCTCTACCATTTCCTGACCCAGTGAAATGAGGTTTTCTCACAGCCATGTAGGGTGGGTATGACTCCCGTTGAGAACATAACATTTCGGACGCCTCTACCGGGGTTTATGTCATGTAGAATGCGAGCTTATATAGGTTTCCGGATTCTTTTTGGAATTTTTGTGGAATTTTGATTCTCATTGTTATTCTATGACTTCATGTAGCCCTCGTGGCGATTTTATCTTACAAATCTTCTACATTTCTTCACTACAACAACTCTTACCAGGTTCTATTCCAACAAGGATACCATATACAATGAGTGATCGTCCAGCTCAACATCCATATCAATATCAGCCCATTGCGCCTGGCCCGTCTCCGTCTCTCCGCTCGCTCTCTCAATCCCAACCCCAACAATCGGATACAGGACCTGCGTTTTCTTCCACGACCAATACCAGCACCGATAGCACTACGACGTCGTCGAATACCGCAACCATGGGGGACTCCCCACCTCCGGAACGGGGGCGTCGTGGATCAGTGGTGGATTTGACGAAGAAGAGGGTCTCGATGGCTTGTTTGGCGTGTAAGAAGTCGAAGCGGAAGGTTGGTCGATTCTTTCTTGTCTTGTCTTATAATCAATGATGGACTGACGGGATAGTGCTCTGGTGTCGCCCCCTGCGATAATTGTCGCGCGTTCGGTCGACAATGTGTTTTCGATGAAACCCTCGACCAGCGCCGGCGCGTCGCTGCAAAACGCACCGCCGATGAACTGGGTTACCATCGAGATATGCTCAACGACCTCCTGAAGGTGATGCGCGCCGAAGACCAATTCTACGCCCTTCGACTCCTCGAGATCATCCGGCGGGATGCGACCTCGGAGGAAATCAGAGCGCACATCGATGATACACTCGCACAGATTGAAGACACCGGGAAGGAAAGCGAAGATGTCATCCGGAAACTCGAGGACGTGCGGAGAGTGATTAATGTCGAGGGGGCCGGACCGTCGTTTCGTCCCAAGGTCATGGATATCCATTACCTTTGTGATGAGGTACCGTATCGGGTGCCAGCGAAGCCGTGGACGACGGTCACCGAGGATGCGGATTTAGTGTCGCATTTGGTATCGTTGTATTTTACTTGGGATTACCCCTTCCATGCGTTTTTGGATCGGGATGTGTTCTTGAAGCATATGGCAAGTGGGGATACGAATTCAGAGCTCTGTAGTCCTTTCTTGGTCAATGCGTTGTTGGCGAATGCTTGTGTGAGTTCCCCCCCCCTCTGCGCGTGGTTTAATTATGAGATGAGAGTTGACCCTCTGGCTAGCACTTCTCCGATTACTCAGAGGCATATGTCCACCCTGGTGACATGGTGACAAAAGGAAATGATTTCCTGGCAGAAGCTGAACGACTGAAAGATGAAGAATCGACAAGATTGACTCTGCCCTATCTCCAAGGAACTCTCTTACTATATGAAAAGTATGCAATAGTCCCCATCACTGACCGGGCTGGCTGCCCCTTGTCTGACTGGGCTAGGTTCTCCCTCTCCGGGGAAAACGATCTGGGGTATAAAATGCTTCATCAGGCGATATGGATCGGTGAGTCCCTAGGGTTGATTGGCCCGAAGAAACTGAGCGTGGACCTCGGCCAGATCTCACAAGATATGGATGCCTCTTTAAAGCAGACAGCTTGGGGTTTGTTCCATATAGACACGTATGTCATGATGACGATCCCCTGGGTGCCGGGGAGCTGATTCGAAACAGGGTTGTGCATACCGACTTTCTGCGGCCGAGTCTCATAGACAAGATCAACCTTGATCGACCGAATAGACACTGGGCTGATGAGATGGCATTGTGGATTCCGTACCCCTCTCATCGACCTCCTCGACCTTCCTACCTCAGACAGTACTTTGACGAGTCGTGTAACCTGTGCGAGATCGCTCGAGACATGTCGCAGCGTTTGTTTTCCATTGACGAAGCCCTGAGCTCTGCGGAGGATCAGCGCCGAACCAAGGAAGCCTTGTACGAAAGGCTCCGTCGTTGGTACGCTGGGTTGCCGAGAACCTTCGATACTGCCCGAAAGCCAACCCCGTACGTGATCATGCTAAGGTATATATTTCCAAAGAAAAGAAAATGTTAATTTCCCTATTCCAAAATTAACATGAACAAAACCAGGATGCAATATCACACGTTGGTAATCAATTTATTCCTCTTCAAGATCAATGACAACACGCCCAGCACCGAGGCAGAAAGCCTCACAACACCCCAAAGTCCCAAATCTCCAGCTTCTCTGTCAATAATATCAAGATGCAATGCTGAAGTTATTACGCAGTCAGCTGCACGGGCGATCGCCGCTCTAGCACGTCTACATCGAAAAGAATATGGAATGGGCCGAGCGCACCACTTTGCCATGTACGCCATCAACCTAGCTCTGTTTGCTCTACTGGAACAGCCAAACTTCGACATCCTGGATCAAGATTTTTTGAGTCTGGCCAGTGCTTTTTCGAGGATTGCGAGTCGCTCGCACCTGGGCCGAAATTTATTCCATCTATTTCGACAACATGTGCGGGCAAAACGTCAGGGCAGGCGGATTCGTGAATCTCACCTGGCCAACGACGAGCTGAAGGTACTGTTTGATGAAGAAGCCACCTCTCCATCTCTGTGGGATGAGTATGCTCAGGGACTAGAGAAACTAAATGAGGATACACGGTACCATGGTATCCGCATTGAGGGCGACCACAGTTTGTTCGAGATGCTGGACCGGTACGAGAGTTTGAGCTTGGGCAAGGATGAAATCGCACCCGAGAGGCCGCGTCCTGGGGAGCACGAGTATATTCCCTGCTGATTCTACAATAGCCTCTGATCGTTTTCGCGGTTTGCGACCTGTTGGTTTTGAATCATCATGGATGTGGCGCTTGGATGCCTGGTACCTCGTGAAGTCCCAGTATTTTTCTTCCCCTCCTCTTGAACATTTTGAGACAAGGATAAACTCCAGGAAGAACTCTCTCAGCCTGCCAGAGTTCACCAACTACCAATCACAGGAGAAATGTTTATTCAGGTCTTTTTTTTTTTTTTAAGAAAAGTCAAGAGGTTCCTCATTTGATGACATCACTGACTGACCCCATCCTCGCCACTCAGTCAGTCTACACGCTTTCCCCATATATTCCTAGTATTTCAGCCGCGCCTCTAGAGTTCTTCTCGGGAAATTTGCAGTCGCATTTACTACCACTCTACCTTCTTGCTTGTTGAAGCCTGTGTCTTCTGTCTCGCTGTTGACAGATGGCGTATTTCTTCGCTCTCCGAGCGCCCGGGAGTGCAGGCCATGGATGATACAATCAGCCCTGATTCACCTTCTCTCAATGACTCCAGTCGCGGCCAGAAGGCTGGGGGTGTAAGCCCCGATTACGCTCCGCCTCTTTCCCCGTCCTCCTCTTCCAACTGGCTCTGGAGGCCTGGGTCCGTCAGTATTGACAACGCCCCTCCCACGAACTATCAACTATATTCGTTCCCACAGCACCATGACCAGCAGCCCCCTGTCCGGTCCCAGTTCGTCCCGTTCCCACCGGCGGCCGCTGTGTCCGCGGTCCCGCCTAAGATTGCTATCCCGCGTGCCACCGCTTCGAAAACCTACTCACAACGGCATCGATCTGCACGAGCGTGCGAGCCATGTCGCCAGAGAAAGGTCAAATGTGATGGTGGCAAGCCAGCCTGTCGAAAATGCCGAGAGCATGATTTGAGCTGTTTCTATGTCGATATCAAAAGGGTGCGGGATCAGAAGCAGTTGGGCACATTGACTCAAAAGGTGGAACGTTATGAGAAGCTCTTGCGACAGCTCGAGTCTCAGGTAGAGCCGGGATCTGCAAGACTGATCGAGAGGAGTTTATCGGTGAGTTTTCCCTCTTCCTCTTTTTCTCTCGGCACTTACTCCGGGCCCCAACTGAACATGTAGGACATTGATAAACCTGACTCCGATGCCGATGGGTCCGAATCCGACTCAATTTCATCCACGGGGTCACTGGATGCGCTCGACCTGATTAAAGAGGATCTAAACCGTAGCGAAAAATCAGTCGCGGCCGGGTTCTTTGGCAAGAATTCGGAGGTTGCCTGGATGCAAAGACTGGAGGATGAAGCCGAACAGCGGAGCCATCAGTCCGAGGCTGATGCTCCGCCGATTGGGATGCAGTCACCCAGGTTGCCAAAGCAGGATGTTCCGATTATGATGATGAGCTACCACCTGGATGACCTGACGATTTCGTTGCCCGATTCCATTGACCCCTACGCCTTGCCCCCCAAGGAGCTCGCAGACCGGTATTTCAAAGCATACATGGAGTCCGTTCATCCAGCGTTTACTGTGATTCGTAAGACTACCTTTACAGCGCAGTACGAGCAGTTTTTCAGCCAGCCGTCGACTCCCCCGCCTCGGTGGCTTGCGGTTTTGAATATGATATTTGCCATTGGATGTCGGTATTGCAAACTAACCGGCACGGTTGAGGACGTTGAAGTTGAAGATTTGAAATACTTGAACCGTGCCAGGAAGCTGTGTCTAGACGGAAATGTCCTGTTCGAACATGCAGATCTCCAGCAGATCCAGGTAGAGTTTCTCGTTGCCCTTTATCTTGTTACCCTGGGTCAAGTCAACAGGTACGCGTCTAAGCCCCCCCCCCCCCCCCAAAACGGTTGTTTATTAGCGGTTCGTCACTGACTTTTCTCTTCGACGGAGCAGAGCATCAAAGTTCTCCAGCATGGCGTTCCGTTCGGCCATCTCGTTGGGAATCAATTTACGATTCGAAGATGATCGAACCCATTATGCTTCGAAGGAGGCACGGGGTCGTCTTTGGTGGTCAATATTCGTATTGGAACACCTGCTGACATCGATAACCGGTCGCGTATTCGGTGTTGACGAGGGACTCAGTGCGGCACCACTGCCCATCCCCTTTGATGAAGGGAGCGGTCACAACCCGGACCTCCTTGATACCTTCCGTGGCCCAGCACGTATGAGTCGCCTTCAACTGACTCTACTTCAAACCGACGAAGAGGCCCAGTTAAATGCAGATTGGCTCGCGAGATTCGAGCCCAGCGCGTCGCTATTCTTCCACTGTTTCGTAGATCTGTCGGTCATTACGCAGGCCGTCATCAGCAAGATTTACAGCATCCAGGGGCTTCATGATCCAAGCAGCCAAGTCGAGCAGCGAATCCTACGGTACTCCCGGACGATAGACACCTGGCTGCACAAAGTTCCGGAGCCATACCGATTCACGATCTCTGAAGATACCGATACTTTTTACGTCCCCCACAATGCAGACTACATGCGCGAACGAATCACGCTCGCAATATCGTACTACAGCACCCGCATTACGCTCTGCCGCCCTTGCCTCTCACACAACCAGGCCAATCCCTCCACGCACCGCCACCCACGCTTCCGCACTGCGATGGCCCTCGCTTGTCTGCGCGCCGCTCGTTCTTTGCTGTCCATCCTCCCGGACCGCCCAGATGCCATCTGGCTCACCACCGTGACCCCCTGGTGGGCGATCCTCCACTTCATCATGCAGGCCACCACCGCGCTCCTCATCGGCATCTTCACCTGGAACCCGCTCAAGGCCTCGCCGGACCCGTCGCGCCCGCCCCTCGACACCTCGGCCATGCTCTCGGAAACCAAGAAAGCCTTCCGCTGGCTCCATCACATGGGACGCACCAGCAAGGAGTCCCGCCGGGCCTTTGTGCTCTGCGAGAGCTTCCTGCGTCGCGTGGCGCCGAGCCTGGGGCTAGATATTAGTGATATCCCGGAGTCCGGGTCTCTGCCACCGTTGGCGGAAACCAGTCTGGGTGGTGGAACAGGCGATGTTGTATTGGAAATGGTTGGCGATAGGTAGTTTTCCATCGTATATCGTATATCTTGTGATGATTCCTTCATGTTTATATTCTATATTGATGACTGGATTTTTTTTGTTATGTCTTACATGGGTAATCTACCTTTTTTTTTTTCTTTTTTAGTTCACTTACTTACTTACTTACTCAGTCTTGTGACTTAGTACCCCTACCTACCTTAATAGTTCTATGCTCTATACTCCGTAGAGTATACATAACATAACATAACATAACATAACATTATCCATATCCATATCCATATCGGGTCTTGACAGGGACTTGTCATATCATTTAATATCCTATCCTGGGACATCCGACTCTCTATCCTAGACGATTCTGGAATAACGACATACATACATACATCTATATCTATATCTATATCTATATCATATCTATACCATACTATAGTAGCCATACTACACCTACATTCGTCGTCAGATGGCTATTAGTTAGTTAGTTAGATAGATAGACAGCTAGCTATAGTGTAGGTAAATAATAATAGGCCACGCGTGTCACTAAAAAAGTATCTATCTATCTATCTATCTATCTATCTATATACCTATATAACTAGGTAGGGGTACCTATAACGATGGAAGAACCTTGATTTTTGAGAATCGGACTGGTATCTCGTCATGACGACGAATGACAGAATGACAGAATCAGAAGCAAGAGGTTAGTTAGAGCTAAGAAGGGGGGGGGGGGGGGTTGTAGAAACTAAGGTTGCATGGAATGAAAGAAAAGGTGTCCCCTGACGTAGGTTAGTTTGGTAGGTTAGGTATGTATTTTGGTGCATTTATGCTTGGTAGGTTTCTTGATTTCTGGGTTTGTTTGTACCTTCTGGGTTCACCTTCTGGGTTCTGGGTTTGGGTGGGGATGGTGGCGAGGAAGTTAGAAAGAAAGTAAGGAGGAAGATAAAGAAAGTAAGAAGGAAGATAAAGAAAGATATAGAAAGCATAACCACTTGTAACTACTCCATACTAGGAAGAGAGAGGTAAACGGGTCTATTAAGTGTAGTCTTGGTTTTGATTGGGCAGTATTATGTGCTAAGGTGGTTTCCTTGTTACACGCTTGCTCGTCCTCGAGTCTCGTACGGAACCATCATCACTAACCCCCCTGCCACCAGAAACATCACTCCGCTCAAGTACACCGGCACAGTAGTCTGCAGATCGGCCACCAATGCAATGACGGGCGCCAGAATCCCCCCGATGCGGTTCGCGGCGCTGACCAGCGCATTCCCCGTCCCCCGGTTCTTGGTTTCGAAGATCTCAGGCGTGTACGCGTACAGCACCGCGTAGAGAAGACTGCTGGTGAATCCGTACGCGCAGTTCCATCCTAGCAAGGCCCGCGATGTTGTTGCTGTCGTGGAGGCCAGGAGAAATGCCCCCGTCGCGATGGTTGCCATTGCCAGCGTGCCCTTGCGCCCGAACTGGGGCATCTCGACCATTACCCCGCCGACGAGGCTGCCTGGGACCCCGGCCAGCGCGATGAGGAGCGAGTTGCGGTAGGTGAGGGATGTCGAGCCGTCACCGAACTCGATTCCGCGTGCGTTCTGGAGAAAAGGTAGGAAGGCGTTGTATAGCGGGAATGCTAGACCGATTAACCCCCAGATAGCGATCATCAGGCCCGTTGTCCAGGCCCGACGGCGGGTCGAGAAGAGAGCATGCAAGCGAGTGAGAGCAAGGGGTTCGAGTCGTAATGTCACCCGGTCGAGGAAGCTTAGCCCGCGATGGTGCGGAGTGTGGTTGGGTCCTTCGGAGGGTTCATGCAGCTCGTCTATCGTTAGGGTTGAGGTTTTGCCGTTGCGCTGGGCTACTTCGTGGATGACTGTCACGGCTTGATAGTGATCCCCTTGGCCCATGAGATATTTGGGCGACTCGAAGAGCGTAAAGAAGAAAATCCGTATCACAAACATTGCGAGAGCTGACCCTCCCATGATGACGAGAAAGTACCGCCAGCCCATATTGCTTGACCGTGGACAGTCATCAGCGGAAGAGCAGGTAAGATTGCCTATTAACGGCCATGCTACCAGATTGGCAACCAACTGTGCAAGGGCCCAGTTAATAGACAAGACAGTAAGAAGGTACTGGTGAGACCCGGGCAGGAATTCGAGAAAGATGGCAGAGTCCACGGGCAGATTGCCTCCCACTCCGATCGACCAGAGAGCAGTGAAGGTGCTGACCGCAGCGAAGGAGGGCGACCATGCGGCGACCAAACTAAAAGCAGCTGTGATGCCAATGGTCAGGTTGAAGGCTATCTTTCGCCCGAACAGGTCGCAGCCGAATCCCCAGAATACTGCACCGACTAAGAGTCCAATGTTTTGCCAGAGCGTAAGGAGAGGAGGCTGCGAGACACCAAATTCGTAAGTCACTGGGACGAGGATCAGCGATGTTACGATCGGCCAGAGATTATCGCACGCCCAGCCAAACCCGATGACTCCAAATAGTTGCCATTGATATCGTCCCATCCCTATTTCCTGGATGGCGCGGTTCAGCACATCTGCATTGATCCGGTAGGCGGACGAAGCATCCAGTTCCGCACACGGGCTCGGAGGGGCATTTGGGGATTCAATCAGTCTAGAAGTAGTCTCCATGATTGGATTAGACAGACAAGAGCTATGCTAAGATTGCCATTAACGATAACCAGGGCGACGTTCTAGCCAGGGAAGAATAAAGATGATTATGACGGGGGAGAAACCTTGCAACTTTCGTCGATGTGTTTATTTCTGATGGACGCAGGTTCTAACGGAGGACGCACCCAGCAAGGATGTTTAAAAGGAAAACAATAGTTGTATTACAATGGTCTAATCCAGTCCAATTGATAAAGGCAGTGTATTCGATACCACGGGCTATCATTCACTTGAAATGAAATCATTTAGTGGTGAGGACGGCAACCATGGCATCCGTGGGCATGTGCATGTGTTGGATACTCGTCTGAGGATGTGGCAGTCAAGGTAGAGGTAATGGTGGCAGTGGTAGTGGTAGTGGTGGTGGTAGTAGAGGTAGTAGTTGTAGTGGTGGTGGTGGTGGTGGTGGTGGTGGTAGTGGAGGAAGGGAGGGAACGGGTTTCGGACTCAGAGACCCCCTGAGCGAATTTGGCCTTGGTAGTGGCCGAAGAAGAAGATGCAGCTCCAGCCAGAGCACTATAAGGAGTGGCACCGGGATAGAACGAGGTTGGGATGGTGGGAATGGGAATCTCCCTGGCGGTGCCAAACGCAGACGAGAGGTCGTTCGGCATGCGGGGCGCGGAGTAACCAGAGGGAGCGGCTGTGGCGGTTAAAGTGGTCGTGTACGGCGAATTGCTGTTGCTCTCCTTCAGACAAAAGCCAGATCCAAACGCATTTTCACACCAGTAGGTTTGTCTGGATCCAGATTCAGTCCACATAGCAAAATCCTCGATTGTCACCTCCGTGCATGGTGCTCCAGAGGCACACACCACCTTGATCGGCCCACGCTGGGCTCCGTTGGTCTCGGTTCCCTTCCAGTTGCGAATCGTCATGTTCTTCACATTCACCCCAGCCCCAGCGAGCGTGCTCATGCTGCTCCAGTGGGCGTCGATATCCAGGGAGTACGCGTTGCCGTGGCCTACATCGTTGTCAGGACAATCAATCCCAGTTTGCGACCGGGAGGGGACGTACCGATGAAGTTTTCGAGCACCAGGTTGGACACGGTTCCACTGCCTCCATTGCTCTTGACCATGTACATCTGGTTGGAATTCCAGGTGTAAATATTACGATAGACGATGTCGGAAATATCAGTGTCCACGCCTAGGGAGCCCATGGCGCATCCTCCACTCCAGTTGCAGTAGATGTTCTCGACCAGCACGTTCTTGGAAGGACTCTATATGGAGAGAGTTAGAGAGCTGATAGGAAAAACAGACCAAACCAGCCTACCTTGACAGTAACGCATTCGTCCTTGTTGGTGACCTCGACCTGCGCTAGTTAGTGGACGATTTACGTTTGCAGGACAACGGGCTGGGATATATACATCGTGAACCCAGATATTGGTACTCCAGATGTCGATCCCGTCCAACCCTCCCTTGTTACCACCACGGATAGCCATGTTGTATATCTCTCCATTGGTGCAAGTGTCCAAGGAGAGATGGAAGACGGGAGAATCAACGAGAGCGATATCGTGCACAGAGAAATTGGTCACGTCGAAAAGTCTCAGGAGTCGCGGACCGCTCGTGGAGCCCTTAGCATGGAACTCGTATCCGTATCCCTGGATCGCACCCTTGGAGGTACTACTGAAGAATTCGAAATCGGATGTATGCTTCACCATGAACATATTGCCTCCACCGGTTCCTGTGCGATAGATAGTTCCGTCGAGTCGGATAGCGCACGCACTACCACCAGAAAGGGTGACCCATGTCGCCATTGCATACTCACCAGCCGGGATATAGACCACGCCACCCTTAGCACATGCATTCCAGGCAGAGGTAATGGCCGGCCCAATATCGGTGGACTTGTCGGCTACGGCACCGTAGTCCAAGACATTGCAGGTTTTGGTGTGAGCCTTGGAGCTAGAAGAAGTGAGAGGACCAACGCGACCAGAGAGCTGACCGTTGGCCAGCAACGGCGTCAAAAACAGCAAGAAAAGGGACAGAGCGTGCATGATCACGGGCGATGCCAAGATTCAATCTGACAGCTGGGGATGAAGGGATGAGAACATGAGTATATCATAATGGTTGTATTCCGTGTTTTTATATACATAATTTTCCCAACCAGGGGGGGCGACCTTAGCAGCATCCCATCTCTCCTGAGAAATTGCAAGGCCAGCCATGTCTATAACATTGAAAACGCCGGCTCAGGGCCCATTGTCTCGAAGATCCGATCTCTTCCTTTTCCGAGAAAAACAGGTGGGGACAACTTTCTCCAGGGCTCGATGGGAGTCCGTTCGACGGGCGACGGGGATTTCCTGTAACCGATTGTACCCTTCTTGGTTTCTTGTAGATAGTTCGAGGCCGCCGGGGCCGCAGGTTGGGGTAGTGGATATGGCCCGCTCCACTAATTCGCTAGGCCCAGGAAAGGCAATGCGGTGCTGAATTGGCCATGTTAGTTTCTTAGAGAGACGGATCAAGGGATGTCCTGTTTCTGGAGTCGAGTCAGGCACTTGACGATATGAAACGCAGACGGATGGGCCCAACAGCTTGACGTCTCACGTTAATTGAAGCTTTATTAATATTGCACCCTTAGAACCCGAGATTTACGAATGAGGTGAATCGGGAGCAATTAAAGAGCAGATCAAGTCACCAAGGAGATATGTTTTTTGTCTCAAACACCGTCTGATTTGAGCTTTCTAAAGCCATTGGACCCTGAGACCCTGGGGCCCTACTTGCGTTGTAGAATCGCCAGTCTGGTCCAAGAGCAGACTTTATTTCAAACCTCTCCGTTTAGCAGACTCTCGCATGTCTTGGAGTATAGATTCTACAGTATTCCAAGGTTGATTTTCCTGAGTAACGAACAGTTTCCCTTCCCGACGCTGGTCATTCGGCCGATTGGGTTTTTTCTTGTGGGACGGATGGCATCATGAAGACTAAGATGTGAATGAGTCACAACCTCATAACAAGACTTCCATACATACACAAACATATATATATATATAATATATATGCATTCATGCTTATAGAACCAATCGACAAATTGCGTGCTCATGACAAAAGCTCAACCTCGGGTCTGGAATGGTGGCGACCCAAAAGCTTTTTTAACTCTGGACTGACGACAGCACGACAAGAATCCATCCTCTTTCGCAGATCGTTCAATGCAGCGATATATCAAAAGACCAATGAGTTCTGGGACTCAAGAGCGTAACCCCGACCAACGAAATCTCAGCAAGCATGAGGTTGGTTGGAGGAGAGTTGTTCGCAACTTCACCCCTTCGTATGCATGGCTTGAGCTTCACCTGTAGCCAGTAGAGAGCTGATGAAAAGACAGATGGTTTTCCGTCACCATGGGCACAGGCATTGTCTCTGTGCTTCTGAATACACTGCCGTACAATGGGATATGGCTGTACTGGATTTCCGTGGTCATTTTTGCCTTGAACGTTCTCTTGTTCTTCCTCGCCTTGCTTGTCTCGATCCTCCGCTATACTCTATATCCGGAGATCTTCAAGGCGATGATTTCACATCCTGTACAGTCCATGTTCCTTGGAACATTTCCCATGGGGTTCGCCACGATTGTCAACATGTTTTGCAATGTCTGTGTCCCTGCATGGGGCGAATGGGCACGAACCCTCGCCTGGGCGATGTGGATCGCGGATGCTGTCGTATCCGTGGTGATCGCGCTGTCTCTCCCTTTTTTACTGTAGGTGTAGGATCTTCTTCACGTATTGTTGCGAATAGCGCCAGCTGACATCATCTAGAATGGCAAGAAAAACCGAGACGCAGCTTTCCTCCATGACAGCCGTCTGGTTGCTTCCGATTGTCAGCTGTGTGGTCGCGGCCTCCTCTGGCGCTGTCGTGGCCGAAGTCCTCCCGAATCCACAGCACGCCTTGTGGACTATTATCGTCAGCTATGTACTCTGGGGGATTGGAGTCCCTCTGGCATTCATGGTCATGGTGATTTATCTCCAACGGTTGACACTCCACAAACTCCCGCCCAAGGCGGTTATTGTCAGCGTTTTCCTACCACTAGGGCCTCTAGGCCAAGGAGGATATGGGTACGCTCTCTCTCCACACAGAAAAAAAGAAAGCTCACAGAAAACAGTGCCATGAAACTAGGCAAAGCAGCTCAGACTATCTTCCCCCAAACAAACACACTCGAGGCATCATCCGGTCCAACATTCTACACACTGGGCTTCCTAGTTTCTCTGATACTCTGGTCGTTTGGTCTAGTCTGGTTGTTTTTTGCGTCTGCATCTATCGCGCGGTGCAAGACATTCCCGTTTAATATTGGGTGGTGGGGATTTACTTTCCCATTGGGAGTATACGCCCTGAGTACCTGTCAAATGGGAGCCGAGTTGCCATCTGCATTTTTCCGAGTTTTAGGGACGGTATGTATTCCTTTCTTATTTCTTTGGTCTCGATCGTGTTTTTTTTTTTTTTTTTTTGTTGGCTAATGACAGAGTAGATTCTCTCTGTTTGTGTGGTGATATTGTGGATTGTGGTGAGTTTGGGTACTCTGAAGGGAATGATTGCAGGTCATATCTTCCATGCACCATGTTTAGGGGATTTGAAGATGAGGGAGGATGATAGTGATGAGACAAAAGCAGTGTAATTATATTTGGATTGTGAATCTCTTTAAACCTACGTAGTCTTTATATGTCGACAAGACAGTGTACCCTTGTCAAGTCCAATGCTGCAGCAGAACCAAATACTTGGAAAGTCACTAATATATATAAAATATGTACTATTAGGATAACCTGGTGCAAGTTAATAATATCAGGTATTTTAAACCAGCTATTAAATAGTATTTGATTATAAGAGCAGGGGCTGTACCTACTGGCTACCTGGCTCCCTGGATCACACAATACGCAGATAAGTCCTTAAGAAACAGCAGGATATTTTACTAATGTAAGCTTAACTAAGAGAGCGAATATTATAGGTGGAATCAGATATGGTTATATAATAATGTATTTGGGGGTTTTTTTATTCCCTTTTTTTAATCGCATTTACTTTATTTTTAATCCTAATAATAATTATTTTTTTTTAATCATCCAACCCACTTTGCGACTTCTTCAATACTCCAGACCTACAGAAGATTCAAGAATATCTGTAACAAGTTATTATCTATACTTAGTAAAGTAGTCCGTCCTCTAGTAACTAACGAACGCATTCCTCCTTCGTATGAATCACGCCTAACCTCGTATTTCCTGCCCAATTCCTGCGTTTTCTGGACGCTCGACGCTGAATGGCCAGCATGGCCACACATCACGTGATGCGGAGAGTACCAGAAAAAAAAAAACGAAATTCGAAATTCAGAAAAATCAAAAATCAAAAAAGAAAATAATAATAATAATAAAAAAAAAAAAGGAACAGCGTCCATCCAAAAAAGATCGCAGACCATCAGTTATCTTGGCCGACCCTAGCATTACAGACTCCAGAAGACGCCGGAGAGCCTCAGATTCGAGTCTTGCCAGTGTTTTGAGGTTGATTCTCTGGCACCTTGCATTGACGGTCGGGGGGGATGAGCTGAAATTTCTCTCTCCCTCACCCTTTTTTCTCTCTCTTTTTCTTTTTTTTTCTCTTTTATTTTTTCCTGCCTCACAAACTGCGCCGCCGGCTCTGTGGTCTCCCGTAGTACTTCCGTGTTTGCCTGAGGCCCCCCACCAGTGCCTGACAACGTGATCTCTGGCCTGTGATTCGCTCCAAGGCAGTTTTTGGAAACTTCATCCGGGACTGAGTCTCACGGACACTGGCCGTGCCCCCCAAGAAAAACACGCCCTGCTTGTGCGCGTGTTCGTGGCGTCGCCGTCATCGGATTTGCCGTCTCAGGACTCAACTATCGCTCCAACTATTATTGATCTTATCCCGACGACTTGTTGTTGCTGTTCTTCTTCCTTGCTGGTGGAGCGGCTGTCAATGTTAATTGTCAAGAGACGTTGGACGTAGTCTGACACACACCCCCCCCCCCCGACTTGCATACCGTTCGCGACGCTATTATTCGGAGATTGCTTCGGCCACCGCTTCTGCGACTCTTTCTGCTTCGACAGTTCTCGCCTTTTTTGGTTCTGCTCTTTGCTCCCTTATTATTATTTTTTTTTGGGGAAAGGGGGAGGAGGGTCCATTAGCACCCCGTCTCGTGTCTGGTGCTGACGTTCACTGGCTCTGGCCATCGATCTAAATAATTGTCCGGTCGCAGACGCTGCGACGGACAACTTGCCCAAAATGATGGGATATGGGGGTCAACACTACCATCAACAGCAGCAGCAACCCCAGCAGACCGCGCACCCCCAGCACCCCCAGCACCCACAACAGCATCACATGCAGTCGCCTTCAATGGGGACTGCGGGTCATCCTGGGAGTACATATGCTGGCAATAGCACCGTCTTCCGCGCTCAACCGCAAACCGATCTGACCGCCCAGTCCCCCAATCTTCGTAAGATGACTACCACCACACAGTCCTTAGTTGGACTTCCTGCAGGGACCGCATACAGCCCTTTCTCCAACCAATTTCAAACCCCGGGGTCGTCTGAAATGCTTCCCAGAACCACGGACTCCGTGGCTCAATTGAAGAGCCCGTACCTGTCATCGTTGCAGAACTTGCAGAGGAACATGAACCCAATGGCTAATTTCCGCCATCCCTCAATGAATCCTCAAGCCGCTTTGTCGCCGCATGCACATGCTATAAACATCTCGTCGCCCCAGCAGTCATTGGATCGGTTGCAACAGCAACATCTGCAGCACCGACAACAGGCTGCTCACTCGAATCCAGCTGCGTCAACTCCCACCACTGCCTCGCCAATGCTCACCGCGAACCAACCGCAGCAGGCGCAGCAGCATCACCAATACCAGCAACAATCTCCGTACCAGCAGGCGCAGCAACACTCGACTCAGTACCAGCAGGCACAGCAGCATTCTTCCCAGTATCAGCAAACCCAGCAGACTCAGTACCAGCAAACCCAAGCTCAAGCCCAGCAGTCCCCTTATCAGACTCATGGGCAGCACTCCCAGTACCAAACTCAGGCACAGCAGTCTCCATATCAGCAGCAAGCGCATCAAGGTTACCAGCATCAGCAATCCGCAAAGCAGCAAGGACAGCAACAATCATCGCAGCAGGTTCAGCATCAACCACAGCAGCATGTCCAACAATCGCAACAATCACAACAATCACAACAGGTGCAACAGGCTCAACAGGCTCAACAAGCTCAACAAGCTCAACAAGCCCAGCAACAAGTGCAACAAGCGCAACAAGCCCAGCAAAAGGTCCAGCCACAAACGCAGCAATCGTACCAGCAGCAACAGCAACGCTATGCTCAACAGCAGCAGGCTCAGCGATCTCCATACCAGGCGCAAGCGCAGCATCCTCAGTTTCAACAACATACCTACCAACGTCAGTATCAGCAGCAGCAGCAGCAATACCACCCGCAGCAGTCGCAGTCGCAGTCGCAGAAGCCCCAGCAACCACAGCAGTCCAGTCTGCAACAGCAACCACAGCCACAGCAGCAGCAACAACCGCAGCAACAATTGCCAAGGCCGTCAACTGCACAACAACAACAGCAGCAGCAGCAGCAGCAGCTTCATCTACAAGCTTCTACTCCGGCTACCGTGGGTAGAGCTGACCTTGTGGCTCTGGAACCCAAGAAGGAGGATCCCAGCAAAAAGCAGGCAAAACAACAAAAGCCCTCCGTTTCTCCCGCCATGACGACAAATCAGATAAATGGACAAACGGCCCAACCCGCCACCACAACGTTCAAGGCTGAGACTCCTGGTCAAAAACCACCAATTGGAGATACCCAGACACCCACCCCTCGTAAGCGAGGTCGGCCACGCAAACAACCTGGAGAAGAAAAGAAGCCATCGAAGCCAAGGAAACCTAAGAATCAGGCAGCAGCCACGTCTGCACCCGGCGATCCGTCTGTCGCAGGTACCGCTTCGGTTCCGGGCGCGCCCAATGCTGGAGTTCCTGGCGCTCTTCCCCCCGGCGCTGCGCCTGGTATCACAGGTGCTCCAACCGCTGCTCCTCGTCCTCGACCTCCACCTCCGCCTCCAATCATCGGGCCAGATGGAACTCTGATTCCTCAAAAACGAAAGCGAGGACGGCCTCGCAAATCCGAGGTAGGTGGAGCGCCTCCCAAACCCAAGCCACCACGAGATCCAAATGCCCCGAAAAAAACAGGTACGGGACGACCTCGGGGTAGACCTAGGAAGGCAGATGTGCTTGCGCGGAAAAAGGCGGAAGAGGAAAGGCAGCTTGCCCTGGCTCAGGGACAAGGCCAGACTCAACCACAAGCGCAAACCGCTGCTCAATCACATACTCCACCCAAAGCACCGGCCCAGGCTCAGGCTCAGGCTCAGGCTCAGGCTCAGGCTCAGGCTCAGGCTCAGGCTCAGGCTCAAGCTCAGATGCAGGCCCAGCCCCAGATTCAGGGACAGTCTCAACTGCAACAGCCTGCGATGCAAGTGAAGCCCCAGATGCAAGTCCAACCCCAGATGCAGGCCCCGGCCCCGGCCCCGGCCCAGACCCAGATCCAGGGACAGCCGCAGTTGCAGGTCAAGGCTCAAATGCAGCAGCAGGTTCATGGCCACGCGCATGCTCAAACCCAGGCTCAAGCTCATCAACCGCAGCATCCTCAGGCGCAGCATCCCCAAGCTCATGCTCTCCCGCACCCCCATGCGCACCCACAAGCGTATCAAACTCAGATGCATGCCCAGATGCAGCCTCATCTGCAGCATCAAATGGCCCCTCAGATGCAGGCTCAGTCACAACTTCATCATCCGCACCCCCATGTGCAACATCCTCTGCACCCTCATCATCCCCAGCATCCACATTCGCAAGCGCAAGCGCAGCCAGGGTCTCCGATGACCTTGAACCCCGGGCAGAAGCGTGGACCGCCCGTCCTCGACGATGATCCGCGAAAACGAGCCTTTATTATGCCACATCAATTATAGCATCGAAATAGAGAATTTCGTCCCAACGGTTTTGGACCTGTTGTTATATGATCGGCGTCGCTATTGATATTACATGGTTCTCATATGGAAGTAATTTGGCGTGTTTATTATGTTGTGATTCTTATTGATTGTTTGCAAGCTATTGTTTATTGTTGATTTTCATTTGATGTTATGAGAAACCAGTGTGATTTGATTTCATTTATTGTTGTTATCTAGGTAGTTTGCATTTGAAGCTTTCGATCCCCATGTTTTGTTTTTATAGCCGGCCATATTCGTGTTTTTATATCCATAATAAGATAGGAATCATATCTTGTATGCTACTCTTTCTTTCTTACTTATTTCTTTTTACAAAAAAAAAAACCTAATGGCAAATGAAACATTTCAATATTTCATCATATCCTCCGCAACAAAGTCCCCTCCACCCACGCCCTCGTCTCCAACAACCGCCCCCAATCCACGCCCGTCTCAATCCCCTCCCGACAAAACATCTCCACGACATCCTCCGTCGCGACATTCCCCGCCGCCCCCGGCGCAAACGGACACCCCCCCAGCCCCGCAACACTGCTATCGAACACGCGGATCCCGCACCGATAGGCCTCCCAGACGTTCGCGAGTCCCCGGCCATACGTATCGTGGAAGTGGCCGGCGAGCCGGGCCATCGGGATCCCATGGAGCGAGAGGTACGCGAGCAACGAGCGGACTTGGCCGGGCGTGGCGGTTCCAAGGGTATCGCCGAGGCTGATTTCGTAGCAGCCCATGGAGAGGAGTTCTTTGGTGCAGTGGAGGACGGCGGATGGTGGGGTGGTTGCTGCGGAGGAGAACGGGTCGGTGAAGATGCACGAGATGTACCTAGACATTACCACCATCATCATCATCATTTATTTAGTATTATTTAAGTGTTGATTGGTTCGGCTGATGGATAACACAACACACACCCTCGAACACAAACTCCAACCCCCCCAGCCTTCCGCGCAATGCATCTCGCTCTCTCGATCCCCTCGCGCACGGAGCAGTTCGTGTTCGCACGGCTGAATCCCTCCGTGGCCGATACGAAAACCGCCACCTCCTGCGCGCCGTGCTGCAGCGCGATCTCGAGCCCCTTCGCGTTCGGCACGAGCACGGGGAGCCGCATCGTCGTGTCTGCGGCGGCGGCGAGACGGCGCACGGTCTCGTGGTCGAGGATTTCGCGGCAGTCTGCGAGCTGCGGCACGGCGCGCGGGGAGACCACGGAGGTGAGCTCGATAGATGTCAGGCCGCATTGGGCGAGACGGCGGATGAGGTCGATTTTTTCGGCCGTTGGGATTGCGGAGGGGATGTTTTGGAGCCCGTCGCGGGGGCTGACTTCGACGATCCGGATTGAGGGGGGTTTCATCTCTCTCTCTTTCTTTCTCTTTCTTTCTTTCTCTCTGTCTCTGTCTCTCGTTTCTTGTTCTATCTGGGAGGGGAGGGGGGGGGAGTTCAGCTAAGGAATGATATGATTGTTGTTGTTGTAAAGCAAGCTCCGCAATAAGAGACTTCTGACTTCTAGAGGCAGTCTCCATGTCTTGTGATACATGTAACATATCAGACGCCTGATGATTCTATAGATCTCAGTACAGCCGAGGAAGCCGTGCTTCCCCAGGGATGTTCTCCCCGCAAACGGATTCATGACGACATGGGGTGCCGGTCGACCGGCGGGACCCATCTGTGGCGTCGATTTTATTATCGTGATCGTGATCGTGAACATGAAGACTACATTTCTTGTTCTTTTTTTTTTCGAGAATAGCATGAGTCTGAGATTCTGTTGCTGTTCAGCTGAAGAGCTGTGAGGGGTTCGGGGTCCGTGGCGGATACGTACGAGTCGGAAGTTGCGCCAGTCAGCAGATGATAGTCAACTGTCAACTGTCAACTGTCAATTGTCAATCTTATACAGTGTGTCTTTGAATATACTAACATAGTTAACTACCTATTTTCGCATGGCTATTTCTACACTAACACTGGCAATAAGGCACCAGTTTAGGGCTGCGGTTCTACGCTAGTCCTGAAATAGAAGCCCTTGCGAGCTGATGAATGCCTGAGGCTAACATCGGCCTCTGTTAAAATGAAGCTATATGAAGCTATAGTTGGTTTACTCGTCAGGATAGCTCATTTAGTTCTGGCGAAATACTTCTCACTTCGGGCCCGGCGACAAGCTCTACATATCCATGATATCGTTGTATCATAGCAACAACCCCTCCCAGATAGGCATATAGAATAACGTACTTACACTCAGACGTCACCTTTATTTTCTATAATGTCTCTCTCTCCCCTCCAAAAGAAGGGCTTTACTCCCAGGGTGGTCCATTAGGAGATTCGGATTTTGCTTACCTGCAGTGCACTCTTTTCAAACCAACCCAGTCAGGGCTCTAGAGCTTTCCAGTTTCCATCTATTACGGAGTAGACGGGGGGTTCTGGCAAGCTAAGCCGGGCTTACGTTTCTGCACCTGGCATAGGGCTAGAAAGAATCCAAACGCCTTGCGTGCCGCCTCACTTATGTACCTGGATGTTGCGGTTGAGGAACTAAAATGATTGTCAGAAGCTAGCCATCTGGTTTATCCGTATTCAGACGAAGTCCACCCGAATCCCTTGTCTACCTAGATAGTCTCTTGCCTATTTTGATCTGGGAACTTTAAGCCTGTCCTCAAAAGATCAAGACAGTACGAATGCCTCCAGTAACATCATCAAAGTGCACCAGGAATAGACCTGCAGGTGCAGTACCCTTGGAGTCTGGCGCTGTTCGGTCTCTGCTTCGCGCGTAGTAGCATGCGATAGGCCAAAACAAAAGGAGCGAGCTGCATTGACCCCATTCCCCTCCCAATATCGTGCCATTCAAAGAAAGAAGAAAGAACCCAAGATTCCTGTCCTGTCTTGTGTTGGAGTGACATGTCGCCTTGCCAGCAAACCGCATGTTGGGCTCCCCCGCAGTGGAGCAGCAACAAGCCCACGATGGGTGCCTGACCGCCAGACGATGCCGGTCATCATCAACGACCTCGTTCAACTTTGCAAGAACCTGTCCGTTCGTAAGTTCTTCTGTACATCATCATCGAATGGTGGGAATCGTATCTATTTTCTATTCCGCTTTTCCCCCTCTCTCCCCTTTATCTCCCCTCCCCCTCTCAATGCAACGACTTCTCGTCGCTGCCATCAGATGCCTGCACTGTGGCCTGATAATAGTCTGGTCATGTCCTTCGCCCGCGATCAAGGGGCGAAGTTTTGGGGTTTGTTGATCAATCCCGACAAGAGTCCCTCTCCCTTACTGGAACAGCTATGTCTGGGGATCGCTCAGGTCATGGTAAGTTCGCAAGAGCCTTTGGTGCAGAGAGGCGCTTACCCATTCCCCCCAATTGCCCGAGGTAGACCACGTTTGACAACTATGCGACGACCGATCTCACCCCGGAGCGCCTGGCGACGTTCTATCGAAAGGTGGGTGGGAATTATGATGTCCTGTTTCTAGACACCAAACCTGCCGCCTTGTCTTTCATCTATCAACGTCTCGGTTGTTTTCACAGCATCCAGCCCTCCGCCGATCCCTATCAGCCCCCCTCTATTCCCTCGCTGCAACCGCATGGCTTCGTCCGATGGCAAACGATCCAACTCCTGCTGGATCCCGATGAGCATGTCCGTTATCTACAAAAGGCTGTCGACAGGTGGAATATTTACAGCCAGGCTGGCACGCCTTTCCCCAAATCAATCCCCCGCGAGGCATTTCCCGCACAGCCAGATCCCGAGATGATACAGTGGCATGAGACGGTGAGCCAGCAATTCGAGTTTGATTATTGGAAGAAAAATCTCCGCTCGTCACCCTCTACTTTCGGCGCCTACCATAATCAGTTCAGCCAGAAGGAAACAACAGCAACTGCTAGTAAGGAAGAGGGTAGTGCTCCGAGTCACCGTGCGTCGACTCCTAGCCATCATCGCTACTCTGTAGCGAATGAAATGCCCCATTCCCCCCGTCATCAAAGGCGACCAAGTGCAGAGGTCCCTCAGCCCGCTAGTCGCAAAGTACACTCGACCGTTCCCCGTCGCTCTACGGAATTTGGTGGAGCGCATGCGTCCCCAAGAGCCCCGTCCCCGCCCGCCTGGCCAAAGCATGCACACCATAAGCCTCGTGGCCGTGAGCGTATGAGTTATTTGCGACCCGATAGCCCCGAGGCTATTCCCGGCCATAGTTCTTCCGATGCGTCCTCGGAGGACTCTAGCTCTGCAACACGAGAGCCGACTTCACCTTCCCCCCAGCACAGCGGCCACTACCGGCACTTGTCCCCTCCTCATTCCCCGCATGCTCGTCGACATTCCCACGAAGCTTACTCCCGCAGACCGCAAAGGGAGCTATCCCCGGACTCGCAAAGACGGTTTGCATACCGGGACGCATATAATCCCACGTCCAGCCGGCCGTATGATTCCGACAGTGGGCGCCGAGTACGACAACCGAGAGTTTATACGGATGAGGTCCGCGATTCCAGGACACCCGGGACGGTATATCGCGAGCCTGTTTATCGAGAATCGGCGACTGTTCCCACCAGCCCTGTCTACGGGCATGCCCATCCTCAATTTATGAATGTGAATAGTACAACATACATGGTGCATCCGCACACCGAGCTTGACGCGTGCGTTATGGAGGATACACGACGAGGGAGTAGTTACCACGGTGGTGGTAGTGCGACTCCCAACCCACCCAGTCAGAGTGGAGGCAGTGTCTACGGGCGCCCACGGCTATCCTCCATGGGCGACTTTCGCCAGCAAAGGTGGTCAGGTATGCATGGTGCCACCGGTCGAGGTGTTCCACCGGGCATCGTGGATGCAGAATACGGCAGAAGGTCATCGATGTATGACCGATGAGAAACGACTTGATACGATACATAACGACTCGAAGTTTGGATTTCATTTTAGCGCTGGATTATTATTATGGCACTGTATTGGAATGGGGTTCTGGCATGTTTATCTGGGAGAGTTCCTCCCATTACGAGGAGATGGCCTGTTTACTAAGTCCCTATGCTATGGGCAGGCGTTGGGTTTTGAAGTTTTGGAACACCTCCTCATGGCGAAAGGACATAATCCCTGGACATGCTTACGATGTTACGATTGTTACGATTGTTAGATGTGGTGTAGTGGATTTTCTTTGGCTCTTTTTTTTTTTTCGTCTTACTGCTGCTCTTACTTTTTTTTTTTTTTTTGTTTATACCTAACTATGGCTCAATTCCACTGCTTGTATTTTTCTCCAAGTTCATGTAGTAATTCCATGAAATACCCACCGATTCATGCCCAATCTCACCCAAAACCCAACCCCGTCTACGCCGTTGTAGAGGAAGTACCTTGCATCCTGACGCAGCTTCGACTAAAATCCTCGCCAGTACAGCACCGATGCTCGTCAGGTAGACTCGTTCCGTTCACAGCATGCACAACATTGGAAGCTAGTCCGGATACTTGCAGTTACCGGGCGAGATACAAAGTAGGTACTAGTAGTTCAAGCTCCGTATAGCGTACTCCGTACTTGAGTCTGTTTCTGTTAGTGGTAAGCAGGTACAACGTGTGCTTACTGTGTTACTAGTAAGTAGTTAGTAGTTAGATACAGGTACTAGTCCGTAGATCATTCGCATTCCATACTTATTTATGATCTTGGTCTATTTTTGGGGTTATGAATCCTAGCAAGTTGATGGATAAGGTAGTTATGTGGGTTTGATTATGGGTCTAGGATAAGTATATATTATATTAATGGCTTGTCTGTGCTTTTCGGTCTAGATAGGAGGTAATAAGTGTATATATACATATATGTCTGTATCTATATCAGACATGTCCCACCACAAACATCCTAACCCAACCTTCGTTTCTTCATACACAAACTGTCTACGAGAATAGTAACTGGAATATGATCCTAGAATTCATATTAAGAACCATCCCTAGCAGGATCTCGCCCATTCTTGTCCGATCGAGAACTGCACCTCACTCCTTGAATATGGTCCTGATTGGTTGCATTCCAGAGTCCTGGAATCTGTAACCTGGAAGTCTCATACATCAGCCCGGGGTAGGTTTTTCTGTTGGTTGGAATTCAAGGAGCACGCACATGTTCCATAAAATTGCAATCTTCGCCCTGCGCTCTCTTTCTTTTCTCCCCTTTTCTTCTTCTTTCTCCTCTATTCCTTCCAACCCTCCCTTTGGCCCACGATCTACGGGAGCCTGGGGGTACGGGATATGGATGCACACACCTGCAGGAAGCCCACAATTTACTCTCAGTTTCACAACCTTTGTTTCGTGTGAAGAGGGCCCCTCCTTGTTTGAGAGGGCGGGTCTGCTTTGTTGTGAAGGGATTAATTCGGTATTATATTATCCCTCAGCTTCTGGGTATCCCTTTCTTGTTTCACCAAACCTGCCAGCCTCACCCCGCTGCTCTCGATCCTCTCGACGCGAACTTTTCCCCAGGAATAAGGTGGGTAGCGTTGAATACCAAAGCTCGACCTTCCATCTATTTCTTACTGCGTCAACTTGGAACAAAAGCCTCTAATTGGATGGATGACTAGGTTGTTGTCCTGGTGTCCACCAATAAGAAGAACAGTGAAAGATGGCTCTTGTTCGCGATCCGGCGTTTTGGCGGAGATTTTCGGTGGCTGTCCGCTTGGACGAGGAGGTAAAAACCTCGCCAGAAGACAAGAATACTATCATCTGGTCGTAAGCAGAACCTCTCCTCCGGATAAGATTGGGGGTTGCTTCTCAGTACGTCGTCGATTGGCTAATTTTCTGCATTTAGAAACAATTGGATTCGCACCCAGCATCGAGAAAAACGGAAAAGCATACTGTGGGGATGTGCGCTTTTACTTGCTGCTCTGGTCCTCATCACTGTCGTCGTCGTGATTATTTGGTGGTTTGACCGGCATCATTGGCTGCGGAAGAAACATGACTAGACGTTGGATCGAGGAGAAAGAAACAATCCATGGATATAAATGTACACTAGATCGCATGAGCTGGTCTCATTGTGACGGCGACGGCGACGGTGACGGTGATGGTGTCTCTCGGCGTTTCCGGCTTGAATTAGACATGTATATGCAGCGTTTTGATTTCATAGAGAATCATTCGGTAGATCCCTGGTCATTCTGGGTTATCCTCGGGTTTACAGGTACTCCAACTACTGCTAGGCTACCTACTGTCTGTAATATGCCCATCTCGTCCTCCTGTTGCTCTCTCTTCCTCTTTATCTCGCCCGGCGCAAGGACCTGCCTGATTGGGATATGCTATCCCTCCCTCACCGGCATCACGTGGTGCAAGCTACTTCTCTGTTCCAAGAAGCGCAGACGACCTCAACGTTCACCTTCCTTCTTTTTTCATTGAAATAGCACGAGTCGCATCCCAGTTCCTCAGCTCTTTTTTGTTGGTTTGACCCCAGCTCGGCTACTACCGAAGGGAGCTGTCGCTTATCTGCGGGTCTTATCGCCGTCTCCGCACGGGTCTCCGCAGCATAAAAAGGGCTGGACTCGGTCTCTAAGCTGATATCTTCTTGATTGTTTCTTGCTCAGGTTTGGAGAGATAGAGCTCCGAACTCAAGATGCTTCCCCCGTTTGACTATTTCACGTATCGCCATGCTCGGTATGTCTACAGTCGCTACAGTATCCCGGCTAGAGCTGACTGACGATTCCCGATGACTATAGGAGCACCAAGAGACAGGAACGAGCTGCGCGGTTCGCTTCTCTGCCCGCTGAATACCATGCGGATTTCTCCTCCTTTGATAAAACCATAATCAATAAGCCAGTAGAAGAGCTTGTACAAGAAATTCAAGATTCTTCGCTTGCTCCTACTGATGTCCTCCGGACCTACGGCAAGGTGGCCGTGAAGGCGCAAGAGAAAAGCAACTGCATTACGGAACTTCTGCTTCCTGAGGCGGAAAAGTGGGCTCAGTCTGAGGTTAACCTTAAGGGCCCGTTAGCCGGTATTCCTATTTCGTTGAAGGACTCCGTTCAGGTCAAAGGATTTGATATCACACTTGGTTATGCCCGCCTTGCCGGGAAACCATATGCGGAGGATGGCCCGATGGTCAAGCTTCTGAAAGATGCGGGTATGCTTGCATTGACAAAATATCTGTGGGGCGTAATTGATTAAATGTGTTGTAGGTGCCGTTCCCTATGCGAAGACTGCCCTGCCGGTGACACTTCTTTCTTTCGAATCGGCAAACGGCCTCTGGGGCACCTGTCTCAACCCCCATGTTCCGGACTACTCTCCTGGTGGCTCTACCGGTGGAGAGGGTGCACTGCTTGCTCTAGGTGGTCGTATCGGTATCGGCTCTGACGTTGCGGGCTCCGTGCGTGTGCCCGCTGCTTGGAGTGGTATCTATTCCTTGCGATGCAGCACTGGCCGCTGGCCTAAGACCGGAGTCAACACGAGTATGGCAGGACAGGAGGGAATTGCTAGCGTATTCAGCCCCATGGCTCGTACACTCAACGATCTTACCTATTTCACCCGCGCCATCATTAGCATGAAACCCTGGAAATACGACCATACTGTTCATCCCATTTCGTGGCGCAACGAGGAGGAAGATGAGGCGAAAAGTAAAAAGTTGAGGATTGGATTGATGTCCACCGACGGTAAGATAGACCCATATAGTACCAGAAAAGGCAAAGATTGGGAGGAAAGGGGGGGGGGGGGGAAACAAGCTTTTTCTAATATGTCTCTAGGTGTCATCCCCCCAACCCCAGCCATCCAGCGCGCCATCGACACCACAGTTGCCGCACTGAGGGCAGCTGGTCATGATGTTTCGGAAATCGCACCTCCCGCCGCGGCCGATCCCTTTACTGGTCTTAACCTTGCCTCTCAACTGCTCAATGCGGATGGATGCGACACCTTTAACTCTCACTTCTATAGCTTTGAGCCCTCGGATCCTGGTGCCGCCCAGCTGTCCTTGATTTGCAACCTCCCCCGCCCCCTTAAGTACCTGTACTATCTCTACGTGCGGTATATCCGACGGGACGCCAAATGGGCCACTTTGATTCGTAGCTTTGGCCATAAATCTAGTACGGACCAGTGGAAGCTGGTGGCGAAACGCGAGGCGTTCCGATCGGCCTGGCATGGCTGGTGGGATGCGAAACCCCAGCAGTACGACTTTATTCTGTGCCCCGTCAACGCTACCCCTGCGCTCCCCCACAAAGCGATGAAGGATGCGGTGTCGTCGTGTGGGTATACTTTCCTCTGGAACCTGCTTGATTACAGTGCGGGAGTGCTCCCTATTTCGCACGTCGATCCCAATAAGGACTCGCTGGCGGCCCCTTATCGGACGGTGCTGAAGCAGCTGGGGGCCAATCACGCGCTCGCCCGGGGAGCGTGGATGCACTACGATGCCCGTAAGATGGCGGGACTGCCGACAGCCGTGCAGGTGGTTGGACGGAGGTGGCAGGAGGAGAAGGTTCTTGGGTACATGGCGGCTGTGGAACGTGCCCTGGAGGAGTATGCAGACCCTGTGACGGGGGAGGGCGGCAAGTACGATTTGATTGAGCTGGATTAATTTTTTTTTTTTTTTAATTTTCTAGGGAGTCAATGTTGAAATAAAGAACTAGTACGTATCCAGGACGACACCTATTACCTAGAGTAGTGTAGTAAACCCCGATGATATAACTAATCCAAGGATATAGAGTTCGAGTTTACCTTGTTGAAAAGTTAAGACGACCCGACTAGAACGTCCAGGGCAAATGCACCAGCCCTGATATCTACAGCCGATGGATCGATCCGTCATCCTGGTCATTGGGTCTGTATAAAGTGTAATATATTAACTACCTAGGTCGTTACTAGTATACTACTACTTAACTACGTATGGAAAGAGACAGAAAAGGTACTACTAATACTCCGTCCAAAGCAAACCGATGGAACGCTAAGGAACCGTTTAGTCGGCCTGGGGTCAGCTTTTCGGGGTTGAAGATGACGATGAGCGACCCAATTATTATTTCCCTCGTATTCCTTCTGCAGGTCTCCTCCATCCATCAGTGTGGAATTGGATTGTGATTCAACTGGTGCCACCGTGTTGGGTTTATTATTTTTATTTTTTTTCTTACTTACTTGGATCATGCATGTCAAGTTGCAGGTATCCGAGAGTTATGGTATTGTATTGTATTTATTTTGTCTTGTATATGTTGTTTGTTGGAGATGACCTGTCATTCCACATCTCTCTTTCTCGGATCTTGACGGCAGCGGAGATAGTTCTATAATAGACTAGTAGTACTAGTCCCTAGGTATGTATCTATTCCATTCTATCAAATGTTCTCCTTTGATGTTCTTCGGGAATGTAACAGAAGGATCAGCATGGGACCCGGCAGGCGTTCCGGTGGTGTTCTCGCGGTATTTTACGTACGCCGATGTATTCCCCTGTAATCTGAGTTTTCTCGGTATTTTCCTCCACCACTCAAGGAAGGGAAATAACAATAATCATAATGATTGATATTGATATTGTTATATTATATTATATGATTATATTATATGATTATATTATATGATTATATTATCATCATTATTATTATCATCATCATTATTATTATTATTTTTGGATTGTTAGAATATAGTACTTGTCTTGACGAGAACATCATCCGCGCCTAAGGAACCTACCTACCCTACTCTCCTCCACTTTCCAACTGCCTTCTACTCGTTCGGTTTCTCCAATTAATTCAGCAGATCTGACTCTCTCCTCCTAGTTAACTATTCGTTTCTCTTCTCCTCGTTGTCTCGTCAAACCCTGGTCTCACTACATCACCACCACCACTTCTCCATCATCTTGCACGCTCAGTACCACTCCGGATACCGACTCCGTGCATATTATCTATCCCCTTCAAGTTTCCCCTCCTGAAATTCTCCTTTCCTGCACTGGGGATTGTGGCCACCGTTTATCCCGCATCCACTCCTCTTATCCGTCCTCCTTCTTCCCCCCCCCCTCGTCGGTCTTCTCTGTCGATAGCGAAAGCCACTACTACAGGGGGAGAAACAAACAACTGCTCCCTATTCGAAGCTTGGGACAGCAGGATGCTGTCCGAGTCCGATTATTTGCACTTGACGGCGTACCGAAAGCTTGCCCGCTGAGGAGCGCGGAGATGCCAGCGAACGGAGGCGCTCGCGAGCGTAAACGAGATGCCATCCATTTCGTCAACGCGCGACCTGCCTCAGAGACCGAACGACTCACCATCCGCCGCATGGTGCGCGCCCACGTCGGGAAATGGATCTCCACGCAAACCAAGGACCGTGCTGCCGGTTCAACGCTGGTTGAGCCGCCGCCGTCTATTATCACCACCACCACCACCACCACCGAAAACACCCCAGAGCTCCCGTCCTCGCGCCCGCTCGACTTCGACCCCGACGAATCCTTCTTCCCTTCCCCTTCCACTTCCTCCACCATATCCCCGCCACCTTCGCATTCGTCGTGTGCGTCCCCAGAATCCTGTGTCTCGCATGCATCTCACGGTGTACCGCTGCCGTCACAACAACAATATCCACCACCACCCCCGCCGCTGCCCTCGAGCGCTCCGTCGGAGTCGCAAACAGATCTATCCTTAGCCCTCGTTCCCGCTCGGACAAATCTCGATAACTTTCACCATCGATGCGATGGCCCAGGCTGCCAATGTGGGACGTGGTCAGTGGGCTCCGACAGTCCGAGTCCCCCTCCCGAGGGAGGCTTCATTGAAGCGATAGGTGCAGCCTACATCGATCCCTTTCGAACCTACCCGTCACAGTTCGAGCCGGAACTCATTCAGATCTCGGAGACATACTGTACGTACTCAATAATTTTGCTTTCTTTTATTTTATTGGGGTTTCTCATCAGCCCACGAATCGGGACTAATCTCTCCATAGGTCTTTCAACCCTGTGGCCAGGTCTTACCCCTGGACCTTCCCCAACGAATATGTCTTCATGGTTCCCAATGTCTCTATCGGACCCGACCCTCTTTACCGCATTTTTGTACGGCTCTCTCTCTCACAGACGTGTTCAGTCGATGAAAGGTTGGATACCGCGGGAAGGATTTCGAGCGAAGGACCAGCGACTGCTTGAACTCTGCGAAATGGAGACCATCAAAATGGTTAGTCGCGAAATGAACAATCCAACCCGTGCAGTTTGCGACGCAATGATTTTCAGTGTTGTCTGCATGGCGCACAACAAATCCGACGATAATATTCAGTGGCTTCAGAGCACCCCATTCACCGCACCAATGCAACGTCTTCAATGGCTGGATATTTATGGCTGTTTGCCGCCGAATATGGTCCATATCACAGGATTGGTTCAAATGGTCAATCTTCGGGGCGGCCTGGAGAAGATCGAGCTTCCTGGTTTGGCCTCTATAATATCATTGTAAGCTTACCTACCTCTCCATCAACAATCTCCCTCATATCTAACGCAAATCCCGCCATGAAAGCTCCGACCTCGTGACCTCTAGCACCTTTCTCGCTCCCCCAATCTTTCCTTTTGTTCCGCTTGATGCCAGTCGCAAGGGCAAAACAATGCAAGATCTCTTAGGCTATACCAACGCCGGCGTAGACCACTACTTCGGCCATATCCAACAACTCGGCCTCCCGCGCGATCTCGCCGAAATCTTCTGCGCCATCAACGCCTACACCGAGATCGTGGAACAATGTGTGAAATGGGAAACTAAATACGACACCTCTCTTCTCGCCGACCAACGAAACCTCCTTCAGTACGATCTCATCTCCCTCCCTTCTGCACTTGGTCGACCCGATAATCCCGCATTCTCTCCCGTCCCGCATGAATCATCCAGTATCTACGAAGCTTGCCGTCTCGCCTGTCTTGTCTACGGTGTCGGCGTCGTCCTCCCGCTCCCAGCACAAAGCACCCCCCTGGCCCGCCTCTCAGAGCTTATTCAAACTGTCCTCCAAAACTCCAACTACTCCACCGTCTGGGCTAGCACCCAAGCACAGATCGCCCTCCTCTGGGTCCTAACATTAGGCGGTATTTCAGCGCACAACCGCCCCAACCGCTCTTGGTATGTCAACATGCTCAAGCACGTCGTCTTGCACAACGACATCCAATCGTGGGCCGATCTGTCCGGGATCCTAGGGATTATCGCTTGGTACCCGAGGGCCTGCGACAAACCCGGCCATGATCTGTGGCTGGAAGTGGAAAATTCGCGAGGTGTTTTTAATTGATTTAAAAAAAAAAAAAAAAAACTCAACAATGATCCGGAGTAACGCCTTTCAATCGCTCGTCCACTCAAATCGAATCTAACCCAATCCGGTTTCCTTGATTTAAACCCATCATCCTATGATGCATTTACCTATTTGAGTTCTGGATTGATCGAAACAATCCCTGTTTGTAAACACACACACACACAAATATCTCCACCCTGATTTACAACAACCTTGCTTCACAGCCAGCACCTCTAAATGTCCCCAAAAAAAAAAAAAAAAAAAAAAGAGGGTATAGATATGAGTCACGACGATCATGAAACAACAACACCTTTCATATTTATTTATTTATTTATTTTCTTTTCCCCCTGCCTTGGCACAATTTTGCTTTTCAACTTCAACTTTGAATACAAAATTATTTTCTACGCAGCTCTGCGGGGGATAGTTATGCGCTGCAATGCACTGTCAGAATTCGAAACGAGACCACCCGCATACCTACCTACCTAGATCGGGGACTTCCCCCCCCCCCCCCCCTTTTTCTCTTCCTCCGGTTGTCCTACCTGTCTGACTCTGTCATCCCTGCTCGGTCTCTTTTCCCTCCCTCTTCCGTGATCCTAGCGCGCGCGCTGCCTGTGCGGGGAGGAGCGGGACGATAAATCCAACCCCATCCATCCATCATCTACCTAGGTATCTTAGGTACCTGTCTGCTTATCGTCCTATCACCACCTACCTACCTACTACCTATTTGTACCGCCCTGGTCATCTCCAGGCTAGGTTTGTTATGGCCTAGTGGTACTTTTGTCGGGGGGATTTCATTTCTAGTTGCATAGCATGTTGTATATCGCTAGATATATATATATATATATATATATTTTTTTTTTTTACTGTTCTATGAATGTGTCTAGTTTGAAATACCTGTTTGTATATTGAACCACTTGTCTCAAATAACAAAAGAAAGAAAGAAAGAAAGAAAGAGAAAAAAAAAATTACATGACCATGCACATCCATTTTCCATTTAATACGTACTTATAGATGTGAACATATATATATATATATATATAATTATATGTAAAGTAATCATCCGTGCGTGACTTCATATTTCGTGTCTATAGTTGTTGGCGATCAATCCCATATCCTGTTACCCTGTTACCAAAAAAACAGTCATCTAGACCAGAGCCAAAAGGCAGAGAGGCTAAAATTAGGGCGTAGCCGCAATACCGCCGTAAGAAGGGACACCTCCATGTTGCCCGACTTGGATTGGGCGGCTTTGTGTTTGTGTGTGTTGAAGCAAAGGCTGACGTTCCCAATCTCTTGTCGCAATACCGTCATCGGCTCCGGCGAGGATTGCGACTTCCGGATCGTTTTGGCTGACAGCAGGAGGAGGAGGAGGAGGTACATCAGTGTTTGGACCGTATTCGCCCGAACCAGCGCCGGCTATTGCGGTGGCCCTCCGCCAAACGAATACAACTAGTGCTGACCCCGTCATGCAGGTGACAGTCGTGAGTATCAAATTAACAGGGATCGGGTTCCGGTTGAAAACTTTGAATGTGATGGCGTCAAGGCCGGCCTGGGCGAAATTTCCAAGACCCGCAAAACAGATAATCAGCCCGTAGACCTTGCCAAAGGTTTGAAAGCCAAAGACTTTGGCTGCGTAGTCGGAGACAGTGGTATAGTAGAACGGACGATACACGACGAATAGAATAATGTTCGCGTATGCGGCTTCGTAGCTGTGTGGGATGCAGCCCAAGGCCCCAATAATTGTGGCGGTTACGACTAGAACTAGAAGAACCAACGAGGTGCTGGCGTTATCGAGAATGGTTCCGATGAAAGGAACGGCGATAAGGCCACCGAGGGGGAGCAAGAAGTCGAAGGCTTCGTTGATACGACGCGCATCTTCGGAAGAAGAGAAGAGGTACTCGTATTGTTGTCGGATCGAGGCGACAAAGTAGTTGATGCGCAGCATTTGGAGGACGGTGAAAAGCGCTATGAAGATGAACCATAAGGACATGACCTGTTGCAGTGCTGAATAGCCGTGCATTACGCCCCAGACTCCACCAGTGGAGTGTGGCTTTGCGGGGGTCGGTTCAGGTCGACGGGTAGGGTTCGACTCAGGAATGTTAGGCTGGGCGTCGTCTACTGTCAACCCCAGGTCGGTGATGGTAGATGCGTTATCATCACCGTCGGTAAGGAGGTCCTGGATCTTGCCGACGACCTCCTGACGGTGCATGCGACGATCGTTTCGCTGCCTCTCACCTTCATGGCGGTCCGCGATACGTCTATCGACCTGGTCGTGTGCCTCAGCCACGATATGTTCTTCGGCTTGTTGAACGAGCTCACCCGCGGTCTTGTACGATGTCCCAGGCATGATCGTTACTTGTGCGAGCATGATGAGTACCGGAACAATAAGGTAAATGGAGAAAAAATTCTGGGACGTGAAAGAGCCCTCGGTTTGCTCATTAATGAGACGAAAGACAAGGAAGAGGGCGCTGGAGGCATCAAAAGCTCCAGTCAGGCAAGATAAGATCAACCCGGACCTTTTCGGAAATGTATTCGAGAGATGGAACGATGAAATGAAGATAAACGGCCCTCCCAGCGCTAGCAAAAGATATCCAGGAATGTACGCGTCGAACGGAAAGCGAGGGGCCAGTCCAAAAAGCAACCCTCCGAGGAAGATACACGAGCTTCCGATGATTCCACAAGCACGAGGACCGTAGGTATCCAGTATCGTCCCGACTGGAAGAGCAGACACATTTGTAACGACAGCGGCGATCGTGAACATCAAGTTTAGGCTTCAAAGACTTAGCGACCACTGGTCCGGCAGAGAATTTAAAAAAAAAAAAAAAAAAAAAAAAACCTACCGAAGTTCCTGCCCATAGCACACATCTTGGGCGGTGCCCAATTTCTCATTTGAGCACAAGTCGCCATACACACCTTCTTTAATAAACACTGGCTTTATCGCTGCAAATCCAAAGACAATTCCTGCGGAAAAGAAACAGTATACTACGGCAATGCAAACCTGCACTTGACAGGATGTCAGTTCCAACCCCTACAAATCCAAAAAAAAAAAGTTCCGGTTCCAGAGCTTCTGGCCCAATTCAGGAGTATTTACGGGTACTTACAGATTCGCGTGGTAGGGCTGACTTCAAAAGCACCAGTTGTTTCCAGTGGGCCCCAGTCTTGCTGGTCCAAAGCCGCATCCTGGGGAGCAGGCTCTCCTCCCTCCGTTTGATCGGGCTGGCCTGGCTTAGAAACAAATGAGGAAATCCTCCTTAGAGAACTGTGATCTTCGTTCCCATCTACAGATGTCTGGGTCCAGCTAGGTCCCGCATACGGGTTGAAATTCAAACGATATCTCGGAAGACTCGCGGTAGATGGAAACGATGAGGATAATGACGCGTCGGGAAGATCATGGTATGCCTCTTCGTCGTCAGTGTCTGGTCCTGGGCTCTGGTCGCGGTATGGCTGACGGCGGAAAGACGCTGGATTTTGCTCCCAAGACTCCAGATACGAGGCTCGGTTTAGGGACATCCTCGCTGTGTCTCTTGGATTAGGATCAAAACATAACCTCAATTTTTTCTTGGTTTCTTGAGAATACCTCTGAGAAGCAGTCTTGCAGATTCTGTAATCAAGCGGGATCTTTTATCGCCGAGTTTACCACGACGGCGATAACGTGCAGCGTCAGAAAGAAGGCAGGAATGGCCAAAGGAAGAAGTGCGGGGGAATCTCCCAAAGCCATCGACGACAGAGCAAGAGAGCTAGCTATATTTCTCACGACCAGCGAACAAGACGGGATGTTATCAGCCGGGGCGATAGGAAGGGGTTGATTACCGCATAGTTTCTAGAAGATAAGGTGATAAGTTGTAACTAGCGGATGCGATCGGGGAGCAAAAGAAGACGATTTAGATGAAACAATGACGAAGCTAATGGAAGAAGATGAAGAATCATAAATCCTCACATAATCACCTGACAGGAGCTCTCCCCACATATCAATCGAATCGATTTCGCTCAGCATTCCCAAATCCCAATGCATCCCCGATGCATTTCCGTCCATTAGATAGCTAGTTCTAGTTCTCGATTCTCCTTCGCTCTGCTAGGTTCGTGATCTTGTTGTCGATCAATTGCTCCCAGCCAAGTCTTCAGCTCACTCTTTCGCAGCCACATTCTTTGCGGTCCGTATTCCCTTTGTGTTTCCCAGGGATGATGCCGCTCTAGGGTCTGACCTGTCTTGAATCTGAGATCCTATGGAGTTTGGACCTGCAGATTGTGCTACCTGGGAGAATGTGGTGGCTGCCATTTGGTAACGTCTTAGCTTTCGTTCCCCGGAACAACTTCTTAGGGCGTCCCAGCCGCATGATGAACAACCAGTGCGCACTTCCTATCTACAGCTTGACATTCTTCCCAGTTCCCAATCCATTACTAGGATTTAACAGGGCGACCATGCTTCGGACATTAACACGCAAGATTATCACATGAAATCCTTGAGAACTTGCATAATAATGGTGGGATAGTTTTCCTCTGAAGGGAGCCTCAAGCCAACCGTGAAGACCCGTCAGACTTGATTTAGTGTCGCTAGACGACGGCCTTGTGTGAGCATTGTACTGAATGAACATTGGAGGATAGTTTGGGCGCATCCAAGTCTCGAAACCTCCACTGCTGCAGCTAAGGAGAATACTTAACGTCTCTAGGGTCTGGATAGCCTAGCCAACCTCCGTACAAGGTCTGATCATTCGTTGGGAGACTCTGCCCACAACTACCAACCCAAACTCAATTAAGCGTTAAGGAAGACCGACTCCCTCCGTCCTCCCTTTTCAGGAACCTGATCGTTGAATGAAACTCCTGTACTCGTTGAGTAAACGTGCAACTAGCTATAAGTGCCGAAACGCTCATACTAGCTTCCAGCTAGAATAATGCTCCGGCCCGTGTGGACTGCCAATCTTACCTGGTGAGGATTTCCTTCTTCGGGCAGTGATCAGAGGTCGGCGTGCCAATCGCCATGCGTTCTTCGGGGAGAACGCGACAGACATTCAGGGGACCATAAATTTTTTCCCTGAAGCTTGAGCCATTGGGAACAGGAGATGGCGGTGGATTTATTTCCACCCACGATTATCATCATTCCTGAGGTGTGTGGCCATATGAAATGAAAGTGATGGATCCAGGAAGCATCATCCCTGAATGTAGTTTACCAGGGAAGAGGATGATGCTGCCCTGTGGTCTACGGAGATCCCCCGAGCCTCCTCCTCCTCCTTCTTGCTCAGGTTTGGTTTGGAGACACCTTTCTACACTAGGGAATTTAATATTGACTGGATTTTGATGCCATTTAGCATAGCTCCACCCTGCATGAACGGTTCATCCCGTTGGGTGATAAACCGCTGTACGTTATTTCACCCATCACAATCATTGTCAAGGAGCCCCGTTACCTGTTTAGCTGCATCTTGATTGTTAGTGCTTCTTCTTCTTTGGATGTCTCGCCCTCTTCGTTCTTTCTTTTTTCCTTTCTCCTCAAGGCTTTTTTGGTTGAGAAATGAGTTTGCTTTTTCCACCATTCTCATTAACTGGCGTCAATTGTGTTGCTCGGCATTGATGTTTTTTCTCGTCCATGGCTATTCTTACTGTCAGTCGAGGACGAATCTACCGATAGCGTAATGAGGGGATGGTGAGTACTCGAGTGCCATATATCTCATGGCCCGTGGCTCGACCCTGTCTTTCTAACCCTTCTCTTCATCTCTCCCAGTTTGACCTGCCGCCAACGCCATTTGAAATGTAACTAGCTGTCCAATCCAGGCGCCCATCTTGAATTTATCCTAACTCTGTCTGATCTAGGTGACAAAACTGGGACCGAATGCCTGCGTTGCCAACGATCGGGTCGGCAGTGTATCCCCGTGCCTGTAAAGCCGGAAGAGGTCACCTTCCGACACGGGCAGAACCCATCTTTGCGATCCAGAGGCCCGCCTCGATACGGAGAGAGCGATCTATTCTTCCCAGATGACCAGGTGTGGGTTGAGGTGTCGGGCGACGGTGCGTCTGCCCACTTGTCCGTCGAACCTAGAGATACCGAGAATTGTCGCGAGGGAATGGCGGTTCGTGCGTTTGTGTCACTGCTGACATTAGTCTAGTTTCCTTCGAAGACGAAACAGAACGGACAGCCGCCGATTATCGCATTGTTCTTTCATCTTCCTCACCTGTGGCTTTGCGGGAACCGCTTGAAGGTCGGCCCTCAACCGCGATGGCAGCTTTACCTTCAGCCACCGGCTCTCACCCAGCATTTTCTTCAGGCAGCTCAGCTTCCTCAAGAGTCTTGTCCGAATCACGGACACGCTCATTTAGCTCATTTACCCCGCCGAGTTCTTCAAGCGATCGCCCAAAATTAGCCGACTTTAATGAAGCCTTCCTTCTCCGGCATTTCCAGAAAGCGCTAGGCCCGTGGGTGCGACGGTCCATCTCCTTGATCTCTCGAACAAGATCGCTGATATTTAGTCTGTAGCTGGATGTCTGTGATCATGAAAGGCAATTTTCGACTGATGTGGTAGAGCGAGCGCCTTCCTACCCTCTTCTACTCTACGCCTGTTTAGCCACAGCAGCGCGTCATCTTTCTCACACAACGAACCTCATTCCCCCGAATACTGCAGACGAATACCATGAGAGATGCATTGCGATTCTTCTTCCAGGGCTGGAAAATTGGGAAACCAAGATAGGCATTGACATTTTACTTGCATCCACGATCATACTCCGTTTCTTCGAACAAATATCCTGTATGTGACAGCGTATAAATGCCGTGAAGAGAGGAGAATTGTGTTGATAACTGAAATAGCCCACGCTCCATCTAGTGACCTCCAACGACACCTCTTAGCCGGCTCCGTGTATATAAGCTCTCAAGTCGAGTGTGCAGTCTCTGGCGGACTTGCCGAGGCGTCCTTTTGGGTCTTTGTGATGCAGGACATCCAATTTGCCCTGTCTTGTCGAAATCCGCTTCGTCTCACGCTGAGCCCTTTTGACGAAAAACTCCAACATATGTGGGCACATAAGGTGCCGCAAACTGACCGAGACTGGACACATCGAGCAATATGGCTTCTGGCGGAGACAATCAACTACTGCTACAGCGTAAACAACCCGATTCATACGAATGCCACTCGCAGGAACCTCCTGAAGCAAAAATTAGCCGTGTGGGAAGCGCGCAAACCAGATGGATTTCGACCGCTACATTTTTCGCTCGCCGATCCTAGAATAGGGAGACCCTACCCTGTGGTTTGGTTTACTCAATCATTATACGGTAGGCATGCCGAGAACCCTTTTAATCAATACGCTAATTGTGAGGAAAGCCAGCGCAATGCAGCATGTCTGCATGGCTAAAGCTCTAATACATGAATATGAGCTGCGGACAATCTACACGATCTCTAACCCAAACCATGAAGGCAAAAGAATCGAGGTTCGTTTACTTGAACGTCCTACTACTTACTTCGGCATGGAAACGACGGAAAATCAGGCTAACGAGAAAAACCTATCAGGGTGAGCTGATGAAAAGCCTCGATATCATTTTCGGAATTGCCCTATCGAGCGACGATGACCCATCTGCTCGTATCATGGCCTGCCACGCGCTCTGTGCCTGTAAGAAGATTCTTTTGTACCCAGTTTATCAGGGGCCCCCGCTGACAACCCCCTGTTGATAGGTGGCACCTGGGTTCGCGATCCTCTCGCACAAAGGTGTCTTCTCGACCTACTTCGAAAGACGGAAGCAGAGAACGGGTGGCCATGGGCTTTCGTGGTCCAGAAGCTCAGCCAAGAGTGGCACCTGACCGCAAGATGACCCTAGTCGCCTTCTTGTTTTTTTTTTTTGGGGGGGGGGGAATCCTATCCTGCACCCCCAATTCAAGCATTCTCAGTGGACTGTGACCAGAAAGGAAGGCCCTAAGCAGGGCCAGGCTTGGCCTATCAGACCTCTGACAGCCAGTCTTTCCAGGTCTCCACTCCATACCATCTGCCTGCCATGCTCATTAACCTTCAAGAAAGGAAAAGAAAGTAAGAATCCAAATAAAAGAAGAACCGAACCGAACCGAACCGAAAACGAAAGAGGAAGACGAAAAGGAAAAGGAAAAAATTAATGGAAAATTTCTCCCCAACCAGACGGATAGACTAATCCGTCAGAAGCACCACCAAGGCGTCAGCGTCGCCAGGTGTTGTGGGGGCCACCAAACAGTTTGCAAGTCTCCTAGTTCCCGTTAGCGATTTAGAAACGAGCAAGAATGAATGGGACGACGATCTTCCAAGTTCCAACGGTTCCTTGTGGTCGACGAATCGACTCCGGGTCACAAGTTCGGACCGTTTTGACAGTCTCCAATCATAACAACCTCTACCTGAAGTACTACTACTACCTAGTACTAATCTTCATTGATCCGCACCTATCCTGTCCTCTTCCTCCTTAACTTAAGCCTGACCAAGACTCCTCAAAACCGAAATTACTTTCCTGTGCGGAGTAACTACTCCGTACACAGTAAGTACAGTGACATCCCCTATCCTGCTAGCCTCGGGAGCATTCTTCTTAAGTAAATCATTCCTACTTAGGTATCTAGTGGATCAGGGCCTTCTTCCTCACTTTCCCAAGCCCCAGTTGACCTAAAGTTTAAACGTCTTCCAATTTCCTCTTCGGGAGAATACAAAGCAGGCGCTACATAGTCCGTTGCGATCTACAAAATGTCATTTTAGCATTTCTGATTAACAATGGCCACCTAAGTTAACTAATACTACTAGTAAAAGTAACTATCCACCGGCAGCGTAGTCAATATTTTTTTTTTTTTTCTAATTCTAACTCTAATTTCAATTCTATGTACGGAGTACGGAGTACCTACAGAATAATCTTCCGAGAATCAAATTTAATTCAAATTTAGGTAAACCGGAGAGTCATGGTCGCCTTCGTTTCCTTATACTGATCCGTACTCCGGACTCCATAGCACCCACTGTTAGTTACAAGGTACTGCTACTGCTACTGCTACTGCACCGACAACAGAGCAGGTACTCCATAGATACCTACTACTTTCTACTTACTTACCTGATCCTACTACTAGTACTAGTAGTAGTAGTACGAAGTACCCCTTCACCGAACCACCAAATCGTCACTAACCAACTATCTACATATGTATTTACACTTGCGACTTACTATATTATGTGTTATTCTCTTTTTCCGACCCGATCCTCTATCTAGAGAAGTGGATAGGGATTGGAATTATCTCTAGTTAGTTAATACATGATGGATTGCATAACTAATCACTTCCGAAATCAATCAGTAAATAGATAAATAAGTAAGTAACCAGAGAGAGAGAGAGAGAGAGAGATTCGGGATGAAGTACGGCGTACTTATGTACCTACATACATAGATAGATAGGCAAGAGCTTACGGAGGAGGAGTCCGTACTCCGCAGTAGCAGTAGCAGTAGCAGTAGCAGTACTCCGTAGTATTGTATGTATGTATGTAAGGTAGGTAGGTAGGTAGGTAGGTAGGTATGTATGCAAGTGTGCATGTGAAAAATCTGCATGTTTGCTTAGTGCTGTGATTATAGTTGACTAGCTTGGTATACACATTGTAGTTACATGTACACATGTATACGTATATCGTACATCACTACTTCTAGTAAGGGCTTGGGTTAAGTAGCCAGTGTTTGTAGCTGAATAGGTAGGTAGGTAGGTAGGTATGTATGTATATTAACTAGATGAACTAACTCTTATTAATATATACTCTAGGTAACTATGTTGTAATCCTTAGCATGGACGCTAGGTGATATGTGTATATTATAGAGTACGTGATTGTTGTTGCAATGCGAGATGGAGTAGATAGAGTAGATGAATGAGTGCAGATTACCCAAGGTATGTTATATGCAGTAGTACAATGTTATGTAGATAGAGATATAAGACTGGTAGATACCTCACTTAATTCTGCTTGTTTCATATACAAATAGGCCATGTAACTTTCACAAAACTTCAATGGGGTGGGTGTATATTGAAAGATAGGTAGAGTATTACAAAAACCCATAACTCCCGAAACTTCCATCCGTAGACCACGGCAAATTAAAAAGCCCATCGCCTAGCACCCCCCCCAGTGCAAACAAATTCTCCGGGTCAGAGCCAACCTGGATGCCTAGCTCAGGGACAAAGATGCCCTGTCCCGCTGTAGATGCCGAAGACATCATCATGCCCCCCGTGGGATCCGCGAAACCGGATAGCCCGCTTGTTGTTGTTGCTCCTGTCCCCGCGGCTGTTGCTGCAGCTTGGGTTGAGCTAAAAGGCGAGGGCCCGGGTGGGGGGAAGAACGAGCGCTGGGAGGCGTATTGGACCCAAGGTTCGGCGGTGGAGTCTGCGGTTCCGGGTCCGGGGCTGGGACCCAGAGATTGGGAGAGAAGATCAGGTGAGGACTGGGGAATCGGATCCGGGAAGCCTATGCGGGAAGCGCTAGGGTAGGATTGCTGCTGTGGTTGATGGTTAGGGTGGTGATGGTGAGGAAGAGGGCGTTGATTGGGGCTAGATTGGTTTTTAGGTTCGCCCATAGCGACTTCGCTGAGCAGATGGAGGGGGGTGTGTCCTGTTGGAGTTTGGTTCTGTGACTGCATTAATATATGAAGTAATGTTAGAAAAAACAAGAACGGACCTTGTTTCCTTGGTTAGAGCTTGACTCATCACTGTTGGGTTTTCGAGGTCCATTAAATGCCTCCCTTAGAGCTACATTTTGGTCCTTGCGTGTGCGGAACCACTCGCGGAGCATGGACAGGACGGTAGAGAATTTGGCTGGGGTGAGGGATCCAGGGAGTTCACCAGCAGCAGCATATAGTTCGATGACCTTGTCCAGGTAATAGTCGATTCTCAAATTGCTAGGATCGATCACCTGTCCGAGGTAGGAGTCTGGGGCAGTGACAATCGAGTAAAGTTTGATCAAGGCAACGACGGCAAAGGATGTTCGGGCTAGGGAGATAGTAGGAATGGTGACAAGGTCATTGACTTCGATGGCGCAGATCGCGTCTAAAGCTTGGTGGATGCATGAGAGAGCAGTACTGAGGGCGCTTATGCGGGCTGCCGTAGTTGGATTGGAGATATCTTCATCGGATACCTTGGCATCATCACTGTGAGATTCCATATTCATGGCGTGCTCGTGAAGGTAGATGCCGACGATGGCTTCCGCTTGTGCCATTACAGCTAGAAACACGTTAATATGCATGCAGAACATAGAAAAAAAAGTTAAGACATTCTTACGTGAGTAGTGATCTGGGAAGGTCTCCTTCCTCCACTGTTCTATCTGCTTCTCGAAGGCCTTGAGCGTAAACTGATACTTTGGGTCGGAGAACGAGGGGTTACTGTCTTCGGAGAAAAACTGTGAACAAATCTCCTCGATTATCCGTACCAACTTCGCCCACTGTATCATGGTTTTGTCGGATGGGAGAGCATCTGGTGACTTCTCCAGGATCTGAACACATTCATCCATATACGGATTCCACCGAACAAGGATCGGCCGCCTCAAAGCGGTAGACACTCTGGCAGGACGTTAGACATATACGATACATAGTGAACAATCCAACCCCTCTGGCAACTTACTGGACAGAGAGGAAATAACACGCCAACCAGGTCCGTCTCACCTCTGGCGAGTCAGGATCCGAGGCCGGCGAATGCTTCATCACCTCTCGAATCAAATTAAAGGGTTTGATTTTTGCCGAAGACTTTCGGTACATGCCGATATCCATTCCCACCGTGACAGCCAACTGCGCCAGCTGATAAAACTTGATCTCCTCAAAGTTATCGGGTGGGATATAGAACGTACAAGACACCACAAGTCCCTGGACAAGATCCAGCGACTTTTCACCTTTCACAATGACTCGCTCCCCAACAGTTTTGTAAAACTCATGCAAGAGTGGCAGCTGTACACTGGGTTGAAATGGACCCACAGCAACGGCAATGATCGCATGAAACAGTATAGGTCGATTTTTGCGGACATCGCTCATCTGCGTCTCGGGCGGGAAAACCACCAGCGGGATATGACTAGCCATCAGATCCACGTAGCGGGTAAAGGCCTCCAGGGCAACCGCAGAGCTCACAAGTCCTCTATCAATGATATCAACTACAGGCTCCTTTAGCCCGCTCGACGGACTCAGAAACGAGGTCCGCCATGGTTTCCCCTGGGTATCATGCGGCTGCTGCTCCGTCGCTGGACTAGTTGGTCGAGTATATATCTCGGATAAAATTCCTGGAGCACGCGGCTCCTTGAGCTCCCCGCTGTGATGTCGTTTATTCCCCACCTGGCTCGACGGCGAAGTCGACGGTGGCGCAGCGCGGCTCGAAATACTCTGGCTCGGACCCAGCCACCGTCGTCCAACTGGTTCCTCTCGTGGGGGCAGCGCACTTGCACTTGTACTTGCACTTGCGCCACCCGACGTAGATGGTAAAAGTGAATCATGACCCTGCGAAGCCTGCAGACTCGCCGTCAAAGCGTCTATCTTGCGCTCCAGTTCCGCCACTCGACTATCCGTCTTCTTCTGACGCTTCCGCGTCGGAACCGTCACGACACATGATCTCCCAGCTTTCGCGCACCGCTTGCACGATCCATTAGGGTTCACGAGGTCGGGTTCGCAGCGGACCTTGAGCTGGCGACAGGCCTCACAGGCTCGCGGTCGTTTCAGGTCGGAGTAGGGATCATTAGGGTCGGCGGAGTCGAGATGGGGTGAGGCGCGGAGAGCCGACGAAGGCGAATCCCGTTGGTGTAGGTGTTGGTGATACAGCGGATGCGAAGCGGACTGGGGCTGGGACTGCTGCGTCCCGTAGAAACCCGGGCCAGTTGTAGTGGAGGAGGTCGAGTGCTGGCGGGAAGCAAACTGCGAGGGGGGGTCCGGATAGTCGGAGGCCGCCTGACCCGACGAAGCAGAGGTTTCATCGCGACGTGCAGTGGAAGCTGGAATGTAGGAGGATTGGCGTGGTTCCTCCCCCCCCGGCGAGCTCTCCTCGCTCCCTGCACGCAATCGCGGATCGATCTCCATTGATTGCGGGGGCTCTGCGGTGGATATCGCATGGTCAGCTCAACTATCATGTCGGGCTTAATCTCAGGGTAACGGGCCGACGATGGATCACAGAGGGGACTCGTGGTGACACCTCAGAGGCGTCAGAGAGCCACTTAAGCTTACCTGCTGCAGCTTCCACGGACAAGCGAAACTTTCCAGATAATCGGGATAATACTGCGTTAATGTTTGAGGGTCGAGCTTGGTGCTGCTTGTCGGTCGGGGAGACGGTAAATCGGCGCCCGATCACCGACGACGGCTGAAAAATATAAAGAAGGGGAAGAATGCGTTTCTCTCCCTCCCTCTCTCTCTCTCTCTCTCTCTCTTACACACATATACAAACACACAACCTTTCACGGGGAAAAGGAAATGACTTGAATGACAGGAGTTCAGCTGAGTTAGTGAACCAACGTTCGAAAAGACGTGGAATTTGGCATGGAGCAGTTTTCTCCTGGAGCAGCCAATCAGGCGTTCCACACTCCAGGTGGCTCTTCTCAGGCATCAAGACATGATTTTTAGCCCCAACACAGTCTCACGACGATGGATTATTATGATCAAGAGATGAGATGATGAAGGTTTATATTCGCATCCAATGCGAAGAAAGAAAAAGGAACCACGCAGAGCTAGAGAAGATGCCACGGTATCAAGCACATAACGCCAAATCCATAAGAGTAGAGACTGAAACTAACTACAGGAAAAGAACCAGTGGGGGATGGGAATTAAATAATAATCAGGGAAGCGCCGGCTGAAACGTAAAACAAGGACGGGACTATATCTACTTCATATAACCAATAAACAAGGCCAAAAGTATACCGTAGAAGATCAACGGTCGGCTTAGGATCAACACGATAGAGGACCCCATCATCCAGAGTAAATGGAAAGGAGCACAATCAAGACGCCTTGTGCACAGGACACTCTTTCTTCCGCTCGAACCACTCCACAATGCACCGCTTGTGAAATTTGCATAAGCACTCCAGGCGTACCAGGGACTGGCCGACCTCGTACTCTTCCATGCATATGGTGCATTCTTGCTCCGTCCCGTCCTGCCCGATGCAATCCTTTTCTGTTGCTGTATATACAAGCATTCGAACGGGATGAGGAGATTGCGAAATTGGGCTACCACTGCCTGGGCGGCCGTGGTTCTCTATACAATTGCGAATATGGGCTTCTCGGGAATCTTCATTCCCGTGAGCCCCGAGGGGTGGTAGCTGATTGTCACATATAGGGCAAAGATCACATTCGTCAATCTGCTGGGAATGGCGTGAGTGGGACCCGCGCGAACCACGAGATCTACTTAATGAAGATGGACCAGGTGGCGAGCTGGACGCTCCAGCATGCGGATAATAGATCGACTGTCTAGGTGCGCTTAAAGGCGGGGCGACAAAACGAGAGCTGGGCAGAGATCCGTAATTTAATGGACGCTCTTGGAATGTCGAGCCATACGCGCTTCCAAAACCACTGAAGGCAGGGTAGTCGCTCGACCCTACAGTCCTGCGTCCTGGGCGACCTGTAAAGGAGTCGGGCTGTGATTGGTAAGTAGTCACTTGTTAGTCTATAATTCACCTTCCTAGTAGTCGCAGCAGTAGCAGCAACAGTAGTAATAGTAGTGAATGTTAGAAAATTAGGTCTGCTTACAATTGCGGCGTATGGATGCTGCCGGCCAGGGGTCGACAGTGAATGATAGGACCGATGCCGGGACGAGGGCTGCTGAACCACGCAGGACCCTCTTGGCCAGCCCGCCTCAGACCCAATATCACCCGGAGCCCGCACAGCAGGATATCCAAGAGGGGGTTCGGGATTTGGGTCCGGCACACAAGGATTGCAAAGCCTTACTTCCTCTCCACCCCCAAGGGCCGGGTTAAGAGTGGCGGGTGGCAGAGTGGCATCACCTTCTGAATCGACAACGTTCGCGGCATGCTGGTATCCAAGAGCAGAGACAACGTGTGATCGTTGGACATCGGGAGGGTGAACAATATACTGCCGCGGGATCGTAATCCGATGAGGTGAGCACGAGGCACACACGACTCGGCCACACTTTCGACAGTGGTGTTTCCTATACCAAAAGCTAAACGCCGTTCCACAGATAGGACATTCCGTCACCTCCGAATCTGGCTGCCACTGCGGTCGGATATACTCCAGATACTGGTTTCCGCCGCGAGACCATGAACTCCGGCGAGGGTCAGACGGCCGTAGCGGGGGTCTCTGGGAGCGAGGCTCAGGCGGGGACGAAGATAAGTTGATAGCAGTATCATAGGAGGAACCGGGAATGTTAGAATTAAGTTCCGTATGCGACGATGATAACCGTGGGATAGACCTGCTATCCGTTTCCGCTCTACTACTTGATCCAGCCTCCATGACTAGTTCCGCACGTCTCGGACCAACAAGCACATCCGGATTTACGAGTCTTCTCTTTCGATCGGGCCCAGGGAGTGTCGAGCGGCGCCTTTCCATGCGCTGATCTATAGCTGGGCCAGCCTCGCTTATGCTCAAATTGTCCGAACTTGCATGAGGCCGAAAACCGGGAGCGGCGGTCACAGATGGTGGGGAAGAGGAAGGGAAACTCGACAACGACGACATGAACCTAGCATATGAGGCGGACATAGGGTGCATCCAGGGTTCCTGATTTCCTACTGCTGGAGAGGAGACCAATCTCCGTCGCTTGCACAACGGGGCGTCATTGACTGGGTGGCGCGATGATTCCAGGATGGGATGTGTTGGGAATCGAATAGAAGGAGGAAGGGCGATTCTGAGGGGCGAATTGGCGGTGAGATTTCAAAGCAGCAGCAGCAGCAGGACAGCAGGACAGCAGGACAGGAAATATACGAATCAAAGAGTCAAGAGGAATCAGCTGAAAGAAACAGAAACCAGAGACTTGGAATGATTTGATTCCAACTTGCAGGCGGGGGATAGTCTCGTGACAGGCACCTAGCGACCGCAAGGCAAACGGAATTCGACGCCGAAAGCGAGGGTATAACAGAGATAAAAATATGATGGGGCTGAACAGGATAGGAAGGAAGAGGAAAGCGAAAAGAACAGTCGCGGGGTCTTGAGAAATTGAAGAGTCGGCGTAGGAATACGAAGAGAGGAGAGGGAGAGTGAGAGGGAGAGTGAGCCTTGCCTTATCACCGCCACCACTCACTCCTTTTTGTCGCGGGGCACCAGACAATTATATCGTCACAAATGGCCCACAGAACAAGAGAAACAGTGAGAGTGACTCTGGGGATTGGTTCAGACACTGAGGATAGAAGAACTATCTACGTAGGTTAAAGATAAATTCTAGTGTATACCAGATCTTGGGTTAATTTCCTCTCCAGGCATCTTTTGCCTTGCGGTTAATCGGCGTGGTAATTTCTATTGAGAGAATGTACTCCGTACAGGCAAGCGGAGGATAGGATGGAGAATCTTACAATGAGAGCATTGGCAATCCGATTATTACTATTGTTGTTGTTGTTGTTGTTGTTGTTGTTATTATTATTGGTACCCAAAAGGACTCTCGGGGAAAATTCGGATCCCATTGAATACACATCTCCTGCCTGAGGCGGAAAGAATATAGAGATATATAGAGATGACCAAATCTACTCCAGAAATCTCTACCATAGCCCTCTCTATAGTTACGTGACGCTCAAATTTCAAATTACAAATAATTATATTTTTAATCTTCAATACAGGAAAAGGAACTGCCAAAATATACAGCAAACGGCTGGTCTCATGCCGGGCCAACTCAACCGTGGGCCGATTGAAAGGAGATTAGATAGAGATAGCCTGAGTGCATTGTAAACAGCAGGCAAATTGCAAAAGGAAAATGTGAATATCAATAGCTGAAAGGGTTACATGCCACACATGTGAATATAGTCCGATCGCAACGCCAGGATATCGCTTCGTTTTTTTTTTTTACCCGCCGAGTAAAGAGCAAAACACAAAAAGGAGATTCGTCACATGGAGATTGATATCAACACACGTAGATGGATGGAAAAAACTGATCTGTTGCTAAATCAACAGACATACCATAATTGGAAACGCTTCAGGGTGCACATCATGCAGAACATGGAGAAATTCAAGCTGTGGTTAGGTCTAACGGTCCCCTTCGGTAGTGTGGGACATCTCATCCACAAGCTCGGCGGCGCTCTCCGTAAAGGAAGGCTCCCCGAGATGCGCCTGGTGGATGTTATCCTGGGTACGATGTTGAGCAACATATCCCATACTCGATGGACGCCCCCGCGCTGATCGCAGAGTTTCATCATTGCCCGGTTGGTGGCTGGAAGAGGTAGATCCTGTGGTTGAGACAATGGAGTAATTTCGATCCCGTGACGGCGAGCTGGTGGCGCTGAACGGTAATCGACCAGTGCCAGAGGAAGAGGGTTGAAGCTGGCCCGAGGGATGGAGAGAAGGCGCGTTGCGTCCACCGGATTCAGTCAGGGCGGGAAGAGAATCCTGGGTTGAATCCCCTTCTTGGTGTGGCAGCGTACTCTCAGATCCGTAGTGTTGCCTGGTTATGGACGGAGTCTTTGGTGGTGCAACTGACGGGGCCTGGGAACTGTGACGAGAGCCCACACGACTTGGAAGCTCGATAGTGCCACCGGAATCAATAGCGGGCAAACTGATCTGGGTCTCCTCCGCCTGGTTGTCCACATTGAGATCCGAATCCTGATATTGGGCATCAGTTTCTGAGTTGCGTCGTGGATGGCCGTCGTCCTGTTCAGCTGGCTCGTCCGAATACGGCTCATGGAACTCCTCGCCCTCGGCGATGAGACCAGGCGGTGGAGCCCGCGTACTGCGGACAACTTCAAACCCTTTCCCTTTTTCTTTAGTTTTCCCTCTGAACAGATTACGGAAAAAGCCGGTCGCAGACGACACCGGACCTGTAGGATCAGCCGGTCCTGTCTTCAATTTCCGAGTGCCAGTATGTGATAACGGGGGACCTCGCACTCGATAATAGAAATCAACCTCCCGAACTGCATAGTCTTTGCGTGATTTCCGGGGTTCATCATAGTCGAGTTCGTCCTTTGGCGCAGGGATATACGCCGGAACAGGCGTGGCCCGCCCGGAGATCGATGGCCCTTCGATGATATCGTCATCTCCTTCTGTACAATTGCCGTCTCTGAAGATGCTGCTTGAACGTCCGCGGCCAGAATCATCGGAGAATCCTCGATCCATCCTTCTACGAGGTCTAGGTGGTCGGTAATACGGATCATGCGGCTGCATAGCCAAGACTGGACCGCTTTTAGGGGAACTGCTTCCCGTTGTCTGGTATCCCGCTCCAGGGAACCCGCCAAGTGTTGTGGGTGTATATAAACCGGTGCTATTGGCACGACTATGCGTTCCGTGGGCACTGCCAGACTCAAAAATGGCGCTGATCTTTCCTTCACTCGCCCCTGCTCGGTTCAGCAACAGTGCAGAGCTGGCGGAAAGGCTTCGAGGTCGCGATCCTTCGAATTGCGATGAAAGCCGGTCATCCGTGTGTCCGAGCATAGCAGCATCGGAGGCCATGCTTTGACGTGCTCCAGCATCGCGTCTGGGAAGGCGTCTGGACAGTTGGCGCATGCCAAAGACCTACCTCATGCGTTAGTCAATATTCTCAAGGAGGAGAACTTAGCCCAGATAGACAAACCTTGACGAGACCTCCGCGAGTAACACCGCCTTCATTGCCACCAGCCCCAAGGAGTCGAGCAACCACCTCTATTAGGGTTTGGAGGGCGTTGAGGAAAAATCCGAAAACAAGAACTAGACCATGAAGTAAGAGGATGATATAGCCTATCCAGCCCCGTGCAGCTTGGGAAACACCCAACGATGGAACAAAGACGACACAAAGCAAGATTGTGAGAAACCGGACGATAGAGAAACATATATGATAAAGGTTCATGGAGGATGGTAACGGGAACGGCCGGAAAGCTAAGATTGTCAAGATAGAAACAACCTCGCAGATCGCCAGCAGCACAATTTGGGCGATCCCAGATGGCTGGAGTGCACCAATTGCGACACCACGGGCAAAAGATATGAAGATCGTGATTATAGCATAGGCTGCTGCATCATCACAGAAGGTGTTGTATAGAGGACCGTATAACAACACGGTCGGAAGATCATCGAATAGGTAGGATTTCGGACGTGCAGACACAATGAGCCGAACCGTCCAAATGGAAAAGCAGACCAATATAAAAATGACCACTCCAGCTAGAGCGACACAGTACGCGGGGGAATCGCCGGCGATAACCAGTTGGTAAAAAGAGAAAGAGATGATCGGCAGAAAAAAATAATTACAGACAATTCGAATGACATTGCCAACTGTAAATGGCATATTCTTGGCGCGAAGGTCTTCCTCGGGAACATGGGCAAGTTCACGATAGAGCCAACGAAAAGCAAAAGCAAGCTGGATTATGAGCGTGATTATGACCAGAATCACGAGCAACCAAACCATCATGCCTGGCCATATGTCGTGAGCTGCAGGCAGGCCGACATATTTTTCCATTCTATCCAGCCCCTGGGTGCCATTGACGGCGTAAACACCATCAACTACGGGGTTTTGCTCGGTTCCAGGGTGTGTTAGACTCTGGTTGAACATCAAAACAGACCATGCAGCCTGGCTGACCACCGGTTGGTAATATCCGGGATAGTTCAAAGACAATGCGCCTGTCAAAACCGCGAACTGAATGTATTGTAGGCAATCCCCAAATCCGGGCGTGACAAGCCGTAGAACGTCCTCATCGCGTCCATAATTGCTTGTCCAGTGAAAAGGATCCGTTGTACCCCATGGGCTGTAGATTGCGGCTGAAATAGTGGCGATTCCGACCAATATCAGGATAGCGAGCGGAACGAAGGTGAGGGCACTCTTGACAGGGGAACCAAGGTCTGGGGTGATATGAACTGATATACATCCCAGTCTATCGGCGGCTCGATCCCCAGATATGATTTTGAGGGTGGTGGACAAGGTAGAAAATCTGTAGGAGGAAAGCATGTCATGTTGAATCGAAAAGGCCCGGAGATCCGCGAGATCCGTCCTAAACACCGCCAATTCTACAGGTCAGTAAATGTGCTTCAATGGTAAGAATAAAACTAAACTTGCAAGGGATCGCAGGGACGTACGAATTCGTGTAGAAAACAGGGCCAAGCGGACAATCCCCATGAATGAGGGAATCACAGAATCGGAACGGCTCATAGTAGGGTGTAAAGCTGACAACTTGGACCGTCGAGATAAGAGTGGAATAATTGTTATTATCCACATCCAAATCGATGATCTTGCCGACGGTTGAATTCTTGTCGTTCCAGGAAGGATCGTCTGGAGCCGGGTACGTCGATTGTTGGTTAGCAGTGCCAGAGACATTGCCATAGACGGTGACATTGAGCGGATACAGAGTATCTGATAAGTTGAAGGTCACGGATACATCCAGAGGAACGAACTGCAGTTTCAGCGGACTCGATTGGATGATAGCCGCATCCAGACAATTGTCGAACTCCAGCAAAGCAGCATACGCTGGAGAGAACAAAGACAGCACCAGTAATAACACCAAAATGCAATGTATCCCCCCGCCGCTCAAGAGAAAGGATTTTCGCGGACGCAGCCGGACGGTATCACACCATTTTGCAAGCTGTCGAGGGCGAGTTCCAGATGACAGTAGCTCCGATCCGCGTGGTCGGGAAGCACAGGTTGGCCGGGATCCATCGTGCCATTTCGCGTCGCGATCCAAACTCATCGCTGCCGTCCTATGTAGTTGGGATGACCTCCTCGGGGAGGTCAGCCCCTAGTCGACGAATTCAATCCACGTTGTCCAAGCAATATCCACGGGTATCCGCCTTGAAGATTTGATGATGGTTGTTGCCTGATAAGCTCGTATATATGCGACCCCCTCGGAACGACGGTGACCGGGAAATCGAGTAACGAGGAACCAGAGTATAGGTGAATCCGATTATAATGAAAGCTCTGTCCTTGCCAGGAAGCAAATGTACAAACAGAAAGAAAATGGAGTTACCAGGGAATCTACTCCTCTATCTCCCCAAAAATGGTCACGTAGGGGATGCGCACCATTTGGGAATGGTGGGGATGGGAAGATCGCTCGATCGCGGAACGTGACAGATCGCAAGGTAAACACTGAGAGCAGACAAAAGGAAGGGTGGGAAAGAGACAGAAAAAATAGATAAATAGGGAAGAAGGAGAGATCAAGAAAAGTAGAAAAAAAGAAAAAGAAAAAAAAAAACCACGATGGAATGCGAAAACCAGACGGAGACAGAACCATTCGGCTGCTGACTGCGCCATCTTGCTCCGTTCAACTAGTTCACTAGTTATTATTCTAATATATATTATCTACTACGACGGACTACTAGAGCGGTGATGGATCTGGTCAAAATTTCTAAACTTGGAAACACTAACTGCCTTTGTGCGAGGCTAATTCTCTAACTCCTGCTAAATATATGAGCCTCTTCTCGCAGTTCCCCCAGGCTCGTCTTTTTACTGGATGGATTTCCCTCGTGTCTGAGACTGTTGAGGTGGTGTTGTTTACTAGGGAGTTGTTGATATTGTCTTACAGTCTTGCCTACTCCGAACTTGGGTCGCTATTCTGCTATTCTTAATGGCCCTCTACGATTGGTGGCGGAAGGGCCTTTTTTTCCTCTTTTTTTTCGAGAAATTAATTAGCACCCACAACTGGCAGCCACGTATGATTTTAGAAAGCATACGGTTCTTGACGCTCTTCAGGCAGAAATCGAAACCTACCGAGGTATCCAACTCCGCTGGAACTTTTTTTCGAAAATCAAAGGTTCACCGCACAGATTCACGATAAGCATAAATTAGGTCTAAATATGATAGAGTTGCTATAAATATGCATATCTCATCTATCTTATTGTTAGGAGAAATTCTATGTAAACTAGCTAAGCTACCTAGGTAAGAGGACTGGAGATCGTTTGACGCTATATGTACCGAAGGGTCCAATTTAGAGTTTTTCGGCTTCAAAATTATATCCACGGAACAAAGGTCCAGCACGTAGGGCTCATAGGATATGGCTAGGTAAATATATGCAAATGAGGAGAGTAAAGTGTGATATAGTATAATGCTAGATCTGAGGAATGCATAATATTATATCTGTCAGAATGAGAGCACCTGGTGGAAAGAATTCTCCTCCCCCATGAACTACATTGTAGGATAGATAATCTGCGCGAGGGTTCAAATAAATGAATGATTCAAGGAGTGAATAAACACTCTAAGCAAATTACTACTTAGTATTCCTTGCATTTCAAATACATATAGTTAGTAGAAGACCCTGCCAATATACCTACTATAATAAACCTATGATTATTTCACCCTTTTATTAGATCAATCTGGGAGAACGACCAGGGAGAAACGTAAGGAGCAGCAAATAATTTAATCATTGAAATTTTCAAATAATAACTTGCACGCATCAAAGCCACGTTCAAGAAAGCTTCATAGTGCTTTAAGACTACAGAGTACGCCAAAATGCAATGTGTTCAAGCCACTGCTGCAGCCCATTGACCAGAAAAGAAGATGGCACATAACTACCTAGCTATTCAATACAACTAACAATTGAAAATCACTGCACGTGGCAAGAAGAACATTGGCATTTTAATTATGTCTTGCATTACACCTTGCATAGACTGTGGTTATCATTGATGGGACGAGGATTACACCTGGGCCGGGCAGGACAGATGTGATTGTACATACTCCGTATGTAGATTGATAAATAAAATCACCATGCTGATGGATTCAGGCAACGCATATTAACACAACTGGGGTTTGTGCTCTTGACAATCCAAGAATCTGGCTGTTTATTTTATAGACTTGTGCACGCCAGGATGAATGTAGCTGGAATAGATGAAATAGGCAAGCCGAGGTTACCGGCGTAACTGTGGAGGTTCCGAGGACTGGCCCTTGGGAATCAAGCTTGGGGGGCAGTGCTTTGGAGTAGTCAAGCAATTTATTAGAAATGCTAGACATACGGAGTCTGAAGCTCTATCTGCCAGTGGTTAGATCAATTATTCCTGTAAAGCCATGACAAATACATTCTTTGCGTGGATATCAAGATATTTCCTCAACGAAACCGCCCGATTTCCTGTGGCGTTGTCCGTCTTTGTTCCTGTGTACCAACTAAAAGCGGTACCTACCTAGTAGTTATATTACTGAAATATCTTCCTGTTGGAAGTTGCCTGATACAGATGCCGCTGCTTTTATAAGGGCCATCTTGCCATTATACGCCGGCTGGTTGACACGGGAGCAGATATCCAGGCCCTACCGCCGTGGACGGCGACAAGAACTTGACCTCCGGGCAGACGACCGTCGTCCAGATGCTCATCGATCAGGGTCTCGATTTCTCGCTCCATTTAGGTCATTCTTCCAACAACCTGCCGCACCACGCGATCCGCGGCGGCCGCGCGGTCTTGAACTCCTCGCCAATGCCCGGAGATGGAACGCCGCTGCTACCATGGACCTCCTCCTCCAGTACGGTCTAGATATCAATGCAATCATCTCCTGCGAGACGGCGCTGATGCTCGTGGCCTATCATTATCATTTCTCCATAGCCGAGGAACCGAGCACGGTCGCGTGCGCATGCGCATGTTGCTCGATCGCGGGGGCACATCTGTTACCGCCACAAAGCCTCCCGCAAGCCACGCGCGACAACACGCGATCTAGATGAGATAATCTTCCAGGAGCTCTGTTTCCGGTGGGCTGATGAGATTTGTGCGTGCGAGCGCCGATTGGCAAACTCTCAAGATGATCTGGCAGTATTCGTGGCGAGTGCGATATCCTGTTTGATTTTTGTCGATGTTTGTCCGTCATCGCAGGTGCCAGCAGACTTCATCGCGCGGAATGGCAAGATTTGAGACGAGTTACAGTAAGTAGGTTGCCAAAGGTTTGCATAATGCGGTTGCATGGCAACCCCACCCTGTTTGACCACCATTTGCCTCAATTCCTGCCTCCATCCTGCGGCCTCAAATGGAAAGAAAGCTACTTACTTCAGTTAGCCCGAAGGCACAACGATGGGTGAGCTCAGCATGGTCGAATGCCTCACAGGGTGTTACCATGGCAGTAGAGATACCCTTACAAAGACAAGAATCCCAGATATTCTCGCCCCTCTTCATTTGGTGCCCAAAAGCCTTGATACTATTCTAGAATCTCGGACAAATCATGGCCATTCCGTAGCATTCCAAGCAAAACCTATTATTATTAATGGATAACTTTCTACGCATGATAGATATACATACCAGAGAATAAGCAGTATTCAGAGGAATACTATTGACAGAGGACTGACTTCTTAGTGTTAAGGATATAAGAAATCTGAAGACCCCTTACTGGAATTGAAATTTTTATAGACGTCCGAAAATAATGCATACCACAGAAACTATAGCTAGTGAGTGGCACAGAACAAGCATTAGGGAAATATTAAAAATTTAGACTGGAAAAGTGAAAAGCAATAATATTTAACTAATAAATATAGATATGCTAGCAAAAAGATAAAGAAAGGGAGATGAATCCAAATAAAAGTAGCCATAAAGTTATACGCAGCAACTACATAAATATAATAGAGGATTAATGTAAAGAAGATCACCACAATGAAGTATAATAAAGATTAAGATAACCTGCTTATAACAAAGATCACTAATGTTTCTGCAGCTATATGATCAATAAAATACAACAAAGCCCTGATATAGTATTAATATAGTAAAGGGGCAGAAGTCCTAAGATTACCAAGATGATAGTTAATCACAGAAGAAACCTTAGGTTAATTAGACCTTGACATGATAATATTTTGATTGTATGTTGATATTAACTATGTTGGATGCCGATTATACATCAGTATTAGATTGGTGAGATCGTGGAATCGACTCCTGCGAGATGAAGGAGCAAGGATTAGTAGTCTTATTGTATCTACTCTGTATCTACATACAATACGCATCCTCTACTTTAAGTTGTTTTTTAGTATTCTTATTCCTTACCTAGCCAACGGGATATCTACCCCGACAAGTAAATAGTAGGCAGATATTCCTCTAGTAAAAATTGAGCCTAAAAACATATGAGTTTTATGTACTAGATTCTATCTTAACTGAGTACTGTCCTGGCTCCTGAATGAGAGTATAGAGGGTTCATCTGTATAGAGAGTTCTAGGTTAGTTTGAAGTGTATAATAGGTAGTAAAAGGATTTTACTTTATATATTGAATAATTGAGCGTTTTTGAATATCAGATACTAATTTCAGTCGACCTAATTATGGGTTCGAAGTTTAGGCGGTCTTGAAGTTGACTGATAGATTATTAAATATATAATTGAATCAGTTGGGAAGAATAGGTTATGATTTAGGATCCTTTCCGCCCTACCTTATAAAGGCCCATTATCAAAGACCTTTCTAAAGGTATCAATTCCCTACTGGGAATCGTATTTGAAACTTGCCTATCTATGGCGTGGTGATTTTTCGACAAGTATAGGTAGTATGTGCGTTGGGTGGTTGGACGCGTTTTTTATGCAAACTTTTTGCCTAGTAACTGTATGTCGACAGCTCCTACCCGATATTGACGACTAGGTGCATGACTCGCTGATTACAGACGCAGACTGTCCTTCGATTTTCAATTCTGAGCCAAGTTTGGCTCCTCCCGAATTTTGATCCTGATGACCACCCTACTACCCTTTGAACCGACTGGGACAATTCAGCGTCCAGCCATCCTTCCAAGTTCCTTTGCCCCTTGTGAGAGTTCACCCAAATTCCACCTGAGACCCAAGGCTCCAGTGGACTTGGGCGTGGTCCACTAAGCAACCAGCCCTCAAAGAGGACGAGAAAGGCGAGGGGCCGCGGACCAGGATGGGTATAGGTCGGTTTCATGATGACGGGAGGACTTGACCTTTGGCACTCCTCCGAGTCCTCCCAATGAATCGTCTGCTGGAGGGTAGGAGTTGGTGGATCCCCCCCATTCATTATTGGCCCAGGAACGGTTTGATCTGTTCCTAAGATAACTGCGCCAGCGCTAATGCACAGGGGTTTTATTATGAATCGAGGCGGTCTCTCACGAGTCCACGTCAGTTTCAGTTTTCTGCAACGTAAGGTAATAATAACGTCTCTAGGCTGGAGGTTGTCTCACCTCGTCTGAGACATGGGAATCTTCAGAAACGGTCAGTACTGGTACGAAGTAGGGAATACCTAATTACAGAAGATTCTGACAGCCGATAAGGATCGAATTCGGAATTGTAGCAAATGTACCAGAGTCGAGAAACTCGGGGGATCCTGCTTCCAGATGGTCTCCCGTCCTTCGACTATTTCGGGGTATTAATTTCCAAGAGCGGAATTGTCACGACAATGAAGATGGCCAATATAGGAGTCGCTAAGTGTCCTTCCCAGACCAATAATTTACCTAGGCAATATTAAGGGTCTCGGAACATCTAATTATAACAATAAAGGGCGTCTGTCTGGGATCTCCGACGGATTGGAAATTGGCTGAACTGTAACATCCTGTACCACGTGATAGAGGGAATCTGGCTTTCATTCAATGGAAAGAAGAAGAAAAAGGATAAAGAAGAAGATGAGGAATTAAATATCAGCAGTACAGAGTAGATCCGAAAGTGAGGGACGGAGGGGGGGGGGAAGAAAAAAAGAGGAACACAATAGTTAAGACATCCTGAGTACTAAGAAAGGTCCTCGGTCGGGTGTCGCATGGTTGTCGTTGTCGTTGTCGTCGTCGTCGTCGTCGTCGTATCCATTCTTTGCCCACATGCTTCCCGGGGATTCTTCCTCGACTTTCTTTCTTTCTCCCTTTGTTAATTAACCATTATTACCTATTTCTCTTTGCTCTTGGAAGAAACTTAGGAACCTGATTGATCTTCCTTGAAACTACTAGACCCATTTGACAGCTGCTGGCACAGCCCAGGGAATCGCCCTTTTGTCTATTCTTCTTCTTCTTCTTCCTCCCAACATCCCCACCACCAATTCTCTGTCGTTCTATCTCTCGAATCTGGGGTGTCTTCTCTATCTTGGACTACTTTCTTAGTCTCTGGTAAGTAACCTCCCCTAAACTATCTCCCCCCCTGAAGGTGCGCAAATACCCCCTTCTTCGCACTCTTCCGCTTTCTTGTTTCTGAATGGTCGTTAAATAATTGGTTGCGGTAGATCGCTCGTCCCTAACTCCACCCCAGACTACTACGCGGGCAATCGCAGTGCACCTGGCGGCGGCAAGAGCACCAATTCACCTCTTGCGATTAGTTAAGAAAACTATCTGGCCCTGGATTTTACTATCGGCCTATTGATCTTCTCCCCTTTTGCTTCTCTTTCTCTACAAATCCTCCTCATCTTCCCGCCCCTCCCCCAACGCACGGGTACCTCCAGGAGTTACCACACCAACGGCCGTCTCCCACCTTGTCTGCTGTTGAGAGGCTTGGTTTCCTTGGGTTGTCATTTCCGGCCTAATTCTAAATCTTCGCAGTCGTTTGAGTCTTCGCTGGTTGACGACCTCATCCGATATTGGTGGTACCTGTCGAACTTTCGGTTCAGCAATCTTAAAAAGATCAGGATAGCGCAGAATCTCCTCATACCATCCATCCCCACCGCCCTATCTCGCCTACCGGACCTGCGATGTGCAATAGGACTTCAACACGGATTCGAGAGATACCCTTTCTTTGATTTGGTTCAATATGTCTACCAATGAGCCTTGCTCGTTCGTCGATAACGACCGCAAGCCGGTTTCCAAGAAGGCGCATTGGAGGGAGAAGCTGTTTTCTAAGGATAAGAACAAGTGCAATACTGACCAACAAATCGAGGCCTTCTTGGCTCCTGTTCGTTCTAAGTCGGTATCTCACGCTGCTTACCCAGTGGCTTCAAGCCAGAGGGAGGTTCCAGCGCCCCCTCGCCTGGATGTCTCTCACCGATGGCCTTCTGCACAGGATGTCCTGGACGCATCATCGCCCATTTCGAAACCCTCTTCCGCCACTGATCCTTATCCGCCAGTCAGCCTTCCACAGCTATCGCTGAAAACTCGAAAAGGCAAGGGCTTGCGGGTCAAGTTCGCCAACGAAGCCCCTGACGTGATTGGAGAAGGCGGCGATGAAGCCGAGGAACCAACAATAGAAATATCACAATATCGAGATCGCGAGCAATCTAAAGCGCCTCAACTTCGACTGGATACCTCTTTCCGCCCCACAGATGGGTTCGAACATTTTGAGAAGACTCTTAAACGCAGTGATACGCGTGCAGCTGGGAGTGATGTAAATAACAAGAAGCCTTTACTTATCCAAAACACACAAGATGCAGACTTCCTCATGGCTTTAAATTTGGGAGAAGGCGGCTCCCGTCTGTCGTTCCGGGCATCGCCCGGGGCCGATTCGCTTGCTCAGCGTATCCGGGCGAAAATGGAAGTGGAGGAAGGCCGTGCATTGCAACACAGATTCGACGAACCCACCTCGCCTGGTGGAAACGGGGCGAGCCCAGACAGCCCTACCTCATCATATGAGACTCCTCCCCTCTCGGAAACCGAGCCTGTGGCTCCACCAAGTCCTGTTCGTAGCCCGCCGAGTCCTCAGATGGCACGCAACCTGAACCCTCATGACCAGGTGTTTCCCTCTGGTCTTGCGCCCGGCGGCAGTGTCCAGAGCCTCTCCCCTCCAAAACCTCAGCTCAGTCCTAGAAACCCATCTAACGATGGCCTTGCTCATCCGTCTGGTCAAGACAATCCGTCAACTTCTACCAGCCCCCAGCCACCCAAGGTTTCATTAAGGTCTATTGCGAACCAAGTCGGGGAGACAGCTTTTATCGACTTTAAAACCTACACTTCGCAATATGGAAGCCTTATCCGCCAGTCAGCCGAAAGTGTAAAGCCCCTGATGGAAACATCCCTTGCTGAATGGATCAGGGCCTCCGTGTGGTGGTTTATGCGAGGGAAGAAGAGGCTGGAGGCCTACGCTCGCTCGCGTCCTGGCAGCTCTGGCTCAAGACCGAACCAGCGTTCTCCAGAGAGTGCAACACAGGCTGTGGTAGACCTTGCGAAGGCTCTATGGATTAACGAGACTATTATTCCTCAGCATGAGGAGCTGACTCGACATGGTGCAATGAGTATCGATGCACTACTTGCTGTAGCAAGCACTACCGGTGATAACCAGCTTTCTGATTTTCTCGCGGTTCACCAGACAGTAATGAGCCACTTGCGATCGCTGTCCATGTCTATCAAGAGAAACAATATTCTTGCCGCTCTCGCCGCGGAAGGTGACTCTGCCCACGCTGACACGAGTGTGTGGGTTCGTTACCCCTTTTTTGCACCGGATGTGTCTGCGGTCCTCTCTGGTGCGACCTCGAGATCGATGTTGGTCGACAAGCCTGGAAAAGGGCCGACATTTATGCACATGATGCCTCTCAGTGATACAAGTCGGTACTTTAGTTATGGTAGTATGTTTGTAGAAGTGTGTGTCAGCTCAAGTGAGGACGACAGCCAGCAGTTCTCAATGCCATGTGTGTTGTCTATAATCCGTGATCGTGCCGACTGGTATGTTTTTGCGGCTATTACCAGCCAGAGTGAATTGGTCAATGTCATGATTCAGTCCGATAGAAAGAAAGGACCAACATGGGACGATGTCGATTGGCAGGTCAGGTCGCATTCCATGCGGGTAAAGCTGCCTCGCGGTTTTGAATTGGATGTCATGTTCCGCGAAGATGATTTCAAAACCCTCTGGAATATCGTTCAGTACACGCTCAAAACCGAGGCCAGCCTTCAGCCCGAAGCTGGCGAAGCCGTGATTTTCGAGAGCACTTTGAAGCTCTTCCAGTACATGGATCCCGGTACGCCAAAGGCATTCCCGGCAGAATCCATAGAGAAGTGTCGTATCCGACTTTTTGAACGCTCCGTGACGGTAACTGAGGGAACTGGCACAAGGAGTGCCCATCGAGGTTTCCGGATCGCAGTGCTCACTAGCCCTAAAGTCAAGACTCTGAGCAGTGTGCGTCATATGCTTGGGTATGGGGCGCCCATAATCTTCGGGTTGCTTCGCGGTGAAGATGGGGCGCCAGCTATGGTTCTCAAGGTCAAAGAGGATGGTCGGACCCGGTCCATGTTGATGACGTTTCAGGAGGTCCAGGAGCGAACCACTCTTCACTCACTGCTTTTGGCAATGATGCCCAAGGAGAGAGAATTTAAGCTCTCTGATATCCCAATTCGCGCCTATACGATCGAGCAGCCTGCTGATCGATTCAATGGTCAGCCAACCAAGCAGCATCTCCAGTTCCCTAGCGGCACTGTGAGTGTCATTGACCAGGACCATGATTTTATTGAACACGGTTATGGCCCAACTATCCTTTCTGAATTTCTGCGGGCTTTCGTTGCCACTGAATGGGGTTCTGTTACAGATCGCATTAACCTTGGTATGCCTATGTTGAGGATAGACGTATTTGTAGTCCTACGCTAACGATTTTCTAGGCCCAGGAGAATTGAAGCTTGGCCTTGATGTTAATAACCGCACAGGTCTTAGTCTGTATAGACCTGCACAACAAGATCTTACCGTTTCGGTTGCCGAAAATCTAATTAAACCAGAGATGCCGGACAGATTGACGGATTTTCTCGAGACTCTTATGGCTAAGCCTATGGTCAGAAAGTTTGATTTTGCGTCATTGCAAGGTACCGTTATCGTCGTCTTTTCAAGCTGTATATACTAACTTATTACTAGGGCTTCACGAATTTGAGAAAGCTGTTACCGGGTTCACGGTGCTATTTGACAGGTAAGAAGACATCACCATATATTATACTAGTTATAGCCGAGACTAAAAAAAAAAAACCCGTGCAGTGTTGCTTCTTCATTTACGATATCTCGTCGCCGTATGGTGGTCCCAATCATTAAGAAATGGGAGTCAAGTATGGCCCGAATTCAGGTCGTCCGCCAAGATAAGGTGATTCAGCTTATAGCATTCCTCAACGACTTTAGCCATGGGAAGTGCATGAACTTTGTGCTCAAAGGGACAGATGTGTTGGAGAACTTCAACCGATCTGGGAAATTCTGCGTTCGGATCGTCGATGCCAAATTTGCCTTACCAAAGACCGATGATGATCCTGCATCCGAATTCGTCTGTTTAGATATGCCTGAGTACCCGATTGAGCACGATGACATCTCTATCGCATTCGACTCTGAGGCTGGTAAGTGAGGCATTCCACATAGGAGACAGACGGCGAAGCTGATTGAGATAGACCGGTCAAACTTCCAAGCAGCAGTTCCTGGGTCCGTTCGCGAGCCCTCTAGGATGGGATCTCTGCGACGATAAGGTTCCCTCTTGGATAGCTCTTGACGACCCGAGTCTTGGTTGAGGATTTGATATCCGAGCTGTGTCGCCGCTTGCCACGCAATTCCCCCCTTGTCCCGCTCTCAGAATCACGTGTGTTCTCCTCCCGCCGGAGAACATTCCGACCCAATTCACGCCCTTTTTATTGATACCCCTCCTCTCCTTCCTCTCCTTCCCCTCATTCTCTCTTCCCTCTTCCCTCTTCATCTTTGTTCAACATCATCATTGCAATGTCTCCAACTGGCCAGAATCTAGGCGTTTCTACGCGCTCTCTGCATGCAGATGATGAGCTCAACCTAGTTAGTGATGTTGCTCCTCCATTGCATCTGTCTACTACGTTCCGGTATTCAGATGATCCGGATATGCTGGTCCCCGCAGTAGACCTAAGCGCTGTAAGTTTTGCCCGCAACTTATGGTTATTTTTCCAGAGGGTCAAATCTAATGGATCTACTTTGACAGGATTCCGAGGATAAAACATCACACGTTTATTCCCGTTTGACTGCACCTAATCCCACTCGATTTGAAACCATTCTTTCGTCCCTCCTCAATGGAGAGGCTATCAGCTATTCTTCAGGACTTTCAGCTCTCCACGCAGCCCTCGTTCTCCTAAATCCTCGTCGGATCTCGATTGGGAATGGCTATCATGGATGTCATGGTGTTATCGCCATGTTCAGCCGTTTGACTGGGCTTCAGAAGCTGGACCTGGACTGTTCGGTTGAGCAATTGGAAGCTGGCGATGTCATTCATTTGGAGACACCCGTCAACCCTGAAGGAACCTCCTTCAACATTGAAGCATACGCGAAGAAGGCGCACTCACGAGGCGCTTATCTCATCGTCGACGGTACTTTTGCTCCGCCCTGCCTTCAAGATCCCTTCAAATGGGGTGCGGATCTGGTGATGCATTCCGGATCTAAGTATTTTGGTGGACATAGTGATGTTCTTTGCGGAGTCCTTGTCACGCAACGTAAAGACTGGGCGCGACAACTGTCCCAGGACAGGATATATCTTGGTAGTGTGATGGGCAATATGGAGAGCTGGCTCGGAGTCCGGAGCTTGCGAACCCTGGAGGTTCGAGTGCAGCGGCAAAGTCAAAATGCAACGAATCTGGTATCGTGGCTGCACAATGCCCTACAAACACCGAATGGCGCTCCGGATAGCGACGAGGCCATCACGCGAGAGGCTCTCGATCAGGTTTTCCACTCTAGTCTTCAGAAAGCCGACGAGTCTTGGTTGTTGAAGCAGATGCCCAACGGGTTTGGGCCTGTCTTCTCGATTACGATGAAAAATGAAGATCTTGCTCGGCGACTGCCCAGTAAACTGGCGTTCTTCCAACATGCCACGAGCCTGGGCGGTGTCGAGTCCCTGATTGAGTGGCGCACCATGTCCGATACGACGGTGGACCGTCGGTTGCTGCGCATTAGCGTCGGACTGGAGAATTGGGAAGATCTTCGCCAGGATCTTGTGAACGCGTTTAGAGAGCTGATTGATTGAGTGGGGGGTTGGGAGAACCGTGGGTTTGAACATATTGACAATGAATTAACTGAATGTAACAAACTTATTTTCTTTCTATGAGAATCCATGTACATACAATACAACCCTCATTTTTGTTTTATATCCCTATGCCACTGTTGCTTTTTTATTTTCCATGTCTGATATATTGCATACCTAGCTACCTAGGTAGTGGACAATTATTTTATATTGATAGTGAGTTTCAATCTAGTATTTAGCAACTATCTTGTCCTGTTGAGTACAAAAAGAGAAAATTGTGTTTTTAATATAGAAAGCAGGAGTAAAGCTAGGTGCTATTTCAAGATAACAGGGAATCAATGTAAGTAGAATGAAACCTCCTCCCAACCAACAACTTCCTCCACACATCTTCCTCCACCTCAACATCTAGCATTCTCACTTTCCAACCCAATAAACAACAACAACAACAATAGCCAATATCCGGAAAGAAAGGAAGGGGAAAAAAAAATATGTCCCACTTCCAAATCTACTACTTCTCCACCGCCTCCTCCTACACCGGAAAACAAACCGAACGACTCCCCGCCCCCTTACCCCTCTCCCGCTTGTTCGCGACCCTCGAAGATCGATACCCCGGAATCCGCGAGAAAGTGCTGAGCAGCTGCAGCGTCAGCTTGGGGGAGGAGTACGTCGATGCTACGGAGCAGCAGCCCTCGCCCTCGGGGCCGGAGGAAACGATGATCAAGGCGGGAGACGAAGTGGCGATTATTCCGCCGGTTAGTTCGGGCTGAATATGTTTTTCTTCTGAGCGTGTCTGGTGATTAAAGATGTTGTTTTTATTTCTTTCTTATACATAGATTATTATGGACAAATCAGAGAGAGAGAGAGAGAGCATTAAGGCAGATATATATAACAACAAACACGAACAACAACAACGAAACCAACAAGAAACAAGAAACAACTTGAGGAAGAGAAATCCCAATGCAATACAATCCAATCCATCCATCCATCCATCAGATCATTGTAATATATATATCATGAAACCCAGCCGGCGATTAAGTTAGTCATTACTCCTCGCCCTTCCCGTCCACAACAGCCTTCTTCTGGTGCCAGAGACAAGCACAGCCGATGGCTGTAAAGAAGAACATAATACTATGCACTCTATTAGCCTACCTACTCCCTTTTCTACCGATTACTCACAGGGAAAAAAAAAAAAAAACCCCTTACCACATGGCAATACTCAACCCCCAGATCGACTTCGCCTCTAAACACACGGGCTCAGAAGTGCCAACCCAGCTCTGGTAGTCGACTACTCCGGTCAAATGGCCTAAGTAGCTACTCAGATGCGTTGCAAATGTATACGCCGAGGAGGAGGAGGAGGAGGAGTCGTCGCCCACTCCCGTCCCGATCTCGTTGCACTGCAGGTACGAGAGCGGTTTGCCGATTGTGACGGCCACGACAATGACGGCGATGAGGATGAGGGCGTCCATCACGCCGCATGCCAGGAACGGGAGAATGTCGTCGAGGAAGAGGATGGTGGAAATAATGCAGTACATGACGGCAATGCAGGTCTATCCCGTGCCGTACCATGCCGGACCCATTTCTTAGTATATAATATAGTGTCTCTCTCAACTGAGCTGATGCATGATGGGCACGTACCACGGTGATGGTTCCAATGAAGACCCCCGGGGGAGTCGCATCGTACCTCACAATTTCGGCAATGAAGTTTGCTGTGAGGCCGATGATGGCAATTAGGGAGCAGGCTTGGATGATGCGGGCGAGGAGGAAGGTCGCGCCGAGAGCTCCATATTTGGGCATGTTGGTGGGATTTCTTCGGGCTCTTGTAGACGGATCTGGATATCAAGGAGTGATATGATGGAGATTCGTTGTGGTTGTTAGAGATCCAGCTCTGCCAGCAGAGGAAGCTAATAAGAGAATGTATACCGTGATAATACGCAGAAGGAACCTGACAAAGGAAAGATGCTATCGGAGTAATTTGGGGTTGTTTGAAAGGGAGTCAGTCTCTGATATCTTTCTTTCAAGCACCCAAGCCCGGCGAACAAATGACTCTTTTTAAGTACTCGCATCGCAGAAACAGGATCCAGAGTATCCAAGACCTCAGCCATCAAATTGGCCCACAACAAAGGTCTAGAATCCGAGTCTGGATCTCTCCCAAGTCTTTGTCTAATTGCATGAAAGCCATCTGCGCGCGACGATCGAACAAGCGCCAGGATGCTAACTCGGCACGCAGGCGTTCTAGACTTGGAGCCTCAATGAAGCGAGGCGGCGGCTCGTGCTATGGGATAGGAGCAACCCCAGTACGAAATACGAGGAGAGCTAACGGTTCTAGCTATTCCCTAGCATCGAGGGATAATAATAACAACAGACGAAGAAAAAAAGCCCCCATGCACTAGGTTAGGCGAAAGATCAAAGCTCCTGGAAGGGGTCTGTCTCCACCACGGCGCTTGGAGAGGACGACAGTTTGTTCCGGGATCCATTCTCAGCCAACAACCACACGAGCTTAATCCAACCTGATACAGAGTGTAGGGACCACTGATTCAATAGCTGGTGAATATGGCACAAAGAATTCTCCGTGATGAAACGCGAGCTACCCGCTTCTCAACCAGTGGATTCTGCCCTAAATCAGGAATATCGGATGATCTTATTTTCTTTGAATGGGACCGCTTCTGGTAGATCTGTTCTATTGCTGGGCACAAGTCTATAATAAGTATCCGTGGCGCTTGGAGTATTCGGCAGCTTTGAGGAGCTAAACTGAGAACGATGCCTGGAACTTATTATCAAGGCGTGGATTATGTTCTGGGCCAGAATAACTGGCTCACATTGCACCTCCAAAGTTCTCTTGATCTAAAGTAGATGATATATATTAACAAAACCAACCGGATTATCCGACCCTGAATCCTCCACTCGTGCGTGTCTGGAAGAATTTCTCGGGGTCGTACTTTTCCCTCGCGCTGAGAGCTCGCTGTTTGGAAGCTGGGCAGATCCGCCCCCAGTAGTCTTGCGGGTAGTACGCGTCGTTCAGGAACAGTGGCCGGTAAACGTCCGGAAGGATGCCTTCTGATATATATCCAGAGATCATAGTATCAAATCCTCCGAAGAGGTCTTTGTTAGCCTGATCAATTTCTTCGTCGTTGGCTGAGGAGGAATAGGAAAAGTCCAACTCGATAATAATATAGTCCTGGTCTGTGGGGAAATCAAGCAGATCCTAGATGATGTCGTAGGTTAGCTGACCGTGCTATCTGGCGGATAACAGGGTTTTCTTTTGACTTACTCCTCCTCGAGCTTTGGCTTTGCTGGTAATCGTGCGAGGCATGGGCTGCAGGGCCATTGATCCAATTACCCAAGGAACAGAAAGGACGGTGTTCGTAATATTGAACCAGTGATCGTAGTAGCTTTGCATGACTTCTTCGCCTACTTCTTTCGAGGGTAGAGGAGTAGTTTCGGTGGCGATTGTATACCGTTGGCCCCTGGGCTGGTCAGCTTTTTTTTTTTTTTTTTTCGGATGAGATATTGTCCATGTGTTCACACTTACTTGAGAATGAAAAAGTCGTTATTCTTGAGCTGTTGATTGTTAGTCATAGTTCCAAGGAGATGTCGTACATTTTACGCACCAAATCATAATAAGTATCCCAGGTTTTCGTGGTGTCAATGGGATCAAGGGCCGTAAAGCAGTCGAAAACACCTTGAGGAGGCTCTGGTCCATCATAGAACACAAATACAATCCAGGTATGAATCAATGCGCCGTGCTCGACTGTCACAATAACAGCTGCCTTGTCATCGAGATAATACTCGGTGAAGTCACGAACCGCCTGGAGAACCCCAGCGGTCTTGTCAGGAGTGAAGATATAGTTTCCACCCCAGACCTAATATCTATCAGAACGGTGCAGCTTAAGCGTTCAGGGAATGGAGGATGGACCTTTGAAATAGGGTAAGTTTGAAGTGTATAGGAAGTCACAATGCCGAAATTATTTCCTCCACCTTTAAGAGCAGCAAATAGTTCTGGATTTTCGTTTTCATTGGCATTCACAATGCTACCGTCTGCAATGACCACTTCGTAGTTGACCACATTATTCGCTGCCCATCCGTGCTGGGAGCTTAGGAAGCTCAGCCCACCTACCAACGTCAGTGTTTCAATACTCAGCTCCTTGATTGGGACTTGATTGAGGGAGAACTACGTACCTCCAAGCATGTATCCTCCAACACCCACACCTCCCAAGCGACCACCTACAACCGTTCGACCCGTATTGAGGTCATCCAGACCCTTTTGTGCTTCTTCCCACTGCAGCCCAGGGCCAATAACGGCAGTCTGGTCGTCAGAGTCGTAAGTGACTTCATTGAGGCGCTTAGTCGATATAAGGAGTCCGTTCTGGATGCTGGAAAACCCCTTGTTCGGCATATGTCCTCCAGATTTGATTGCGAAGAGATCCTCCGTCATGTGCAATTCCTTGACAATTTGGGACATCTCGAGAGCGCTTGTGGGGTACGCGATACAGCTTGGTCGAAGGTCACCGCACGCAACGGACCAGTAATCCTGTAACTCCAGGGAATAGTCCAGAGTAAGAGGGCTTTCAACCTCTATACCCTCAGCATCTAGCGTCGAGCAAATATCTGCGGCGACGAGGGGAGCAAGCACGGCGAGAGCAACCGCCATGCCAGCGCACCATACTGGTTCCCGGTGCATGGCTATTCAAGGCACACCACAGTGTAATAGGAATGAGTTCTAATCGACAGGTCTGGGGGTTGACTGCATTCCAGAAACCGGGACAGGCGATTCCTGGAGCTATCAGGCAACTCTCTGTGTGTGTGTATATATATATATATATATATATACGGCCATGCCCGCGAGGTGGAAATTGGTTTCACAAATGACGTGCTGCATTTTCTATAGAAAAGGCTTGACACAGGAGAGACTCATTTGAAGTTTGATCGACATACTTGCCAGCATTCAGAGAACAAAAATCTACGCACTAACAAACAAATACCCACACCTCAAGTTCATATCGGCAGGTATCTGATGGCGTGGAAACCTCGGAATCACAGACCAAGACATCTGTGAAATGGATTTTTGAAGCCAAGTAGGTCTTTCAAATATATCCTTACCGCAGTTGGCAATTTTGGTCCCTTGGAATTGGTGTAATGCACACTAACAGGGAAGCTAATCTAGCTTCGTGATCAACAAGGCAGTGGGCCGCAAATACGGGAATATGATTATTAGCCGGCTTTTACCTTTGTAATCCTGGGGATTAAAACCAGGATAACCGTTGAAAACCTCGCGATTGGGCTATGCAAAGGCAGAGCGCGCGTTAAAGGCAATTTGTATGGGTGTACATAGCTTTATGTATTATGATGACAGACTACTATATTGAGGCTTTGAGCTGATCGTGATTAATGGCAGCCCTCGACATTGAGAATATTTTGAGGGTGGGTTTCAAGACACTGCGCGTTCTTCGTAGAGCTGAGGTATTAGCAAACTGTTGAATTCCAATACGCACATGTGAGTGAGTGACTTGTAACTACCTAAGCGAACCAGATCGATAATGCCTTTATTGGTAGAGAACATTTGTTGCCCCCTGGAAATAACGGGGGATGATCTCTTCCGACTGATATAACTGGGAAGGGAAATATATCAGTACCAGGAACACTGATACCAAGTTAGAGGTCTCTGTGATATACCGGGGTCTGATTCGGTTGTTGACTTTAGGAAGTGATTGTCAAGACCCTAGTCCAGTGGCTAGTGGGTTTTTTTGAATTTAATCAACCTGGTCCCGTTTGCTCGCTGTTAGTTGTGGTTCTGAGGAAAGACCAACAAGCTTGATTTGCAGGATGGAAGTCATGATGTGATTTCAGAGTCGTTAAATGCTGGTGTAGTTGCTGGAAGTGAGTGACAACAATGATTTTGTTGATCTGCTAACATGAATACTGAATATATGCTAAGGAGACCAGGGTGAGAATGGATGCTAGATGTGATGAACCTCAGGAGCTTGTTCAGCTCATCGCCCAATGGGCCCATCGAAAAATTGAGCTAAGAGAATAGCCCTGGTCTCATTCTTGAGGGAATTGAGATTTGCGTGAAACATTTTTTTTGACTATCTGATTCTGATTCGGTCAAGCAGCCGTGGTAGTAGGGACTGATATAAACATAGGCATAGCCTTGATCCACGCCCAATGAGACCAGTCATATCCATCCCAAAAAAATATCAAGACGTTTCTAGCTGTAGGAATGAGCAATACAGGCCCACGCACTTTGGGGTGAGCCTTGCGAAGGCACTAAGTCCAAGGCGCGGTGGTGTCCTCACTCTCGTTAAGCGAACATAGCAGGCGGCAAATCGTACTTATGCGTGTTGGTCGCATATTCAATTCTGGAAGGAATCTGCAAGTTTCGGCTCGCAAGGTGGTTCGTCTTCCTCTCCTAGACTCTCAACAAGACCTTCCAGCTTCTTTCAGCCAAAGTAGAGTTCGAGCTGATGGCCGCCAAGATGTTTTCTGTCCGTCCACATTCTTGACATGCAATTTGAGATGCCTAAAACACCACACTAATCAAACAATTAGTCAATAAGCAGGATATTCAACCAAATTTTGATTGCGGATGCGAGGATGCTGTGTATGGCTGATGTTTTGAATGTTGACTTATTATAGCACCTCGGCGTGACACGTGACATCACGTGACATATAGACCGCCTGGGCGGTGGGAAAATTACTGCCGGTACAGTTCTTCGAGGCGCAAAAGAGGCATCCTCACCAGCTGCTTTTGCTTTTGTCATCTGGTCATGAGAGACATACGGCCTCTTTAAGTTTAGAGTATGTGATGGATGCTCTATGATGTCTATGATATTAGCTAGAGCTCGAGCATCACATCGTGTGATTGATATGAGCTATGCACTCAAGCTGCGTCGCTCGGTGACTGCTGTCTCCGCAGCCACTTCTTATTACCGTCCGACCTTGTGCACCGCATTGCATTCTGCAGTTGGGGTACGGCGATATTTAGGGACTGAATCTAATGTTTGTGAATACGTCCCGTCTTGTCGGCTTTTTTTTGACCATAATCTAGATACCCTCTTCCCCGAATGACTTGCCCCGAGCGTCGATTGAAGATATTCGTTTAAGAAACGAGTTCGAGAAGAACAATGATATCAGAGATTACTTGCGGAAATGGCAGGAGGCAAATCCAAACCTTCTGGACCCGATTCGGGATCCCAGCATCTCGAATGCTGATAAGGGCCAGCCTTGGGTTGGAAATATGATGAATGACAACCGGGATACATACGATGCAGGAGATGATAACGTACGATACGTAGACGATGATGCATCTGAGTTCCTGGAGATTGCAGAGGAAGGAGAGGGTCTGCACAACTACCTCAAACCGGGGGATCTGGTGGCTATTTCAGCGTAAGCATGCATGGATTATTTGGGTGTATCGATGGGCTGACGTTGATGTTGAATATTGAAGTACCGACGAAAGACTTCGGTTTGCTGTCTATGTTAGATCCGTTCAGAAACAACAGCAGTTCTACACAGAGAGGGGCAAGTGGCGGGTCGCATTCCCTAAAGAGCTTGACTATGTGATCAAAGGATTTGTACCTCCAGAGTCGATAAATCCACTCCTGCCGTACTTCCCAGATTCCCTCGCCGAAGTGAGTCCTGAGCTTCAATCTTTCATCGAAGGCGGAGTGCCCCGGGATGTTGGGGCTCATCTTTTGCGGAAGATGCACGGCTTCAATGCGGAGGTGCAGCAGCTTTACCGAGGCAATGCCGTCCGATTCGACCAAATCCACCAAATTGTGGCTCATGAGGAGGAAGAGATGCAGTTCACTTTGGAAGAGCTGGCTTGCAGAGCCCTGGAAGTCGAGCCTGACCAGTTGAATGATGTAATCCTTTATACCGTTCACCGGGCGATTCGTCGGAATCCTTTTTTGATGGATAAGGATGGAAGCTCCCTTTTTACGAACCAATACTTTGTCAAACCTATCCGAGCTGCGCAGATGATTGAGACCGTCACTACGTGGGTGCATGAGCATCAGAACTACTTGCTTCGGGCAACAAGTGGGCAAGAGGTGTCAGATTTAAAGGATCATCCCTTGCAGAAATTCATCCAGAAAGCACAAAGGTTGATAAGACTTACTCGAAAGTTTCGCTCGCCGACAACAATGGCCAGTGTAGGCCCCACCGCACAGCGTTTTCAAGCTGGACAAGATGGCAAACCGATGGTTTACCGTGAAATCCCAACAGAAAGGTTTAATTACAACGATCGATTAATTATCCAGTTTCTGCAGTCCATGTGTCTCCCCCCAAAGAGAATGAACTCAGGTGCTATGAGATCAACTGGCTCACATATCATGCGCGCGACGGGGATGTATTCTGCATTAGAACTCAATGCGGCTTCCGCGCTGCTTTTCCTGCAAGAGCTGGGAGTTTTCTCGCCGTGGGAGAACTTACCACTGCTAGACCAGGACCTAGCTCTCCCGGGACATGGGATTAGTAGTCAATCTGACTCCAAGTGGAATGATGTTGAGAAGGTGTGCGAGAAACTTGATGGGGAAAGACTTATAGATAAGATGGCTGGCATGCGTATCGATTGGGGCGATCTACCAGTGTACTGTGTGGACAATCTTGACGCACAGGAAATCGACGATGGTGTCTCCTTGGAGCGCATCCCGGGGTCCAAGGATACCTTTTGGATTCGAATTCATATTGCTAACCCATCGGCATTTATCGACTCTGAAGATATGTTGATGGAGTACGCAGCATCTCGTATTCAAACGCTTTACGCTCCGGAACATACCTACCCTATGCTTCCTCCATCTTTAACGCAGAGCCATTTTAGTCTTGCGCCTGGTCGCCCGACGCTCACTTTCAGTGCCCAAATGAACTTGAATGGCGAGGTTTTGGACACGAACGTATCAAACGGCATTGTTAATAACGTCATATACATGACGCATGATAAACTGCGCAGTATGTTCGATATCGACTATAAACGGCCCTTGAAGCCATTGATCGTGGGTGGGCAATCTCCAAACGAATGCTCGCGTACAGGGATTCGTGACAAATTATCCCCTGAAGATGACGATAATTTTCACATCCTAAGAAAGCTGATGCTTGCATTCCGCGAACACCGGCGCAAAAAAGGCGCTATGGACTGGCCTTCTCCCATTGATACACCTATCTCAGTTAGCTTTGGAAAAGAACCCTGGCCGCCTTCGACTCTGGCGGTAGACGAAGGGCGTTATATAGTAGGCGACCCTATCATCCAGCTACAGCCGCAAAATATCGACCCACATGAAATACGTGATCAAACAAAACACAATCTCATCTCCACCCTTATGAACCTTGGTTGTTGGGTCTCAGCCAAGTGGTGCGCAGAACGCAATATTCCAGCCGTCTACGATGGCACATACTATCATCCAGAGTACCCCCCATTAACCAGCAAGAACATCTCCGAGTACGGAGGAGATACATGGCTCCAGCTCGGTGCCCCAAAGGGTGTCTCATCCTCCAGGCCCCTTACGCACATTCCTCTAGGGTTGGACCCATACGTTAAATCTACCAGTCCGCTGCGCCGTTACAGCGACCTGCTGGTGCACCAACAAATCGAAGCAGCTCTCCGCTTTGAACAGGAAACTGGCCGTCGTCTTGATGCCACCTCACCAGATGGGTCCGTTCTCCCATTCTCGCAAGAAGACATTGAAGACTACATCTCCAGCTCGCAGTGGAAACGCAACCGTCTCCGCAGCTGTGATCGGTATTCTAAACAGTTCTGGGCCTGCATGCTGCTGTTCCGCGCCTTTTACTTCGCTGAGTGCGAATTGCCCGAGAAGTTTCAATGTCTCCTCCACAAACCGTATCTTCAAACCTCCACTGTAGGGAATAGCGGAAGGGTATTCTCCGGTGTCATCAGTTCGCTAGGCGTCCGCTGTCAGCTCGCCATTCCTGCAGGCATGGAGGATGTGAAAATCCTCAGTGTGGTGGAAGGAAAGATCACTGCCGTTGACATGTCCCGAAGAATGGTTTCCATGGAGGCGACGCGCGTAGTCAAACATTACGAGCGGGTAGGGGACTGGGCCTGACCTGACCATTTCATGAAATATGGATACTATACTATGTATTATTATTATTATTATTATTATACGACGGGACTTTCGAGACTCGCTGCTCGGACTGTTCAAGTCCTGAATGTACATTAGCCCTCTTATATTATATTATGCCGTATTATACAATAACGCAACACGGGGCCTTACTTCTTTAATATCTGCCCCATTGCTCAGAAGTAGATGCACCGTTTCCGCATCGCCTGATAAAGCCGTTGCGGGACAGAGTGCCCCATTTCGCGGTTGGTTGTCCCTCTTGATAGATTGGGGGGGCAGTTATTACGTGTATCAGACAGACAATGAGAGAGAGAGAGAGATACATCACCAATTCCAATGTATATAGCCACTAGCCACCACTAGTACTTTATAAATTAGAAGGCGAGGTAACTATGTACATTTTTATTATTTGCATAACTAACTAACTAACTAACTAGTTAGTTAATCAACCGAAGACGTGACTAATGTCCAAAAGTCGTCGACCCGATGTCTCCGTAGCGGATATTCGCAAAGGTCACCGAAGTACCCGGCGTGTGCTGTTCAATGTAAGACGGAGCCCCCTCGGTGGCATTGCAGGGCCCTGAGTCGCCACCGTCCAGCCACTGCATGTAGCCCCCGGCGTCGTTCCAGATGCTCATGGCCAGCACCATGCCGTGGTGCAGGGCGCGGCCCATCTGCGGCAGACCGCCGCGGCTCTGGAACCACTGGGCGTTCGCGTCGCAGTAGGCGTCCGTGATGGCGTCCAGCGACGTACCGGCGGACTGCACGACGGCGTTCTGAATGACCTTGCCGTTCTGGACGTAGACCCGGCGGATCTCCGCCAGGGTGCCCGTCGTCGTCGTGGTGGTGTTGTTGTTGTTGTTGTCGTTGGTGAGGAACTGGGTGACGACGGTGAAGGGCTTCGTGGTGTCGACGACCATGCGGGGCCCGTAGTAAGTGTGGGCTCCCAGGGCGTAGGGATTGAAGCTGCAGCCCCATTTATCGCAGACGCCGCCGCTAGCCTGGCCGCATTCTTCGGCGGTTTTGCACTGGTAGGGTCCGGTGGTGTTGCAGCTGTGCGGGGTTAGGCCCTGGGCGCGGGCGTTGGCTTCCCAGATGTCCATCTCGTTGCAGCAGGAGCCGGCGCCGTCGACGTTGCCTTCGCCGTTGATCCAGGGGAGGGTGAAGCATTGCGCATCGCAGTATCCGGTGCCGTAGCTGGCGCCGGCTGGGTTGAGCTTGCTGCGGCCGCCGTCCTCCAGCATGGCGGAGAGGTAGAGCGCCCCGTTCATGCCGCAGGGGAGGTTGGATACGTCCACGTCAAAGGAGAGCTCTTGGCCGAGGAGATGCAGGCTGTTGTAGTGCTCTCCGTCCTCGGCAACCAGGTATACGCGTGGGGATACGGACGTGAGCTGGCCATCTTCTTCTCGGAGGTACTGGCGCAGTGTCATGCTACCTCCGCGAGTAGTCACGCCGTGGGCGGCGTAGTCGGTGATTCCTTCGATCACGCAGTTCTTCGCGCAGGTTTCCTTGTCGGGACAGATCGCGGAATCGAGCGTGCCGTCGGCTGTTGTACAGGATGTGTTGGTGTGCAGGTCATGGATGACATGCGTGGCCGCATCCAGCACAACAGAGGTCTTCAGCTTCACACATCCATGCTTGTGAGAGCATTTCCACGAGTCTAGTTGGGGCCGCTTTTCCGGGGAACCCATCTGCTGTGCAGAGATGAGAGGGAGGAGGGCCACTAGGGCCAGCGCGGCGAGAGATCGAGCCATTGTGCTTCCAACCCTATAACCAGGTTAGGGGATGGGAGGGGCGGTTGTCCAACGGAAATCCAAAGTATTTATTGTCTTCAAATCGAGGCTATGATGCTTGACCTGCTGACAGCAAGCGTTTCATGATTTCCTTGTCACGAATCGAAGCCAAATCGGGTCGTCTCTGTATGACTCGGCCCGGCGGCCCGCCTTAAAAAAGCACACCATGTTGGCTTACTTGGGCATCATTTCTTTTAGGGAAAGACGCATTGAAACCGTGTGAGATTAAGATCTACGGCGCAGATCGACGTCATGATGGGGCGAAGCTCGAACGCGAAGCCTATCTTTAGAGTGCTGTTCAATCGCGAGCTGTTGCAAAGACACGAGAAATTCTGCATCCATCATCTACATCAGTGCCGAAAAAAGACATTCAAAGACAGTGGGAGGAAGGTCGGGTAAATGCTGCGGGGATTATTCGGTCCTATTCATCTTGGATAATGTCTTCTTCGCATCTTGCATGCTTGGATGTGGATTTGCCTGCACTCCGTGTCGAATTCGGAAAATTGACTCCGTTTCAATTTAATGGATAGGGCACCAATGGCTTCGTGTTTGGATTTTAGATGCATGGCCAAGTTCAACGTTACTTAGCATGGTTTCTCACACAACTGGAGGTCTCACTTGGTTGGTATATTCACATCCTCCGCGCCATGAATTATGCCCTTGAAAGGGGGATATTGACCCGAACCCTGGGACCGGATGCTTTTCCCTACCTGGTAGCTTATTCTCAGGGTCCATAGCGTAATCCGAATCTTCATATACTTGTCATTGATGTAGGTTGGGATGATGTTTTACGTCCCTGCTAGGCTTGCGCGCGGGATTGATGCCTCGTGAAGATTAGGCAATTGGAGTAGTTGTAAGAATTTATCATCGGTTGCAGTATGAAGTTGTGGATAGGCTGTGGCGCCGAGGGAGGCTGCGTTTCGATATACGGTTGCTGAGGTTGAGTTGGATACTTGGATAAATGCATATTGAACAGTAGATTGTAAAAAAAAAAATCGATTCACTTTGTAACCCAGTAATATACAACCAGTGCTTCAGATAACACTGGATATACGCCGAAAAGTCTTGATATAAGTATACAAAACAAGAAGATAGCCCATGAAATGGATGATCAAGGTTTAGTTGCCAAACACCTCTTTGACAAGCGTCTTTTTATTAACTGCACTCAAAGTTAGATTCAACTCACAAGGACATGTAAGAAGAAATGAGGCTTACCCTTTCCCATCGCGTTTCTTGGTATCGGCCCATCCAAGATCTTCATCTCCTGCGGCAACTTATAACTCGCAAGACGATCCTTGAGAGCGCGTCGCATATCCAAAGATCCCCAAGGTTTGCCATTACGTCCTGTAGTTGCTGCTACTTCAGTATTAAGTACGACAATAGCAGCTACTTTTTGGCCCCATTGTTCCGATGGCAGGCCGACAACGGCAGCTTCGGCGATTTGTGGACTAAAGATGGTCAGTATTGTTCAATGGTAAAGAAGGATAACGATGAATGTAGACATACAGGGAAAGAAGCTCTCTTTCTACCTCTAGAGCGCTCACTTTTTCGCCCCCGGTTTTTATGATATCCACGCTACGTCGCCCTTGGATGAAATACATCAGGCCTTGGGCCCATTCACCGCTACTTCCTTTACCAGCGCCATCGACAGGGCGGCGAGTGGCAACGTCTCCGGTCTTGAACCATTTGCCCTTGCCATCGTCACCGTCGACGAATGCTTCTTCAGTAGCGGCTTTGTTGGCCCAATACTCACGGAAGATGGTCGGGCCACGGAGATGGATTTCTCCTTCACGAAGACGTCCATTTCCGTCGACTTCTTCGCCGGGCCGGATAACTTCGTTCGTGTCGGTATCGACTAAGCGAGCGTCCACGGAGGGCAAGGGCCACCCGACACTACCATCCACACGATCCGCAAAGTCAAGGCCGCAGCTAATGGACATGCCGACTTCAGTCATTCCATAGCGCTCCAAGAGCACGTTGCCGTTGCTGATATCCTGCCATGCCTTCTTAGTCGGAGTTGGCAAGGCCGCCGAGCCGGAGATATTCAAGCGAAGATTTTCCGGGGAAATCCCTTTCTTCGCAGCCTCTTGGGTCTCCGCAGGTAGACTCGGAAAGCTGGACAGAAGTCGATTGTAGATTGTAGGAACCGCCGTGAGGAAAGTGATTTTACTGGCATCCGCGCTCTCCGGTAAGAACGGGGCAGCGAGCCGGTTCCACACAGCAGTAGGGTTGAACGGGTACATGAACTCAATGGATGAGCCAGACAGGATTGGAGTTATGATCGCATTCACGGTCCCGTGAATATGATGGAGCGGGAGGAGATGCAGAAGCCGGTCGTTCGGCGTGTACTCCCACGCTTTTCGCAGGGAAGCCGCCTGTGCAGTAAGCGCAGACTGTGGGATCAAAACGCCTTTCTGGGACTTGTTAGCCCAATTCTCCCGCTCAAATAGGTTTCTCGTGAACCATGACCTACCGGCCGATTCGTCGTCCCAGAAGTATACAGCATCATCCCACCCCCATTCACATTAAAATCGTCCAATTCCACCGCTCCAGCACTCGTCGCACCGACCCTAATCTTCTCCCGTATATCCAGGATAGGCACTCGCTCGAGGCCCTCTTCCACAATCCCACGGGCCTTCTCCGCGTATTTCTCTGTCGCCACCAACATCATCGCCTGCGAGTTCTCCATAATATATTTCAACTCCCCCACAGGAAACGCCGGCGAGAGGGGAAGTGCAATTGCATCATTGGCAAGAATCGAAAGCAGCATCACTTTTTTTTTTTTTTTTTATTCTTCAATCAGCGCAAGCAGTTCATTTTCCCGAGGAAGAGCGACAAGAGAAACAGTACCTACGTAGTCGTAGCTATTCTCTGCTAGGAATGCAACCCTCTCTCCTTGTAGACCGTCCCGCCGACCTCCTGATGATTGGAGTAGTTTATCCTTTGCATGGAGCACATCTGCAATCAGGTTGCCGTAGGTGAAGGAACGGGAGGATGGATGGTGTAGGACGGCTAGGCTGGACGGGTCATGGTCTTTGAGGGCACGAAAGAGCGGGAGATTCGGAAGGGACGAAATAGATCGACGGAGAGAAGGGCCGAGAGGGTGCTGAATATTGTTTCTGCATGATTTGCAAGTGAACAGTGTCTGTGGTAAACGGCGGGATGTTGGTGCCGCTCGAGCGAGGATGGACAATAATCTGCGTTGGTGCATTTTGGGGAGGTTTAGGAGGGAGGTCACACGTGTGGAATTAACGTCTGTTCCTGCAGCAAGGATGCATTTATTAGGTGTCGTGCATGAGAACAAGTCTTGTGTTGTGAGCGTGGATTGTGTCGACCGCAACAAGTTGATGTCATTCCCAAAATCGAGGACGATCGGAGTTTCGGCGGAAGGTCTGGACTGGACTGGAATCCACGCCGCACGACAGCGAGTGTGTAACTACAACCCCAAATAAATAATAATACAGGTCTATCTATACAAAAATAAAATAATTCATCCCTTAATTCAGCCCGAGAGTAACTCTACCTAACGTCCTAGAGAATACCAATATCCCAGAACATGGCTGTTCCCACTTACCCTATGTATAGGTACTTAAAAGGCTTTTATGGCCGAGAAGAAGAATCTCCCGCGCGCGCCAACCACTCACGACTCCCTCCCTCTTTACAATCAATCATCTTCTACATCCCCTCATAGTCTAATCCCCCTCCCCCCCCCATCTCAGCTCTACCTCTTCACTCACAAGGACAAACGTCCAATCTACCCATCCACCACAACAACCCAAAATCTCAGATGCCCCCCCGCTTCATCCCCCAGGGCCTGCTCCCCCGCCGCCTATTCGCACCCACCAGCGCCATCTCCAGAATGTCTTCCTCCGCAGCCCCAACCTCAAACACCCCCGTTGAGGACCTCATTCGAGAGAAGGTAGCTCCCCCCTTCCAGGTTCACTTAATAAATCCAAAGTACTCCATGTGCCAAGGAGAAATGAACCCACACTAACAGCCTATTCTCCGGTGCCAGATCACAACAGCCTTTTCCCCCTCAACGTTGATCATCCGGAACGATTCCCATAAACATGCGCATCACGAGGCGATGCGCGGCGCGGTTTCAAAGGAGACGCATTTCCAGTATTCCTCCCCGGCCCTTTCGTTTCCCCCCATCTACGTTGACTGCAGAAAGAAGCGGACGAGGTCTGATTGCGTTCGTATAGTGTAACGATTACATCGCCGTCGTTCCAGTCGAAGCTGCAACCGGCTCGACATCGCATGGTGTATGCTCTGCTCAAGGAGGAGATGAGTCGGGAGGGTGGAATCCATGCGTTGCAGTTGCGAACGAAGACCCCCGAGGAGGAACAGAGAGAGGTAGAGAGGCAGGCACAGGCGTAGTGCTGTATATCTTGAATCGGAGGTTCTCCGTGTATAAATAGATCTAATACAAAAGAACCCCCTCTGTGGCATAGAAGATATCTCATATATGTATATATGAAGTAGCTACGTGTGGATTTGTGCTACTGGCGGGAAAGATATTATTAGTGATTGACTATTACATAAATTCTAGGGTCAATAGGGTAAGACAGAAGAGACTCTAATATATACACTGCGACAACATCATGCGCATCCTAGCCAACGAGCTGCGACTGGGTTCATCAAGTCGCACACGATCGAAGATGCAGAACTGTACACGATCATCAGCGAATACGGGACCACTGGACCAGAAGCACATGAGGAACAGGTGGCATACATGCTTTTCAAATCAAAACAAAACAAAACAAAACAAAAAAAGGCAAGCAGACAATGTGGTATAACAGCAGTAGAAAGTACAAAGGGGATCGAAGAGAGGAATGGGAACAGTTTGAACACTACCATCTTGAGCGTGTAAGAAAACACGAAATCAGGAGCGCAAACCAAAATTCGGGCAGAAATTCAGGAGCAAATTCGTTTCCAACTCGGACAAACAAAGCAAACTAATTAAGGCAATAGACGATGATGGCATCCAGTCAACGGATACGCTAGGACATAATCCCAATACTGAGACAGAATTCACGTTTACTTGTGGGCAGTCACACCGACGGCAACACCGACAACAATGGCAATAATGATGACTAGAGGTTGAGTTAGTTCATTTGGGACCGGACTCCAAGAGCAACGGGCTGGTAGAACTTACTAATGACGATAAGCGCATACCACTTCCATCTCCTGGCCCTGCGCGCGCTATCGACAGCATGACCAAGCTGGGTGTTGGCATTTTGAAGGTCTTGGGCAACATTCTCTGCACCCCGGTTGATCTGCTGCACGGCGGGTTCTTGCTGGTGCACAAGCTCTGCCACCTCCTGGACCAGGCGACCCAGCTCGATCATATCCTGTTCGATCTTGCGAATCGCAGCTGAACGCTCTGCAGTAGCTTGTCTGACATCATTGGCTCTCTTGGTTCGGGCACCGGTAACCTGAGAACAATCAACATTAGGGAGAGTTTTTCAATGGGCGTGTTATGGGGCTATTTCGAACCTGGAAAGCCTGTTCTTGGCCCAGCAGAACACTCTGAACGCCCTGATCCACCTCCTCGGGAGTAGCTTCTGGGTTGGCAATCTGGTATCGTCGGCGGATTTGCTCCTCCAGGCGCTTCTCAAATTCGCGCTGGCTCTTCTGGTACTGTTCGATTTCTGCACGCAGGTTGCGGCCGGTGACTTCGAGCTGAGTCTGGACGCGGCTGTCTCCAGATCCAGGGGTTTCCTTGATCTTCTTCATGAGGTCGCGAAGGTATCGGTAACCGTTGCTAAGTTCATCCTGAATGTAATCCAGAGCCTGGCGGGCCGACTGGTCTTCCCGTCCGGTGTTCGATTCCAGAAGAGCGTTCTGGGCCACGGTGAGCTGTCCTTGTCTCTTGGTCTGCAAATCTTTAATTCCATCGTTGATTTCTCTGCACCGGTTGAGCAGCGTGGTGGGGTCTGCGGGCTGTTGCACGGAATTCATCTCTAGACATTGAAATTCGTCAGAGTGAGTTTTCACACGGGATTGACGCAGCACGCTTACCATAGCCGCCGTTTCCTTGCTCCATTGTGGTCGCCTGGTTATAGGAAGTTTGGCCGTAGCCCTGCTGGCCAGCATAAGGATCGGACTGTTCTTGTTGGCCCCCATAGGGGTTGTATTGGGTGTAACCACCTTGCTTGAAATTTCAGGTCAGCAAGTTGCTAGGGTAATACGGCGGCCTAGATTAGGGGAAGGGGGGTAATCATCAAAGAATCGCAATCATTGAGCAACAAACATACACTCATTGTGAGATGGAATCGTAATTCAAAAAAAATGATCAAATTAAAAAAAAACCCCGAAATCGCGATGGTCTGGAATATCGAGATCAGATGAAAATGATGCCGATTTCGTCAGATCAGGGTGCGGATTCGACGGGAAAGCAGGACGGGGTGAGAGGCGCGAGAAAGCGACCGGGAGAGAAGCTTGCGAGAGACGGGAATGAGAAGCCTGCGAAAGAAAGCAAGAGGAATGAGGAGGTGAAGGGGGAGGAGTGGAAGAAGTGGACAGATTTGGAGGGAAGAGGAAGAGGAAGAGAAAACAGTGAGTGAGTGAGCTATGGATGACAGAGACGGGGCGAGAGAACGCGGCTGAGCACAAGTCAATCAGCGACGGGAGAGATAGAGGCGCTCTGTTCTTTGACGTGACTCGTGGTGTTTGGAGTATGTGGCAGATACCAACAGACAATTGGTGCGATAGAAGCACTCAATTCTTTCTCTGGGTTTTCTGTTGGATAGGCTCGAATTTTTCCTTGTGGATGATAATTTGATCAGGGGATACGGAGGAGTGAGAATTGTATAATTATTAGGGGGCGTTTCTGTTGTTGCACAGACCAGCCAGTGATCGTCGAGTCCCCTTTTTCCCACTCTGAATCTGAAAGAAACAGTCAACGGGTTAATAATAATCTACGTGCAATTTGAACTATTAAGCTCAAAAGAAAAAAAAAGAAAAATCCTGAAAGTACCGTCTATATAATCCCCTCCCTTCTTGTCTCGCTAAATTCCGGTGGCTGAGCCTCGATTATCTCGTTGCCTGAGAAAAGGCAGTGATGTTTCCATTGGACTACACATTCATTAAGGCATTATTATATTCTTATATGGTATTATTAGAACTGGACCCTCTTCTATTCACAACAAGCATTGAATCCTCCATAGATTGGGTGCAACACTGCCTCCCGGTTATTCCGCCATGACACAATGACTTGCCAATGTCCTTTGGTAACTAACGGTCTCAATTTCATTTCCCCACCATTGTCAGATCTACCTAGATTGACGGTCTACCCGCCTCAATCCATAGACCCTAGATGTCATACAATCGCTGCTCTGTAGGCTCGAGGTAGCCGGTGATAAACTCAGACCCTTTTCCAAGAAAGTGAGGAATGCCACACTTTCTTGAACACGTTCGAGCTCCTGGAGATTGATCTGCTCTGTTCCAGGCTATTCGAGTTCGGCGGGTCTGGGGCGGAGCGACTGCTAACATCTAACCTGATCGACTGCGCCTCTAAAGTAGGATACGCATCTTGGGCGCCTTCTGTTCTCTCTGATGGCTGCACAAGCCCGTATGCCGGTGAGACACCCTGCTCCTTTTTCCAGTTGGAAAGGATCCTTGCGGAGAAGACTGTATCGGGATGTTCCCCACCCAGAGTTTCGCGGCGATGCTTCAAACACCGTGCCATCATCTCAAGAGCATCGGGGTTGTTAAGGGCTTTGTTGGTACAAGCAAGGTTATGCATAGTTCCTAGAGTCTCGGGGTGCTCCAATCCCAGCACCCGCTTTTGAATCTTCATGGTTTGCAATTGCAACTCGTGTGCTTCAATCCACCGGCCCTGATGCATGTATACCAAGGCGAGGTTATTGATACTGGTGAGGGTGTCTGGATGTTCCGGTCCAAGTACCTCCTGCCGTGCCTTGAGTGATTTAGCTCCGAGTTCTTCCGCTTTATCCCATCGTCCTTGATGATCATATGTCATAGCCAAGTTGGTCATGGTTAGCAAGGTATTGGGATGTTTTGGTCCGAGTATCTGCTCGAAGGACCTCAGGACCTGTATTTCTATCTTCTCTGCTTCTTTCAATCGTCCTTGGTCCCGGTATGTTGATGCAAGGTTATGCATAGCGGTTAGTATATCGGGATGATTCTCCCATGCCATACTATTCAAGAAAGAAGGGCTTTTCTCTCCATACTTTTCCTTTCGGAATGTCATAACTTTTATAAACATCACTTGTGCTTGATCATACCGGCCATCCTTATGCAAAAACTGTGCAACCATCCAAAGCAAGTCGCTGTATTGACGATCTTGGAACTCTCTTTCATGCATCAAGGAAAGAAAGGCATATTCTCGCCACAGCTTTCGATTCGCGTGGTCGTTTTCAGGGAAAATCTCCGTAAACCGAGAAGCAGCCTTTTCTATATATCCAGAAAACCGCTGGCTGGTTCTCATCCAATTGCGGGTTGAAAGATGATAAATGGTAAATGGAAAATGAATTCAATTTGGTATGAAACTAATGAGATGGGTTGCTTAAGATACAGGAAGTTGATGGGTGAATTGATGAAATAAATACTGTGGCCAACGTGTCGCTTAGCGTTTGCATGGTGGTGGAAGTGGATGGAATAGGCACCCAGAAGGTTCCAACATCCCAACAAAAGATGCACTAGTTAGATGATGAAGGCTGAAAGATTTTTCAGCATGAGTGGTAATAAACGAGAATGCACCTAGAAGGCCTAGAGCGTCGATCTGCTCAACTCCCGACTGTGAGAGAAAGGATTGTGGAATACCAGAGTGGTTGATGCAGGCCATCAGGAACAGGTAATCGGCTGCTCGCTTGTTTAGCTTCTGGATTCGACGGAATGAGATGAGCCATGTTTTAGCCACAGGGTTTGGCGTTCATCTTCAAAGTCTTTCGGATTCTTGCTCACGCAAAAGCTGTAAGTAGCTAGAGATTGTGGCAATGGGGTAATTTTTATTAATATAAGCTGCAGCTTGGGCGATTTCCAGGGGGAGGAAGGCCAGTTGTTTGAGGAGCGCGACGGCTGCATCTTTATCATCCAGAAGACTTTTTTCGGCGATTAATTTGTGTAGAATCTCAGTGGCAGTCCGTTCATCTGGTTTGAAAATTGGCATGACATAGGACGATGCAACCTCCACAGCCAGCTGCCGGTTGCGTGTGGTGAAGAGAACATGCCCTTGCTCGCTGTATGGGAGGCTGTCTTTCAATGCAGTACCTATGCTCATGTCGTCGACACTATCAAAAATAAGAAGCCACCTTCCTGCTTTCTTGCCGCTCAAGTAGGCGTTTACGTGCTCCTTTGCCTCTGCTGGTTTCAACTTTTGCCCGAGCGCCTGAGCGATATCAACATAACCTTTCTCAATTCTTTCCGTACTTGTGCAGGAAATCCAAAATATCGAGCATAGAGGATCTCTTTCACGTATGCGGTAGGCTAGCTCTAGGGCTGTTTGGGTCTTTCCAACTCCTCCAAGTCCTGCAATTGCTAGTTTCCTTGGTCCGTTGGACATTGACAGGTACCCCTCCAGCTTATTGAGGTCAGTTTGACGGCCCGCGAAGTCCACATTTCTGATAAATGGAACCGTCCAGTAGCCTCAAAATAACGAAGTTAACAATTTAGTCTCATCATTATACCCCCCTCCTGGAATTACTTACCATTGGTTATTTTGGGTCTCCATTGTTTTAGTAGCGCTTTAGCCGCTGAAGCACCAACTGCGGCTGCATAATCTTGCCACCTCTTGCTCTTATGGCTGTCTGCATAGTCGGACACCCCCTTGATGATAATGCATGATGATACATTGTCCCATGCCCCAGGCCCCTCCATTTCAAACCCAATGATCTTACCATCTTGAGCTAACTTATCGCGGTGCTCTCCGGACTTCATCACCGTATCAGCGCATCCAATCCTCCCAATATGGATAGATGGTTTCGGCGTGTCCTGGCGAGAACGACTAACATGATCCTGGCCGCAGCCCAGACTATCGCAGTCTTCCGTTAGAGCCTCCTCACAAATGGCCTTAGGAGAGCCACGATTGAAACAAAGGCATTGCTTGATGGCTCCAGTTTGGCCATAATGCTTATGATGGTAAGAAGCTTCGAAGAGAACATCATGAATGCCATGCGTCAATCCCGGGTGCTGCCATCTAGTATCAGATTTTTGGATAGCCTGAAGATGCTGGGACATTTGATCCTGGAATATTTCTTGTGTTTTGCCATTTTGAAGCTGGGCCAAAAAGGTCCTAGTAGGTCGATTTGGCTTCCTGAGTACCTCCATTATCTTCTGCTGGAATTCACCCGGATATTGCTTCCCAAAATCATACTCCACCGTTTCATTGCTGATAACGACGTCGCCCAGGAATATTTCCGGATTTTCAGACGGGTATGGAACACCTCCGCAAATTCCAACAACAAGTGCAAGCTGGATACTAGGGTAACTGACATTAAGGCTTGAAGTTACACTTGCAGCACTGACTTTTCCTGCTCTTCCTTGTCCTGATCCTGGTACAAAACACAACACAACATTGTGCTGGTCTATTCTTCCGTTTATATATGAATTCGCGTCCCCGGGCAGTTTACCGTAGAACTCACTCATTCGGTCATAGATCTCGTCAAACAGTGCTTCGACCGCGTCAGCCTCGAGCGTAAGGGCGCACATAATTGCGATCGTAAAGTCATCACGGCTTCTAGGCTTCATCTCGAGTTCTGGTATTGATTTACTGCGACGGGTTATGAGGTTGCAAGTAAGAGGACAGGCAATGGGTCATGAAAATGTTGAGGGTGATTATCTGTTGCTTTGAATATACATGGCTTCTTGGTGGAACAAGCCGCTTTACTTATGGCACAAGTCCAGCGCTTGATATGCGTTGGTTGCCAACTGGGATATCGCATTAGCCGCTGGGAGAGGGGCATCCCTGAGGCTGAGAGCGCCAGCCTCGTCCGTCAACGAGTTGACTATTGGGTTATCGAGGCTCATTTTTTGTTCTTGCATGTCTGGAATGTTTCATCTAAAATAGTAGCATCATCTTCGAAAGTATCATATTGTGATGTCTAACCGCTGTCCTGCTAGAAGAAAGGCACTTCTTCAGGACTACCTAGGTAGTATATCGGACGAGATAGTCCTATTAAGACGCAACCTGCAACGCGTCCGGCCAATTCCCATCGGAGAGAACGAGACATTTCTAATATCAGTCTAGTTGGCTATCTAGATTAATAAAAGTGGTTAATAAAAAAGAATAAAAACGTACAACAGCATGTATATGTATATGTCGGAGCCGCCGCTTTGCCGCCCACATTCCGGCACCTGCAGGTGAAGATGCAGGCGCCTGATATGTCACATTGGACGCAGCAAGTCTCCACTCTGGATGGCTTCCGATTTCTGTAGTTCGAGAGCCCGACCAACCATCGTACAGCATTTGTGCTGCACCCAATTCTCGTCCCGATTGGAGACGAGTCTGTTATTCCCGATAAAAGCACTCGGCGGCAAGAGCGTTGAGATCTGGGAGAATTGGATCAGAAGAAAGGTTTCCAGGAGATGAGACTGGTATAGCTCTGATGTTACTGTTGGCTCGCTTGTCCTAGTATATAGTCCACTACCCACCTACTATAGATATTCGATACAAAACAGCACTTTGATACCTTGAATTTCTCAAAAAAGCTAACATTAACTATACAGTACAAATGCACATATTAAAAAAGATAAAAACAAAAACATACAACAGTCAGGATTCGCATGTGGTCACCCACCATACTACTAACTGACCGGCAAGTGGCTTGAGTACGGCTGAGCGGACGGGAAGCCCTATTTTCCACTTCCTATGGTCGTATGTACTTACTTTCACTGTAACAAGAGTCATATAGACAGGGTACCGGATTTCGCCGCGCAGGGCAGAGTTACGCGTACGGTTAGAAACCCTAGGGTTAAACCCGACTCTACATCCCTGAGGCATATACGCAAGTCGCTGTCGCACCTGCGGTCTCAAGACGGAGTAAGTACTTACTCCGTAATCCTTACTCTGTACAGAGTGCCAGTCTCCAAACTCCAAAAAAAATCCGGTACTACGTAGTTATCCATCCACTTATCACTAACTACTTACACTATACTATATAGAGAACAGAGTACGACAGAGTATAAATAAACAAGAAAACTGCAGTCCCGCGTAGGCCGCCCAGACTCGAGCAGATGAAATTCTTTTTTACTCCGTACTCCGTACTCCGGTAGGTACTACTACTACGGAGTACTACTAAGTACTAACTACCTAGGTACTCCGTACGTAGTTTAAGTTACTTATCATGCCAAGAAAAAAAAGTGGAACACAGAGGCGGAAACCGCCCGTGGACTAGACCAAGTATGTACAAATGTTCAATGTTGTGTCACGAAAACTCGATAAGCCCCAGTTTGCATTTCTTGGCATCCACGCCTTCGATTCCGAGTCGCGGAATTGTGCAGAAGCAATGAGTGATTGATGTTGGTCATGATCTAACTTTCTAGATAGTTATTATCCACATACATGCTTTTTGATAACCGAAGGAATTAGAGCATCTGCTAGTTATCTATCCACCTTCGTTGGATCCCGGAGTGTGACGGATGTCTCCGATATTTGGTTCCTAACGGTGGTGGGCAGGACGGACTGGTTCAGGTCAGGTCAACATTGAAAAAAAAAAAAAAAAAAAAAAAAAATATTCTTTCAATCTCACCACTAAGAACATAGCTTCTATAGTCTACAGTAGCACTCTGTACGATGTAGGTATTACCAGATCAGAAACAGGTTGGAGAAGAAGAATAATGTAACTACTATGGATTCTGGGGTATGTGATTATTTACACCTGGTATGGATGATAGCTGTAGTGGTCTGCTCTGCAGGCGCTGTTACGCAGCCCGGTAACAGATAGATCGAAACAGGGTATTTTCCGCGCCCCGCGTGGATGCACGAACTGAAGAAGAAGAAAAAAACATTTGCTATATTACAGTAGAAAGAGGAACACTTCTAGTTCTTCTCCTCATTCTCATACCGAGGGGGAGGAGTTTCCGAATCATCGGCATCCAGAGCGTTCATAGTGTCCTCCTGGTCATTCAGGTGGCGGTAGAGGATATAGAAGATGATACCAACGAGGAAAGAGGCAACAGCCAGGCCCACAAACATCCACAGAATGGCAGGATCGAAGGCAGCGGGTGTCAGAGCCTCAGCTAGGGCGGAACCGAAGGCATTGGTGAGCAGGTACATAGACTGCACAAAGGACTTCATCGAAGGGGGAGCCTTGGTGTAAGCGTACTCCAGACCCGACACGGAGGCGAAAATCTCAGAGATACCAATGAAGACATAGGCTGGAGTCTGGATGGCAATGTGGACACGGTTACCCTGGGCCTCTCCATCAATAAGGGAGGCGTCACACAGAGGGCTATCGTAACAGGGGCCAGCAGAGTAGATCAAGTGCTGAACAATGGCAGCGTACATCATGGCCAGAGAGGCGACGATGAAACCCAGAGAGATACGAGTAATGGGACGGAAACGGATGTGCATACGACGGAGCAGGGGATAAACCAGGCTCTCCAGGATGGGGATGAACACGATGATGGAGATCGGGTCGAAGTTCTGCATCAGATCGTTGGGGATACCGTGGCCCTGCATCTGGCCGGCCTGGGTGACGAAGTTACCGGAGAACTGACCGTACACAACCCAGTAGATAGGGTAGAAGCAGAAAACACGGCAGGCAACAAGAGCACGCTTAAGCTCGTCAATGAAGTGGTCGTCCCAAGGCAGGTTGGTGCGCTGACCACCATTGGTGGCCTGCCAGGAAGGCTTGGGGGCATCCAGGTTGCGGTTGATCACCATGATCCAGAGAGCCCTGAAGGCGTTGGTAATGACCGAGCCCTGAGGAGGACGGACAACGTAGTACTTGCGTCCAAAGACTAGAACCAGGGTACCAACAGCAAACATGCAGAAGCAGAGCAAGTAGGCAGACCAGAATCCAATGTCACGCTCCATGTAGGGGGTGGCCAGCAGGGAAAGAGATCCAACGTTGATGGCGCCGTAGAAGATCATGTAAATACGCTGGATGGTAAGAGAGGGATCGATGATGACACGCTCCCCCTTGGGGAGAGTTTTCACCGCCATCTTCTTGCGCTTGTACTGGTCGGCAATCAGAGGAGCAACGTTACTCTTAATACCACCAGTTCCCAGACCAATGATCAAAATAGCGGCAATGAAGCCTCCAAGACCAGCGCCATGCTCCAGAGCACCAGGAATCGATGTGCAAACCAAGATCAGCAGACCAATGAGGTAGAAGATGCAGAAGAGGACAATGGTCTTGTATTTGCCAAGGTACTGATCAGCGACAATGGCACCGATGATAGGGGTAACTAAAAGTCGAGAGAAAATGTCAATTAACAGGGTCGACGTAGGCATGAACGGACACGACTAACCATAGCACCAGAACTGGAAGAAAGTGGTCAATCCAGTAGCTCCCTGGTGTCCCATACCGAGAGCACCGCGGCCCTCACTTCCATCAAGAGGACGCTGGACATAGTTCTGAAACAGACCCGACATGCCGTAGTAGGTGAAACGCTCACACAACTCAACTACAGCAACTAGCCATGCAGAAAGAGGAAGATTCTCGGCAACATGGCGGAGACCCTTGACCTCATCCGCATTAGGCTCCTCACCATCGGGGGTCATAGCGAGAGCCTTCTCGTCGTTGTAGGGTTCCTTCTCGTTGACTGGTGCGATGGCAGCATCGCCAGATGCGACAGGCCTGGGGGAGGAGAATTAGCGACTGCAAAAAGGGCCACAGAATGCGACCAAGGAAGAAAAGAATTCAAAATAAGTGTGCTGACAGACTTACTGAGTAACCTCAACCTTGTGGTCTTCTGCTGACATTTTGGAGAGGACAGGCAAAAAGATCCCCAGAGTCGCACGGACAGGCTTCGACTTTGTTTTCGCAGAGAGGGTAGCGGAAACGATTCCAACGTGGGAGAGGGTCCTGACCTTATTATACTCGTGGTGGGAACTTGAAAAGCGAACCGATGCGGACCCTCTGATCTCTGAACCAGCGCACGCGATCGTTAGGAAAATGAAATGGCGACCCAGAGAAATTTAGCCCCAAGAGGGGAGCCGGTAGGTAACCACGGATGTAACCCCAGGTCCAAAGCAAAAGGTGATTTGGTCGAGTCAAGCTGGCTGCGACAAGCCTTGACCGAACGTCTTGATGACAATGAGCCTATGAGGAGTCGAGGCCAAGTTCTCGAAGGCGAGTGGAAGGAGGTTGGGTCCCATGGGACAAGCCGGAGCTCACCGACACACCCTGTATAATTCTGCACGATAAGACACTGCCCTCACATCATGCAATTTGGTCGAAATAGTTCCCTCCTGTTTTCCTTTGTTCTTTTGTCTCCAAATATCCCATCTGCAAAGCCTCCAAGGATTCATCCATCTCTCGGTTGACGCGCGGGAAGAGGTACACGACATCGGGAATTGCTCTGCAGTTCTGCGACCGGGGGGCCTACGTACCGCATGCGGAGCGTGTTAGGTAACATAAACGAAACGGCCTCTGGCTGGCGACCCGAATAACTTCCACTGTAAACGAAAGATAAGGACAGTACCTAGGAGGAGACAGGAGTCGTCAACTAGCCTTCTGGAGGCGAGTTCTGACTCCACTCCGTAATAAGATCAACCATAAAGAATCGCGTAACAGTGTCTCCCCGCGTGATATGATAAAGCAAGATGTGGCCCATTGAGCTTTCCCAGTCCCCGACACGGAATTTCCTTGGTGAGATCCATGGTGTCTCAGAGTCAATTGACCACGAACAGTCTGGTTGGAGGAGGGGGCAATATGCCCCTCGGAGTATCATTCGGTCAGACCATGTTACCCCAGTACGCGGAGAGCAAACCAAAACCGTTATAATGCAGCCACTGAGGAACCAATTGTGGGAGCGCAGTTGTTAATTTCCGTCGAGAATCCTTTCCATGTTCATGACATTCCCGGAGTATTCACCGTGATTGGGAGAGGCGGGGGCAACAAGAAGGTTCAGCATCGAAGTGGCCAAAACTACCGGAGAGTCAAGGTCCGGAAAACTGTAGAGAGAGAACCTTCAACTTGCCACCACCATTCGCAGAGCAAAATTGATCAGGTACCAGTTGAGGTGAGAGTCGTCTTTTTTTTTTTCAAGTCAAGACATGTTCATTGGAGGCCGCGACCGGGTGGTTTTGGTTTGTCGCATGTTGGAGGCCTTACATCCCAGGCAATAACAGCGCCGATCTCGGCTCCCCTCTTCAAACTTCAAACAGCGACAACAGCGAGAGAAAGTATGGGATAGGCCAGGGCTATTAGAGAGGACGGTTAGGTGCATGGTCAGCAGAGCAGTTGTGCACTCCTTCTTTAGTCCATCAGGATAGGGAATGCAAGGCTCCAGGATCAGCTCATTCGCTGTGGTACCTATTGAGGCATAGGAACAAAAGGGTCAAAACCCAGAGAAAGACCACAACGGGGAAGACCCCTCTTCTTATTATGCCCGCTGGGAAGTGGAATTCGTGAACGAACTCGTCCCCAGGCACGTTCCAAGCGCCACTAACAGCCAGACCATGTGGATGGTTTGTCCTATCATCCCGTGAACCAATCTCAGTTGCCTTGACCGTCTTGGCCGAAGGACGCCTTATAGGCTGTGGAGGATGGAGACGGCTTGGAGATACGAAATGTGTTAGTGTACCGGGGTCAAAATACCCGAAGAGACAGCGATGAGACCACGACACTGGACACTAGGCAACGGCTCGCACGCGGCGCGCTTTTAATATCGCTGGGTTTATTCGAAATGGGGCCAGGTGAGAACAGTGATTTAGATAGGGATTGCTTACGCGGATTAGGTTGGACTAGCAGGAGCCTATAAAAGCTTGCTTCCATCTATTCTGATCCTGGTGTTGGATATCGCTCACTCCAGATGTCGTCGAGAAAGGAGGGTCTCCTCAGGAAGGATGGGTTAACTGTTTTCATAGATGGAATGAATGTTCTTTCCACCACTGTCACCGTACGTGAACCTTGAGGAGGAAGGTTATATACATCTTGCCCGAAATACGAACCCCCGTGGTTTAAGTACTCCGTACTTGAGTCATAAACCCCGAGCAGACCCGCTGCTTCGATATTATCTCAGGGATCTGGCGGCAGCGCTCAGCCGAGAGAATTTGGAGAAAGTTCAGCTAAAAAGCTTGACCCTTGGGTTTTGCCAGGAAAAAAACTCCCAAAACTGCGAATTGTTGAGGCCTGCAGCGGGTGTGTAGGTATACATACCTACGGAGTTGTATGGAAACCGATTCGTCTGGCCGTTTACAATGCAAAATGTGTTCTATCTAATGGGGATTATTGGGATGGTGCTAGGTAAACGAGACTTATGCTACAATCCCCAAGAATTGAGTCAGTGTATGTTTTAAACCATGTACTTTGGTAGTAACTATGGAGTACTCCGTAGCTTGCGTGATTATGATCCGGAGGCAATGGCCAACTCCGAGCCCGGGAATCCAACTATCCGGACACCTTGGATACGCCCGTCATTGTACTCGCGAGTTTTGTTGCCAATAGCCTAGAAACATTAATGAACAATTGCTTTCCTTTCGAGTCACTGTGGAAACTTAGGAGCTAAAATAGTTCCGTCAAAAGCCAACTCAGAATTTATCCAGGTGAGTTAACTAACTAGTTCTGAATTTTCGGGTGAGTCATGCTGCAGAGTCATTCCTTGGAGTGATGACAAGATACACTAGCTTCATGACCTCATTGAGCAAAAGTTTCTTACCCAGCCGCGATGCTTTTTCGAGGGTCCTGGCTCATTATAGGCCTGCCTTTTGTCCTCATCCATGTGTTGTGTGTTGATGCTACGACCGATATTCAGCCTATCGCGATTGATTTTGGCTATGAAGTAGTGTCCGTCTAGTATGACTTCAGTAATAGGGGACACTTGCTAATCTTGCATAGAACGGCCGTGTATGCCCACAGCACTGACAACTTTACCGAAATAGCGCTGCTCCCCTTCCCCAGGGATGAGCCATATAATCGTAACCTGTTCCGGCTACGGACGGAATTCCTCCAGACGGACCCCTTCCATACCATGCTCCGTTCGAAGAAACCCCGGACAAAGTACACGGCCGCTGTACAGTCCGTCGTGCAGAGGGTTTCTTGGTACCTCCCATTCCTGGAGAACCCCACGATCCAAAATGCCTGGGTAGTTCGCCGAGCTGTAACCGGCGCCCAGTTTGTCTGGGCCGTTGCTATGGACATCATTGATCCCCGGCTCGAGCCCAAGCTGGAAAGTCTAACCCTGGAAAACGTCACGGCCGTCTTCGAAGAGACCATTCATCAGGTCAAAGCGATTGCCTTGGAGAAGCATGGTATTGAAGTGGGTTATGCTTTCTTCTCGGTGCCGGAATTTTTCAACAAGACCCTTGTGAATGCGGTAGCTGATGCAGGCTGGCGCGCCGGGGTCCACACCTATAACACCGCGAGCTCGAGAACCGTAATGGCGACGACTGCACATACCTCTGATCCGAAAATTAACGCGGATGTACGCTATTTTGTGATTGACCAGGGGTGGTTTCATTGCGATTTTCGAACTACTTACCAGGGTGCTGATGACCGCGCGGGCAACGGAATCAAGGAGCATTACCTGCCAATCGACATGTTTTCAAGCTTTCATATCGACCAAGCCTTGACAGATCAGTTGGTTGAGAGTTCAAAGGCACTGCAGCTGCAGGTAGCCCTCGGAAAGAGAAAAACGAACCTTTGGGGAACGGTCAAGTCCGCTCGATTGCAAATCCGGAACAATTTGGAAGTCGAATTCTTGGGCGAGAAGGTTGATGGGGGCCGTCATTTCGACGAATATCCACTTGACTTGAAAGGCTCGGGGTTTGACAGTATTGACGGTCTGCTTTTGACCTGGGATGCTGTGCAGGCTGCTGAGAAGCGTTTCGTTGATAGTCTTGCCCGTCACATTGCGGACTATCTGATTCTCATGAGAAGTACGAAATGGCACATTCTTGTTCTCGAATCGTCATAAATACAACACGATGCTGACTTTTGAGAACAGAAAGCCGCGACTACAAAGCGCTCGAGGATGACCCAACCCTCGAGAGGGTTGACAAGGTGGTCATCTTGACGGACTGCATGGATGGACAGTTAGTCAAGCGGGCTGTTCAGCAGGCTCTGGGGAACGACATTGAAATCATTGGGGGTTCAATACACGATATATTTCTATCTGCTTACGGTGCGGCTCGTCGTGCATTGTTGTTGAAAAACAGCCAGACTAGCACCAAGCCAAAGAGGAAGTCAGAACACAGTGAGCTTTAGCCCGGATATCTTTTGAACTACTAGGAACTTGGAATTACTGTGCTCAGGAGTTTACAACACTACCTAGGTACAATTCAAGGTATTTTCCAGTTCTTAATACTCGTTGAAGCCTTCTAATGTACCCTACCATGAGGTTGCCATTAGCGGTCTCCGCACTTCACGACTCAATCTAAACTATAGGATCAACACTACTGTTGATTCTCTCCTATCAAGCTGTCCATCTCATCATCAACATCTCTCCTGGGCAGTTTTAAAAGAGCCGCAATGTCTGCCTTGTTCACCTTATTCATCTTACTAACCTTATCAAACACCTATAGGTCATAGTAGCTACTAGTATAGTACCGCTCTACTTTGTCTACTCACTTAATCATAGCATAAAGGGTCTCATAACCTGTCCTGTTTGATTTCTGAAGCTGAAATAGTTAATTCATTAATCCTAACTCATTACATAGAGGGTCCGAAATGTGTAGACTGCGATCTCACCGGTTCATGCTCACCCATCCAACCTGCCAGCCTCGACAACCTAACATTCAACCTCGAATTCCGAATGGCTCTCCTTCGTAACTACGCAGAGCCTACACCGCATTATGCTTTCCACCCTCAATTTCCTTCTCCTTCTCCTTCTCCTTCTCCTTCTCCTTCTTCTCATAACGACCCCTGACACTACCGCCAATAGAAGAAGAACCTTCCCCCCTCAACCCCTCCCATCCACGAAACGGACTCTCCGCAACCTTCTTCCCTCCCTTCAGCTCCACAACCTTCAGCTCAGAAAACAAATCCACGACTCTCGCAGTAGAAACTGCCTCGCAGATCTGCTTCGGAAACAAAATCTTCACCTTCTTCATCGGAAGACACAAGTAAAACCCCGCATCCACGCAGTTATCCTTGAAATCGATACACTTCAGCCGCTTGGGATCGAACCAGTGGAGGAAGGGGTCTGCGTCGACGACGAACCCTGTCAGAGTCAAGGTGCGGATAGAGAGCCGCTGGCGGGTCCGTCCAACAGCCAACGCGCAGATTTTGGCCTTTTCCATGCACATTTTGTCGAGGTATTCGCCGATTCCCACTTTGCGGTCGAGGGTCCCGGAGCCGGTTCCGCTGTTTCAGGAATAGGTAGGTGGAATCTGTTAGTGGGGTGTAATTTGCAATGTCATGATCATGGATGGAATGGGGAGAGAGAAATAAACTTACTAGTACACAGGCTCTCCATAATGAGCTTTGTCAAGTTGCCACCCTCCCTTCATATAGGGCCACTTTCCGACATAGCTGCGGCGTAGACGGGGCGGGAGAGCCATGCCCAGTTCGAGTTCGTCGAGGTCGACGTTGAGCCAGGCAGCTTGCCAGATATACCTCTGGTAGGTCTGGGTCATGCCTGTGATCTTGAGGACACGCAGGCTACGGAATGCAGAGAGAGGCGCGAGTTCTTCGACTGGCAGCATGGATATCTCTTTCTCCGCTTCTTGCTTCTCCTTTTTGTCAGGCCAGAAGACATCGAGACATAGGGTGCGGCGGTCCTTGGGGATAGAGGCCCAGGTAGGTCCCCCACGGAATTCTACGAGAGGGTTTTGTAGTGTTGCTTGGTCGGGAGACAGGGGCATGATGAGGATGCTTGTAGTGGTTGCAGCCTCAAGCTCGGGGTCTTCCTTCTTCTTGCCGCTTATCATGTTCAAAGTCGATCTAAGCAGGGAGCTAGAACGACGTGGTGTCTCTGAAATTATGCTGGAAGACCGGGTGCGAGAGCGAGAGCGAGAGCGAGAGCGTGGGAATGGGAATGGGCTTTTGGTCATTTCGAGGATCCGGTTGGGAGCCATTTGGAGGGGGTTACGTTCAGTGAATGAACTGAGGTTGGAAGCGTCACTCATGCTGAAACGTCGACTTCTCTTCTCAGGCATCTTCTCAGGGTTAACGGTCGAGGCCGGAGAACTGGGTGCACGAGAAGCTTGCTCAGTCCCAATATTAAATGGGAATCTAGTATGCAGGAGCTGGTCATGAGCTAGGAAGGTGCGTGAAGTTTAGTATATCAGGCAATAGGGAGCAATCATAATATCAAAACGTAGGTAAACTTACCTTCTTCAATCTGATCATTGACTGCTTGGTTGAAGTCCTCAGCATCTTTCCAGAATTCTTCACCTAGGAGAGTAGCCTTCCAATGAGCTGGGTAAGCATCTATGCTGTTCGTCTTTGGCTCCATGATGCACGTTTCAAAGTAGAAAAGGAACTCAGAGACTGTGTAAACCCGGGGTAAAACGCACACGTCGCCGAGAAAAGAAAAAGAAAACCTGGAGAGGAGATAGAAGTAGGGAGAAGTAACAGATAGAACTAAAGATTTATTCACTATTTATCACGTTGGCAGGTACCAAAAGTGCGTAAGTCTGCTTTGTTATAAACCACGCAATCCTACTCAATTTGTTCTATCATTCACTAGCTAAAGGACAAGGAGATGCTCTAACAAGGCCAAAGTAAGAAAACCAGAAAAGTGGAAGAAAGAAAGAGAAAAAGGAAGAAAAAAAATTCAGATGGTTGAGTCCTTGCTAGGACCATAAGGCAATTCGGTGCCCACCAATCTTATACTGACAATCGTTTATGAAAAACCAATGGAACATCATCCCTCATTGCTAGAGTCATAACTGCAGCACTCTCCTTGAGAATCCTTTCTGCACGGGTGCGACCTTCGTTGCCCTTCCACGCCAGCTCAACCCGATATTCGCGGAGGATAACCGCCAGAGCAACAACAATTTCCACCTGCGCAAACTTCTTTCCCAGACACGCACGGTGCCCATCGCTGAATGCGGCGTACGCTCCTCGAACTGGTTTATGAATGGTAGGATACTCTAAACCTGGGCCATTCAGCCCTTGAAGATCCGCATTTCTTGCCAGGAAACTTTCTTTATTGCTTGCATCCCATCTCTGGGGGTGGAATTTCTCTGCATCACTTCCCCAGTATTCTTCAGAGTAATGTGTCGCATTCACTATCAGGTTGATGTTAACCCCTGGTTCTAACAGGATGCTCTTATCTTGGTAGTGGATAGTCCTTGCTGACTCTCCAGTCCACTTAGGTATCGTGACCACAGGCGGATAAAGACGCATTGCCTCGAGCTACACTCCATCAGCACCAGAGCATAATTGAAAGTGGTTGAATAGCACCTACCATAACACATAATGGGGTAACCAGCTTGGGATAGACACTTGCGTAGTTCCAGTCTGTAGCATTCGAAGGCTCATCTCGGGTGGCCTCGAGGATACCTTCATATACCCAGTCCTGGACATCCTGATCGAGAGCCAGCAGCAAGATAGAGTATCGCAAGGTAGTCGCAGAGGTTTCATGGCCGGCAATCGTAAAAATAAGAGCGTTGCTCATAATCTCCAGGTCAGATAACCCTCGTTCCTTGGACCCCGCCATCTCTTCACTTTTCCGGTACTTCAGCATCCCCTGTATCAAATTGGATGCAGTCCTTGTATCCTCCGCACCCGATGTACTGATCAACGTCTTCATATACCTCTCGAGGTCCTTATGAGCCGCGATATCCTGCTTGATAAAGGGGAATAGCATTGTTTTAAGCGATTGTGGGAGCATCAAGTTTGCGAAAACGATATTGGCGATTTTCAAGTTCATATATGCCACAACGGAGCGGAAGGTAAAATCGAAGCCCTGAGGAGGGGTGGGCGTGTCCTGGAAAATCCCCTTGGGTCCCTCAACAGAGTCCTTGGGGACTGGCTTGAACGGCATGACCACGCCAAACCCTGCGCCAGAGAATACATTCAAAGTGAACTTCAGGATATCATCTCTCCCGTGTTCTACCTTGAATCCTCCTCTTGTGTCGATGGAGGATGATTCACGCCAGTGCTCCAGCATTCCTTGGGCCAATCTGATACTCTCCTTCCAGACAAGATCGTTATTCTTTTCATTGAATATCGTCGCTGTCTGACGACGGTGACGCGCCCACTGTGCATCATCACACTGTAGTCCAGCGTCAGTCTACACCCACCAACTTTATTCCAGGTTTAAATAAACCTACCGTAACAACATTCGGCCCATACAACTCGAGAACTTCTGTCCATCGATACAGTTAACACTACCCTTTCACCCCTAGAAAAACAAAACAGGCACCACACCAGGAAATAACGAGTAAAAAAAAAACCACAAAACAAAAGCACTTACTATACTGCCAAACCGGCTTCGGAAAACTCCCCCTTGTATTAACAACCTGCGTCACCACAGACGCATCAGCCACATGGCAAAGCACATCCCTCGGCGTAACCACGAGATAAACCTTCCCAAACTTCTTCACCTGGCGATCCTTCGTCGACCAACGCAAATTGTAGAACACATCGTTCACCAAATCAGCCGCCCACTCGGGTAGCCAATGGTTCACCATATAAGGCAGCCAGCGTGTATTAAACAGGATCGTCAGCGGGATGGAGAAGGAGAATGGGACAAGCACATAACGCAAGCCAGTGCGCTGGGCAATCCGGATATTCTTGTAAAGGCCCCGGAGATAGTCGAGCGCGAAGATGCCCACGAGGCCAAAAAAGAGGGCGCTCCACAGCATTTCGATTGGGATTGCGATTGCGATTGGGATTGCGGGCGTTATTATCAGACAACCCACGACCTAGGCCAACAGGTGCCCGGGTGAACTTTGGGGTTTGATTGAGGAGACTTCAATCTTTTTGCTGAGATGGGAGGGGTAGGTACCTAGGTAGTAATACGGAACGACAGCTACCTCTTAGCACAGCACTAGAAATGGACGTTCCTTTATCTTATGCTACTATCCAAGGATGGCAATGTTTTCGGATCATTCTCAGCAGTCTTGTCGGGGTATCAAGTAACAGGTAAGAGGTCTGCTAGCAGGTAGCAGGTTAGGTAGGTAGCAGGTAGTCAGACAGCTCATAACGAGCGGGGATGCTGGTCGAGCGAGGCTCTGAACAGTTCATCCGAGGCCAATAGGAAAGAATCCGGTTTTAAGCTTGGATTGAGCTTCATGATTGATGGTGTAAGAAACCCAGTAGCTTTGCATCATTATTAAAGATTAATCGCCGAAGAATCTGTATTCTTAGGACCTAGTATGTAGTACTTACTGATGGCCCAAGTGAATTCTTTCCATGAACATACTCCCTTTGCTTTCGACGCATGTGTTTTTCTTGCCCCAAACACCGAGATGGAACAATTATATCCATCACCAAGCTGAAAAATACCCAAGTATAATTGAACACAGTTTGTATTACGATCTGATTATCTTAAATTGACCTAGACAGCAGAGTTTTACTAATTCGAATGGATGGATGTGCTCAAAGAGGGCGCATGGAAGATTATATATATTTTATACTATCCTCACAACAGCCCACAGTCAACCTCCTATATTTGACCCTATAAGAATAAAAAGCTGGGAGATGATTATCCTACTACTTTGACGTGGATGCAAAGGACAGGTTTACTATATACAGACCATGTGAAGCAGGCTATAGCTCGCCATTATGACTTAGGCTGGCTAGAGGAGTATATCAATCCTAGTCGAGCCCAACGAAGTACATACTCTTGCGTACCAACTCCAGAAGCGGTTTGGAAGATCAAGGGGATTTCAAACGCAGACTACTAGAAAATTGAATTTATTGAAGTCATTAAAGCTGTCAGCCGCTTTTCGTACTTTTCTCCTTTCACCCCGCTATCCTTCTGCCGACATAAGAAATAAAACTCCAATAAAATATGGTATAAACTCGTCAAAATACGTATTGAAGAAAAGGTACAAGCTGGTGCCTACTAGCAAGTCATCAACGAAGAATCGAAAGAAACTGAGGTCTCAGAGCGTTGATAGGTTCATACTCCCCGCTGCGATCCCATCTCGTTCGTCATCACGCGTGATAAGATAATGCTCCATCGCCTCGTATCCGTAAAAGACAACTCCACAGCCAATAGATCGTAATGGAAAGTTTGCGTTATTCTCGGGGCTTTAAACGCTGTACTTGGCCTTGGCCCTTGTGCTGCCGCTGTGCGCACTGTCGGTGTGTCCGGAGAACTCTACCACATCAGCAGGGTTAAGGCGGAGAACTTCCTTGAATCGTCGACCGATGGATTCGAGAACGTCCTTGCCCTGGGCGGGCGTGCGTCCGTTCTTGTCTCCAGGAATGCTCTTGCCAACCGTCCTTGTCCAGAGACCAACACGGTAGAAACCCTTGCGGACATTCACGACGACACCCATGACTTCGCTATCACCGTCGCTCTCCAGAGTCTCACCGATAGCAGCCAACTGTGCGTGCAGCCACAACTCGTCGATGGGGACCGAGCGCTTATCTCTGAACGAATATGACCACTTGCCACCGTGCTTGTTTTGGGGGTCCTCCCACTCTGGCCGGATGCCTTTCTTGAATAGGTGGTAGTCTGCTTTGAGGCCAAGTTCGGAAGTCGGTGTAATGTTGTTCTAGGGTAAAGAGAACAGATTAGTATGGACATCGGCAGGAATTTAGTGGGGGGGCTCATACGTAAATGCCCCAGAATTCTTCAACCGAGTTGAATGTAACAACCTCCTTCAGAAGATCGTTCCAGTTGTTGTCGCCCTATAACCGAGCCGCCAAGATTAGTTTATTGTGTTCCCCGATCGAGGAGGAGAGTTCGTACCTTGCCACTGGGGGGCTTGGTAAACCAAAGAGTCCAGTCGTGCATGAGAGGGTGCTTCACGTTGAAGTTATCGGGATCGTGGAATACGGTGATGGAGTCGCCGCTGGTCTTCTCAGTCTGTTCTGTCTCCGCGGCCGTGGTGGCCGAAAGTGCGGCATTCTCGTCGTTCACCGGGAGGTGACCGTTCTCTGCAACGGCAGCCATTATTACAGTGTGAGATGGAGTCTGAAGGTAATCGAAGAGAAGAGATGAGATATCGAGGGGTGAAAACGTTGTAAGACGCGAGGTGAGCAAATCGTAGAGGGGGGGAGAAAAAGTCTTGGTGGGCGAGGATGGCAAAATTTGTGTTCCGTCCTTGGGTTGTAGAGGAAGGTGCGGCCTAAAGCTGAAGGAGAAGAAGAGCAGGTAGTGATTGCGCAACAATTAACACAATGCAGCAGTCTGCTCCAGGCAGAGGTCACGGCTTTAGTCGTTTCGGATGTGCTACAAGACCCTGCGAAAATTAGTATTGAGGTTTGGGAACGTTTTTTGAGATGCCGCCGCTGGGCCACGGTGAAGCTTTTCCTTTTTTGGCCACTTTTCCTCCCTGCGGTTTTTATTGGTTGCCGCCCCAGCAGTAACAGATAACCCTAGGTAAGAATAAAATGGAGAACTGGAGTACTCTATAGATAGTAGCACCAATAATTGTTAATTACTTGATTGTTTAAATCAAGGACAATAAGGTATCCAAGAATACAACACGTGAAATTGTAGGTGAAATTGTAGGTGAATGATCTAGGTGAATGATCTCTAGAACACCAGTCTAAAACGTGCTGCTGAATTCTATAGACTAAACGTACATTTTACCCCCAAGGCTCTAGTGATACCCCTAAGCATCCCTCCGAATGGAAAAATATGAGCACATAAAAGCCGAGAAACAAATAAAAAAAAATTTAAGAAGAATCAAAAGTCGGGTCACTCCGAGCCAAGAGTCCCCAGGTTGCGAGGTGCGCCAGTTGTACAAGAAAGGGTATCTCCAAATATATTCCTCCAGAACAATAAAAGATCAAATCATGCTTCGCCGCTGTTGATCAAACTTAAGATGCAATTCCAGCCTGGTTGCTGTTAGTCACGGTTAAACTGGAAGGGGGAAAGAGACATACCCAAACTAATGACGTTCACAACAAGCACCCGGTATTCCAAGGGCACAATGGAGAAGTTGAAGCATTGAACCATTGGCCAGAGTGTAAGATTCGCCTTGTAGCTGGGCAGAAAGCTGGTGCGCCACTTTTCCACAGGGTCGGTACCTTCCATAATAGCCATGGATGTCAAAAAGCAGGTGAGATGGGTGGGAGTGAAGAGACCCTGATCGGCCACGACACGAGCAAGGATAGTAGCCTTGGTGCTCTTTAGAACGATGTTGCGCTGCAGGAAAGCAAACCAGGTAGTGGCCGCTGGCCCAAAGATGGCTGGACTTGTTGTTAGTTACCGTCACCAAATGGTATATGATGATCATGTAAGAGTGATATGTGCGTACCTCCCCCATACAAAGCCATGCGCCCTGTTCTTGCAATGTCATGCTTCTCGAAACCCCTGCGATCGACCAACTGTTGGGCTAGAACATCTCCACTCCCGAACAAGACCTGATTTGTCAGTAGATCATCGAGATTAAGGGGTTGCAGGGGTCTGGATGATGGAAGTAGAGATGAGAGAGAGATGGACGCACAAAGCTGGTGACGCTGGCTGTGAGGATAGGCTGTTTTGCCAACTTCGTCTGGTACCTGGATTGAAAGATAAAGCTTAGTTACCAGGGGGGCGGACATAGTTGTAGAGGGTGAAATACACACCACCGCAACATCTTTACAGAACTTAAGAAAAACAATTAGACGAATTGATACAATTGACCTAGGAAATAGCTCCAGAGACTGAGATGGAGGTGAGAAAGAAGAAAAATTTGGCCACAAAGACCGGTATAAGTACCAACAACTTTCTCCAGACCGCCCGATAACAAAGGCCCAGAAATGCTGGATGACCCAAGAAACAAGCAAAACCGCGACAATCAACGCCACGCAGGGAGACTATTGGAGCGGAAGATGCCCAACGCGGTATTCCAAACATCACATGATGAGACCTGAGACCACATGATGCGGGCCCCCATTACACTGCCTAAAATGGACTGCCATCTAGGGCTTAGGGTTTGCAGTAGTAGGGTTCGTTGGCTCTCGCTTAGCGCACCCCCGCCCGCCAAATTTCCCTGGCGCCCCAAACAGACGTGGATAGCGAGAGACCGAAAAAAAAAAAAAGTCACCCTCGACGTCGACATCCCCTCCCTCCGACAACCCCCCGGTACATTTTCAACCGCCATATACATTCAAAATGGCTGACGCTGCTCCCCGTGGACGTGGAGGATTTGGCTCTCGTGGCGACCGTGGTGGTGACCGTGGCCGTGGCCGTGGCCGCCGTGGACGTCGTGGTGGTGGAAAGGAGCAGGAGAAGGAATGGCAGCCCGTCACCAAGCTCGGCCGTCTCGTCAAGGCTGGCAAGATCACCAGCATGGAGCAGATCTACCTGCACTCTCTGCCCGTGAAGGAGTACCAGATTGTGGATTTCTTCCTTCCCAAGCTCAAGGATGAGGTTATGAAGGTACGACTAGGAACGTTTTATTATTTTTCCCCGACGAGAATCCGACCAGGACGACATGCGGACATGTACAGCTTTTCAATTGTGGAGGAAGAGACGGCTTGATGGCAATTGGATGGAAATTTGCGATTTTTGAGAGGAATTTGGACACTCGTCGCTGACAGCATCATTTTCTAGATCAAACCCGTCCAGAAGCAGACCCGTGCCGGTCAGCGTACCCGTTTCAAGGCTGTCGTTGTCATCGGTGACTCTGAGGGCCACATCGGTCTCGGAATCAAGACCTCCAAGGAAGTCGCTACTGCTATCCGTGCCGCCATCATCATTGCCAAGCTCTCCGTTCTCCCCGTCCGCAGAGGTTACTGGGGTACCAACCTGGGTGAGCCTCACTCTCTGCCCGTCAAGCAGAGCGCCAAGTGCGGTTCCGTCTCCGTCAGAGTATGTTGCGATTTCTACTCCATTCCCGGCATTATTTGAGAGTGATCACTCACATAAAATCTAGCTTATTCCCGCTCCCCGCGGTACCGGTCTCGTCGCCTCCCCCGCCGTCAAGCGTCTTCTTCAGCTCGCTGGTGTCCAGGACGCCTACACCTCCTCCTCCGGTTCCACCAAGACCCTCGAGAACACACTCAAGGCTACTTTCCTTGCTGTCGTCAACACCTACGGCTTCCTCACCCCTAACCTCTGGACTGAGACTAAGCTCATCCGGAGCCCTCTGGAGGAATTCGGTGATGTTCTGCGCCAGGGCAAGAAGTACTAAAAAGTGCGGTGATGGGATTATATTTGCATGATTGTTTTTGATTCACCTATTTCCTACGGGGGGTTTAACTTTTTTTTTTTTTTGGCTGGAGGGATCGACTTTTATAACGCCATGCTACGCTACTTACGGTGTCCACGAATGTAATTATCATGGGAAGGGAAAAGGAAAGCCAAGAGCACGGAGTCAATGAAAGTTTTTTCCTACCAGTCATCATGATTGATACCTTGGTCTGAACTGGCTGATTTTATCGTATGCTTACTGTGTAGGTTTCACGACAACGGCAATTTAATAACAACACAACTGGTTAGAGCGCTGCACGAAACATTGATCGGAAGCTTCCGCTTGAATCTCAGCACAATGGAGGCTTTGATTCAAGCAGTCAAGTCTTGATACGCATGAGGATACCTTGTTGATTTAACGACCCAACGGCAGGACGTGAGAAAGGCTTGGCTTCGATCAACTTGGACCGGACCGTAGTGACCTCTCGACTCTGCCAATAGTATTAGTTTTGTCCTGGTCCGTAATCCCTGGGTGTATCCTTCAGATACCGACTCCCACAGGGACCGCAGATGCTAGCAAGATTGTGGTATCTTCAACGGCAGATTACAACAAGGAGTTCAAAATTATCGAGAGTCTTGACTATAACCCCAACATCCTTCTAGCCCCGTTCTATCTTACGGTTGATTTCCTAATACTTAGAATTGTTCGAGGGAGTTTACCTGTAATCTCGTTACTGTGATAAAAGCCGATTGCTGCAATACCCTTGAAGTTGGCCGTGTCTGAGATTTCATTCAACACGGCGGTTTCCAAGGCAGCATATGTCTTTATCGGGAAATATGGAAAACATACCTAGGCGTACGGATTGATCGAAAGGACACACATATTTTCGACTGAGAGCTTTGAGATATGTGTGGATTTTCCTTTGTGATAAATAGCTCTAAGTCCTCTCAAACGTGCATGTTTTGGGGTCTTTTCTCTAACCTCGTCTATAAACATATAGCAAATATTCTTGTGAATCATCACAAAACCCTCGCACAGTAGCTTGTAGCCATCATCTATGGATCTCACAATTATTCGTTACAATATTTGGGGTTTCTTTTCGGTGACCGAGACTACACGCCGCCTGGTAGGAGGAGTAGGCAGTCGGTATGCAGCGGCGAAAGGGCGAGAATGGACACCAACCAGCTTTTGGACTTGAGACGGCATCCTCCTGTATTTTAGGAGAGACTCATGGACTTTTAAGACCTGCATGAGGCAGTTCTTGAGCTTTTGGACTGATGAACTACTCTGTCGTAATTGCATGGTACATTGAAAGATCGGGACTTCCGAGCTCTTGCGTTATTGCTGTCGGTGATCGACGATGCCACAGTCCCGGTCGCCGCGATGTTCTCGGTGTTTATGAATGAACATTATATAGGGACTAGAAGGCACTGTTGTATACTAGCTGCCTAGCTAGATTGTTTTGTTTGAATGCCCGTCTATCTAGAAGCTTTTATCCGGGAGGAAGATATGTATAGCAATGGATATTTTGGCTAGCCTTCCGATGTAAGTCCCAAGCTGCGGCTATTTATCTGCTCGTGACAGCCGTAACAGCCTAGACACTAATTCCTAGCAGTGCCAATATTGCGATTATTCTTGGTGGCATTCAGGCGGCAAAGGTGGTTGATTTTACTGACCCTAATGTCCTTAATACCCTTCGGTACTGCTGGATCCTTAGCACGGTGCTGGTTTCAACAATCTGCTTCATGGTTTGGTCATCAATCAAGCAGAGAAATGGTGGGTTATATTGCTCCCGCATCCCCATAGTCTAACGAAAAGCGTGGCTTCTATTAGTTCCAGTTTACTTACATTGTTTCCCAACGATAGACAAAAGGCCTCTAGCGGACATGCCGGATCCTACGGCCACGAGCACGAGCACAGGATCAAAGGCCAAAAATGTCCATGACTACGACATGATGGAACTGAAGAAGATGATACGTGGGCAATTGATTGGCACAGCCATAGTATCTGTCATTCATTTCTATCTGAAGCAAAATCCGCCTCTGATCTCACAGTGTATCATTCCGCTAAAGGGGGTTCTCCAGTCAAAGCTCGTCCAGATTCACATCTTTAACAAAGCGGATGTTGGAGAGCTCAAACGTCCTTTTAACGAGGGGCCTGGACTTCTGTCTTATCTCAAGGATAGCAAGGATAGCTGAACGCGGGGGGATGGAAATCCTCCCAAGCTGCGATTGAGAACAATGGATATGCTTGCAATACGGTAGAGCCTTGTTATGTTTATTAGAAAGCTGCCGATATAGTTATTTCCAACAGGGGATAGGCAGGGGCTTGAGAATTTTGTGCTCCACACTTAGAGTGGATGCCAGGGTATGCGAAGCGGGCTTTGCAATAAACAACTGGACATTATTATTACATCCTATTGGATGTATTATAGACGGGATAAGCAATCCTTACAGCACCCTGTTAAGGACCTTTTAGTCATTTAGAAATATATAGAATCCTCCAACACTTATCACAGACGGAGCTCCATACATATTATTACCCTTTCGAGACCTAACTGTAAATAGAAACCTGAAGTCTGCCGAAGCTCGCTATAGAATTGTTGCTTTGAACCCGGAAATCCGATTGATAGTCAACCAAACCACATTCAGAATGTTAACCCTTTAAGTCTGTCTGGATTTTAAAGATGCCCAGTGAAGGAGACAGGAATATCCGAGCGAATGTCCTCTGCAAGCTTGTATGCTCTGACTTTCAATAATCTTGATGTGGGAGGGACCCACATGAAGGTGAACATCTCAACCCAACCCCATGGGGTAAATTTCCCCAGCTGGGGTAGTAAATACACGCCTCCATGCCTATTAGGCCCAGAAAATAAACTCTTCCCCTGTCTCTTGTTGTCCTAGTGAGCTGGAAATATTCGCAATCCTGCCCCTAATTTGCTTGACATGGCGGAAAAGACTCCTGAAATGTTGTCATCTCGCCTCGAGCACGTTTCAAATAATGTCGATGTGCTGTTGAACGTGGACGGCTGGTTCAGGAAAATGAGCGCCAGCAAAGCCTGTGGGCGACGTGGAAATTACACTCAAGATCAATTTCAATGTGTATGTACACTTGATCCATCCCAGAAAAAAAAAAACATTGCTCTGGCAATCTTCTACAGTAAGGTGGCTTTTGGTGCTGGGCTGATGTTCGGATACGACACCATTTCTAATGGCTTAACCATTGCCATGCCGTCATTCATTTTCCAGTTCAGTGCTCACGACACATGGCCTCTACCTAGCTTCTTTATGGACCTCTCTTTGGGCGTCTATGTACTATGCCAGGCATTTGGAGCCGTCACTGTGGGCATGGTTGCCGATATTGCTGGACTGATTTCCATGGTAGGAACCATTTCTTCAAGCCAAAGAAGAGACTAGTTATTTCATCTATCTTCTTAAATACCTCAGCCATATTGATAGTAAATGTCCGTAAACAGCTCTCAGCTTTAAAGTGATCCGTGAGTTTATAAAGGGCGTTCGTTTATTCAACACCCGAGCCATGGGAGAAATCCCAATAAGTTTGGATGGAAACTCCATGACGCAATAAAGTCAAGTTGAACTAAATTTATAATATTTAGAAACTTTACAAAGGAGTGGCACGCTCCACAAATCATTCATATATCTGGAACTAACTAAGACCTGAATTCTTTTCTTCGTAGAGCGGAAGCTTTGCCACGCTTGACGAAACGCTGCTGATGACATATCGAGAGCGTATACAAGCCCTACCTATGGCTGATAATCACTATAATGTTGATTAGATCAACCACTGGAGTGGCCCCAGCTCCAGAAGGTGTAACGCCGGATTTCAATGACTCGAGTGGACACTTGAAAACCACAGGCGAGACAATAGCTGCAGTTGCGTTGACTCTTAGTACCTCTTGTCTCGTGATGCGAATCTATACAAAAATGCACCTCCTTCGGAGGTTCTGGATAGATGACGGTTAGTTCTTGACATTTTTATATTCGGAATGTCTATTAATCTATACATTCTAGTTCTGATTATCCTTGCTTGGGTGAGTATGGCATACGATCCCAGATAACCATTTGGTGGTTTCGGCTGACTTTTCATACTCTGGCAGGTACTGTCCGTATCGGCTCAATCAATTCTCCTGTGTATGTCCCCTCTAACCCCTATTTCCTGCAGCCTAACAAGATCATGCCGTCAGATGGTTATTCCCATTCTGGATATGGCATTCATATTTGGAACATTACTGTGTCTCGACTGGGCAGTTATGAAAGGGTTGGTTTACATCACCCTTTACTTCTCACTATTATAATCGATCATCTAACCTAAGAGACAGACTATATTGGCAGCATCTGTTATCTACGTTCCTGCGCTTGCATTAGCTAAATTGGCACTTCTCATGCTCTACTACACCTTACTCCGCACTGTGACACATGTATGGAAGTATATAATTTTCGTGATTGCATTTATTATTATCAGTTATACTATTGCTTTTGTCCTTGCTATCATTTTTGCGTGCTCGCCGCTTGCAAAATCCTGGGATCCCACAATAACAACAGGATCCTGCATCAATCTCCATTCCGTCTATCTAACAATAGTCATTACGAACACAACAAGTGATGTGATTATAATCCTAATTCCGGTTCCGATTATACGAGAATTACGACTACCGTTCCTACAACGACTTGGTGTCATCTGCCTGTTTGGTATCGGAGGCCTGTTAGTTCCCCTGTCTCCCCCCCCCAAGTAACTACCCCTAATCCATCCACCATCCATCAGAGGACCTGCTGAGACTTGATTTTACCTAATTTAGGACCATTATTACCAGTATCATTCGCATAGCCACGCTGATACCGTTTCTCGTCTCCGACGACCAAACATACACGATTGCCGTACCTATTGTGCTTATGTGAGACTTGTGAAATACCCAAATCCACTTTGGACTCCTTTTTTGTAAAAGCAATCTAACCTGTTTATTAGTTTTATTGAAGGGAATTTCATTATAATATGTGGCTGTCTACCTTATTTACGCCATTTTCTTCGTCACCATCCTCCGAGACGGGTTCGCGGTAGCAGGCTGGGTGGAGAACATCCGGCGGACAGGTCTTCACCGGGCACATCTATGCGACGAAAGCATGGCCTTACGCAGTTACAGAATGATATCGAACGAGCAATGACCGTTGATGATACAGCATCTGATTCTCGCACGGCAGCACAATATTGGCGAAGCAACACGTAAATCAAGCAAGAACCATGTATATGTTATATAAATGGACCCATGATTCCGATCTTAATTGGCTGCTTGGTATACTTTGCCCGAGTCACATATACTAGTATCCAAGATAGCAAGATTCACAAATAATATTGGCCCTATTTCTGACCATGGTATTGATTAATTCTAGGACTAATAGTGTTAACCAATTATCTACATATCACAGCAACCCAGAGATTATCACCGCGGCTAATTAGGGTAACAAGCTGGAAATTCTTAAGACTACAGAGTATACATTATACCTCAACCTAAGCCAACCAGCAGGTAAAGCAAAAAAAAAAAGGGAGTGAATGACATACAACAGTCAGGATTCGCATGTGGTCACCCACCATACTACTAACTGACCGGCAAGTGGCTTGAGTACGGCTGAGCGGACGGGAAGCCCTATTTTCCACTTCCTATGGTCGTATGTACTGGGATGTTCCTAGGAGTGGGATATATAGTATGGAATCAAGGAGTCTTTTTGTGGTAGATGTAACAGTTGGCGATAAATCATTCAAGTTAAGACAGTCTCAGTTAGAATTCTTGGCTAACTATGTTATCTCGCTTACTGAGTGCTTTTCGTTTCTTTTTTTTTCGGACATCTGGAGGCTATTCCCGTCGGAGTTTGTTTAATGTGGGTGCTGGACTAACTGCAATTCTTGTATTATGTATGTATACCTAAGAGAAACAAGAGAGAAATATAGAAGGAAAACAAGTCAACAACAGCCAAGGACCTTCCCATGATAGACATTCTGCAATATAACCCGTGACTCATATACTGCCCACCACAGTTTCCTTTTCCTAATCAGTCACACATTGTGTGCACGTCTTCGCCTGAACCAGTTGTAGCGACCGCGAGATGTCCATGCCAAGTTAGCTTGCGCTTGACGCTACCACGATGATATCCCGAGCCGCTTTAAGGCCTCCCCTAGATACTTTCCAGTCGATTTTCCCTAGTGCTGCATCGGTTGAATCAGTGGCGCGTTCTTCCTTCACTTTCCATGCGGCATAGGGCGAGAGTTAGCAAGCTGATACATGCAAATAGATATCCAATGGAAGAAATCCGCATATCGCTAATGTCAGACCTATCCAGTTGGTCACAAGGGTTACCGATGCAAATGCGTTCATAACCAGGGTAGCAATCGGCAATGCTGGAATATCAAAATGCATTTTACAAAAGATAATGTGTTAAGATAATCCTTCTGATAGTTTATTATTAACTCCAGAGTAATAATATGATTAATGTATTATAGAGTACCGAGTAGGTGAACTGATGGGGATGGTTAGCTTAAAGCACCAATATCAAACTTGATAGTATATAGGATCTGATAGTCTCATCCAAAATCTAGACATTGAGGAAAAAGAGATAACCTGTTCAGGGCCCTTTGGGTGAAGGCCTGAAGATACCTAGGACCAGTAAACTCATACAAGTTTGTGAAAACAAAAAAAAAATAAAAAACATACAACAGTCAGGATTCGCATGTGGTCACCCACCATACTACTAACTGACCGGCAAGTGGCTTAAGTACGGCTGAGCGGACGGGAAGCCCTGTTCTCCACTTCCTATGGTCGTATGTGCTAGTTATGAAAGAAATTAGAACTATGTAGTAAGTAATCCAAGAGCAAAATACAGCCCTACTCATTCTCCGAGCAAATTAGCAATTGGTGTCCAGCCAGAGCTACTTGAGTTTGTTGGTAATACAGGTCCTTTCCATTCCCTCACATTCCAAGCATATTATCTACATTCAGAAACCAGCTATGCTCCATCTTGAAAGGCCACTGGCTAAAACCCCTAGTGCAAAGCTTCTTTATAAATTTGTATTCGTCTCATGGCAAGAAAGGATAAGCTTATCCAGTCATCTGCACTTGGGATGGCGCCCAGAGACAACCCGCAGAGGGCCGGATAAGAAAAGATGTTGAGGGTTGGCTATATTAGGAGATCAACACAAATAAGAGGGGGGAAATAGAAGAATCTTTGTGGTTGAACCATTGGGGGCATATTTCTCGCGAGCACAACAGTGATTGAGTGGTTGGCGAGGTAGACAAACCCAACGCTAACGACGGTTTGAAAGAGTCGACTCTTCTCCTTCTCGTAGGAGGTATGCTTTCAGTATTAACCGATAAAGTCGAACGATTAGGATGCGAGAATAGCCACCTAGGTTTAGAGAAATAGGCTAGCAAAAGCTATACCAGATTCAACATTCTATTAAATGCTGAGACGCTGGTTATAGGGCTACTCTGTTTCCAGTTCTTGGGTAGATGCACTGAATAAAACTGAGGCAGGAGTATTTTCTAACTACGAGTATACTTAGCACTCGGAGTCTTAATACATCATCAAACACCTCATCTTGGAAATAAAATACTACTTGGGTACGGAGTACTTGTTAGACAGGCAGGGGTTTTAAGCATTATTCTCTTATTCCCTGGATCTACAAACACATTATTATGCCTCTTGCTGCTTTAGTTAAAGAATATTGATCTTCTATATAATTTATCCTCTTGAATATTCCACTACATACGACCATAGGAAGTGGAAAATAGGGCTTCCCGTCCGCTCAGCCGTACTCAAGCCACTTGCCGGTCAGTTAGTAGTATGGTGGGTGACCACATGCGAATCCTGACTGTTGTATGTTTTTTTTTCTTTTTTACTATTTTAATTACTCTGCTTTCAGTGTTTATGAGTATGGAGTACTGCCGTATTTTGATTCCTTACCCCAGGCTAAGGGTCTATCTTGTGGGGCAGCGTGAGTTCGTGGATCTTTCTGCTATCAGGAAGCTCTCTTGATCCTTGGCAATCAAACCTCGGTAGATATAATAAGCACAACAAGAAAATGATTCCTAAATATGTATTGCAGCAGGCATGTTTATCCTAGTTAAGTCTTGTAAATATGGGTAGTAATATAGGACTTGCAAAAGACAACATATTGAATAATGGATATATAGCTTATTGCCCCACAGCTAGCTCTATACTAACTAACTAACCTAAGTGTTCACTCAATGTATATCATCATCCATGCTGATATTTCAACTCACAGGTCAAAGAAAGTCTCTCCGCGCTTGTAAATCCTTTCCTCAACACTATTAAAGCCACTTCTCCGCTAATTACCGATACACCCAGACCCGATCATCCAACAAATCCAGTGCATGCTCTCGCCCCTGCTTCTCAATCTTCAACCGCGCGTGCACCGCATCGATTTCCCGCTCGGCATTGAGCTTCGCACCCTCAAGCAATATGCGCACACGGTCTACCTCCGGCTGATACGGCGCTAGCGGCAGCATCCCCCGCGGGATATCGCCACACTCTGCCCATATCGGGAGATGATACGCCTTCATTGCGCGGTTCAGCTGGCCCCATGCTGCGGAAGGATTCAATAGGACACCGAGGACTGTCAGATCCGTCCAGCCGCGGAGCGAAAGCATGGGCTTTTGGTTGCCTGAGAGCGAGAAAGCCGTTTGGGGAGGCATGAACTGGGACATTGTCTCGCGTTGGGCTGGGGGGAAGTAGGACAGTGGGTTTAAAGGGGAATTGGTCGGGGTTGCGGGTGGAGTGCGCGGGCGCAAGGAGAATTCGATACAGTAGGAAGTGAAATGATCGGTTAGTTCGCGGTCTGCGATGTCGTAGCCGTGATGGGGTGTCTTAGCACGGCTGAGTTTCCCTGTGGATGGTTAGTGAACGGGTTAGGCACGGGGTCATGTAAGGCGCTTAAAGACGCTAGAGAGACAGGAGGAGGAGGAGGAGGAGGAGGAGGAGGAGGGGAACAAACATATATTATGGTTAGGTGGTGCTCCGCAGGCATCGAGATATTCCGAGTAAGCCTCTGGGCTGATAAATCCGGTGCGCGGTGGGTCGAGACGGTGGAAGAGTTCTTCAATCAGTCTAACAAAGCATGGAGTCGGTGTCATGTCCTCGTTAAAGAGCGAAGTCCAACCGGTGGGTTGATGTTGTGGTTGAGAGTACTGCTCAGTGCCTTGCTGCTGCGGATCCTGCAATACGGGCTTCGACGACACCGGTATGATTGGCACACCCTCGTTGCTTTCTGGTTCTCTTGTCGTCTCCGGTTGCGTTGGGCGAGGAGGTTTCCTCGGTGGTACCTCGCTGTATGCTGCCGACACGGGTCGTCGACGAGATGGGCTACTGCGGTGTGTGTAGCGGACAGACTGCGTCCGTGGTGGTGGTGGCGGAGGAGTTGGGAGGAAACCACTATGCTTATACAGCGAGAGCGAATGTGAGGAGCCATCCTGATGCTGCGGAGGGTAGTTCTGCACTACATAGCAGTTCGCACAGAGTGTCATGGGTGGTGCGCATGAAGCACATAACAGACGTGCTTTAGTAGCCTGGATGAATTCATTGCAAGATACACATTTGTACAGAGACATGATGGTCTGGCTTATCACAAATAATGAACTAGCTGGAACTCCTATTAGACATTGCTTACAGTTATATGAAAGCTGCTGACGCTTGGCAGGCGGGGATGATATTTTTTTTTTTGGCAAAATTAAGCGATATTTAGGTATAAGCGCAACTTTTCTTTAGATGGATTGTTATCCACTAAGATTCCATGCTAGCTGAATCCTTTATAATTCACTAACAAGATCGAGGTAAGGTAACCACTTGGTGATCGTTAGCTGAGCCAATAAGAGTCCACATTGACGAAGAAAATGGTCTCCAAAGTGGGAATGACTCAATATACGAAACTGGTCAGGGTCAAATCTCATACTATTTTTAACTCGTAATGCGGATCATCTGTTATTTGTTCTATTTATAACAGGTTCAGATAATATGACCTTACAACAAAGTCCATCGCATCTAGAATCAGACGGGTGATCGAAACCAAGAAATATATACAGGTGGTGTGGTTAGTATCACGCTGGTGTCCTGATGTCCACTGGTCCACTGAGGTCAGCCTTTTCCTAGATGATTCGTACTCTCCATCTATGGTCCGCGCCAGACGTTAAGGTTGTTCCAGATATATCTTGGAGGCAATGGCTATTTAATCAATGGAGGAACCCTGTATTGACCTTCTTGTCTGCAAAGTCACATCTATCAAAAACCCCAATTTAGGAATCATTCACAATGCCGACCGGTTCATGTCTATGTCAAGCCATTAGATACGAGTATAAAGCAGAGCCTATTGCAAAGGTATAGCAAAAGCCATTTTTTTTTAAAAAAAAACCAAGGATGATGATATAACTAAATCTATCTTTACTTCATTACCAGGCATTATGCCACTGTGTGACCTGCCGTAAAATTAGCAGTGGGAGCACGGTCAACGTTATGGTGCCCCGGGACCATTTCCACATCACCTCAGGGTCTCCAAAAGTGTTCACTATAACCCACGAGACTGGCATGAAGTTATCGATGTACTTTTGCGAAAACTGTGGTATTACCATCTATAAGACAGCCGACAGTGAAGAGTTGAAGGGAAACGCCATTATTCTTGCTGGAACCCTCGATGATTCAGAAGCGTTTTCACACCTCAATCCCGAAGTAGAATTCTTCACTAAAGATCGTGCTTCGTGGTTACCGAAGCTGCAGAATGCAGAGCAAAAAGTGGAATTCAAATAAGATAGTACAAAAGTACTTCAGAACAAAAGGTAGTAGTCTGTGATAACTCGCCCTACCTAGCTCGAAACAATGGATTTGCTAGGGAATTGGGTTGAGCTGGTTTATTTGTCATTATTAGTTTGATAACAACGAATGATGGATCAATGAGAATGCTTGCAGTTCCTTGTTGGAGTCCTCCGTAGTAATAATACTCGAGGCGTGCTTTTTTCGGAGGCACTCTCGAAGATAGACTGACAATACCGAAGTAGATATCTAGTTTTACTGTTATGGACAAACCCAGAGCCATTGGGTTATATTAACACAAAGCAGCACAGTATCAGCACCAGGAAAGCAACAGGGACCAAAAGACCATTTAAATATGTAGTCTCCAGTTTTGAGAGAGAGAGATCCCAGGTCTTATATTTAGTAGAGGGTCCACATCAGGCCCACATATGTAGTCATTTGCGACTTGTATACGGAGTACTAAGTAGAATACACTGTACAGCCAGTCAGCCACCACTCTTTGAGCTTCAACCAAGTGTCCCACGCCTAAGGATATGGTACTAGTTAACTAGTTAACTACTAAGTGGGTATCTAAGCACTAGTCTGGCGGCATGTTGCAGATTTCCCAGCGCAAGCTTTCTCATCGACGCGGGCACTCCCTTGGGTAGGTTTCTCCCCTTCCGCGGAGGCGCGTCTTCCCCTCTTCTAGAATCCATTCTCTTACCTTTCCCTCGTCTTTCGCCAGCCGTCATTTCCCCCCTTCATTCTCTTCATTCGTTTTCTCTTCTTTTAGCTTGGCTTTGCTGCACATGGGACTCTCTTCAGAGTCGATTTCCCTACTCCCAGGCGCTCTGGGATTCTTCCTGGTAGTGGTAGGGAGTGTACCGGCGGCGAGGAGTATCATAGACCGATTCTCCAGGAATGGGAAGCAACAAGATGGGTCACAACTAGCTCACGAGTCCTACCAAGATGAAGATGGAGAAGCAACAGAAGAATCCTTGCGTGCGTTCTCAGACAAATGGCAGAGAGTTGCTATTGCTTTCTTTTCAATTGCTGGCTTCGCCTTGGCTCTGTCCCAAGCTATTCTCAATAGTGTTCACCTCTCCATCCACTCTTCCGCCCGGCTTTGGATCCTTGTAGGTGTATGGGTAAGTAATAATTTCCCTTGGATGCGAGCGCATTCCGTGGTAGGAATCGAAAATCGAAAGCGCTAACCTATCCCTCCTTGCATCAATCTTCAGCTCCTTTTGATCGTTCAAGCAATCGCGTTTTTCACCGAATCATGTCCGACTCGCCGCTTTGACCTTGGGCTTTGGGGATTCGGGGCCAGTGTATTGACAGTAGCCATACCAGGTGTTGAGTTCTGCATCAGCAGTTCTGTTAGATATCACCTGGCACATGAGCAGCTGTCCACCGGATTATTATGTGCGCAGCTTGGAGCCGCTCTTCTGCGAGGAGTGTTTTGTCTGTCCCTTCCACGCCGGCCAGAGGTTTATCTGAATGGCAAAATCGTCGATCTGCAAAATTCAGTCTCATTTTTGAGCCGATTTAGTTTCACCTGGCCCGGCAAATTGCTAGCTTACACCATTAAGAATAAAAACATCAGCATCGATGCACTTCCTGTGTTGCCATTTGCGGTTCGCTCCAAGACCCTTCATACGCGCTTTGAGCAATTCCGAGATCCCACCAAGAAGCTATGGAGGACCCTCATCGGCTTCCATTATCGATCCTTTGTTGTACAATCAATCCTCACATTCATTAATTGTGTTTTGAGCTTTGCGCCCCAGATAACCCTGTACGGCATCTTAAGGTCCATGGAAGCTCGAGACGCTGCTCTGCCTGGTCAGGAGCAACCGTGGCCTTGGGTTATTGCACTCGGGGTCTTGATGTTCTTTGCTTCCAGCGTTGAATCCTGGCTGTTCTGGGTCATCTACTCGGAAATTGGCATTCCGATCTATGCCGAACTTGCGGCAGTCATATTTGCCAAGTCAATGCGCCGAAAGGATGTAAAATCTACAAAAAAGAGCAAGCAGGCTGGAACGAGCGAGTCAAATCCTGCTGGAGACCCTGCAGAAGAAGAAGACGAAGAGCAACTATTGAAGAAGAGTCGCCAGAGCACCATCAGCCTTGTCGCCGTGGATGCCAGGCGTATCTCTGATTTTGCGTCTTTCAACTATCTAATTCCATCCTCTTTGATTAAGATTCTCATTGCATGTGGACTGCTCATTCAGCTGATTGGCTGGAAGCCTCTTGCGTGCGGGCTTGCAGTATCCGCGCTGATCACCCCTGTCAATGTACAACTGGCGAAGAGGTTCACCAACACCCAAGGAGTTCTTATGAAGCGCAGAGATGAGAAGGTAGCCGTAGTAACAGAGGCATTGCAGGCAATTCGCCAGATAAAGTTTTCGGCATTAGAGAGTCAGTGGCAGAAGAAAATCCAGGACATCCGAAACAACGAGCTAGACGCTTTATGGTCTGCATTCCGTTACGATATTGGGCTTATCCTACTCTGGATTCTTGGTCCTCTGATGCTCTCTGCCGTTTCTTTGGCTGCCTACGCCTTAATGCATGGCGAGCTGACCGCCTCAGTCGCGTTTACCGCGATATCGATTTTTGGTTCGCTGGAATTGTCGCTTGCATTTGTACCAGAGCTCGTCACGAAAGGACTGGAAGCAAAAGTTAGCGCTGACCGTATTGATGAATATCTTTTCTCGTCCGAGAAAACCAACAAAACTTTGCCGGCTAATGCCATCTCTTTTGATAATGCTTCCGTCGCATGGCCTTCAAATGAAGAACCCGGCGAGGCGGATACAGAGCCACGTTTTGTACTACAGAACTTGAACATCAGTTTTCCAGCAAAGGGGCTGAGTGTTATTTCGGGTAGAACGGGTTCTGGAAAGAGTCTCTTACTTGCTTCAGTGCTCGGAGAGTGCGAAATTCTTCATGGGACGGTTCGAGTACCCACTCCTCCACCCCTGAAAGAACGGTATGATCATTTGGCCAATGATGAGAATTGGATCATTGACAATGCTATTGCATACGTAGGCCAAATCCCTTGGGTTGAGAATGCTAGCATCCGGGATAATATTCTTTTTGGTCTGCCGTACAATAAGACACGCTATGAGAATGTTCTGTTCGCTTGTGCTTTGGAAAAGGACCTACAGGTGCTTCCTGATGGCGAAATGACCGATATTGGAGCGAATGGTGTGAACCTCAGCGGTGGCCAAAAATGGCGCATGTCATTTGCTAGAGCGCTCTACTCCAGGGCTGGAATCCTTGTTATGGATGATATCTTCAGTGCCCTTGATGCCCAAACCGGTCGTCATGTATACGAACATGCACTTACTGGATCTCTTGGACATAATAGAACAAGAATTCTTGTTACTCATCACGTTGCCCTATGTTTGCCTCGCACTGACTACTCCGTTCTTCTTGAGGACGGAAAACCCAAGCACGCTGGCACCATCGCGGAGTTGAGAAGAACAAATAGCCTTGCAGATATTCTTCTGCAAGATGAAGATGCCGAGCGGTTCAATCATCCTGCGAGGGAGGATCAAGAGTGTGTCAATGAGGAGAATGCTGGGCAAAAGGATATCACAAACAGACCGCGCAGAAGCACAAGCACCTCTGTAGGTCGGAACGGAACGGCGCCACACGATGACTCGAAACCCAAGAAGTTCGTCCAGGAGGAAAAGAGAGAGACGGGCTCGATTAATTTTTCTGTCTACTTAACTTACTTCAAAAGTGGCGCGGGCCTACCGCACTGGTTGCTCATAATTTTTGCCTATATTTTGTACAGTGGTCTGATTGTTGGAAGAGTAAGTCGATCGGATCTCAGGCCTTTCTACCTCATTCTTCTTGACTCGTCCCCAAGACGCTTGCTAACGCCGCAATACAGGCATGGTGGGTCAATATCTGGACCAGTTCAGTGGAACATCATTCGAATCAAAACCATTATGCGACTTTCATGACCCAAGCAATGCAACGCTTTGCGACCGTCAAGACTAGCGATAGCCTAGGCTTTTACCTGGGCATTTACGTCGGCTTATCAATCATAGCTTGTTCTGTAGGTACAGTCAGATACTTTCTGGTTCTATCATCGGCAGTGCGAGCTTCAAAGAATCTATTTGAGACCTTGACTTTTGCAATGCTCCGCGCGCCCCTTCGGTGGCTTGACACTGTTCCATTAGGACGAATTCTGAACCGCTTTACATCAGATTTCCATGCTATTGATTCCAGGCTTGGATACGATTTGGGATTTGTTATCAATAAATTCCTTGAAGTCATTGGAATTATGATTGCAGGAATGCTTGCTTCCCCACGGCTAATCTTGTTCGCGGTCATTCTTCTTGCCCTCTGCTTGCAGCTTTCATTGACATACCTAGCCGGTGCTCGTGAAGTCAAGCGACTAGAAAGCACGGCCAAGAGCCCAGTCTTTGAATTATTCGATTCCAGCCTTGTGGGGTTAATCACAATCCGCGCTTTCACCAAGGCTGATACCTATCTTGACATCATGTACCAAAAGATCGACCGCCATGCTGGAGCATGGTGGAACTTGTTGCTATTCAATCGATGGCTAGGCTTCCGCATGGGGGTTGTTGGTGCGCTTTTCTCGACAATCACTGCCGTGCTTGTGGTTTACCTCCCGGGAATCACTGCATCACTTGCAGGATTCGCTCTCAGCTTTGCTCTGCAGTATAATAGCGCCGTCTCTGCCGCACTCCGCCAGTACTCAAACGTGGAACTCAACATGAATGCCACTGAGCGTGTGATTGAGTACTCAAAGATTCAGATCGAGAGCCAAGATGGCACAAGCCCACCCGCTGCCTGGCCCACAGAAGGGCAATTAGAGGTTGAAGATCTCGTGGTTAGCTATGCACCCGAATTGCCGCCTGTTTTGAACGGTCTATCCTTTACTGTTACCAAACACCAAAGGGTTGGTATTGTGGGCCGCACTGGTGCAGGAAAGTCATCGCTTGCCCTGGCCTTGTTCCGGTTCCTCGAAGCACGGCAAGGTCATATCTACATCGATGGCATTGATGTGTTCAAGATCAAGCTCCATGACCTTCGCAGCCGGCTGGCTATTATCCCCCAGGACCCGGTGCTCTTCTCCGGCACTGTGAGATCTAATCTAGACCCATTCGACGAATACGGTGATTCTGAGCTCTATGATGCCCTCGAGCGCGTGCATCTGATCTCTGCAGATGAGAACAAAACGCTATCGCAGCCTGCGACCGATGCCTCTTCTACAAGCTTGGTGAAGCCCACAAACGCCTTCAAGTCGTTATCGTCACCGATCTCAGAGGGTGGATTGAACCTCTCGCAGGGCCAGAGACAACTTCTCTGCCTGGCGCGTGCGATTGTTTCGCGTCCCAAAATCATGGTTCTTGACGAAGCCACCTCCGCAGTGGACATGGAGACAGACATGCTCATTCAGCAGTCCATCCGTGCAGAATTCAAAGCGACCACCCTCCTCGTGATTGCTCACCGACTGAGCACTATTGTGGATTTCGATCGAGTTCTCGTTATGGATACCGGCCGTGTTGCCGAGTTTGGTACCCCGCAGGAGTTGATGAAGATTGAACAAGGAATCTTCAAAAACCTGGTAGAGAACAGTGGTGAGAAGACCGTGTTGGAACAGATCATTTTTGGAGAGGCTGGAGAAGCCAGACGCACGAGAATGAGATAAGTCACCCAGGTACTACGAAGCCCTGCAAAGGTATATAGCAGGGGTCATGAGGGTTCTGTATTGAGTCTTGCGCACTAGAATGCCTAAGTTGGAACAGTTTTGGCCTACTCTCGTTAACTGGTATCGAAATAAATGCATCAAGTAAGAGCCAATGGTGTTAACTCAGGTCGATAGGAAAGGGGGTTGGAAGTGTAAGTGTATCTACCGTATATTTATGCTAGTTGGTATATAATTTGATTTCGATTAAACACGATTAGTTACCTATAGAAGTAAATACCTTATCGTTGCTTGTGTTTGAAAGAACACTACCCTACCACTATATGCTAGTTATACCTTGATTTTTTTTACAAATGTATACATGTACACAGACTGGTTGACACAGCCATCGCAACTTGGGATCTCATAAACCCCTACTCGCATCACGACGAAGAGTTCGACAAAGTTCCATACCCCCCGTTCGAAACACCAGTACCAGTTTGACTCGAGTATATAGTTCCTTTCTTCCCGAGTGACTTGACTGTCGAAACCACAAAAGAATCCAACTCATCCCGCGGGGCGGCGCCCACGCTGCTCAAGACCTCAGTGTAAGCATCGGCTGCTGAGAGCGAAGCAAGCGTCAGCGACGTGCTCTCCCATGGCTTGCTTGCAAGGGTAGCACTGCCGACCGAGTTTGCCGCGGCTCCATTGAGGAGACCGTCCTTGTTTCTATCGAGATAGTTGCCAGTGGCATACACGGTTTGGCGCGAGTTCATCTGAAAGTAATCGTCCCTTGGGGTTGAGGTGCTTGGCCCCGCGATGAAGTAATTGCCGATGATGTCGTGGGAGAAGTGCCCGCCAGTGTCGGCAACGGTGTAGGCCGCTTGGTAATTGTACACGATGTTGTTGATGAACTGCGTGTCGTCCTTGGCCAGCGGCTGGCGGTTGTGCGCACTCACCCACAGGTTGCGGTAAAACGTGGACGGACCAGTCTCGACATGGGCGCCAAACTTCTGCCCGATGGGGAATGCGATGATTGAGTTGGACACCGTGATGTTCACTGCCTTCACGGCATCGATGGTGTCGAACCGGCCGTACTCCAGGGAACAGTGGTCCAGAATGATGTTGGACGCAGACCCCATGTTGAAGGCGCTCTTCCCGGCATCGGGGTCGAGCGTCCCCTGGCGCATCCGGATATTCCGCATGATGATGTTGGTTTTCCCCGACGCGGAGATTTCACGGCCCTTGAGACCGATGCCGTCGCCTGGAGCTGTCCGTCCGTCGATGGTGATATGGCTGGAGAGCGAAACCGCGGAACTCAGCTGGATGTAGCCACCCACATCGAAGACAATATACCGGTTTGGTTCACTGACTGCCTCCCGGAATGACCCAGCGCCAGAGTCGTCTAGATTGGTTACATGGTACTTGGTTCCGCTGTTGCCTCCAGTTGCAATGGCTCCGAACCCAACGGCTCCTGCAAAGGCGTTCTGCGCGACGGCAACTGAAGACGCTCCAACCGCAGCTGCAGCTGCCAGCCATCGAAGGGTGAAAATCATTTTTCAACGAGCAAGTAAGTTCCTGCATTGAAGAAAGCAGCCAGAGGGAAAGCTTTTAAGTACGCCCGGCCCTTGTTAATACCATACGGCGCCAGCTTTTACCAGGATCCCTCAATTTCCGACGCCTTTTGTTTCTCCTCTTTTCCCCTTGTCGTAAGGGGAGCTCCGGACATACCATACCTGTCCGTACTGGTTGTAGTGACCCAGCGTTTCATATACAGAGCAGGTTGCTTCGTTGATTGCTTATAACAGGCTAAGCATTTCATCCTGAGACAGCTGCTGATCTCGAAAGAAACTCCCGCTCTCGGGATTGGAGGAATTATTATACATTGCCCTCCGCGGCCCTGTAACATAGCCCTGAAGAGGCATGTACTCCGTCGCCCCTATGGTAGGTGAAGTGCCGAGGTGACGGACGTCTCTGAGAAAAGTCCTGAATCCCGTTCTACCTGACTGTTTTGACTGATTTGTTACGGTATGTATCCCGGCTCGAAATCCTTCTTATTTCGTCGTTCGACCATCCGAATCCGGCACTTAATCCCGCAGGATATGTATAGTATAGAAGGCGTGTTTCAAGACTGTTTCAAGTATGGGCGCGGCAAGATAATAAGGAACAAGGAACAAGGATCGGGACAGGAATCCAATGAAGTAGATATATATATATATATATATATATACTCGAGTAAATTTTCTCCATCTCCTGGTTTGGTCTAACAGTGCTCATTTCGAATAGAGAACGCCTCTAAAACGGACACCAGCTACTAAGCTACCGGATGAATATCGAGAGCTAACGTTAACTGCCTTGTAGCATGCAAGACGTGCGTCCGTGCAACGAGATTCCTGGTCAATTCCCAGCTAGTAGACTATGTAAAAGCAGGCTGCATTGCGGTATAAACCATTGGAATCTGTAATAGAGAGCCCGGGTTTCGTATTCCGGGATCGCCGTCGTCCCGATATAGCAATATCAGGGCAACGATCCTACCTACTAGTGCCTAAAGAAACGCATAGCGGAAAGAAAAGCCAGAGCCGGCGGAAAATCAGGTTCAAGCTCCCGAAGTATCGATCAATTCTTTCATCTCAGGATACACGCACGCCCTGCGTTGAACTTGAACACACTGTACGGAGTTACAGGGACTAGATACATACCGTGATACATTCATTCCGCAACCCATCAAAGCCCTGAACACTCAGATCCAGGCCCGAGCATATCAGGATGGAAACCTACTCGAATATGGATCTGCAGGCGCATCAACTAGCCGGAAATGTACTGTGTTCTCCGTATGTAGACTTGTAGATAACTCCGGAAATTGCCCGAGGGGGTCCACCCGATGGCCTCTAAGAAAGAAAGACCGATAAAATTTCCTTCTCCTCGGAATTGTGCTAGGAGATATATGTATGCCTATGGTGAACTTTGAAGAGTGTAGGTGCTAGAACTACTAGTCCCTGAGAGGTTGTTGAGGGAGTGTGGTCTAACTGCTCTTTCTTTTCATCCGAGCATACTGCTTATACATACTGTAGTGGTCACTGGTGAATTGAAGAGCGAGCGTCATGCACTAGACTACTACACTGCTGTAATAATGACCAGCTGGAAAGCTTCAGGCGCTTCGTATGGAGACGTAATTATACAGCTATTATTAACGTTACATTATTTAATATTTATACGTACTAGTATAGTGGATTTTTTCAGCCACCTTGCACAACCGAACCAAACTTATCCCCACAGAATATTCAACCGTGACCACTTACTGCTAGGGGGAGGGCAGTTATGGGGGTCGTTACGTGCTTCTTCGAGGCCCTGGCGCAGCGGGATCTCTTCCAGAGAGACGAACTTGGTGCGCCGGATCATTTTGTAGCCCAGGTATGCCAGGATGACTAGGGGGATATCACTGGACTAGGTTAGCTTCTAGGCTATGGAGCCGATTTTGCGCGGATCAAAGGTATGGGCTGCTTACAGGTAAGAAGCGACAAAGTTGGCGGGATCCCATTTTCCGCGGGTGAAGACAGTAAAACCACCGGTGAGGAGGAGGATAATGCAGGAGACCAAAGCGGCCCAGGATGAGTAAACTGGAGAGAATAGTTAACTATGTGTCAGTAACTTTACCCCCTGCGGGGTTTAAGTTGGTAGGAGAGCTGTGTACGTACTGGTCCACCAGTTGTGCCATGGGAGCTCCGTAGGAGAAATCCCCTGTTTCTTGAACGCCTGCAGTAAGCGGATATGGTTGAAGGCAATCGTCCCCCAGGATACCAGCACCCCCGCAGCGGTCAGATCAAGCAGCCAGTAGAACACTGTCAGAGCGGTGTTGGAAACAGTAAGGTAGGCAAGGCATGAAAAGGCAATTTGCAAGGCGACACACATATAAGGCACACCCCAGGATGTGGTCCGGAGGAATATCTTGGGGGCGTGGCCCTTGATGGCCAGACCATACAGAGTGCGAGTTCCGGCTAGGATACTCTGGTTGCCCGCGGAGAACGCAGAGCTCAGTACGACAGCGTTAATAATGTGCGGCACGGCCTTGATACCGGCGTCTGATGCGGCAATCACGAAGGGACTCTGGGCTGCAGTACCGCTCTCGTCGTTCAGGCGTTGATCTTGGCTGCTGACCAGCATGCCCACTATCAACACGGCCAAGAGGTAGAAAAGGGTGATACGAATAAAGACTTTCTTGCAGGCCTTGGGAATATTATAACGAGGATTTTGTGTTTCTGCTGCGGCCATAGCCAGGCTCTCCACGCCGGAAAAGGAGTAGACGGCGTTGGTTAGGACAGCCCAGAAACCCAGGAATCGGCCCCACGAGCCAGTCGCAATGTACTCGACAAAGGGACCGGGGTCCTTCCAATAGTGAAATCCGAGACGCGGTTGGCCGGAGACGCCGCCCAGATCGATTACCAGACCCATCAAAATCACACCGACGACGAGGAGAATCTTGAGAATTGCCAGAGCAAACTCGACCTCACCGTAGACTCTCACAAAGAGGAAAGCGACAACCGCCGATATCACTAACAGGATTGAAATCCAGATCGCTGCGTTTAAATCCGTCCAGTACTGGATCAGCACCACCGCAGCGGAGATTTCACTGGGCACGCTGACGAAGGCGCCATAGACCACGTTCCATCCGATGGCAAACCCATACGCTGGGTCGATCAAGATCTCCGCATGGCGAACAAAGGATCCAGTCACGGGAAAGAACGCAGAGACTTCTCCTAATGCGAACTGAATGGCGCAAACAATGGCGCCGACGAAGATGTACCCGAGAAGCGAACCAAGGGGGCCTCCAGTTGCGATTGAGGAGCCCAATCCGAGGAATAATCCGGTTCCCTGTAGAAAGTCAGTTGGGGGTTTGGCAAACGTCAGGGTGTTTCTGCTTACTATAGCACCAGCTATCGCGATTAATTGAATATGGCGTTGAGCTAACCCGCGGGTTAGGTTGCGATCCTCCTCATCGGTCACGATCTGGGTCGAGTTCGCTCTGCCCTTTTCTCCCCAGCCATGGCCTAGTCCTTCTCCATGGGAAGAAACAATCTCTGGGTCACTCATTAGATGCGGTATTGCTCTCACACCGTCAGAGAATAGGAGACGAATGACAGTAGCCACTTCTCTTCGTCAAGCCAGAGACGTCCTGTCCCAACCACAGCTGGACAAGAAGGGGAAAAGTGACATTTTATCAGCGGGGGCGAGAGCAAGCGCGCGCACGCCATTTCGAAAGAGATTTCGACATGGTATAAAAGACGCCCACAAGCGAGACTTTTTAATAATATTTTCCCCCCCACAGTACGAAAAACACCCGAATTCTTGGATACAGGGAGTCCAGTTTGACTTTGGCCTGCTCCGTACCTTAGCGGCTACCCCTAAAGGAATAGTCAGCTCAACCACCCAGTTTTAAAAAAAATCATTATACCATGGAACGGCAGTATTGGCTGTGTGACTATATAGGGTGCTATCTTGACTGATTGACAGTTGAGCCTTTGGTGGTTGACTATGTTAGTTCCCACTCAATGATGTACATATAACCAAGACCTATGATTAAACAACTTCACTAGTCAAAGGATCAAACCATGGATTTTCATTTCTACCTAGTTACAGTTATCAGAAATACTTCTACCTCCATTACTCCCAAAAAGACTCCTTGATTCCATACTATATATCCCACTCCTAAGAGCATTCTAGTACATACGACCATAGGAAGTGGAAAACAGGGCTTCCCGTCCGCTCAGCCGTACTTAAGCCACTTGCCGGTCAGTTAGTAGTATGGTGGGTGACCACATGCGAATCCTGACTGTTGTATGTAATTTCCTTTTTTTTTTTTTTTTTTTTTTATTATGATTTTCTTATAGAGTACTAAAAATGTTGTCCTCTGATAACGCCCAAGGCATGGGTGGTGGTGAGGGAGATCGTTAACCTGTATCAGAGCAACATGCATTAAGACACAGAAGACCCCAGAGCAGCGGTCAGCTTGATGGCAAGGTATAAGCATGTTCTTCACTCTGTAAGAAAGATTTGTTGGAGTATCGTCGATCTATAGTTATATTATCCACTTGGAAGTACAATGCTTAACCGGAAGGCCTTTTTAAAAGCAGCTATGCAAAATAGTTTACACCAACAGTATTAGGAAGCTATTACTAGCTGCAGAGGTGACAAGCTCGGACCAGCCTCCATACATAGATCCCGTCAAACCCAATAGTCATCAGCAGAAGGGTAGTCCCCAAGAATCTTGGCCGCTTGTTCCTCCCAGAATGTAGTTGTAGCCATAGGCTCTTCGAGGTCGGCAAGACGTGCCTCAATAACTCGAGTAAATGATCGAAAGTCCTCAATAATCGAGCGCAATTGGTCGCGATCATTCCATGCACTAACAGGCACGGGCCAAGGGAGAATCGCACCGTCAAAGGGGGTTTGGATGTTTTCGCCTGGACCTAGGCTAGTGCTTGCATCCTGATTTCCGTCAGCAGGGAGCAGACGTGGCCTCTTAGGGCCTATGAAGTTTTCTAGGCTCTCCCCGGTGTGTTCGCGTTTCAGGGACACAGGGCTGGGGTTGTTGCACACTCCTGGGGGAGGGACTGGGTAATTTTGGTAATTCTGGACCTGCTGCCACTGCCGGTTTTCTACAGCCAAAACGTAACGAAGCCCGCCGCGGTTCACTATATCCCTTTAAATTGTCAAATGGGGGCGATAAGAGAAGGAAGGTCCTAGTACCTACTCCGTAAGATAGTGAGCCCAGCCACGGCCTCCAGTCCGACGGAAGGCATTGCGATGTGAACATTGGGTGCCAGTGCGATCATAATAACAGTTGGTGCAGGTGTAAGAAAGAATGGACATATTATTGTATATTGGAAAAACAACACAGCTTTTCCATATAGTCGAGTTCCCGCAGCATGACTTGCATGGATGGGTTTTCTCCCCACGACGGTGCAACAAGGCAGCGGTTCGGCGGCGTGCAGTGGTAAGTTTCTGGTCACTGCCAGGTGTAGAGCCATAGTCACACCAGTCAAGTTCTCTCACAGGGTCCAGCAGGCGAACTAGTCGAACTTGGACACTCTCCAATTTTGATACATTTACCTCTAGCCAGGAAAGACAGTCAGCTCCATCTCGAACAATGGGGACTGGGGACGGGAACGAACCTCTCGCGGCGTTCTTCACAGCTAGATCGCGCGACGACAGTAGAAGAGGCCAAGGAACCTCATAAGATGGGCTTAGGGACATCTTGAACCGAAGGTATCTAGAGGGCCTTATCCACGAGACAAGAAGCGCGGGCACAAGATACGGGGGGGTAAGTTGGTGAGAGACAATAACAATACGCGTCAAGAAGCAATGAATGGTGATATCCGTCCAGGCCACGCAAAGTACACGGTACCAAAAATAGAGAATCAGAGAAGGATGTTGGATCAGGTAGTTGCAGACTTTAACCGCCAAGTCGTTCGTTTGTCTATTAAGGAAATAGCTTTGGGTCCTCCAGCTAGGATATTCCAGAGTAAATTCAAAGAAAGGCTGAGAAGGATCGATCAGCAGTGGCTACTGTATGTACTAGTTAGTATTACTGCTTGCAACGATTTATTAAACTGGCAACCTTTTCTACCTTCAGTATTATTATTCAATCATATTGAAAACTCACTAAACGTTAATAATATACACTTATCTCCAGTTATATTGCCTATTTCAACAAGACACCGTTGCCTGGTATGAAAACTTTTCTGACATTTTGCCGCCTCCACCTACCCCCTTTTTCGCAGATATTCATCCAAGATCAACACGACATAATGATAAGTGGTGGTTGCTGGGTAATATTGGCTGCAGCTTTAAAAAGCTGTCTTTGCATTGAGTCAAGTTCAGTCAGTCTCGGTGCGAGAGTACTACGCACCCTCTTCCTCCTCGATACGGATAGCTCCTTCATTACCGATACCACTGGACCAGAAGCCATCGACGAAAAGATTTCTACGTTCTATTAGTGTTTCCATATTTATATACTGAGAGTACGGGTGCCTTACGTTCCAGAGGAAGCGTCATTGGCGATCACCAACCAGTAGGCGATAATTCCTTGGACAAGAATATCCTGGATGGCGAAAATGATGGTTTCAGCGTCAATGGTCGTTTTGAGAGCGAGGGCACCAGCGGCCAAGGCACTAAGAGGTCAGTCAGTCATTCCCTGCAACGCAAAAGGAACCAAGTGGGAAATCCATACATAGGATACAAAACTTTGGCCAAAAGGGCCACAAAAGCAATGGCTCCGAAGAGGCGTCGTGTTGGACCGTCTCGATTGCTTGCGGCTCTAGATCCCCTAACACCGATATGATACACCACTGTCAAGTAGGCGATTGCGCTGATAGTGAACCAAACCCATCTGCGGGCCGTGTGACCCGCAAAGGTCCCCAGAAGACCGGAGCCCAGCATCACGTAGTCTGCGGCAATGGCAGCGAAGAGATGCGCTCCTGGGAGACCCGAGAGTAGGGTTAAGCTAGCAAGGATCATAGGGTCCGTTACAAACCAATTCACGTAGCGCAACCAAAATACCTGACGGATCACATCATGTCTAGTGTTAGGAACATGTTTGTGAGACTCCTCGAGCACATCGTGTTTCCAGTCTATGCCTTCTCCGGTTGCGAGAGCGAGGTATATGATGAACGACACGGTGGTCGAGATTGAAACTAGGGTATGGATAAGACGTTTTGACTAGGGTTGTTAATGAGTTATCAATTCCCTTGCGTCCCTAGTATATCTGCTGGAAAACTTACCAGTTGCACACGGCTGCCCAAAATGTAGAATACAAGGGCAGATAGGCCCATAAGTACTGTAACCACCCTAAAATATCGATCGCAAACATTAGCATCTTTTTCAACAACTCTAAATGTAGCCAGTGTCCCTACCATAATGTCCGCATTCCAGTAACATGAATCTCCTGGAAAGTAGGATGGCCACCTGGAATCACTGTTGGAATCGGAGCCACAGACGAGGTCGCAGTTGGCTCCGGCCAGGGCAGCAAATCAGTAACGGTTTCAGTCATGGTTTCGGTTATGGTTTCAGTCAGCATCTGTGTGCTTGTGGTGGTCGCTGTCGTTGTAACAGTTCTGGTCTTGAGCACCGATTCAATCATCTTCAACTTTCTTTTTTAAATGACTGCGGCGAGGAGGATGACGATAGATCGATTCTCCGTTGGATCCGACTATAACCGCAGCACCTGTCTTCGGAAGAGAGAATATATAGCTCTGGTAAGCTAGCATACAGGGATGGGATGATGATGGTTTTGATTGTGATTCGATTGAAGCTTGCATCGGTGGGACATGTGGATTGCAAAAACGATTCGTTCGACGTCGATTCTTCGGGGTGGCAGGCATCTCATGAACCATCGTGCTACGGACACGCGCGTCATACTGACCTCGATGTTGTCGTCATTGAAACTCTTTTGACGGGACGAGAAAACTTGGAAGCCAATCCTGGAGGGAAACACCTTGAAGGCGGACCTGTAGGGAATTGTTGCCGAAGGTTGGTCGGACAAGTGTAAGCTTGATTTGTTGAAAGGATCATCTGAGGTGGTTGTGGTTGCAGCAGAATTCCGGCTTGAGGCCTTTGCCCCCGGGATGACGACAATCACTTACCCAAAATGGAGAATATGAAAGATGAGTTTATTTCAAAATAATACAAAGGTCTATATGTAAGTGAAGATTATTGTACATGGGTGGGTAGTAGAAATCAAGGAAACCCTCTGGCTGCCTTATGTAGACGCATCAAGTTCCTGGACAACCTCCTCGCAGCGATCGCACACGCTCTCTTCTGCTGCTTCTATTTCCGGAACTACATAGCGCCAGCACCGAGGGCACTTAGATGCCTGTGGACTGAAGATATACACAGTTCCCTTGGCTCCGTTTGGAAGCTCGTACTCGCCACTGTATTGCCACTCGGCGTTCGCAATAGTATCAGGAATGGGCTCACTGCTGCCACTCAGGGTAACAGAAGAAACAACAAATATATCAGCAAGTTCATCCAAGCCCCGTCGCAGAACAGAGGAAGCAGCAGAACCCTCTGGCAGTGTAATGTGAACAAAGGATTGCAGAGACGAGCCCATTTGTTTCTGGCCACGAGCTTTTTCTTGGATAACCTTGATAACGGAGTGGACAGCGACAATATCCTGGTAGTCTGCTTCAAGGGATGGTTTTTGCCATTCTGATGCAGGGCTAGAGACAATGCGTTTCATGGGGTGTTCGCAGTGAGACTTCAGAGCCTCAGGCGTATGCTCCCAAGTCTCTTCTACAAGCAACGGGGTGATAGGAGCCAGCACCTCCTGGAGATGCTGGTAAATGTGGAACAAAGTGGTCTGTGCAGCGCGCCTGCTGAGACTATCTTCTCCATAAGTATAGAGTCGATCTTTAATAGCCTCCATGTAGAACGAGGAGAACTCGAGATTGGCCCATCGGTTAATTGCATTGACGGCCTTGTAGAATTCAAAGCTTTCTAACGCTTTTCTAGCGGCAAGGGTCATCTCGGATAAGTGCATAAGCGCGATACGATCAACCAGCAGCAACTGGTCATATGGAACCTGATCCTGCGGGCAGAAATCGGAAAGTGCTCCTAGCAAAAGCTTGAAAGTCACACGGTACTTGTGCAAACTGGTGTTGACTGTCTGGAGAACTTGCTTGCCAATTACCACGTCTCGAGTATAGTCACTGCTGGCGACCCACATCCGAAGCGCGTCGGGGCCCATGGCATCGTAAACAGGGCCTTTAGCCTCTGTTTGCTTTTTGCCTTTGCCCTTCTTCTGCTTAAGAGGTGGCAAAAGGGTGCCATCCATGATGGTCTGCGGATGCAGTACATTTCCAATGGATTTGCTCATTTTACGACCGTCTTCATCCAAGGTAAATCCATGGGTAATCAGGTGTTTGAAAGGTGCACGAGGGGTAGTACTTCCCGAGGCAAGTTGGTGCGCAATGAAGGTGAGAAGTCCCGACTGGAACCAACCGCGATGTTGGTCAGTGCCTTCGAGGTAAACATCCGCGGGGTGGCCATCGCTACTGTAAGGGGGTTCGATTTCTGCCCAACTAGTTCCGCTGTCAAACCACACATCCATGGTGTCGGTTCCCCGTCTGTACCCTGGACCATCAGATTCCCGTAACGAGGGCGGAATCCAGGCAAGATCGTTAGCATCGTCAGTCCACCATGCATCAATTCCGCGCTTGTCGATAACGTCCATAACATGCGAAACGCTGTCTTTTGTAAGCACAGCTTCACCGGTACCTTTATGGTAAATGGCAGGGATAGGAACACCCCAAGCACGCTGGCGAGAAATGCACCATTCGCTACGGTTATTGACAAAATTCTCTAGTCGTTGCTTCCCAGACGTTGGAACGAAGTGGACATCCTGCAACGCTTTGACTGCACTGGTGCGAATATCGGCGACATCGGCGAACCATTGTTCAGTCGCGCGGATAATAATTGGCTGCTTCGACCTCCAATCGTAAGGATACTTGTGTTCGTAGCGGTGTTTTGAGAGAAGCAAGCCTTGTGACTCAACATATTCAAGCACAGCAATATTTCCTTCCGTCAAAACGTTCTTTCCGCTCAACCTCGTCGGGTCGCTGGGCATTGCGCGATCTGTGAATTTGCCGTGATCATCAACCGGAGCGAATGCAGAAATGCCACGAGCAACACAAGCCTCATAGTCATCCATTCCATGGCCAGGGGCACCGTGAACAAGACCCGTTCCGGAATCAGCAGTAACAAACTCGGCAGCAATGATCGGTTGAGCGTCAGAATCTGGCCCCTTGAAGATTGGTCGATACGTTGTGTTATCGGCCAGTTCCGAGCCAAGAATCCCAGGAACTATAACCGATAGATCCTCTTTCAAAATGCCTTCTAGATGTTCTAGTCGAGATTGCGCAACAAGGAGGTGGCCGTGGCTTGCGGACTGGACAATAGTGTATTCTAATTCAGGGTGAATCGCAATGACAGCGTTTGCCGGGAGAGTCCACGGGGTAGTCGTCCAAATAACAGCACTGATATCCTTGCCCTGTAACAGCGGGTTCTGGGCCAGATGCGACGGGATCGTAACCAAGGGGAATCTAACAAAAGCAGCCGTTGACACATGGTCGTCCTTGTACTCAAGCTCCGCCTCCGCGAGCGCCGTGCCAGTAGATGGTGACCAGTAAACCGGTTTAAACCTCCGATAAATCAGCCCTTTCTCAACCATCTCACGGAAAATGCCAAGCTGTCTCTTCTCAAAGTCCTTGTCCATAGTCTTCCAATGGTTCTCCCAGTCTGCCATGACCCCGAAACTACGAAAGCCGTTCATTTGCTCCTTCACCGTTCGGCCTGCGAGCTCCCGCGCGACCTTCCGAATAACCGCAGCACTGACGGGTCCATTGGTCTTCCCAAGATCTTTCTGCGCCTCAAGCGCCTTAAGTTCAATGGGCAACCCGTGGCAATCCCATCCAGGAACATAACGCACCCTCTTCCCCAAACCCAGCTGCACACGGCAGATTATGTCTTTCAAGATCTTATTGAGGGCATGGCCAACGTGGAGTTCACCATTCGCATAGGGCGGTCCGTCATGCAGAATAAAGGGTCGATTGGCCGGTCTTTCACGCCGTTGCCAGGCGTAGAGGTTGTCGGTACATCGCTTCAGATATTTCGACTGATCGGTCAGAGTCACACGCGCTGGGAACGTCGACTTGGGGAGCTTCAAGGTCGACGACCAGGACCGAGTCAGCGTCCGCGGCAGTTCCGGCATGCTACCGCTGAAGCATATCCCGAGTTCTGTAAAGGGTCAATTGCGTGGAGATGGGGAAGATTTGCTGGAGATGTATTTCCTCCGAAGAATGTCCTCCGGAAAGATTATCGGTGTAAATTACTAAGTATAATTACGGACTTGGCAGACAATCCCCCACATAAATCACCCAACGATACGTATTTCATCCCCAAGGAAATTACAATAAATTACACATAAACAGCGATAAAAAAAAATTGCTTCATAAGTCGAGCATGATTGAACAGGTTGAGGGCTTTCAAGGGGTTTCGCATTATGGAATCTATACTGGTAGTAATTCAAACCCAAATCGTGAGTTACAACCTGAAATGCACCTTAATATACCGTCAAGCAGCTCACTGCCCCATTCTTCATTACTTCAAACAAGAGTCCGGGGAAGCCGAATAGCTCAGTGTTTCCCAAGCCTCCGTCCTGCCCACCTTGCCCAGTCCTCTGCCCTTTACTTGAGCTCTCTTCCCAGCCACCCAGAAACTCGACGCTACTTTCAGGGCTATCACCCCATCCTCTATTCAGGACCATGGGTCGCTCAACGGTGCGCTCTTCCGCGGCGCTGGCATAAGAACCCTTCCAGATTTCTCTTAGACGGTGTGAAATGTCATCGTAGCGAGTCTCGGAGCAGACAGGTAATCCATGCGAGTTCAGTTCGATCTTCCAACGACTGCGTCGGTGTCGATTGAATGGATATGACCCTGGGACATTTCCATGCAAAATAATTTTAGATACAACGAGTTGAGATGAGGGGGATGGAGGGGTGGGCTCAGGAAGGTTGGACCCAGGGAAGGCTGGACCAGATGTAGTCGGATGAGAAATAAAAGCGTCAAATCCATGGTGAAAATAGTTAAAGAAGCACTGCGTTGGCAGGGAGGATGGGTCCAATGCATTCGCTTGTGAAAGTTCCTCGTCTGAATCATCGCTAACGCTATTATTCGAGGATTGATCTGTGTCAGTAACGTCAATCCCTCTTCCTGGAGATGGACTCATGTGGATGGTATCATCACCACCGCTACCACCAGCAGCGCGGTGAATGGAGATTCTGCGATCATTCTTACGATATATGGCATCTGGGGGCCCAAACTCCGCAACTAAATCCTGTGGAGTTGTCTCTGAAAGTGTGATATACACTGGGGATGATGATCTCCGGGTAACCTCCAGTTTGCCGGCCCCTAAAATTGTGAATTCCTCGATCTCGTCAGGAACGGTTTCTTTATTCTTCCCAGCCAACGCTGGAGATCGCGGATACTGTGGTTGTTGTGTGAACAATTTGGCCCGAACCTCTGGCCATGATGAACCTTGGAAGATAGCCATGGAGGTGGCTGGTAAGGCGGCCGAAGAAGAGAGCAGAGCTACGAAGTCACACTGTTCTGACCAGGCTGAATGTTGAAGGGGGAATGAGAAAGCAACCCCGGGATACGATAGCACATAGGTACCATATGGTGACTGAGTAATAGGTGGTATGTATTCGCCTGGATACGAAGGGCCGAAAAGACGGTTATAAACATGGCGAAAGCTCGGGCCTTGTTGGGAAGTTGAATGCTCATGTGGTTTGGCCCCTTTCAGAACCTCCTGGTTCTTATAAACTAGCGCTGTTTTAGAGAAGTCTAGCACCTCTACCAAACGCAGCCTTTGATCCGGTCCGTCAAATCGCAAACGAAGACCGTTCGAAGGCAGCTGTAAAGTAACCGGCTTATGAAGAGGTTCAGAGGATGAATATGCAATATCGATCGCGGGGTAAGTCTGGGGGTGAGCTTTCACGCGGCTTAGAACATTATGAAGGGAAGCTCCGAGTGCTATTCCAGGTATTAGCCATAGAAATACAATGAAGACAAATTCAACATGCTTAAAAAGCCAAGGCCTTTCCCAGGGTATATCTGGGCCTGTGGTGAAGGTCTGGAGGCAGTCATAGTGATCCGCAGCGCATACTGTTCCTGTGAGATGGGTTTGGTCTATGAGGGGTAAAGAAGGTGAAACAGGAGCGGTTCAGTGATTTGGAAATGTGTTCCAAAACTAAAGTTGCGCTTTGAAATATGCAGGATAGTGCATATGGTCTGAGGCGGAGTATTTAAGATAGTAGAGCTGGATAATACTAAAAAAAAGATGCACTTGGGAAAGTGGTCAAGTTTGTTCAGTGGGAATCATCAAGAGATGGCGATGAGCGCATTGCATCATGTGAACAGACGGGGGATGACCAGCGGAGCTGGGATCACATGGTGGCACGTGCGTCACCCAATTGGGTTGTTTACGTTTTCCCCTTTCGGCGGGCAAAGAATAACATCAACTTGACCCCCGACCACATACTCAACGACAAATTTCAAACGCAATTTACTTTTCACTTGGACATTCTTTTACATTTTATGCCTGGTCCTTATATTATTCTCTACTGTTTTGGTTTACAACATTCTCAACGTTTGAATCGCCATCATGGCCGGCACCCAACGGCCTGCCTCAGGGCTTCCCACAAGAAGAACGACGGCACGACAGCCAGCTCGGCGGATGGGCTCTATAGCCCCGGAGCGACAAGCATCTCCAGCCATTTCAACGAAGGCATCTGCTACGACTAGACTCCGCGCGTTGAAATCTCCAGGCGAGCCGCCGAGCATCACTGCGAAACGGAAAGAAAGGGATATTGAACGAGAAATCAACGAAGATACCAGCATACATGTGGTAGTGCGTTGCCGAGGACGAAATGACCGAGAGGTTAAGGAAAACAGTGGAGTGGTGCTGCTGACTGAAGGTGTCAAGGGGAAAAGCGTGGAGTTGTCAATGGGTCCAAATGCGATTTCTAACAAGACCTACACATTTGACAAGGTATTTTCGGCAGCCGCTGATCAGATTACCGTGTATGAAGATACTGTGGTGCCAATTCTCAATGAGGTGAGTTAATCGCATGCAACAGTCAGTAGTTTTTACCGCTAACTTAACGGCGCTCTAGATGCTTGCCGGATACAATTGCACAATTTTCGCGTATGGACAAACTGGGACTGGAAAAACATATACCATGTCAGGCGATATGAATGATACATTGGGGATTTTGTCCGACAACGCCGGTATTATCCCACGGGTTCTATATTCCCTGTTCCATAAACTCGCGGATACAGAAAGCACCGTCAAGTGCTCCTTCATCGAATTGTACAACGAAGAACTTCGGGATCTCCTGTCAGCTGAAGAAAACCCAAAACTAAAAATCTATGAAAATGAACAAAAAAAGGGCCACAACGGTAGTACTATGGTACAGGGAATGGAGGAGACCTACATCGACTCAGCTACAGCCGGAATCAAACTGCTACAGGAGGGCAGCCATAAACGCCAGGTTGCTGCGACAAAATGCAACGATCTTAGCTCTCGAAGCCATACAGTTTTCACGATCACCGTGCACACCAAACGAACAACAGAATCAGGCGAGGAATACGTTCGGCCGGGGAAGTTGAACTTGGTCGACTTGGCCGGCAGTGAGAATATCCAGCGCAGCGGCGCCGAAAACAAGCGGGCTACTGAGGCTGGCTTGATCAATAAGAGTCTTCTAACCCTCGGGCGGGTGATTAACGCTCTTGTGGACAAGAGCCCACATATTCCGTACCGGTACAGACTCCCGTCGTATCTTGTGTTAACGATCGCTAACTCATTCCAACAGAGAGTCGAAACTCACTCGTTTGCTCCAAGACTCCCTTGGTGGACAAACAAAGACATGCATCATTGCCACAGTTTCGCCTTCGCGTAGCAACCTAGAGGAAACAATATCTACGCTAGATTATGCTTTCAGGGCCAAAAATATCCGAAACAAACCCCAGGTCAACTCTACCATGCCTAAGAAGACATTATTTCGAGAATTTACCTCTGAAATTGAGAAACTCAAGGGGGAACTCATTGCAACAAGACACCGAAATGGCGTTTACATGTCAGTTGAGGCATATGAGGAGATGACAATGGAACGTGATTCACGAAGAATCATCAACGAGGAGCAACGGGCAAAGATCGAATCAATGGAGTCCAGTCTGCGACACAAAGTGCAGGAATTGTTCACGCTTACCAGCAACTTCAATGATCTCAAGAATAACAACGAGGAGACACGTGCAGCTTTGAGCGCGACAAATGACGTCCTTGAGCAAACAGAGATCGTTTTGCAAAATACAAAGTCCCAGCTCGAAGAGGAGGAAGTGCTTCGAAAGGCACATCAGGAAACCGAGCACCAGCTTCGCGATATCAGCACAGGGCTAGTATCAACGATCGATCAAACTGTTCAGGACATAGATCGCCTACACGCCAAACTAGGCCGTAAAGCTGACTTGGACACTGTGAACACCGAAATATGGGAACTGTCGACGGCTGAAGTATCAAATATTACGAGGCAGATCGATAGCAGAGTGGAGACTTTCCAGGCTCAGCATGCGAAACTAATGGAGTCAATGTCGAACAAGCTTCATGAATTCTTCTCGAGTGAATTGTCGCATGTTGAACAAACTCAAGCCAAGCTATCGGAAATTAGCACCTCAATTGATAAGGCGCAATGTAACGCAAAGGCTGAGACCTCCGGTGCGCATGACGAAATGAATAACGTCCTCGAAGAGATCAAGGATCTCCGGGAGGATGTGAAGGCTAAAGTGGGGGAGGGACTGAATGGCCTGTCGTTGGCCGCAGCCCGAATATCCGAGGAGGTAATCGGGGAATTTGCTGAATTTCACGCAGAGGTAAGACGACTGTTTTGATCAATAGCTCTATTATACCTAACATTTATAGCTTCACACCTCCTACAGCAATCTCGGGAAAGACCTAAAGAACGTGTTCGAAGGCATGGTGACACATCTCACTGAACAGAAAAACGAAATCAATCGGCTAAGATTAGAACTCCAAAATGCGAACCGTCAAAATATCGATGCAACCCGCAAAGCTTCTTCCCATCTGGCTCAAACCTTGGAAGAAGAAAATGCCACTGCAGAGGCAGAACGTGATATCTTAATGTCGCAAATCAAGGCTTTGATGGATGAATCTCGGCATAAGCAGCTTAATCGCTTAAAGGCCAAGATTGACAATCTGCGGACCGATCTCTCATCCTCGGGCGATATGTTAGAACATGTTACAGCCCAGCATGATCGCCAAGTTGATGAGTGGGTGTTCAAATCGGAACAGTTTGCAAAGGATGTCAATGCATCTAAGGATGAAATCAAGATCAAGATGCAACACGACTGGGAGGTAAGTGAAATCCTTATCTTGACTGTAACGATCCCATGCTAAGTGTGTAGGCCTTTGACCAGCGCAATTCTTCGATACAAAAGACGACAGAGTCCGTTCACAAGGAGACAGTCCGAATTGTTGACGCTCAAATGAATGATATGGGAAAGCAAATGGAAGCATTGGACGATTTTGTTGCGAAAGCGCGATCTCAAAATTATCACTACCGTGACGCCCATCTAGCAACCTTGGATAGTATAGCAACTGATATCCATCAGTCATACTCGACAATTCAGGAACAAAATGAAGCACTGGGTAGCCGTATCCACCAACTACAGGGGCAAACAACCCAGGATCACACAGCTCTAAAAGAGTCAGCAGATCCGCTACTTAGTGAAGTCCGCAAGCCTCTCGCAGATTTGTCTGCTGATATCCAGAATCGATCGCTGGAAGAATACGTTGCCACCGGTGTTACTCCCCAGAAACGGAAATATCAGTACCCATCTACCTTGCCTCGCACTGAGGCCCACGACACCCTAAAGTCTAGACTCAGGGTGTCTAAGGAAATGCAAGTACTTCCATTCAATGAGGAGGACCAGCCTTCTACGGCTAGCTCCCCAGCAAAGTGCTTTGTCTATAACGATGCAAACGAGGAGGTAGGAACTCAAGCATCTCCCATCACCACCGTCACGCCTTCCAACATAGGACTTAGGGAAATCGATGCAAACGTCGTCGCAAGACCGCTCGCGTTTAGCACTGAGGACGAAAAACCAGCAGTTCAATCGACCCCATCAATTTCGAACCCGGATAACTTATCTGAAGTTGACGATGTGGAGCCGCCACCATCAAAGAGACGTCGGTCCAACTCGGCTATGGTTGAGAGCAAGCTGCCCCAAAAGCTGGTTGCCAAAAAGATGGCTGGAATGATGGAAGGCAGAGAGAATGTTCCGCCCCAAGGAGGTTCTGGTGGTCGAAGACTAAGAGGCCGGCCTTCAACTGGTCTATAAAAGCAGAACTGCCATACTTCTAACACGTATGCTCTTTCTTCCCGCATGCACTTTCTATACCCCTTGTTTACTTGCAATGGTTCGGGGCGTTCTAGGATAATTGGGAGGATTCCATCCGGTCGCTTTGCCTTTGGTTTGTTATTGCTTCTAAGGCAATACAGTAGTATTTGGTTATTGTTGAACATGTGAACTGCATACCTTATCTGATAGATATCATCCTCAATGGAAGGCATTGGGTAATTTTACGGTCATATATGTTACTCCTAAACTCGTTGGCTAGGGGTGAATTGGCGGATTCATATATATAGTTATATATATATATATCTTGGTAATTCCGAGCCGCCATCCTGCCTAGATCGATCACCAAATTTCCACCCGTAGTTGATCTACAGTAGTTATTAACTTTGCTAACATGTTCTGATGGTGGCTTATTTACAAAAATGATATTAACTACATGGGGATTGTTGTGTAAAAAAAAATAATAACGACCGTCTTCAAATAAGGCAATATCAGGATTACTGCTAATGTATAATACACTACTACCTACCGAGTATGCGAGAAGCCTTCAGCGCCCGGCTGTTGCTGTTCTGCAGTTATCACATCATCTGCCTTATAAGATGGATCTGGATCTCCAGTAGGGACGATTGAGGGGTCTTGAGGGCTCGCCTCATCGACGAGTTCTGGATTTTGGAGCGCCTCCCCGCCTTCCACCGACATTCCTCGTTCCCCACTTTCAATAACTTGTCTTAATTCACCTAGTCTCTTCGCGAATTGATCCATCATGTCTTCTAGCCGCTGACTACCTCGTTCCTTATCCTTCCCTAACATGCCCACAGGGAGTCCCGCTGTACCCTGAATCTGTAACATCAGTCCGCCGTTCGTGGGGGTTTCTCCCGAGGAGTTGTTTTCGAAGGTTGGAGCTGGGAGAAGTTGGGTGTCGAGGACCTGCCATGATGGCGACAGGCTTTGTGTTGAAGTGACCGTGAACTGACGGGACGCTGAGAGCTGGTGCAGATGTTGGTCTGGCTGTTGTTTCGTCGGCGGGGAGTTTTGTGGGGTTTGTCCCTTGGACTCATACCCACTAGTAGGGTCTCCGTGGGGGTGATCGGAAGGCAAGTGATCTATATCAAGGATGATATAATTGTCGCGGACGCCAGGGACTGGTTCGGGAAGTAGAGGTTCCTTTGCTGTTCCACCGTCATCCTCGTACGTCCCATTCTCTCCTTCTGGGGGTGGTTGTCGTTGCCCCTGCTGCTTCGATTTCCCCTTTGCATTTGGGAAAATTTCCCGCTCCGCTTCGAGAGATCGTAATGCAGCCTCTGTTATGATATCTGTATCGTCGTCGGAGAAGATGTAATGGACGGTTGGGTGGTAGTATTCGGAGGTATGCGCGTCTTCAATCAGCGTGAAGAACGGCTGAAAGAGGGTGTGTGACGTGAACTGCGATTCATATTGGGCTTCTTCTCCCCCTTGAGCTAGCCGAGAGGCAATTGTTCCGACAGCTTCGTGATGGCTTTGGTGCTCGTCGAGGGGGTCGTTTGCGGCAGCGGCTTGGTCAATGCTCTGTGGACGGGACGAAGTGCGCCGGATGGACTGTCTTGACGGCGACGAGGCGAGCGGGGGGGATGGGGTGAGTTTGGGGAGAGACATGTCCGATGGCTGTGGCTACATGGTTACAATGATGCGAGAGAGGTATGATGAAGAGAAAGCTTCTTGAATGAGCGAAACGTTGACACAATTGTGGCGCCTTATCGATAGCGTCAGGTGACCACCAAGACGGATTTTGAGGCTGCAGACATGAAACTTGTAGGGCCATTTCAAGAGTCCATAGATTGGGGAATAAAAGATATGTAAACAATAATAAAAGATAGGGGTATCATTATAAGTGGACCTCCAACGCCTTCCACTGCTCTAGCAGTTTCTCATGAATTATGTCACTCGTCATTTTGCTTCCATTCAAATTCTAGTTGCTGTTAGCAAGGGTGGGATATATCAATCATAAACTAAGCACAGGAGGCATCACATACTCTGTCGGCACATAGGACAAAGCCCTTTGGATGTTTCCTGCTGAATCCAGGTCATGAGACAGTGCTATAGTCAGTGTTAGGAAATGGGCCTCTGGATTTTGCATGCGAGAAGATGTATGAACTCGGGATCATACCATATGGAAGGAATGGCCGCATTTTCCGAGCACTGAGGAAACTCTGATTAGATTGGTGGCACTATTTTCTCTTTTTCATTCGGAAATAACAGTCACCTACACAATGAGCAATCATCTCCGGGAAATTTGCAGGTTGGACAGGTCCCATCAAACTGAACACGACAGATGCCACAAACATCATCCTCCAGCATATCCCACCGCCAGGTTGCAACGGCATTCCATTCTTTGAGAGTGACTTTCATAACCGAAGATAATTTGAATTAAATGATTTGGGGGGTGGAGTTGGATGTGGGAATTTAGAAAGAGGAGGAGGCTGGGTAGGAGTGGATCTTTAATGTAGTGATAAAGAGTTGTTTATGTACCTGGAAGGCTTGCCGACTCCGCATTTATTATTAACCAACACTGATATGTAAGTTCTCCAAGACGACCACAAGAAGCGAACGGGAGTCTACCATCATCTGATTTCATTTCTGTCACTGTAGATGCGCCAAATTTCACCACCTTCCTCTGTTCCTCCGGAATGTAAATACAGAAAATAGCTTCTTGAACCCTTGTGAGGAATCTTCTTTATGAATATGGCTTCTATCGCGATCCGCAACGCCCTCCCTTCACCGACCCGTCTCATTCGACCAACAATGTCTGGATTGCAGCAAATACGACACCAGACCCAAACGCGCGGGATTTCGTTCTCATCATACCTCGTCTCTCCGAAGGAGCTTTCTGAAGCTCTGAAGAAGAACCCGACTACAAAGATCTCTACATCTCCTCGTGTGATCCCCCTCTGCGCTGCGTGGTTTATGCCGAATGACCCGGAAGGGCGCACAGGAATTGACGTCTTCCGCAAGCATCGCATACCCCAGGCACGGTTTTTCGACCTGGACGCTATCAAGGACAATGAGTCTCCTTATCCACATATGCTCCCCACGGCAGAGACATTCGCCGAGGCCATGAGTGAGCTTGGCATCCGACGTGATGATGAGGTGGTGGTTTACGATACAGAGGAGCTTGGTATCTTCAGTGCTCCGCGGGTTGGCTGGACCTTGCGGGTACTTGGGCATCCCAAGGTGCATATTCTCAATAACTACCGACTTTGGATTCGGGAGAACTACCCTACGGAGACCGGAGCGCTTTATCAGCCGGAGAAGACGAATTACCCTGTCCCTAGCTACGACTCGAAGCTTGTGATTCCTTACCTCGAGCTGAAGGAAATTGCCAAGGAACACCGCAAGGAGGGTGCGAAAGAAGTTGAGATCTTGGACGCCCGATCCTACGGTCGCTGGGCAGGAAAAGATCCAGAGCCACGCCCCGGGCTGGCCTCGGGACATATTCCAGGCTCCAAGAGCTTGCCATTCCAGGAATTGCTGGACCCCGAAACCAAGGCCTTCCTTCCTCCATCGGAGCTCCGCAAAATTTTTGAAGAACGTGAGCTCGATGCGACCAAGTCCATTATCAGCTCCTGTGGTACTGGTGTGACGGCCACCATCCTCGAAACAGCTTTAGGACTAGCAGAATTCGGAGCGCCTAGTCTACGAAGGGTATACGATGGCAGCTGGACGTAAGTCTTCCAGAACTTCTTTCGCTCCATGGTTTTCAGTTGTTAACTATGAATAGTGAGTGGGCACAGCGAGTGAAGCCAACAGATGGCCTGATCAAGAAAGTAGACTAAGGAGATAGTGGTCGCTCAAGCAATGAATAGTGTGGGACCGTTATAGTTATCTATGGTTTGATCTGACAACGCTATATGGAAGGATGGCCCGAGGGAATCGGGAATCTCGCGACGGCACAACCCCGGCGATTGTGTCTGGCCTTATAGAGTGTAATTTCAAGAATACCTACGAAATAGAGTTATCATGTGAACGACGAACAGAATGATTCCCCGCTCAGCTATCGTATGAACTATGAAGGAATAATTCGGACGCTGTAGTTAGTTAACTAGTTTTGGCTGACGCTTAGTCAGGGCTTCAGATGGCCGGCAGTTTCGAGTTGAATCCGATGGATGTTCTTGCATGGCTTCACCTTCTTCTTCATTTTACTTGCTTGTCTAATCGCACCCTCCCACTAGCCCTTCCAGAAATCACAAAATGCTGCAGATGATATCTCCCTGTGAACTAGGATCCAATTGTGAGTATTTTCTGCAGCCTCGTCTCCCTCCACTGACTGCCTGTTCACAAATCCTCATACCGCTGCCCCCACATTTCCAGATCCCTCCGCTGCCAGATTAATCCAAAACCTCCCGCCTTCGTGGACTTCAGCTAACCTCAGCTGTGCCGTAGTCGCAGTCGCTAAAACAAGCTGTTCGGAATAGGGCAGTCGTTTTTGTCTTTTTGGCGCCTCGAACTCCCCTCTATTATATTCCCTTAGGCCGGTTGCCCAGCCGGCGATTTTTTGAACACCATGTCCACCGGACGCAAGGTCTTCCACTGTGCCGTGGATGAGACGGCATTGACTACCAACATCAGCGAAATCAAAAAATGGACAACAAATGGGGCGATTACTCTTATTGTTCCTCTCTACAGTAAGGAGCGCTAGGCTTTCAAATACCGCCCACTGGACTCTCTACTCACTCGTTCTTTCTTCCTAGCTCTGGAACGCCTCCACGCACTGAAAAAAGCCGGATCCCAGGTCGCCATCAACGCCCGAGAAGCTGTGCGTTTCCTTGACCGCGTTACCTCCGGAAAAGATAATGTTGCCGCCGAGAGGATCGTTTTGCAAGGGCCGATGGAGCAGTACGAAGATTGGTCTGAAGCCGAGAAGTTTTTCCTACCGGAGTTTGAGGAAGAGCCGGAGGCCGCCAATGGACCCGTGAGCGCAGGCGAGCGAAATTTGCGGCGCGAGAAGCGAGAGGAAAAGTTTAGACATCAGAAGAAAAACACCGCCGCACCGGATGATCTATCGCAAATGCTTCTCAGCAAGTTGAATTTCAAGAAAGATGCGGATGCCGTTTCGATAACCTCCACCGGTACCCATAGTGCCCCAGCTTCCCGACCGTCTTCTAGGAGCTCGCGGACTAGCCCCGAATGCGCAAATGACCATACAATTGTGAACGGCGAGGAGCCTGAAGAACCAAAGCCCAAGCGTGCTTTAGGACACCGCCGCACCGCATCTGGGTCTACTATTCCGGTGGTTCCCCCCGTGCTCCGACCATTGCTTAGTGCGCTTCTCTGGCGGTTGCATAGCGGCCCCGATGCGTCACATGCTGCCAAAACTTGCATCCTAATCACCAACGATCGCCCGACCCAGATCTGGACCCAGAAGTTTGGCATCGGAGTCAAGAACATTCATCAGCTGCGGACCTCGATCCAGTACGAAGAGCGGGAATACAAGAATCGATGTAAATACGTCGAGAAAACCCAGATCCAGCCCACGGAACCCAAGTCTTTGCTATCCTACGAGGAAGAAAGCGACGAGGATGAGCTCGTCTTCGTCCCTCGCGGCCGCGGAAAAGGTGCCTCGAGAGGTGGAGGCTCTCGTGGAGGCGGGAGCAACCGCAAGGCTTCGACTATACCAGCAGCCGGAACGGCAACGGCAGCAGCAATAACCAAGTCTGCTGCACCACCGTTGGAAAACACAATGGAAATTCCCACGCAGCCGATCGATCCTAACTCCTTCAGTCGATCCCTTGGTGGCAACCCCAAGAAGCAGCCCCCGGTTGACCTCAGTTCTCAGGCTGGTGCCTCACGTGGCATTGCCGGTGCCTCGCGCAATCACACCAACAGTCGTCGGGGTGCTTCTCGTGGGCCATCTCGTGGCAGTGCCCGTGGTCGTGGTAAGCTCTGGGTTCCTTGATTGAATGATATAGGGTCCGTTGATCACTTGTTTTTACGACGGATCGGTTATCATCATAATTCCGCAATAGACCAAATGTGGTTGTTGCGCTACGAAGCAGGAATAAAAATTTTTTTTTTTTAAAGGGTGTCTCTCTGCCTGGCCCAGGCTGCCTCCGGGTCAGACCTCTTTCTGTCAGTTCGACTACGTTGCCGACTACGTTATGGATGAGACGAATGGGTATGGACGGATGATACTAACCGCCCGGAAGGTGAACGTTGAGTCAGAATACAGTGTTGTCTCGATCCCCAATGCTCCGAGCATGTGTGTGGGACGGTCTCCGGCTCATTTCTGGGTTTCAGATAGCTCGCTAGCTCAGTTGCTCGGATTGCTCGCTCTCATCTGATTTCCTTGCTTTCTCGTTTTGCAATGGAGGAATCGAGGCTGCTATTGTTTTTATTTCCCTACTACATGCTGGCGAAGTCGGGCGCTTCCCCGTATTTTACCTGGACATGCATCAAGAGTTACGTTATTCAACATGCTACTCTTCAGCTCTAAACACCCTACCAAAAGACGATCGTCTTCTTCCTTTTCTTTTCCTTTTCTTTTTGTTTAAGTCCAACATGTTCAAGAATGAGAATGAGAATTGAGAAAACGAAACACGGGATGATGTTATCTTAGTTTATTTTTCCTTGGTGAATAAATGGTTCCTTTCTACCCCTTTTCACTAGTTAACCAACTACCCGTAAACAAGACAAGTCAGTATATATAACTGCCAGTCTTATGAAGATCGCAATTCTCTATGATGACATGCACCTGAAACCCCGCGATGACTGGCCCAAAGTCCCGTGGAACAGAAATCACTTGACCTTCCCGTCCGTTTCCCCTCTTCATCGCCTCGACAGCCAACAGATTTGACCCCCCTGCGAGGTATTTAAGGCTCCGGGGGAGGGGGGTGGGGGGTTCTCTTTTCTTGCGTGTACTTTGGAGGTATTTAGAATAGCTAGACGTATATTCTATCCCAAGTATACCTAACTTTAGTTCCCAACTTCCTACCCACCCGACAATGTCTGCCTCCGCTATTGACGACTCCTCCATCACTGTCTCCCCTCTCGAACGCCGCAACTCGCTCGAGAGACACCTCTTGACTCGCCCGGATCCTCAAGATCTCAAGGATAGACATATCCTGCTGGATACCAATGTTGCTCCGTATGCCTATTTTTTGTTTTTTATTTTCCCAGGGGGGGTTGAGTACCCCTATATCACTTTCCTTGGCTGGAATTATACATACATACATACATACATACCATACCCTACCGTCTACCACCACCACCACCACCACCACAACCTATTACTAGTACCTTCCTTGTCTCGTCTGGCTAAATCACTAACTGTCGCTTCCCCCATAGATCCATCCAAGCAATGCAACAGAAACTCGATCGCCAACGGGCCTCGGATAACTTGAAGAAGAATCTAGAACAAAGGCCCGACCGCGAGGAGCTTGTTGAGCGTACGCTGAGCTTTCTTTCTATATTTTTCCAACTTGCTGTGCCTGGACTGACCTGTAAAAAACACAAAAAAGGCAATATCCTCCATGCTGATAGGGAGGGACGAGAGCGAGAGCAAGAGGATGAGGAGGAGGAGGAGGAGGAGGAGGAGGAGGTTGTGGTTCAGTGAGCTAGCTGGTTTGCTCTTGCTTTGGGGGTTCTGTGATGGGGGTTTGTTTGTCCTGTTAAGGGGGGCGGGGGGGGGGGATGGATTGAATCGACATGATGGGATGAATTGGACAGGGCGTTCTGGGATATTTAGCTTTGAGTAAGTATAATAACGTAACGTAACGTAACTAGGAGGATGGTTTGATTTCTACATTCCATGAATTTCATAACATACGATGGTCCCTGGAAACAAGTAAACCAGAGACAGACGCTCCGGAGCTATACTCGGTCAATACCTCAAGAGATTAATATATCTCCGTCTCAATGGGAGCCGACAAGTCCGGCGCCCATCCAGCCGGCCGCTCACTTCCACGGACCAAAATCCCATAAGCCGCACGCTCCACCTTCTCCACAGAAGTCTGCATTACATCCTCCTTCTTCCCGAAATCGCGGAGCATATTATGCCGACGTGGAATGCTTAGTGATTCAAACTGCGCACGCATCTCACGGAGATCGCGAACAACCCCGGCTTGTGAAGCGGGCAGTCGGGGGAGGTTTCGTAGCCCCAACTCTGACTCTGTCTCTGCATCTGTCGAAGATGTATGCCCGCCAGCCGAAAGCGACGTCACAGCAAACCGCATAATCTCCCCCGTCAAATCAAACAACCCCATCATATAGTCTTCATCCGTAACCAGGATCTCACGTGGAAGATAGCCGGAGACTTGCTCGAGCGTGATGACCGTTTGTGTTTGTAGATAGTGGTGGAAGGAGAAGGCTTCGATGAATTCTTGGATCCCGGGACTAAGTTGCCGCAGGTATCGCCAGCTGTTCAGGCCCTTGACGTCTGGGACGACGGCGCGGAAGAGCTCGAGGATCTGGGTAAACCGGGACTGGGTTTCTTTGGCGATAGAGGGGGGGATGGGCGTGTTAGTTGCTCGGACCCTGTTTTCGATATTGTTATTTGGCCATTACTTTGATTGGTTTTGCAGGGGAGAGCGGTACGGTGAGTGTGTACCGTTGCAGGGAGAATATGCTGGATTACATGGATAAATTAGTTAGCTTTACTTTTTTTTTTTTTTTTTCCCCCTTAGCCTAGCAACAAAAAATAATAAGAGGAGAGTACATTTTCTTGCTCAGTGCTGTTATGTCACGGCTTGTTTTAATCAGTCGCTCGCGTCGGTCGTGGTGGCCATCCAGCTCGTCGCGAAAGGTCCCGAACATTGAGAGGATGTGTGTCGCAGGTTCGGCCATTGTGTTTGTGGGGATTTGTGATTTGGGATCGTCGCGAAGTGGTAGGCCTTCCCAAGAGCGTTTGGTTCCGGCCATGGGATGGAAAGGGGTGATTCGAATGCGAATTTGTAAGAGGAGGAGGAGGAGGAGGAGGAGGAGAAGTTGCGGAGAGAAATAATTCGCACGTCGCACGATGTCATCGTCACGTGGGGGCCTTAAACCCAATCGGGGTGATATAGATCTGATAAGATTGTAGTGGAGGGGTTCCCAACATGGATGACAACAACTTTTTAACGAGGATCATGATCCTGATATCGGTTTAGAATATCTTTGTCTTTTCCTTTGGCATCTTGTTACAGCCTCCCTTTTTGGTGACTTTTATTTACGGGAAATAAGACTCGGCTAGTCGTTTAGATTCTGAAACTTTGGGATCATGAATTACCAGGAGGTATATAAACCCTAACTCTGAATCTACTGTCCCAGGAATTTGTATTTCAGGGGTGCATCTTCCGGCTTCAGACCCTTGATGGTGACAATCTGGTCGTCCCCAGGGACAATATCGATGGCGCTATCACTGACCCGAACGCCGTCCCGCTCCTCAAAAACCAAGCATTTCACTGGCTTCTTGGCACTGAGCTGAATCTTCTGCTCGTTTTCGGATTCGGAAATCTTGGTGACTTCTAGGCCCCGGTCCGAGAGATCGAGATACTTGAAGGGCTGGGGCCAATCTACATCCCGTGCTGTAAGTTCACCATCTACCCACACTCGAGCTGCGAGAACATGCGGCTCATCGACGGTGTGGTCAATAACGCCATCCAGGACGTTGGTAGTTCCATTGGGCACAATCGTAACATTCTCATGCACAATCGTCTCGCGGATTTCCTGACCGGTCTTGATAGACAGGAATTTCAGTTCAACCTTACCAACGAGCTCCGTCTGCTGGCTACTAACAACCCACAGCTCATACTTGCTGGTTTTAGGAGGTTGTGCGTGGGACACACTCCAGTCGTGATGCTCTCTACGGACACCAATTGCTACCGGCCTTAAAACACGGCAGACAGCGTAGAATGCAGGCTTGGGGCGTAGGAAATAGTCCACAATAGCCCAAGAGATGGTAGGCCAGCAATCGTTCAACTGCCAGAGCAAAGCACCTCCGCAGTGCCTTTCATCACCCCATTGGCGACGCCATCCACGGTATCCAAACATCATTGTTTCCGCTTGAACGACTTGGGTTAGGTAGATATGTGTCTATTACGGGTTAGACCTAGGCAAGCTTTAGCCGACGGATGATCTTACCTCCAGGTCTGTTGCTGTGCGTAAGTTCTCAACAAGATATGTAGCAATTCTTCGCTCATGGCCATCGGCCTTGTTGTGAAAGTCGAGGACGTGAGATTGAGGGAACTTGTCTGCTTCGTTCTCAACAAAGTAGTCGATCGTCGCAATATGGGGGAATGCCTCCATTCCGAATTCACTGTTGAAACGACCTCCGAGGGTGTCGAAAATCTGATACTTCTCTTGCGTCCCGTGCCAGACTATGGAGCCAAGTATTAGCGTAATATAGGGTCACTATTTGGCTGGATAACGTACCATTCCACTGGTGCATATCACCAACGGTAGGATCGGACGATACCTTGCCGTCTCCCCAAGGACTGCCAGGATGGTAGAAGAGCTCCGGACAGATCTTCTTGGCGACAATTGGCAGAAGGTGTTCGTAGATATAGCGAGCAGGGAAATCGGTCTTCAGCCAGCTCTGCGGATCCTTGTCTTCGTAGTTGTACGTAAGGCCCGCCGACTCTTGGACCTGGTAGTCCTCATTGTTGCCAACCCAGATTACGATAGAAGGATGGTGACGTAGTCTGCGCATGTTGTATGTGGCCTCTTTTTCCACCGACTCCAGTAGATCAGGCCATGTTGGGTAGTTACCACAGCCGAACATAAAATCCTGCCAGACCATGATGCCGATCTCATCACAGGCCTGGTAGAAGCTCTCGTCCTCGTAAATACCACCGCCCCACACTCTGTAAATAGTTAAACCCTCGGTATTGTCAGCTTGGAGGGAATGACATACCGAATCATGACCTGATGTCCAGCGGCCATCAACTGAATCCATTTACGATAGCGTTCAGGTGTGACGTTGGTGAGAAGGCTGTCCGCGGGAATCCAACATGCCCCACCGCAGAAAATATCAACACCGTTGATGCGAAAATAGAAAGATTTCCCGTGTTTGTCGGGTTGCTGGATGACCTCTGCGGTTCGAATACCAAACTTCTTCGACAGTTGTTGAATCTGGGCGTCTCCCTTTTCAAGAGACACTGAGATCTCATAGAGAGTTTGGTCTCCATAGCCATTAGGCCACCAAAGGGAGGGCTCCTGCAAAGCGAAACTTACTTTCGCCACATTGTTCTCCGGAGTAGCGACCCCACGGGCAATCTCCTGGCCGTGAAGACTTAGCGTAAAGGTGGCTTTGTATGAGGCATCAGATTCGCTAGTATCGATTTCCGCAAATGCAGAAATTTGCGCCTGCTGGTGATCCGTGGCCAGCTCTACCTGAGTCCAAAGATCTGATACCCTCGCAGAATAAACTTCAAGACGGACTTCTCTCCAGATGCCTGCAGTCATTAGGACCGGGCCCCAGTCCCAGCCCCAGTGATACTGAGCTTTCCTAACAGCCATTCTTGAGGGGTCTCCATTGAAGGATTCCCATTTGTGCGCGGGATCCTGCTTTCGGAGCTCCCGAGCTCGCAGCAGGGCACAGTCGAAGTCAATCTCTAGAGTGTGTTCACCTTCAGCCTCCAGGGCCTTGGTCACATCCACCCGGTAGGCGAGAAACATATTATTGCTCTCTAGAATGGTCTCTCCATTGAGTTTTACCTTCGCAAATGTGTCCAGCCCATCAAAGGCCAACACAATCGAGGATCCCGCAGGCACTGTCGGCTTTTGGAAGACATTGCGGTAGGTCCATGATTTCTCATTGACCCATCTCGCGCCCAATTCATTGAAGCCAATGAACGGGTTTTCTAACCTACGCAGTGGGAGAAACAATATATCAGCACCGTGTTATCACAGGTGGTATTTGGGTAAGAGCAAGTACATACTTGTTATTTGCCTGCAAATCCTGATGAACGACGGAGGGCACGACAGGAACAGACAGCCACGCATTTGGTGACTGGTCTTCACTGTCCCTGAGGCTCCATCCCGTGGAAAGGGCGTGGTGTGCAAATGCGGCCATCTTTGCAGTCTTTCTGTAGCAACTGTCGGCCAATTGCGAGCAATATTTTACAACGCCAGACGGTGATGGGAAGGGGGTATAAGAACGAATTTAATTGCGTCTGTCTCCTTTTCTCCAGCGGGAAAAACCGCGAGATTAGGGTCAGTCAGTATCTCCATATCAACACAGGCGTCTTGGATTCTTTCCCCTCTGCGCTGGGACTACTCTCTGGAATGAGAGGTACACGGAGCCTCCGCCGTGCCCCAGCTGGGAGCTTTCCCCTTTTGGGCCGAGTCCCGTGCCAGGAACCTCCGTTCCATATCGGGTTTAGCCCGGAACAGTGTCGGGCTTTTAATCCGCCGACTCTAAAAAGTGCATCTCGGAATCTCCTCGCATCGTATCTGGAGAGGTTCTGGCGAGAGACTCCCTTAGATGGGAGGCAGATCTATAATTCGTTTCATCCCTGCGGATGAAACAAATATCCGTACGTTCATTTTGCCTTTTCTCCGGTTGAAACGATCACTCCACCCGCATGCTGGGACTGGTTGGAAACGCTGGCTGCTCCGTTTACCTTTAGTGAGACTTGGGACGGACGATGCCCGGGCTTCCACCACTCACAGTGCTACAAATAAAGATCCGAGGGCGCCCTGAAGATTGGGAGGACGACCATCCCAGATGTCTTTTGTGTTGAAGACTTCCTCTTTTGGCTAGGAGAACCGAGGCACTCTGTCGTTCGCCAAATTTGACTCTCTCCCTCTTCTGTATCAGGTCATCTCTGGCCACCTCTGCCTCAAAAACGGATAGCGCAGGGAGACATGGAATGCTTTGGCAGTGCAATTGATCATGGAGATTGCCTTTTCTCCTCGCTTGGCCTCTTTTTCGCGGCCTTTTCTCTCATTACGATTATTAACTTCCCCCCTAATAACTAGTTGACTAATATTTATTTCACTGTACGTTCATGGCTTGATTTCTAACAATGTCCGCTTGCTGGATGTCTATTATTTATGGTCTGATTTGGCAATCAACCCCCCCTTCCCCTCCATGCCTTTGGCACTACCTGGCTCCTCGTCGCTTAAGAGACCCAGAAGCATTAGGAGGCTACTGTCCTTCATAACTGACATGACTCCTCCAGCCTTAGACAATTATTTGGAGGCGGGGCGATTAGTAGCTCACATGCCATCCTCGGGTATGAAAAGACCAGAGCAAAAATGTCGCATATTATTACTATAAGATGATGATAGGAAGCTTACGCATGAACATATATTAATTCTGAGATGGTTCACCGAAGGATATGGAACCAAAGATGATGCATGATTCGAGAGCACACAAATCCCGCACACCCCGGTGCCCAAAATACTACTCCTTAGATTCTATCTCTATGCTGTACTATCCTTTGCTCTCGGATCATCCCGAATCGCACAAAAACGCCTTGGTGGTCCTATCGCTGATCGCTTGCTAGAATGTTGCTGGCGGAACCCGAAGGACTTGAACTTTTGCGGAAGACTGCAAGACTAGATGGCTGCCTTAATACGAACTAAATTGACTAAAATGTCCGCTGGCAAGGTTTGATACGAGAATCAATTTTTCTTTTGGCTATTGGTGTCTGCCATTGGCAACCCCTGGAAAAGCGAATCGAGGGGGGAACTATGGTGAAAAATCCATCAGCCAAGGCTGTAACTTCCAAGCACTATGCACAATTTATAAACCTGGTCAGCCACAGATGAGTACCAACGCAGCATGATAGTTACGAATCGTCCATCCATACGCAACTCGGACCCCCGAAAGTAGCCTTCTGTGTCTCTGCCATCCGCGAGGAGAAGGAATACATGCCCTTTGGTTATTTTGGACAGACAGAGGGCGGAGGGCTCGTCCAACTGTTCCCCAAGGGTGCTTGGACATCGCTAGTATTTCGGGGGGTTCTGATTGATCCACGATTCAGATCAGCCGAGAGAGGCCCTCCCCCTCCTCTTCACATTTCTGTTCTCTTTTATCCTTCGCTTTTGTCCGCTTATGCTACCCCTGCACAAGGTTGAGGCACGGAGAAGAAGAAACGGAAGAGGAAAGGGAAAACGCCACATCCAGGCGAATTGTAACCTCCTCGTCTGCATGATTCTCTATGGGGGATGGAAGTTGTTGCGTGGATTACTGCAGGGCTACTAACAACGACGCTATCATATAGTAGAGTCAGGCGTGCTCGGGAGAAGCCATCCCCGGGAACCAAAGCACGTTTCCATCACGACAGTAATATATATATCCTTATTATCTCTTCATTCAAGGATCAGGATGTATCAGATCGGGTCTTAGGCTACTCCCGTTTGTCCGGCCCTGTTGACCGCTACCGTAGCGTATTACACGTCGTTAACATCCCAAGAATACGCGACTCTCCATAACTTGGCCACCAAAATATGCCATAATCTCGCTATCACTAGCGCTGGCTCGACAATTTCTGGGGGTGGCGACTGGAATGTTCTCCCGGTCTATCATCCCCGGACTCAACGGGCCTTTTGTCCTCTCCTAGTTGTCGGGGTCTCTGGAGAAGGGATTGTCAGGACGAGGATGGATGGCATGTCAGCAAAAGGACCCATTTGGCTGCATATTCAGGTCCTTCCTTTTAAGTTCCTCAGCCGAATGCGGGGAAAGAAAAAGAAAGGAAGAAAAGAAGAAGAAGAAGAAGAAGAAGAAGATATTCAAGATGATTACCCTAGAACCTAGTACCTAGTACAATAGTAGTCCAATATTAAGCATCATCTTGTCTGGCCTCCAAACTTGAACTTCTTCTTCCACTTTAACCTAAACTCATTCCCACCATATATGAGATTTTATTTTTATTCTCTCTTTCTATTTCTCTCTCTCCTCCTCCTCTTCATTTTCAAAATCTGTCTGTCTTCTTTCGCTAACGACTTCATTTTCCTCCCCTCCCAGAGCAATGACTACTTCTCCCTCCTAATTCTCTCCTCTTTTCACTCCACCTCCCTTCTTCTCCCCTCTCTGCTATTTTCTTTTCTTCGACACCCGACACTTTCATTAGATCTATATATTTCCCGTCGCGAGCAATGTTCCACACTTTCGAAGGCTTCGAAAACCCCACTACCTCGACTTCAGCTCGTGGCGGTCGGGAGCGTCAGCCCTCTATCGGTCGGCGCGTCACAACTTTGCGTGCTTGCACTTCCTGTAGGCATCGCAAGATCAAATGCGATGGCGAGAAGCCCTGTGAAGCTTGCAGATGGTATAAGAAAGCCGATCTTTGCCATTACTCGGATCCTCGGCCTTCCCGGAGGTATGCAACCTTTTTCTTTCCGCGTTTTTTTTTTTTTTTTTTTTTTTTCCCCCGCCACGCTTCCCCGCAAAGAATCCAAAGCTTATAAGGGAAATGTAAGGATAGACATATTGAAAAATTATCGGCAACGTTGGACGAGTATCGCACAGTGCTGGAGAAGCTTTTTCCAAATGTAACGCCGGAGGCACTTGTTAATTTACCGCGCGAAAGGCTCCTGGAGCTGACCAGCAAAGGCCTCGATCTGGCGCAGCTCCAGCTCCAGCCCCGACCCCAGAGCCAGACCACAGGCGCCCATCCCGCATCGCCAGCGACCTCAGGATCGATCGAAGCACATGTCTCTCCAATCTCTAATGAAGATGGGAACTTGGAGTCTCTTCAGACCATGCCTGAGGAGTCCAGCGATACTCGCAACTTGAGCCATGAAATTACCAATGCTATTTCCGATGATGTGAACGCTCTTTCTCTTTCCACACGACAGCCTGCTTGTTACCTGGGGGTCTCTTCAATCCATGCAGTTCTCAAAGTCATTATCTGGCTGGATCCAGGCTCTGTTTCTTACTTTGCAAGTACCCCTCCAAGTGCTCCGTGCCGGGCCTCAGTAACGGACTTGTCCTCCTCGGAGGGCCCCTGGGGTCATGACCAATCCGACTCTCCTCCGCAGGTACATTTGCAGGTACCCGAGTCTCAGCTAATTGACGCCTACTTCACCTACGTCCAGCCCTTGACGCCCATTCTGGATGAGCAGACTTTCCGCGAGACATACTACTCTGGACACCGAAAAGATGACCGATGGTATTGCTTACTAAATCTTGTCCTTGCTCTCGGAAGCATTTGCGCTTCAACGGCCGATGATATTTCTCACAAGATTTACTACTCGCGGTGTCGGACCTACCTAGACCTGGAGTCATTGGGATCGTCACATCTAGAAACGGTGCAGACCCTAGGTCTCCTTGGCGGCTGGTATCTACACTATGTCGCTCAACCGAACCTGGCATATTCCCTCATGGGAGCAGCCCTTCGCATGGCGGCGACTATGGGCTTGCACAAGGAATTCGCGAACCAGTCGGATATTTCTAACAGGCAGAAAATGGCCTCATTGGATCTGAAACGACGAGTGTGGTGGACGCTCTTCCTGATGGATACCTGGGGTGGTGTGACTTTGGGCCGACCGACTATGGGACGATTCGGGCCAACGATTACAGTCAAGCTACCCCACCATCGTGAAACTGTATGTGTGCTCTCGGTAACTATTGGTATCGCTGCTTATAACCCAACTAATCTCGCATAGGGAAATGTGCTTGACATCCTCCCGCTCCTAGAAAATGTCCGGTTTTGCAAAATTAGTAACCAGATCCAAGACGCACTCGCGCTCTCCCCCTTAACGAAATATAGCGAAATCATTCACTTCGATAATCAACTGGTGGAGTGGTATAACAGCCTGCCATATATACTCAAAGATCACGAACCATGTCCCGAGTCGATTGCAACCACGAGAACGATTATGAGATGGCGCTACCACGTGCAGCGTATCCTTCTTTACCGTCCAACTCTGTTGAGCTATGCCATGCGGCGGGTCCCATACATTGCACTGAGATCAGAGGAACGGACAGCTATCGAAAAATGTCGAGAAATCGCAGAAACAGCGATCCAAGAGATCTCAGCCACTGCAAAGACTCCCCAGATGTCTGGCTGGAATGCCATTTGGTTTCTCTTCCAGTCTACAATGGTCCCGCTTCTAGGCTTATTCCTCAACGATAGTACCTCTACCGACCCTCGAGCTGCTGTTGAAGCGTGCCAAGCACAGGTGGAGATGGCTCTGCTTGTGTTTGCACGGCTACGGCAATCGAGCCCGACGGGCAAGAAAACCCTGGATGCTGTTTCTCGAATTCTGGAGGCCAGTAAACGAGGCCCCAGTGTTCCTGGAGAGAACAACAGCGCTGGCAATGCCAATCACCAGACTCCTCGTGAGATCCAAATTCCTCCTATGACCTCAGGTGTCCTCCCGTCCCAGAATGATGCTGGACGGGGCATTATAGGCACCAATGAAAACGGGTTCACCGAGCTCTTCCCTATCTCAGGCATGGATGATCCAAATGGGCAGTACCTGTGGGATTTCCTGAGCTGGAGCGATAATAACCTCGTGCCGATGGCCGATATCGACAACGTTTCCGATACCTCATTGCTCAGTGGGGATGACAGGCATATGAGGTACCCAAATAATGGAGCCTTTTTTGGCAATCAATTAACCGAAGCTCCATATTTTGCAAACTCGGCTATCCCATATTATCCGTGATTCCACTGGAAATGAAAATGTCTTTAATGAACCAGCATTTGTCCCTTTCTTTTACGCATTCTACTTACTCTCTTCACCTTTGCCCACCTCGTGACAGGGATTTCATGATTTGTGCTATTATGTTATTTGAGCGATATATATATACATGATGGAAAATACCACTGCTTGTGTTTTGTAATTCTTGCCATGGCTGTCTCGTAGCTTGTAGTATCCAGTATTTTATGCTGTTGTTGAGATGTGGACATGATGATGAATTGCTGAGTCAGCACGACGCCAAAACACGCGCTTCTCACACGAATCTCAACACTCCAGATGGCAATGATCCAAGTCGTCATTTTCCAAGTGATGTTCGGGCGGCAACAAGGATGGGTAAATATATTCATCGAATAATAGGACTTCAATGACTCGCATAAGAAACCCATTTTCCTGATTTCCTGGTGATTTGAACTAGCGTTTCCGCTACGTTCCAACTTGTCCAAAGCAGGCCTTCGCCTCTATACCATACAAGAATTTGTTCCTCGGAAAGAAGACTTCAAAGAAGACCGGTGCTATAATGGCGTCGTTCTTCCAAACCCCGTCCCTAGTGTATGGGTCAGCTGTCGCATTACGCGTTATCCTTCTCTTCTACGGGGCATGGCAAGATGCCAACTCCCCCGTGAAATACACAGACATCGACTACATGGTCTTCACCGATGCGTCTCGGTACGTGTCTCATGGGGCGTCCCCTTACGACCGAGACACATATCGCTACACTCCTCTCCTAGCCTGGATGCTTCTCCCCACCTCCTGGTCCATCCCGGGATTCTTTGCCTTCGGTAAAGCGCTCTTCGCGCTTTCTGATGTTATAGCCGGATGGCTCATCTCGAAATCCCTTGTGTCAAATTACGGCATGACTCCAGCGCGTGCTCTGAAGTACGCTAGTTTCTGGCTGCTAAACCCCATGGTCGCGAATATCAGCACACGCGGCAGCTCTGAGGGTCTCCTGGGCGTGCTCGTTATCGCCTTACTCTGGGCAGCACTGAACCGCCAGACCACCCTTGCCGGTATCCTTCTTGGATTCGGGGTGCATTTCAAAATCTATCCGTTTATCTACGGGGTTTCGATCCTTTGGTGGCTTGACTCTGAGCGGGAAGCTGACGACCCCAACGAACCAAAAGCGCACAAGCATCCGCTAAGCACTACTGCAGGTGCTGCGGCTACGACTACGGCTACTGGTACAGGTACTGGTGCTGCATCATCAAGAACAGGAGGAACTGCAACCAAGCCCGTCACGGAATCTCGGGACCCCGAACCCAAATGCTCCTCCCTGACCCCTGTCTTGTCTCCCCGGCAGATCCTCGCATTCCTCACCCCCACACGACTTCAGCTTATCCTGACCTCTTTGGCGACCTTTGCCGTTCTCAATTTAGCCATGTACCGCCAATACGGCACTCCGTTTCTCCAACATACCTACTTCCATCATCTCACGCGCATAGACCACCGACACAATTTTTCTGCCTACAGCTCCTTGCTGTATCTCTCTGCGGCGGGGGATGGACACGGGAACTTCGAGTCCCTAGCGTTCATCCCGCAATTGCTTCTGTCTGTTCTCGTTATCCCGATGGTGTTGGCGAAAAAGAACCTTCCTGGAGCGATGCTGGCGCAGACTTTTGCTTTTGTGACGTTTAATAAAGTTTGCACGAGCCAGGTTTGTCTTTCCTTTTCTTTTCTTTTTTTTTTCCCCCCATCATGGCCTACTTCTGGCCTTCCATCCGCCGCAAAGAAAAAAAGAAAGAAAAAAAAAAAAAAAAAAAAAAAGGCATGGGCAACATACTAATTGGATATATGCTAGTACTTCCTATGGTACCTTATCTTTCTCCCATTCTACCTCCCCGATTCATCTCTCCTCCGTAATCCAAGACTCGGAGTGCTTGCTGCAGCCTTATGGGTCGTTTCTCAGGTACGTCCAATCTTACCTCTAGCCAACGCAAGGAGGCCGCAACTAGTCCATCCATCCATCCAGTCTATGCTCGATGCTAACGAATCCCCCACCCATATCCAGGCTGCCTGGCTCCAGCAGGGCTTCAACCTAGAGTTCCTAGGCATATCAACATTCATGCCGGGGCTGTTTCTCTCGTCGCTGGGCTTTTTTGCTGTGAATGTCTGGATTCTAGGGATCATAGTTGCTGATATTGGGGGGGTTCCGAGCTCATAGGGAATTTATTGTTCCATTTCTTGAAAAAAAAACAAAAAGAAATGGCGTGCAGTAAATAAATATATATACATACTACTACGGTTTAGAATAGACATGCCATAAATACCCGTGCTATTGGGTTGGTTTCTTCAGATCAAGGCCTCAAAACAAAGTAACTCCCCTACACAGTTACAAGGACCTGGCTAGGTATCTAGGTATCCGACCTAGTACTACTAGATCATTATTTTACCCATCCATATGTATATACATGTTGTCCGCCATCACTTACTACCTACCTTACCTTGATCTAGAATAGAGAATCGGACTCGGTCACAAGTTCAATTATGGGCATCGATGAAAACGGTTCTATAAAAGATTTAGACCTGAAGAGAGATACATAGATTCTTGTGCGGCATTGACGTTTACTGGTCTCTCTGGGATTTTTTCGATGTTTTTATTCAATGCCAATACCTGCTGGCGGGCCCGGTACTACTTCCCTTGGATAAGTGTACGGGAATGGGATCGTGTTGGTGAGAGTTTGGTATTTAAAGAGGAAAAGGAAAGAGTTTGATGTTCAGGTCGGATCGAGAATGTAAAGTAAAGTAAAGTAGTTGATTAAGTATAATGCTACTACTCCCTTACGAGGCAGGTGAAATGATTCGGTCCATGCACTTTTGCACAAAATACTCAAGGAAAAAGGCTCATATGCTGCGGTGTATCTTATAATCCTACATGATTGCGTGGCTTGTGTTATTATCGCCACACGCAGATGTTTTGCTATTATTCCCCCCTGCGCCTTTGTCTGGAAATCCCCATTATGTCGCACAAAGATTTTTTGTTGTTGCCTTCGGCTCTGCTATTTTGCCCGACGGGGTGGGTGCAGCTAGGGCTTCGGTACGTCAGCTATGATTCTGTACGTGGATGCGTGGATGCTCAGCGGCCGCGTGCGTGGGTATACAGCTCCCACAATTTGACGGTTATGGCCATATTGAGGGTAGATCCCATCTGAGAGCTTGGCAAAATGGGCTTCAGGGCGGGACTCGTGCAGGGTTTCGAGGATCTCCTCGCTCCAGAGACCGGTGCACTGATTCTCGAAGAGTTGGAAGTACGGGTTCAGTGGGGGACACGCTGAATCCAGGTCAATAAAGCGGATACGCATGTAATTCAACGAACGGTGGACCTGAAGGCTCTGCACTGCGCCAGTAACCAATTTCTCAAACGATCGGATGAAGTTGAGATTGGTGATGCCAGAGAAGTCATCCAAAAATGGTAGACCCTGAGTGGCTCGTTTATCCCGACAGCAGGTCTTCACAACCAAGTCCAGGGACTTGAGTTTTGACGTTGGCGGCCAAGTATTCATGAAACTGCGAGTCGCATCGAAGAGACAGGCGCACACTTTCCCCGTGAAGGCTAGGGACTCAAGGCGTGGTGCTACCTCTCCCAGCAGACGACAGAGATGTGGTGGGCGGACCTCCTCGGCAAACCAGCGATTTGGCGAACTGTCCTTATTGTAGAACCCTTCTAGGCTGATGTTGAGGTGGACGATCGACATGGGCAGTTGCTGGAGGATTCTGGCAATAGTCTCATACCCTTCGATCTTGGGTTTCGCGTACGCACAGTGCCACTCGCGAACACCGGGTAGAGCTAACGATAAATTACACCAGTGCTGATTGTCTCGCATGATGTTCCAGGCACCCCGCATGACGAATGTCTGGATATCCCGAAGGACCGGGAGACGCTGGCGTCCAGTGCGACTCGATGGATCGTTCCTAAAGTGGCGGACCATCGGAGGTTTCTTGCAGTGGCCTCCTTCCAAGGTAAGAATACGGGCTTCGGAAAAGAACTTTTGCACATGGAAGAACATGTCTTCCACAGTGGCATTATGGCTTGCGTAGTGGTACTTGTAGTCGCTGCCCTGGTTTGTATCGGAATCATCCCATACCATGGCAGCCTGGAAAGCAGCTACATCCGTCAAACCCGCATCCTCATCATTATACCTTCTTGGTGGAAGTTGACGAGTAGTACTTTTAGTTGCTCGCTGGCCCCAGACAGGAACCCAGATTTCTACATGACGAACAAAAGGCGCGAGGTGAGGATGCGCACTGAACCAGCGTGCACTTTCTTCCAGCTCATCTATGGTGCCCTTAAGTTTGACTAGGGTTCGTTAGTCACGGGTATTCCAAGCCACAACAACGATGGAATACTAACTGTGTCTGTAGATTCGATCTTGGACCAAGGCCCTCCACACTGGCGAAATCAAAGAGAGGTTCGAAAGAGCCTTTCGTCTTGGATGGCGCAGAGATTTATTCCAGCTTCGCGCGGATGACTTTCCTGAAGCATTCGTGGTCAAAGCTGAGGTCCGCTCACCAAAGAGATAATCGAGAATAGCCTCGTGGATCTCGACTGGAAGGTTCTCGAACTGAATCCCGGATTGATGCGGGGACGGTGTAACCGCTGACGGGACATCCTCCATCTCGGTATCCACTGGAGATAGGCTCCATTCCGGCCGATCGGGACCCACGGTACTGAAAGGGGGATCATGGGCGGCAAGTTCAGCGCTTGTGCTTCGCGTGGATTTTGGGTATGAGATACAATTTGAGGTTGAAGTTCTCGGGAGTGAATTGACAGACACGGGTCGTGGAGGAGGGATAGTGGAGATCATGAAGGGCGAGGGAGATGTCATGAGGTCGGCGGTCATTATTAGAGGGGAGTAGAAGGGAGCAGGGCTGAAGGAACACAAAGGAGAACCTAAGAACGCCAAGCACAAAGAACGGGGTCGTAAATCGTTAGTAGTAGCAGTAGTAGTTCTGTTCTCTTTTCTTTTCTTTTTGTCCACGTAGAAGAAAAGATGACTACGGGATAAAAAAAGTCAGCAAGATGGAAACGAAGAAAGAAACGAAGAGGAAGAAGGAATAGAGGCAGAGAAGAAAGAATAAGAGAATGGAAAAGACGATGCCAAACATACTGCAGGAGGTGGAGTTGGGACGAGTAACGGGAGGAGAGAGAACGAGAGAGGCGGGAGGAGTTAGTATAACTAGTTGTGGGCGAATGAAGCGTAAGAATAAGCAAAGTCTGCGACTAAGAACAGCAGGCCAAGTCAAGACGGGCCAACGCAGTCCATGGCGGAGTCGATGATGAGTTGGATGGAGTAGTGTTAAGGAGGTAGAAAGAGGGGAGAACTTGCAAGGTTAGGCAGTTAGGCAGCGTCAGGAGAGGAGGAGAAAAGATAAGACGAGGAAGTAAGTGGCTGAGTGAAGATTCAGGTGATAAAAGTGACAAAGTGACGATGAGGATAGGATGTTGGAGGAGGAGGGGAAGATAGAGAAGGGATGGAAAAGATGAAGAGGAAGAAGAATCATGGAGATGTTCGAGTGCGATACACAAGTCAGATGATTCTTCCCTTAGCATGAAAAGAATCCCCTCGTCTTCCCCCCTGGAATCTATAAACCGCGTTCTTTTTCTCTCTTCATGTATATTAATTTTCCATTACATTCGTCATATTCCGGCTGTGCAGATCATTCGCCTCTTAATTTAGTACCAGTACGTACCTGAATGAAAGGGAAGACTACCCAGAACGATACTCTCCCTCCATGCGCTCATCAGCCCACCAAGTTTTGGAGGATGAACTTCAATAGTTCAATGCGCCACTGCGTCCTTTGGCAATAGGACCCCTCGAGATATTGATCCAGCATGAGAACAATAACCTTTTCGACCGGAAAAATTAGTGTTTTTGGCTAAGTGAGTCCTGCTGCTAGTCTCGTGTCCACAGTGCGATTTCCTTAGTCTACGCCGCTACGAGCCTGGAACTAATAGTGTTTTCTATAGAGTAGATATTGCTTTGCTTCCTTTTGAGGATTCTGAATCGGATTCTGAAAGACGCTCCACAATTTAGAATTTGACATCAAAGTTGATCGATCTCCTGGACCTCCAACCGGGAGGGCGACCCTTTGGATGAACTGGAGTTGATGAATGCTATACCTAGTTAAAATGTACCGAGAATTGAAATCTATGTAACACGAAGAAAAAAAGAAAAAAAGAAAAAAAAAAGAAAAAAGAAAGAGCATTACCTCCTGCGTCGGAACCGGAATCGAAGCCCATCATCACTATCGGAATCCTGTTCCTCTCGCACCCGTTTTTGACGTTGAGACACAGACGCCTTTTCCGATTCGCTTTGAGGGAGTGAGCGCGCCTGCGACAGCTCACTCTCTTCCTGGCTTATCGTCCGTTCGGGCTGGCCTTCTTGCGGGGTGGGTTCGCTGGACCGATGATTGCTCACCCAGTAGTGGTCGCCAATACCAAACCCTTTGCGCGTCACTTCTTCTAGAGGTACGATGACGGTTTGGATGCGACGACGAGGCTGGCTGGTATCATTTTTGCGCCGGAATTTCTTGAAATTTTTGCGCCCATTCCACCGGTCGTCCCAGCGGGTATTATTGCTATGATCAACGACGGGGTCTCTACTTGAAACTTCCATCTCCTCCACAATAGCAAGCCCTTTCAGCTTCTCCACGTCGATATCCTTGAGAGAGCTCTGAAGTGACTCTTGCTCCTCTTGACGTCGCTGACGGGCGGCATCCTCCTCCGCCTCACGGTGCTGCCGTGCCGCCTCCAAAACGTCCAACTTTTGCCGCTTAGGTCGTGCAGCCCCCTCTTGTTTTAGATGTGTAGTCGAATCATCCAAACTTCTCTGTGAAGTCTCGGCGCGTCGACGTTTCATTGCACTGGCACCTGGCAGTAAGCTGGAAACTAACTCTTCTTCTTCCTGAAAGCTGTCGACTACTCTCGACTGATTTTCCGATGGAGTCTCTACCAGCATCTGTGCTTGAGAGTCTGCAGAGCCCTCATCCACCTCTGGAGCATAAGCTGGGATAGAATTGATGTCAAACCCGTCATCAAATGTCTTCATTTTGCTCACGTATTTGCGAACACGGCCACCTCTTCCCTTTTTCGAGGCTTGGCTTACGTCTTCCGCCAGCTGCGAGTCGGCGATGATTTGTGCATCATCGCTTGGGGCTGGAGGGGCAGATGTAGACTCCGTGGGCTCAACGTCCATTTCCTGACTCGGTTTGGATTCTGGGAGTGGCCGACACAACACCGCGGCATCATTCCCTAATATCGCATCCAGGAATTCTCGCTGCTCGATAACACGTTGATCGGTCGTAATGGCCACTTGGTTGCTAAGCTGTATAGACCAGTCTTCATACTGCCCCTTAGATCTAAATCGGACAAGAACGACACCGCCATCGCCGTTTCTTGCAACCCCGAGACCTTTATGGCCCGCAGCATTTCTCATAAATTGCACAATATCCTCGGGGGTTGTTACACCGTCCTCGATTCGATAAAACAAAGCCTTTCCATGGCCATTCGTTATAGCGTCCTGTAGATTCTCGTATTGCGTAGTGTCACCAAAGACGAAAGTATAGCCATCGAAGATGCTGATTCGATCGGGATTTGGCGCGAAGGACTCTTCGGGTCTGTCAGCAACTTCCTTTCCTGGAGGTGGCAGGTGTTCCATTGGGTCTGGCCATGCAGCGTCGAAATCGGCCTCTAAAGGGGACAAGCTTTCGAGGTTCTCTAGGTCACTTGGCGTCGCTGCATAAACAAGCGCATCAACAAATGATTCTTGGACGATATATTTGCCATTCACCAGCGCTTGCAATCCTTTCGCTGTATTCCGTTTGCTTTGAACCACGTGGGTTGTTGAATCGATGACATATGGAATTATCGTTTTGACATCTAGGTCCTCGAGTCGGGATCGCACATGCGCCAACGGGTCCTTTGCCTTGAGTTCTTTGGAGGAGAAGGAAAAGCTGAGTACGGTTGGATGCCATTTTATCCTAGACAGTTTATATCGATTAGTTTATTTACCTTTTTTTTTTTTTTTTCTGACTTCTTGGTCCAGTCACCTACCGCAAAACGTGCTGGTACTTTCCCAGCTGAATGGTATGCTCCTCACCAGTCAACTTCTTGCTTACCCCCTTAATTTGCTCTCCATCGAGTAGTGTACCAAACTTGGATCCCTGGTCGCTCACTGATATCTCAGACCTTGCGTAAATATGGACCTAGCGACGGTCAATATCAACCTCCAAAATGTGTCATGTCATGATGATCATACCCCGTCACCAGGTTTGACAGATGCGATATCGATCACCAAATGCTTTCGCGATATTGAATTGTGCTGGATGGCATGGCGGACTATATAAAAGCACAGTCAGCAGATGTCAGTCGTTATAAAAACCCCCCAGAGGCGCCGTCATACCCTCATTCGTCTTGCTGCGACCAAACAGATACTTCTTCCCGGGCCGTAACCACACGCGCTTCCCTTCAAGTTGTCAGTAATGAGAAACTAGATAAAACCAATAGATAAAAATCACCTCTCAAAAAGTCTCCCTCTGAATCGAGGATCCACATGAGGGGCGCAATCAGCAGAAAGTCATTCTGCTCACAGTGAAGTCGAACAGGCTGGACGGACGCCCGCTGCTGCACGTGAAGCGTCACGGGGGAACGCGTGATCATGTGACTAGGCGTCGCAATTGCTGCCTGGTTGGGAAATAACGAACAAGCACTCGCAAAGTAATGTATGGTTTCTCTCCTACTTGTCAGTAATGATTCAATGGGGGAGGCAAAAGAGCCTCAGGGCGACGAGCCCAAAGAAGAAACCACTCCGCCAAATTCCAGCAGTGTCTCGGATGGCCATGATACTCTGAAATATCAGCTCCTAGGCCCGTCTCTCACTAAAGCGGGTCAGGACTCTGTCGACCAGCGAAAGGTGAGCAGCACACATTAGGATATTATTACTACCGCTTGAATCATAAACTGAGACGGGAAAAGGTTTCTGAGATTATCTATAATGCATCCAAAGGCTCCAAGTTTTTTAACCACGAGGAAACTCGAGATAAAGTTCTCACCGAGAAGATTGCGCGGATCTTGAAAGAGAAAACGCGTCTTGAAAAATTAAATCTATCGGTCGATCTACGACGGGCCGACCAACTCTTTGCCGAACTTGAATCAAGCCGAGATCTCTCACAATATGTTGTGCATGTCGACTGCGACGCATTCTTTGCGGCGGTTGAAGAGCTTGACAGACCTGAGCTCAAAACTGTTCCAATGGCAGTGGGGAAAGGAGTTTTAACTACTTGTAACTATGAGGCTCGAAAGTTCGGCTGTCGAAGTGGCATGGCTTCTTTTGTGGCCAAAAAGCTGTGCCCGCAACTGATCTGTCTACCTCAAAATTACGGAAAGTACAGCGCAAAGGCGGAAGAGATTCGTGCCATTTTCGTCCAGTATGATCCGCAGTTTGAGAGCGCGAGTATCGACGAAGCGTATCTGAACATCACAGCTTATTGTACAGAGAACCAGATAGACCCAGAAGAGGCTGTGGACCGTATGCGGGCAGAGGTTCTTGAAACAACGAAAATTTCGGTCTCTGCAGGGATCGCGGCAAATGCGAAGATTGCCAAAATCGCATCAAATTGTAATAAACCAAACGGCCAGTTTCGAGTACCAAATGAACGAGATGCTATCATGGAGTTCATGAAAGAGCTTCCGATGCGCAAAGTCAACGGAGTAGGCCGAGTGTTTGAAAGGGAACTGGACGCCATTGGTATCAAGACATGTGGTGATATCCATTCCCAAAGGGCCCTACTAGCCAAACTCTTTGGTGAGAAAGCGCTTCATTTTCTAGCACAGTGCTACCTCGGACTTGGGCGGACGAAGATTCAACCAGCAGAGAGCTATGAGCGGAAGAGCGTCGGCACTGAGAGCACATTCCATGAGATTGGAACCAAGCAAGAGTTTCGGGAGAAGCTGTGGGTTATTGCTCAAGAGCTTGAGAAGGATCTATCTCGAACCCAGTTTAAAGGCCGTACATTGGCTCTCAAGGTCAAGCTGGCCACTTTCGAAGTTTTGACTCGCCAATCCCAGCCTCCAAAGGCAGTATCCGCTGCAAAGGATCTCTACTCCTATGCCCTTCCCATGCTAGAGAAGCTTGAAAAGGAGATTCCTTCCATGAAACTCCGACTTCTTGGTCTTCGATGTACCCATCTAATCACTACCAAGAAACCTGGAATGGACTTCTTTGGCGCAGCAGCACGACCAAAGCCAATACCCAGTGCGGCGTCTGACCCCAGCGTTGAGCAAGAAATCAGCGCAGAGGAGGCCTTCGAAAAGGCAGCGCGTGAGGAACTACAGGATGAAATGCATGACCTGGAAAAACTCAGCCAAGAGGTGTCGGAAGGCCTCAATCACGATGGAGAAAGCCAATCCCCCCGTGTTGAAAAGATCCCCGATCCTGTTTACTGGGATTGCCCTATCTGCAGCAGACCTCAAATTGCTGAGGACAGGGCCTTCAATGACCATGTGGACTACTGTCTTTCAAAACAGACAATCAAGGAAGCTGCTCAAGGCGACTATAGCGGGACACAATCGACGTCATCGGCTACGCGAAAGCGCAAACCACCATCTCAGGAAGCTACGGATCCGCGACAGAAACGATTGTTCTTTACCTGAATCCAGCTCAGGTTCGTCTCAAATCGGGGTCCCGAACAGAGACCCATTGGGTACTATATATACCTATAAGCTAAACCTGGGCCTTCTTTTGGCTTCGCAGACCCAGTCGATGGGAGATTGGGGTGAGTTCTCTCCGGTATTAACAAGCATGCCAATACGTCCTTGGGCCCTTGAGAACGAACTGGCCCGACGTGGCGATCCCGTCGGATTCAGAACAGAGCCCAATCGACAAAACGCCTTGCTTGTCTAGCAATCTCAACGTCAAGAGTCCTGCATGATTCGTGAGATTGCAGTTCCTCCAGCATCATGACAGCACGTACTGTGCGTCTTCAGTTTGAAACGGTTGGTCGAGTGATCAACACCAGCCACCCCTTGCCTGGCCTTTATTGTATTGTATATTTTGTGTTTGATCCCGGTATCTGGGCAGATAGGCATAGGTTTTCTGGCAGCCCCAGTGTCTACGCTATGATGAATGCGATGCCATCAAAATGTGTACATACAAAGAAAATAGAATAACTAACGCCTGCTGTGCGATTACCCCAATAATTGTCCATCGCGATCTCGATCAGCCCATGCAGCGGGGCATAAAACACCGCGAATTGGAACGAGCATTCCGCACAGTAAGCCAGCCGCAGTATAAACCACCCACAAACTTGGCAATATTAATGCGTCCCCTTGAAATATTATATCGATTCGGATCCTGTTGTCTGTTGCGGTGAAGAATCACTAGACCGGTTTGGGCGGGGATGTTTTGCACCCAAAACTGCTTTAGTCTCCGCAAAGTGCACCAAAATACTTCCGTTCCAACACATGATTGCCAGCGTCATAAAATCTCGTCTCTCTCACCATCTGACCCGCGGGTTTCCCTCTGTTTGAATACCCACGGCTTTCCCGGCTCTTTAGGACCACGCTATCGGTTGGCTGGTGCCACCATGCTTGCAGATCCTCGAGGAGTGCCGCAATGCCATAAAGAGTTGGCCCTTCTGCCCGCCGCCGCCCCTCGAACCCAGCAACTATGACCCTCGATAAACAAAACAATGGCCACCTCGCCAAACCGTTCACTCCCACGCTCAGTGCCGCGTTCAGTCGGGGAACCAAATCTCCGCTAACCCCCAAGCTTGCCAATCCATCGACTATCCGCACCCCCAAACGACTTGCGCCCCCGGACCATCCCGCTTCGACTCCGAGACAGGGCCCAGAGCCCTCCCTTCTCAATGCGAATGTCACGCCTCGATCCGGTTCTCGGGCTAGTCGACGGGATGGCTCTATAATTTCTTCAGGCAATTCGGTCGTCAATGGGCAATACTCGCCGCAGGCGCCCTTTGTGCAACCGTCTCCGGCCCGGGGCCCAAATCCAGGGGTATACCGGACCGAGCGCAGCCCAGTTCGCCTGGGTGGGAAGGTCGAGCCCTCGAGAACGATGAGAGCCAAAACGCTGACCGCTGATCTGAATACCCCCTCACGACCCCAGTCATCCTCCGATCTGTCGACCTCATCGCCAATGTTTTTCCATGCCAATGATGCCCGTTCCGTTTCAAGCTCCTCGGATGCAGAGGCCCGTTCACGAGCACCGGTGAAACCAGGATCTACGGCAATATTTGTATACGCGAATGGAGAGGAAGAACAGCAGGATTCGGTCGAGGGCACAGCCAAACGGCGGTTGTCGGGCTTGTCTCGTTCTGTAGTTACAAAGACCCCCGTCACTTCACCCCGGCTGAAATCCGTCAAGATCCATGACCCGGCACGAGGTTCGGATGGAGTATCCACGCCACAAGCTGGTTCTCATGCCGACGATGCCTCGGAAATACGCTCGCAGGGCTACAGCCCACGATTAGCCACCCTTGTACCGAGACCTATATCTATCACAAAACACACGAAATCTTCAAGTCTAGACACTGGGCATGGGGCCATCCTGCACCACGATCGGCCCAGAGAAGGTCTACGACCAAGCCCCATCATAATCTCGCCGTCCGACTGCAATATCGACAGCATTGATGTCGTCTCCGACCCCATTCCCGGACTCAGACCGCGTGTCTTTAGTAACGGATCCACAACTTCTCTCGATAGCCAGGGCTCTGCATCGCAAAGCCCTGTTAAATCCGAACCCTCAAATAGCGGTGTGTTGAGTGCTCGGGTGGAGCGCAAAATTCTAGATCTGGAAATCAGCAATTCGTCTCTCTTGGCAATCAACCGAACCCTTGAACGCGAAATGCGAAAACAGAATGAAGAACTCCAGCGGTATCGACGACTCAGCCGGTCTGGCCGTTTATCGATGGCTCCGTCGACGCGGTCGGTTTCCGGCACCTTGTCGATTCCGAGTGAGGTCGATGAAGGGATTAGTGAAATTTCTTCTAACCACTCGCCCGAAGATTTATCCGACTTTAGCGACGAAGAGTCCATGCTGGATACCAGTGTTCTCGGACCTGAGTCGACAGCTGATGATGAAACCCAGCAAAGTATCCGAGATGAGAAGCGGTTTTTCATTGACCTAGCGAAACACCAGGAGCTGTTGGCCGACAGCCAGAAGATGAACCGGAGTCTTAAGCGATGCCTCGGATGGACGGAAGAATTAATCAAAGAAGCCAAAAAGGCGCTCGAATACAATGTACACGTGAATGATATTCAATTGGGCGGGAGAGTCCTTAGCCCTGAGGAATTGAATGAGGTTGGAGAAGCTGGTCGAGGGCTTCTTGCACCCTCGAGTGCGGCCGCTTCCCCAGACTCTGACTTTGAAATCTCCCGTATGGATGATTCGTCCTTATGAGTCAGAAAAATGTCTCTCTTTACCTTTTTTTTTTTTTTTCTTTTGTTTTACTACTACCATATGCTGCAGCCGTTCTGATTATTTTACTATACCTGCTCGACGACGTCTTCGAGCCTGCGAATCCATCTTTCATTCTCGACTTTACCCGGCATCTTGCACCTTTATTTCCGCAACCCGGCGAGCGGGCAAGCAAGCAAAACAAATCTTGCCAATATCGATTTGGACCACCCGGGGCCCTTCGCTGATAAATTATAGTCATGACTGATGCTGGCATTTGTCGGGATGGCTTTCTCTCTTTCTTCCGTTTTCTACCTACTATTTCTTTTCTAATATTGTGTGATTTATACAAGCGATAGAATTTGTGGCCGGCTCCTCAGCAATCTCTGGTACCGTTGCTAGATACCCTATACGCGTAATGAATGATATGTACGAGGTGATTGGGCGGTGATATTATTATTGTTACTGTTGTTATTATTCTTTGGAATAGAATGGAACTGGATATCCTGATAGGGAATGTTCTTGACTTTGTTTTTGGATTTGGCACAAATATATTGTTGTGGCACGATGGTCGTATAGTTCACAAAATATACATCAACATCCACACACCTGGAGTCTTCAAAACAATACAGAGATGATAACCAAAATGAAAACATAGTAAACCATTGAAGGGGAAAAAAAAAAAAAAAAAAAAAAAAAAAGAGATATCCCAGGCCCATCCCAACCACCCAACCAAGGCCTGAGGGAGAAAAGCAAGGAGACCAAGTCTTGACTTGACACACAAGACAGGACGACAAAAGGATCCCCAAGGAAACACATAGAAAGGTACCAGGCAGGTATAAACGTACAAACACACACACACACACACACACAGAGCAAGCGCGAGACAGATAGAGAAACAACTAACACATCCCCATCAACGACTTGGCCATATAGACCTTGCAAACTTGTATACGCGCCTCGTTCTTCTGTTCCAAAACCACACCGGAATCCCACTCGCAGACTGAAATCTTCCTATCCTCCACCACCTCCTGAGCAAGCAAGTGATACGCGATCTTAACCGCCGCCTTCCACTGGTCGAACGAGGCTTCCCCTTTGGCGACCAGCAGCACTGCCGGGACCGGAGAAGAAGGCTGTCGCATGTGTCCGATGATCGGGGTTTCGTAGGTAACGGCGAAGGAGACCAGCTCGATGCCGTAGAATTTGAAGAGCATGTCCATGATCTGCGTGTCTGTGTGGTCGAGAAACGCCGCTTGGGTTCGGGGCTGGGTGGTTGGTGGAAATGGCCGTGGAGGCGTTGCACGCCTTGGGACAGAGATGGGGAGTTTAAACGCGAGCCCGAGTTTGTCGGCACGCACACTGGAACGGTCTAAGCAGAAGAGGTTGCGCGTGGGGTGAGGGAGCTGTCGCCGGGGGCCGCTTGTGTTTGTGTTTCTGTTTCTGTAGTTGCGGGTGGCAGGGGCAGGGGCAGGGGCTGCAGAGCCCCAGGGAACAAATGGGACGACGCTGGGGGGCATGGTTGCGTTGAGCTTTGGCTGTGTTCGCTTGGTTTATTTGGGGGGGGGGTTGGTTAGTTAACGAGTGAATAATGTTTGTTGGTGGATGTATAGCTGGTGAGTGCTGCTGGATGATTTGTAGACGGACCGATAGAGAACGAGAGGATGGACGAGGGAGGGGAGTTGACGCGGAATTTATAGCTACGAGCTGAGCATTACTCTGGTGTTGAGGACGGTCTGAATGGCATCATTCTACGTCGTTGATCGGAAGGTAGAGCACGCATGTGTGATTCGAAGAGGTTGTAAGGGTGATATCAGTCTTCGTATATGACGGTGGTAATCATGGCCAAATGTTTGCGTGAGAATGATGAGAGGACGACGAGCGTCGAGCATCGCCGGGATAGTGTACACTTGAGGGATTTATGGCTCCTAGCATGTAGGCAGATCCCAGCAGCTTTAGGGCTTCTCTGTATAATAAGGACTTGGTGAGATGGTACATTTTCTGCGGGACTTAAGCAAATGATCTTCAACTACTCTGTGACTAGGATCGTACATACACGATCAATACGTATTTGAGATCGAAACAAACCAGTATTTCGTTGAGATCTAATTATAATATACCGAAGTAAAAACGCACGCTCGTCAAAGGGAGGGATAGCAATTCGCTACAATATGGAATACATCTTGCAACATCCTATATCCAATAGCACAGGGGGAATAGCTGAAATGTCAGGTGAAAGGAGGGGAGGGGGTCTGAAGAAGGGTAAAATGACGGGACACGGAGGTGAAGCAATCACGAATCAGACTTGCGGGCGGACGCTTCGGCTGACTCGTGCTTCTTCTTTTTCTTGTCGTCTTTGCCCTTCTTTGCCATGGCGTCAGCCATAAGCTGCTCAAAAGCCATGTAGTCCCCTTCCTCGTCGGGATCCCGCTCTGCCTGTACCCAGTGTATTAGCACGGGAATTGAAAGGAGTAAAAAGCCGGAGAAAATACCTTTGAGTAGATATTGCCAGCAATGATCATGGCATGAGCACGCTCAATACGCTTCTCCAATTTAATCTTCTTGTCGCCCAGGACCTTGTCGCAAACATCTCGTAGTACGCTTTGGATTTCAAGCTTGCTGCCACGCCAGGCGGCTGCAAGAAGCTTTCCGGTAACCTTCACGGAATACTCCGCCCTCATCTCATCTGTCCAGTTCTCTCCTCCCTTCTCTTCTAACTTCGCCATTTCCTCCATTGTCAGCTGCGCATCGATGACGGTCGAGATGGTAGTCCAGGCTTCTTTAGCAAGAGTGCCCTTATCCCTCAGCCTGGAGAAGAATCCTGAAATACCGAGAAACTTCTGAGACTTGAGGAAAGACGTCGCCTTGGAAACATATGTGGCACCAATGGCGTGCAGGATCTCGATCCCGAACGACTGGATTTTTAGGTTCTCCACCTCGAGGCGAATTTTTTCCTCGAAGGCACGCGTCACGTCGGTCCCCTTATCAGTTTCAGTCCAGACGCTGATTTTGTCAATAAGCTTCGTAGCCAACATCTCCACTCGCTCTTCGCGTGCTTTAATTCTCTCCATCTCAAAGGCCTCAAGCCGCTCATGCTGTTCGCGAGTCAGACCTCCCTTCTTCTTTTCCTTCTTCCTTAGATCTCGTTCCTCCTGCGACACACCAGCCGCCTGCATGCGTATTTCTTCATCCGACTTGTCCATGAGGGCCTGTTGGCCCAAATAGCGGCGGGGGGTGCTGGTCCCGGAGCCGGACGCCGACGTCGCGGCAGTCTTGCCCTCACCCGCGGGTTTGGGTGAGGAAGCCTTGTCTTCCTCATCGTTCAGATCCAGTTTCTCTTCAGTTGCTGCAGCGAGGTCCTCGTGCTCCGCATCCTCCGTTGTAATTTCCATTCGAGTAGTCAAGTCTTGGAGTAGGGAGATTTCACCAATAAGGTCCAAAAAGGCATCACCACCAAAGATCATACCGAAGAACTCGTTAGGATCCTCTGTAGTATATTAGCCGGGGAGTAGGTCTAACTAAATCCAAGAAAGACGCACCGAATCCATGGTCGGGGACCGCCTCTTCCTTGCCATGGGTATCATAACGCTTGCGAAGGTCCGGGTTACTGAGGACTTGATAGGCTTCACCGATCTAAGAAGAGATCTATGTCAGAACCACCGTCGAACAGCATCATCACCCGGCACAAGGGAATTTACCGCCTGGAACCGCTCATGCGCGGTTTCATCACCAGGGTTCTTATCTGTCCAGAAGTCAGACCTACCCAAATATCGGGCGAAGGGATGAGAAAGGAAGCGCACCCGGGTGAGTAACGATGGCCAGTTTGCGATATGCCTTTTTAATTTCGAGCTCTGTGGCCGTGGGAGGAACCCCCAGGGCATCGTAGTAGGTGGTATCGACAACCATTCTGCGTTGCGACAAGACCACGGACAGTGACAGATTCGGGCAGCCTCGAGGGTGGGGAACAGTACTATCCTATTCTATACCACGTCAGAGGAACAGATGTCGTGCTTTCAATCGGGAGGGAGTTCAGCTGGTCTCACTAGTTTCTATTTTTTTTCTGCCTGGTGAAGCTCTCGGAACCGTACTTTCGTCATGGCGGGGAGTTTGGAGTTGGTTGAACATAGCCCGGATGGTGTTTGGTATGGTCATATATTTCCCATTTCACTATCAAACCCGCCGCTTTGTGTGTGTAATACGGGTAATACAGATACCATGCCAAATAATGCAGCTGAGTCAGCAATGCCTCGCTGTAAATTCCCTTATGCCCACAACTTTTCACACTAATAAAGACACTAAAAAAGACGCTCCCTGATTTCCCATCATTTCTCCTCCTTTCCCTTCCTTTTTTCTTCTCACTTTCATCTTCCTGCTTCCTCTTTCCCTCCTCATCCTCTCATTCTCTCCTCCCCCCTTTATCCTAATACCTCGTGAGCTCTAATTCGATTCCTCCGTCTCTCTCCCCTCTTCCTTCTCTTCTTTTTCCCTGCTAGTCGGGCAATTGGCGGGTGAACTGTCTCTTGTAAATCCCTTCACTTTCGTGTACTAGTACGCAAATCTGCTGTTTAGCTGGCCTTTTCTCCATTGTCCTTTTAATGTTGCCAACCTTTTCTCTATAATTCCTATTTCCTTGCATCCGGCTCTCCCTTCCTGCTCATCATCCCCCCCCCCCCTGTAAATTTACCACAATCACCATCATGGGTCTCGCCGGCAATATCCTCTACTATTCTTTTCATCCCTCGGAATTGAGGTCAATCATTCAATGGTTAGCTCCCTGAACTCCCTGCTCACTGTCAACACTCTCAAGGCTAACGAATGCGATTGTCCCGCAGGAAAATATGGCACAACCCTGTCCATGAGCGAAATGAGGAGAAAGAAACCGAAACACAGAAGATTTGCTTCAAGTTTCTCGACCTCACAAGCCGAAGTTTCAGTGCAGTGATCAAAGAGCTCCACCCAGAACTCCTTCTGCCGGTCTGTATCTTCTACCTGGTGCTTCGCGGACTGGATACGATTGAGGATGATACCTCGATTCCCCTTGAAACAAAGGAACCCCTATTGCGTAACTTCAAGGACTTTCTTGAGCAAGATGGCTGGACTTTTACCGGAAACCGCCCGGAAGAAAAAGATCGTGAACTGCTGGTTCAGTTCCACAACATCATTACTGAGTTCAAGAACATGAAGCCTGCCTACCAAGCCATCGTAAAAGACATTACGGATAAAATGGGCAATGGAATGGCTGACTATGCACGCAAAGCCGCTTCGGAGGATGCCGGCGTGAACACCGTAGAGGAATATGACCTCTACTGCTTCTACGTCGCTGGCTTGGTTGGAGAGGGTTTGACCCGCCTCTTTGTGGAGGCTGAGTTTGGCAACCCCGCGCTGCTGAAGCGTCCTCGTCTGCACAAGTCCATGGGTCTCTTCCTCCAGAAGACCAACATCATTCGTGATGTGCGTGAAGATAATGACGATCAGCGACGATTCTGGCCCAAAGAAATTTGGTCCAACCACGTTGATGACTTTGATGATCTCTTCAAGCCCGAGAATCGTGAGGCAGCCCTTAACTGCGGCTCCGAAATGGTTCTAAATGCTCTGGAGCACGTCGAGGAGTGTCTATTCTATCTGGCTGGTCTCCGCGAACAGAGTGTGTTCAACTTTTGTGCTATCCCCCAGGCCATGGCTATCGCCACCCTGGAGCTGTGTTTTCGAAACCCGGCCATGTTTGAGCGGAATATCAAGATCACAAAGGGAGATGCTTGCCAGCTGATGATTGAATCGACTCAGAACCTACGTGTCCTGTGTGATGTTTTCCGCCGCTATGTGCGTAAGATTCACAAGAAGAACACCCCTAAGGATCCCAACTTCCTCAAGATTAGCATTGTTTGCGGAAAGGTAAGAATTGTGCAACATCTTTATTTTGCAGTATAACTGACTTGTCCCAGATTGAAAAATTCATCGAGTCCATCTTCCCGTCTCAGAAGGTGGAAGACGCTAAACGTCGCGTTGCAGGCGCTCTAACGGATGCCGAGGCTGAGAAGGCCAAGCTGGAGGCGGAGACGCGCAAGGATGTGTTCTTCATGATGGCGCTAATGGCCGTCATCGCGGTGATTGTATCCGTTCTCATGGTGCGTTTTCCCCCTTTCCCTTCATGGCATTAGTTAACCAATACAGATTGGCACTGCTTGGTTAATGGGTGCACGGTTTGACCTTGCATGGCAAGAGATCAAGAGCGGCAATTTTCGCCCACCTAAAGCTGTGCAACATGGAGAGCTATAGCCCCCAATCTCGACGGATTTACGACCTTTTCTCATCTTATTGATTAGCTATACCCGATGGCTTATGTCTCATGTCTTCCTTCGTGCTACATATACAGATACTTATTGTCTAATAATACTTACCATTCTTCCACCATGGTTCTTCCAGAGCCTTCCCCCCTCCCCGCCCGAGAAGAATTTTGCCGATTCTTTCCTTAGCACGGATGTCAAATTGCAATCCAGCCTTTCTATGACTGTGGTTGTGCCGAAGAAGTGCTGATATCAAACGAGAGTAATCTCACCAGTGAGTACTAGATGTGTGTCCGCAGTACGCAGCTTTGCTGAGTGCTGAAATGGCATACATCCATTGAAGATCTGGGACATTCTTATCGTATATTACTCGAAATTTGCTATCCACGCAAATGCTACCTCCCGTAATTTGAACTAAGAATTAATCAATTGAATACAAATTCGGATTCCCATGAGTGTTTTGATTCCCTTTAGCCTGAATGGCGCTTGCCTTGTGAATTTATCCACGAGAGACGATTACAAATGACTGTCAGCACTTGAGAGTGAATACCTTTCTTTACCTTTACTATCAGCCCAGGAGTGTGGCTGCTGCTGCCGTGCAAAGAAGAATAAGATGATGACCCCTCACTTCCCCGCTGTCTCATTCTCTTGCTTTAAGCTCCCGGATGGCCTTTTCTTCCTCGTTTATCTGTTCACTATACAATGGCACAAGAGGACAGCTTAGCTTCTTCGTCACCGGATGGAGACGCTCTACCTCAACTGTCTCCCTCTGAATTCCGCATCTACAACCGAATGTCAGAGAAGATGAATCTTATTGTACTGAACATCCCCCTCCCCGCCCGTAACCGCATGCATCCACCACACACGCTTTCGTCGCCTGCTACTAATCATACATGTGAATAAACTGTAGCACAACCAGTTCCGCTTCCTGTGGACCCAACTAAAAGACTCCTGCAGTCTCGGTACAAGCACAAGTACCAGTGCAGATCCAAATCCAGCAACCAACAACGCACTATACCTTCTCACAGACGACGACGACTTCATCTTGACGGGACTGGGCTTTTGCTCCGGCCTGTCAGGTCATCATTCTATCGAGGAATGGTATATCTTCCCACAGCTTGCGCTGCGCATGCCCGAGTTCACCGACGGGGATATCCTCAAAGAGCAGCATAGACGGATCCATACGGGGTTAGTCCGAATGGAGAAGTACCTTGAGCGCTGTGGAGAGGGGGAAATGCAGTTGGATCGTGCCGAGGTGAAACGCGTCATGGATGGGTTTGGGGATGTGCTCTGGGAGCATCTGAATGATGAGGTTGTGATTTTGCGGGCTGAGAACATGAGGAAGTACTGGAGTCTAGAGGAGATGGAGAAGCTTCCAATTTAAGAACGATATATGTATGTATATACATACACGGAGCCTAGGGTTTCCGCTGGCTGGCCCTCCCCCTGGGGTGGAGTCGGTTTAGTTGAGATTATCATATTATCAAGGATTAGTCCTGTCTACCTAAGTCATTATGTTTGTTCGTCCAAGTCATTATTATGTTCATTCTAGGGATGAATCTCAACCCCGTAAATCATATGTCCAAGGGCTCTGGTGCGGAGTAGCGGTCGAGTACCACGACAACGCAGTGTCTCAAGCGGATGCCCTGACAGAAACCCTCCCTTTAGCTGCATCCGTCAGACATCCGGATTGGACAGGAAGAAGACGTGATTTGGTCCCAGGATGGAGACACGCAGAAGGAGTGGAATGCTACTCACTGCAGCCAGGAATGCAGCTTAACCTAATCCCGCATTCTAGCCACATCACTCAACAGGGATAAGAGATGCCCCACCAGTTTCTGGCAAATTATCCAGAAATCGAGTAAATTTGGTTTACTTTCGCCTTGGTCTGGTTGACTGGGTTAGGGCTGGCTCACTTTGACGTCGTAACTTGTACAGAGGTAGAGCGTGTGTGCTGCGCCAGCGCCACCAGATCGTGGAACATCCCAGGTGGGTTGGTTCTTCTACAGAAAACACTTCAAATCCGGTTTTAACATCTGGCTTTTAGTGTGTACTGTTAGGGAGGGTTGATCTGATCATCCCGAGCAATGCGTCGCATGACGAGTCCCTCCGCGGCCTGCACGCATGAATATCATACGAAAGCAAGAAGGGAACTTCCCACAGTCTTGGGAAATGATATTCTTCCATGGCAGATCTTTTCTCTGCTAGTCTGTCACTGACCGTCTTGTCGAGTACACCCCGCAGGATGGGGAACAGGGAAATGGCGGGGGGTTAAAAATCACTGCAAAATCGGGCAGCCGGCATCAGCTCCAACATCATTGTTCACTGCTGTCTACCATGTGCACTGAAGGAGCATGTTACATTTAAGCAAGCCATGAGGCAGTAAGTAAGCTGGGGATTCCCCACAGATTATCCTGTTTCGGGTGACCACTGGTGTCCGCATGCAATCAGCTGCGAGATGGAAGTATATAAGACTCCCAAAGCAGAACCGGAACAGAACCGGACTACTCTAGAAGCGTATATTGATTTATGTCCTCTCCCTCTCTTTGGTTTCCTTGTTCCGCTTCATTTTTTTTTTCTCCCCTTCATTCTGATCCAATCTGCCCTGGATTGCCAATTCTAGCTTCATCACCATCACCATCATCATCACCTGTCACCAACGCAGCAGCAAAGAAAGCAACAATGAAACTCACCACCGTCCTTACAGCAACCTCCCTCATCGGCTCTGCCCTCGCCCTCCCCCCCAACAGCCGCCTCGCACACCGAATCCACGCCCGCTCCCTCAATCGCCAATCGCAGCCCTTAGGCCAATCGCCCGGCGGCCACTCCGGCACCAACGAAGGCTTCCGAACCGCCAACACCTCCACCGTCACATACAGCAACAACTGGGCCGGCGCAGTACGCGAAAAGCCACCCGCCGCGGGACCCTACACCGCCGTATCAGCAACATTCACCGTGCCCAAGCCTACCGCGGTGCCTCAATCCAGCAGCAGCAGCAGCAACAGCAATCTGCAAGCCGGCTCCGCCTGGGTGGGCATCGACGGCGACACATACAACGCAGCGATCCTCCAGACGGGAGTCGACTTCTACATCGAAAACGGGAAGACCTACAACGACGCCTGGTTCGAGTGGTTCCCAGACTACGCGTACGACTTCAACCTCCAGGTCAACACAGGCGACGTGATAGTCGCGCGAGTGCAGTCGTTTTCCCCGAGCGAGGGCGTCGCGGTGATCGAGAACCAGAGCACGGGCCAGAAGGCGACGCAAACGGTCAAGGCCCCCGCGGCCACTGCGACGCTGGCGGGGCAGAATGCCGACTGGATTGTCGAGGACTTCCAGTCGGGGGATTCGATTGTGACGCTGGCGGATTTCAGTAGTGTGACGTTTACGGGTGCGCAGGCGCAGGCTGGCGGGCAGAGTTTTGGACTTGACGGGGCGACGATTGTCGAGCTGAAGCAGAATAACCAGGTGCTTACGGAGGTGGTGGTTGAAGGTGACTCGCAACTGACTGTTATTTGTAAGTCGTCTTAGGGTTGGTTTGTCTTTTTTGCCTTCGTGCTCTATATGGGATTCTGGGCGGGTGTTTGTTTTACCTTTGATAGTCGAGTAAAAAAAAAAAAAAACATCTTATTCTCTCTCTCATTTGGGAAGTGTTTTCCGAATTGTTAAATGCAGAGGTATAGGCATGAATAGTGTCTTGCGTCTATGGGTAAAGTAGGGCTAGCTTCTGGTGCCTGGGTTGCCGTACGAAGAGTACAAAAGCCTGTTATAAATATAATGAATTTCAGTATCTAGGCGATAAATACACTATTACTGGCGGATATCAAGCTGGGGACTTCCTTGATGAGTACTCATTCAGTACTGATTCGACAAACTTGTGATCTCCAATGTCGCAGTCGCCCGACAGGATGAGAGAGTATTTGAAAGAGCTTCTAGGAGATCCTGCTCATTTTGTTTCGGGACGGTGTCGATTTCGGACTCCAGATATGGGCCAAGAATCTCTATATATAGCATTCCCCCTCCGGACTGCACCATAGAGCTCGTGTTTATGGCAAGGGGGTCATGTTGGAAGGAATCTTTGAACTCGCTCGAGATACTCCCAATGTAGCAGGCTGTTTTTGATCCAGCGACACTGTCCAGGGAAAGGCGACACAGGAACAATCAGAAACTCGTAGCTCTGGGTTTATTTGTGTAGCTAGATGGGAATGAATGCTTACCACTTTCCAGTGCCCCATGGGTTAATTCCAATAAAATGCGCTGCTGAGGGTCTATTGCCATGGCTTCCTTGGGAGCCATCGAGAAAAGCGATACATCAAATTTCATACCATCTTCCGCCAAAAAGTTTCCTTCGGCCGCGACAGTCTAGAACGTAAGCGAGTTTACTATTACGAAAGTGCACAATACGGCTGTGCTGGCAACATACCGTCCCTGCTCATTCAGGATCCGCATCATTGGGGTCATAGACGTATTCGTTTAGGACCTGACAAGGGATATGAATCATGAGCATTAAGGGAGTAGGCCAGAATTTGTTCTCCAAGCTCATTCCAGGGAGTCTAGACCAGGAAACCCCCGATTAAGCTTCTTTGTTCTCATAAATGCTCCCTTGGTGTCGCGATTCAGGGACCTGCCAGGAATCCACAGATATCGTATCCATCAATGTATATGTGATGGTAATGTACCTTTTTTCTTTTTTCTTTTTTTCCCACAAATCCTCTCCACCCGGAAAATTTAGCCCTATTTTGTTAATTTTTTTATTGTTATCCCTTTTTTCATTTTCCCCTTTGAATATGTATGCCCTATTCGCTCGGGCTGTTTCGTGGCGTCCGGATCGAGCAATGCGAATGAAACAGCTATAGGCTGGATCCGACTCTCTGGTGCAGCTTCAGACTAAGGCGCGGGGATTGGCACCCCTACCAGTCCTAGGCCTAGTCCACATGTGCAGGCAGCTGGCATGAACCCAGGGGCTGCACAATTCGCGCCCAATTATGCGAGGCCCATCTGCTGGGCCGGGATCTTTATATCTCGTCGTTCAATTTCCACCAGGGGACTCATTTATCATTATTCAATGCACCTCTCTGGGTGAGAGTCAGGAATTCCGGGCATCCTATCCTGCGGTCCGGTTCCTTACATTGCCGCAGCTTCCTCGCATGTCTGGGATAGAAAGGTAGGGCATCACGGACACACAGAATCTACGTGGCGCGCTCTGATGCGAAGTCTTTTCTTAGTCGAACTATATTTCTCGAGTCAGCGGGAGGGGGTGAATGAAGAAGAATCACCCACCCTTGGTATGGCGGGGATCGGAGAGTTACATCTAGCGGTTTCGGCAATTAGGATTGGGGATCAAAGCCTGCAATCCTGCCGGATATCCGGGTTATGTGTGAGCGATCGACAAAGACAGGTGAACAAAGGAATTGTTGTCAATTTGTTCATGTTGAGTTCTTTTAAGGGGGAGGTGGGGGAAGAGGATTCGAGACGCGAAGTTGCAAGTCGGACACATCTGCCATGGTTGCTGCCTGAGGCTGCAAATTCAGCAGCGCATTACTGAGATCCACCACAAGACAGAGTAGAATGCCACCAGATACAGTCGAAGGTAATAACATTATTCGAGACATAATAATTCCAAGTAATTATGGTCTCTGATTGTAGCTTCAGGTCTCAAGCGTTGATGCTTCGATGTGAGGCAGGGTGACGTTATCGATAAGACTCTGCCTCCCCCCCCCCACACAAATGAACAGAATGTGCAACTGCAAAACTTCATCCTCCACTATCCCCTCCCCCCCCCACAAGCACGCAGCAATGCTTCAGATCCGTCTTCTAGATGGTGGGCTAGGAACCACCCTTGAGGCTCCTCCCTATCACGTCTGCTTCGGCACCGATACTCCGCTCTGGTCTTCGCATCTGCTCATCTCTGACCCCACCAAGCTCCAGGCCGCGCACAAGGCCTTTCTCGATGCTGGTGCCGATATCCTCCTAACCGCCACCTATCAGACAAGCACGGCAGGTTTCACACGGACAGATGCGAGTTACACACCCCAGGATGCCGCGCGATATATGCGATCCGCAATTCCGTTGGCTTGGGCCGCGATTGCCTCTCTCGGTGAGGGGCAGCGGCCTCGTCAGGTTGCGCTCTCACTAGGCCCATACGGTGCGACTACGTTTCCCGTTGGCACAGAATATACAGGGCTGTACCCCCCCGAGATGGATCGGGAGGATGCATTAAGAGAATGGCATGCCCAGCGTTTAAAGATGTTTATCGAGGGCGAGACCGAAGGCGACTCTGATTCATCATGGGACAAGATTGACTATGTGGCCTTTGAGACGGTGCTGAGGCAGGACGAGGTGCGCGCTGTGCGAGGGGCCATGTTTGATGTGCTACGTGGTCAAGACAGGGTCCAGGGACAGAAATCGCGTGAGAGCAAACCGTGGTGGATCTGCGGTGTGTTCCCTGCAGAGGAAGTCGACGAGGACGCGATCAGGAAGTGGGTTGATGCCGCGCTCGCCGAGGAGTCTGGATTCCCTCGACCATGGGGAATCGGCCTGAACTGCGTCCGGATGGAGAATGTCGCGAAGATTGTTTCCATTATGCAGGATGAGGTCCGTCGCCTGTCCGAAATGCCCCAGGGAGGGTTTGCGGACGAGTGGGACAGTTCCTCCGGGAAACCCTGGCTGGTGCTCTACCCCGACGGTACAAAGGGGGAGAAGTATGACCAGGTCACGAAAACGTGGGTGAAAGTCCGGGAGCCCATTGAGACGCGACCGTGGGATGAAGCGTACTGGGATGTGGTACAGAGCGTATCCGAGGAAGATTGGGAAGGCCTCGTGATGGGCGGTTGCTGCCGCGCTGGTCCGGCTGAAATCTCAGCGTTACGCCGTAGGATTGATGCCGCCTGAAATGATCTTAAGGGTCGTGTAGTTACGACCTCTTTGGGGGTCTATCATACGATCACCAGTAACCCAGCTAGGGAATGTGCTAAACACACGGCTATTCCCAGAATCGGACGAACTTCCGTACACCTCGAGCTACTCGAGGATTTTTGTATCATAGAGAATTGCGCCTTACGCCTTGAAATACGACGCGTACAGGGAGCGGACAGACTTCCAAGTCAATTTCTACAATGCTAACTTAGATATCCGCTCTGCCCATTAAGTTTCTGCGAGATTCCTGATCGCTTTCAGTGATTCGTGGGGGATGCATTTCGTGACTATGAGGGAGGTTAGGGTCACGGTCTATCTCTATGGCAGTTTTAGATCATTCGTGAACTATAGCAACAAGAGCTTATTCCTAACGAGACAAGACCATTCCTACACCATCCATCGCGTTTTGCCCAATGTACCCCCCGTTGCGACTGCTCAAAAGGGGGAATTCGACCTTCTGTCTGTACAACGCAAGTGTAACACATTACCGCCACCCCCCATGTTATGGTGGAGGGGGGGGGGGAAGAAGAGCACTGGACAAATGATGTTCGAATCATCTACGACTCGTTCTGCATTATTGATATGTCAATAGTGCCGCGGACCAAGTAGGCACAGGGCGTCCGTCCACAGCCTGAGTTACTAGGCAAGCACAGATCTGCGGACCCGGGTCTCGTAAAGAGTGTATTTAGATCTCAGTGAGGTATTTGGGGAATCCGCCATGGACTAACACGCTATGTTCATGCACGCAAGGGTCCGAACTAACTCTAGGCAGTGAGAGCGGCAGTGGACCGCGTACCTTGACTAGGACTTTCTATACTATCATTGATCGAAAATAGCCGCCAAGGGTAGACACAGAGACTCTATTCATAGGAAAGAAACCCAGCCATTCCATATCCAACCCCGCAAGAAGAGAGGTATAGAGAAAAGCGGCCTTATCTTGGGGGAGGTGAGCGATGAGGCGACGCCAACGCTAGGGTTTCGGTAGGGTTAGGACGCAGCATTCCAAGGCGCCCTCGAGAGGAAGAACAGCAAGGCAACCTGAACCGTAATCATGCATTATCTTGCGAGGTCTCTTGTGTCAAGGGTGTGGAAGAACTAGACAGCAAAGCGATGGAGCGCAAACTTCGCGCAGTGAGGCGGGTTGGGCCGGACTGTCTTGTCTGGTTGTCTGTCTGTCTGTCTGTCTGTCCGTCCATCCACCATGAAACGGCAGGGGGAGGGGAAGTCGTTTCATGTCAGGAGCTTTCCACGAGTCGAGAGATAGACGCATTTAGCATCAAACGGCGAGAAAGATGCCAATCTCGACCCACCAACAGGATCAGTTCGCTCCTGTCACTCAGCCAACCAACAGTCAAGTAACGGGACGGGATGGAATGAGTCCAAAAGCACCCAGTTGTTGGCCTTGTTGTGGCAGCAAGCAGAGAGAGTACTTTTGGCATTGACGACAAAAACGGCCCCTCGTTTCTAGCCCAACAAGGCTTGAGAATACCGTGCCAATCGGCGGCGACGACGGACGAAGCTGTTGGTTGCTTCCCTGTGAGAAATCGAGAGAAGCACAATGGTGGTCCCAGAATTGAGTCTATAGATAGGATCGCCCGCAATATGCGAGTCAATTTGCATACATGAACCAGGCTAATTAGTCCCGTTTGTTGGACTTACCTGCATTAGCGTTGAGTTGGTTCCAGATATAAATATCCCTAATCTCACCTGGAGTAGTTAAACCAACACTTAAACCGGCATTCTGCGGAGGATTAGCGAGGACGCATGAGTAGATATTAATAGTATTTATCGCATTTAGGACCAATGAAACCGCCATAACGCACCCGGAGAGTTGGATCTTGCTGCCATATAACTCTCGCCTGCAGGAGCAAGCATGTTCAAGCGGTGAGGCCCATGCAAAGCATACTTTCTAGCTGAAGAAGGCCTGTGGCTCTGATGAAGGACAACAAACAGGTATCAAAAAAAAAAAAGAAAAGAAAAGGAAGCTAAGCCATAGATTTGGATCCTTCGTAGGGACTAGCCTCGTGGTTCTACTGCTTTAGTCGTGGAAGGGCATTTGGGTCGGAGAGTCCTCTGGATGTATATATATCGTCGAAGCACGACTTCAATCCACCACATTTACTATTGCTATCCCAACTCGTCCCAAGACTAACACTCGTCTCCTTGCGTACTATTCTGAATCTTATTCCTATTTATTTCCCTTGATAACCATGAGTTGTGTCGCAACCCAGCCTAGTATCTCGTGCACCACTGGGCCGAGCACGGAGAAAACAGCAACAGACACAATGGCAGTAGAAAGCCTCATGGATGAGCAGGCGGGGGGATTTACGGATGGACACCTGTTATCCAAGATACAGGAGAAGTTGGAGCATCTGTCTAGGCTTTACAATTCCGGGAAACCACTCTTCCCGCGGGCCCTGTTGGCGGATCTAGATGACCAGATAGAACAAGGCAATGACGAGGTGTACATTGATGACCTCGATGATGTGCGACACGCCTATAGTCTGAAGATCCCATCTTGGTGCTCGGATTTTGCGTAAGACTGACTATCTCTCTTGCATGTTGAATACTTCCCTTTGTTTTTTTTTTTTTTTTCTCTTTCCCCTTCCCCCCCCCCGATGGATCCCAACCCTGATATGAAGAGAGAATAGAACCAACTACCGGATCGGATACAGCAGCATTCAGAACCTAACGTGTATCCACCCATCATTCCCTGAAATCTCATTGAGAGACAATGCGCCAGTCTCAATCTGCTACACTAGCTCGGCCGAGTTCCCCAAGAGTCCTGCAGAGGATGTTCGTCGAGCCTTCAAAACCTCCCTCGTCGCATGGAAAGCAAGCGAAACGTGCAAAACGCTCGAGCGCCATATGTCAACATTGAGCTTCTCAACGCCCATCAACAAGATCATCGGATTTGGCTTGGGGACCTTAAGTGTCCTGGAGCATGACTATCACTCGACCCGCTCTCATGCCCAACACGCGGCAATCGGGTCCATGGTCGAAACCTTGACGAGGCGGGGTATAAACGGGGACCAGGAAATAAAGTGCTACGCCCAGGACCCTGCGTACAATGACGTGGACCAGGATCTCCTGAGGAGCCTCGGGATTGTGCCCCTGGATGACCCCAAGGGATTTCTCGAGATCGACGCGTCCACCCTGGTTTTCTCGGTTAGTCCCAATATCCCCGTCAAGCAGGTCGTGGTGGATGTTCAATGGCCTGCCGCGATGATCTGGAACACGGTCAATCCCGAGGAAAACGAGAATTCCCGGTGGGAGAAGCAGATGAGAAACGGGGAGGAGTTTTGGGTAGTGTAGGTCTTCTATCTGTTCTCGTTCTATGATCTTTTTCTTGTTAGGTTGTTAGGAGCTAATGCTTGAACCAGTCCCTACACCACTGACCCGGATTCAAAGCGCGTGCGTAAAATGGTTGAGCACTACACAAGCGTGTCACTGTGCGACTTGGACGAGTATTTTGGGGATTTGACTATCTACGTGAAATGACCGAGACCGGAAATGGGGTTATGCTTGTACTGCAGATTCTTGTGTTTGGGCTGTCTTCTCTAGCTCCGATAGATCTAGATTCTATCTGGTGAGTAGGATGAGACCTAATCCCAGTTATCCAACGACGGTGCCAATTTGGAAATCAAAGATGATGTTTCAGTTCCGTGCTTTATCGTCTTCTAATAGCTAGAGCCATGGCGATCGCTGTTTCATCGCAGTGGCTGATTGTAATTTCAATCCGCCGGATACCTTGAGAAGCCGCAATTTCCTGCGCATGACCGTGAAGCTGAAGCCAATTAGATTCCCATGACGGAGGTATTAGAGGAGATGTCAAGGAACACGTACCAGAGCTCGCGGGATTCCGTTGACATTGATTATTTCAATCTCACCCATTGCAGCTCCACTACCCACGGATGGCGTTTGGAGACTTTTGAAGACGGCTTCTTTGGCGCTCCACCGGCCGGCAAAGGAGGCGCGAGGATTGGGTGCCTTGAAGCAGTACTTGCGTTCCGCAGCGGTAAAATTGCGGTTGATGAAGGTCGCATTGTCCATGTTGATGTTGGCAATGTCCTCTATGTCCACACCGAGAGTGGATGTTGGCGCACACGGCTGATACGTCAGAGTCTCTAGCATAGCCTGAACAGCGCTTGACATGGACGGAGAGTCATACGATGCCTTCTCCAGGAGCGTCTTTTCTGACTCAGAGAGGAAATAGCCGGTTTTGGGGGCCGGATTACTGCAAGAAATCTTCCCCTTGCGAATTCGACTCGTTGGATTCAGAAGGAATTGTTGCATGGCTTCGGGACTGCTCCAGGGCGCGTGCGCTTTCACTTGAACCAAACAATTCCTCATCACCCTGGAGATAAATACCGGAGTAACAGACCGCTGTCTTTTCGTGACTTGGGACCGATACCGCTGAAAAGTAGCCAGGGGAATGGAGGCGAACAGATATTTGGGCGACACCATGATATTGATAGCACCCTTTTGACCAAAGCCAAAGGAAGTAAGCATGGTGGCTTTGACTTCCCCAACACGGATTGATTCCATAGGATAGACCAAGTGTTCGAACTGTCGCAAGTCTGAATCAATGTTGTCGGCATTCCGATTTCCTGGAATAATGCATTCCTGCATCATCTGTAGACATCCATTCAGTTGCCAGGCTCCGGCCGCTGCCTTTGGGTGACCTGTTAACGACTTTTGACAAACCGAGAACAGAGGGTTTCCCTTTCGGCGGCCAAGATGCTCCATTTGGGTATGGATGACTTCCCCTTCGTTGATCTCGTTTGCCTTTGTAGAAGTTCCATGCATTGAAACAGCCTTGATATCATCAATCGTCAGACCCCAGGTGGCCAAGGCAGCTCTGATTGGAGATATGGACGGATCGGAGATGTGAAGGTCATTAGCCCATCGGCGCTGAGCGTCATGGACTTTCAGCTTGAGCAAATGGTCTTCATCCGAGGTTGGTGGGTCTGCTGTCCCATTTGTGGTACCCAGATTCTGGGATAGACCATGGGTGTAACCTCTTGGTGTGATATTCTGAATCTCTTCATCAAACCGTGCTCGCCGTAAGTCTAGATTCAGGAAAGGCGAATTTTTGCCTTCACTGGTCTCTCGAGCTGCTGTAAGAATTCCTTTCCCGGGAGCTGGAATGGAACGGCCGACTTGATCACTGGCCATTTGTGTATAGGCAACCACTCCATGTATCGGTAACCCCATTTCTATGGCAAGTTCAGCTGTCGTTAAAATCTGCACACCACATCCTGCAGATTCGGCAAACCCATTGCGCGAACTGGCTGTAGGACGAGAGATTTCAGCTGGCGTTCTCCCTTTCGCGAGTTCTTCCGCACTGTTGGCCGTGGCTTTGATATTGGCAAACTCATATGCCAATTCTTCACGGTAATCATCACAACCCCCAACAACAGCTATCTTGCATTTACCCCCTTTGATCGCCTCGCATCCCATATCCAGGGACTCGAGGGCGGTTGCACAAGCCCCTACTGGGGTTTTCAGGGGACCGGTGGCTGATAAGAGCAGCATATTAACCCAGGCCCCCATGGTGTTTAGAAAGTGCTCCAAGATAATATCTCCTCTCACCTGACGATCGAGGAATCGATCTCGATACATGCTTTGGATCACTTTCAGAGGGCCTCCTCCGGTACCGAGACAGTTTGCCAGTTCTGATACGTGGATGTACTCGTAAATCTCGTAAGGATCCCGAATCCCGGCAGATAGAAATGCCTCCGATACACAGCACAGAGCATACAAGGTTGTTATATCAACTTGTTGGACTATATCCTCAGGTATGCCATATCGGAGTGCATCCCATCCCTGGGGGATTCTCCCTGCCACCATTTGATGGAAAGGAACGGTTTTAGGAACCATGAGAACAGCGCCCTTTTTTAGATAAACGCGGTAGTTTTCGGAGTCAGGGGCCTTTTGTAAACTGACATGTGCCCCATGGCGCAGCTTGAACGCCTCAGCTGAAGCCTTCGACGCTTCAAATGGAGGTAGATCTTCCTCCACGGCTACCTCGTGCAGAAACTCTTTTCGAGATGGATCGTATTTATCTTCATTGCTGGGCTCAATTAAGCGCAGGCCCGTGTGAGCCATGATGTGCTTATGGTACTTTTCGGGCACTTCGTCGTCCCTCACGGGGGTTTCTGTCTTTACGTCGACCCAGCCGACATAAGGCTGTCCGTTTAATTGACCATCAACGTGCTTGATCAAGCCCATCATCCAAGCCATTTCCATATAGCCTTCCAGGCTGAACTTGGCTTGGTGTTCCATTTCCCATCTTGTGCGAGCGTTGCCCCAGGGACCTAGTTCGGAATATCCTACCACGACGACGACGCGTGAGAGATCGACCATTCCTCGAATATTCGGAAGCGATTCATCTATATCTGACAAGATGGGAAATTTGAGACTAAGATTCGCAAGCCGAACTTTCCCCCGCGTACTGGAATTCTTTGATGCGATTGTCGGACCTCGTATGACCATTTGCTGACGGGCATCTTCTTCTGCGATGAGAGTTCGTAGCTGCAGCTTGTGGGAAACCCTCTTACGAGCTGCGGAAATCTGCTTTTTGATATTCCACATGGACGCAGCCCCTCCTGTCAAGTCCGCATATATAGGTGCTTCCTCAGCCAGCGCAGTCATCGCAGGCGTCATCAAAGCAAGAATGTTGAATGCCATCTCTGCCTGCGTGAAGGTAATCATGCCCAACTTTTCCATTTCTTCCGCAACCAGGTTCGAGGAGCGCATTATAGCCGTTCCGCGTGTCCATCCAATGACGGCTCCGCATACGGTCATATACGTGGACCAGCTTTCGGAGCAAAAGCGATTGAAGAGAGACCTCAGTCCTATTTTGGATTCCGCGTATAATCCATCGCCTCCAAATGTGCCTTCGTTGCACGACATGGGGAGCACAACCATTGTTGGCCTCGTCTCAATGCGCAGCGCCTGCTTTTCCCGGTGAACATAGCCGATGAGCCGTAGAACATTCACCAGCATGGCTCGGAGTGCTAGCTCCTGCCGTCCGCCTAACGCCTCCGGCTCTCCTGTTTGAGGAATTGCAGCAAATGGGATGATATAATCCAGGTCACCTCCGCAAGGAGATCCGGGACCATAAATGTGCCGCACCAGCAACTCACAGTCCTGCCTACTTGCCTGGTTCATGGGAAGGATGGTTAACGACGACCCCCTGGCACCGTGTTGGCGATACATCTGTTGATAAAATCCCGCACTTTCTGAAATCGCTCGGCTGGTAGTAATGACCACCCGTGCACCACCGCTCAGGAGGCCTCGCACTATATGAGACGCAATGGAATCAGGACCGGCTCCTGTAACTAAAGCCGTTTTACCGGCATAGGTGAGACCGGTTGTAGCCCCTATATCCAACATTGCGTGGAATACGTTGGTATATTTGATGTCGTACTGCCAGTCTTCATTATCTTGACGGGTCTTAATGTGAACAAAAGGAATCTTGACTTTAGCATCTTGCGGACAATGTAGTCCACGCCGCACGACGTAAGGATAGTACCGGTTGTTTCGGGGGACCTCTTGATATTCCAGCTGCCCGGAGCTTGAGATACCTGTCCGCGGGCCTAGAGGGGCGAGGGTGTACACAAAGAGGGGATCTGCAACTTGGGCCCGATTGCTAAAGGTCGCGATCTCGTCAAGTAATTCTTGGATGCTATGAATAACCGTGCGTTGCTGCCGAGGAAGCTGGTGGGATAGCCATTCATTGACGATATCCGTACACGTCGACTCCCATCTGTTCAGGATGCTCTTCATGCGGTCTTCAGTGCACACGGGATGGACACCTGTATGAAATATCTCATTAAGCCACCGAATCAGTTCTTCGCGTGACCAATTCCACCAGGAGTCGTAATGACGAGCTTGAATGGCACTGAATATTGATCCGACACCTTGCAGGAACTGGTCATCGAATTCCACAGTCCATTGGCCCAACATCTTCTCCAGCTCGTGTACTTTGACCTGGGACTCGGATGGCTCTTCATCTGAACCCGGTTCGCGAATTTTGAGGTACTTCGCAAGTGCACTAAATTGAGCACGGTATAGAGAGCTTTGATCCCGACGCAGGGCATCTAAACTAGCGGTATCTACCATGACCGGAGTATGCAGACCATCATTGTCTCCAGGCTCACAGAGGCGCGACTCCCAGGAAATACATTCATAGGCAGCATATCGATTGACCAGACTATCCAAATAGTCCTCTGCGTGCTGAACATCGGGAAGTCGATTTTCAGGTGGCATGGTGGTAGCGAAACATAGGGGAATGATAGCGTGTGGCTTTGTTAGACCCCAGCGAGTTCCCAAGTATGCTTGGATTGCGCTTTGGTTGAAGCCAGCCGGCATTGTACTGGAAATCAATCTTGAGATGAGAGATGCCATGTATTTCGCTGGCATTCCGGCAAATCCACTCTGAAGAGCTTCCCCCAAAGCAGACAAAGGTAGGTCCTCGACCCCTTCCGGGATTCTACCAAACTCACTCATCAAATCGCCGGTCAATTCATTCTGGAGGGTTGACTTTCCTATAAGTACAATCAGACTTTTACCAAAGCAAAACGGGTTGAGATTCACAGACCTCCTGAAAGATCCCGAATGCTTTTCTCGGCTGGAACCTGGTCGAATGGCCGTCGGAGCTTTTGGGCCACTATGGCTAAAACAATATGACGGGCTAGCAACGAGCTGTCGACGTTTGGAACTTGTTGGGCAGTAGCAGTCTTTTGTGCTGGATTTGGCTGCCTTCTTGGATGGGGTTCCACCGGAGCTTTTGGACTAGGGCTATCTACCTCAGCAGCTTGGGGAACTGACTCAGACGGTTGATAAAGAATCGTTGATAAATCATCATTGTACGAGAGAAACTGCAGATGTGACCACTGCGATGGAGCTTGTAGTTTGTAACGAATGGCAGCCGATTTCTTAGCCATTGTTGCAAGAGTTGTTCTCGGCCCAACTTCGATGAAACGTTGGATGGATAATTCGTTCCCAAACATCTCGCTTTGTGTTTCAATCCTAAGAGATTTAGCGAGAACAATGTGGTGGCTGGAATCTTTGACAAATAATCACCATCGCACGGGAGATGCTAATTGATATCTACAAGATTAGAATATATCATCAGGTAGAAATGGTGTTAGGGGTGGGACTGACGACAGCAACTCTATAAAAACGGTCAAGGCCAGCTCTTTGCGTTTGGCCTCATCACCTTCCACCGGTAGAGGGCTATCCGTGGATATACGGAGGGTCATGCTGGAGAGATGGCACGAGGTTTGTAGTGGGTTTCTCTCAAGTTACTGCTCCAACACGGAGATTTCGAAGGGATTCTGCCCGTCGTTAGGGCTACTGGCGAAAGGATATTCTGGCTTCGTTCAAATAGGGCTGGCAGAGTCGGCAGCTGGGATTCGACAAGTTGGTCCTTGAGCTTGCAGTTATTCACGCGCCAGATGCTTCGGATAGCCCCAGAGATATCGATTTGACTGATGGCAGGTGTGACAAAGGAGATACTCCGAGTTGAAAACTCCGAAGGGCTCAATTCTCCAACAGGTTGTGCAACATGCGTTTGGGTAGGATCTGGTCTAGATGTTCCCCAGCAGAAACCGAAATAAAGCCTCATCCCTTGGGCCTAAATGATCCCGATAGGGAGAGTTGTTCTGGAATGACCAGAGGATTTGGGCGAGAAGTATCCCGTCGCACGAAGGAAGTAGGTGCTGGCCCTATACAAACATGAGGACTTGGAATCCTTGCTAGAAAGCGTGCTGGTTGCGTTTAGAATACCGGAATCACTCCTGATATACGAGTATTGAGTAAATAAAAATAGTCTTGAAGTCGTTATGGCGGTATTCTCGCCTTCCTTCCCTGCTTCGATCAGTTCCATCTGAGAGAATCCAACATGGCTCAGGATGAAGAGCCATCCGCCGTCTCGCCTGACATCGCTTATCCTTCAACAGCTATTCAGAACGATATGGACATGCCTTTCTCATCTTTTTCGGACTACTCGCCATGTTCCACGGACATTCTACACCTTCGTCACAAGGGCATGGAACTTTCCCTACCAATCCCAGATATTCATTTTACCCTATTTGAGTTACAGAAGAATGCATTCCTCTCGTCGGACTGGACCGAAGAAAATTGGTCCTCGCGTCTTGCGATGGCATTCGGCTTTCTGGAGTTTTTACTCAGTCAAGACCACATCTCTGAGTCCGCGTTTGCATGCATTCGACGAGCGTTCGAATGTGAATTCCTCGGGGATGAGGGTGAGATACACTCGCTGGTTGTCGACCTAGCTACGAGCTCCGACGAAAGGGAACGATGGCTAGGCATCTACTATAGACTGATAGAAGCTAGCGGTGATAGCTTCCAAGGGTCAGACGTACATATGGCCCAGCGTCTGAGTGCTCTTTTTGAACGCGCAAAGCGCGTTGAGTTTCAATTCATGGCCGTGTTTGGCGGCCAAGGGGATTCAAGCCGGACCTGCGCGCAAGAACTTGCAGGACTCTATAGAGCTTACAAGCCCATGCTTCGCCATTTTATTCGTGTTGTAGGGTCTGATCTACAAAAGCTTTCTGCCCGGCATGAATTTAGCTCATACTATAAGGATTGGCGACTGGACCTTGAAGAATGGGTTACCAATCCTAGTAGTATCCCCAGCCCCAACGTCATTTTCCCGGCCCCTGTGAGCGTTCCGGTCATTGGAGCTCTCAGTCTTGCTCGATATTGCGTTATTTGCCATCTGATGGGTATTAGTCCCGGCGATTTACGGTCGTTATTTCAAGGGACTACTGGTCATTCGCAGGGAATTTTGGTTGCCCTTACTATTGCGCGGTCTGAATCGTGGAGCTCGTTCTATCAAAATTCCCAACAGGCCGTACAGATATTGTTTCGGCTAGGATGGGAATGTCATCATGCTGCACCTTGCAGTATGGTCCCAGCTGCACACCTCAGCGGGCTCGATGAAGGGACTGAGCCTTCATATATGTTAAGTGTGCGTGGTTTGGAAGAGGGTCAAATGCGAGCTATTCTGGACGATCTTAACGCCAGCTTGACGCGAGATCAATGGCTTTATATCGCCCTAATAAATTCATATGACCAAGTTGTTATAGCCGGCACAGTGGCGTCTTTATTGCATCTGGATAGCTATCTCACCAGTCTGTCCGGTTCTGAAGAAGGCCAAACCCGTGTTCCTGCCAGTATCCGAAAGCCTTCCATTCAAAAGAACTTCCTCTCTGTTAGCACGACTTTTCATACCTCCTACCTTACACAGGCTGCTGAAGCTGTAAAAACCCATCTTTCCGATTTTGTAATCGATCCACATCACTTGGGAATTCCAGTTTATCACCCTCGGACTGGTCAAGATCTACGGCAACAGACTACTAACATCCTGCCTACTGTCATAGATGCCATTGCCTCTGAACTTTGTGATTGGCCTTGTGCACTGGCAGGCCATGATAAACTCCAAAGAACCCCAATATCGCACTTCATTGTTTTCGATCGTGGTAGTCTGGGATTATTGGTAAAACGAGTTAGGGAAGGTTGGGGCGCTCGGGTTATCCAGGGAGGCGATTTGGATTCTCGAGACCCTGAACTCGGCACTCTAAGAGACCTATTGGCGCCGAAACTTTTGTACACATCGAGCAGAATTCAGGGTTGGGGACAGCGTTTCCAACTACGTTTGACAACAGCGGACCCTGTTCAGCTGGAGACGCGCCTGGGCCGATTGCTGGGAGCATCTCCTATCATGGTGGCAGGAATGACCCCAACAACGGTTAACGTTGGCCTTGTTGCTGCTATTATGAAAGCAGGATATCACGCTGAACTTGCGGGGGGCGGTTTCCATGTTGCCTCTCAGATGGAAGCAGCTATTGATGAACTTGTTCGCCGTATTCCCCGTGGGCGAGGCATTACGTGCAACTTGATATATGCCAACCCCAGAGCTATGGCATGGCAAATTCCTCTGATTCGTCGTATGGTACGAGCTAAAGTTCCAATCGAAGGATTAACGATCGGTGCTGGTGTGCCTTCCCTCGACGTTGCCAGCGATTATATCCGGACATTGGGTCTGCGGCATATTGCGTTCAAGCCTGGATCAGTATCTACTATCCGGGCCGTCGTGGAAATAGCAAAGGCCCACCCTGAATTTCCCATCATCTTGCAATGGACCGGGGGACGCGGGGGAGGTCATCATTCATTCGAGGATTTTCACGCACCTATCATCACAACCTATCCCCTCATTCGGCAGCATTCTAATATCTATCTTGTGGCCGGAAGTGGACTTGGGAATAGTCAAAGTATCTATCCTTACTTAAGTGGCTCCTGGTCAGCTCAAATGGGACATCCCCCCATGCCATTTGACGGAATACTATTAGGAAGCCGTATGATGGTAGCTAAGGAGGCAGGAACTTCGCCGGCTGTCAGGACGATTATCGGCAACGTCCCCGGAGTACCTGACCATGAATGGGAAAAAACATACACGGGTTCTGCAGGAGGTGTTATAAGTGTTAAATCAGAAATGGGGGAGCCGATTCATAAGATTGCTACCAGAGGAGTACGGTTTTGGGCCGAAATGGACAAAACCGTCTTCAACCTACCGAAGGATAGCAGGTTGGCATATCTCACCAACAACCGCGATTCAATTATTCAACGACTGAATTCAGATTTCGCGAAGCCATGGTTCGGGCGCAATACTCACGGGGATGTTGTCAATCTCGAGGATATGACCTACGTTGAAGTCCTTGAGAGAATGATTGAGTTAATGTACATCCATCATAGCAAACGCTGGATTGACCCGTCCTATATCGATTTCACCATGGAAATTGCAACTCGCTGGTCCGAGAGACTGCCTTGCACTGATAATGACTGCGGAGACCTGCCTCTTGAACTCCTCACAGAGTCACCCGATTCGTTTCTAATTTCCTTTAGCAATACTTTCCCAACAGCGGAGGATCAGCTCAATCCCGAGGATGGTTGGTTCTTTCTGATGCAGTGTAAAAAGCCAGGCCGAAAGCCCGTCAACTTTATTCCTGCCCTGGATGAAGACTTTGAATACTACTTTAAAAAAGATTCATTGTGGCAGTCCGAAGATGTTGACGCTGTGGCTGGGCAGGATGCTGAGAGAGTCTGTATTCTACATGGTCCCGTGGCAGCCCAATACTCTAGCGATGATGGTAAATCAGCAAAGGAAATACTGGACTCAATATCGGCTGGCGTTGCAAGCCTTATGCAAGAGAAACTCTGCACTCACGACTTCATGTGTAGCCCAGAAAGCGGTTTGGTCACCCCAGTCTCTTGGTCCACGACCTCTTTGGCGGGAAGAGACCTTATTGATGAGATATCTTCTTCATTTACTTCACTTTCTGACGCTCCAGACGACGACTCCTTTCATTCCGGAGGGGTCAGTATTGGGTCCTCTAGCGGGTTTCCGGCCTGGCTGCATGCAATACTCGGAAACCAGAGTATACTACAGAATCATACCCGCCACAGGAACCCGTTTCGCAAAGTTATGCAAGTCACCCCTGAGGCGTCCATTCATTTGGATCGAGATCGTTCAGAGGTGCATGTCGTATTACAAGATCCGTGTGGAATCACCTCATCCATTAGAGCGGCATCCCCGAATGGGAGTGACCTGCGAATCGACGTTTATGCACCTAAGAAATCCGATCCATTAACCCTCTTTTACAGATTCACCCAATCGTGCGGCGTATCGGGGTTGAGCGAGGTTATGGAAGAGCGTAATGAGAGGATCAAAGCATTTTATAGCAGACTTTGGCTTGGACGAGATGTGGATTCTAATTTATGCGTGCCGGATACATTTCACGGAACTTCAATGCAATTAACGAAGCCGCTTCTTGATGGTCTGGTGCAGACTATGGCACCGGCCTTTCTCAACCACCGACTCATGGTAACGGACTCGGGAATTCTACCGATTAGCACAGGAATCATCATTGCCTGGGAGGCCATAGTCCAACCACTGGTTCTACGTGAGATTGGCGGCAATCTTCTCCGGCTAGTTCACTGCTCAAACATGTTCCAGTATTGCCACGGGGCGAACCCACTAGTTGTGGGCGATGTTGTGAGATCTGAAGCGAAGGTGCAGAGTATCTATCCGGATGATGCCGGAACCGTGGTTGTTATAGAATGTTGTATCATTCGGTCAGAAAAGCCGGTGTTGACAGTAACATCAACCTTTATATTCCGAGGGCCCTTTTGCGATTGGAAGAATATAACAGCATTCCGTCGAGTAAAAGAACCTGAACGGGCTCTTGATGTTTCCTCCAGGCTGGACGAGTTGGTTCTTCTGAGTCGGGAATGGTTCCATTTGTGCAATGATTCGATGAGCCTTGTTGGAAAATCAGTGACCTTTCGCATTGAAACACTTACAAAGTACGGGGAAGACGGGGCGAGGAGTATACATGTTACCGGAAACGCCCTCGCTCGGCTGGACGGCCTCAAGCACCAGCAAGTTGGAGTTATAAACTTCAACTGCGAACAATGCAGCGGAAATCCTGTCATAGACTTTCTTGAGCGGAGAGGGAGATTGTCTGAAGCTCAAACAAAATTCCCGACACCTGGATGGAGCACTCGGCTCTCAATGGAGGTGCGGATGCCGTTGAACAATCAACCATATGCTGAATTGTCCAAAGACTACAATCCGATTCACACCTCATCCATCTTTGCGAGTCTAGCTGACAACCACGGAACCATTTGCCATGGAATGTGCACTTCAGCAATAACAGAGAGAGTACTGGAGTACCTGGTTCTGGAGGGAAACAGGGAGCATCTGCGTCGTTTCGAGGCTAGGTTCACGGCAATGGTGATGCCGGGAGACGAGCTATTGATCCAGTTGAAACATACAGGCATGATTGGAGGGCGGATGTGCTTCGATATTATCGCGGTGCGCAAGAAGACCGATGAACTTGTGCTTGAAGCTAATGCGGAGGTTGAGCAGCCCAATACAGCATATTTGTTCACGGGCCAAGGTAGCCAAAGTAAAGGGATGGGAATGGATCTGTATAGCAAAAGCCCAAGAGCAAGAGCTCTATGGGATGGTGTAGACCAACATTTATTCAACGCTTATGGTATGTGTCACTGCTACAGCTCAGCATTCTATGATTGACAATTCCGCAGGGTGGTCCGTTTTGGATATTGTACGAAACAACCCGAAATCCTTGACCATCCACTTCGGAGGCTGGAAAGGACGGGGCATTAGACAACGGTACTTGGATATTACCAGGGGAGTGCAACTCGCAGACGGAAACCTGGTCCAGAAGCCTGTGTTAGCTGAGCTTACCCCGACTTCTACCTCGTACACATTTACGAACCCTAAAGGCCTACTCTATTCAACGCAGTTCGCACAGCCGGCTATTTTGTTATTCGAGGCAGCCGCCTTTGCCGAGTTGCGCGCTCAGGGGTATGTGTGTGATAGAGCCGTTTATGCTGGACACTCCCTTGGGGAATTTGGGGCTTTATCAGCTCTCTCCGAGACTATCCCGACAAGTGCTCTCGTTGAGTTGGCCTTTTACCGGGGGGTAATGATGCAGGGATCTGTGCGAAAAGGAGACCACCACGAAGGGCCAACATATGGAATGATGGCCACGAACCCTAAACGCGTGGGGAATTGTAGGTTCTGAAGACATCGCAGCTTCCTTCACGACGGCTAATACCCAATCCAGACTTCTCCCACGATGCATTAAGCTTCATTGTCCAGACAGTTGCCTCTATGAGCAATGAATTACTCGAAATTGTGAACCTCAACGTCGATGGTGAACAATATGTGTGTTCCGGAACGGTATGTCTTGAATGTGCCGTGAATAATACGTGGCTTTTCAGGCCCTAATGAGTAATTTCTATCCAGACAGCAAATCTTTATGTGATGGGCAAATTGATCGACCACATAGCATCAGCGCCTGATGGATCTCACCTGGTTTCCGAATTTATGAAATCCCGCGACACGACAGCTAGCGAACTGCATTCTGTGATCAGCACTCTCATCGGCCAGGGGAAATCACTCCCACGAAATATCGAGCTTCAACGAGGAAAAGCCACCATTCCCCTGCAAGGAATTGATATACCTTTTCACTCCAGCCATCTTCGTACCACAGTGGACAGATTCCGACAATGTCTTTTACGCCCAAACTTCCTCGTCGACAACGTTGACGTGGAGCAGCTGGTAGGGAGATACATCCCGAACCTGATGGCGAAACCATTCTCTTTGGAGGAACCGTACATTCGTGAGGCCTTTGAAATCACGCAAAGTCCAGTATTGGGTGAAATCCTCGGAGTTTGAGCTTTGTTTTGTTCTTTAGTGCCATTTTGCTGGATATCCCCAAGAAACAACCCGCTCCTGCATGAATTAGATATATCAATCCAGTGGAAGGAGAACTGCTCGAATATCAATAACTATCTATCATAGCGCAAGTACTACTGATTTGACTCACTACGGGCGGATATCCGAGATACTCAAGGCTGTTCGTGTCTCATCTATCACTCTAGCGGATTCTACTCCTACCACCCCCATTCTTGGACACGGAGCCCCAAGTTGGTGCAGTTGCCATACAATAAAAGACCCGGGACTAATAGGCCTGCTCATAGGAGAGAGGTTCTGTTCTAACTGGAGGCGAGTTGCATGTCACGCCTAGAGTTAGCGTAGTAAGGAACAGAAGCTAATATCAAATTTCTCTCATTGAATATCTACTAAACGCTGCATATGGACGGCAAGAGGGAGACTAGAGGCGAATTGATCATCCTCCGAACTATCTCCTCAACACGTGTAGACTAGATGTAGGCCAGCCAGTCACTCCATCAAACATTTCTGATACTCCTCGTCCAAGTCAGCCAGCATACCGTCAATGTCGAAATACCAGATTTTATGCGAGCGCTGCTTGACATCCTCGTATCCCTTGGACATATCCGAGCCACAACTCGGGTTATTCCATTCGTAGGTCTCGCACACTTCGCGACTACTGCGGACTAGCCACTGGGACCTCTCGTGGCGCACAGTCGAGAAGGCTTTCAATGCTGCGGGAATAGCTGTTGCTTTCTCTGCGCTACGGGCCTCGATTTCCGATCGAACCCGGTCCAGTAAGACCGACAATGCCAATGCATCCTCCACGCCGATGCCAGCACCGGCACCGTGATGCGGTGCGGACGCGTGCGCGGCGTCCCCTGCAATACACACGCTTCCGGCGGCATAGCTAGGAGCAGGGTGGTCAAAGGCATCAAAGACAGCCCACTTGTCCATTGCCGGGGAGAGTAAATCGATGATTGTGCGCACTGTCGGTCCCCACTCTGCGAAAGCCCCAGCTACGTCGTCCTTCGTCGCGGGCTGCGTCATGTTGCGGTCAAGTGGCCAGTCATTTGGGTCCGTGACGAAGGCCACTACGTTCATGAGTTGCTGGCCCGCGACGGGGAAATGAAGGACATGCGCGTTGGGTCCACCGTACATTTGCTGGTTGCGCGCGCGAGACTCGCCCAGGCGGGCAATTGCTTGGTCCATTGGTACGAGGCCACGGTAGGCGATCTTATGCGTATAGTGTGGGTATGAGATGGGATTATCCTTGCCGTAGACGAGTTCACGGACACGGGACTTGATGCCGTCGCACCCGATAACTGCAAAAAAAGATTTGATATGGTTAGGAACCTGGCGTTATGGCCGGGTGCGAGGGGAAAAAAAAAAAAAAAAAAAAACAGGCAGGAGAGGGAAAGGAGGAGGAGACACGCCGTACCAACATCTGCTTCGGCTGTAGTACCGTCGCAGAAAACAAGGCGGATCTTGTTCTCGCCACTGTCCTCTTCAGGGAGCTCATAGCTATCGAGACGCTTCGAGAGATGCACGACCCCGTCTGGGATGAGTTTCATGACCTGGTCGAGGAAGTGGGCGCGATGGCAACCCTCGAAGCCACGGGGTCCTGCATGGAGCTTGTACAAGGTCTTTTCCACCAGGTCATCCCCAGGAGATCCATGTTTCAAGGCATCATGAGTGTACCCATCAATGAACTGCATGTTGTTGTTAGGACAGGCAGGGTCGCCGTTTACCGTCCCTACAGCGGTCACACAGTCATCCAGACGCGCATCGAGTAGAGTCAGGCATTTTCGGGCGTTCGCTGTGAAAGCTATCCCGGCACCAATTTCACGTAAACTTTGGGCCTGTTCGTAGACTTGAACAGAGACCTTTCTGCGAATCAGGCCTAGAGCGAGAACGCTCCCGATGATTCCACTGCCGATGATGGCGACTTGGAAGTGCTCGTTTGACATTCTGGGGTTCTGTTAGGGTTCGACCAACAAGATCCTATTTTCCCTCTGTTCATCAGTGTATCCCAAACATCTATGCTCAAGGCCGCTTCTGTGCGCCTTTTGTAGTAATTCCCATGTCGGCTTCAATATAGCAGTTTATTTGCCAGGCAATCGAGGCACTTGAGATCGAATCTAGTCTGGCGGAGAATTCTGTAGGCGCCCTTTAGGAACCGGCACCTCACACACACACACACACACTTCCTAGTGGTTTCACAGAGATCCTAGCATAATGATAATGCCATTCTTTGCTTTGATTCCGATGTGAGACAGACGTTGAGCTGGCAGTCAGGGAGAATTTCTGTTGTATAACCTTATCCACTACCTTTGTCTCATCCTCCTTCATCTTCCTCGCTAGCCCAGACGGTATCTCTTTTCCCCCTCTAAGTGATTCTGCGTTCTTTGGCATTCTCGTGATTATCGCATAGCTATGGCTTTGAATGACATTACTCCTATACCTGAGATGCCTGATTCGGCGTCCAACGCTAAGGATGTTGACGATGAGGAAAAGCAACCGCAAAATGAGGCGAAAGAAGCCGTCAACTCCAAAGATTTTACGCTAACTATCAAGGGTCGTCTCGTATTCTTCACGCTGGCAGTTTTAACCCTGATGGTCTCCTTGGATGGGACGTCGATTTCTGTCGCTCTTCCGGTAATTGTGCCCTCCCATATACCAAAGTCGGTGCAGCTACACGGGCTAATGATGGTTAGACAATGGCCCAGGAGCTAGGAGGTAGCGCCATGGAGGCCTTCTGGAGCGGCACTTCATTCCTGCTCTGTTCGACGGTGTTTCAACCCAGCACGGCTACCATGTCGGACATATTTGGTCGCCAGCCAGTGATCCTCATCTCGCTGGTGTTTTTCTTCGCCGGAGCCCTGGTAGCTGGTTTGGCAAAAAACTTCACCCAGATTCTTGTTGGACGATGCATTCAAGGTGTGGGAGGAGGCGGACTCGCTGTGCTCTCGGAAGTTGTCGTTACGGATCTGGTGCCACTTCACCTTCGAGGAAACTACTACGGGGTGCTGAGTGCTATGTACAGTCTGGGGTCGGTGTTAGGGCCTGTTCTAGGTGGCGGGTTTTCCGAGAATGTGACTTGGGTATGTCGCCCTGCTTCAAAGTACAGGTTGAGGACGTCCTAACAACGTGCAGAGGTGGATATTCTACATCAACTTTCCGTTTATTGGAATCGGCACCATATTAGTCCTTTTCTTCTTCCGCCTCACGATACCGGAAGGGTCCCTCAAGGCCAAGTTCAAGCGGGTTGATTATATTGGGACCATCCTCTTTGTGGGCAGCATCTCGTCTTTCCTCATCCCCCTCTCTTGGGGTGGTGTCATGTACTCCTGGGGATCCTGGCGCACGCTGGTCCCCCTGATAATCGGGCTCGTCGGTCTCGTGAGCTTCGTTATATACGAATCACTAGCACCACAACCAATGATACCACACTCTATCTTTCAAAACCGGAGTGCCGCGGTTGCGTTTGCAGCTAGCAGCCTACAGGGTCTCATTCTCTGGGGCGCGCTTTACTATCTGCCGCTCTACTACCAAGCTGTGCGTGAATTCGGGCCCATTCTCACGGGAATCGCGCTCTTTCCGCAGACATTCACCGTCGCCCCTTCGGCAATCATGTGCGGGATCATAATCACCCTCACGGGCCGCTACCGCTGGGGTCTATGGGTTGGTTGGGCCCTCTCCGCCGTTGGGCTAGGGCTACTATGCATTATTCGCGTGCATACGAGCACAGCGGGCTGGATCCTGCTGAATATCCCCAGTGGCTTGGGGCTGGGAATCTTAACCGCGGCAATTGTCTGCACTGTTCAAGCGTCTGCGACGAATAAAAATCTTACCGTCGCCGTGGCTATGGTTGTATTTTTCCGTGCCTTCGGACAGGCCATCGGTATCGCGGTAGGAGGAGTTATTTTCCAGAACCGAATGCGCCATGAGTTATTGCGGTATCCAGAGTTGGCGCCAGATGCAGAGAGCCTAAGTCAAGATGCAGCGGCACTGGTCACGGTGATTCAAGGAATGGAAGGTGGCTTGCCCAAGGAGCATCTAAAACAGGCGTATACAGATAGCTTGCGCATCATCTGGGCGTGTATGTGTGGTGTTGCGGCTGTAGGACTTGGATTGAGTGGATTCGTGAAGAAGTACGATTTGAACCGCGCCTTAAAGGGGGATATTCGTCTTAAGGAGTGAGTTTACAATGTGCATGGCTGTTTCGATTTGGCACTGTATTTCACAAAGGACAAGTTTACATCAAGTACATTCATTGACCTCGGGGACCTGGAGTATATTTTCCACTAGTACCTGGTGGTTTGAGTGAGAATAAGGCTTGCAATTCATGGAACTCGCTCAAGAAGAGAGAGAGGAAATACGTAGAACTACTCAATCGTTTCTACTAATGAGTTCCAACATTCATCCTTCTTCAGCAACTCCATCTCTGTCCCTAGTAAACAGACCACAGCATCCAGCCCTACTCCCCCCCATCCAGGGCCAATATACATGCCCCCGGGTAACGGTCCAAAGGTCGGTCTCCTCATAAACTCCGGCTTCCCCAGTCCTCCAAAAAAAGGTAATTTAATATGCGCTACAGAAGAGCAACTGAAATCTGTCCGCGGGTCAAACGACCCGGCGTACGCGATGCGACTTTTATCCGTCTCTCGAGCAATCAAACTCGCATACGCCCGCACTGCATAAGGGGTCGTATGCTCCTGCACACAAACACGTAGCCTAGAAGCGAGATTCGACAAGGAACTCCGCGTTATCAAGGACACTGGGAGGCGAAGGTTAGCCGTCCGGACCATATGGCCCATGTACGCCGGGCTGAGGTTCATGGCCCGTCGAAGGTCAGTGGCGCGGGTTAACTGCGACGTCTTTTCTTCTTCTTCTTCATCATTATCAGGGCCGCTGGAGGTCTGAAACCGGATCAGGGCTATGCGTTGCCAGCAGAATGCGGTTAGGGCATCGTTCACCGAGACAGAGGTGATGGGGTCAATAAAGTCCTCCGGGTGACTATTTGCTTCCCGGCAGATATGTACAATTGCTTCCGGAGAAAAATGTAACCAGTACCATTTGAACTGAGCTAAGGTATCTGTATCTAACTGGGGCGGGAACCGCTCGGGTTTCAGCACAGAGAGGCTGTCCGGTAGCGGTTCTTGGTCGGGGAGCAACGGGATGAGATTGCGCCGGTCGCAATTTCCTAGCTGAATTTCAGGTTTTTGGATATCTCCTGGGGGTGAATCCATAAGGCGTGCCAGGAGGCCGGCCATATGAAATATGCCTGTGGCATCGATGATGTTATGCTGGGCCGCGAGATCGAGAAGCAGCCCTCCCTGGATTAAGGAGGCCTGGATTTCGAGTACGGGAGCAAGACCATCTTGTGGGTAGGTCAGTGGAAAGGCAGGCCGAGGAGGAGCCAGGAGAGATCCTGGAAGCATGTAGGAGGGTGCACGAGCAGCACAAAGAGCAGCATATGAAGGGAGAGTGTCGGAAAGATCACGGATGTGGAGAATCTTGCGTTCTATTTCCTCCGCATTACCAGCCTCTCCTCTGGTATCAGTTGGAGATGGAGCTACCCAGTCCTCGATGGTAAAATAGCCAGAATGCCCTGCGCGAACTTGCTTGTGCACGACCTGGCCTCCAAGAAAAGGAAAGGCCGCGAGCAGGTGTTGGGTCGCGGATTGAAGAGCGGCAATAACAGTGTCTCTATCCGAATCAGAGAGAGAGAAACAAAACAGAATGTGAGTATAGCTTTTGAGAAGAGGCAATTGACCAAGAACGTCTTGAAAAGCCATGTTCCTTATGTGTCACAGTGTTCAAGTTTCCACATATCTATCATCCTGCCTGAAATCTACGGGAAATGCCTCTGATATGAGGCCATTCAGTTCAACTACAAGACAACTGTGCGAGAGTTACGAGCGGATACCAGAATATGTTGTGTGTCGACATGAAACAAACTTGAAGAGAGGAGGGTGTTTAATACATTTTCAAGTCGCTTCCGGAGTACTTCGGCCTCATTAGCCCTTCCAGCGCCAGATTTGGTGTTTGCAAAGGTCGTCCCTGTGGCGCTGGCTGGAACCGCAGATCATCAATAGCGAGAATCTAAGAGAAATCGACAGGCCAAAATCGAAGCTGGCCAGATCGGGGCCCACTATGTATATCTGCACGGCTTATCCCATTGTCGCATCATACCGAGCTAGGAAAGACACTAAAATCTGTAACTGACGGAAGGAAAGGAACAAAAGTGAGATTCGATGGGCTTGCTGGGATCAGGGAAGCAATGCTCTCCAGAGTACGCTCCTACTCCTTTGAGTTATCGACAGAGGTAGAGAATAACCGCAAATTCACCAAGTTGCGGTGACCTTCGGTCCCAATTCAGGTCGATCCGGTGTCGAAGTTATGCAGAGCAGATAGAATATGTATGCGAGTAATCGGCATCAGCACGGTAGTAGAACTTGGAAAAATCGAGTCATTCTCCGCATATCCATCTTTACGGAGTCCATTTAAGTTTAACTACCCCGATTCACTAGTTATCCTACCCATAGATAACCAGGACTTGAGAGCTTTGACGTCCTCATGGTGGTGATGAAATCACACCCTAGTATGATCGACACTGTGTTGGCAATCCCTCGAGCCTCTCGATGACTTCGAGGAACTACCATTCGGGACCCGTCCGCTAGCGAATCGAGATCATTGGAGGTCGGCAGGAGGCCGGATGGAGAATACGACATTCCATTTCCTGGTTCACGTCCGCTTCCACCCTATGGCGCTTTGGGGGGATCCTAAACAAGAAGGAGATGATAGCCCTTGTCTCACCACGTAGATCCCTTCTGTCCCTCCCTTGTGTCTGTCTCTGCGTGTGGCTTCATCTACGGTGTTACCATATGGGGTTATTTACTGCCCATGCGAGTCACCATGAACCGTCGCCCTGATACACGAGCCATCGATCCCCCAGGGCAGTAACCGCTTAATAGGTGGATTAGATGTACCAATGCACCTCGCCTATGGAGGTACTATTATAAACCAAAGGGAACGAGAATGCATAGAATTGTGGAAACTTAACATGATGTTTGCCCTCATCGGTACTCATTTCTCGCAGTTTGCGTCCTTCAATCGAGTACACCATCCAATTAGCATACAGCCAAACAGGCCTGATGCTAGAGAGGCGCTTTGCTCCTGCAGAAGATTGACAGGACCCGCTGTGGGAATATCCTTTTAATGTGATGGCGCAGCTCAAACTCCACCATCTCCTGTTGTGGCTGGCTGAACGAAGCTCACCGAACCTACCGCTCTAACAGGAACCAAAAGAAAGATACATCCCCTCGTGTCTGATAGGAGAGAAAGGGCAATAATAGTTGGCCATAGTGGCTCTCGATCTCCCCCTCCATTTGTGATTCTAGTTCTCCGCCGGTTCAGATTCAAACCACTGACCTCATCTCATGTACCTGCCCCCCCCTGGGCAGTTGATGACCCAACTGGGGTACACAGAATAGTTTATACACGATCCCCCCCTTTGTTAGCTCCTGCTGCTACCTCATTTAGTAAAGCCAATCTGCTTCTGTAGACCTAGCAGTAACCCGGTTGCTGAGAATTGCTGTCGGTGTTGGGCTACACGATCTGCATCCTGCATGCCGACATGCTACTACTATTACGTCTGCTGTTCTCTCCGTTCAACACGTTTCCAATGGTGGCAAACAGGCTGCTACATTTACATTGACTCGCTTTTCCGAGCATGTACTTGCTTTTTGCTTCTGTGCAGGCTGGTTAGAGCGAATCTTGCCTCCCTACTGTTCTCCCCTAGGCAGAGTGATCATCGTGGGAATTAGTACGATACATTGCATATGAGCTTAATGGTGAGAATGATAGAGAATTTTGTCCATTCGCTTTGGGTACACTTTTCATATCCAATCCCATCTCTTTGCTTTGCCCGCGTATCCGCCGTGTGGAGAGAAGAAAAGAAACCCATTATTGTGATTTGATTTGGATTCCTATCGGCTATCGTTGCAAGTGTGTCTGATCGCTATTATTGAATTGTCTGCACTCAATAAATACGAGGTTGTATCCACAGACGTCAAGGTCCCTCGTGAAGTCCCAGCTCACAGGAAGCTCATCGCATCTTCACTTGAACACGCCCACGGATCCTTACATTCGGAGGATCCAGGAGACTGGAGATGGTATCTTCCCCAACTGTACCGCGCCAACGCCCCGGTTCAGCGTGTGAAGAATGCCGTCGACGCAAGGTTCGATGTGACCGGCAGCGGCCGCAATGTCAGGTTTGTTACGAGACTGGCATCGAATGCAAGATCAGTACCACACGATTACCACGCGGTCCTCGAAAAGGACAACTACGAACGCTTCGGACTCGAATCGGTAGGTTTCGACCTTGCCAGGTCAAGGTACACTTGCTAAAATCTGCAGCCGCTCTTGAACGCTGTCTCGCCGACCAGCATCCAGAAATCAACCATCAAATGGCTACACTTTTCGATGGACCATTGCTGGACTGTGACTCAGAGGACGACCCCTTGCGAGATATGAGCGCTCTTCGTGAATCATGCACCGAGTCTATCTCCGACGGCAGGCGAACGAGTACAAAGTCTCCCTGCTCGCCTGGCTCACCCACGCAGCCGAGACTTGTCACTGAATTGATGCGGGCAGATCTGTACGTCTTGGCCATGATTTAGCAGAGACGCGAGTCGAGGACTAACAAGCTAGTGACCAATTGTACTTTGATCGGGTACACTCCTTTGCTCCAATTCTGCAACGATGGCGATATCAAGTCTGGGCTAAGCAGTCCAAGAAGCGTGAAGCCCAAATATGCCTTCAGTACGCCATGTGGACTCTCGCGGCCTCACTTTCTGCCCAGTTTCGCGCTCTTCGGGATGTGCTCTACCAGGAAACACGACGAATGCTGGATAAATTAGAGCTCCAAGGCCCTCTGGCCGATGCAAATACAGGGATTGAGCAAGCCCAGGCATGGGTATTGATATGTATATATGAGTACATGCAACTTTCACCGCTTCAGGCCTGGATGAGCGTTGGTCGATGCTGCCGACTTGTCTTAGGAATGCGATTATACGAGCTAGACGACCCAAATACCTCAGTCCTGGTGACGAGGGACCAAGAAACAAAATTGATCGACTGGACGGGGCTGGAGGAGGGCCGACGGACATTCTGGATGGCGTATTCCCTCGACCGATTCATTAGTTGCCATGCTGGGCTCCCGTTTACCTTGAACGAGCAGCTGGTGAGTCTCTGGCCCGCTCCTAACGCTCACACGCGCCGCTGACCGGATAGATCGTGACACGCCTCCCAGCCCCCGAAGAGGAATTCCAGACAGGTCAGCCAGTCCTGACGAGGTATCTACCGGATGTCATTATGGGCAGCAGCAACAACTGCGACACAGATGTTCTGGGCTCATTTACCGAGTATATTGTCCTGGCGACGATATGTGGACGAGCAATCTCGCACCGACAAAAGGCTACTGTTGAGCAAATCAACGGCGATGTCTTCCAGGGATTCTGGAGCCGCCATCAATGGCTCCATGAATTGCTCAATTACCGCATTCAGATACTCTCGTCATCAGCGCACATTGACCCGATGCTCATGTTCGCCCGGATTACAGCGCATACGATGGTTCTTTTTTTGCATAGCGTGCTCGAATCAATCACCTGGAAAACAGGTGATCATTTACTCGGAATCATCCAGGATGAGCGGTTGTGCGTCATGGCAGCTCATGAAGTAGTGAATCTGGTCAAGGTCCAGAGTCAGCTAGGGTATTTCAAAGTACGTTCGTTCCCTTACCTCGAGCGAAGAGAGGGAAAGCAATCTAACGAAGCCAGGTGCATCCCTTGATGCCAATCCCGCTTCTGATGTGCAGCGAGTTCTTCGCAGGGCATACCTACCTAGATACAACCTTCGACAGCATGTTGCAAGAGGTTACGGGATGTCTTCAGGACCTGGACTTGGTCAAGAACCCAGTACATAGTCCGCGCATATCGATCTCTGTCTAAGCGTTCGAATCAAAACGTGGCACAACAGGGCAAAGCAATCTGGTCTATTTCCTTTCCTCCTGTGACTGGATTCATAGGGCTCTAGACTTGGCTGTGACAGGGCACAGCCCATTTTTTTCCATCGTAATCGTGACAACAATGTCATCTATTGAGGTCAACACTAGTAATGCTTGGTTTTCTTCCAGGGGCGTATAGGGTTAGGGCATAGCGGGTTAAGACTGTTACCCCGATATAAAGTTAATAAACTCTTCTTTGATTCAATTCAATGTGCATTCTCAGAGTACGAGGGACGTAAGATTCATCTGATAGACTATATATAAAGGTTAAGCCCTCTATATGAGCCTGTTCTTGTTCACCGGGCTACCTCTCCCATAATTCTCCGGATCGAGGAAGTTGAGAACGGAGGTAAGCCTTCCCTCATCTCCATGACCATCGTTCATAGCCCTCCTCCCAGTTCTACTGTATTCTTATTGGCTATACCCGCCGGAGTATATATACATCTGGCGATGCATCGTGTCACGTCTCCTCATCCAGTCATTATTCGCCAATGCTGATTCCCGAGGAGATTTTCCGACAAGAAAACTCCGGTCGTAGGGCACGTTAGCCAGGTTCATTGTGAGAAGAGCAGAAAGGAAAAGTAGAGGGCGAATAATAAAAGGACCCGAAGAAAAAGCAACTTTGGCTTTTCGCAGAAATCAATGAGGGTTGGTCGAAAATGCAAAACTCGAACCTCGCGGCTACAGGCCTCTCGAACACGGAGATCAGTTCTGTACAGCCTGGTTGCACAGGTCCTTTTATAACAGACAGTCGTGCAGGTATTGCTCTTCCCTTGGACCCACGTCACTGATACGGATTCCTGGAATAGGGGGAAATTATCATGGCAAACAATGTAATGGTATTATATGAGCTACGCCCGGTACCATGGGGACAGAGGCACAGTAGCAACGGCCATAATCTATCTCCATCGTCATGGCCATAGCAAGGCAGCTCCATCCTCCTGCTGGGGGGAATGCGGTCCTTCTTTTCGGTTGCCAATGGCTTTCCTTTGACGCTGATGACTTCCGTCAGCTCCGCACTACTGTCCTTGATAATCCGGAGTATCACTGGATGTTAGACGTGCTTGCTGAGCTACCCAGATATTACCGGTTGGCCTCCACGGAACATCTTCCATCGTTGCAATGCATTTCCGGGGAACAAAAGCTGCGAGATCTCGAACGATGGTTTCGATGCGATGACCTCAGTACGGCAAAGTTTCCGCTGGCGTATATTCAGCTCGCCCCGTTGCTGATGATGACCCATTTCACGCAGTATGGACAGTATCTGCGTTTCACACATCCTCAGTACGTGGAAGACGGTACTATCACCACCGATGAATCCCCCGTGGTGGAGATCGTTGGATTCTGCATTGGATTCCTTAGCGCTGCGGTTGCTTCAGCAGCGGACACAAGGGATCAGTTGCAAGCTCTCGAGGCTGTGGCGATGCGTTTATCGATGCTGTTAGGGGCAATCGGGGACATGAAGGAATTTGAAGAAGGGTACACATCGTTAGCAACGATGTGGAAAACCCCCGAGCTTGAAGGTCGTCTGCCGGAACTACTCCACGCTCATCCAGGGGTAAGCTTTGTCCACGCCATTCTTCTCGTCTTCATATCGAGTACCACTAACCGGAACAGTCATATATCACGGTCCGTTATGATGAAAATCGCGTTACTGTTATGACCCGACGGCAAAGTGTGGCCTCTCTGCAACACGCCCTACAATCTGCCGGCTTCTCTGCAAATCGCGTGGACTTCAATGGGCGCTACCATTGGCCTGGTCATCAAGATACTTTGCCAGCTTTGTTCTCACTGTGTGACGCGCACTGTGAACTCCAGCTTCCAGACGCAAAGAGTCTTGTGCGTCCGCTGAGAGAAAATACTACTGGAGAGCCAGTACGCTGCGGACCACCATTACACCAGCTTGTCCTACGCGCCGTTCTAGCTCAGCCTTGTGTCTGGTTGAAGACTTTTTCCTCCGTACATCAGGCCTATCTCACCAACCCTGAGTCCATTGTTATAGAGTTTGGTCCAGAACGGTGTGTTCCACCGACATTCCTTCCCCAGCTACCTCAAGGAGTCGTCCACTTTGCAGACCTGGACCTTTCCCAAACCCTAAGTCGCGACCATGAACTCTCTGGTCGCCCACCAGCAGAGACCGATATCGCCGTTGTCGGAATGGCCTGTCGTGTTGCTGGAGCAGATGACCTCAATGAGTTCTGGCAGCTACTTTGCAAAGGCGAATCCCAACACCGTGAAATGCCCCGGGAGCGACATGCCGATTACGAAACGCCCTGGCGCCCGGACGCAAGCAAGAAGCCCTGGTTTGGAAACTTTGTGCGCGATATCGACGCCTTTGATCATAAGTTCTTCAAGAAGGTACCAAGAGAGGTTATTTCCCAAGATCCGCAGCAACGTCTCATCCTCCAGGTTGCATACCAAGCTCTTGAGCAAGGGGGATATTTCACGCACCCTCTTCCTACTTCCAAGAACATAGGCTGTTATATTGCCTCTTGCACTGTCGACTACGAACACAACGTGAACTGTTACCCTGCATCTGCGTACGCGGCCACGGGTTTACTACGCAGCTTTCTGGCCGGTAAACTCTCGCATTACTTTGGCTGGCGCGGCCCGTCACTTTGCATCGATACTGCATGTTCCGGTTCCGCTGTTGCATTGCATCATGCCTGCCGAGCAATTATGAATGGAGACTGCACTGCCGCCCTGGTAGGTGGCGCGAATGCAATCACCAGTCCGCTGGCATATGACAACCTTGCTGGGGCATCGTTTCTGTCGCCCACGGGAGCCTGTAAGCCTTTCGATGCCAATGCCGATGGATACTGTCGCGGGGAGGGGTTCGCTGCAATTTACATTAAAAAGCTCTCGGACGCCATTGCAGATGGCGATCCCGTCCTAGCAACCATAGCCGGGACAGCTGTGGAACAGAATGACAATTGTACACCCATTGTTGTCCCCGATGCGCCGTCCCTAGCCGGGCTTTTCGAAAAGGTGACCCGGTGCGCGAGGCTATACCCAAGAGATATTACAGTTGTTGAAGCACACGGTACAGGCACGCAGGCGGGTGACCCGGCGGAATACCGGGGCGTGCGTGAGGTACTTGGTGGGCCAAGGAGACCAGGGAAACTAGCTTTGGGGTCGGTGAAAGGGCTAGTAGGCCATACGGAGGGAGTCTCTGGCATGATTGCCTTGTGCAAGGTTGTATTGATGATCCAAGAAGGGCAGATCCCACCACAGCCCGGGTTTCACTCCCTGAATCAACATATAAAAGTCTCCCCTGACGACCATATCGACATTGCCACAACCTTGAAGTCATGGGACTCTGGATTCCGAGCTGCCTTGATCAACAATTATGGTGCTTGCGGATCAAATGCGTCCATAGTCCTGACTCAAGGGCCGAAAAGTATTGTCGAGGTAACTGGCGGCGTACACGATAATGATGTACCGTTACCGTTTCGATTCTGCGCCTCCGAAAAGGCTCGCTTGCAGGCGTATGCTGTGAAGTTTCGTGAATTCCTCGCTCATCAGACAGAGACAAAGGGCGTGTCCTTGGCGAATCTCGCTTTTCATGTCGCTCGACAGTCGAATCCGAGTTTGAACTGCCAGGGTGTCTTTTGTGCGAAGTCTCTAACACAATTGGACTCCACGTTAGCAGCCTTAGGAGATGGAGACGAGAAACCTCTTGTACGGGTACAAAAGACTGTTCGACCAGTCATCCTTTGCTTTGGCGGGCAAGTAGGCAGATGTGTCGGCATTGATCGAAGCTTATACGATGCTTTCCCCTTATTCCGGTCTCACCTTGACGCATGCGATAGTCTTCTGACAGCCATGGGGGAGAAGAGTATTTACCCCGGAATCTTTTCTGCAACACCCGTGTCCGACACTGTCCAGCTACAAACCCAGCTGTTCTCTCTGCAATATGCATGTGCGCGTAGCTGGATCGACTCTGGACTAAACGTCACAGCGGTTGTCGGGCACAGCTTTGGTGAATTGACAGCGTTGTGCATCTCGGGAGTGTTGTCTCTCCCTGATGCGCTAACAGTGATCCTCCGTCGGGCAGTCTTGATTCGAGATAGTTGGGGCCAAGATCCGGGGGCAATGCTCGCTGTCGAGGGCGATAAAGCTGGCCTCAAACAACACATGGAAGGCTCAGGCGCGAGTATAGCCTGCTTCAACGGCCCAAGAAGCTTTACCATCGCAGGACCCACTCGAGCTGTAGATACGCTGCAAGAGACCTTGGAAAGTGACCCTAACGTTCGCGTTAAAAGGCTTAGTATCACAAATGCGTTTCACTGCTCCCTTGTTGACACCATACTTCCGGCGCTATATCAAGTCACAGACGGTTTGAAATTGAACACTCCGCGAATAACCCTGGAGCGTGCCACTGCCATGGCTGAGAACGGAATTCCGCCATCCACCGTTATAGGAGATCATCTCCGCCAGCCCGTTCACTTTGAAGATGCTGTTCGGCGCTTAGCCACTCAACACGGCCCTTCCGTCTGGCTGGAAGCAGGATCAAATTCCACGATTGCCTCGATGGTCCGGAGGGCACTGGACTCCAGTGGATCAGAGCACGCGTTTCACTCACTGAATATGAGCACGGGTTCTTCGCTGCAGAGTCTCACAGACGCAACGATCGGTCTATGGAAGGACCGTATCTCTTGTATGTTTTGGGCCCACCACCCTCTGCAGAGCAGGGAATACACCCCTCTCGTTCTCCCACCGTACCAGTTTGAAAAATCTCGGCATTGGCTGGAGAATAAGCCGCTTCCCATCACCGCTAGCTCTATGAACGACAAATCCGAATCCCCAGAAGACGAGCCTCGCTTCTCCTTTGTCGGGTATCAGGACTCTCTCCAGCGACGAGCTAAATTTCTCATCCACACAAATCATCCATGGTATATCGAGTCTGTATCGGGACATTGCGCGGCAAAGACGGCACCGATCGCGCCGGCATCGCTGTTGCTTGATTACGCTGTTGAGGCGTTAAGATCGCTCCCCGACAACAAGGGAAGAATCCCAAGTATGCATGATGTGGGCAGCGAGGCGCCCTTGTGTCTGAATCCTAATCGAGAGGTGTGGTTAGAGTTGACCGCCGAGCCAGACAGCAAATATACCTGGAGTCTAAAGTTCCAAAGTCAAGATCGCCAGCCTGGACCGGGCTGCTCCCTGCTACTACTGCACTGTACCGGACGGGTAACCATGCACGATCCCTCCGACGGAAAGCTGAAAGCGGAGTTTACGCGGTACTCCAGGTTGGTCAGCCATTCGCGATGCAAGGAGCTTCTCTCGGACCCGGATGTGGACGATATTCTGCAAGGGCAGAACGTGTATCGTACTTTCTCGGAGATAGTGGAGTACTCCCAGCCCTATCGCGGGGTCCAGAAGCTTGTTGGGAAGGGAAATGAGAGTGCTGGCCGGGTCATAAAACGATACTCCGGACAGACCTGGGCCGATGCCTTCTTGTGCGATTCCTTCAGTCAAATCGGCGGGTTCTGGGTGAATTGCATGACAGATCGTCCGGACGACGAGATCTACATTGCCAGTGGGATCGAACAGTGGATGCGGTCCCCCCGCTATGCAAATCTCGATACACCAAGGCCAGATACTTGGGAGGTATTCGCAAAACACCAACGAGCCGATGGGTGGTACACAAGCGATGTATTCGTGTTTGGAGCCGATGGAGATCTCGCGGAGGTTTTTCTAGGGCTGCGATATTCTCGAGTAGCGAAGAATCTCTTTATACGACTATTGGGGGGGTCAGTTCCGAAGCGAGAGGAAGGGCCAAAAGAAGAGAAGAGGCCGCAGGAGAATTCTTCATCCGCTGATTTAGTCGAGCGTGTGAAAGCTGTTGTCGCGGAATTCTGTGCCCTTGACCCCGATGAAATTCAGAATGATAGCCACTTGGCGAATGCTGGGGTAGACTCGCTCATGGCGATGGAGCTCGCCCGCGAGTTGGAAGAGGCTTTCCATCGCACGTTATCCGTGGAGGAGTTGCTCGAGGCGGAGACATTTGCAGATCTAGTCCGCTGCGTACAGGCCGCTGTAGGTGTTGTTGTTCCCGAGAATGGGAGCCTGTACAGCATCGACAGTGCCACCGTCATCTCTAGCACTAGCAGTGACCGGAAGCCCTCGAGTCCTACTGAGTCTCTCACCAGCGTTTCTGACACCGCTGACTTGAGCCTCCCATTCGAAGTCAGTGTGGAAGCATTTCGGGGGACAAAAGCCTTCACGGATCGGTTCCTGGAAGAGAACCAGTGCAGCGGTCGTCTCCACGAGTTCACCCCGCTGCAAGTCAAGCTCTGCGTGGTTCTTACCCTTGAAGCGTTTGAGACTCTGGGAAGCAATATTCGGTCAGCTCAAGTTGGTGAGCGCCTTCGTCGCATTCCCTTTGATTCTCAACATCAATCTCTGGTCGACTATCTCTACAATCGCCTAGAAGAAGCCTGCCTCATTAGTCTCGACGGGATGACTGCCGTTCGTTCAGAAATATCGGCACCCACTGAATCCAGCACCAGCATCCTCAGCCAAATCGAGAGCGAGTATCCTGAATATGCCGGTGCCAGCAAACTCGCGTTCTATACAGGTAGTCAGCTTGCTTCAGTACTGCGTGGTGAGCAAGACGGGCTGCATCTGATATTCGGCACACCCGAGGGCCAGCAGCTAGTTTCGTGGATGTATGGGGAGGAGCCACACAACGTGGCCGGATATAAACTAATGGCTGAGTATATCCGGCGAGTTGTAGAAAAGGTAGTTTCCTCTGCAGCAGGAGGGTGTGGGCCATTGAAGATCCTCGAAATGGGTGCCGGCACAGGTGGCGGAACGAAGTGGTTTCTACCACTACTAGCTGCTCTCCCGGTCCCGGTTGAATACACATTTAGTGACATCTCCCCGGCATTTCTGGCACAGGCACGACGCAAATTCAAAGATTATCCGTTTATTCGGTACTGCGTTCATGATATCGAGAAGCCGCCTGCGGCAGAGCTGCAGCGAACGCAGCACATTATCATTGCAAGTAATGCTGTACATGCGACATCGAACTTGCAAGAGTCCACGAGGAACATGCGCCAGGCACTTCGTGCCGACGGAGTGTTGATGATGCTTGAGATGACGCAGCCTGTGTTTGCGATTGATCTGGTGTTTGGACTATTCCGTGGATGGTGGGTCTTTAACGATGGACGGACACATGCAATTACCAGCGAGAAACGCTGGGAGGAGGACTTGCATGCAGCCGGATACGGACATGTCGACTGGTCTGATGGAGAGTCGAAGGAGGTTAGTATACAGCGGGTGATTTTCGCCACTGCACAAGGGGAGCAAGGAGAGCGACTGCCTAGCCCTGTCTTGAAGCACATTGAGAGGATGCAGGTTGTAGAAAAGTATGCCCAAAAAGCCATCCAGGGGTTCACTGCTCCCGGAATGTCCCTCCATGAACATTCCACTGAATCAGACAAAACTTGTGTGTTAGTAACTGGTGCATCAGGGAGTCTTGGTAGCCATGTTGTCGCACACCTGGCGACCCTTTCAACCGTCGATACCGTGGTATGTTTGAATCGGATCTCCGGGGAGGATCCATTACGGCGACAGCAGAAGTCATTTGCTGAAAAAGGACTATCTCTTTCTGCCGCGGAGGAAGCTAAGCTAGTCGTACTGGAGGTCAACTCACAATGCACAGAGCTAGGCCTTGCTCCCGATCAATACAAATTCCTGCAGACCAGTGTGACGCACATCATACATAACGCTTGGCCCATGAACGGCGTAATGCCTCTATCCAGCTTCGAACCTCAGTTCCGTGTGCTACGGAACTTGCTGGATCTGGCACGAGATGCCGCGGAAATGAGAGCTCGCCCTCTCAGGTTCGTGTTTGTTTCATCAATAGGAACCGTGGGAGGCGGAGGAGCACTGGAAAAACGAACTCAGATTGAACAGGTAATGGCGAACGGCTACAACGAGGCAAAGTTTGTCTGTGAGCGGATGGTTCAAGAGACGCTGCAGCGATATCCCGAGAGGTTTCAAGCCACGGTAACACGGCCAGGCCAGATTGCAGGCTCAGCTCAAACAGGATACTGGAATACACCGGAGCACTTCCCCGCCATGGTAAAATCTTCGCAAACACTCGGGGTATTTCCTACGCTACAAGGAGAGATGGGATGGACCCCAGTGGACGTGGCAGCCCATGTCTTGTCGGAGCTACTCCTGGCTGAGTCTGACCCTGAAGAAATATACCACATAGACAATCCAGTGGGTCAAAATTGGAGCACTGTGGTAGGCATAATAGCAGAGGAGCTAAACGCGACGACGGTCCCTTTCAAGGAGTGGATTCAGCGAGTGAGGCAGGAGGAGAGTAACAGAGGCGAGAATCCTGCAAGAGTCATGGCAAACTGGTTGGATCAGAATTTCGAGCTGATGTCGTGCCGTGGAGGATTGGATACGCGCGTGGCGAGGAAGCATTCGCGGACCCTACGCGAAATGGAGAGAGTCGGAGAGGAGACGGTGAGGAAATTCATAGCCAATTGGAGAGAAAGGAAGTTTCTCTCGTAATGCAGTTCATCTAGCCTATACTCTGTTCTCCATACCCAAAATATATTCCATTTCTCATCCAAAACGTGCTTGTTAAATCCCAGATACGGTGACTCCTTAGCTTCAGGTACGGAAGCCAGCTGTTACTTGGTCTCCAACACTCTGAGAGCAATCCGATCTAGGTCTCACTATTGATCTCAGCTATACTACTCTTCATATTAGTCTTTTAATGTTCTCATTTGGTGGGAATCAGAGAAAGTTGGATGAAATCATGACCCACGTGACGCAACATCACCACCGCATTCTATATATATAGATGTCTTTTGTAGGGTTAAATAGCTTCAGCCCCATCACTAAATTAACCAATTGCATTTCTACTAGCTACTTATACATGGAAATAAGGCGCAAACCAGTGCCAGCTTCCTCACCAACCCAATATGGAGTTGTCCAACGACCCCTGACCCCAAATCCTCGACCTCCGCCACATCCGCTGCAAAATTCACAACCCCCTACCTCACTCCAACCGCCTCATTCAATCCCTCGATATCGAAGTCACCCCAATCTCGGGGCCTCGTACCACGCCGCTGCGACTCCTGCCATCCCGCGAGCCGAAACTTCGATCCCCGCGAGCTCCGAAAAACCGTCGTTTTATGAAGACACCCGGCATTTTCTTGGTGGCCTCATCCACCACCCCTCTGAATCCACCAAACATTACTCTATCCTCCGCCATTCCCCTGGGGTCATCTTTTATCGCGGTCCAACTACATCTGTAACAGTTTCCATCTTCGCCGACACCCGCATTCCAGCCGATCGCTCGCTGTGGCTACAACCCAAAGGATGGACTGGCAAGACCGGAATGCGCGCCAAAGCCGTCCTACACTTGCACGATGATTGGATCAACATCCCTCCTCCTCTAGCTCTACGTGCCGACCAAGTTGAGCCTGCAACCGAACGCGCCTGGCAACGCGACATCTCCAAGTTTCGCAAGAAAGCCGCGGCCCGGATTCGAGACACCCACCGACTTCGCGAGACTGTGGTGGCTCGGATCCCTGCAGACGCGGGGGATGGATATTTTCAGCTCGTGCTGTGCCACGGACAAAAGAAGGTTCTCTGCCGCAGTCCGGTTTTCCGCCTATTTTCCACCTCCAAAGACCCTAGCTCGGTTCGGGGGGCAAGCTTGGCCTCGATGCCGCTCGAGGTTGGAGCTCTGGTTTTGGGATCGTACGCTCGCACGGCAGCCCAAACGGTTCTTGCGCCGGTGACGACGGCAGCACAGTCCGCGGTCGCCCCGTATAAACCTGGCTGGCTGAAACAGACGGCAGCGACAACAGTTGCGTCGACAGCTTATTCTTGTAGCGGATTGGCCGACAGGATCGCCAGAGACACGGCGGATCCCAATATTCCCGACACAGCACAGCCCTCGCTCGAGAACGGGCCGCAACCCCCGTTCCCGATCGAATTCACAGCGCGTCCGACGCACGCCCTCGATGCCTCCCGCATAGCCCTTAAAATCCCTTCCGACGTCGAAGCCAAATTCCACGGGGGTTTCTTCGGCTGGGCACGCTGTGCCTCGGACCACCCCTGGCAGGCTGTGATCTTTTCCATGCGCACATGGGACGCCGCCCAAACGACGGGACCGGTCTCCCTGTCCCAAACCACGCGTAAAGTGGCCGCCCTCCGGTTCCTCGACGATCCCGTGCCAACGCCTCTCCCTGCAACCATCAACCTCCGTGTTCTCGGGTTTCTCCGTCCGGATATCGCGCCGCCGCCTCCGCGGACTGAAAGGGAGCTGGTGTCTGCACGTCAGACGGCGGCGGAGGCGGCCGTGCTCGCGGAGCAGTGCGACATGGAGTGTGCGCGGGGGATACTCGAGCACCCGCTCTGGGGGCCGGATTCCACTTCTAGCCCTAAGGGATGGATGGAGCGAACAAAGGAGGGCTACGAGAATGTGCGAACGCGCGGCTGGAAGATGGCTGAGCGGGTTGGGGTACGGAGTGGTTTAGAGCACGAATCCGGCGGGGGGTTTTACATTGTGCGGGATTAATCCTCGAAAGGTGAGGCGTTTGGAAAAGCAACATTGTCATTCATATATTGATATACTGATGGTAGATTGAAGGGGGTTATATACACACAGGTAGGCTGCCGTAGTGGATAATAATCACAGCAATAATAATAATCGTAATAGTAATAATAATAACCTGACAAGAACCCCTTTATACAAAGTATCAGTGAAAAAAAAAAAAAAAAACCCTCTCGAAATAGACACTCACTCCCCCCAAACGACAATGATACATACCCCAGATTCTTCAATTTCCTCGCCCACGTATCTCGGAGTGGCTCGGGCTTCTCGATACTTGTTCTTTGATGGCCTTGTTGAACCGGAAACAGACGATGCAGCAGCCGTGCTAGATTGCACTGGCTGGGAGAGTGAAGAGCATGAATTAGGGGATCAGAGCTTTTCACGAGTTGTAATATATCGGTCCGTAATTCAGTTTTGAACTCCTGTATCAAGAATGGGCAGATCGAGTTAGAGGCTTTGATATAATAATTTCCTCGGGACTGACTGTTCGTGTCTACTACTACTATCAATACACGAGAACAACGCGACAACCCTCCGTCGCAAGACTACCCTGTCTGCTAACCATGTCGACGGCTCTTCGCATTGATCGCTGCGACATGGTCCGTCACCAAACACTCAAACGCTTCTGTTCCATAGTAGAAGGTGTTTCCATCGTCCGGCGACTTGCCTGTGCTCAGAGTGTCGCCGTACTGCCAGTACAAGTCAGCCGACACGGCAGTGGTGTTTAGGGCGCTCGTTTGCCATGGCGTTTCGACGGCGCAGTGGTTAGAAGTCACACCATATTCTTCAAAGAGGCAGGGCTTGCCAGCAGCCTCGCATGCAGCGCCGTGGGACGCGACCCAGCCATTGCCCCAGTCATTGGTAGTGCCCCCTATCTCGTCAGCACGTAGGTATGGGATGGGTAGAGTAGAGCAAAGCAAAAAGAAAAAAAAGAGGACATACAGCTGCCTGGGTAGAGATGGAACGTCCCAAAGTCGATAGTGTCAATGGACAGCCCCTTTGCAAAGTCGGATCCCTCAGAGTATCCATATGGATAGCTGCCATCGGAGCCAGTGTCAAGGCCGAAGCCCTCTACTCTTGTTAACGTTCTTCATTTCTGCCTTGGGGAACCAGGGACATACCATCGCCAATGCAAACCATGTGCTTGGAATCCAGCGACTTGATGTACTGACTGGTGCGGGCAATCCAATCGTGCAGAACCGTGGTGTTGCATCCCTTGCAGCGAGGCTCATTGGCCAGCTCCCATGCAAACACGGCGGGAGAGTCAATATACCGAGACACAACGGCGTTGATATATGCACGGTACGCAGCCTGCATCTTGTCGCTGGCATAAAAATCGGCATTGGAGGAACCGCCGTACGCCTGCACGTATGCGTTCATACCACCGTAGTCGTTCCAATAGTTGACGAAATTGATGATAAGCTTGACTCCGCGCTTCTCGGCAGACTGAACCACATAGTCCAGACGCTGCAGGCCGTCCTTGCCTGTGTTGATTGTCGACTTTCCATTCTGATGAAGTTGGAAATATACCGTTCCAGCCGAGGGCACCGCATTCACGTCGTTAAACCCCCAAACCCGCAGCACGCGCAGCCCTGACTCCCTCATATGGTCGAACACCAGGTCCACATCGCGATCGTTCGTCAAGAATCCAATCCAGTATGAGTTGGAGCCGGGGAAATAGCCTGCTTCACCGTCGATGACGAACTGCACACCCGAAGTAGTGGGGAAGGATCCAGACCCTGTGCGAGTCGTCATCGGGGGCAGGGCATAGACCAGCTGTGCCAACGCCATGCCAACTAGGGATACAAAAGGGCGTGAGACCTTCATTTTTTTTTTTTTTCCCCTTTCGTTATCTATAATTCTGAAGGAGTGTGGCCGATGCGGTCGTCCAGTTTTCTCCCAGGGCCCTGAGTCGAACACATGTCTTTTATATTCCGTAACAGGCCCATGTAGTACGGCATATCTGGACATAATCTTCCTGTCAGAGACAATCCCTGTACCTAAAGTGTTCGATATTGGGTGGATATATCTTCGAAACCGGACCAAGCTCCGTTCTTGATCCAGACTGCGGCCAAAAAGGGAGACTTGTCTCGCATAAGAAACCACCCATTCCAAGAAAAGTTGACCCCATTGTCAAACCGATCGGTATCAGGTAAATGGTTTCGTGTCTGGCCGCGTTTGATCCGTGTCATAGTGAGCGAGGCGGATCTGTCGCCGTCGCCACAGCAGTGTATGGCGTTTTAGCCTTCCGTTTGGCTAGTTTATTCTGCTTTATAGGTGCAGATGTAACACGCCACATTGTAACTGCAAATTAGGGTCCAGTTTTATGCTCGCCAGCCTGGGGGTAGATATACCCGTTTCGTGTCGAGATTAGTTCTTGAGGATCATCAGCGTCGACGCTCGTGTCATTTTTACCTGGAAGAATTGAGATTATGCACCAAATCGCCGAACCACGCCTATCAATCCATTCCCCGGATTCGAAATGGAGATGTCTTTCTTGCCATGATTGAGATAAAAGAATGTTCGGGGGCCCAATCAAGAGCAAAGCCCGACTCCTCAGAGCAATAGGACGTTGACAGAAGCTTTACGGAAGAATCTATATCACCCGATACTGTCATACGAACGAAGTCTACGAGCTAAAGATTGCTATGATGTTTCGTTTCTTTTCTAATGGATCTCGATATACCCCAAAAAAAAAACTCCCTCAACAATTCAGAGTGACGGGATAAAAGTTTAAGCGGCTGAATTGGAGCGGAGTCCGGAATAATAATAATACGTCAGGCCAATACTTTGTTGCCTGGATGGTAGGCAGAATCAAAAGAGGAAGGAGTGCCGAAATGACGTCAGCCAGCTCGGGTTTATCACATGACGTCAACAGCCCTAAAACCTACGCAGTTCTGGTGGCAATTAGTCATCAGTCTGGCTGGAGCTTCGGTGTTGACAATTTGACAATTAACAGATTGTCATGCATTCTGAGGAGCTTGTGGAGGTGCGGTGTGTATATCAGATTTGAGTTGTTATGTATGTTGTTCGGCTCGGCCGGGATGTGTGAAGAGTCATTGGCAACTAGCTAACTAATCGTTTGGTAAGAATTTATCAGGCTCGGGGTACATCTTCGGCCGGCTTGCCACTGGGCCGAGGCCAAAGAAGGTGCGGTGCTAAGCGAAGTCCATGGGGTTGCGATTCAGGATTCTATCCCTCAATGTGCATGGAAATGTGCTGTATGGTGCGTGAGACAGGGCGTGGAAAGGAAAGGAGTAGATAAAGGAAGATGATGACAAGGGTCGTCTGTAGGATGATGCCATGCTCTCCATATTTCCCCTCCTTTCCCTCGAGAAATCCGGAATGTAAAGAACGGGGAGGCTTCACCGGTCAGCTTTTCAGGTAAAACCCGTCTCTCCAGTGTGTCTTCTCCACGCTCTCCTCCACCCCTCCCGCAACTCCAGACAGTCCCTTTCCGCGCATTCCGTCGACGACCTTCTACAAAGATGGGGTTGATGTCGGGTGAAAATCAGAACACACGTATGAGTTCCGACTCGTAGATAGCTCGTGATTATAATAAACATAAAAATAAAAAAAGTTCAAGCATCATCCTGATCTAGCGGTCCGTCGATCCTTCAAGCCACAGCCAAGACGGCTTTCAAGCCATGTATAATTCGTAGGCATGCCGAGTACTTTTCATCATTGTGCGCCTCGAGTGCCGAGTTTTCACGACATTCTCGGGTCGGAATTACGGATCCATCTCTCACAACCTGTGCCTTGGGCCAGGCAACTTCGCCCAAGGGCCCGCTATGGCCCATTTTCGCAGCCGATGCTTTCATCTGGTCAGCCGAGTCCCATCAGCGCCTCCTACGTACTTTTCCATCGGCTGTCCCGGGTATGAACCAGTGACAAGCCATTCGCCCCCGGCTTCTCCCTCCCAGGCCGGGTGTACTCCGTACGGAGTAAAATCTGACTTTTTATCCCATATGGCCCCGTAAGAAAGGTGGGTGCGTGGTGTTTGGTTCTGAATCGTCATTGGGCCTCCAATGTTTCCCTTTTGGGCGGTTTCCAGGAGAGTAATCGAGAGTTCTGTCCTCTGCTTACGGATATGTGGATAACAGACATGGCTTCGGTTGGTGGTTTCTCCACATTGCTTGATTTCCCAACACTTGGTGGAGCTGGATGTCCATGCAAATTTTTTTTCTCTGATGCATTATAAAAAGGCAGGAGTGGCGGTCGTCGTCCTGGGGATCGTTCCCCCTTGCACATCCCCGGATTCGATATCTCCCCAAACTATTCGGAGAGAAAAAAAAAAAAAAACATCTTCTTCCTCAATTTACGATTCATTTCATCAAGCCTTGACTGACATATGTTCTTCTGAAAAGAGAAAGTACATCTTCTCTTCCACCATGGGTGTTGAAACCTCCGCCTACCATGGCGAGTCCATCAGCCCGGCTGTTGCATCCCAACAGCCTCAGTATTCCAGCCAGGAGAGCATTGGCAACTCTAAACCTCCAGAGCTAGGCGTGGACACCCCGATCCCCCGAGTTAGCCTTCGTGCGGCGGCCATGGCATTGTTCGTTTCGATAGGTGGACTTCTCTTTGGTTATGATACCGGCCAGATTTCCGGCTTCCAACAAATGTCAAACTATCTCGAGCGGTACGGCGAACTGGGTGCCGATGGGTCATACTATTTCAGCAATGTCCGTGCTGGGTTGATCGTTAGTCTTCTCTCTATTGGAACTCTCATTGGAGCCCTGGCTGGTGCCCCTATCGCCGACAGACTGGGCCGGAAATGGTCCATCACCCTCTGGTGCATGATCCTGAATGTCGGGTTGATCGTCCAGATCACTTCGCCTTCCGGTAACTGGGTCCAGGTCGTGATGGGTCGTTGGACGACCGGTCTTGGTGTTGGTGGCTGCTCCTTGCTGGTCCCCATGTACCAAGGGGAGAGTGCTCCCCGTCACATCCGTGGTACCATGATTAGTTGCTACCAGCTGTTCATGACTCTGGGGATCTTCCTGGCCTACTGTATTAATCTGGGAACCAACCACCTCGACGGCACCGCCCAGTGGCGGATCACTCTCGGACTTACTTTCCTCTTTGCCCTTTTGTTGGGAGGTGGCATGGCCATGTTCCCCGAAAGTCCTCGGTTTGATTACCGACAGGGCCGGGTGGACCATGCCCGTCATACCATGTCCCGCCTGTATGGTGTTCCCGAGAACCATCGTGTCATCATTCAGGAACTCGCCGATATTCAGGCTCAGTTGGATGCCGAGTCTGGGGAGCAGGCGTGGCACGAGTTCCTCACTGCGCCACGCATGTTCTACCGGATTATCCTGGGAATGACTCTTCAGTCTCTGCAGCAGCTTACCGGGGCCAATTACTTCTTCTACTACGTTCGTACTCCTAGCCGCTTCCCACCCGAAATCAGACTAACCTTGAAATGCTAGGGCACCACCATCTTCCGAGGCGCCGGTATCTCCAACAGCTTCGTGACGCAGCTTATCCTGGGTGCTGTCAACTTCGGAAGTACCTTTGGCGGTCTCTATATTGTTGAGAACTTTGGTCGTCGCAAGAGTCTCATCACAGGCGCCACCTGCATGTTCATCTGCTTCATGATCTTTGCCTCGATTGGCCATTTCATGCTGGATGTCGAGAATCCCGAAAACACCCCGGGACCAGGAAAAGGAATGGTGGTTGTCGCCTGCTTCTTCATTCTATGTAAGTCATTCCTCGCATCTTTAAGCCCCCCTTGTATCAACGATACTCTTCATCCCAACACACCAAAAATATACCAATTCGTTCCCTCTCGCGGACGCTGATTTTCTCTTTAAAACAAAAAGTCTTCGCGACGACCTGGGGACCGCAAATCTGGACCTTGGTCGCCGAATTATACCCTTCCAAGTACCGTGCAAAGGGCATGGCCCTGGCCACAGCCTCGAACTGGCTGTGGAACTTCTTGATCGGATTCTTCACTCCGTTCATCACGGGCGACATCGACTTTGCATACGGATACGTCTTCGCCGGCTGTCTGGTGGTTGGCGGCTTGGTCGTTTACTTTTTCGTCATCGAGGGCCAGGGCAGGACCCTGGAGCAGCTCGACTGGATGTATGTCAACAACGTTGCTCCCTGGAAGAGCAGCGATTTCGAGATCCCCACCATCCACTCCTACGAGGACGAGTTCCGTAATACTCGCAAGGAGTCGGCGTACCATGCGGAGAATGCATAGATTGTGTGTATCACTTTCCGGTATAGGTATAGGAACATCACTTCATCGCTGTACATATATGACATGAGTTATGGGAACCGGCAACGGAACTGCGCTTTTGTGAGCATTTTCATGCGTTTTTGATATAGATATATATAGATAGATACCTTGGCTCATTTGAATCTTGAACCGTTTTCAAAGCATATCCCGAGTTCGTGAGACTCTTTTTTTTTTTTTTTTTTTTTTTTTTCCTGCTATGTAGAACTGGATTAGTTTCTGTCCTCCAACTGATTTCTTCTCAGATAGATGCTGAACGGCTTTTATATAGGAGCTGCGGTTGGAAATTACATATATCAATGGCGGTATATTATATCTTATCCCTGATAGCCAAACGGCAGTTATCACAGCAAAAAAGACGACTCTGGAATTAGATCTTCAAATGAACAGCCTTCATCCCCTTCTGCACTTCATTCTGCTCTACCAGCCGATTATACCACGTTGTAACTTCAGGGAATCGTTCCAGGTCCAGTCCAACGGAGCTGGCGGCGGCAGCGTACGGGAAAATCGCGAAATCGGCGAGCGTACTGTTTGTTTTTTTTTTTTTTTTTTCAATGAGCAGGGGTTACCTCTTTCCTAAGAGATATACAAAACGTACTACTTCTTCCCAACTAGATAGGGAGACGGCTGTTGCTGCAGATGCTGCTCCAGGTGGAGGTACAGCGTCAGGGCCCTTCGCGCGAAGGGAGTGTCCTCGGGCATCTCGGGGGGGTGGATGGTCTGGGAAAGGAAAGAAAGCCAGGTGTTGATTTCGTCGCACTCCTTTGCGTCCTGCGGGTAGGAGAATTTGTGGCTGGTGTCATAGGTGCTGAGAAGGTATCGAGTGATGGCCTCGTGCTGGATGATGTGTTTGGTGCCCATGCCGGTGACGTCCGTGATGAGGGGGAGGGAGGTCGCTTTTCTGGCGTCCATGTCATGGATTTCTCCCGGGTGGTTCACCAGGTGGACGCAGTGCGGAAGACTAATGATGTAGTAGTAGAATAGAGACAAAATTCGCGATGGGGATGTTTCTCGTGCGTACCATAGGAACTCTAGGAGCATCGCAATGCTGGCCCCGTCGTTTGACGCTGGAGAGCTATATAGGGCAATCTGCCCTGATCGCTCATCGAAGACGTTCATCTTTTGCGGATACGACTGCCAAGGGGGGGGAAGACCCGAGCTGGGGTCGGAAGAATTTATCTACTACTCCCCCAGAGACAGTTGATCGGAAGAATCGATCCATTATCTTCAGAATGGCCTGATGCTGGTGGAAATGGCATGACATCATGAACCTGGGATTATCCCAAGGGTCCAACCCTTTAGCCTCAACTTACTTTCCATCCTTTTGCCAATCCACGACATATTCGACACACGTGGGGAAATGCATCCGGGGAATCTTCGTTCTAGACAATCTCATGTTATGCGGGGACTATTCGTTCCGAGGTTCTTGATGCTGTAGTTGGATATTAGAGAAAGACGCTACCAAGTCTAAATGGAAGAGCAAAATGTCAAAAGGGGTGAAGGAAAACATTCATTGTAGCATACAAGATCAAAGACAACAAAGAATAGATTTCACTTGCATCTATTCAAAGAGAATGAATAACTGGCAACAGACAAGAGTGGAGGAGTTCGGGTCTAATTCAGCCAGAGTCAAGGATCCCAAAATAGCAAGTAGTTATACATGAATAAACACCAGCCAAATGCTCTATCAAAATAAACACTCCTATGGCCTCATTACCCAACCGCCGCTTGGGTCGCAGATGGACTCCTTTCGCAGCATGTGGCGCAGTTTGTGTAGCCGAAACGGCAGGTAGATATTATACTGCATTCGTTGCAGAAGGCCCTTGAGCTCCATGGTTTTCAGCAGATCGTGTACGGAGCGTAGCAGCTGAGTATTGAGTGCAAGGCAGATGGGAGATTTGATTGTTATGAGTTCTAGAGATGAGGAGGTTTTTATACTTTAGTAGTTCTACGTAAATATTATTCAATACGGATGATTTATGAGGTAATGTTCGGAAGTCCAAACAACTCTCTGGGTATATACTTTTACTACTAGTAGTTAAGGTTATGGAGAATAACTCCCTCTTAGTATTGGCTAGTGAGTTGAAATGGAATTCACATAATGTATATTGCAATTTGCTGTTACCTAACTGAGGATGTAAAGCATTGCTTGTGTGCCAAACCCCAAACACCTTGTATGCGGGAAAGAAAAAGAAGAACAACAAGAACAAGAAACTGCGACAGACTTACAGCAAGCTACATACGGGTAGACAACTCAGATAAATCTCTTCTTGGTGGGTCTTCCCCTTGTACGGCGGCCTGACGCAGGGGCAGTGTCCTCGGGATCTGCGTGGGTGGTAGCTTTGGCTGCACGGCGGCGTGGAGCAGGAGCAGGAGCAGGAGCAGGAACAGCGTCGTTGGTCTCTTCATTGGTGATCACATTGGCTGCACTGGGAGATGTTCCAGAGGCCGCTTTTGACCTGGAAAGCCTGGTCACTTTGGATTTGATTGGGGTTCCGATGAGATTGGCAGTGGTGGTAGCATCGCTGCTGCCGTTGATACCTGTACTTTTACTGCTCGTCTTGACAGCTGTCCAGCTCGACGGGTCATTGCGAGGAGCATTTCCCGTCGTCTGTAGAGACTCGCCAACATCATTCGTAGAATTCCCATTGGTATTAGTAGATGGGGGCTGACCTGGAGTGCCAGCTGCGTTAATTTTCCAAAACGTCAGCGCGGCGTAAATCTTGACCACACTGTTCACATAAGCAAAAGCAACATATCCAGGCAGCATGACCAGATCCTGTGGCTCACGTAAATAGTGCGGGATCAAGTTGACCATCTTCGTGAAAAAAATCCATTTTAGCAGATAGCTAAGAGCGGTTTGGTGGAGTCCGAGAGGGTGTGTTAGTATGCTGTAGATGAAGCCAGGGTTGCAGAGAAGCGCCAGATTGACGAATGAAGTAAGGTAAATGGCAAATACACACCAGGACTGACGATACCACGGTTTTTCATTGGCGAAAAGACGGGCCAAGTTCCTGCGCCAGGTATTCTGTAGGACCCGGGCACATTGGGGCCTGAAGTTTGGATCTGTAGCAAGTGTAGTTTCAATCAGCGCGTCGTGGCAGTGTTGGATTTTGATGTCCCATCCGTGTTGAACGTTCCAGCAGGTGATAAAAGTATCGTCATCCGCGTTCAGCGGGCCGAGCTTATCAGAAAAGCATCGATCATTCAGGAAAGCCGAAGTAAAGCTGGGGTCTGTAAGAATCTCGGAGCGATGGGCAGAGGTCCGCCCGGAAAGGAGAGAGAGGCCAGCATCGATAGCATTTGTCGCCCGGGTATCCAGATGATCCCGCTCCAAGAAGAGCACCTCCATCATATTCCAGAAGGATTTCATATTGAAGCCCTTCTCAGTCCGGCGGACCTGTGTGTTGCCCTCGACCGCCCCGACTTTAGGATCTTCGAAGGGAGCCAGAAGGGCAGGAAGGAATCGAGTCGATGGCCAAAAGACGCGATCATCTAATAGGACTGTGACCTTAGTTCGGACATATCGAAGCCCATGGACAATCAGCAGACGCTTGTTTGCCTCGCTCGCGGTTTTGACCGAAATCTTCGTACGCGGGAAGCCCAGCTTAAAAGAAGCAACCGCCTCCTTCGTCAACTTCGTGCACTCTTGACCTGCAGTAACGACGATGATTGTGCTTGGGGCATTGACCAAACATGTCCCCAGGCATTCGGCGAAATCCGGGTTCGTAGGATCAAGAGTAGGAAGAATAACCGTGCAATCGGAAGGACGAAGGGTGGGGGATTTTGGAACCGGGATTGCGCGGTAAGAACACCAGTATGAGATCAGGTGGACTAATTGACAGAGGTGCCTGAATATAAATAAGTAGATAACATACGTGGAGTCTCGTTTAGCGAAGAGTTTGCCTACCAGAATTGCAAGAGTGCTCCGGAGGAAGCGAGACACTGCGTTAAGATAGAAGCGGCCAGCCGGAAGGCACGCGCGAGCTAGATCAAAAACACGAAAGTTGACTCGACTGATAAAGGGAAGGACATACTGACGAAATATTGTGAGCAATCTGAAGAAGTGTAAGCTGGTGAAGGCGGCGGCTGTCGAGAAGAAGGGAGTGATAAGGGGCGATGTAAGCGCAAAAGGCAAAAGAAGGATTATGACAAGAACGCGGAACATCCTGTCGACTCGGTAGAGAAATCAGGGATTGAAGATGATGAAGACCTTGTTAGTATCTGTTGCTTGCTTAAGAAGAGCTTGGTATGATTTGGAGATTGAGTAGTTGTGTTGATGGAGAGACCTGAGGGAAACCCTACCTTTAAATATGATATCTCTACAGAGTAAGATCTTGGAATATTCAGGGGACATGGGTTGAAACCATTGTATAATAATCTGTAAGAACGATGAACAAAGTAACGCACAGGCTGGTATATGAAACACAGTGCAAGGAATGGAAGATGGGACGAATTCTGACAATTGAACAATGACTCTTCATCGCAACATATTGGCAGGATATTGGAAACAGGTTACAATGGTGATGTGCTAAATGATGCCGGAACAAAGGCTAGAGAGTACAATGAACCCGGTCCTGCAATCTCTATCATTGTATCATTACAGTCTCGTCTTCCTTTACAAAGTCGAATTCCTTTGTCCTCTAGATCCCTTGCTAAAGTTGATGCTAAGGACATGTAATAGCAGCTATGCTCGAAAGCAAGACGTGTGAAAGGAAGTGGAATATGAGGCGAGGCAAGAGAGGCAATTGCTGGCTTTCTACAGGTGAATGCCCCATTTCGACCTTAGAATGAAGTGAACCATAGCTAACTACCAAGTATACGGAAATTTCTGGGTGGAGTTGGGACTGTGTTGTCATCCCCAGAGAACTACAAAGGATGAATAAAGAACCCTGATTAGAAAGAAAAACGGGCTTTACTAGAATTCATCAAGGGGAAAGTTTAAAAAAAATATCAATTATTCAAGACTATCATTAACTTAGCAAAGGGAAATGGACAGCAACTAGAGACACTTATAAGGGCATTGCTGAAAATGCTCCATGCTGGAGCCCTGTTGGTGGTATACAATCTGGATGGAGGACCCTGAATATATCAATAATCCAAAGACTAGTACTGACTGAACAAAGGAAAATGGGCGAGCATCTAGAGACGCTCATCATCTCTGGGCTCCTTTCCCGGGGCATTGCTGGGAATCTCCACGCTAGGGCAAAACATCTGTCGGTGGTATGGAACATGGATCAAAACCCTAGGGATATCAGCAAATTCACAGAGATGACTTTGATCGTTGTTACATTCGCAGACAACGGCAGCTCCGGTAAAGTTTCTGCCACAGATGCTGCAGACCTTTCTATCGTCATTGGGCTCAGGCGCATCAGGGCGGCGGGTAGGGTTGGAGGCGTTGTTGAGAGCGTGGGAAGCCATTTTAGCGATGGTGGTTGAGCAGGTAAGTGTCCGTTCTGAATGTATGCAAGGATTCGAAATGATCGTGTCAGGATAAACCTGGAGAGAGAGCTGGATTTGGATGGTGGTTATGCGAGATGAAGCCAAAGGCAAGGATGTTGCTGGGAGAGAGGAAATTGCTGGGGGCTTGAGGCTTTTTATATATTTTCTGGGGATCGGCTGGGTCTCATCTGTATCGATGATCTCCTTTTGTTTTTTTATAAGATGGTTGGGATTAATCGGAGTCTATCTGTTACAGCCATAACTATACCAGGATTTCGATTTTTCTCCGGGACGCATAAAGAAAGAAAGAATGTGTATACAGCCTGCAGCTCCAACAACGACAAGATCCGGGATCCTCAAGGGCGTAATAAAGCCCTTGGATGAATAAAATGCAGCAGACCCTCTTCCTTTTCATAACCAAGAAATGAACCTGTTTACAAGGGAAATCCCCGAGATTCGGAAGTGGACGAGTTTCCAGCCTCAGAATGGCCCAATCTGGGATTCAACAGGACTATTTGTAAGGTGAAACGCTATTATAACAGTGGTCTAGTGCACGTAGGTGGTTGCTGCCCCTCTTTTCCCTATCCAGCAACACACACATACTTGAGATTGAATATACAGAGAAATAATAATAATATTCTACTCTACTCTTGTTATACTTCGGTTTATACGGACCGGTGCCGGATAAACTATAGATCCGTCACCTGACTGGCATAAGACCGCTAGTCCATATATGCACTAGTCACCGTTTATCATCACGTGCTGTCCCCGCCAATCTTCAAGATCGATAAAAAAAAAAAGATCAATTGTTGATGCTTGAAATTCACACTTCATTCCATAGCCACAATGGGCAAAGTCCAACGCGGAACGCGAGCTAAGGCTTCTGGGTCGCCATACCAGAAACCTGGAAAAGCTGATAGAGGACCCCTGGGCAAAGCTACCTCGTCCATCTTCAAGTTCAATACGGATCTTGGCCAGCACATCCTGAAAAATGGAGCAATCGCGGACACAATCGTTGATAAAGCAAACGTCCAGCCCAGCCAGACTGTGCTTGAAGTTGGTCCTGGTCCTGGTATCTTGACGACCCGTATCCTGGAGAAGGCCAAGAAGGTTCTCGCTGTCGAAGTCGATCCCCGCATGGCGGCTGAATTGACCAAACGCTTCCAAGGAACACCGGCAGAGAAGAAGCTCCAGATTGTGCTCGGAGACTTCATCAAGACGGATCTCTCGAAACTCCCCCCTTTCCAAATCTGTATCAGTAACACGCCATACCAGGTACGCAACTGTTATCGTGATTTTTGAGCTTGTCTCACGCAGTCCTTCTAGATTTCGTCCCCGCTCGTCTTCAAACTTCTTTCCATGCCCAACCCTCCCAAAATGTGTGTTCTCATGGTCCAGCGTGAATTCGCCCTTCGACTGATCGCGCGTCCCGGAGATGCTCTGTACTCTCGTTTGTCTGTCAACGTGCAGTTCTTCGCTCGTGTCTCGCACATCATGAAAGTCGGGAGAAACAACTTCCGACCACCTCCTCAGGTCGAGTCCAGTGTCGTACGAATCGAACCGAAAACGGGACGACCGGAAATCAGCTGGGATGAGTGGGACGGCATGCTACGCATCTGTTTCGTGCGAAAGAACAAGACCCTGCGAGCAGGATTCATGACGACCAAGATCCGGATGATGATCGAGAAGAATTGGATTACTTGGGCTTCGATGAACCCGGAGAAGGTTGCTCAAGCCGATATTGATATTTTGCTCGGAAACACCCCTCTCCCGGAATCGCTGGGTGCCAAGGAGGATGGGGATATGGATATGACAGAGGACGCCGCTGGGGGACCAGAGGGCGACGATGATGACGTGGATATCTTTATGGATGAAGCGGCAACCAACGATAAGAGTGCATCCGGTGTGGCTAGTGGCCCCATCGTGACGGTTGCCTCGCACCAGGTTCCTCGAAATATGGTGACCAAGCTGATCCAACTCAAGATCCAACGGATTTTGGATGGAGCCGGGCTGGCCACTGCTCGTGCAAACAAGTGTGACGAAAACGACTTCCTACGCCTTCTTCATCTTTGCAACACAGAGGGCATTCATTTTTCGTAATGCGATGAATGACTGCTTCATGTTAGACATAGACTCGAACCCGGCATTCTTTTCTACGAGTTTGATCCGCCCGGGCGGGGTTAGGATGACTGTGCTATATCAACTGTACAAACCGTTGTTGCATCCTACCCCGTCCTAGCTGGCCCTTGCACGCTCTCAGCCGAGTGGTGCTGGACACTGCTCTACGCCCATTATGGATTTGTCTCCAGCCTATCGGGTCGGAATCTCCGGCCTACGGCACACTCCAACCTTTATAGACCGGTAATGATTAAAAGTAAGATTTTGATATACTCTCTGTCGGCATTGAGTTAATTTATGATTATGCAATGTTTGGGTAGCCCTTTTAAATAAATGAGTTTTGGAGCTAGATATCTGCAAGGTGCACTCCTGGAGGGTATTCTACCCTGACGTGCATGGGAGATCATCTATACGAGGGTGAGCTTCCAGAGTCTGAGATCTGTTGTGGAATCTCTGCAGCTGTGCCACTAACGTAATATACTTTTTTTTTTTGTGCTTTCAGCTAGTATTGTGTTGAAATTGTCAACTCTCCAAGTCTTCCTCCAGGGAAGTGTGCATTCCCTGTAACTTGGTATAACAACCGCACATCTTAAATCTCCGAATCTTATCAGTGTCCGTGAATAGACGCAGCAAGCGCCTGCGCTTCATTTGTTTGTCCAAGTGCCTCGGCTTCTAACGCCTTCACTGACCTCTTCTCCTTCTCGATGCCATTCCGCCTCTGAGCTACATCACACAGCTCAACATTCCCGCATTCACAATCGCCTTCTCTGAGCCAGCGATACGTAATGCTCCACCGCTCCGCACGGGCCCTGGCCGTCCCGTCCGCGAGTATATCTGATTTGCGCTTCTTAATCCCATGCGTCCAATGTAGCCTCGAGTCGCCCGTGAACGAAATCATACTGCGCGGAGTGAGATCGACATCCACGCGCCGGTCGCCATTCCGGAACTGCATGATGACCGGCGCGCCCAGAGACAGCGCATAGAGCTGGTCGTAGGGTCCGTGGGCATCTACATGCGGCGGGATGCCAGCGCCGGGCGGGTAATACTGCAAACAGACCTGGTCGGGCGGGCGGTTCTCGGTCGTGGGAATCAGCGGCCGCAGCCATTCGGGAAACTGCTTGTAGTCGATATCCGGGTCTATTCCAAAGGTCTTATAGTCGAAGGTGTAGCCGTAGTGCAGGGAGAGTCGACCGGGGCGATCGGCCCAGGTCAACTCATTGCGGAAGATCCAGAGCAGGCGCTGCTCGTGTTCGGGGTCGATGAAGTCATCTTGCCAGAGAAGTCCGTTTGGCTCGACAGGCAGCTGGTTAAGCTTGGTCTGCCTCGTCATGCCCGTGCTGTCGCAATAAGGCGACCAGTCTTCAAGAATCGCTGGAGAGAGAGAATTCAGTTTGTACTCTAGATGCGATGATTACCTAACTCCAGCTAGATGAGTCAGGAATTACATAATCCATATCATCCAAGGCAGATGAACTAAATATATATATTTTTTTGACTCCTGAATAACTCGTGAAAATGCATTTAGTGCTAAGCTCACTCAGGCAATGGCCATGGAGGTTGTTGGATCCTGGACTTGCATCGACTAGAGAAGTGTCCCAACGGCAGGTACATTGTTTTCTCCAAGTAGGGCTGTCTAGGTCTACCTAGGTAACTGATAGTGGCATACTTTGTATGATCCCGACTGGTATCTTACCGTCTCTCATGAAAATAAACTCTTTCTCCACTTAGTCTTGTCTATGGAGAAGATTGTGACAACTTCCTGTTTCAAGTCCACCTAGAAAACACACCTCCCAATTCAGATGTGGTCAGAATCTAGGTATGGAATCATTCAGAGTAATTCCGTTCTACCTATGACAGTACTGCACTGGTCACTATCGCAACTGGATGGAATTAACCATACTAGCCTGCTCACTTCAGAAGCGGTTGTAGCAGTAGTAGTTCTAGTTAAGGGGCCATCACGGAGCAAGAACCTCATACGATTTCAAGACTAGATGGCGTCAAGACATTGCACCCATTACCGGTCAAATAAGGACACGACTATGAAATCCTCAAGGCTCGTAAGAATTAGAGAAGCCTTGCTACCTTTTCTTTGGTAGTCACTCTCTAGGACCAAGGAAAGGGCGCTGTTCTAATCCTCTACAAGGCGTGCTCTGGCTCTCAGACACTATTGAAGCAAGTCTCATTAGACATAAATAGCAATAAAACGCATTCAAGACTATAGAATAGCCTGGGTATTTTGGTGGTCTTGTCATAAACAACGTGCGTATGTTCAGAACTTAGGTACCAAGATTATACGCACTCTGCTGATATCCCTAGGCATCACCACAGATCCCAACTATAAAGATTCACTTTTATGTTTTGATTATTCAGGACGCAATCAATAACAGCTCTCCTGTCTTCATGCCTTTACAGCCAAAGCTCCTTGAGTCTATGTATGAAACTAGAGGGCCTGTTAGGTCTCTTGACGATATGGTTCTATGCCTTTTGTTCAGCAGCAAGCACCTCGTAAGAAAACCAGCCTGTCAACCCATAGTACCCACTGCCCTCTTGCACCGACAGCAATTCCTCATTTTAACTCTGGAATATGAAACCGCCATGGAGGGGCGGGAGGAATGGAGAAGGTTGCATACCGAGTATATTGCAGACCCACTATTATGATTCCTGCAGAACCACACCACCCCTCACTCAAGAATCGAGATATCGTTCGGGACACTTGACGAGAGCATAACACTCCCTCCTTATTGCCTCACAAGCTAAGGAAAATCTGCTTTGGCGCACCTGACGACAAGAGGTCCCCTCTCTCCCTCTGCACAAGGCACCGCCGACCCACAGACGAGAACCCCCCCCCCCCCCCCCCTCTTTCGAAACAGGTAAGAAGATATCGTTCACAGAATGAATGCATTGAAACCAAGTTTCTCCGTCAATCAATTAAACTCATCCCCGCACGTGTAGCTGCTCCGATCCGTGTCCACGAGGGCACCGCTAGACCCGAGTAATCTCAGAGTCTGCGAATACCTGGGTCTTCTTTACCGGTTCTCGGCGGAAATACCGTTTAGGGTTGTCTCCGGATCTCCCAGGAGCGCCTTTCTTCAGCCTAGCCTAATGCAGAGAGATAGTTGGGGAGATCTTTGCGTTGGATTTTGACGATAACTATTGCGTTGGAGCTGCGGTGTTGTTGCGAGTCAGAGAGTAATATAGCGTAAACCTAAGCCGGCGGGGTTGGTTATTCTGGCGGTTTCCGTCCAGTCTCTCGAATGAAACCTAGCATGTTTTGCTACGGATAGCTATGAAGCCGAATTCTTGGAGGCCATATGGTAGAAATGTCACATACTGCGTTCTCAAGGGATTTAGATTCAAATTGGTTGGTGATACGTGGTTTATTTTTCTACGAGAGCCAAGGGAGGTAAGTACATAGGTTAAATCCTTTCCACTTGTATTGCACGATGCGGGAATAGCCACCCCCACCCACCCTTAGGTATGTACAGTATATATATTCTATACTATATACTAGTTTCACGACTAATCGATCCTGCGGCGCACATCATCCCCTTAAGAACATTCGGTAATAGCCTCGAAGTACCACCGGTGAGCGGTCACGCTATCAAGGAGCGTGCCGTCATTTCCTGCAGTCGAGTCTACCCCCGTAACCTCCCTGATATCGGAGGCGGTCACAGCCACGCCGTTGCCGCTGGTAATATAGTACTCGGGGCTGAAGTGGTGGTATCCCAGAAGCTCTGGGGGCATCTTGGGGACGACATCGTCGGTGTGTGTAGTACGGTAGTTGTTACCCATATCCTGGTCGGTGATGAAGTCGGCCAGAGCAAGGTTACCGATACGGGGCTGGCCGAAGTTGTACTTTATTTACGCAGGCCTTGTTAGCGATTTGGGGAGGGATCCATAGTTATGGTCGAAGCTTTAAAGTTGACTTACCAAATCAATAGTATATCCCGCCTCGCGAAGGACGGTAGCCCCAACGGCCGCTAGGGCAGCACCGTAGCTGTGGCCAGTAAAGACCAGGGTGTAACCGGAGTAGCTGGACACAGCCGCCTCGACCTTGGCGGTAATGGTGGTGGCAACAGTTTCCCAGGCCTTCCAGAAGCCGCTGTGGATTTTGCATCCAGAGCACAGGGAACTGTCGGTGAGACTAATGTCCAGGTCGGCAATCCAGTTGGAGAGGTCGGAGCTGCCGCGGAAAGAGACAACAATGGCTTCATTAGTCTTGTCGATGGCGACGAAACCGGTGGCGTCGCCGTAATCCGTGGTTCTGGGACATGAGTTTTAGCTCGGGGGTTTTGATAATACACAGCCACTGGGGGATTTTGTCCTTACTCATCAAACTTATCAATGGCAGTGGGGTCTGCGGATTGAACCAGGGGGCAGTTGCCTGCAGAGCAAGACAGGGTGGTGGTCTCCGAGTTGAAGTTGGAAGAACAGTAGGCCGCGGCACTGTACTGGGCAAAGAGATCCAACTTATCCAACAAGGATGAAGAGACAGCTAACAGCCGACTTAGCAATCATAGAAAGAACAAGAAAAACAAAACAAATGTACCTCGACGAGTAACTGGCGCTGGAGCAGCTTGGGCCAGCATGGCAAGACCAGCAGCAGCTCCGAGATGCTTGCGGAAGAACATTGTGGGAGACCGCGAATGATACCGAGAAATAAGGAAGAGGTGTGACTTGGAGGATGATTGTCGTGGTTCCTGGATCAACCTTGTACACAGCGAGACTCTGGTCGATCTTATATAGCAGGGGCTCTCTGAAGTCCGTAACACACATGGCCGTGAGTACTTCGTAGATTGGTTGCTTGACCTGATACTAGCCATGCGTCTAGCAACGCAAGTGTGTTATAGAACTAAATTGCTTCTCCCGAAGGAATAGATTGCAAGTGGAGACTGTCGGGAGTTACAATTAGATCCTAATGCTTATCTAGGCTTGGTTGTTCTGCAGCAGGACTAGAATGACTTCATGCATAAACGACGCGGGTAGTAAGTTTTATACAAGAAGCTATTTTGCCCCTCTTCTACTTCTCTACTCCTATCAAACCTGCAGATGTCACTCATGAATGGTCATGCCTTTCTATTCCAATGTGGATATACGGTATACAAATACCTGCATCTAACAGTAGTATTGTCCTACGGCATACTCCCTCAAGTACCTGGCTGCATGATATTCGTCCTAAAAGCCGACGGGCAATTTTATTCCTTGCAGCTGCATCCGGATTGCAACTTGATACGAGTACGCCCAAATGTATCAGGGCATTTCACGTAAAATCCTGACAGCTGGACCGGATCCCCGTGTCCCACGAGCGTCACGCCATGCAGGATTGTGGATATTTCCAGGCAATCACGCACGAAGCGCGAGACTAAAAAGTTTAAAAAGAAGACGATGGACGCCTCCATGTATCGTGACAGGTCTAGCAATTACCCACTTCCCCATCGTCCTTGTGGCTCTCTTGTCATCAACCTCGATGCTGTCGGCAAGGCTCTCGTTGCTACCCTCCTCTTCTGGACCGGTTTCGCTGCTGTAGCAATCGTCGTCGTCTGGGTTCGCAGCGTGGTCGGACTCGGAATGTAATTCTTGCAACTGGGATAGATAGAGCCCGTTATCCGCTTCAATACTCCAATACATAAGGGTGGAAAAGATAGGGCTCTCCGCTAGTGACTGTCAATTCTTTGCTCTGGCCCCCGACTAACTTGGCACGTTGGCGTATATTTCCTGGCCATTTGCCTTCATACTCAGTGGGTCGGCTGCGTCTCATCTTAGCTGGTTTTGCGGACGTATTATGCCACTTGGGATCTGTGCCGGGACGATGCTCTCGTTATCATGCCATTTCCGAGGGCGCTGCTGTTCACGGCGTGTTTTAAGTCGCCCGAGGGGTGAGCAAGACTTGATGGACTTTTGGCCCTGGCGCGGATGAAAAATTATTATGAACAGGCCTCCGCTCCGCCTAGTACGACTTGGAAGGCATAAGGGGTTGTTGTTGGAGTTACGAAATAGATCCTTCGAGTTCTAGGAAACCTTTCTACACTTGATCGCAGGCATGGCCTTACTTTATATCTGCCGTGAAGACAGATCGTAATGACCTGGGTATGTGTAATCCTCCAGATTCCAGAAACCCCCAAATGCCGTACCACAACCGAGTGAAGCTGGCTGACATTGACTGCTGCATGATGTCCAATCAGTGAGTACGGAGTATGATGATGCAGGGTGACTGGAATGGAATGTTACATGAGTGGAAAGACTCCCGGGACTAGCTAGACCGGGGATTAACGGTTTTTGACAAGCTCTATATTTTGTTTCACTCAAATTGACTACACCGCATTCTACATAGTAGTATTGCTTAATATGGAGGAGCATCCCCGGCTGTATTGTCATTTTCTCATTGGCTGGTATACCCCAGGAGTGTGTGATAGGAATGCATAACAACCACACCAACGCAACGGGATCATACCTAAATGTGGTTTTGTTTTGCATCATCGGATCAGAGAAGTCCCGGTCTTGCTTTTCAGGAAGGTAGAGAAAAGTAACTACGGATACGTGATGCGAAATCTGATGGATCCAGCCTCCCGCAAAGTCGACATCCGTTCTTCACCCCTTTCCATTATGTAGCGCGTTGAATATCTTATAATTCCTCCGTATACAGACTGTATATGTCAATGTATCTCTTCTCATATATACGGAGTACACCGTTCTTTGACCGGATCTAATTATTGCCCGACTCGCGCTATACTTCGCAGCGAAGTGAAGTGCTTCTTCTTCTTCTTCGAAATGCAGTCCATAAGCCGTGCCATGAAGCGCATATCCTTCCTCCGTGCCAAACCTCTCCAGCTCTCACCACCAGTCTCGGGGACTTCCATTCATCATTGCGAACTGGTGGATGAAGAAATCTGTCCTGGGTACAATCCCAAGCACTATTATCCCGCAAAACCGGGTGAAATTCTTGCTAATCGGTAGATATCGATGGCAGGCTGAGCGCCTTGTTGCTCTAAAAATTATCAATAACGACAATCCCAAAGGCGCCTACCGTGAGCGTGATATTGAGGAACACATTAAACGGCAAAAAAGCCTCGCACCGCGGTCGTCCGGTGATTCGCAATTACCTTGACGACTTTGAAGTAACAGGTCCTGTAGGAAATCATCTATGCTTAGCCTACGAACCGGCACGGGAGCCCCTCTAGATTCTCCAAAAACGGTGTGAAGTCGAGAGATTTCCTCTGTCAATAGCTAAAGCGTATATTCTTATTATCTTAGCCGGCCTCGATTACCTACACTCTGAATGCAGGGTTGTCCACACTGGCAAGTAGAGTAGCCGGATCATACCCACTTAATCGAGGAATCACGAACCTAATATGGATGTTCTCAGACTTGAAACTGGACAATATACTCGTCACTTTTGAAAGGGAAGGCATCCTCCCGAGATTCGTCAAACAACACAGCAGCTCAGTCTATGCAAAGCAAAACCGATCCAAATACCGGGCGAGTTGTCTATCGGTGTCACAACGACTTCGGACCTCTTGACTCGAGTAGACTAGGCAATATGTTTCCCCAAATAACCGATTTTGGTGCGGCGACTCTCCTCAGCAACGACAGGCACGATGGCACTGTTCAACTTGGTACCAGTCCCATACAACCCGACCATTATCGTGCGCCAGAAGTTGTCCTTGGTTGCGGTTGGAGCTTCAGTGCCGATATATGGAATTTGGGAGTTATGGTAAGATATACGTTGTCGTCTGTCACATATGTGGGAAATATAAGTAGTTACTCACTCTGCAACAGCTGTGGAATCTAATTGAGGATACGGAGCTATTTACGCAGGTGCAAGATGCACAAGGAAATTATGATTCAAAAGCACATCTCGCGGAGATGATAGCACTGCTTGGTCAACCGCCTAAGAAATTGCTTGTAATGTCGGATTCCATGGCACAGGTTGTTGAGTGGTCTCCGGCAATCACAGACGAGAGGGGCAAGATATACAGTAATAATAGGGATTATTTTGAAGGACCGTTTTTTGATGACAAGGGTAAGCAGTGTAGCTATGCAATTTACGTATGTACGCTGATTCACATTGCGGTAGGCAACTTCCTCTACGATGAGCTGATACCGACTCGGAAACTCGAAGATACTGTTCCATCTTTAGAAGCAGGCGATAGGGAGGCTTGTCTGTCCTTTATCAAACAAATGCTGGCATGGCTGCCCGAGGAGCGAAAGACGGATCCGTTCCTCAACTGATCGAGCTATGGAAGTATTTCGGTACGGTCGAGCTTCGGTTTTTCTCACCGTGGTTGAAACCTAGGATCACCCATGCGCATTTATACGGATGTCTTGCGTAAGTGGGGTTTATTCTGTACTTTGACGGTGGCTACTTATAGCTTGGTTGACGTCGGGCATGCAACTTTCCATTTCCAGGCGTTCTATGTCTAGAGTACAGAGAGGTGGGAATATGATCTTCGCTAAGGGGCAAAGAAATAGAGATAGACTGGCCCTCGCATGGTTATCGCCGGTACGATGAGCCACGAGCCTATTGCTGCCCCAGAGCTATCTAACTAGTTCTCGTGGTACTGGGGGGCTAATTCCATGTCTCCATAAGGGCATATTGAAGCCTTACAGCATTGCTAAACGTTGCTTACATTCCTTCGGTAAGCAAGATGCTTCTTCGTCTCTTTGCACTCAGATCCTGGACCAAACCGGAGACTATTTCTTAACCAACACAGTTCCGAAAGCTCATCCCGAACTGATATGGATAGGTTGGAAGTAAACGGGTGATTGTTTTATGATTCCCTCAACTAACAACCACCGTCTTAACTGGGTCTGAAATATTGATTCCTCATTGCCCCCAGCAGCCTAGTTATGTGTAGTGGTTGGGATTTCTATTACAGTTCTGGATAGCCTATCATTTCCAATATTTCAGCATTTTTCACGTCGTATATTAACAAACAATATTTGACGTAAAGTGGTTATAGTCAGCCCTACCGACTACAACCTGTAATACCTGATACTTTCATGGATTCATTTCATTTGGCTCTCATATCGACAACCACTGGTTCATCGATACGGAAATCGATCAACTTGTTCACATGGTTGGGTTGGATTGGATAAACTTCCGTCTATAGATCTTGAGATCCATGGTTCCACGACAGCAAGCAATCAGCTTTGGATTGACTCTGGTCGACTGATCTCCATAGCGGCAAGTAGACGTCATGAAGACCTGATCTAGTATACCTGGAAACTACCGTCGTTGGGCCGGATTCGAAGCTATATGGAGGCGTCAAGTGACAGGTTCTATAGACCAGGAGCGTTATGTCATACCTCTATGGTCATACGATCAAATTGTCAAGCAATCTGGGTATTCAGGTTTTGTACCAGGTCTGGCCGGTGATAGCCAGCTTCTTCTCGAATGGTTATCACTGCTGAATGGTTGGGCAGCCGGCTCTCACCAGACCCAACCCATGGAAGTCTTAACCACTCTTCAGTGTCATATAGTAGATGCTTCTCGTCAGGCGTATGTCTTTTTCCCCATTAGCTACTCCGGATTACTGTAAAGGATTAGTAGACAGCTATAAAACCAACTGCGGAGCACCTGACAACCCCCGTCGTTGACGGTTTCTTCACCCCAGACAATACACTCTTCCTCCATTAAATACGAACCACTCGTGAGAACTTCGTCATGTCGAATACAGGGTCTGTTCTGCGCCCCGTCCTGTTTATCATCCGCTGTCTAGTATGGATGAGTGCAGTCATTGTGCTAGGCCTTGCGGCGTGGGCGACTGTCCACTTTAAAAACTACCGAATTATATATCCTCTTGTGATTGTAAGACGGCCACCCTATCCTGTTGACATAACCACCCAGCTAAATGCTATTCACAGGCCGTCCTTACCGTGGTATTCTATATCCCAGCAATTGTATTCGCCTTGATGAAGCGCAATCATGGACATATGCTTCCCCTCGATATAATATTCTCCTTCTTGTGAGTGACGAACAATCCCGCATCCAAATCCAACGGCCTCCGTATGCAGCAATAAACTAACCATCGAACGATTACGATCAGGTGGCTGGCTGCCTTCATATTCCTGGCTCAGCATATTAGCAGTATTGGGTGCCACTGGTTCGCCCGGTCGTTTTCCAGCGGCTGCGCAAGGAAGAATGCCGCGGAGGCATTCGCCTTCTTAGCATTGTGAGTTTCCCGAGAGATCCTCAATCGAGTAACCACCTTCTCTAATGCCAGCCACATAGCTTCTTCACTCTTGTGTGCATGTGTCTTGAGATTCTGAACCTATATGACTATGCCAAATCAACGGGCTCAGTCGAGCGTCACGGTGAAAAGTACCCGCCAGTTCGAAACGGCGAAGGCGCTGCCACTGCTCCTACGGCTCCTACTGCTGCCACTGCTTCAACTGCTCCTCATGCTCCTGCTCTTCCTCCTGCTCCTCATGCTCCTGCTATGCCTCCTGCTCCTACTGCTCCTACTGCTCCTACTGCTCCTACTGCTCCTACTGCTCCTACTGCTCCTACTGCTCCTTATGCTTCTTATGCTCCTCAACCCACCCATGGTGGCCAAAATGTGGTTTAAAATGTTGGTAATCGTGGAAGTAATACTATTTGACTCTTAATTGGAGCGGTTTGAAGGCGACGAATGGACAGATCGATGGGAGAAGAATTCAAAGTACAGGAGAAACTTGGGTTATATTTGTTTTTTTTTTTTTGTTTTTTTTTTCCAGCTTGTTCTATACCGACAACTCTTCATCCTGACGCATTCTTGTGTTATTTTTCAAGAAATTTGAAGTTGGAACTCTTATATTGCTCATGGAGTTGTGCTAAATGCAGTCTGTGTATATCCATTCCAAATTCAGTCTTCCTCATGTGAATTGAGATTATTAAACCCGCGTCCTAATTTACAACATCTACTCCAAATAACGCTGTGAAATAGTGTCAATGGCACTTGGGACGGCCTAAGCACCATATCAAATCAAGTACAAAACCCCTGGATCATGATTATGCCCGAACCCGCTGCCGTCCTACCTACCAGTCACAGACCGCGCGGGCTTGACAGCATGCGCAAACCCAACCTTCATGTTTAACCCATCCCAAACAGTGTAGTACGCCTTCAACACCGGAGAACCCAGCAGCCACACCGGCTGGTCGCCGGATGGATCTTGGATGATCTCCACGGGGTTGCTAAAGGCCGCTTGACATATCCCGGGGAGACCGGGGTATTCACCAAGGTTGAAGAGGTGTCGCGGCAAGGTGAGCTGGAATCGGTGGTCGCCGTCGCCGATAGCCAATTTAAGCGTGGGAGCAACCGAGTCCAAAATGTCGCAGGGGGCACCCCATGCCCCAGCAGCATCAATCTGCTTGATGTGCGGAGAGATCTGCTGGTAGATATCCCAGGCGGACTGCTTATCCGGTGTCTGCAGGAAGCTGGTGCCCGTGTCGAGGGCCGCAAGACCAGATCGAAATTTCGCGGGCTTACCACCGACAATGCCGCTGGTGTAGTTCCCACGCGTGAGGGCCGGCTTTCCATCAATGTGGATTTCTTGCAGGTCCATGACAAACGCCGATGAAACAGCGCTGAGGTTCTTGTTCAGATCCACGTAGGTGAGATGGCCCTCGTATTTCGAGTGGTCGATGCCTCCGAGTTTGAGTTCGGCGCCGTCCACGGACCCAGGCAGAAGATAGAATGAAAACACGGGTTCTGGTAACTGGCCACTGGCATACAGGGACCAGAAAGTGGGAATAATATCCGCGTCCGACTGCGGGGCTATGCCCATACCGAGGATGCCGTCCATCGCGACGTCCTCAAAGGCCTCCGGGTATTGATGGCACAGTGCAAACATCTGGCCTGGAGCTTTGAGACCACCCAGGCTTACGGTGTCGGTAACAACAGTGCAGTTCGCGGTTTCCGCCTCCGCTATTGGGATAGTGGTTGCCCCTGTACTAAAGTCCAAGACCACATCTTCCCCCGGCGAGGAAGAGAATGACGTGGATTCCGCTGGGTCGAAAAGAGTATGCTTGCCACAGGTGGTGCAATTCCGCTGCGGCAGCACAAGAGCCGTGGAGCCAGTATCGTACATAACGGTGCTTGTCACGTCGGTCAGCTACCATGATATACACTGGAAAAAGATATTGGAAGCATACTCACAAGGTTTGAGCCGGTGTCCCAACTTCAATGGTACTATACCACTATCCCTCGGAATGATGGTCAGCTTCTGGACACGGTAAATGCGGGCTCACACGGGGAGGTAGGTTACTTGGAGATCGGTCTGGCGAATCCAGTCCGTAAGAGGTACACGGACTCCATGGGCCTTTGTCGATCTGCTGTCCAGTTCCGACAAGGCAGCCCGTTTGATGGAACGACTTTGTAGTCTAACCAGTCCCGGCTCAGCCAAACTAGAAGCAACGGACGATGCTAGGGACAAGCCAGCAGCTAAATACAGTGCCGGGTACATCATCTTGGGCAGGGATCTGAGAAAATGGGGAATATCGATGTTTCGTTTTCTTCTTTGAAGATCTTGTCAAGCATAAGGGAACTCTTTCCATGTTAAATACCTATATCATGGATGTCACCCATTGGTTAGGGGATTGAAGCTTACGGGGGAGCCAATAATCGAAGCCCTAGAAGATGGCACACTACCATCCTTCCGTACCAGGCGCCAATTAGAACAATCCAAATTGGGCTTTTCCACATTTTCAGATACAGATCATCCCCGGTCCTCATACGGGCCGGTTAAACCGAGAGTTGTCTTGGTCAGGGGTGGGTGCCGTCATCCTAGATCGGTCAAGGTGTTAGGGCGGTAGTGTGATTGGATGCTTCGTAACTTGACATTTATCATACTTGACATTATAACCAGACCGCGGGTATTTTCATTCCAGAATATACCGCGAAGAACATGTATAGTAGTGTAGGATTCACGGACTACTACCTCCCCAACGCCGAAGAAAGCACAAACTCGCCAAAATAAGAAAAGCAGCGAATTACCGCATGGCCTCAAACCAAGATATACTTGCTGATTTCCTCGAAACTCGCACATTCATGAGAGCTTCGCAGCCTGTGTGTGGCCTTGAAAGCTACTGCATCATGTCTGCATATCTGAAGAATTGTTTACTGCTTGGATTACCCAAAACAGAATACATGGCTCTTTGCTTGGGATTCGCTCCTGCACATCTTTACGCGGCCGTCCAAACTGGCAAGTTCGGCAGCAGATAGTCCACCACTCATGGAGCCGGTGGTAATAGACGCGTGTTTAAATTATGCAAGTAATCGTCATGGGACCAGGCGCTGGCGTTGAAGAAGAAGGTGGTGCTTAGGCGGAAATCCATCAATGACTTAACACTGCAAGATAAGGTACCAACAAAAACAAGATATTGTATTACTTCTTCGGGCAGCATACTGGGTTTGCACTTGTCAAACGACGAGGGATGGGATGTGAAGTCGGCCGGCAGAGAAGTCAGTGAGCAACCATTATACTCCCTGTATCGAAGTCTTTGCGTAGCAGGTTTCTTACCGCTATGCAAATCATCCAGGTAAGACCGGCTTTACGATAGTTCGTAATGGTTCTACAAGCTTGAGAATTTAGGGAATATCATATTTTATAAGGTAATTTTAGCCTGCCGCAAGAGGAGCATACGATCTCAGTGCATGGGTTCATACGGAGCTTGTCCCGACGAACCGTCGCATCTATGACACTTAGCTCTCCGCTGGGTCCCTCTTAATTGCCGGGGAAACCGGACCGTCAAGGCATTGTGTAAGAAATGGATGGGTATGAATTTACTCCGTCCAGAGTAGACAATATCACAATGACACATGGCACACTAACTAACTAGTACAAGCACCTCCGGCGAATTTTCAGGTGAGCTCCTCCAAATCCTCGGAGCCGTCGGAAAATTCGAGGCTCCACTAGATAGACCCCGTGGAATTCCCAGCTCGACGTTTACTGGAAAGAAAGCGCTCTGGCGCGCCAGAATCTGCGAAGCTAGCAGCGACAACCATCGCGCGAGAACGCCAACTAATCCTACTGCGGGATGGCAGGATCTCGATCTCCACTAGGAATGTTTCTACAGTCTACACATACAATAGCGGCAGGGAAAACTTTATCTGCTGCCCAACCACATCTCGCATCCAGCGTGGCTGGCTGAATCGAACGGGTTTCACCGAGCAAGGATGTCACGGATACACCGTTCCTTTCCAAGCTTGAAAGGTTCTGCAGGCATGGACTGCATGGTTTCCCAATCAAGGACGCTTTCGCGAAGATTTACCGGTAAAGCCTTGCACTGTGGGATTGCCCAACTGTCACGCTGAACGCTGCAAGTGAATAAAATAGACGTCTCTTAGATTGCGTTATATTAGTATGTCTCATAACTAGTTCGTCATCTGGGTGAGTCCGAGCCCCCAGCAAAGCAGCCGATTCTTCATCTCCGTGCAAAGTCTCATGACGACCAAATACGCCGTAATACCCATCAGTGCGCTCCACCGGAGATCCATGTGTAAACTGGAAGCCGAGGCTTTGCTGGCCCAGCCCAGAAGCCCTTCCAGAACTAGCCATCGCATCAGGCACCCGGCAAAGAAGATGTATATGCCCAGGAGGGTCTGGGAGCGGAAGGCGAGTGCACGCGCGCTGAGTAGTCGGAGTGCGGAAGATATGTAGACTGCGCGCGCGGATGCAGCTGACGAGGCAAGAGCAAACTCGTCCATAAATGTGAGGGATGATTTCCCGCGGAACAATGCGAGGATTTGTCGAGGTCTTCGGTTCGGAGGCAGGGCGCCGCCCTGGAACAGGGGTTGAATCTTTTGAGATGATGCCGATTCCAGTATCGAGGTCAGAAGCGCGGGATCGGAAACAATCAGCCGTTGAGCTGTCGGGTCGGCGACGTGCCCTGTCGGTTGTGTTTCTCGTGCTATCGCTGTCTTCGCGTCGGGGTAGTGGATGAGCCGGGTGTAAAACTGGGGGTCAGTCGGCTCAACTGAAAGGCGAGCTGTGCTGGGGTCCTCCTCTCTATACGACGGGGACCGCATGCGGATAATGTCGTTGGTGAATGACCGGCATGGGAGGTAGGAGAGTTCGACCGGGTATGGGTAGGCGTCCAGGCAGCTTGAAAGGTATGCGCGGAAGAAGGGCTCGAGATCGCTAAGATATTCGTCAGCAAGGAAGACAATATCACACAAAAACACCGCAGAGCAGACAGTACATTTCCAGCTTCTTAATATTGCGGCCCACGCTGCCGCTGCGCACAGGCGGCTTGGAGTTCATCTTCATGGCTCCCGAGAACCGGATTTTCAGAGCCTTGAAAACGATCTCCGGGGTGGTCAACACGCCCGGCAGCGTCCACCAGAAAACAAGGCGGGCCACGTCCCAGGCACTCATTTGGGTGGGATCAATCGGAGGGCCAGCACAAGTCAAGCGGGTGGTCATCCTCACCTCGCCAGATTCCTCCATCGTCACCATGTTCGAAAAAGGAGCGTTGGCTTTCCAGGCGCTGGGCTGGAGGGGGTCGATGAATCGATTCGATACCACGCCGTCAACCTTTTCGAATGGGGACGCAAAGATATACTTGTGCCAGACCCCTTTGTAAAAGGTTGCGCGGGGTGCAGAGGGCAAAGACTGCACCAACTGTCGGTCATCTAGATATTGCAGTGCTTCGGGTGCTTCAGCGGGAAGAGTAGGCTTGTCGGAAACTCGATCAACTCTCACCAGCACGTTTCGTTTCTCCCAGTAAGAGTTATTGATCTCCAATATCACTGCGTCCAGCTCTCTGTTTTCGTTGTAGAGATACCACCACACGACAACGTTGCGGACCCAACCCAGGAACTGAGGAACGCTCAGGACGTAGGCGTAAGGCCATTGGGCCGGGTCTTCATTCTATTGCACCGGTGAGAACTGAGCTCCTGGAACCAAGGGCTTCTCATACCTGAGACCGGAGGAAATTGTCCAATTTCTCCCTCAAATCCACCCCATGGTCTCCTCGATGCAGAAATCGCGCAGAGTCAAAGCTGAACCAGCAGCTAAAATGGGAGACAATGCGGTTCCAAGAGAAGTCAGTGCCTCGGCCGGGAGGCGAGGATACATCGAGAGAGTCGTCGTCAATCGCCAGGAGATTGCCGAAGCGACAGCGAAGCCCAACCGGAATGCCCACAACCAGGAACCGGTTATCAAACCGGTCCTTTACAGGTCGGCGGCGTGTATGGCTGAACTTCATTCGGAACACCAGTGGTTTCCCCAGTACTGTCTGGCCCTTGTCCGACAGGGAAACCAACTGCCGCGAAGCAAGCAGTGCGCGTATCAATGAAGTTGCAAGAGCAACAAGTGTGAAGAACAGCCCCAGCCCTACTCCCGCGGCCACCAGCTTCATCCCAAACGACGGGATGTGAGCCTGATGGCCCAGATATATGGCCAATAGCGTAGCATCTGTGAAAAACATGTCGAAATCCGGTGAGCAAGATGCTAACTTCGCCCTTGTTCGATGCCGATGCCAGTAGAAAAACACAGAGCATAGCCTTTACCTTTATTTAACGGAGGCAGACCTCCAAAGAAGCGGTGATACCGACACCACGCTCTCGGCGATGCCCGAGCTGAATTAAAAAAAAACTACCATAGTTCCAGCCTAAAGTTGCATCTTTCGTGATTTTTATCCACTGTAAACATGTGGCGCCCTTATCGGCTGCAGGCGGATGTCTTTTGGTAAGTGAACGCAGCCGGGTATCAGGGCATTTGAGGCTGGCTGATGAGTCGAGGCCAGCTGATGTGGAAACCTCCTACGCGCATAGTATGGCTATGAAAACTCCCATCCCCAAAAAGGGAAATAGAAATATATTAAACTAGGTGAAATGATTCAACTGAGCTGGATTGATTGGTTCAACATGATAAACTATTAGAATCTAAATTTGTGGCTGACAGCCACGTTCGTCTCGTATCGTGGGAAAAAAAACACAACGAGCAAAATGAAACAGCGATAGTGAACTAGTTGCGCCTAATGTCGCTTCATTTCTCAGTCTTGTATCCGAATATTCTACCTGGTCCAGTGGTATGTGCCTTACGGGCTCGATGGGGACGTGGCCATGCCTCGACACAGAACGAGGGCATTAAATGCCATTTTGCAGCCCTAGTTTTCGGCCGGACTCAGGGCTTTTTGTGTTTTATTTTCCCAAAGTCACTTCAGGACACGAAGTATACTTACTCCTTTCTGACACCGTCCATGGATCTTCCCTCGCGGCCCCCGTGCCGAGTTATCATTATTGGCGGGGGGGTGTCGGGGATAGCGATGGCATGCCAGCTCAAAAGCGTCTACAACTTGGAGGACTATTGTATATATGACCGGCAGGCGGGACTCGGGGGGTGCTGGTGGGCGAATACATGTCATTATCCCGACGCCCCCGAACTGCTTGGTTGCGCAGAGCTGCAGCTCTTGCTAACACGTTGTGATTGATAGATCCCGGGTGTGCAGTCGATATCCCTGGCTTCTGCTACAGTTTCTCGTTCGCCCCAAATCCGGACTTTACTCAGACTTTCCCTCCCCAAGCCGAGATCCTGCACTACCTGTCCACTGTCGCCACGCAGTATGGCGTGGATCAGCACTTCATGGGGCAAGTCGAGTGGACCGGCGCGACTTGGCAAGAGAAGACGCAGACTTGGGTTGTGTCATTTAGGGACCTTGAAACCAAGCAGTGGTTTGTGCAGGAATGCCAGATCCTCGTCTCTGCAGTTGGAGGTCTGGTCAATCCGCAGGAACTCAAGGTGCCTGGCGCCGAGCGCTTCCAAGGACATATCATCCATACCGCGCGGTGGGACCACGGAGTAGATCTCACTGATAAACGTGTAGCGGTCATTGGCAATGGAGGTACGTGGGAATCCTTCTTCCATCGTCTTCTGGGTACAGAATTTAACCGGGAGGAACTAGCATCCGCTGCCCAGTTGGTGCCAGCCATTATCCACCAGGCCAAATCAGTGACGCAGTTTATGAGGGTTAGTTTTGTCTCGGATTCTTCCATGAACCACACACACACACACACACACACACACCCGACCTCAATGTAATAACTTCTCACTAGACACCACATCATATTGTCAAGGCCACCAATCACCAAATCTCCCCCGGATGGAGGGAGACATTCCGCCGCGTTCCACTCCTGCTCTACCTGATCCGTCTGGCCTTATTTCTGTACATGGAGATCACATGGTTCCGCTTTCAAAACAATCGACTGGGGAGAATCGGCCGTGCATCCGTGGAGAAGAAGAGCCGCGAGTATGTCGAGAGCACAGCACCTGGTAAGATCCCTCACGCGCTCAAGATCAAAGCACTTTGCTCACCGTTCGGTCTAGAGGTATACTGGGGCTCGTTAATACCAGAGTACGAATTTGGATGCAAGGTGAGGTCGCTGAATGCAAGCGAGATGACGTCCAAGCTAACCAGCATGTGAAAAGAGACGCATCTTCGACCGCGGATACCTGGCCACCCTGCATGAGAGTAATATGCGTCTAACCGAAGACCCCATTGCCGAAATCACATCAAACTCCATCATCACGCGGTCTGGTGAAGAGATGTCCGTGGATGCAATTGTAAGTAAGTACCATGTGGATTTCGCAGAGAGGGAGACTGACAATTGGGAACCACCAAGCTGCTTGCCAATGGGTTTGCACTCAGCCAGTACGATGTCCGTATACAAGGCCGCCAGGGCAAGACGCGGGAACAACACTGGAAACAACACGGCCACAAGACGACGTTCAAGACAATCGCCATGCATGGCTTCCCTAACTTCTTCTACATCCTGGGTCCGAACTCCGGCCGGTTATATACGTCGACCATTCAGATCATTGAGAGGTATGTAGTGCCTGCGAACCAATCGTGTGATCGGGGCTGACACATGCGATAATAGCCAAGTGGAAATGGTTACCGGCATCATCAAGCCCATCCTGCTGCATCGAGCTTCCTCGGTCGAGGTCAAAGCCAACAGCGAGCGGGAATTCGACGTGCAGCTCCATCAGGCCATTGATCAGACAGTGCATAGCAGTCTCTGTGGGAGTGTAAGTCTATCCCGAGTGATTCCTTTTCTTCTGGCATTGACCCTTGGATAGTATTTCATCGATGACAGAACGGCCAAAAATTGGTTTGTCTATCCATGGAACTCCTTCCATCTCTGGTTATCTACATACTGGAATTCCTCTGATGATTGGCATTATCAAAGTGCCTTGGGAGCTTGAAGGGGTCAATTCCGATGGATGAGGACGACAAGATTATGATACAAACGAAGTCTGTCTGATTTCTAATATAGGGCTGTTGTTGATATTCTTTATAAAGCAATGTATTGCTGTGGGTTGGTATCATTGTTAATCTGGTATGCAAATTAGCGCCTAGTTAGTATATAATTCGAACCAAAGTACCATAATTCTCCTTAGCTAGGAGAGGTGAGTACAACTTGTAGGGTTAGTGTTGTTCATGCACGCGAGGACACAAAGATAAAATCTAATTTAGAAAGCTGTGCAAAAATCAAAGTAATTAAAAAACAAAAACATACAACAGTCAGGATTCGCATGTGGTCACCCACCATACTACTAACTGACCGGCAAGTGGCTTGAGTACGGCTGAGCGGACGGGAAGCCCTATTTTCCACTTCCTATGGTCGTATGTACTGGAATTGGTTTAGGAATGGAACATGTGGTGAAGAAGTAGGGAGTAACAGGAACTGTACTGTTTACTATCTACCTACTAACTGGTTGACTGGTTGGGCTTGCGCAGGAATGTACCTGGCTTATTCCAAGATAGCTGCTTTGGTCTACTTGATCTATTAGAGGATGAAGAGTAGAAGAACTATAGCTGGCTCATGTTCAGAACATCATCCTTAACCTGATCTAATTCTTTGTTCCGGAAACATCACTCCCGCATTACTCACTACAGCCATGTTTAGGTGCATGAGACAGACCAAGCCTGACAGGCTGTCCATAAGACTTAGCGAAACACTTCAACCTCTCACTGTGGTTCCTTGGGGAGCGCTTGCAATGTGGCATCTAGGTGTCCCTATTGCCGTTGGGGTAATGTGTACCTTGAGCAGTCGAATTTGAACCCGGTCATGTTCCGCTAACCATCTTTCTATCTTCGTAGGCCCCTATGATTGTGGTGCAAGACGACGACTACACAGCCGCCATTGAAAGGCTTGAGGGCGCAGGATTCTCCCAAAGTGTTCCAAATCGCGCCCCTCCTCCGGAAGTCATGGAGGACCATCCAACCCCACAGCAGATGTTGGAGGAGATAAATGCTGGCCACCACCACTTGGATCGGTCCTGTGCAGTATTTAATTATCCACATGGTGATCCAGCAGAACAGAGCTTCCAAGTATATTTGTTTCCGAACTCCTTTGCGCGCCTTTTTCAACAAGATATTTCCCACCCTTGGAGCGAAATAAGAGATGCAGCGTCAGCAACCCGGTATAAAACCTACGACAATCTTCACTGCCCACTGGAACAGGCGCTGGTGGAAAGCTTTGTCAAGGCTGCGATTGATGAAGAAACAGAGACAGGGTTTTCTGCGTGGGGTGAGTCACTGAGGTCCTGGATATCTCTGATGACAGGATACCTAGAGGTTGACAATGTCCTTGATGATTGTCCGGATAGACAGGCAGTGGAATGGTATAGCCACAACTTTGGTCGAATCCATGAGGCAAGTCTTATAAATAGACACTCTGCTTTCCATCTCTTCATGCCTTTTTAGATATCAGATTTGCCAATATCATTTCTCTGCTACTGCTGTTATGAGAATCATGTTGGTAGCCTTTATTATATCATCTTTCTTCTGTACTTCTATAGTCACCTATAACAATACTTTGAATATAATAAAGACACAGTATATTATTTTACTAACAACAAAAAGCTAATCTTGATAGTTATAAAGTTGCAGATCTGTAGCCTGTATACTTTTGTTCTTGTTAAATGACTGAAAATAGTCACCAAATATCTAATAATTGCCGCATGTTTTATGACACTCTTTCCCACCTCTCTCGTCCACTTCACTCAAGGAAGCAGCGATATTGAAAGTATAACAGCAGCAAAAAAACATACAACAGTCAGGATTCGCATGTGGTCACCCACCATACTACTAACTAACCGGCAAGTGGCTTGAGTACGGCTGAGCGGACGGGAAGCCCTATTTTCCACTTCCTATGGTCGTATGTGCAACTTTTGCGGTCATGATGGTATATAACTGAAGACCAAATGCGGATTAACTGATTATAATGTGACAAATATAGTCAATAAGCCATCATCTACTACATATAGAGACAGTTGTCCTGGGTCCTTGGGAAGGATCGAGTGTTCCAAGGGCCTGTCCATAAAGGAATATTGCAATGTACAAGTAGTAGAAGTGGATGGCGTCCTTGGATGTATGTTGTTTTGAATATTCTGTCTTACCATTCATTATGTGTACACACGGTGATGCAATCCTATCCGGTACACTTTGTAAAATATCCTATATCTTCCATAGACATCCAAGGTCTGGTAATACATATGTCGATAAATAAGGCTTAATCCAAGCACGCCAATTACTTTGTCACATGTCAAGGTATAAAAACTAGATGAATAACTCCGTGCCGGCCAGATTGCAATGCCCTGTTATTCCGGACCCTTCTTGAGGACACTGTGGATAATATCGGGATTGTCGAATACATAGAAAGTTTACACCACCAGTAAGATATTCAGAACAATGGCTCTGAAGGGGTATAGTATGCCCTCAGATGAACCCCCACTGTATGTTCATCCTGATCAACAGCATTATGTCGGACTACGGGGAAGATATTCGGATATTTGGGCAAGCTTATGTGTCTTGAGGGTTAATGGCCAGGATAGTTGAAGGATTATTCAAAAGGTTGTGATACAACATAAACTTTAGTGTCAGCCTGTAATATCGCAATTCCGCGAGGATTTCCTGGTCCAGATTGTCTACAATAGACCCTCCTCCCTACGGGGAAGTATTCTAAGTCTTCCGGTACGCCTGATTGATGACAGTTGTTTTGGCGAGTCAAGTGAACACCCTTTGCGAGGTTGAAGAACGAGGCCCGCTGCCTTGAAGCCATACGTATGGAGTACTCGACTATCACATTGCATACGTGAATCACAGGTAAGCTGCCAATAGGATACAAATCCAGTCAACTCCTGAAGAAGATGCGTCATGCAGTGCTGTATTAAAATAGTACCCTCGAAGGTGCTCAGTCATCATGTGCACATTAGATGGTATCGCACCGACCCCATGTAGCACGCACATCGCCTTGGAGATAGATATGATTGCTCGATGAGGGCATCCGGGAATTGACCTCCCTTGCCTCCATTCAGCAAGAGATAATGACGCGTGGCTATGGAACGAGTGCTGATCAGTCGACAATCACCCTTTTCTGCATGAATAGACTCGAATGGAATAGTTTGGCGGCAGGGACAAATCTTTATATCCCGTCGAATTTCCCCCCTTGGAGTGGAAGTTCTTAGCACACAACTCAAAGCCCTTGTTCGTCTTTGCGAGAGAACAGTCCATTTTCAACCATCTACTTGTGTGTTTGCTTATTGATTCACATACCACCTCGATTCTCATTAAGCACGATGCCTTCCGTTGAGAGTCAAGCTCTACGTGAGATCTACGAGACCAGGGCCGCCCGGATGGCGGCGATTCCCAAAATCGACCTGGCCACCCTGCGCAGTTTGTATGAGGAAGAGCAGCTCTGTTCCGCAGAGCCCGCCGGGGTGACATACGAGAATATCGACGCCGGTGGCATTCCTAGCATCTGGGTATCGCCCGTTCCCGGCCCCTCCATTGCCGGAGTGATTCTATACTTCCACGGCGGAGGCTTCATGGTGGGATCGCCCAGCGGCCGCCGCAAGGTTCTGGGCCATGTGTGCCGTGCTGCCAACACCCAGGCGCTGATCGTGAAGTACCGCCGCACGCCCGAGCATGAATTCCCAGCTGCCCAGGACGATGGCCTGGCCGCATACCGCTGGCTCCTGGAAGAGCGGAGGGTGCCATCCTCGGCCATTGTATTCATGGGCGACTCCGCGGGTGGTAATCTGGCCTTGACGCTTGCCCTGCGCGTCCGTGGTGAAGGTCTGCCCCTGCCGGGCGCTGTTGTGGCCTTTTCGCCGTGGACCAATTTGGAAAACAGCTTCCCCAGCATGGACACCAACGACGCCCTCGACCACGTTGCCCACCGGCCGGTCCTTGACGAAATGGCCGCCGCGTACGTGGGCTCCGCGACCTCGCTGCGCAACCCGCTGGTGAGTGCTGTCCATGCGGATCTGCGCGGATTCCCGCCCCTGTATGTCACCGTGGGTACGCATGAGACGCTGCAGGATGACTCGATCGAGCTGGTGCGTCTGGCTCGCGCGGCTGGGGTTGCTGTGGAGTTCGAGTTGGCAGAGGGCCAGCAGCATGTGCATCTCCTGATGGCGGGTCGCGCCCCAGAGGCCGATAAATCCATTGCCAACGTGGGAGCCTGGTTGAAGAGACAGTTGAAGAGTATGTAGTTAGTGGATTGAATGTTGGTAGTAGGTACTTAGTAGCAGCCATCGTCAATCTAAGGTAGACTTCAATAGTACCAATTGCAAGAATAGTGCACTGTTTTTCGTCTTGATATTCCTGATTAACTTTACTTGCGTACACTCACTTGCCCCTTATTTTCTCTGTAGCTTCCACAGCTTCAACATCCACGTAAAGATCCATTCCCATAATCCCAGCCACAGCCATCCGCCAACAGAGACCATCACCAGCTTACTCCAACCGCCCTCCCAGATCCATCGACTAGGTCGCGCTCGTCCTTGCCGGGGCCACCAACATGGCCAGACAGGATCCAGCAGCCGTGCAACCACCCGACGGGCGTAGACATCGTGCGGCATGGAGCCCTGTTGACTATGGGTGAGACGATGCTCGTATTCCACACGTAGCGGCTGGTAGAGGGAGTCTTCCCTGAGCATGCGTTTGGTGCGCGCGATCCGGGATTGGACGTAGCCGGTGATGATGACGCTGACGTGAACCCTAGGACTCATCAGCGACAGATTAGATGAACAGAAAAAGGACAGACCCGAAGGGAGCCAGCTCAACACGCAGCGTGTCGCTGAAAGCGAGAAGGGCTGCTTTAGAGGCGTTATAGATCGACCCGAACGCATATGGAAGTACCTAGATGACGTTAATAACACACACACACACTCTCTCTCTCTCTCTCTCTGATAATCATGGGCAAGGTAGAAAGTCCACACTGCCCTACTTACCCCAGTGATAGAGCCAATCTGCACAATAGTACCCTGAGCTCGCATCAATAGCGGCAAAAAGGTCTGACACATATGCACGACGGCGAAGAAGTTCACCTCAAACAAGGCCCGTGCTTCAGCCAGGTCGACTTCCACAGCAGGGACCGTGAAGTCTAGAGAGTGGGGAGTGCCATGCAGCATTCGTCAGTCATTACTGTCTGTACTACTGGCAAGCAGCTTTGCTTGGATTTCAACCTACTTCGACCTCTATGCAACTCCGCGCCGGATTTCGGTCATCTGGCGTCAGCAATTCCCCCAGCTAGGCCAAAGACAAGGAAAGGAGAAATGCAGAGGGTTGTACGCATTATTGATCAGCCAGTCTAGTCCGCGGTGGCCCACGCGTGTCTCAACCTCAGAGAAGCACTGTCGTACGCTTTCCGCATCATCGACAACCAGCTCCAGCGTCTCAATACCCAGGAGCGATAAATCCTGAATATCATCCGTGTTCCGGGCTGTCGCTAGAACTCGCAGCCCACGGCGATGGAATTCGCAGGCGAGAGCATGACCGATGCCTCCAGGCGAGCAACTGGGTGATTGGTTAATATGATTCACATTCTTAGGGATGCCAGACTGCAATCTGGTGTTATTACCCGGTAATCAGGACGGACTGGGCCTCAGTACAAGAGAGGTTCATGGCGAGGCTTGCACGCTACGTGAGATAGATGCATCGATGAAAGAGGGTATATAGAGAGAGAGAGAGAGAGAGAGAGGCTTCATATACCCCGACAACAATGAAGAGCTTCCTTAAAATAAGCTTGTAGAGACACCAGGCCATGGACCATAATTAACTAGCTACATTAAGTAGAACACGCATGGATTATATTGCTCGCTCTGCGTCCTTTGCCTCTTTCTGCTCATGATTTGATGGATTAGTGTATGACAAGATCCCCGGTCCCGACCTACTCCATCCATCCTGCAGCTGCAGCTTATGCCAGGAGAAATCCGCGGTATCCTTGTTCGGCACACTCCTGGCAGATCTGGCGATATTTGGGGAGACCTCCGAGGTAACTCAAGATCTCCCGACGTTTTCCGGGAACATTGTCACCCATGTAGGACTGCAAGACAGCGGAGGAAAGAAATAGTCAGTCAGCAGTTAATTGCTTTTCTTCGGGGAAGGGATTTCATACAGTTTTTGATTTGGGCAACAAGCTTGCAGCACCTAACTGGTGCACCAGCTCCACCCATTCTTGCTCAGCCTGAGCGCTGGCTTCGATGGTGGAGAGACCGTGATCACGGAGATAGTTGAGACAGTCCCGCACCCAGTTGCCCTGGACCTCAGCACACGCGGGGCCATTGCAAAACGTTGTCGGGGCCTGTGGACCGTACTGGATGAAGAGGTTGGGAAAGCCGGCCACCGTCATGCCCAGATAGGTCGAGATGCCTGTGGCCCAGTAGTCAGACAACAGCTTGCCCTGGCCATTCTTGATCGCGATCTGGTTCAGGCCACCGGTGATGAGATCAAAGCCGGTAGCCAGCACCAGGATGTCGACCTCGAAGGCCTGCGAGGTGGTGCAAATGGTTGTTTCGGTAGCATGCGTGACGGGGGTCGTCTGCAGGTCGACCAGGTCGACATGGTCCTGGCTGAACATCTCAAAGTACGCCTGCTCGAGCGCAATGCGTTTGGTGCCAAACGGATAAGGCGGCACAGCCGGCGCGAGGATTTCTCGCTGCTCCGGATTCTTGATACGGGGCAGCGTCTTTGCCCGCCAGAAGTCATAGGCCTCCCGGTTGGTTTGCTCGGAGAAAAAGATGTCCTGGTAGGCTCCAAGCCAGAACCGCAGGCTGCCCTCATCCCAAAGGCGGTTGTAAGTTGCCTGCCGCTGCGCGGGGCTGTCCTCGGTTGCGTTCTTCTGGATGAAGTCCCACGACAGGCCGCAGAAATGATCGCCGCGCTCGTCGAAGATACGCTGAAACTGGTCCCGCGGATACGGATTCGCGGTATCGTAGCGCACCTGCGTCATGGGGAGCGCAAAGTTTGGACGGCGCTGGAACACGATTAACTGGCGAGCAACCTTGGACGCTGCTTCCGCCACCTGGACACCGGAAGGCCCTGTGCCCACCACTGCGACGCGCTTGTCCTCGAGATTGATCCCCTCGCGCGGCCAAAAGGAGGAATGCACGATGCGGCCGCGGAACTCGTCAAGCCCCGGCCAGTCCGGCTGGTTGCGCTTTTCAGCGAAGCCCGTGGCCAGCAGGAGAAAGCGCGCCTGAAACTGGCGGCCGGTGTCAGTCTCCACGAGCCACTGGTGGCGGGCAGGAGCAAACTGGGCGGCAGTGACCCGGGTGTTGAACAGGCAGTCCGGCCGGAGTTTCAGCTTCTGATCCATATGCGCAAAGTACCGCTGGATCTCAGGGCCGGCGGGGAATCGCTCGGACCATGTCCAGTCCTCCTGGAGCTCGGGGATGGACAGTTCGTACTCAGGGATCTCGCTATCGACGCGCGCACCGGGGTAGTTGTTCCAGTGCCAGACGCCGCCCATATCGCTGCCCCTTTCAATAACGAGAACGCGGTAGCCGTGCTTGCGCAGGTTCCAGAGCTGGTACAGCCCGTTGAAGCCGGCACCCACGATGAGGACATCGAGGGCTGTTGGGTTCTGCTGATCCTTGGACATGATGATAGACTTTGACTCAGTAGTAAACTGGCTGGTTATATTGTGATATCTAACGATGGTAATATAAAATAGTAGTTTACTGCTGAAATAGTCATTCCTTGCAGTCAGGTTTATATACACATGACATTGCATTCTTCCTACAACTAAACCATATCTCTTTTTTTTTTCTCCCCTCGTATGCCTTGTCCTCTGATGTTCAACTGGGACAACTTACTCCGGCATGTTAAGGTTCATGGTGTTTCTTGTTTCGGGCGATCGCAAGGTTGAATTTGATATACTCAAGATCTCACTGCATATTCCGCGCATTGTAGACAATGGACTAGATAATAGTTGCAGTCTGTGCACAAGACCAAGATGAGTGACGGTGCATGATAGAGGTATGTCCGCAGCACCAGGCTATACTAAGTACAAAGTACTGTGTATCAAGGGCCATACGCAGTACGTGGCCAGGGGGGAAGCGTGGATGGTATGACAGGCGTCCAATCTTATGCAATATCAGTCATGTAGATACGGTCCAAGGCTCGATTTCCTGACAAAATAGATCGTGCAGGGGAACCCGGGAAACTGTCTACTCCGTATGCTTACCGACGATGAAGAAACCCGCAGTTCATGCAAGCAGCCTGTTCAAGTTGGAGCCGAGAAACCCTATTAATTCCTACGAATTACAAAGCATGGAAAAAACATCCACTGCCACTGCTTACTGGCCGCGTGGAGCTACGGAAACAGCCTATTCCAGGACAAGCTACTATACGTAGATCCATGCGAGGCTTTAGAGCGGAGATGGAATCCTAGAGCAGCAGATTAAATAGTAGAATTCGCCAAATACCTCGGTTACATGAAGCAACTGCCTCAAACTAATGAACTCTTGCTAAAAAGCTATCCACTAGCTTGTGCTCTACCTATCTATCTACTTTTGATCATTCTGTCATCACCTCGGGATTTGGCTGCAGACCAGTCCTCACAATCGGAGACCCACGAGCACTCTCCCAGTCGTGCAACATGGCCGTGTTTTGTGCCGAAGTACGCACCTCGTCGCCTGCGCGCTGGATCATCTCGTCTTCGTAAGCACGTATGGCGGCAGCCTGGACTATGGTGCCGGTTGCGACGTCCGTCATTGCCCGGCACAGGTTGGCAGCGTCCGTAATGGAGTGGTTCAACCCTTGGCCACGCTGGTAGGTCATGGCATGGGCAGCGTCGCCGGCCAGTGTAACTCGACCGCCGTGGCTATCCCACCGGTGACCCTTGGCGCCTGGATCAAAGTTCGTCAGGCCCATGTACCACACGGGATGGCCGTCCGGCAGCCAGACGGCGGCGCTCCGCCACGGATTCGTCAACTCCTGGGCATAAGTTTTGACCTGCTGCAGACGCTGGCTGTTAGACCAGTGTGCCGTGAGGTCTTGCTCCGCCATCGGCGACTCCCAGGAGATGTAGAAGAAAAAGGTCCATGTCTCAGGGCGCTCTGGATCGGCCACGTCGTGCATGCCGAAGAAGGCATAGCGGTTGGTTGGGCTGATCCCGGACAAATAGAGCGGTTGGAATCCGCGCAGGAAGAGCGCCTGCTCGCGCGAGAACCGGGCCTGGACAAAGGTTGCACAGTACGGTAATCTCTGAGGGGCACTCAGGACTGGACCTAGCAGGAGCTGTCGCACTGTCGAGTGCGCGCCGTCAGCTCCCACAATGAGGCTGCTGGCAATGCGCGATCTATCGGCAAAAACCGCGCTGGCCTGCCCGCCGCCAGGAGCGAACTCGATGGCCGTTAGTTTCTTGCCATAGCGGATGTCCAGGCCGTCCGCTAGAAACTGGCGTAACTTGCTCCGGCGCAGGCGGTAGAAGAACGGGATGCGAAGAGCGGCAATCTGGTCGCCAGATTGCGCGTTGATCACTTTCAGCCAGTCCTCCGCCGCTGTGGGCGTATTGGGATCGACCTGGACGGACTGGATGCGCTCCCAGGCGCCGTCCGGTAGCAGGCTACGGAATGCGTCCACTCCCCAAAAGAGGCCCATGTTCCAATCCCGCGCGTACATGTGGAGATTGGCATGTTTCTCGGCCACAATGCAGGCAATGCCCGCCTAGTGCGTCCCGGGTCAGTCAAAGGGCCGCTGTCCGAGAACCTGGAGGAAGAAGGAGTCTAACCTTGGTCAATCCTTGTGCAAGGGCCAGCCCAGTCGAGCCTAGTTGTTGACCAGTCAGGTAAGAAGGCCAAAACGGTACGGACACCAGGACAACATACCGGCACCCACAATCAAGACGGTAGTCCGGCAATTGGCCATGCCGGAGGAGAGACTCTCTCCATTGTGCGGAAGTTGGGCGGACATAGTGGATAATGGAGTACAATGAGATTGTTATGGGCGTGCAGATTAGGCAAAGAGATGAGTCAGTGATCATTCAATCTCCAGCCTCGACGCATCCCTCGCTTTTTCAGCACGCTGGCTTCATGCTTCGTGCGCTGGACGGGCTATATTTTGGCCTCGTCATCTGACGAGCCGGCACTTAAAGGTGCTTTTGCATCCTAATACATGCCCCAGCGTGTCGCATGCAGCGGAGTATCTACTGAGAGGTTTCAAATCCGAACTCTATCTCTCTCGCTCTCGTCAGCAGGATTCTGCATGTTTAAAGTGTTCGTGATACTCTTACTTGCAGCAGGGAACTTTATTACTATCCTGAAAGGTTCTGATGCATGCCTCTCTAGCAGAAGAATACTGGATCCGTCAGGTCCGCATAGATTGCGTTGATCAGAGAGAGTAGAGCACACCAAGTGCACCGAGATGTTAGATAGAGCGAAAGATTTAAGAATCTTCGTAGATATAAGTTTCCTTTGCTATTAAATGGTGTCAATCTGTCGAGTCTGTTGTTCATATAAACCAACTGTGAATTCTCTTTGTTGTAGGAAAGAAAAGAAAGATAAAAAAAAATCCAAAGAAAAGACAGTCCTCACACCTCATCATCATCATGTCCTCTGAACCAGAGCCCATTGCTATTGTCGGGATGGCCTGTCGTCTTCCTGGCCAGGTCTCCAACCCGCAAGATCTATGGAATCTCGTTACTGCTGGGGGCTCCGGGGTGTGTGATATCCCTCTAAATCGCTTCAACGTGGCAGGGTTTCGATGCGCAGAGAGACTGCTGGGAAGCGTGACCATTCGTCGCGGTCACTACCTTGACCAGGACATCTGGGCCTTCGACAACCAGTTCTTCGGCATTACTGAGGAAGATGCCCGCAGCATGGACCCCCAGCAACGGCAGCTGCTGGAGGTTGCCTACGAGTGCCTTGAGTCGGCTGGTGTTCGGGTGGAAGACCTCAAAGGCACCCGCACCGGGGTGTTCTGTAGCATGTTCACCTGCGACTATAATCACATGCTAGTCCGTGATGCGGATTACCTGCCCATGTATTATGGCTTGGGAGTGACCCGGGCCATGCTTGCCAACCGTATCAGCCACGCATTTGACTGGCGAGGGCCAAGGTACGTCGTGGTGGTGGTGACGTGCGTGCATGTCGTGCAGTGCTGACATATAGATCTGGTTCAGTGCCATGGTGGACTCGGCCTGTTCCTCCTCCCTGACCGGGTTGCATTTGGCCTGCCAGGCCCTCCGGACGGGTGATTGTGATGCAGCACTCGTAGGCGCCGCGAATCTCCTCATCACACCCGAGATGGGGATGGGAATGGATCTTATTGGAAGCCTCGCGCAGGATGGCGTCAGCCGGAGCTTTGACGCCAACGCATCGGGATATGGTCGTGGGGAAGGCATCAACGCCGTCTTCGTCAAACGGCTGAGCGATGCGATCCTGAACGGCGATCCCGTGCGAGCCATTATCCGAGGCACAGCAGTTAATAAGTAAGTGCATGATGCCCCTGGAACTCCTCGAGGGAAACTAACTAGTTGGGTACTAGTGATGGCGGAACGGCAACGCTGTCAATGCCATCGAGCTCGTCCCATGAAGATCTTATCCGCCTGGCGTATGCGAATGCTGGCATCCACAACCTAGCAGAGACCGCTTATTTCGAATGCCACGGCACTGGCACGACTGTCGGCGACCCCATTGAAGTTTCCGCCATCGGGGCAGTCTTCTCGCCGTCCCGTGGAGCAGAGGATCCCTTATGGATTGGTTCGGTAAGTATCTCTTGATCTTTCGCCGCAGGTTAAGGTCCTGTTTACTGACCACCACAGACCAAGCCAAATATCGGGCATTCAGAGGCCGCATGTGGGCTGTCCAGCGTCATCAAAGTTGCTCAGGCGTTGGAGTATGGCCAGATCCCGCCAAATATTAATTTCCAAATCCCAAACCCGAAGAGTGAGTCCCGATGCTTTGTGTCCATTCCTGTTTAGCGCCTTGTTAGATATCTGACGCAAGGCATAGTTCAATTCGACGCCTGGAGAGTCCGGGTGCCGACTAAGAAAATCCGCTGGCCGTCAAAACCAGTCAGGCGGGCCAGCGTCAATTCCTTTGGGATTGGCGGCGCAAACGCCCATGTTGTTTTGGATGCTATCAACGCCGGCCAGCTCTTGGGGGCATCAGACCCGGCCGCCAGGGAGGTCCAGCGGCGTCCGTACCTTGGTATTGTCTCAGGCTCGTCGCCCGAAGCCCTGCAGCGGAATCTACGCCAATGGATAGAGTTCCTGGAGCAAGGGGATATTAATCTAGAGCATCTACCGCAGCTGCTATATGTTCTTAACAACCGTCGCAGTCTGCTAGCGTCCTGCCATGTCATGGTTGGATATGACATGCCCGCGATGATACAGTCACTGGCCTGCGGTGCAAAAGAATCCCCCCGGGCTGGCAGTGGTAAGAAGCCCGAGATCTGCTTCGTATTTAGCGGCCAGGGACTCCAGTGGTCGGCCATGGGACTCATCCTGATGGAGACATTTCCTCGGTTTTGCCAGACTATCCAGCAGCTGGATGCGATTATGGCTGACCTGGCCGGTGAAGAACAGTGGTCACTCCTCGGTAAGCACACCTTTCTTGTTGGTAGAATGGCGATGTATATGGACGCTGACGCGGCGGTTAGACAAACTTCGAGCTGGGGAATCACCTGGGGAGATAGACCAGCCCGAGTTCGCGCAACCTCTCTGCACGGCGGTCCAGATTGCACTGGTCGATCTGCTGGCCAGCTGGGATATCCAGCCCAAGATGGCGGTTGGACACTCATCAGGAGAGATTGCTGCTGCATACGCAGCTCAAGTACTCACAGCGCGTGAAGCCATGGCCATCGCATATTATCGCGGCCTAGTCCTGGTCCAGGCGCCTCTGGGAGCCATGTTGGCTGTGATGGGAAGCCATACCGGGGAAGAACTACAGCAACAGATCTCTAACAATGACCTGGATATTGCCTGCTTCAACAGCCCGAACAACATAACTGTTGCGGGCAACGCCCAGGGTATTGGCCGCCTCCAGGAACGCCTCGAGCAAATCGGGATGGTCTGCAAGCTACTGCAGGTTGATCGGGCGTATCACTCCCGCTCCCTGGATGGCATTGCATCAACCTACGCCGGCTTGCTGGCAGAGCTTGTGCATCCCCAGCCCGCCCGGATCCCCTTATATTCTGCACTCTGGGGTCGGCAAGTACAGGGCCCGGAATTGACACCCAAGTACTGGGAAGCAAATCTGCGCGAGCCCGTACGGTTCTATCAAGCCATCACCAAAGCACTGGAACATGACCCGTGCAATATCTTTGTCGAGGTAGGGCCGCACCGCGCTCTGTCCCGCGCCGTGGCCGAGATTCATTCCAGCCTACAGCGGCCGCCCTGTCTATATCTCTCCACCATGATTCGCCATACCGACTCGGCCTTGAACCTCGTCCATCTGGCGGGTGATTTAGTCGTGGCCGGGGTGCCTGTTAACCTGGAGGCTGTCAATGGCGAGAAGCCCCAGCCGGACATCCAGCACGCGCTTCTCCGCAAGCTACCCACATATGCGTGGGATCATTCACGGTCCTGGTGCAGTGAAACCCGCCCCAGTCGCGAATGGCGCTTTCGCCAACATCCGCGCCATGAGCTTCTGGGTAGTCGTCTTCCAGGAGCTGACCCGGCGGCACCAACATGGCGTAACATTCTACAGGCGGGTGATCTGTCATGGGCGATGGACTACCAGGTAAGGGAACCCCAGTGGGAGGACTTGCTGCGTGCATTGTGCTATGGAGTCTTTTGGACTCACGCTTAATATAGATCCACGGTGTTGTCACTCTTCCTGTCTCCGCGATGATTGCCATGGTCATCGAGGCCATGTATCAGATAATCGGGCACGATCGACCCCAGCAATGGCAGTCGGGTGTTCTCTCGATCCATGACCTGCGTCATCCGCACCCTCTGGCAATCCCGGGGGGCGAATCCATTGAAATTCTGCTTAATCTACGCCCCGTGGTGGAAGGGCAGGAATTGGCGCGCCCCGAATACGAGTTCAGCGTCGCATCCATCGCGTTGGATGTCCGTACTACCCATGCCCTAGGTAGAGTGGAAATCGAACTAGGTATGTCCCAGGCCTAATACCGCGCGTTTGTCGTTGGTGTGGTGCTTATTCTCCCGGCTCCAGGTGCGATCGCTTCCTCCATCGACCGCATAGGACCCGTCACGGACCGAACCATCGGCGTCTCCATGGAGCAAATGTACCAGTCCTGGTCTCGCGCCGGCCACCGCTACGGCCCCAGCTTTCGTCTCCTAGCACAAGCCACGGCGCATCCTCGCCGCGATCGATGCAGCGCGACAGTGGATGCTAGTGGGAAAATCCCACTCTCCCCGCGCGACAGCCGGTATGTTGTCCACCCCGTTATCTTGGACGCGGCCATCCAGACTACCCTCATTGCCCAATCTCGCGGCATCTCCCTCGAGCACGACGGGATCTCGCTGCCCTCGCGAATGGGCGAGTTCCGGTTGCGCTTGTCGGACGCCAATCCGTCCCAGCTGGAGGTGTTGACGGACACCCACGCGAATTCGACGAGTCCGAGCCGCTTCGACGTCGATTGTTTTGCGGCTGGCTCCGGCAATCAGGTGTGCTGGATAAGGGACCTCGTCATGGCACATCACCCGTCGCCTCGCGAGGGCTCTGACTTGGCCCGGCGCGATCGCGACGTCCCCTTCCTCCGGCAGGTGTGGAAGCCTGATGCAGCTCACCTGTTCTTCTCGACACTGGCGGACTCCACCCTGGTGCCGCGATCAAGCGTCCCCTTGCATCAAGTCGAACTGCTGGAACGCTTTATCAGCCATCTCTCGCGACAGGCCGTTGCTGCTCAGATCCGGCCGGGGCCCAATGCACCAGCGCACATGGCTGCCTTCGCTGGGTGGCTCCAACACCATGCGCAGCGATACCCGCCCTTCGTGTTGCCGGACGCTGACGTCCCAGAGCCAGACATCTTATCGCGCCTTCTTTCAACCGAACTACGCGATATTGCACACTTTCCGGATGTCCAGCTGGCCCTCCGGCTCGCCGCCCACATGGACGTGATCTTCGCCGGCGAGCAGGACGCCCTGTCGGTGATGCTCGAAGACCGGCTGCTGAACCAGCTCTATGAAACCGGGTTAATGGCCGTCAGCCTCAACGAGCAGATGCAATTCATGGCCGAGATGATGGCGCACAAGAACCCCAACCTGCGCATCCTGGAGATCGGAGCTGGAACCGGCGGCACCACCCTGCCGCTGCTGCGCGGCTTCACGGCGCCCAACGGCCAGTGGATGTATCAGTCCTACACCTTTACCGACATCTCCGTAGGATTTTTCGAGAAGGCCAAGGCCAAGTTCGCTGACTGGGGGGACATGCTCTTCCAGCCGCTGAACATTGAAATGGACCCGGTTGAGCAGGGGTTCACTCCCCAGGGATACGATCTCATCGTGGCGTCGAATGTAAGTAACTAATCCCTCCTTTCTTCCGCGATTCACATCGTGCTGACCGCTGTGAAGGTCCTTCACGCAACGGCTGATATGTCGCGCACGATGAGCCATGTGCGTCTACTCCTGCGCCCGGGTGGTCATCTGTTGTTGGGCGAGCTGGCAGGAGGTCAGTATACGCTTTCTGGAGGATGGGAGACGCTGGGCTGACTGACTGACTGACTGACTGACTGACTATGGTGATTTAGATTACTCAACGCCTGGATACTTAATGGTAAGCACTGCTGAATCTTCTGTGTTTTCTGCGTGATCGCCAGTCAATACTGACCCTATTCTCGTTCGCAGGGCGCGCTCTCCGGATGGTGGCTCCGGTCTCAAAGCCCTACGTGCAACGGACCGGGTCTGTCGGTTGAAGAATGGGAATCTGTCCTGACTGCGGCTCACTTCACGCCTCCGCTGACCGTACCGAGTCTGCAATCAGACGGCACGGCGTGGTCGCCATTCTCGACCGTCATGATTGCCACGGCAGTCGAGCCGGCCCGCGAGCCATCGCCAGCCATCCACCAGCGGATCTATCTCGTGTCGCGGAAGTCCGCAAGTCTCGGGCCCAAGCTGGCCGAATCGCTGTCCAGCGCTGATGAAGCCAAAGTAGTGATACCTGTAGACCTAGCCTCTCTCTCCACGCTCGCCGATGACGTCCGGCATGAGGACTGCGTCGTCATTCTTGACGAGGGATCCGACACGCTTCTGCTGTCCATGACTGAACGTGAGCTCCGCGGCCTCTACCAGATCCTCGATCAGCATCACCGAGTGGTCTGGGCGACGGTGCCAGCTCGGAACTTCCCGTCCAACCCATCTCAGGGGTTGGTCGCGGGCTTTGCCAGGGCGATGCGGAGCCATCCCCAGCCACGGCGAGTAGTCACCGTCGAGATGAGCAGCCGGCGCCCTGAAACACTGGGTTCCGTCCTGTCCCACGTCATTAAATTCTACCCGGTGGTTGTTGATCCGCCCCAAGCCCGCGACTGGGAGTTCCTCGAACGCGACGGCCAGCTTTATGTCGGCCGGCTGGACCAGGACCCGGTGCTGCAGTCAGCCTACGGCGCGTTCCGAACGCAGGAGATCCCCCACACCAAGCTCCTAGCCGAACCCTACGGCCTCACGAGTCAGCAGGGCAACTTGACTTGGGTTCCACGGTCTCTGGAGGATTCCAACCCCGGTCGCACGGTTGTGGTGGAAGTCAAGGCCGTCGGCCTTCGGCTGGCCCTGGGGGCTGTCACATCGTCGTCCACGGGAGGATATCCGGGTACGACGAGCCTTGCCCAGGAGTGCGTGGGTATCTTGCGCGAATGCAGCAGCGCCAGTGGACTCCAGCCTGGGGATCGAGTGCTGGTCGTGGCCGAGGACGCCTTCCAGACAATCATACGCGTTCCCGAGACATGCTGCAAGAAGATCCCGGATACGATATCCCTAGAAGTATGTGCGCCGCTTTGTGTCTTTTCTTCCCAATCTGTTTCCGCGGCTTCGCATCGTGGTCTTTTCTTGGAACCACACTGACCTCCTCTTCTAGGAAGCAGCAGCCCTACCCATCCCTTTGATTGCCGCGTGGCACGGCCTGGTGGAAATCGGCCGAATCTCCAGTCGTGATGTAGGTTAAACATTCCAATTCGTCGAGGATCGTGAGTCCGCTAACATGCCCTCTCTCGCCCCAGCGCGTGCTTGTCTTCGATGCTGCCTCTGCAGTCGGGATTGCGGCCATTCAAGTTGCCTGCCGGGCCCATGCAGACGTGAGTGATGCTCCTCGGTGTCAATCCCCCCCCCTCCCCCCAACGAAGGAGATACTAATTGCTAGATCCAGGTATACGCCGTCGTTGCTACCAGTGATGACTGCGCATTCATGATGCAGCGCTGCGGACTCGCCGCGTCACGCGTCATCGTGCTGCAGGACAGCGGCCATCTCGTGTGCGGTGACGAATTTGATATAATCTTCGACCCTCGCGAGGGCTCGCCGGATCCATTGGTGTCTGGCCTGGCCTGGCACGGCCACTATCTGGAGGTGACCACTCTGCCACGAGACAGCGCCAGCACCCGAGAGGTGACGATGGTGAACTCGACCTTCTCAACCGTCGATATCGCACAGCTGGTGGCAACCAATCCCACACGGGTGGGCATGTATGGCTGTCTCTCTCCACCGGTTTTGGGAATCTCCATGGCAAGACTCCGCTGACCCTTTTGGAACTCTCTCTCTGTAGGATCCTCGACACGGTTCTCAAACTGATGGAGAACGACGAGTTGTCTGTGCGGGCTCCTAGCCAGGCTTACCCGCTGAGCGATCTGGACACGGCATTGGACAGCACCCGGTTGGCAGTCGGTTCGGCCAGGCCGGTGGTTCAGCTCGAGCTCGACGCGACAGGGTCCTTGATCAAAGTGAGTGCGAACCATCACCCGCCACCTTGGTGTATATACTAAAGCAGCACACAACAAACGCCAAAGGTTCCCACCCGGACCATATCGTTCGATGCCACTAGCAGCTACCTTCTTATTGGGCCGGTCGAGGGCTTAGGGCGAGCCATCGCAACATGGATGGCCCAACGGGGCGCCTCGCATCTCCTCTTCCTGGTCCCCAGCCCTGGTGCAACCGCAGAGACGGATGGTTTGTATCGCGACTTGGCCGCCTACGGGTGTGAAGCTAGTCTCTTTTCCGGTGACATGAGCCGTTCTGATACAATCTCGAAATGTCTGGCCTGGGCCAAGTATCCCATTCGTGGAGTCATCTATCTCCCCATAGCGGCCAGCGTATGTGCCAGCCAACGATTCATTCTTCTACCCGTATATACATTCCGATTCCCCATGCTCGGGCTGACGTTTGGCTTCACTGCAGGTCACCCCGCTCATACATCAAGCAGCCCATGACTTCGCGTCGAAGGTCACTCCCACCGTGCAAGGATGCATGAACCTCCACAAAGCATTCCACGACAACGAGCTCCGATTCCTTCTTCTCCTGGGCTCGATCAGCGGATCGACCGCTGCATCTGCCCCAACCAACGCCTTTCTCAGCTCGTTCGTGCGATTCCGCCAACAGTTAGGCCAGGCAGCCCGCGCGGTGCATCTCGGCCCGGTGGAAGGCCTCGACCAAGACGCCCAGCAGAGCGCCCCTTCACTTACTGAGCAGCAGCTATTCCACCTCCTCGAGGCTGCCCTCCAGCAGCCCCCGGTCCGCGATGACCCATATGCGATGAACGACCTGGCCCAAGGCCTGAGTCTCTCCGCTATGCAGAGCCCCCCCTCGACGGACCGGCTCTGGGCCCACGACCGAAGATTCGCCCGGCTGCTGAAAAGCGCCCGTTCCAGCGATCCCAACGCCTCACCCCGGCATGCTGGCGGTGCCTCAACACAGCACGCATCGGCCGCCCGGGTTCGTTCGCTCATTCGCGACCCCGACTCCTCTCAAGATGCCGCTGCTCTCCTCCCGGGGCTGGTTCAGACCGCGCTGACGGAAAAGCTGACCAGCATTCTCTCTCTGTCTGTCGAGGAGCTTGATATCTCGCAGCCCGCCACGGCGTACGGAATGGACTCGCTGGTCGCGCTGGAGATGCGATCCTGGGTCCGCTCCGAGTTTCTGGCGGAGCTTCTCCCGGCGGATTTCCTGGGTTCGAACACCATCCACGACATCGCGGAGAAACTGTGTCAGCGCATCATGGGAGACCAATCTTAGTCGTAGCCAATTCGGGCAGACTGCTTAAGACTTTTTTTTTTTTTTTTTTTTTTTTTCAACTTTTCATACACCTCACCTCACTCATGCAAAGGTTAGAAATCGCGGTATTCAACAATGCACTAGAAATTCAATCACATCTTGTAAGATCCGATTGTAAGCCTATAACCGATTGATCGTGCATTCGATGCTGTCATCGAATGCCCAAAGCATTGTCGTGCAGGAGCTGGGTGTCACCGGTCACTTTGTCTCCTCGTGTATAAAAACCCGGACATCCCCTCTGCTATCAGGCTGATTCTCTCTCTCTCTCTTCCTCCTCCCAGCCTAGTTGTAGCAGCAGAGTTCAACACCTAGTCCTTCTTCTCCTTGCTCCTTGAACCCTCTTCCCGCTTTCTTTTCCAACAGACATAGCACCATGGCCGCCCTACCGGATTTCGTCGACCGGTTTCGCGAGATCGGTGAAAGCGATCCAGCCACCCAAGGGTGCTGGTATATCGTTGCAGTATGTCAGCCAGAACTAGTCCCAAATAACAATCACTGCCGTTGTGCTTGGATACCCGCCTTGATGTTGGAACTGCGCTCGTGGACCGTCCCACTAACAACCAACTAGGCCGTGGCATTGACAGCCGCCGGGGAAGGTTCCTGCATCGTGGAACTCTATCAACGTGCAACGCATGGGCTGACGCTGGAGGCCGAGAAAGCCGTCCAGCGTCGGCTCAAGGAGGCTCTTCTCAAGACCAGCATCATCTGTGGGATTCCTCGCGCGCTCGAGGCGCTTCTCCCGTTGATCAACAGTCTCAGCGAGGAACAAGTGGAGGATTACGGCCCACGGTCAAACCAATCCCTCCATGGCCTCTCCGTCCCACCGCACCGGCTAACCAAGTCGAGAGCAGAACGGAAGCGATGGAGCGCGGTGAAACGCGCGAACAGCGAAGGCACCGGGCACGCGGCTACCTCGACACCATCTGGACCCCTGCATATGCGGGGGAAGGCCTCGGGGCCATGTTGAAGTTCCACACTGATCTCAGTGAGTGCTGGGGCAGGACTGCTGCGGGAACGAGAAGCGGCTAGGCGTTTCGCTAACTCCTCCCTTGTAGATCTGCTTGTTCTCGACGCCGTGTACGGGCTGTGGCTCACGGAGGACCGGATCCTGGGTCCTGTCGAGACGCAGATGTGCAACGTCGCGGCCATGATCTGCTCTAGTTGTCCGGTGCAAGCAACCTGGCATACCAAGGGCTTGATCAAGCATGGAGGAGGCATGCAACAGGCTCGTTTTGTCGAAGAGGTGGCTTTGGCTGTGGCAGCCCAGTATGGATGCAGCACCGCGGGCCTCGTCCCTGTCGACCGCATTGATTTTGACGAGTCCGTGGGAATGTTGGATCGGCCTGCAGAGTGAGAGGGCAGTGTCTCAGGTACTGCGTAGTTGTTTTCATATCATGCAATCCACAATGCGCGCGTTTCTCTTTGTACTCTCCGTATCCAAGCTTAGTTGACTGCAACGGTCATATTGCGGACAACTGCGCGCGGGTCCCTTTGGAAATTCATGGATACGTACAGAATAAGTTGAGAGTGCCGGCGCCACGACGCAATATAAACAATCCACAGTTATAATGGGAAATGCCAAAGATTCCCCAAGGAATACAGGAATAGGATAAAGTGACTCTTCCAGCTGCAGCAGGGCAGCGAACAATCCGCTTCCATTCGCCCGAATCGTTTATCTGAATCAGGCTCCAGACTGGTAGTTAACTAACCATAGTGCTTACTGCTTCATGTCCAAATCTCACCCAAATCTACTCATCCACCATGGTTTACTAGCCACGCAAGGAATCAGACGGCCGAATTCAACCGAGCCATATTAACTCCCTACCTGGGGGCTGTCTTGAACAGCAATTGTGCCCATACCCTCCCGTGGACAGTTACTCGGGCAGCTAAATTCCAATTGAGCTAGGCTGCGTCAAGACCAGAATAATGGTACAAGCGAATCCGGCCCGATTACCCTGGTCTATGGAAACGGCCGTACAGCGTGATGGGTCAGTGCCTTGCGGCTGAAAGGCTTCGTGGGTTTGAACCGCAGCCTCGTACCAATCACTGTGGAGGACGCAGACAGCACATGGATTGGGCTGAGCTGACAGTGCACACCTGGCCCTGATTAATTCGGATATACTCCGTGCAGAGTAGAAGAAGAAGCAGTATTATTAGGCACTGGCGTTGTTTTAACTGATGAGCTGAGACCATGTAGGGTCACCGCTCAGGTACATTATCATGGGATAACTAGGTAGCGAAGGGGCACGAGGGGCAACGGATTCAGGAGCTTGGAAACGCAATAAACTTCCGCTAACGAAGACCGGAATAGCTTCTCGCGACTGTTTTTTAGGTTAAACCAACAATTCGGCTGGAGTTGTCGGCTCTCATTGGAGGATGGATGCAAGTCGGGAGAATAAACTATCCGCCTGCCAACGGAATCCAAGAAGCCCCCAACCGGCCGAATACATTGGATCGAATCCGATGACTCGGCTTGCGGTTGCATTGTTTTGCGCTGGCTCTTCGCTCGGGGGGTCTAGCAGCTAGCTTGATCTGAAGCTCGCGAAGCCGCAAATCCTTTTGGTATGGTTGAGGAAAAGGGGCCTGTGTGCCTCTGACTCAAGCGGCTGTTGAATCGGTCCGCTGGGTAGATTAATTTGTTGTTGAGATTCCTGCACGCCGAAGAGCCCTGTGTATATATGTCAACGAACGCGTGCTCACTTGATAGATGTTCCACACAGAAATCAACAGTCTTAATCAAAGCATCAGCGCCATGAGCAAAGAAACCCTGGTTCTGGGCCGAGACGCCCCCGATCCCTCCAGCCAGAAGCCGTCCAAGGAAGACAATGGCACCTCGCAAGGGCTGCCGGAGTTCACTCTGGGCAAACGCGGAATCCTTGCCTTTTTTACCTTGTCGGTTTTGACCCTGATGGTTGCTCTCGATGGAACCTCCATCTCCGTTGCGTTGCCTGTTCGTATTGACTGCCCCCGGACTAGTGACAAGAGGAGAGCTTACACAACTGCAATAGATCATAACGCAGGATCTGGATGGAACGGCTATAGAAGCGTTTTGGAGCGGAACGTCATTTCTCCTCTGCTCAACAGGTAGCTATATGCATTCCACACTCGCGCAACACCCAAGGTAACGCCAAAGTTAACATCGCGGCCAGTTTTCCAACCCAACTTCGCGTCGTTCTCGAATATCTTTGGTAGGCGGCCTATGGTACTGATTGCCCTGACTTTGTTCTTTGTCGGAACCGTTGTGGCCTCGGTTGCCAAAAACTTCACCTACATGCTGGTGGGCCGCTCGATTCAGGGCGTCGGGGGTGGAGGGTTGATCGCGCTGAGTGAGGTTATCGTGACCGACCTGGTTCCCTTGCGTCTTCGAGGAAAGTATTTTGGTTTTTTGTCTGGGATGTGGAGTGTTGGGTCAGTGACAGGGCCGATACTGGGTGGTGGATTCTCCCAGAGTGTCAACTGGGTATGTTTTGCGACCTCGATCCGAATATGTGCAATCCGGAGACTGACATATCTAAGCGTTGGATCTTCTACATCAACTATCCGTTCATCGGTGTCGGGGCTGTCTGTATCCTGCTATTTCTCAAGCTCAACATCCTTCCGACTTCGCTGGCCGAGAAACTGCGCCAAATCGACTACGTCGGCACGATCATCTTCGTCGGCAGCCTGTCGTCGTTCTTGATCCCGCTGACCTGGGGCGGGATTCTCTATTCCTGGGATTCATGGCGCACTCTTGTGCCCCTGATCGTCGGCGTCTGCGGGCTGGTGGTCTTCGCCTATTACGAGTACCGATTCGCCAAAGACCCGATTATGCCGCCGGTCATCTTCCAGAACCGCAGCGCCACCGTGTCCTTCATCGGCAGTATCTTCCAGGGGCTCGTGCTCTGGTGCGTCCTCTACTACCTGCCATTGTACTACGAGGCTGTCAAGGGATATACGCCGATCGTCGCCGGGGTCGCCTTGTTCCCAGATACCTTCACCGTGGCCCCGAGCGCCATGATGGTCGGTATCCTCGTCACCAAATACGGACATTACCGGTGGGCCATCTGGCTCGGATGGTTCCTATCGACGCTGGGCCTGGGGGTGCTTTGCTACCTGAAGGTGGACACGAGCATCCCGGCGTGGATCTTCATCAACATGGTCTCGGGCATCGGCCTGGGGCTGCTTTTCCCGGCCCTCGGCTTCGCCATCCAGGCCTCCGCCACCAACGAGACCCTGGCCATGTCGGTCGCGATGTTCAGCTTCTTCCGCGCCATGGGCCAGGCCCTGGGCGTCGCGATCGGGGGCGTGGTGTTCCAGAACGAAATGTACCGCAATCTCCTCCAGTACCCTGCGTTTGCGGCCGTGGCGCGCGAATACAGCCAGGACGCTGCGGGTCTCGTGCAGGTCCTCAAGCAAATGCCGGACGGGGCCGACAAACTCGCCCTCCGGACGGCGTACACGGACAGCTTGCGGATTGTGTGGGCCGTGTGCTGCGCGGTTTGCGGCGTCGCCTTTGTCCTGAGCCTATTCACGCAGAGCTATGACCTCAATCGCGCGCTGAATAGTACCCAGGGGTTACGGCAGGAGAAGAAACCCCAGGCGGACGTCGAGTCGGAATGAGCTGGTGTCAGGGCGAATACTACTTCTTAGATTTAACGAACTTTATGTAACTATCATAGACCTCTCTCCCTGTCATACTTTCATTATAAACATCGTGAGTTGTTTTTGGCATCCCTGCATTCTCATACTGAAGCTACCATTCCTAACGGGTAGTATTTTACGGTGTCCGGGAAGACCCTGAGAATTGGTGGAATCCATCAATCTGAAGGTATTCCTTCTGATTCTCCTCCGTATATCTGATGCATCCGGTATTCGAGATCACTCCATGAAAGACCCTAATACATTCCTCTATCGTTGGTCCTCTCCTTCCGTATAATATATATATATCTATATTTGACATACAAGTTGTATTACATTATCCTAAACAGTCAACTATTCAAAATCTACGATATCATCCCGAACATATCTTCCAGGGCTATTAGTAAGTGACTTGCGTGAGAACCAGGGATTGCAATTCAAACAGTAGAAGACGAATGCGTTATATCAGATACAAGGAGAGAGCATTAGTATGATGCTGGGCAAGCGGTGACCACCACCGTCTCTGTGCGATAGATCGTGCGCATGGGTTTCTTGGACGTGGTGGTGGGCAGGGTATTCTCGGAGCCTCCATTCGAAGATCCCAGGGTAGTGGTGGTGGTGATTGATGGCTTAGCATTGCCTGTAACTTCAGCGTTGCCTGTAGCCTGTGCATTACCGGTAGGTTCGGCAGTACCTGTAGGCTCAGCATTACCGCTAGACTCAGCATTACCCGTAGGCACAGCATTGCCTGTGGCCTGGGCATTATCGCTAGGTTCGGCATTCCCTGTAGGCTTAGCAGTACCAGGACCATCAGCACCCGTAGGCACAGCGTGGGCTGTTTCCGTAACTGGGCAGATGGTCGTGGATACAAGAACCGTCTCTGTGATGGTATACGTCGACTGTAGGCTCTCTGGGCAACTAGCGCTCCCAAACGGGCACAGTGTACGCGTCGCAGGACGGGTAGTGAAGATGCTGGATGTGGTCACGGTAGGTTGGATTGATTGCGCAGTCTCGGTCACTGGACACACGGTGGTATATGCGACGACAGTCTCAGTTGTGACGTATGTAGTGCGGGATGAGGCAGGGCAATTGACGACGCTGGAGGGGCATGCAGTGATTGTGGAAGTGTACGTTGTGAGCACCGTGGAGGTGGTAACCTGGGAAGACGTTGGAGGGACGGTGATAGTAACGGTAGGAATACTGGATGTGACCGGCTTTGAGGTACCGATGGAAACGCCAGAGGTGATCGAGTTTGTCGTAGCGACAGAAACGCCGGATGTTACCGACTTTGTAGTAATGCCAGGGATGCCGGATGCTGACTTTGTTGTGCTGACGATAGGGATGCCGGATGTCGACCTTGTAAAACCGGTAGTCGATGAGGCCGGTTTGGAGCCAGGACGCGAGACGGATGTCGAAAACGTTACCGCACTGGAACAAGCGCGTGTAGAAGTTGGGCGAATAGCCCTAGATGAAGAGAAAGGCCGCGACGACGGCGAGACAGCAATGGAGGGGGTTCGGATAACAGCAGATGAACTGGCACGAACGGAAGAGCTTGGGCGAACACGACGAGTGCAGGAACGAGTGACGGGAGCTGAACTGGGAGTGACTGGGGACGAAGAGCTCGAAACGAGAATGGAGCTGGATGGCGGAGCAGATACCGGAGATGACACCGAAGACGACACCGGAGAAGATACTGGGGAAGACGCTGGAGAAGATACCGGAGATGACGCTGCAGACACTGCAGAAGACACCGGGCTCACAGATGTTTCTGAAACAGACAAGACGGAAGACGAGCTCGCAACAGCCGTAGGCGATGGAGTCGACGTGACGCAAGTTTCGGTAGTTGACAGTGGCAGCAGGAAATTGTCCAGGTCTAATCGTGCCCAGCTCCCTGTACAACCAAAGGAAAAGTAGATCGTGTGGCTTGTCGACGTCGGAGTAAACGAGATGGAATAGGAAGTCCAATCCGGAGAGGAGCCATATGTCGCGGGATAAACCTGGGAGCGTCCAAGAAAGCCGCTCCAAGAGTCCTTTGCAAAGCCATGATAACAGAAAAGGCTTGTCCCACTAACAGACTGCGTATAGACCAGGCGGTAATCTACCGAGAGTGTGTACGTTTTGGAGGTATCCAGCCCAGTCAGTTTCTGAGAAAGATACGTCCAGGTGGAGGTTTCTTGAACCGTGCTGAAGTAGACCATTCACCGTTAATTTGGCACAATCCAGGCCAGGCGAAGAGATGAATCGCTTACAAGTAGTAGTTGCCATCCTCAGCACCGCCGGAGACTACGCTCCCATCGTAGGTGGTGCCAGTGGCCCTGAAAGCAGTCCAATCAGCCAAATCACCCGTCTCGAATGATGGGTTGAGGTAGGCATTGTCCACGTCGGTGGTGCACGTCACTTCCGCTCTAACTGGGCTGATTAGACAACTGGAAAGCCATACAGCTCCCAAGAACAAGCCTTCGATCTTCAGCATTTCTAGCAAAAATGAGTGACTGGGTTGAAGCGGGGGTCTTAAACGAATGACGATGGTTGGGAAACACGGCTTCAACCAGAAAAAGAAACCAACGACCTGAAATAAGAGGGAATGAGGGAAGGGAGTGACTACAGTCTGTTTCGAGGCGCGTCCCAAGTGACGATAGCTGATATTTATGGGACAAGACTACATGGAAGTAGCCCAACGGTGGCTTGTGGGCGTGCAATAGTTCTTTCTCGCAAACTATACGAGTCATGTATGCTCACTTTAAAGGTCGACGGGAGCAGGTACAGCGCAATGGGGTCTATCTGATTGGTTCAGCGGCCGTCTTCAAGGTTAGGGTTATCACATTTACGGTCTTTTTGGAATTATCGCGGCCGCCACACAGCACGGGCATGACCGAAGGCAACGAAAGCCGACATCGACGGGTCTGGACTTGAGAGTAAAGCTGGGTATGCCATTTAAGTCTTGTTGGTCGTCTTTCAGCTGAGATTTGGTCGGCTACTTTATCTGTCTTTATGCTTTAGTATCTGATAACTTGGGGCCAGGCGGAATTGCGGTTAGAAGTAGCTCTCCAAAAAATACTTCATACCCGCATGATATTAATATAAGTTTCCTAAGTCTCCTACTACGATCGATCCAGCTGATCGCAATCCAATACTCTCCGCTGAGGATCGGCTACGTGGCAACTGAAGTTGTGCAGTACTGGAGGAAACGCGTTGTGACGAAGACGGGCGATATCGTAATGTCTCGTTTAATAAATACAGGAGAAGGGCATCAATATTCTTGCTGGTCGTTCCAGTAAAGCGTCCCATGCTGCATCTCCCCCGTTGGGTGAAGCCCCCATCCCAGCTTGATCGTCGTCCATTGCAGCATGTGGCTCGCAATCTTGATATGCCCAACATCGGTGGGATGGTTTTTCGGGTTGATGTCGTTGTGGCCCAGGATACCGTCGGTGTGGAACAAATGCACGGCATATCTGCGGTCCTTGAAATGCTCGTAGACGCGCTGGATCTCGTGCTCGTAAATCGTGCTCTGTTCGTATCTGGCGCCTTTTTTGGCCCACGCGCCCCATTGGGTCTATTATTATCAGGTCAGCCTTTTCCCTTTCCTCGAGTCGGGTGCGCCTTTGCCGTACCATGAGGACAATCTCCGCGCCCGGCCAGTGGTGGTGGATGTTTTCGATCAAGTCGACATAACCTTGGTAGAAATTCTCGCCCGGGATGTTGTTCGGATGCCGGTGGTCGTTGCCGCCCATTTGGATGATCACTAGATCTGCCGGTTGCTCTGCCTGGACATTCCATTCTTCGGGCTCGCTGCCGTACATGTCGCGGGCGCGAGAGCCGGGGTCCGACGCCCGATGCCAGTACCAGATCTGCTTGGGTTAGGGTCGCGCTCTGCCGGGGTTTGTTGTGCTGGAGACGTACCGTGCCGTGGACACCGCCGCCGTAACACTGCATATCCACCAGACAGGCTCCTGGGTAGGCCTAGTACGTCTGTGTAAGTATTCGATGCCGACAGGTTGGGGATGAAGACGGACCGTTATGCCAAACTCGACATTGCCGAGGCCAGCCGCATAGATGAAGGCCCACGAGGATAGGGTTTCGTAGGTAGCATATTGCCCGCCGGTGATGCTGTGCAGGTGAGCAGGTATCCCCGTCGGGGCTAGATCGCAGAGAAACGTACGACCCGCCTATAATTTCAACCTTGCGCCTAAACGTCGGCGGTTTGATGAGATAGTCGTCGACGTCGACGGATACACCGGCGATCTGAACTGTGCGTTGTGTGAGCGAGGGCCTGCGACTGGAGCGATGCTACTTATCCTATCCCCCAGTTGGTGACTGTATACGTCAGCACATCGCGGCTCCCATTTCGAGTGTGTGAGCATACCTCGCAACTCAAAAACCCTGTCCTCTTCGTCCGGAAGTTCTTCATACGCCGTTCCGGGTCCGATAAACTGGTAGGTTGAGTCCGCGGTCACATTCGAGAATAACCAGTCGAGCGTCCCGATCCTAGGGAGGTTTAGATCAATGCCACAGGTGTGTTATGAGGGCGCGGGATATCTACCGATAAGCGACGAGGACGCCATCCGACGTATGTTCCCCGAAGCTCAGTGCAAGCTGTAGAATGGTAGAGTCAGAGAACGAGCGACCAGGGAGCTATCATCGGAGTCGCACTTTTTCGCCTGAGAACTGGACTTTGAGCCCCGGTGCTCTAGACAAGTTAGTGATCGGCTTATGCAGAGCAGTTTGCGGCGGAGACACACGACCACCCTGGCCCTGAATTAGCAACGGCAGTCCACCAGGTTCAGACGACGGGGAGTAAGGAGTCCGGCGTACAGGAAATATGCTTGCTATCCCAACGGCCTTTGTAGGCGATTTCCGGCGCACCAGCCCCATAGCTTCTCCAGGAGTCGTTGAGATGGATCCTGGGGACCTGCCCGGGATACGGATCGTCTCGCGGCTGACCGTTCTGCAGAATCGTAGCCGAGACACTCGGCGACCATGCGAACAGGGTCGTGAGCAGCAGTAAGGGTGCAGTCCACATTCTGAGCACCTCGTGGCCACATGAATTGTTGATGTTTTTTTATTTTTTTTTTCAGGGTCTTACGCTCGATCTGTGGGCTATCGGGGAGGGAAAAACACTAGTGATGGCGGGATTTTAGAGTGAATTCGCCCTATCACACTGACGGCCAACGGAGATGGCCGCTCCATGCCAAGGGTGAAGTGTGGGACAAACCGTACACGGCATCCAGAAGATCAGGTATTGGACCGGTAAAGGGGGAAAGGATTGGGGTTGGGAATACAATCGGGCTGATATTGGCGCCACTAGTCTCCCAATTACATGTCTCCAGAGCCGTATCCACAGCCTACACGAGGAAGGCGTTGAAGTTCATCTATGGACTATCGAGTACATTGGAAGTCTATATTTAGGGCTTCTAATTTCCACGTCAGACTCTACGGCTGAGATTGACTGGTCCACAGAACACCTCTTGGATGAGCAAAAGGGGTCCATCCAGACTTCTCTAGTCGAGTTCCTGGGGTTAGTTACCTGGCTTTTAATAGTTAGTCATAACTAAATTACACGTCGGATATTTATTTAGAAATCCCTTTAAGCCTACAATATTTCAAGCGAACCGCGGCCTGCCTTCCAGAGGTACTGTACAAGAGGCTGATGAGGATTAATCAGGACCTATACTTGGAAATCTCAGGGAAAGCTTTTGGCCTGAGATGAGTATAATGCATTGCCGGATCAAACACCACTCACTGAAAAGAAACGTCCCCAGTAGAAAGTTTCAGCAGGGTCTCTGCCCGTCAGCCCATGAAGAATACGCCAATCGACCGTTTATTGTCACCTGCACTGGAAGGCAATCTCACCAGATGTGGATTCATTTCGCCCTGCCATATTCTTGCGCCGTTCGGCTGGATAGTCTCATATTTCATGTATTCTAGCGTAGAGGTAAATCTCTAATCCACACCACTGGCATAGTTACCATCAGGATACAAAACCATGCCTAGCTTACCACCCCGATGATACCTTTTATGTCCCATCCGCATCGTAAATTGCTGAGATACGGGTCTAAACCAGGTAGTATAGATTTAGGCTACGAGTGGCACCGAGAAAGGCCAAAGAGTTGTAAACCACGTAAAGCCGCAAGTCATCCTTTGGTATCTTAACCCTAACCGGAGGTTGCAGTTGCGATTCTATATTCCTGTTGTTGCACCTTGGCCACTCCATAAATCCATTCTTCATTTGTTTCCTCGCTGTCTTTGAGGTCGAAATACATTCTGGCGCGTATCTTCATCACAAGTCTCAGTCGATGTTTGGTTCTTCGGATCCAATTGTCGAAGGGTTTTTGTTAGCACGATTCGCGTCAGCACTCTTCAATAGGATGGGTTGAGATGAGAACAATGACCTCTCAGTTCTACAGGGCTTGCAATAGGCTAGGCAACATCATCAAGGCAAGTGATTCCATGTGACTTGTTACGGTCTGAGACTTCAGTCGATGATAAAAACCCCTCTCTGATGCCAGCCTAGCTGATTTGAAATCCTTGCCTCTCAGTATACGGAAGCCGAGCTCTCGAGCTCCCTGGTTCATCTGTTACCCTGTTTAGATCTGAGAGAAAGGTTAAAAAATCAATCAAGGAGGATATTTCCGAACCTGCACTCGGAACCAACCTCCAAGTTTCTCCAGAGTAAGAAAGTGCGTAATTCTCAATCACCTGTAGTCTAGCTAGTCAGGGTTAAAGTGTAGTTTTACACGTTTGTTAGACTGCGGGATTGGGCTCCGTACTGTATATCAACTACTTTACCTTTCAAATCTGTCATTCTGAATATGAATATCAACGTAATTCTCCAGGGATCCGCCCACCGCCAGTGATCGCGCATCGGCTACATAGGACTGTGACGCTTGTGAACCATTTGCTTCGTTATTCCCGTTCCCAACGCGGCGTAGTTTCTCTGTGCGGGGAATGAGGCTACTGCGAGCGCCGTGGATGCGAAATAGTAGGCGGCTGCTTGGCCAACGCCGGGGCCAACGCCTACGATGGTCAGGCGGATTGTGAGCGGAGTTGAAGGACAGATTAAATATCACTAAAATGTCTGGATCACTGTGAAGTGGCTTTTCGGGTGACATATAGCTTACTGATGATCATTCCTCGGTTACTGTTCGACATATATAGAAGCGTTCATGCTTTATTATCATGGACGGATTGAGTATCTGATGTGATATAGGTGTAGAATGTTGGAGTATAAACTCTCTCTGATAGGGCGTAAATGATACACGCTTCCATTGCCTAGGTAAGTCCTACTACGTACCACCCGGCATAGCCCTATTGGCCAGGCTTCACCATCCAAACTGGCCAGAACCCCGTGTCTTCTCCATGATTTCCATATCCGAGGCGTCAGCTACCCCACGCCAAGAGTATAGCAAGTGTGGGGAAGAGTAGGGATAATCAAGTATAGCCAGTGGTTGTGGGCTGTCATTGGCAACTTTATGGCCTTTCGGCTTGAAATTGAGCATTGCTTACCCGGATCTCCTCCCATTTCCCCGCATTTTATCCCAGCCTACTGAGTATATTAACCCGAAAGAGCGTAGCTTTCGCATGAGAAACAGAAGGATGCGATGCGGCGAGTTGGTCGAACTTGAATGCACCGTAAGTAGTCCTGAATGTCAAAGCATTCCGATTACGATGACGTTCAAGGTCAAGGAAATACAGATTCCTCTCTCGATTCTGTCAATATAATAGTTTGTATCTGCTATAATCCGTGCTTGAGATGAGCTGCAAAATCTATGAGAGGCAGAAACCCCCACAGGCATCACTGAACCTGCCAATCTGGTGGACAGCTGCAATTGCCTTTTATAGCATCTCGCATAAACAACTCTGTAGAATACGCAATATCAATATTTTTTGGAGTCCGGGAGTGTTATACTGCTGCAGTCTAAATTGTTCCCCGCTTTGGTTACGCTTCCTCCGCACCTCGCAGAAGCGAAGATGGGTATACAATATACTTCGGAGTCAAGTTCAAATAGGAGGTACAACGCAATAAGAAGGAAAGAAATCATTCAAGTCTCGAGACGATATTGTCCACTCTTTGATTTACTCCCTTGATTTAAATTATTTTTGACGTTGAAGGTTCCGATGAACTAGAACTGGGTTGATATAGCACCGGTATGTCAGGAATCGACTATTCAAAGTAGCCCCAAAGTATATAATCCATCCTAGAAGATCCTTCTAAGTGTGCAGCATCCCCGCACGCGGAGTTCGATCGACACTTGAGAGTGAGTTGGTGAAAGAGTATCTTTCGATTCCAGTATGAGGGGCCGAAGTAAGCTATATAAAGCCCACGGCGACAAGGGTTCATTGCCCTCTTCTTTTCCTCACCAGGAGGAATTTCAATTCCCCTTCTTCACAATACCCATTGCAGGAATATTACTGTGAAACCTGAGTCAGTCATGACTATACCAGACGAGGTTGACATTATCGTCTGTGGCGGCGGCAGCGCAGGATGCGTCGCTGCCGGCCGCCTGGCCAACCTTGATCACAGCCTTTCGGTTCTGTTGATCGAGGCAGGAGAGGATAACCTCAATAACCCCTGGTAAGGGCTTTCCCGCAATTTTAACCCCGGTATGCAGTCCAGCGCTCATACGAGTTTAGGGTGTTTCGTCCGGGTATTTATCCCAAAAACATGAAGCTCGACTCAAAGACAGCATCGTTCTATTATTCCCGGCCTTCTGAGTTCTTGGATGGACGCCAGGCTATTGTTCCGTGTGCCAATATTCTTGGAGGTGGTAGCTCGATCAACTTCATGGTATGTGTGTGGCATCTTGTGCTGGCCGTGACTTGGCTGCTGATTCGACGAAGATGTATACGCGAGCATCTGCATCAGATTACGATGACTTTCAGGCAAAAGGCTGGACGACCGAGGAACTTTTGCCTCTCATGAAGAAGTATGAGACGTACCAGCGCTCTTGTACCAACCCGGAACTTCATGGTTTCCAAGGTCCCATCAAAGTTTCCTTCGGCAACTATACCTACCCGATCACGCACGACTTCCTTCGGGCTGCCGAGTCGCAAGGCATTCCCATCACGGATGATCTTCAGGACTTAAAGACCGCGTATGTCATCCATGGGTAGGCGGACTTTCTGGCGGCTAATGAACGAGTTCAATCCAGGCACGGAGCCGAACACTGGTTAAAGTGGATTAATCGTGATACAGGTAAGCCCTTATACGGAGCATATAACAAATTATATCGCGTATTTGCTGACGCGACTCCCCTTTAGGACGACGTAGCGATGCCGCTCATGCATACATCCACAGCACTCGAGCCAAACACTCCAATCTGCATTTGAAATGCAACACCAAGGTAGAAAAGGTTATCATTGAAAATGGACGAGCTGTCGGTGTCGTCACGGTTCCAACGAAACCCCTGGACGGCGGGGACCCTCCACGCCGAATTTTCAGGGCCCGGAAACAAATTATCATTAGCAGTGGGACCCTCAGCTCACCCCTGATCCTGCAAAGATCAGGAATCGGGGACTCCGAGCAGCTTCGTCGCGTAGGCATCAAGCCGCTGGTGCACTTGCCAGGCGTGGGCCGCAACTTCCAGGACCACTATCTTACGTTTTCAGTTTTTAGGGCCAAGCCAGATGTTGAGACGTTCGATGACTTCTTACGTGGAGATCCCAAGGTGCAGAAGAAAGTATTCCAGGAGTGGAATACCAAAGGAACGGGCCCCCTGGCTACCAATGGTATCGAAGCTGGCGTTAAGATCCGTCCCACGCAAGAGGAACTGGACGGGATGAAGAAGTGGCCAACCCCAGACTTCGTCCAAGGATGGGAGTCTTACTTCAAGGACAAACCGGATAAACCGGTCATGCACTATTCGATTATATCGGGGTACGTTTCCTACTTGGCTCAGTGTGTCCATTGCTAATAGCTGAATAGCTGGTTCGGAGACCATATGCTGATGCCACCGGGGAAATTCTTCACCATGTTCCATTTTCTGGTAAATCCTCTGACTCCCCCAAAGGCTTCTCTAGTTACTCATGGGTAAACAATTTCAGGAATATCCGTTCTCTCGCGGCTCTACGCACATAAAATCAGCTGATCCGTATGAGGTTCCAGACTTCGACGCAGGATTCATGAACGATAAGCGTGACATGGCCGCTATGGTTTGGGGCTACATCAAGTCCCGTGAGACTGCGCGGCGTATGAGTTCATACGCAGGCGAGGTGATGGCCATGCACCCTCACTTTGCGTATAACTCGCCGGCTCGAGCTCACGACCTCGACCTGGAGACCACAAAGGCATACGCCGGCCCAAATCATATCTCGGCTGGTATTCAACATGGTAAGATCTAAACTGAGTTTCACTGTTACTACAAGTTGCTCAAAGTACCATAGGTTCTTGGTCACACCCCTTGGAAGCCGGAAAACAATCTTCTCCCACTGTTCTTAGTTCAAATAGGGTTGAGGCGCGGACTCCCCTTGAATACAGTCGGGAGGATATCCAGCATATCGAGAAATGGAGTAAGCCAACTAATCCATGGCAACGTTTTGCGCTTCTGGGCTAATCTCTCTCAGTCCAACGTCACGTTGAGACTACGTGGCACTCATTGGGAACATGCAGCATGGCTCCACGCGAGGGCAGCTCCATTGCGAAACATGGAGGCGTTGTCGATGAACGCCTGAATGTACATGGAGTCAAGGGCCTCAAGGTCTGTGATCTGTCAATCTGCCCGGATAATGTGGGCTGTAATACTTTCAGTGTAAGGATTCATCTCTTGATCTGTTGCATGTTGTGCCTAAGCTAACAACCGAACCGTATAGACCGCTCTGCTTATCGGAGAGAAGTGCTCCGTTCTTGTAGCGGAGGACCTGGGTTATTCGGGAGCTGCCTTGCAGATGAATGTGCCCAACTATCATGCTCCGGGCGAGTCCGTTAACCTTTCTCGGCTCTGAGAGATTATAATACCAACGTCATTACGCTGCGGCCAGTTTTTGTTGTGTCTCTTGGAATGGAAGTGGTCTTTCTCTCTTTTAGTCCGTACTCTATATATGCAACGGAGCTTCCCGCCTCCAGAATGTTATTTTAAATTGCTATCCGTGATGTACTCGGTGGTTTTATGGAATGGAATAGTTTACCCCGGTAAGGCCGACCCGGTGCCTGGTTTAGTGACCACTTATCTTGTTGGATGATACGCTCGGTGGGTGATGTCGTTCTAGGATGCCGGGAACTGGTCGATTAGAGGCATGTCACGGCAGTCTACCGCTTCAAACGTCTTTGTCCATAATCCGCATCCTTGAAGCTAGTCCAATCTGCTCCGCAGGCCCTTGCGAGATCACTTGCCGGCATTCCAATCCTCCCCTTCCATGTCTCTGCTGTTCCGGATTCCACAAGCTCTTCCACTTCCAGCGAAATCAAGGTGTCAAACACCCAATCTTGACATCTCCGTTTGCCGTCTCTGGGTGCTGGCTCCGCCCTGATCACCTCAATCGCCTTGCGACGCTGTTGTCCATCCAAATCTGTGACCTTGCACATCCCGGCGGCCTGGTAGCTGACCATCGGGGTAACAATATTCGTGCCTTCGCGATAGTCTGGTTCGTACCAGAGCCTTTTCAGGTCGATTACCTGGACGTGGAGGAGGTCCCCGAAATCGTCCCCCGGCCGATATATCAGGAACGCCCAGTGGGATCTGTAATTCGGGTCATCGCCAGGACCGAATACTTCGATAGCAAGACGATAAGCCATGTCTGGTGTACTGACTTGTTATTTTCTGCCTCCGAGTAGGTGTCCTGGGCGCTTACCTTGGCCGGAAAATAGGGACTCGGAAACTGACGATTTAGTAGTGTCCTGTAGAGAGTCTTGTTTGTCTTTCCCGGCAACCTCTCGTCTTTTATGCCTTGATATTCTCATCTGCTGGGTGAGACCATCGTTATTAACGCTCTTTGTTGTACCTTTTGCATCATGGAGTACCTTTTCGCCAATCATTTGTCCATTCCCATGTATTGCGGCCTTTGAGAGCTTCAGGATATCCGCTGCTATCCTTAGTCGATTTTAGCAGACACCAAGAACGAATCACATTCCATAAAGATGTACCTGATATCCAAAACTGTGCTTAGCTACTGCGGATAGCAGTTTAGAACAGGAAAATCCAGTAATCTTAATCATTTTGTCCGTAATCCTCCTTTCAACAAGTTCCAACCTCGGCTTCCACTCCATTAGGGGAACTTAACAAGCGCAGGATTCCGGATATCTTTGGGTGAATTTGCACAAATCCACGGCCAAGGGTACTTCTATTGTGAGGTTTGAGGATACTCTGTACATGCAATAAATTTGTCGAGCACAAAATCCCACGATGGGCAAGAAAATCGAGTGCTACATCGATTGCGGTATGTCAAGTCCAGCCCTTGAGAATTCAGAGCCTACAGCTCATTTTCATATGGGGTAGTCTCTCCATATAGCTTCTTTGCACTCTCTTATTTAAGAGCGAATAGCGCATCTCTAGCAGCGCTTGCAGTGGAGGTGGAGTGCGCTATCACCCAGGCAATGATGCGGTCGCCATCGTAAGAACGACACAGCTGACGCGTCTCGGATACAGATTCTTTCCTGTGTTCCTTGGTGGGATCAACGTCGGCAGCGGTTTGTCTTTCTTTGCTCATCTGCTGAAGGGTGTGAAATACAAGCATCTAACTGTCTCCAGGAAACAAACCGCCATGGACGAACGCGCAGAAAGCAGCCTACGCCCAGTACGATGGGAAACGCGCCCAGCAGTACTTCGGACACGCATTCGAAGTGCCTTCATTCTTCCCGATTCTCTCCCTTTTGGTGCGTATCGAACCCGGCGTGTCGTATGGTCCATCCGTCGCCTAACCCATTCGACAGCCACAGCGAGCAATGACTTACGTCAAACAGCGCTACAGCAATGATCGCTATGAGCTGGCATTCCTCCGGTGCTTCGAGACCATGTGGAATGGGCAATTGGATATCTCAATCCCTGACAATCTCTGCACTGCACTCCTGAAGCTTTTCAACCCCGATGAGGTCCAGGAAATTCTGCAGGCAGCTAGTAGTCCCGAAATCAAAGAGGCCCTGACGAAGATGACTGACAAGGCAGTTCGGGAGCTAGGTGCGTTCGGATGCCCTTGGTTCTGGGTTCATGATGGCAAAGGCAACGCAGAGCCCTTCTTTGGCAGTGACCGGTTCCATTTCATGTGGAATTACCTGGGACTTCCACATGAGGACTTGAAGTTGATTGTTGGTGCAAAACTGTAGCTTTCTTCACGGCAAATTTCCACGCCATGACCCGCATGGACCCTAGTCATGTAAATATTTTGATTGGCCTTGTAGAAAGAAACATGCGTGCACAGGAATGGCATTCCGAACCCGAAATCAGTAATACTCGGATGCCATGGCCGCCATTATGGGGTCTAACATCATCATTCATCATCAAGTCTAGTTAGTGATGGAGTATAAAGAAACCAACTCCATCTCGAGTTAGGGCATCTCGATGTAAATCGTGGTCCCCGCTGTATTCAGCATTATCGACACCATGTATACACTCAGCTCATGGCTGCTGCTCACAGGAGCTGTGGCTGCCCGTGTTTGCGAAAATAGGACTATCGATATTACAGTATCAGCACAAAACGCGGTGTTCAACAACCTTACTACGCCAAAGACAAACGAGGAAGCGACAGGCTTCGCTGTCGATGCCTCCACACAGGGTTTCAATGCCACTGACCAGGCTTTAACCGGCTATGCATCTATCACTGGCCCATATAAACTTTCGACTCAATACTGTTCGCCGAACGGACGCACCTCTGGTCCAGCACCCGTGCTGCAGATTCTGACCCATGGGTTCGGATACGACAAAGTGTACACTGCTTTCGCTGCTTTGACGTTGGCATGGCTAATACTATACTAGATATTGGGACCTGCCTTACAATGCCTACAACTATTCTTATATCGACGATGCTCTCTCACTCGGGTACGCCACGCTCTCATATGACCGACTGGGCATCGGAAACTCTTCTCATGGAGACGCCAAAAGCGAGATCCAAACGCCTCTAGAGGTAGCTGCCCTGGCTCAATTGATAGACATGGTCCGGAATGGCTCCTATCCTGGGATCATAGTACCTCGCAAGGTCATTCTCATTGGACACTCATACGGCTCCGTTCAGACATACGATCTCACCGCAACGGATCCTAGCAGCGCAGACGCAATAGTCCTGACGGGATTCTCGCTCAACCAGACATTCTCCCCTTCCTTCATCGCCGGAGGTAACTGGCAACAAGCGTATCTGACCCAAAAGAGCGCATATAACTATACTCCAGGGTATTTAGCCAGCGGAAACATCAACGCGGATCAGTACCTCTTTTGCCATTGGCCCGAATTCGATCCCAGCCTTCTAGCATATGTCGAAACCATCAAACAGCCTGTCACGGTTGGAGAGCTTTTGACGATTGGGAGTGTCCCGGCGCAGAACCCCTTCGCGGGCCCAGTGCTGCTAATTTCCGGATCAAACGATGTCCCCTTTTGCGGAGGGGATTGCTACAATACAGGGGGCGGTGCACCGTCAATCCCATCCGATGCAGCCAAGGCGTTTCCTAACGCGAGGCCTTTTGAAGCCTTCGTCCAGCCCAATACAGGCCATGCGATTAACCTTCATTACACCGCGAAGGAGGCGTATAATTTTATGTTCGTGTTTCTGGCGACAAACGGTCTGGGGCCATGATTGGGTTTCACGTATATTCTGTTTGCGCCTCCGCAACCTGGCTTTGTGAGACGTTCTACTTTCAACATGAGACTGGATGTAGGTCTGGGTATAGATTTGACAATGATGTTTCAAAATGAGCAATACTTCGCCGACGCCATCAGTTTAAGAAGCATGTACAGTGAATCCAAGCAGGTATTGCTATATCCCTACGATTCCGGGGAAAGGCTCGGTTTAAGTAAAGGATATTATTGGCTAGACATTCCTATTCTTATGTGCCAGGACGGATCATTGTAATCCGCATCCTACATCCCGAATCCTGTACGTACTCCAGGATGTGGAAAGCATGTCGAACCGCGGGTTCAGGGAATGTGCTAGATAGCTATATAGAAAGACATTTGTAATCCGAACAGTATCCGAACAGTTTCCAACCCCCTAAAACACGACATACAGAAGAATTGTGGGGTTCAGGCTGCATTGTGGTTGCACGATAACCTGATTAACAATCCATTTCCTCCCCACCCGGCAATATATAAACCCACCATCCTCTCATCCGAGGACTTGTTTTTGAAGTAAAAAGGACAGAAAGAATCGAGAACAAAGGTTTCCAAAATGGCTGCACCGAAGATTATCCTGTATACCAACCACCTCTGCCCGTGGGCCCATCGTGCCCACATTGCTCTCAAGGAGCTGGGACTCGACTACGAGGAGGTTATTATTGACCTAAATAAGCCCCGCGAGCCATGGTACCTGGAAGTGAATCCTGTACGGGCACCTTTCCCTAGAAGATCGGGTTATACACTGTAACTAATCATCTCCCATAGCGCGGCCTTGTTCCATCCATCTCCTACAATGGCACCATTGTCACCGAGTCCGCCATCGTGACACAGTTTCTCGCCGATGCACACCCATCCCACCTGCTCCCGGCCTCCACAAGTCCCGAGGGCCCCATCCAACGCGCCCGGATTGCTTTCTTCGTCGACACCTTCACGAGCAAACTCGTCCCCAAGTACATGGCGGCGAACCGCTCCGCCACCGACGAGGAGCGAGACGCCGCGACTGAGGCCCTAGTTGCGGCCATCGAGGCGGAAGTCGAGGGACAGCTCTACCCCGCCGGCCACGGCGCTGGTCCATTCTTCCGTGGTAGCGAGAAGCTCACGCTGGCCGAGGCATTGACCGGTTCGTTCCTGCTGCGGTTCCTCTCGTTCGAGAAACCCCAGTATGGATTGTTGGGTCCGCAGTTTACCGCATCGCTGCAGAAACGCACCCCCAATTTCTACAGGTGGGCGAGCGCGGTCGTGCAGGAGGAGAGCGTGAATTACATCTGGAATGAGGAGAAGGTGGGAAATTCCAGTGCAGCTCGGTTTAAGCCCGCGGCTAAATAGACTGTCCATGGAGTACGAGCATAGATATTTTCCCGCGCTGGTCGTCGCTTTCGGCTTCAGATAGATGCAATCCGAATATGTTCGTTGATTGGGGAGCAGACCAGCTTTAACTATATAGATAGCTTGAGTAGGCCCTGCCCTAGCGCTTCGCATACTGATGAACTGCTCGATTCTCTCACACCACTGTGCAACGATCCCAAGGTCCCTGCGTATTCAGACCCAGATAAACATCGGACACCCTGAAGAATCCAATCCAACTTGGTAATCCAAAGCTCGTCTGAAACACGCCGAATATCACATGCGCTCCCCACCGGCTATGCAGAATTGTCCCACTTTCCCCCACTGACCGCTATAAAAGCGTGAGAAACACCCAGCTTTCAACCTTGACTTGGACTTTAAGGATCTCTGAATATGGCTACCGAAATTGGAGGGACCAAAATCACGTTTGGCGATCCGCGCCAACCGAAGGCCCTGCCTCTATCCCATCCCAAAGCGCGCTGGGGCGAGTTTGGGAGAAAAACAACGGTTCTTCCCAAGGGGTATGTGAGAAGACGAGGATGCTTGCCATTGCCGTGCGATATACTGTTTGATCGCGATATAGCAGTGCGCGTAAGTCAAACCCCCTCCCCCCCCCCCCCCCCCCCCCCGGGGGGGGGCACCATTCGGCAAAGTGTAGCCCACTTAACACACCATGGTCTATAGCTGCGTGACGGGGTAGTGATTTATCTTGATGTCTACCGACCCGTGAATGACGTGCTGAAGATTCCGGCTTTGCTGGCGTGGTCGCCGTACGGAAAGCAGGGCGGCCGTGGGAATCAGGTCCTCGACGACTTTCCGTTTCGTATGGCGGTTCCACTACGCAAGTTGTCGGAACTTCAAAAATGGGAAGGCCCCGATCCGGCATACTGGGTGCAGCATGGATATGCGGTTATCAATGCCGATCCGCGCGGAGTAGGCAAAAGCGAAGGCGATATCTATCATTTCGGGTCCCAGGAGGGCCGGGATGGGGCAGATGTGGTGGATTGGATCGGAGAGCAGCCCTGGTGTTCTGGCAAAGTGGGCTTAAGTGGAAATTCATACTTGAGCATTTCCCAGGTGAGTGGACTGGATACTGTCTCGGGCACTTCAAGACCCCTAAAAGCCAATGCTTCGGTCTTAACGGGATGGATATAGTGGTTTATTGCAGCGGAAAGACCCAAATATCTTGCAGCCATCGCACCGGTATGAACGGCTCCTGGCTTACCTTGAGTGGAATGAGTCGACTTGGTTAACTTATTTCTTCAGTGGGAAGGACTGTCGGATCTCTTTGGTGAAGGCCTGGCCCTCGGAGGCACTATCACGACGCCATCTCTGAATTTTGATCTTCAGCTACTCCAAGTCAATGCCGGGGAAAACTCATGGGAAAATGCCACGCAAATGGTTATCGATCATGACGTATTTGGGCCGTATCACGATGACAAAAGGGCGAGAGTAGAGGTACGTTTGATTTACCACCGTCGTCGGAAAGTAGGTACTAGCGATGATAGAACATCAATGTTCCCGCCTATGTCGTGGCTAGCTGGTCGAACCCGATTCATACATTCGGCACTTTCTGCGCCTATATGAAGCTCACCAGTGAGAAGTGGCTGCGTGTTCATGACACCTGGGTAAGCACTACGTCTTCTGACGTGAGTGAGACCTTGCGGCTAACATGAACATGGATCAGGAATGGCCAGATTACTACGATGAAGTCAATCGGACCGATCTGCACCGCTTTTTTGACCGGTATCTTAAGGTGCCAACAAAAAAACCCCCCCTAAAAAATAGTTTGTGATGTGTATCAGGTCTAATGTTCGCAGGGGATTGACAACGGCTGGGAGAAGACTCCGAAAGTCCGTGTGAAAATAATAGATACAGCAATCCCGACGACGAGACAAGGAGTCGACATGACATTTTCCGCCTTTCCGCCACCGCAAAGTATCCCTATGAAGCTCTTCTTTAACGGGATGGATGGAAGCCTTAGCGCCGCTTACCCACCAAGCTCTCGGGTGGAATATCAGGTGAAAACCGGGGGCTGCGAGTTCATATACAAGTTCGAAACAGACGCCGTCCTGTGCGGGCCGATTGACCTCTGTCTCGCCGTTTCGCTTGCAGAAGCCGCCGACTCTGATATCTTTATCACCTTTGAGAAAATCCTGACCTCGGGATATGTGGGTTCACAGCTGATTGTTCCATATGAGAGGCTGTATCAGTCGTTCCTGATACGTGCTGCCAACCGCGCAGGCCTTGCACCCGAAACACAGGTGCTTTTCTACAAAGGCCCAGCGGGCCAGGCACGACTATCACGCCGGGAACCTCATCCGCATGACAATATCCCTGGGTTCAGGAAGGCCAATATGGAGGTTCGCACATTCGTTAAGCAGCACGAGACTGTGCTGTTCAGACCATCTGTCGGGCCAATCGGGATGAACTTCGCCAAAGGTGAACAACTTCGTCTTCGAGTATCGGGCCAAAATCCGGCCGTCTTCCCACCCGTTGACCAGGCTACGCTCACCGTAGACAATTTCCAAAATCCGAACGAAACCGGGGTTGTCAGTATCCATTGCGGGACATATGATAAAAGCGGATCCTACGTAACGCTTCCGCTTCTTTCACAGTGTTAAAAGCTACCACCACCTCTCAATCAGGGGGGGGGATCCTGAGAAAATCTCGAGTTTGGTTTTTAGGTTTCATGTAGGGGGTTGGGCGGAGAATTCATCGAGTCCGTTTCTTTGTAATGGCATACCTTTGGGTCGCTCTAGAACATGGGATCGCAAGGTCAAATTAGCGAGGCTCTTTGTTCCCTTCCAGAGTCTCTTGCTCAATCGGGGAAACCGAAAATCGAGATCTCCCGGCAATCTCGTTTAATAAGATCACGGAGTACACGGGGGGACGATGCCATCGAGGCAGCTGGAATATTTCACTATGCTTGTCTTTCCCCCACTGATGGGCGCGTAACAGCCATGGATCGAAGAGGCGTCCTTGTATACGATGTGAGTATCGTGTTTCTAGCACTGATCTGGGTTATGGTGCCTCTACGACTGTATGTCCGCATCGGGATGAAAAGGGCGTTTGGCTATGATGACTTTTTCCTGATTCTTAGCTTGGTAAGACACACCTGATGCAGTTGCAAGAGTAGAATTTGGGCTTCTAACTGCGGCGTTGTTGTGCCTCCAGATTTTCTGCAGTACGCATCTGATCCTTCCACTGTGTGAGCCTGTGTGTAATGTGCGAGCGGATGTCACCACCTTTTCCCCTGGCGGCATGGAAGATAACTTGCGGGTACTGTTACCCAAATCCTCCCTCCCGTGCTGGCCTTTTTGGCTAATTCGGTCGATCAATCTGTATAGTGCTTTTTTGTGGGCCAGTTGTTCTATGTCCTTGCCAGCGGTACGATTAAGATTTCGTTCTGCTTCAGCTTATATCGCCTCCTTGTCACTCGATGGAAACAACTCTTCGTTTGCGGAATCATGATCGTCGTCTCGATCATCGGCCTGTTCTACTTCTTCTGGTTGCTTTTCCAATGCAATCCGGTGGCATATTTTTGGCAACGCGTGACGAACCCCGGCGGAGGATCCTGTCTGGTCCCGACTACCATGGTCGGCGCAGTATACGCCCATGCTGTCGTGATGCTCTTGTCCGATACCTTCCTGGCCGTGTTACCCATTTTCATCGTGAAAGACCTCCAAATGGGCTGGAAATCAAAGCTGTCGGTGGTTGGCATCCTCGCAATTGGATCGTTGTACGTTGCCCAAGCCCTATCTCGTCCAGAGTATTCTTTACCCGGAATCTAACCCAAAAAAAAAAAAAAAAAAAACAGGCCTTCTGTTGCGACTATTGTGCGGATCACTTTAATACGCAGCTTGGAAAAACAACCCCGTGCCTTTGATTTCCTCGGTCTCGTTGTCGACTTTGTGATATGGTCGGTTGTCGAAGCCGGAGCCAGCATCATAGCCGTATCAGCCACCGCACTCCGGCCGCTGGCGACGAAGATTTCCCTCGTGTCAAGCCTGGAGTTTTCGAGGGAACGGCAGACGGGGTTTACCACGGGCACACATAAAGATATTCCTTTGAACACGTTCGATATCCCTCGATCCATTTCCCACGAGGCGATCCTGGCAGACGAAGAACGGCAGGGCTCATCGAATAGCGTTTACACAGCACACGAGGGCCATGAAGCATGACGCCAGAAGATCAACTGGGCCAAATGTATCCTGTATTCTCACTTAATGTTCAAATATCAATACTCCAACTAGCCTCACGTGTAGTACGCCAATCCAATGGCCCAGCAGCAGTCCATATTAGCCAGGCTAGAATAACAGTAATAACGATTATTTCGACGTCCATGTACGAACGGTTCAATCCACGCATAATGACAAACAATTTACATGCCGAAATCTAGATCTTCGCTAGTCTTACCGAGGCTGTACAGATTTCACAGATCAGGGCATACTAATAACAACTCTAGTGTCACTCGAGATTCCCCACATCATATTTCAACATGCTGGGGATCGTCTTATGTGGGAAAGGTGGGGAGTGAGTAGGGTTGTTGCGCTGCCTTTGCAGGGCTACGACTATATCGATATGATTGACTGCATTAGCAAGACGATTCCGAAACAACAGGATTCTCGATGCAGGCGAATATAAGGCAGCCAGACGCCCGGAGGAGAGAGGGTAGTCTAGGGCATTCCCACGTCTGCTTCTTAACCATAGCTTTAGGTGTGTATTTCCTTAAGCTGTCTAAGCCAGAGCTATCGCCATTCGGAAGATATAACATGCACTGATGGTAATATGCTTATTTTTAGGCGAAGATATTGATTTCCACGGAGATAAAGTAAACCTTGACGTGGAAAGAAGGTCGTCACTTTGAACAGTAGCTACATTCTCAACCAGCTGACCGGCTGCGTATCAGCATCAAACTACCGGTCGAGAATTTGACATCCCTGGTCCATAATTATACGGTGCTTGGGCTTTTCTAAGACCCGACGAGAAAGATATGTGCGACTCAAGACCTGCGCCTATCGCCATTATAGGCGGCGGTCCATGTGGTCTGACCTTTGCACGGCTGCTAGAGCGCGCGGGTTTCGACTATATCGTCTTTGACCGGGACGCATCGCCAGAGCAGACGCCGCAGTCCCAAGGTGGCACACTCGACTTGACCAGTGACGGGGGGACAAGCGGCGCTTCGTCGTGCGGACTTGACTGCTGAGTTCGAAAAGCTAGCACGCCGTTATGCCACAACAATAACAATTCAAGATTCCCATGGCGCCCAACCGAATCACGACCGGCGAGGATAATGACCGCCCTGAAATCGACCGACTTCAGCTGCGGCAAATGCTGCTGGACTCGCTGCCAGCGCACCGGGTTGGATGGGGCAAGGTCCTGCTCAATGCCGATTGCAAGGGGAGCACGACTACTCCGACCACGGCGGCAGATTGGGTGTTGAGCTTTGCGGACGGTTCGAGGGAGAGCGGATTCCGGCTCATTGTGGGCGCTGACGGGGCATGGAGGAAATTGCGTCAACTTCTAAGTCCTGTCTGTATCCCCCAATTTCGCTCGCTCGCTTCTGCATATTAACCAGGTTGCCTTGCACAGATTACTCCTGCTACACCGCGGTATTCCGGAAAGATGTTTATCGAGGGCCGCCTGTCACAGTCCAATCCTCAGTATGCTGCAGCCCTCGAAATGGTTGGCGCCGGCAATTCCATGGCCATGGGTACCGGCTGCGCCCTCTGCATACAGCAGATGTCTGATCGTTCATACCGCGTCTACATGGGCCTCGAGGCGCCCGAAACGTTGACGCGCCCGGGTGGTGACGCCGACCTAACCGACATGGACAAGGCACGCCGGACGGTGGCAGGGTTTTATGCTGACTGGGGCCCTCAGTTGCGTGCGTTTATAGCTGCTGCCGAGGGTCCATGGCGTCCATGGCCGCTCTACCGCCTGGACGCGGACGTGTTTTCACCTGAAGCGCAGAACCGTGACGACAAGACCGGCAAGAGCTCTTGGGCACGAACTCCCGGAGTCGTGCTGATAGGCGATGCGATGCGGCTCACTGAACCACTCCCAACGGCGAGGGCGTCAACAATGCCATATATGACGACGCCTTGGTGCTATTTGATCGTATTTGCCCCGAGTTACGCATTGACGACAATCACAACCGAGGTGGCGCCTACGACGAAGCGACCGACGCCGCAGCTCTGGAGCGTGCGATTGTGGCGTACGAAGAGGAAATGCGCCCCCCCCGTGCATACGCCGGTATCCTAGACAGTATAAACATGGAAGGCTTCATTCCATGTACTCTGACGATGGAGCAGCAAGGATGATCAGCATGGTCAACCAAGGGCCGGGGGAAATGGCAACTGATCATGAGCTTTGATCTTCACCTCTTCGCTTGTAGCGCTGTAATATATCAACTCTTCCGGTATTTTTGTTCTTTGTGCAGCTGGAAGCTATGCTCTGTCATACTTGATTCAGTCCGACAGCAAGCTATTAATTAATCCCAGTGTGATAACACGGTTTCTATTGCGTTCGCCATCCATCTCCGGGATTCCATATCAAGACAGCCATATTATATTGAATTTCCATGAGCTGGTCTATGACTCAATCTGAGAAATGGCCGGAATCCCAATTGGGACCCCGATAGATATTTCCCGATTGGTTAGTTTCCTGTATCACATACAGTGGTATATAAGGACGTCACGCCAGATCTAACAGCTACTAACACTCACTCACCTACCCAATTCCCATCTCCAGTCAACTATCCAGGATATCCCACCATGGCGCGCGATAAACCCCAAATCCAAGACCTGTTCAGGACCAAACGCCTGCTGTTCCGCGCCGCAGAGGAGACAGAGGAAGATAAAGCGTTCCTCAACAACCAAATTCTCAACGATCCTCTCATCCAAACCATGAGCACCATGCGTCTGCGACGACCGCTGGCAAAGAAATCCGGCGAGGACTTTATCAAGATACTAAACGAGGCATTACTCGGTGTAATGGTGTGTCTGCTGCGTCCTGATGTCGTCGACGCAAACCCCACCATCATCGGCCACCTAGCGCTGTCGACTTCAGGGAACCACCATCACCGCAGCGCGATGCTGGGGCTCTCCTTTGCAGAGCCCTTTCGCGGCAAGGGGTATGGTGGTGAAGCCATCAACTGGGCTCTAGACTGGGCCTTTGAAAGTGCGGCGTTACATCGCGTCAGCATCGGGGCTTTCTCGTTCAATACGAATGCGCTGAGGCTGTACCGGAAGGTTGGGTTTGTTGACGAGGGTCGAGAACGTGAGGCTATCTACTATAATCGGTCCTGGCACGACGTTGTGAATCTCTCGATGCTCGAGCATGAGTGGGAAAACCTGAGGCGGGTTGAGCAGGAAACCGAGGGAGAGAGTAAGGAGAGGTAACTATTATCAGAATTATCTGTGGGTATTAATTATATTATAAACATGATTCTCTGTGTATATGAAGATAGCAATTATCACACCAATACTTAGGGTGTACAATAGCTCATCAATATGTGCCACAGATTCCCTTTTCTGCAGTGCGTTGTTACTCGTTCCAAAGCCAGATAGTTATAGCCGATGAAGAACATATATTAAAGTCCAGGCTTCAGTGGCGTTCTATCTACTCCCTCTTACGCTTCTTCATAGTGTTGGGAGGTCTACCAGTCATACTTACTACGAAGCATAGGGTCTCGGTTCTTACCTCGAGGCATGGGTCAATGTACAACGTACAGAGAATGACGGTTAGCTGTGTTGGGATACCCATCATATACCTAGTCTCACAGGAATCAAGGTGCCTATGAGGAAGCCACTGGTAAGCAATACCAGTGGCTTCCTCAGTGACCGTGTTCTACGCCGGGGTATCATATCGTTGCGACCGTTGGGGGTTATGCGTTATGCAGGCAGAGGGCAGAGTACAGGGATGCCTAGGAGGCATCCCTGTGGGGAGTCCAAAGTGGACAAGCACCGCCAACCAGAGCATGCGTCCTAGATGGCTGTGCTGTTTACAGCTGTAGGTTAGCAGGAGGGTTTTCACGGCTCCAAGGAGCGGCGAGAAAGAGAACAAGGAAAAAAAAAAAAAAAAAAAAACGTAGCATGTCCTTTCGCTGGTATTATCCAGATCAAGTTCAACGGTATTTCTCAGATCAAGTCTTGCAAAAGCAATCCTTGAACACCCGTCATGCCACGTACACCTAACTAAGATACTCACCCACACTTCATATCCAGGATCTCAACCTGGTCGGTGACCCGAGGTTGACAGTTATATTCAACCTTTCGTAGTCCGCCATCGGGCAAACTCATCGCTGCCCAGTAGCACTGTTAGGCGAAAACGTCGCTGTGATCACGCCGTATTAACCACCTGCGGGCCGAAACTATCCCCAGTCTCTTTCTCTTTCAAATTCCCAAACCAATCATCTCGAGACTTTCGCCACCATTCCTCCAGTGCAATCACCGTGATTCCAGCCATAATCACGATCGCGTAGTTGAACAAAGTGGAATCCTTGTCGATCATACCATCGCCATACTGCGGGGCGCAAAGCACCGCGAATGCGAAGCTATTCCATATGAACGTCACGATCGCACATATCACCCCGAAGCGCCCCAGGTCCCAAAACTCGGGTTGAAACTTCTTCCGAGTGATAAATGCACGACCGAAGCCAAGAATCCCGTACGCGGCAATGGACCCCGCAGCCGAAGTAGATGTCAAGCTGGAAAACGCGACCTGCGACGGTAACTGCGTGCAAAGCAGAAGTGCGGCACACACCGAGATGAAAATTACCGCGTTGTGCGGCTGTTTATCCTTGGACACGCGACGGAGCCAGTCACTGTAGGGGAAAACCGAGTCTCTCGCGATGGCGAACACCAAACGCGAGACGGCCACGAGAGAAATCGAGGTGTTGAGGATGGCGCCGATCATAGCGACAACAGTGGCAACAACGTGCGCACGTGGACCCAAGGCGAGGGCGTACATGTTGATGAACGGCTGCGGAGCGCTCGTGTCATAGAAAGTATCGATTGGTGGCATGCAAAACAAGAAGAGAATGATGATAGGGAAGCCACACAGGGCAGAGGCCACAGTCGACCAGAAGACTCCCTTAGCGGCGGACTTATTCGCCGCGACCGTCTCCTCTGCGACGTGGCCTGAGGCATCCTCACCTACCAGACAGCTAGCGGTCAAATACCATGACAAAACCCAGTTCAAGCCGCCACTTGTGCCGCCCCCGTTGTATGTTGATGTGAATACGTACTCCGCCGACCGGAAGCCATATGTTTTTGATACTCCGATAGGCAACCAGATGAAGTTCAGGAGCATGTCGATGGTAATCACAAGGACACCAGCACGAAAAACCCAGGAGTAAAACCGGGGCGGTAAGAAATTTAGCGAGGCCGCGAGGGCGAGGAAAAACAAGGAAAAGGCCCAAGCGACTGCTCGCGCCTTTACATCCGACGTTGCAGAGGGGAATGAGGAGTTCGGATTGAAGATCACCACTTCGGAAATGAGGTAGTTCGCGACCCCAAAGGAATCCGTCGCTAGAAACGAGGTCCACGCCACCAGCGTCCAGGCGGCTACCAAGAAGGAAATGAAGCGCGCTGTCCTAGCGCCTCCCCATGACTGGAAAGCCCAGTAATAGATAGAGCCGGCCGCGGGGTACGCAGAACAGGCCTCTGCTAGGGTGGCGGCGGTGATGACGGAGAGAATACTACCAGAGAGCCAGGAGCTCCACCTACTACATATTAGCTTCAAGATCCAAACCCGGGTGGTGTAGACGGGATGTAGACGTACATGGCCGCAGGACCCCCCGCGCTGAGAGCGATGTAGAACAACACTCGAATACCGCCAATAACATTAAGGGCGGAAAACGAGCAAGCGAAATTGTCAAAGGCGCCCCATCCACGGGCCAAGACAGCCTGGTATCCTAGCTTATGCAGCTCCCTGTCGTCGTCCGTCACTGCAGGAGGATCCATAATCGGCAGGGCTTGGATTTCCTGGCCATACTTGGCGATTGAGTCGTCCATGGGTACTAGGTTTGATATACCAATAGCGATGAGGGCAATGGATGAGATGATAGCTAACTCTGGGCCTGAAGGTTGTGAACTCGCGGTTTGCTGGAGAGAGAAAATCTCAACTGATTTCTCCAACACGCTCTCCCGTCACGTGGCAGGTTGCTCGATTGAACTATTCCTGATCAGGAAATATGACTGATTATTTCCTCTATTAGTAAGATATTCATTTACAACTGGGTTGATTTGCTGGCAAGTAATTCTGATAGGCTCGTCTTATTAATATATTATAGAGAACTGCCTAACTAAGCTCTAAATAAGCTTCATTAACTACCCAGGTAGGTAATTATTAGTCCGATGTACTTCAATGACTTGGTAAGGTTATCTATATCTGTTAGATTAATATAATCCTATATAGTTTGTACATTTGCTATATATAGGACCCTTGCGCGAAATATACTCTGCTACAACACACAAGTATGACTGCCATAGCAGGAACAGGTTAATATCACTTGAATTTTCGTTAATTGGCTTCAATTCCAGACCTATAATACTTCAAGCTTTGATTCATTCTCTGCTTCTTTATTTTCATAGACTATAACAAGTTGCATTCCATTCACAACACCCAATAATTGATCCTCCTCCTCTGCAATGCAAGCAGTGCACAATCAACAATTATAATAGCACTTCATGCTCTGAGCCTGTCCAAATGACGCACACTGGCTGGTGATGCTGTTCTTCATATCCGCAATTTCATTTTGACAGTTTGAATCCGAATACACGGTGCAGGCAGTACCGAGGGGTGGGATGGTAGACCCAATCGCTCGCACGCTGGAGAAGCTCGAGTACTGGAAACAATTGCCTTGACACGTCGGCTTGAAGCTTCCAAGTGGGCTGTCGCAGTTCGCTCCACCATAGTAGGTCACGCATTCTCCCTTGCCGCCTGCGCAGGAACCGCGTTCCTGGAGTATTCCCCTGGCTTCGATATTTTCAACATCGGAGGCGGACGACTCGGCAAGGGGCGAGGCCTGGACAAGCAAGCCGGCCTGGAGGGCAATGCTGAGAAGAGTCAAGAGGCGCATTTTGAGGGGTCTCTTGCGAGAGTTAGAACATGGTCGGTTCAGGTGGATATCGGGTTACATACCTGATATGAACCGAGAATGTTGTTCGAGGGAGGTGGGTTTGATGGCTATGGGTGTTCTGGATGAGGGTATGAGCAATTGGATATTGATCGCTATTTATCCTCGAGTCTCTTCGAGGCCGCATCCCATGCCTCGGTCGTGTGTTATACCCAATAAGCGGAATATGTCTCTCCGCTGTGTCGCCATCCTGTCTGGTTCGATCTCCACCCGTGACATGTCAGCTGAATGCCCCATTTGCAGAAAGAGGAAGAACTGAGTAAGGGCTGAGTACGGGATGCAGGGGTTGAGAATTTGCCCTAGTTATAGCCCAGTATCGCTAAGCACCATACGATACTACACGTTGTAAAATGGCCAGAGTAAGAACGTCCCAGCCTCGCAAATGAAAGGCGAACTCAGCAATTGAGCTGGACATTTTGCCTCAGGAGCAGGGGGGTTTTACCGTCTTGTGATGGATGAATCAGAGATGACTACAACCTTGGCTTCTGAGGGTTCACTACTTCACCTGCACTAAATGTCGATCTGCACTGTACAGGGCCTAGATTCGGGCCCTCTATAGGTTCACTATTCTGCACCGAGCGGACGATCTCAAGTTTAGCCGGAGTGGGGTCCATTTCTGGGACTCATTTCTTTCTACATTTGGAAAATCCTCCCTCAGTCAGCGTTTACACACGCTGAACACACATGGGATTGTCTGAGGAATCCTAACAATAGACCTCGGAGCGACGGAAAATGCGTTCTATTGGGCCACACTGAACCATGAAGCCGTAGCTGAGAGAGTGAGGATATAAATGGTGACTGACCACGTAGCTATCCGACTAGAATATCGATTACACTACAGACAAGTGAACCGGGTTTCATTTCATATCTTCAACTACAGTGAGTACCCCAGGCTCATTTTGAGGAACCCACATAAACCCTAATAAACACAGACAGACAGATACCCCCAAGATTGACTCTCAATAATCTCCATTCTTCAACATGCACTTTACTCGAACCGCCAGCGTCCTTCTCACGGTAGTCGGACTTGCGCTCAGCTCGCCCGTGGATTCAACGAGTGTTTCCCTTGACAAGCGTGCCGACTGCGACACCCACACATGTATCACCTACTATTCCGATAGCGGCTGCACGCGTGGCTTGGAGCGCGGATCATACAAGCCCGATTGCAGCGGCAATTGTTTCCGATTCGACAGCTTCTCCAGTATTCAAGTCGCCGCCAATGTCTTGACCGGGGCGGACTGCGTGGCGTACTCCGACAGCAATTGCCAAAATGCTATCTCTGATTCTGGAAACCAGCATGGTCACTACTGCATGGAGAATTTGAATGGTGCCAAGAGCATGAAATGTTACTATGGATGTTAAAGCAGATGATGGTTCATCTTTGTATCATCGCTTACATGGTTATATTGTAGCATATCCTTAAACCTGGCCAATATGGTTTAACAAGCGTGGCATTCCACGCGGGGATATAAAAACAATAAAGATCTGAGCAATAGATCTCTTTGATATTCTCCGTAACTGGCTTTTCAAGTATTGTAGAGTATATTCGCAGGAGGGTATAAAATCCATTTATGCCAAATATGAGATGACTATCCACTCTTCCGGAGAATTCCAGGGCTTTCTACTTAACCCATGTAGGAGTTGATGGTAACTTGTAAGCCACAATAAAGAGAATAAAGCATGAGCTATTATGACTCCAACTCTAGTGAATATATCTCCACTCGTATTGCTGATTGGACTTGACAGATCCGCGATGTAACCGCACTAGAGAAACTTGGTTTAGGGCCTCGTTGAATCTTTATTAAGGGTCTTGACTATGATAACGCAACTATAAGAAGCCCCTACATCTCCTCAAATTATATGAAAAGCCCCTCGTTACCCCTCTCTAGTATGGCTGCTCCCGATAGTTACCTCCCTCCAAGTCTTCCAGAAGAAAAAATCTTGCAATTGATACGGACTCTGGATCTGCCCACCCCAAAGAAAATTGAGCCCCTTCAAGTTACAGCGGCTTTCCATTCTATATACTTAATCCATTTCACTTCCCACGATGCATCGTCCATCCCCGCACGGGCAGAGCCGGATGGAACCGTCATTCTCGTACTAAGAGTATCTGGACGTCAAATCCCAGAAATCAAAACTAAGAACGAAGTGGGTGTGATGACTTGGATCCATGAAAACACCAAGATCCCAGTTCCACGAGTCATACGATACAGCGCTTCGGAGGATAACCCCATCGGTTATGAGTTTACCTTGCTTGAGAAAGCTCACGGCGTCAGCGTGGACAAAGTATATCCATCGCTGACAATGGAAACCAAGCTGAAGCTGATTCACCAACTCACCGACTACCTAGTTGAACTGCACTCCCATTCCTGGTCCTCGCCCTACGTTGGGGGTCTTGCGTTGCAAAACGGAAAAGTCATCGCTGGGCCCCCGATCGAGGAGAACTTCTGGCAGACTCCAGACCTAGCGAAGTACTGGAGTGGGACGCAAGAAACACTGGAGTCACTCAACCCTACCAATGGCGAAGGGTATCAGGGTTTTGTTGCGTATAACATCGCATGTTTACAGCGGTATATCCATGCTATACAGGTTCATCCAGCGCTTATCTCCTTCCGCGATATGATCCCCCGTATCAACGCTTTCGTATCTGCTCTGGACTCTCCTGAATATGCAGAAGAGCTAAATCGAGTCACATATGTGCTGGCGCATAAGGATATGCACTTTGCCAACATAGTCTGTGACCTTGATGACCGTGAATGGCCCATCACGGCCGTGCTGGACTGGGAATTCTCCGGCGTGGTTGCAGCCCCACGCTGGAACCCGCCCCGGGCATTTCTATGGAATGGGAGGCACGAGCCAGAAGATAAGGAGGAACGGAATAATCTTGAGGAAAGATTTGAGAATATTTGCCTTGAGCAGGGAGGAGGACGCATGCTCGAGCAAATGAAACTGAATCCGCTGCAAGACTCGATGCAAACGGCCGTCAATTATATCAGGGCAATTGTAGAGGTTTGTCCCCGGGGGCAGGCAGCAGATAAAGTGACTGGGTGGCGGCAAGTTGCCGAAGATGCAATGAGTGCTTTCGTGTCTGACGGTGATTTGGTATAAACGGGCCGTCGTTCACCACCAAAACACCAGATATGGAGTATAGTCTAGTTGGAGAGCTTGGTTCCGGTTCACAATTATCAAGGTTATATTTGCGAGTAGACTACGAACTGGTCAATGCATCTGGTGAAAAGCTCACTCCTGCAGTCGACCCCGGTAGATATCAAAGTACTAGGGACATCTCCTCCGTTCTGTGAGATATACAGAAGCAGGTATAAACTTGTTATCAGGGGTAGAAGCATTCATCATGAGCCTCCCGGCCTGATTCCATGACATACAATGATACGGTATTGGAAGGACAGAATGGTAATGATAATTCACACAGAACCAAAGCAGGTATCATAAATAAGCATGTCCCGATTGCCAGCGTAGTGTAGTCATTAGATGCAACGAGATAGTATATAAAAAAAGGACAAATTTCTGCGCGATGTTTATTAATCCTCCGTCTCTAATCGACACCTCGAATAGTCTCAATAATTCCCTAGAAATGGCGCCTCCCTAATCCACTTCCTATCCCGAATCTCCCCCAACACCCAGCGTGCTAGACTTCTCCGGGAGAGATTCAGCCCGCCTTGATGATTCGGGCCTGCATATTCTGCCCAAACAGGCAAATCCCCAGAACCATTCGTCAGGTGCGGTATCCGAAAGATGGTCCAATCTAGATCTGTACCGGTCTCACTCACCCTCTCTGCTATCCGTACCATCTCCGCATTCCCTTGCGGAGCAAAGAGCTTGGGGAATTTCCCGTAAATAGCAAGCTTCCAGGTGCTGACGTCTTTCTCTTCTACCCAGAAAGACGGTGTTGACAAAACGATCAACCGTCGGGTCCCGTTAGTCTTCATAGCCCGAATGATCGTTGGGAATGCATCCGCAATCGGCGTATCTGTGGGACGCGTTATTATAGCGGAGGGGGAAACATAAGCGCCGAGGAAAGAGACCACAGTCGTAACAGAGTGATTTCTCATGGCGGACACCAGTCTGTCATAGTCCGTGAGACTGCCCGTAGCGATGGATATCTTTGGGTGATCTGAAAGCTTAGCTGGGAGCTTTGATGGTGTTCGCACGTATAGCACCAAGTGGGATTGATCGGAACGTTGCAACGCTTCTTCAATGAAGGCCAGGCCCGAACCACCTAGTTAGGGTAAGAAGCCATTGGTCAGCGGCTTGACTTCCTCACGAACCAATGTGCCGAGAGTACAGGTGCAGGGGGGGCCATACCTGTGGCGCCTAGGACAAGAATGACTTGTGGATCTATAGACTCCATCTTCCAGCAAATGAGTGGAATTACCAATGAAAGCTTGCAGGCCAATGGAGAGAATCATTCCACTCTGAACAAGTATATAGAGTACCGGGATTTGAATTGGTCGGAACTGTTTAGATAAGACACGAGTCTCGGAACCCCGAAATACCGATGCTTTAATAATGTCTTTTATATTTGACTAGTTAGTTAGATAGATATTTCTGGTGCTGAATAATGACATCGGGATAGGTACGCTCTTGCTTTATAATAGCTTAATAAAGGAAGGTGGTTCTACGTATTTCTTCTCTGCCGCTCTAATACTACACTGGATAGCATAAAACCCAGCGCGAAACCGCCGAGTAGCCTCTCGTTTCTACAATCATCTTACTCAAGCATAAGACAAGGACTTCATTCCGACAATGTCAACCACTACTCTCCAGCCGATCAAGCTCTACGGAGGGATACTGGGTCCCAATCCCTTGAAGATTGGCATTATCCTTTCTGTCCTCGAATTGCCTTATGAAGCTGTGCCCGTACCCTTCGGCGAGATCAAGGCTCCTGTATATGAAGCAATCAATCCAAACGGCCGTCTGCCTTCCATCCATGACCCCAACACCAATCTCACGATCTGGGAAAGCGGCGCTATTGTCGAATATCTCATCGAACGTTACGACACCAAGGAGCCCCGGAAGATCAGCTTTACTCCGAGAAGCGCAGAAGCGGAGCTTGCCCGGTCTTTCCTCTACCTCCAGGTCTCGGGCCAGGGCCCTTACTATGGACAGGGCTATTGGTTTAAGGCCTATCATCATGAGAAACTTCCCAGCGCTGTCGATCGCTATGTCAACGAGGCCAAGCGTGTCACTGGCGTACTTGATCAATGGCTGGCGAAGCAAAAGGAGGCTCACAAGGACAGCCTTGGGGATGGTCCTTGGCTAGTGGGCAACAAGCTATCCTTTGCAGACCTAGCATTTATTCCCTGGCAGAAGATTGCGCACATGGCATTCGTCGAACATGGATTCGATCCGGAAGAGTTCCCACATGCGAAGGAGTGGCTAGAGCGCATGAGCACGAAGACACCCATTCAAGCAGTGCTGGACTCTGCGGCTGAGCAAATGGCGAAACATACTCAGAAACAAGACAAATGATGATACTAGTTGCTACGGGTGGATTGGGAATGTACGGAGTATACAAGACTATAGACACAAGTTAAACTAGCAAAGGAGCAAAATGGAGAGTGGTTGCTAGAGAGATAAAGTGAGCATGCAGTCCCACTACTCCCTTCTGGTTTGGAAGTATGACATAGAAACCTACCTCGTAGGCACTTACTAGGTCATAGTTACCCTAATAGAAAGGGAGATATTCTTGTTTCCATCATATTTCCATCATCCTGTCAGTACTACTACTACTACTGCTACCTTCCCACACCCAGCTCGTCGTGCAATCCTCTAAACACACTTAACACTCACTCCCTTTACAACTAACTATACAGTACAGATGCACATATTATTAAAATAAGTAAAAAAAAAACATACAACAGTCAGGATTCGCATGTGGTCACCCACCATACTACTAACTGACCGGCAAGTGGCTTGAGTACGGCTGAGCGGACGGGAAGCCCTATTTTCCACTTCCTATGGTCGTATGTACTCAGAATTGCTGGAGTATCCTACTTGTATCTTGATAACAATGGGGCAGAAACACTGGTTCATCAACAAGAGAAAACAACAGGGCCTGCAAATTTGGAGAAACCTCGGCTCTTCTGCTGCGGAGGAAGCCCTACTTTAGAAACAATCGACCTTTTAATGCACCAATGGGCGTATTTGCAGGAAACATCCATGTATTTCGACGTTGCGGGGTCGGAGGACTGCCGGTCGTATGAGCTGAAGCATTGAGCTGCCGCAGTATCGAAGCTATATCCGACGCCATGGCGGAGATTGAGTAGGCGGATCGGTTTTCCTCCCGAGGAGCTGTTGACTTGCCCCAGCCTCTAAGATCGAAAGTAGCAGTGGGATATGCGGATATGGAGCCGAAAAAGAGACGACATAGTGGATTGATACTTGTCCTAGGCAAGAACAGGGTTATAGTCGCATATTTCATATAGTCCAGCAGCGCAGACAATCCCAACATATATAGGGAGATGTAAGCTGATCTGTTTGATATGATTGCCATATTTGCAAGAAATCCCTATAACGGCGCCAATTCCAGCTTCACTAGTGATAATTCAGAGAGTTTGGAGTCAATATGGCTGAGACATGGTTTGTAGCTAGCTGTTGGACTTTTTGCAGCAATAACGATGTTGCGTCTGGAGCTGTACAAGCACATCTGACAATGTTTACAACTACAATTCCTGTTGTATCAGCATGCAGGTAGGGTTCGTGAACCACCTTGGATGTGGATGCGAAATTGACTAATCTCCTGGTAGAAATGGGCGACGATGTTGAAATACACCTACCTGGTTAAAGGGTGCCTATAGTTAAGTATGCGGGAGTATTGAAAATATAAGAACATTTTATTTTGGTCGTCCAAAGAAATACAAAGGTGAATCGCTAACCGGCAACTCCTCGCTTGAACACCAAAAACGGACACTCGAGAATCATTTAATACGCCAACCCATGCGAAGTGCGCGTCCATCGGTAGAGAGACAGAATTTCTCGTCGCCGTGCTTTATGCGTCTCCCGGAAATGAGGATCTGCCCGTTGCGCGTCATGCAGCATCGATCGGAAGACTTTCCGGATGTTTTTCTACACTTGTGAGTTTTGTTATAGGCAAGGGTAGAGAAGACATAACGATATACCTGAAATGTGGTATCCAACGTCACGACACTCACTTCGTGGGCGCGTATAATAGTCTCGCATACTTCCTCGACCGACTTGTTGAATCCTAGTTCGGGCATCCGATCAACAAACAGCAGAAGGATGAAACTTCCTTGAAGCAGATATATGCCGAAGAGGTACGGCATGAAATTCAGTTCCGGGTCAAGCGTGAGGATTTGATGGACGGCAGCGGTGGCGCTGAGAGCGTGAGAAGCACAAGCCTGGAAACTGTCCGACATGATCCAATCGTCTTTGTCCTCAATCATGGAGATCGGGTCCCATTTTCCGTGCAGAAGGATATAGAACACGTGGAGCATATGGGAGCTGTATGCAATAACTAGTGGCTTTTTGGAGTCCATCACTGCAGCGTTACTACCGTAGCTAAGGGGGTGAGTGATGCTGAACGGGTCGAGTACGGGTTGGGTCGGGAGAGGGTTTTCCAGGTCGTCTTTCAATTCCACTAAGTCTTGTTCGCGTTGTGATATTAGGGTTTCGATTTGGTGAATTGCCTTTGGAAAGACAGATTGACCAAGGAGAGGGTGATTCTGCATGTGGTGGAAGTCGATAATGTGGCCAAGCACGGTGGCCAGAGGAAGGAAATATTCGAAGAACCCATATCCAGTGATTTTTGTCGGAGGACCTAGGTGAGCCGCAGGGATAAAATTCAGATCGATGTTTTCTAGACTTTGCCAGAGGGCTTCTGGTAGCGGTGCAGCGACGCGGAATGTTCCTTCGGGGAAGTTCACAGTGCCATTAAACGAAAGCGCAAGATGGCGGTCGAGGCAATAAACTAGCCAAAAGAGCCGTCGACGTTCCTCTTTGACGATGAGCCACCCACGGTGTGAAGTTTGCCCATTGTATAGTTGGCCAGAGATGCTTCCAGCCTTCATTCCATCATCCTCCATGCTCAAGCCGCTGGCTCGAACCAGTCGGATAGCTTTGCTCCACCATTTCAAGCAGTCTGCTTTAAAATGACCTCCTGATATCACAAGCGTTAGAATTACCACTGCGAGAATGACATCTGTTGACCCCAGGAAGTCAGGTATGAGCCCGCTTCCTGCTGCGTGGCACACTGAAGAGCGGCCTTCTTTATCTGCGGAGCCTCCTCGAGGATGGAACTGCCAACCATCTGATCCACATGGTTAGGTAGAATACAAGCTACGAGGTATTTGTGCTTACCTGATGTCCTAAAGTAATTGTCTAAATCCACGGGCTCCATAAGATCCAGTGCAAGGCGATATAGATCGAGAACGATGCGTTGTCTTGCGCCGGGGGGATCAAATATCTTGATATCCGCGGTTTGCGCGACACAAAGCAGCATCACCAAGAGTAAAACGGAGGATGTTGGTCGTGGAGATGTCGGATGTAGAACCGACGATGGATGGACGATATGAGTGAGCGCATATGGCGATGTCGCTTTGAATATTGGGTTTCGCTGCTCATTGAAATAGATCTCCAGCATCTCAGAAGCATCGCTTGGGGGCAAGATGCCATCGAGGTACGGCAATAGTGGCTCCAGGCATGGATACGATCGTTGGCCCCGGGAGCATTCGGGTGGAAGATTACTCCGTATATTTCTATAAGACACAGTTGAGTACAAACCGCGCAAAGATCCAGCAGGCGAACTGCGAGGAGTCTTCTCCAGCCAGTGCTCCACGCGGCCCGGCGTATTCGTAGCCTGGCTAGGAGGATAGTTCGAATTTCCTAGCCTTGGAGAAAACACTCCTTCAAAGAGAAGAGGGTTGGGCACAGAGAGTCGAGCTGCCCCCTGAGGATCTACTAACCCTATATCCAGCAAGCTGTTGGGTGGCTCAACGCTAAAATGGTTATTTTGGCTGTCGTGCTGGTGGCTTCCTCCGATGTCTCTTGTGCCCATGGTCGGTCTCATTATCGAGTCATCCTCGGTATATGACGAGCTGCTCAGTCTTTGTAGACCGTCCATAATATCATCGTGCTCTTCTGGAGTTGAATCCAAGCTTCTGCCCACCACCGGGTTGTTCAGATCGTTCGCGCTTGAAGGACCGGGTGCTAGGGTTCTATGGACGCCGGAGGTGAATCTTGGGCGACGACGTCGGCCACGTTTTCGAACTACCTTTTCATACTGGCAATGGATTTTGCGCTCTGGGAAGGACTGTAAATCAGTTCCCTTGAAGACAGTCTCTCATGCGCCTTTTTTGTGCGGGGTCCAAGCCACCACATACCGGTGCATCTCTGGCTTTTGCTGAGTTAGTCCTTGCAAGACCTTGCCTACTGACGGAAATTAAACACAGAGAGAACAAGAGTGAGCCATAATAACGGCGACAAACTTGGAAACACCTACCATGGATGCTGTCCATCGCATCGCTGCTTCGACTGCGAGCATCGGTCACAGGCTCGCAGCACTCGCAACCGGCTCTCGTAGCTTGAGTCGGCTTCTAGCATCATGGAGCGGTTACATGCCCTCACACCCGACAATGTCCAACCGACCGCAGGGGAAACTCTCGCTTTTCATTTCTTTTCGGTTTTTCTTAGCCCAAGGAAAGTAGATTTGACTTATGACTTCTGGGGAAGCTCGATTGGTGGAGGATGCGGGGGCCCTGGGGGTTCGAGGCCATACTAACCTGCATTCCGGCTAATACTGTATGCTTAAGATGGGCGGAGTTGCTCGTATTGGGCGTCCTGTAGCACTTCATTTAATTTATTTCTCTGGTCGATGACACCGTACTTCTTCCGGCTTTAGATTAATGTAACCCGGGATCGCGATCGCTGGCAAACTTGGGTATTTCTCTGCTCTAAATCAGCATTACAGTAAAGTATAGATCCAAGTCTTCGCCATCTCAGAGCTTCGTCTGAATCATCGGCCTTCCAGTCTGTACGTCCCAATTATCGCCTGGAACACTAAAGCTGTAATTCATCCACTCGCCTAAGATCTGCTGTACCTCTGTGCAGAGTCCTTTGTCCAGTTCCGCAGAAGTTGCGGCATCCCCCAGCGCGGTCTCTCCATCCGGATTCCATTGCCACGCCCCCCGTTCTATGCGCAGAACCTGCAGCGATGTTGCAATGTTATTCTCAATTTCCGCGACCGATGTACCCCCCATGATCGTGCTCACCCGGAATCCGGGGGTCGAGACGCACTGTGCCCGACGCAGAGCGTGTCGTAACGCAAGCGATGCGAGTGAATCTCCCTGCGATGCCACATATAACGCTGCGTCCTGCGCAGCTTTGCGCAATCCTGGCGGTGCAGGGTGAAAGTCTCCTAGGGTACCGATTGGAACGCCTCCGTCACGTAAAAGTCCGATCGCAAGCGGACTGGAGCTGCACACAGACCCGACACCTGCTTCCTTAAAGGCCTGCAATCCTTCGCGCTCGAGTCGATCATTCTGTAACGTCATCTGTGCCCAGGTTTGTACCACATCTAGTGATCGACCGTATGTTTCTCGCACCCGACGCGCCACTTTGCTCAAAACATCGATCCGATAACCCGATACTCCAATATATCGCACCGCCCCGGTGGCAACCATCTCTAGTAGCACACCGATAACCTCAACCACTTGCTCCTCTGGAACAAACTCAATATCGTGGCAGAAGACTACGTCGAGATAGCCTGTTCGCAGCCGCTGTAGCGAGCGAGAGATTGAGTATCGAATCCACTGGGGCGAGTAGTCGAACTGCGATGCACTGATTCGCCCAACTTTCGACATCAAGAAGTAGTCTTCACGTTGATAACGGGATGTGATTTCCGGATGTGATAAAGCCTCGCCTAACAGTTGTTCTGAGGGTTCGTAATAGGCAGATGTGTCAATGGCGCGCAGTCCCAATTCAAAGGCCCGGCTGATCACTTCTCTCGTCTGGGTCGGATTCGGGTTGGAAGTGAGCTGATAGCTGAAGCCGGCACCACCTAAAATAAGGGGTGGAATAACCCGACTCAAGGGTATATCTGGTGTCGTTGCTTCCATCTGGCCGGCCTGGTCCGAACAAGTCGGATACACGCTCACAAACGGGAGGAAATATCGCAGTCAGAGTGCTGCTCGTCCTTCAGCAAAGCGACTACTCCTAAGAGATGCCCGATGGCCAGTGTGTCATTCATCTGAAAGCAAATCTCTCTAGATGTTATCCTAAGACGATGGGTATTTGTATTACTTTCCGTCTGGTTCGTCTACAAAGACGCATAGCTTGCCCAACCATGCAAATTCCCGACGACAAGTAGTGTCCTCGAACACGGCAATACTCTACCAATCGGGTTTATTTTTCCCTCTGACATTCTTCTCAGACTATCCATGGCACTTATTGCACCAGTCACACCTTAGCCTCATTTTCCATCAACGGGCTACCCCTGTTGGGGAAAGGCTGGAGGTGAATTTAGCCGTTAACCCAGTATATGAACTTATCAACGACATGAACAATAGTCTACTCCAAATATTTCAATAGACACACTTTCCACTTCTAGAAACTACCTAGGTATCCTAGCGAACATACTCTGTTTCTATCGGTGGTCGCTAAGTGATAAAATATATTACTCGTATTGATCTCTTCCATGCTATACGGTATGGTTCCACCAGTTATTGCTTCAAGTCGGACAATTTCACGAATACCAGCTAATATCAATTTCAACAGGGGAGGGGTTAAGATGGCCTGGATCGGGTATTATTAGCCAATCCTCACTTCTGCTATCATTTCAGAAGGAAATTTCTCTGTAGCGCCTTGTCTCTGCCGAATTTTGTCCGTACAGCGTTCAACAGCGTTCAACAGCGAGGGACTGTATACGACAGAAACATCGTCGAAGAAAGCACTCAATAACTTGATATGAGCGTAAAGATTCCCTAGTTGTAGATCATATTAGGCTGTGGCTTATGCCAGTGGGAGCTTTCCACAAGAGACGGTCTAGAAAACATTTGTAGCCTAAATCATCTAACATGGGCGAGATTTGATGGCTAAGGCAATGACTCCCGAACATGTATTTTCAAGGAAACTAGAATATGTCTCCCTAATAACGTTCATACCATCTCAACTAGTCTGCTGGTTCAGTGTCAAGTAAACCATTGTGCGGATGCGCTATGGCCGATGATTGATCTTCATCCGGTGCATCTTCGACCACCTGGCTACTATAACATTATCGTACGGAGCACGGAGTAGATGAGATGAAAATCTGATTTGGTTTTTAGTCCTACGGTATCCTCTATACTACTACGATCTTCCACAAAATCAAGACTTTTTCGTAGAATTAGGAGTCAAGAGCAGACTTTGCACCCATCTTGCCTGGACAGTTGGCACTTGACAGGAATATTGCATCAAGAAAAACGCTGAGCCATGAGTATCTCGCCTCTTCTGACTGAACAGAGACGATCCCGTCCAACAAAGAGGAATGGAATTCGAGTAAACATGGTGGATGCCACACGGGGATTTACTTTTCTTCAATACTCCCACAATATCCCCGACTTAAACACAATAGCCAGTGACCATGAACGATGCCTTATCTTGGAGCACCGCAATAGCCAGGAACCTAAGGTCAAGATGAAGATGAAGGCTATCCGTGGATGGTCATTGATCCAACTCTCGACCGACGTTGTCCGTCGCTCTTCTGGACTCATTGGCCTGGCTTAACGGGATGCGAAGGTTAAGGGGCACAGCTTATATTTAAAGACGTACTTATGTTTCTTATTTGATATAGGTACACAACGCCAGCCATGCCAGAATATACCCGGCTCGAGCTGCAGCGGAGAATACCGGTTTCTTTAACTTATTCGACGTGCGCTGGACCAGGCTAAGGCCTTTCTAATCAGCCACTCAATGAACAGGAAGAGGTGTCTCAAATCAAGTAGAGCTGTAATGATGGATTCCATGGAGTTGGTGGTACCCAGATAAATAACCGGAATCCCAAAGGTACATGTGAAATCGTGCTATTGGGAGTTATATCACTAACCATGTCGTACAGGTCAGAAAGAAAGCGTTTCTCTTTACTATAATCCCCAGAATGACCCAATAATCTTGGATCCAGAGAACCTTCCAGGAGCAGGAATACATATGGGAGGGAACAGGCCATCTTTCCGGATTCCGCGAAACTATAATTGAATTCTACGAGAAGTGCTTTGTACTTTCACGCAAGATAGTGTATCTTTGCCCTAGTACTAGAACTTCCTAAGGACTACTTTGATGGGATCATGACCCATATCCGTCCTAGCAGATACAAAAAATAGAACAGGTCGACATTCCCTTGCTCGAAAGTTTCGGCCGCAAAGTAGATCTCTCCACCGTGACAGTAGGGGAAGTAATTTCATGGTCTCCCTTTCTTCTGTTTTTCCCAGTCTATGGCCGTTGCTTTAGCTCTTATGCACCACCATTCTCGGCCACCCATTAAAGGAAGACTTGAGCAGTGCGTGTTGATTATAAGATAATGGATATTCGGTGTCCTGGGGTTTGATGAAATTAAGAATATTGACTTCATCCGTCTTTTAATTGTTCTGTTTCAATGCTGCAAAAAAATAAAAAAAATATATATATAACAGCTGCATATGATGATCGCCGAAAGCATGTTCATGCAGTCTCGATCTATACACTCTCCAGCTGCCGCATCTCCAAACAACTACCAGTGTCATGATTGACCCGCCTGCGGTATTTTCTGCAGAAAGTTGTGCGAAATGAAAGCGGGCTGCGTCTAAACTACATAAACCTTACGGGAGCTGCAGGCTCTGATTGACAAGGAGATGAGTTTTAGCATTTGACAGGCCATATACTCCGTAGTAGTGCCGTTTGAATTCTCATGCATATTCCATCTTCTGCAAGGAGACAGCTATCACTAGGTCTAGAACACAAGCTACCTATTTGGAAACTTAGTCGACACCTGTCTAGTAATTGTACCTTCTGGTTACTGACTAACCCTATAACCGGAGCTATAATTGAAACCATAGGTAGGCACCTTATACTAGGGGGGAAAAGGCCAAGGACCCCGGTAGACAATATAGGAACTTGTTGAACATCAGTAACTGTACTTAGCATACCCTGATCATTAGCTGTGGTTATCACAAGGGCTCGATGTCAAAGACGCATACCACATAACTATTGATTCTGACTTGGAGCACCGAGTACAATGTACTATATTCAATTTTTCACTGATCGACGAAAGTTTCTTCCGCGCTAAGGGTCCATATTTCGAAGACGAAGACACCAGAAAGAAATCATTAATAGCAGGAATGCCTGTGGATTAAGCCGTACTACTGTTATTATTGGTCGACCAGGCTCCATCGGCGGAGTGTACACTGTACATACCCTCTGGGGCTTATCGTCTGCCGCTCCCGATATAGGCGGTGATTCCCGTTGCCAAAAGTCCCTGGAGGGAATAGAACATTGTTGAAGCCCTATTTAGGTAATGTAGCTACCTAGGTACGGAATAGATCTGCAAAGCCATTGTTGTAATCAGTACTCAACTGCCGGTTTACAAAGCCTTTGTTATATTATGACGTCTATACTAAGTTTTCCCTGGTCGAGGCTCTAACAAAACTACAACAAGACAATATAAAATGACGACTATGAGTGTTAGTTATAAGATCATTACTAGTATTCTAAATCCTTTCTCGAAGGCGGAAAAGTTTACACTTGGAGTAAAGCGTTATCTATATTGTCCCCCGTGGTGAGAAGGCAACAATGGGTATAGTTTCCTGTCATGTCGAACTTCTCAGATCATTTCTTGTAGGCCGCGTCATGTACCACCATTTTCAGCGTTAATTTCTGGTTATGGCCGGATCTTGACCGTTGATGGGGATCCTTTCTGGCAACATGGCTCCGGGAATCATTCCTAAACGACAGTAGTGGTACACTCATTACATTTAGTTCAGCACCTTTATGCCACTTTACTAAGCAAAGGCAGCTTCTTCTCTTTATTTTAGAAGACAATATACAGTGGAGATTGGCCGCAGGTACCAAAGTTCGTCTGGCCGTCCTGGCCCAAACCCTAGAGGTCACAAATCAGGAAAGAGTCAAGAATGACACTGCAACAACCAAGCCCCATACAGGAGTTTCAGTCCGCCCCCAAAGAACGGCTACTAGGCAGTAGGCACTTAACTAGACTGAAGCTTAGGTGGAGTTGTCGGCTTTTCTGAAGATAGGCCCACTGCTCGAGCCGTGTGCACAAAGCCTTTGTGCTACCTAACTTATCTTTGCTGCCATACTCCGAGACTATACCATAATATTGAATATTACCACACGGTTCCGGTCTTATTCTCCAGAAACTTTCTACAGGTCCAATCGGGATCCCAGCTCTATCACAAAGTTATATCCGTACCTTGGGAGATGCTCCGTAATTCATTTTGAATGTCCATAGGCGGACATCTCGCCGTTTTCTCCACTATCCCCATTATTTTTACTCACGGCCGAAAGTTAGACAGCGTTAGATCTCAACTAGGGTTTCACGACCAAGTAGTAATCTCAACGCAGGAGATCCTATCCGTTTTGGTTCCTGACAGTGGATTTCTCGCCATTTTGACTTCCGCGTAAAGTTCTAGTTCTTCATCCTTTGTAGGTTTGACAGATTCGTTCTTTTTACCGTTGGATCCCTCTACACGGGCACGAGATAGGCCTCTTCCACTCCTTCCCCTTTCTCTTCTTTTTAGCTGCGAATCTGTCTGTTCTGTTCCTTTTCTCGTATGCTTGGTGACACTCGAGAGTCTCCTCGCGGTACTTAAGTCATTCTGCTGGATTTGAATGACTGGTACCCCGGGTTCTTTAAAGATTCCCCCCTCCCCCAAATTCATTAATCTAAATCAATCAACCTTGGCCACAGTTGATTGATTGGTATCGCCTCACCGGACTATGAATTAAATTCCTACTTGGTTATGTCGAGTCTCATTATCGGAAAGCCTCCCGCAGGTCTCGACCTGAGCGCGGACAGAATCGCCCAAAATGACGGCACTGTTGCTGCAGTCATGGCCATTGCTACAATTTTTGTGGGATTGCGATTTTGGGCTCGAACATTTAATAACAGGGCCAATTTAGCATATGATGACTGGTTCCTGTTGGCAGCGCTTGTATGTGTGGCTATTGGCTGGCCTTGACCATCCCCCAAGGAATCACGCAACTGATCCATTCATCTGCTTAGGGTTTTGCATATGGGACAGGCATATGTTGTATATTAGGTATCCTTCAGTGACTCGTGGTCTTGAGTTTCCACGCTGACCAGAGTGTTTCAGGAGGGGCATATGGCATAGGGAAACATATCTGGGTTGTGGATGAAAATGATGTCCTGATGAGCATGAAAGTGAGTATCCATCACCACTGGCGCTGGAATGAATCAGAAGTATTGACCGAGCTCGAGTTTTACAGATCATTTTTGCCTACGTGGTTCTATACGCAACAACCGTCCCCATGGTCAAATTATCCGTTCTACTCCTGTACCGTCGAATCTTCCGCCTCACTTGGTCGCTGTATCTCTGCGCCTTCCTCTCGATTGGATACGCCATTTCCGTTTCCACAACCATCTCTCTCGCTTGTGTCCCAACATCATACTTCTGGACCCAATGGGTGGATCCTTTAAGTGGGGGACAATGCCGGGTCAACCTGTACAATTTTTACTTGTGGAACGGGGTTGCTAACCTGTTGACGGATGTCATCATTTTATGCCTGCCTGCGCCGATTTTATGGAAGTTGCAGATGCCAAAGAGCGAGAAATTGGCCATTAGCGGAATCTTTCTGCTAGGGGGCTTGTAAGTGTCTCTCCATTCACCTTCATCCTGGTATTAAAGAGAACCCCCTTCACTAACTGCACATCCAGCGTCTGCGTGGCCACCCTTGTCCGCATTTACACCATCACCCAAATGAAAGGCTCCGTGGACATCACATGGGTAATTGGTGATGCGATGATCTGGTCGAATGTCGAACCCTGTATCGGCATCGTCAGTGCATGTTTGCCCACGCTCCGCCCTCTTGTGCGCCATATTCCCAAGCTAAGCATTTGGGAAAGTTTTAACAGCAGTCGTAACTCTAAACCGGGCACCAAGGATACACCGGGAAGTATGCCCGACAGTATTTCAGCATCCGCAAATCGATCTGCCTATCGTTCTGCCAACAGTAAGCGGAATCAATTTCGCCCTGAAGAGGACGAGATTTACCTGACCACCGACGTAGCACGCACCAACAGCCTACGCGGGGGGAAAAGCGCTGCTCCATCGAATGGCTCTACTTCTTCTAGCCAAGATCCGGTTCCCTTGCAGATCAGAGTGAAGCATAACTTCGACTGGAGCGAGGAGCATTAATAGTTCTGGACAAGGCATGCATAGATGTATATAATGTTAACCTTGACAAAGAGTATTCCGGAGTGAAATATAACACGACTGGAGTCAAATCCGTCTATTTGATGCACAAATATTACATGCTGAGCATTATATGTTCAGATAGTGAGTACCTTGACATGCTTCGCCCGATTGCGCTTTTTATAGCCCTATAGCGTTACCTCTATAGAATGACAATTTAGCCCTACCTTGATAACAACATGAATACATTGCATTGGTACCTACGACTTTATATATAATCTTGATGCGCTGCCCTTGACTCAATAAGCAATATCATTCAGTAGGTCTTAATTGAGACCCCCGTTAAATACCACAAGAGCATCTGTCTTTGTATTCTTATCTGAAGGCTAGCCACCATACAGTGTTCTCGAAAAATATATCTCCCTGATTATCCACACTTATTCTATATATATATAAGCTTGTTATACCCCCAATCGAACCGCCCGTCGTCTGATCCTAGTCAGTGACAACTGCAGTAATCAATGCCCGCACGCTCATGTTCCCCTTATCTGGGAATGGAGTACCGAAATCACGAGCAAATTCAATATTGCGCTCCGTAGTTTCATACATCTCTATATCAAAACGGCGAACAATCATGGCGATAACCAGGAAGAGCTCTGCATAGGCCAGACTATCCGAAATGTTAACATTATAAAGCCCAGACGAAAAAAAAGGGCGTTGCATCTTACTTCAAACCAACACACATCCGACTTCCTTTTGAAAAGTTCACCAGATAGCGATCCAGGCGCATTCCCTTCGCAGCTGCACGCATCCATCGTTCGGGGTCAAACGCGTGGGGGTCAGGGAAAATTTCCGGATCCATAAGGACGAACCAGTTCGTTTCGCTAACAGGGGTCTAGGGAGTATCATTAGATTTAATCGATTCTCCAACATCTGCGTCTATATCAGTTCACTCACTCCAGGTGGTATGGTGTGGTTCTTGTACACCAGTGCTTCGGTAGGCGCCACACGGGCAGATCGGTTTGCAATTCCAGTGGAAAGACGCAGGGCCTCGCTGATTACTCCGGACTAGACAGACATTATTAGCACTCAAGCGTGCACTCCGGTATCTTGAATGCTCACCAAGTACGGCAATTTTTCCAGGTCGTTCCATGTTGGTTTAGACTCCGGATGGGGCATCACTTGCTTCAACTCGTGTCGAAGTTTGTTTCGAATGCTTTCGTTGGTGAAGAGATGGTAAGATGCAAGAGAAAGTACCCGCGCGGTAGTTTCAGTTCCTCCAATTACAAAAGCAAAGCCTTCATTCATAAGTCTTTCTGGTGTCCGCATGTGTTCCGGCATTGTTGGCCCCGCGAGGGCCGTGATCAAAGTGCCGTCGTTAGGCATTGAATCGGCATTCTTCAGTGCCTCCACTCCTCGATCATACAGTTCCTTTTTCTGGCTACCCAAGGCATAGGCGGGAGGATTCAGAATGCGCAACAATCCCAGCGGCGTGGCATTCATCATGGTTTGAAGAACGGGAAGAAAGTAAAGCAGGTGCGCCAGTCGGAACAGTCCATTGATACCGTCGCGCACATGGGCGTTGAATCCCTCCTTATCAAGGTTTCCAGGATTGAAGCCATACACGTATTCATGGATGACATCCGAGGTTAGTGCTGCAAATCCGGCATCCAGAGCTATTACTTTGTGCGTTTGATTCGCATCTTGGAGGTAGTAGAAAAGCTTATCTATGCTCTTCTGAATCACTCCTTCCACGCCCTCAATGGCACGCTTCGAGAAGAACTTCTCGGTGGGCGCGCGGCGTTGACGGTGAGTTTCAGGATCGATGCTAGCGAAGCCAGAGCCGGGTAGTCCAAACTGAGCGACCAGCACCGGGTCTTTCTCTCGTTTACGAGCGCTCGAGGCATATATCTCATCATAATACTCCGAGTCCTTAATATGAACCTCCCGCGGATTTATGCGAATGATAGGACCTAGAATCTGTCAGTCGTACATCTGCAGGTGGTATACAATCAGAGAGCAGTAATAATCACCATAAACCTGATGTAGTCTCTCCAGTTCCCAGACAAACAGTCCTCCCCTAAGAATGTTGTGGTAGAATTCATAGCCGTGGGTGATCGCGGCCAGCTTCGGACCAGGGATCTTACTTAGAGGGTGAAAATATAGTCGGTAAATGGTTCGCGCAATGAGGTACAGAAGCACGCCGGCCCCCAGGACTGTAAATCCAGCCATTATTGTGTCTAACTTATTGAGAAGACGTGTCAGAAAGGGAGCAAAAATGGGAAATCCGCACGGGTGAAGTCATTTTCTCAACAAGCGGTCGTGAACCGAAATCAACAACTTAAAGCGTCAGGACGCAGTAAGTCCAATTGCACCTATTGGCTCTTGAAGAAGACAACGTGTGATCAGTATGGAGTTAACCATTAGCACCAAAGTTAGTAGCCATTCGAGTCAAGACGTTCGGCTGTTGAGAATCTGCAGACCCACGATAACAAAACGACGGCCCCGCTTACTGGATGCGTATATATTGTCCTTTGCAGATGCTCTAGTTTCATGCAACTAACGATCCCTTGCGTCTGTTCGCCTGATACAGGTAATTTACAGTGGCCTTCCTCATGCCTTGGGGTGTGGAATTAAAGGGTCATGAAATAGATATTAGCCGATTTCATAAACATCTAGGTGTGTCACATCGTGGAACTTCGAGTCAGTTTGGCGGCCTGTGAACATCCAGGAAGGTGATATTGTGAATTTAAAGCTTCTTGAAACCCATTAATTGTTTACTGTAGCATATTGATCCTGTGCTGTTTTCTAGAACCAGGGGGAAGTACCACGACATTCTTCAATGGGCCCCAGAAGTGCCCTGCCTCTATAGTTTATATATAGCAAGCGGTAAAGTGATATCAAGGCCTTAGATGCTTTCACGGGGTGAATCCATCCCATAAATTCGAAAATACTCCATCAGTCAGGGTACCAAGCTTCCACGACAGCTCTTAATGTGCACCAACTAGATATATTATATCAGAACACGTGGATTACTTCCGGAAATCCGGGTTAAAAACCTCATTGCCGGGATCCATAGCCTACCCCCCGGTCCGTCAAGTAGCCTGTCATGGATAAACAAGATTCTTCACGGGATTAATCTGAAGTCAGGGATGTTTCTAATGCGGGGAACTGGTTAGCTTCGTGCTTCGAGAACCCAACTTATCATACCTATGGGCCTGATTTCATTCAGATTTGGCTGGAGCAAAAAACCTCTACTTTTTACCATGAGGTCTCTATATTTCGTGATCGCTTTGGTATGCTGTTTTACCGCGTCCTTTGCCAGGGTGCCGGGCAATGATATCAATGAATGAATGAATCACCAGTCGTTCACTTTAATGTTAGGGCTGTTATTCACACATCTCAGGTACCGGAACCGCATCTGCCGGCTACAGTGGATCGCCGTACCCCAGTTGGCGGAGCAGTACAGCTTCATTGTTATTTGTCTACAGAGTCCTTACAGCCGTACTTGCTGGGATGTCAGCTCTCAATCAGCGCAGGATTATAATGGTGGTGGTGATTAGGAGCAAAGTCTTTGTGACAGGCTCCAGCTCTAGCGGTATGATGACAGTGAGAATGATCCGATAACATGGATATGTTCTTGTGCTCAATTTTATGGAATGTCTTAGCCGCCTCATATCCGGGCTGTTTGCCGCTGCGACTGTCTACCCGGGAATCCCTGATGGCTGCTTCTACTCATCTACAAATCAAGTCGATGCCTGGAACAGTTGTGCTCTGGGCGATGTAATTAGCGCCCCAACGGCCTGGGGTGGCTACAAAGGATCACGTCCCCGGATGCAGATCTACCATGTAGCATAGACACGATTCTCTATCGGCAAAACTACTACGAAACTTGCAAACAATGGGCAGGCGTCTTTGGATACGACTATGACTCTCCTGTGTCAACTTCAGCAATACCCCCAAGACGAACTATCAAACTACTAATTGGGGTCGTAGTTTGGATGGGATTTTCGCAACGGTAGTGGGCCATACTGTTCCCATTCATGGGACGCAGGATATGGTTTGCCAGCCGTTCCCCATGATTGTTGAAAATTTCCACCAAACATGATACGTGAGGAGAAGGAAAGTACCTGTTATGACCCCTTTCTAGAAGCTGCCGTATCGCGTTTATACTCCTGGCATGACAATAGAATTCCAAAGCTATGTTAGACGACCCGTGGATTCATACTGAGGAGGCCCGTTAGGTGGCTGTGAGAGAATGGCTGTGCACCTCGTGTTGTGTCGCTGCTTTGCGAGAGGTTGGATACTCGGGGAAATAACTAATATGGTGTTGCCGGTCATTGGCCTACTAGATTATTTTGATTTGTATTTCTATCCTGAGAGGCTGTATTAGTTGTTTCTGATTGAAATTCACTTGTGTAGAAAATATTGATATTCTTTTCGCGGGTTTCCTGCACTAAGTGAGATCTTAGTCTCCAGGGGGCTGCGGAAAGGGAGTGCACGAAAAGAATGGAGCTGTTTATGCTAGCATTTTGATAAATCGTGCCTGCTTCTACAATGGAAAAGCGCCCAGACCCGTAATAGAGGCTCATCTTCTCGTATACTTTTCGAAGTTCGCCAATGCGAGTGCCCGAGGCGGTTTCCGGGTTGCTATCCTGAACGCAGGCTTAGGGCTGACTAGACTACGCCCGACGCACCCCCACAACAGCCTCTCTACATAGCCTTCAACAAGAGCCTCTTGAGATCATCCCATCGTAAGTATTGCTTTTATATATGAGCATTGAGACTATCTTGAAGGCATATATCAGGAAATATCATTTCCGTCGAGACAAACCCATGAGCCTTTGCTAGCCAACCCAGCCCAATGAACACCCTGAAGAGACTGGCCCTCGGTCAACCGGCCTCGATTGGGGCACTATACGATGCCCGCAAGGATACATTCCTGAACGAGTCGCTTCTTTGTGGCGAGATTCCTCAAAATGCAATTGTCTCAACCGCCATCAACAGAGCAGAAACGACGTTGGTCAGGTCGGGGAACGTTAGGGAGAAATTCGAGAAACTAGACGTTGCTGGAGAGCTAGGAGCGAGTCTGCTTGCAGGTTTAGTGGCCCCGCGAGGGTCTGCGCGGTATTTATCGCAGCAAGGGGACAGTTTACCAACAGCTCAGCGTGCGGTAATCCACACTATCAGTACCAAGCTCGAGCAGCTCAGCTTCATGACTGGCAATATCCGAGACATTCTCAACTTGGGTGTGCTTGCTACGTCGAAGGCTACACACGTGCTCACCGGCATCACCTGGGGCACACGAGTAGTAGTTTCCACGCGAACAAGAGTCACCGCCGATGCCAGCCTTTCCCAATGCGAGAAACTCCTTGATAGCGCACTTGAGGGATTCATGAATCCCGTTGGGGCGGAAGATAGCTGGCTTGACCTGCCTACCGCCGCGGAAACCGGGGATTCCATACATGTCAGACTCTTCACAGATGCGAAGGAGACTCTGGATGGACCTGTGGATAACCTCGCGGATGCAATGGAGCATTTCAACGAGATTAAGTCTTACACTGAGACGACAGGGGGAAAGCCTCTCATGTATACTCTGCTCCCCATTGCCTTCCTTGTCACACTAGGAGCGGTGGTCCGGAATGATGCTCCAGCTGGTCAGCTCAGCCAGGAATGTTACGACAAGCTTGTCGGCCTCTTCGATCATTTCAGCAACATGCAACAAGCCTTGAAGGCGCATCATCAGAGACTGATGCAGCACAAGGCACTCGTCAATGAGACACATCTATCTGCAGTAGAGGATCATATGAAAAAAGCACAAGATGCTGAATCAAGCTTCAGGGCAAGATATGCATCAACTCTAAGTGATATCCGACACAACCAAGCCACAAGCCAGACACTTTTAGATATTATTGTGAAAGTCCATACCGGCGTCCTCTCATCCCAAGACCTCAAAGCGCTGATCGACACATATGATAAAAAACTCGACTTCCTGTCCAAGATGGTGGGTTATGGAGCCGTTCAAGTCGGGGATCCAAAAATGAGCCTGAAGGAGGTGATTGAAAAAGAATCTAGCCTCTATCGCACAATCTATGCCTTCCATTTCAACAACAAGGTCCTAGACCTCAGCGACACATGGAAGGAAAACCGACAACTTCTCGAAGAACTTCTGGCAAAAACGAACCCAAAGCCTCACGTGCTGCTGATTGACTGTGATACCCATGAAGCAGATCTCACACAAGCCTATATAACAGTATACGCAAACGGGGGCATGGTTGTCGAAAACCTGCTGGAGCAAAACAAGGAATTGGCTGGCAAACACTTGGTCAAATATGATCAGACTTTCTTAGAGTCCACTAACGACGTGCCCGCTTACCGCAAGACGCTTCGAGCTCCATGTCCTGGCCCATACTGTGATGGTAAAGATATCTGTGTATGGGTGTGTTGCGATTGTCATGAAACCATCGAATTCGGGAGCCGAGATGGGTATTTTTACTGCGACTGCGGACGAGTGCCATTTGACAGAGTCGGGTTCAACTGCCAGAGACAATATCACAAGTCTGGATATTTCCAATTTGATCGAGACTATCTTCGTGACCTTCTGCAAAATCTCCCTGCACCCCGTGAGGTGAACATCCTCATTCTCGGGGAGACAGGGGTTGGAAAATCGACGTTTGTAAACGCCTTTGTCAACTACCTTACGTTTGGATCTCTCGACGACGGACTGAAGAATCCCAAGTTGAACTGTATTATTCCCTGCTCTTTCACTACCCAGGTTGTGGACGAGGAAGGGCGCATGATTTCGAAGGATGTTGTGATCGGCTCGGATAACGACGAGGTGGACGGGTCCAAAGGACAGTCTGCGACACAGAAAGCGACAGTATACCCTCTCTACTTTAGAGACACTCTTATCCGACTTATAGATACGCCTGGTATTGGCGACACTCGCGGACTAGAGCAGGACAAACAGAATATGGCGAACATGCTCTCCATCCTGCGCAACTATCCGGCGCTCCATGGTATTCTCATCCTTTTGAAGCCCAACAACGCACGCTTGGGGGTTATGTTCCGATTCTGTGTTAAGGAACTGCTCACTCATTTGCATACTAGTGCCGCACAGAATATGGTGTTTGGCTTCACCAATACCCGGGGCTCTAACTATACGCCCGGTGACACATTCAAACCCCTTGAAAGTCTGCTTTCAGAATACCACAACGTGATTCCACAGCTGTCTCGATCTAATGTGTATTGCTTTGACTCAGAAAGTTTCCGATACCTGGCTGCACGCAACAAGGGGATTGATATAGGGCATATAGATGATTACCGACGCAGTTGGGAGCATTCCTCCAAGGAGGCCGATAGGCTTCTTGCGCACTTCCAGTCTCTGCACCCTCATCACACTCAAGAAACGCTCAGCCTTAACGAAACACGACACCTGATTGCGCAGCTGACGGCTCCAATGCAGCAGATATCGGTCGCAATAACGGATACAATTGCAAAGAGCAAGCAACAGGTCAAAGATCTTAAACACGCTAAACTAACGGGTGATGACCTGCGAGCCAAATTGCACATACACAAGATCACGGTTAAGGCCGAGCAGCTGACGAGGCCGAAAACAGTATGCTCGAACGAGAATTGTGTTGAGTCAGTATTTGACGAAGGAAGTAACTCGGAGGTGCTTCTGCGAAAGAAACTCTGTGAGCTCTCCCGCCTCAAGAATTTCTATGATAGCTGTAAGAACCCAGCTAACAAGAGCTTTAGGCCACGACCCATGTTGTTTGAAAAACGTCCCAGTCGGTAAAGTGGGAACCCCCGAGTTGGAGCACTGCGCTGCATTTGCCGACGCGAATTGCACTATCTGCGGCCACCACTGGAGAGAACATGAACATATTCTTGTCGAGTACTCAAAGAACGCGGAAACAAGGACTGATCCCAACGTCCAGCGCGAACTGACCACCCATGGCAACGAAATCAAGGCCAAGGAGAAGGCTATCCAAGCCCTGCGGAATAACATCGTCGAGCTGAAGCAGGAGCACACTCAGATTCAAACAGCTGCAGCCAAGTTCAGCCTGTACCTCAAACAAAACTCCATTACGCACTATAATGACGCCACAATTGAGTATCTGGAACACCTCATCAAGGACGAACGAACCAAAGTCCGCACCGGCCAGAGCCGTCAGCGGCTAGAGTCCCTTGAAAAGGACTTGGACAATTACAAAAAGTTCGTCGACACAATGGAACAGGGAAAGGATGGAAGCGACAGCTGTGAGGCCTACATACCCTTAAACGAGGCAGGTGTCGCGAAGCTGGTCCAGACATTGTACAACCTTCCACATTATGGGCAGATGCTCAAAGACCTTGCTCAGGTGGTGGCCAATGCCTACGAAGCGAACTTCCGCGAAAGACCTTACCGAATCAGCCGCAAGAAATACTGGAGGGAGTATCGAGATGCGCAGGCCCAGAATCGGGCTCTGGGGCGTAGAACCAGCGTGCGCAAGTCCGGATGGGGTTGGAAAGCAGTTGTTGACAGTTCAAGCTCGGGCGCTGTAAAGCATCCCGGTCGTGCCCTGATGCCGGGAGATTCCAACAGCCCCGCTGCCCAGCTTACCGAGAAACTGTTGCCGAATCCCTCACATTATACAAGACAGCCGGATCGGAGAAGTGATTTCTGGCCCTCAGAGAACCAGGGGTCGTTCCCTAACTCGGTTCAGAGTATCCTGGCTGGGACGGCCTCACCTGCCCTAGGTCCGAACGCTGGCGCTACGCCTAATCGTTTCCGCAGCTCTTCACTCCCCAGAACCGCGCCCCCTCCTTACCCAGGGCCCGCTCTGAGCTCTCACACGTTAAACACAGCGCGGAATAATGGCCAGGTGAAGGTGGTAGAGAGGAAAGGGGTATGGTTGCGATTGAAAGGCAAACTCAGCAAGAAGTGACAGGGAAAGGGCGAATTACGGGTATCGGATTCCAGGATGTGTTCTCTTACTTTTGTATTTTTTTTTGATACTTTTAATTAAAGACTGTCATATGCTTCACGCAGTCAATCTAGACAGATCATGATATTGATGGGCCCAGGGTGTCTTTCGTGGGTTGTGCAAAAGACAGGATATCTGGCCCGGGTAACTACAAGACCAACTTCAAGAATCTAGGCCAGGGAGTGTATTGCTGGGTATATTTGCATGCATATGATAATTCCCCTGGATAGCCAATAATGCCAATCAAGCCCTCCCGATCGATTTGCACGTATAACAGAAGGAGTAGTTGTCAAGACGCCGAATGTCCCAAGCACAAATACAAGGCCTCCTCCAACACAACCAACCCAGATCTAGTCCTAACGCCACACAGCCTGGAGCTTAAACAAGTCGCATTATTATTATACTCATGGCAGAAAAGGCTGGGAAGCAAGTTTCGGAACAAAACAGAATTATCCCGAATGTCCCTCTCTCCCGATGCAAGCCCTAAAGCACAGTCCGCCAGTCCACCAGTCCACCACGAAAAGATGGCTCGGCGAGCTTTAGGCTTAAAGCTATTTATAAAGTAGAGCAGTCGCGTGCTGTAGCTCTCTTCCAATTCCCGGAACCTGCATCCTATTAGGTGCTCCGGAGTACCAAATAGGAAACGGGTTTCCCTTGGTGCCATCTTCACGCTGGATCTTAGGCCTACCCTGCGGGTAAGATAGATTGATGGGAAGTATGGGGTATTAGTGGCGAGCCCTGTGGAATCCAGCCTCATACAATCTTCTGAGTATCCAGAGGGCACTAGTCCGTTTTCGCCCCGGAGATGGGACCGTGGATCCCATCAGATGGTTGTGAATACCGGTATGGAGTATACATACATGGAAGAAATGGCGAGAAGAGCCTATCAGAAGCTCGAGGTTATATTGCATCTAGTATGTGATGGCGGAAGATCTAGCTCCCCATTAACCCAAGTTGGGACTACAATACCTGCCGTGATCTGAGAGACCGCGAGTTGTCCCTTGGCGAACTCAAAGAGAATACGGATTTCGACCCGAAATCCCTAGTAGAAAGGGAAGACATTGATTTTCTCTCTTCATAGGAAACGAGCTGACTGCACCAATTTATTGGTTATCCCTGTTCACCGAGAGTGTGGTTTTAGGATAAGGGCCCATATTCAGTCGTAGCTCGACCGGGGGAAGGTGGCGCCAGTGAGCTACCTAATTTACAACTTCTATGGGCAGGGGTCGAGCTTTCAATTGGGAGCATGCTAGGCAGATACCGAGGGACCAACGGATACAATTAACCTCACTCGCAGGGAATTCTCCATGGGTCCCATTTCTCAGGAGTTTGAACGGGGCGACACCAAGAATGCTTGAGTAGAATGCCAGGGTTCGAATGTTCCCCTTGCTCCATGATCTATTATCTTGTCACACCAGAGGCAACCTGCAGGGAAGGAGAGATCTTGGGATGGCTTCAGTCTAAAGCCAATCGTATACTGCAGCAGAAATGAGATGGCGCTTGAGCATCCATACCACTCCTTGGAGACAAGTTTACTTTTAAATTCAACCCCAGATTGCGTCGGGATCATCCGAGCCATCAGTCTAACCCCAAACTAACACGGGGTCGGTGTAACCCTTGCCAGGATCAGAATACAGAATGGCGGCCGGCCGGCTCTAGACCGCAAAGAACACGGCCAACGTGCAGACGAGCTCGCCCTCCCCTCCAGACGTCAGATGAGGATGAGAGCTGCTAGTTGACCAGGCGACCCTTTGGTCTTAGTCTCGACTAGGGTGCAGGAAATGCCTCCAAAGAAACGCGCCACCCATAATACCAGCTTAAATGGCCCGGCAGGATAGTTGGACTACGGTTAATTCGGATAGTTTGACCGTAGAACTCTCGCAGCTGTGCGAGCTAGTGTGTTTTCAATTTCTTGGGACAGAAGTCCGGGGTGTATCCCCGCAAGCCTAGTGGGTAATTCGGAGTGGAGAGTGCTCGGGGTCCTTTATATGCGAAATCAGGCGCAAGGTATTTGGAGGATTTAGATTGTCTGCCAAGCTCGGTGTCAGTCAATTGACGGTCTGTAGCATGGTCACCAGTTGCCAAAACGGCCAGGGTAGCGGATTATAAGAAGCCCATGTTGTCCCAGCTCCCCTGATATCCCGCTACTCGTGGGCCGGAAATATACTCCCAAGAAACCAACCCGAAGATTGCACTCAATGGCGGAGGTTAACAACACCCAAGAAGAGAAGCATGGTGTCTCAGTCGCCCTGGACGAGGGTACCAAGGTTGGCACCATGCATGGCGAGAGTGCCCAAGAACCCGGTGCGAAGACCAAGGCTGTCCACAGCGTGAGTGAGCCCAGCTATTCATGATATACCAAATTTATCCCCTAGGAATAAAGTCGATTCTAACTCGTCCGATCTAGGCCGAGCTATTCGCTGCGATTAACGAGACGAAGATTGAGCGATGGAGCAAAACCTCGCTTCATTTGTATTGTGCGTGATACTATTCATCTAGGGCTGTTAATGAGCTAACCCTTTTCAAGTCTGTATCTTCGTCTCATTTTGTTGCGCTTGCGCGAACGGTTACGATGGTTCCCTGATGGGATCCGTGCTGGCAATGGCCCACTACCAGAAAACATTCAACACTGGCATGAGCGGCCAGAAGGTCTCCGTTGTTACTTCTCTCTACACCGTGTATGTATCGATTCATTCAATCTACGCCGGACGTGGCGACTAACCCACCCTAGCGGCTCCATGGTTGCGACTCCAATCTCTGCTGTGATTTCTGATCGGTTTGGTCGACGCAAGTGCATGTTTGCTGGCGCCTGGGTTATTATCGTCGGATCCATCGTAATTGCTACCGCCAACTCTCTCGCCCACTTCGTTGTCGGCCGTTTCATTCTTGGTATGGGAATCCAGGTGATGGTTGTCTCTGCACCCGCATACGCAGTGGAGATCTCCCCCCCTCACTGGCGTGGCCGTGCTGTCGGTGAGTAACCTGCTGGTACCCTTGACCCATTTCCAGCGGTTTGACACAAAATAGGCTTCTACAACTGCGGTTGGTTCGGCGGATCTATCCCGGCGGCCTGTGTCACTTTCGGCTCCAACTACATCGACAGCAACTGGTCCTGGCGTCTGCCTTTCTTGCTGCAGTGCTTTGCCTGTGTTATCGTCATCTGTGCCGTCTGGTTTATACCCGAGTCTCCCCGTTGGCTTATATCCCAGGGCCGTGAGGAGGACGCACTTGCTTTCCTTATCAAGTACCACGGTAACGGAGACCCAAATGCCCGCCTGGTGCGCCTTGAAATCGACGAAATGCGCGAGGGTATCCGTCTGGACGGTATTGACAAGAGATGGTGGGACTGTAAGTCTTCTGTAAGCAACTCTGCCGACGTGACTTCGGGCTAATTGTCCCTTCGAACAGACCGTCCGTTCGTCACCACTCATTCTGGCCGTTGGCGTTTCCTCCAAGTGATCATGATTTCTGTTTTCGGACAGTGGTCAGGAAACGGTCTTGGTTACTTCAACCCAACCATCTTTGAGTCCCTCGGGTACACCTCTAGCTCCATGCAGCTGCTGCTCAACCTCATTAACTCCATTGTTTCTGCGATTGGCGCGCTGACTGCGGTGCGCTTCACGGACAAGATGCCCCGTCGTCCCGTCCTCATCTGGGGCACCTTCGGTGAGTGGCCCATCCTCTCAACATTTCGACCGCATGATGGAATCAGTTGACTAACCACGTCTAGCTTGCGCCATCACTATGGCTATCAACGCCGGTGTCTCGGTGCCCATGATCTCCCAGAAAGCAGAAACCGGCAGCGTGAACATGACGTATGGCCGCACGGCTCTATCATTCTACTACTTATTCAACTTTGTCTTCTCGTTCACGTACACTCCACTTCAGGGTGTCATTCCCGCGGAGGCTCTGGAAACCACCACTCGTGCTAAGGGATTAGCTCTCTCTGGTTTCATGGTCAGTTTGATTAGTTTTATCTCGCAGTTTGCCAGTCCCATCGGTCTCCAGAACATCTCGACCAACTACTTCTGGATTTTCGTTGGATGGGATCTCTTCGAGTCCGTTTGCTGGTATCTCTTTGGGTAAGTCTTCTCGCAAGCAGTCCCCACGTTGAAAGAAGCTCAATCCTGATTTCTATTCTCAATAGTGTCGAGGCCCAGGGCCGTACGCTTGAACAGCTGGAATGGGTCTATCAACAGAAGAAGCCTGTCCAGGCCTCTAAGAATCTTGACAAGGTGGTCATCCAGGCCGATGGACACGTCACGGAGAAGATTTCGGAGCACGACGCGTAAAGGCCTGCATTTACTGTCATTCAACCATCGATATGTTGGATTGATTCATTGGTCCAGGAGACACGCTGATTTGACGTTGTGATTCATTCATTCATTCACATACCCTGGCTCGATTTGGACATTTGATTTCACACTTGCTTCTTCCCTCCGCTTGCTTGTATTCGCCTTGATAGTGGCAAGTCGTTGTGTTGCGCCCCTTGATACGATTTTCCCCCCATGCTGGAGGTAGAAAGTTTGCTATTATGAGATGAATACCCACGTTTCCAGATATATCTTGATTCACGCTTGCTTTGGTGCGTACGCCCCTAGTCTGTAGACCCCCTACAGGATGGAAACGAGCATCTACATGTGGATAATGACAGGCTTGGAGGCTTTGCGATGAGCCTGATGGATGTTGCCATCACGCCCTGCTTCGAATATCTCTTTCCGAGGAATATGGGGCCAGAATACAGCCCCCGCCCGTTGACTATCATCACCGCGTCGGAATGAATCATTTCTTGCAGAGGCTGTACTCGTATGATTAGATTGCTGTTAGGAGAGAGGTCTAACGGAACTCAGGACAGAACAAAAAACAATTAAGTCATTTAGGTATAAACAATTCATGCATCATCTTGAACATCTCATAAACCAATATTACTTGCCTTCGCAACTGTACTTGCGCACCTAGGAGTGAAAAGCGCAGAGTTCAAAGTGATAGGTGTAGCAAAATGCATAACTGCCAGAGGTGAAGGAAGATGAGCCATCTGTGATATTATCATTAGGTGGAGGTTACGGAGTAAGAAATTGTGGAATGGCCATGTGTATGCGGTTGTGGTTGCGGTTAGATGCAATTAATATATCTCACTTACTCGAAACAACCGACCTCTTGACAATCTCAAAGGATGAATGATAGACAGCCAGTAAATTTTGGAAACCTAATGACTATTTTATCTTTATGGATTCAGGGTTGATTTAGCATATCTGCCATCTTGAGGGTTTTGGGGATACGCAAGTCGACCACCTACGCTCGAGGAAGACGGCACAAAATCCGATTAACTGAAAGAACAGATATAGTTGGCTACTATACAGTACTCTGCGAAGTTATTTAGCCAGATAGACTTGTTCAGGTGGGGTCACATTGTATGAACAGTCCTGCAAGGCTACCATTGAGTCCGTCTGCACACTTTGCTGGATCCACCTGTTTGTGTATACCCCAGGCTCCCCGCTTACTTGCAGTCCAGTATGTATTGCATATGGTGACCGCCTATCGTAACTTGAGCTCTTGAATCCAAGTTTGGGGAAGTATCTTTGTGTAAGGGGTCGGAGCGTCGGCATGGAAGCACATATGACAGCCAAGTTGATTTCAACAAGAATCCAGAACCAAACTTGGTATACCTCCCCTGCAAAGCAACCGGAAGTGCAAAGTCAGCAATGTGACGATTCCTTCATGAGCAATGTATAAAAAAGACTCACATGACACATCATATGAACCATAGAACATCCGGTAAGCGTAGTATATTCGAATCGCCGAGGCAATACATGCCCTTGGTAAGATGAAGTCAGTAAACCATCTCGGGTAAAAGAGAGAAGTGCCATACAATAGACCGAGACTCATCAGGCCTGTTAGCAGAAGCTTTTCACGTGTCGGCAATTTCAGCATCCAAAATGTTCGGATTGGAATGAGCACAATAAGGATGTCGGTGATCAGGTTTGTAATGGTAAAAGACAGACTTCGAGACTGTTCGTTATCACAGGTTGCAGTCTGAAAAGCACCGATATCCCAGTAGGCTTCTAGAGGGCTACAGGCCAGAAAAAGGGCGATAAAGTAGGCTAAAATGGAACCAATGTCAGTCAGATATTTCAAGCCGTATTACTATAGGATAACATGCCCGACCCCCATGCAAGCACCAGAGCAATCATCGTCCAGTTCATGTATCGAAATAAAGGAACCGTTAGAAATCGCAGGTATGACAGAAGAATCGAAAGTTTAACGAGTGTCATGATTGTTGTAAAAAGGACCTGACAAATGAAGTTGAGCTATTTGATTCGGTTTAATTTTTTGAGAAGCTCGTTAGCTTAGTCTATTAGGTGCGCGGGGTTCATACCATCATTGAGGGTTTTTGCCATTCAATCTTATAATCCCAGAGATGATATCCTGTTGAGTAACGGCAATTGTCAGTCAATTAACAGATCTAATACGTATATCCCGCAGTATACATACCCCAACCGTAATCGGTCCCGCGATTCACGAGGACCGTGATGGTTATTAAAAATGGCTATCCCCGGGAGGTTCATTAGAATATTGACTATACAACATATAGCAGATGAATAACTTCCTTACAAGAGCACAAATCATGATCCAGTCATCCCACCCTGCAGATCTTTTGATATGAATTCGAACCCATAACCGGGATCCGACCATAGTCACGCTCAAGGCCAGAAGAATGACGCTGAAAATACGAAGCTGGGGCCCTTGACACTGAGGATTGATGTAGTTTGGCTTTGGCCATGTAGCCATCACCTCGGGAGGCGGATCCATATCGGGAGGTGAAAATTAGAGATACCTAGATTGCATGGACAGGAGGAGTGTAGCATGGAGAGAAACACAACGTTCCTTCATCCGCGGCAAGAACACCGTCGGCCTTTCGAACTGTTGATAAAAAAGGCCAATGCAGAAACAGGGTTGCTTGGGCTTTTCACGTAGCCCTTCTTATAGAGATCCTCCGTCTAGAGCAGGGGAACCTTGAAAGATTCATCTTGTGCAGACAAACCAATTGAAAAAGTGAATCAGTTCTCCCGGTTTCTCCAGCCGGGGTAAAGTTAGACCTATCCTGCAAAACTTAAATGAAAATGTTCCAGGGGCACACATTCATCCATCAGGGTAGATGTAGTTCAAGTTAAGTTTTGAGGAGTGTATTAGGCTAAGGAACAAAGTCCGCCTACAGTTAGGTTCCATAAAGCAACAATATTTGCCAAGTTGAGTTAAAGATCCCAGACGTTTCCTTTAAATGAAATATACTGGTATTCAATGTGTCTATGGACTGATGCACAAACGCGATATGACGTGTACGATTTCATTCCGGCACGAGCTGTTAAAACCCACTTGATACATGACTCGTGTTGGAAATCACTACTATCTCGCAAGCTCCACTGGCCTCGGAGAGCAGACCCTAAAGAGAAAACAGTAAGGACATGGCTATACTCCGTACCCCTTGCCCGCATGAGACTCCAGTAATAATCAAAGCAATGGGCCTTGAATCGAAAGTCCTTGGTTTGCAAGAGACGTAACATCTGTTCAAGATTACACGTAGAGCAACAATACCTACTTGGTGATGGGCATAGGTAGACAAGGGCACAGGCTTTTGATTTTAGTCCCAAGGTGAAACACCCGACGTGTGAGGAATACAAGAATAGCGTCTTGTAATCGTGAGGATGTTGAAAATCTCGACCACCATGCAGAGGAAAGACAATAACTATGATTGAATCAATCTGAGATGATCCAGAGCGCTGCTTCCTGCAGATCCTGTGTGTCTCATCAGTCCCCTCCCGGAGAGTTTGGAAAGAAGCCCCTCCTTCTCCAGTACAAGTGGTTATTATACTTCATGAGACCTCTGGGGTTACTACTATAAACATTCACTATATAGAGTTCATTTCCTGCCTTATTTCCCCATCCATTAAGCTTGGCTCCCCTATGGGCTTATTTTATGATGGGTACTCTCTCTTACCTTTAGGTGGAAATGGGATGTTTGTTTGGCAGAAGTAGAGGTTCTTATACATAGCTGATTAGGAATTCGCTGGCAGTCCATGGTAAGAGTGATTATATTTTGCGGTAAAACCACGGATGTCTCAGTATCCAAGCCATATCCGGTATACCAGGTCATCATGACTGGATGATTCTGTATGATATACGAAAGATTGTCATATGTTAAGCTTCGCCGATCCAGAACGAGGCAATCCGGATTCTGCATATTGCCTCAAGCACATCCCTTCAACCTTCGAGGAAAACCTTACGGTAACTACTCAGGAGCAGATCGCCTTAAAACCCTCAATACTCAACTTTGGGGTTTCACTTTGACTGTGATGTTGCATGTTTGAATCCCGTGTATGGAAAGTTAAACTTTGAATCAACTCCGTGTGATGATATTGCCATACTCGAAGGGCCGTAATTCGCTTTTGGATATTAAATTAGCACGCACACAGCAGTGATGCCTCCACTGATCTGCCCTTCTTGTCCTGGCCCTGCTTGACATGTCTCCGGATTGGGGTAATACGTGCAGGGCCAGATATTAATGTTGATCCGCGTATGAGATTCGGGATAAGCAAGTAATGACTTAAGGTATGGTGGATAATCAGTGCTAAAACGCAATAACCACCATCCAAGGTATGGTAGGAGGCCATATCGTAGTTCTTATTATAGGCAAGGACAAGGGTTAGGTAGTTAATTACCAACAAGAGTTCAAACAAGCATGCAGAAGTATATTTCTGGGAGCATAAGAAGCTTGGAAAGGGAAGATGAAGTGAAAGAAATAAATACATGATGATAATCAGTATTATCTGAGCAGCTTTCCCAGCTCCATGCCAAATCATATCTTGTAGACATAGTACACTATAATAGAGTACTTATTACTTATAGTCTTACTATCAAAGAGCTATTATTCACTATCACCAACTTATTAAAGTACTCTTTGCAACAGCTTGGCTGGGGCACTATTACACCAGACTCTGTTCTAGCAGAGATGGAGTGTCATGTACCTCAGCTTCTAGAGGCAGCAGAACCTTCTTCGGATAGTATATATTTCTGGGCTTTCACCCGCCGCGTAACTAATATTTGTCTCTGAAATGCTCACGTCCCCTTCATGATCACCATGGAAAGCTTGACTTTATCTGCCTCCCTACATCTCCATTCATGATTGCCAATTGTAAGCACAGAAAATGATAATTACCAATCCAATCTTACTATTCAGCTCCACCACGTGGGGGGCGCGATGGATTATTTAGATACTTAAAATAGAACACTTGAATTAACGCGATGAAGCTTGTTCTCCGCACATGTTCGTACCGCGGCATCCAAGGCTTCCATCCCCCCCCCCCCCCTTTACTCTGCCCTACTTCACATTTCTAGCGAGAACAGTTCCTCGAATTATGGTACAGTGCATAATGTCCCAAGGCCGGAAACGCATAATCGTATGCCTCGATGGTACTTGGGTCAATAGTGACAAGGGCTATGTACGCCCAACCCTGAGCCAGCCAAATGCCAGCCTCCAGGTTCCTTCGAATGTGAGTCGGCTTTACCGGGCCCTGAAGAGAAGAGACCGGGATGGGAGGCTCCAGGTTATGTACTACCATTCAGGCGTTGGTAGTGGGAGTTTCACCGACGCAATTGCCGGTGGAGCGTTTGGTGCTGGACTTTCTGAAGTAGGCCCAACACGACGTGCTCTTGTACACTGGATATATCTAACCATAACCGTAGAACATTCGTGAAGCCTACGACTTTATCACGACTAACTACGAATCGGGAGATGAAATCATTATAGTGGGCTTCTCTCGTGGGGCGTTTACAGCTCGAAGCCTAGCAGTGAGTTAGCCTGGCATTTTACCCGTCGCGTACTATCACCAACGTTCATGGTCATAGGGTCTTATCACTGAAATCGGTCTCCTCAATTCCACTGGTATGCAAAGCTTCTACCCTATATTTAAGGACATTGAGAACGCGCAAAACCCCCAGTACAAGGACCAGTTCCGTAGCATGCCATTCTCTCATAAGCCGAGACCACCTTTCCAGACTAAAGTCTATAGGCGGCGATTGGAAGAGGTACTGGCTCGTCAATCCTCTTTCCTGCTGCAATTACTCATGGCAACAGGGTGGCTTCACACGGATTTATGATGCCGATGGCTCCTCGATCAAAGTTCGCTGTGTTGCGGTCTGGGATACCGTTGGCAGCCTAGGTTTGTCACCGCGAGTACTGTATATCAGGATCGTAAGAAGTTAATACTTCATAGGGATTCCCGATACAAATATAGGTAATCGTCTCGATCTGCCTCGCTCTACAAAGCAATAAGTACTCCAGGCGCCCAGGTGTTAGGAAGGGTTACCAACTTCTTATCACATACAGATTTTACGACACGTCTCTGTCAAATGGCATCGAATATGCATTTCAGGCTTTAGCTCTTGATGAAACGCGAACCTCCTTTGCTCCAGCTGTATGGGAAAAACCGCACCACGTCCTCACCGACTTAAGGCAGGTTTGGTTTCTTGGATCCCATGCAAATGTTGGAGGTGGTTGGCCAGACCAAGAGCTTGCGAACGTTTCCATGGCCTGGATGATGGATCAACTTGCTTCCATTGGGGTAGCCTTTGATGATGGCACTATCGACCACATCTTTCAAGACAATGTTCGCTACTACCTTGATCATCCCAACGCATCTCAATCGACATTGAATCCTTTCAAGCGTCGACCATGGACCCAATGGGCCGTCTCTGATATATATAAGGAGCATCGGCCTGTCCGCCCCTGGGCTTTGGGTAAGATCTATGAATCTGAGACTGGTTTCTATCATTTGGCAGGGAAAACCACTCGTACTCCGGGAATGTATCATCACGTGGATCCCCAGAAAGCTGTTTCGACAGCTAGATTCCTGAGCAATACGAATGAAAGAATTCATCGCAGTGTCCGTATCAGACTTGAGCTGGAAGGGCTAGGTTTTGACGACGTTGGTCTCTACAAATGCCCCGCGCTCTTCAAAGAGGGGCCCTGGCGTCTGAAGCGAATGTCCATCGAGTCTCTAAATATCCTTCTTCATCGACAGGGCCAAAGTCCCTATGGAAACTCGGGTAAGGCTTCGGGGGAGGAGGACGGATCTTGCTGGACATGGAAATATGTTGGCCCAAAGCACGGCGCGCCACCGGTGACTGTGATGGTTGAAGAAGCGATAGGGCCGTACGAGAGCAGGTTGCTGAGTCTGAACAAAGGTAAATAAGAAAATTTTCCTCTTTCGTGGCTTGGGTCATCATTGTATCCCTACCTCTTCTTACGGCTGGGGTTCAAAAATATGCCCAGTCATCCCCTACACCACCGATAATCAACCCGAGATGTCTCAACTAGGAGGCAACCTGTATTGCTTGGGCCGAAAAAAAATCCCCGCATATGAACGCTAATGCCTTCTTCATAGGTAGCGCATTTTATACTTCTCTATTTCCCGGGAGGCGACGGCGGGCAGTCAGACGAGGACCAGGCATACCCGCATCTTGACCTCTCTCTAGAATGTATCAGATATCCTACTATTCTTAATGACTCGGTGCCGAAGCAGGAAGGTCAATGTTACCGAGCATTCAATCTGTACCAGTCACCTTTGAACTAATGCTTCCGCGTCATTAACAAATGACTTCAAATATAAAACCGCTGTTGCAAATCATCATTCGGGTTCACCTCCTCTGGAGGGAAAGTCTTTTTCAACCTTCTTCTTCAACGGGAGGATACCTTACCATGCTAGTGGCTAGTACAGAATTAATCGTCACCGGCCGTGTTGTACGAACTCAAGTAGCCACGAACGCGGCAATTGTCTTCATCCCGCCGCCGTATAAATAGTACCTTCCCTATACAAGTTCAATAACTTCGCTCCTTCTACATATGGCTATATGTCTTTGCATGTTTTAAGAAAACAATTTCAAACAGCATTAAGTAGAAATCTTGCTTGAAAGTTTTCTAACATCCAACATCACTGCTACCATTACTGCTATTGCTGCTACTACTACAAGTACCACCACAACAATGCCCGTCTCGTCAAGGGCAGAACCAGAGATGCCCAAGGTTGAAAAACCAGAAACCAATAACCAGACACCCTGGGGGGGTGTCGTACTTTATACTACCCATATTTGGGGTACTAATCTTTCTGATTAGTACATATGGCTGGTTTATAATAAAAAGGCAGTATGTATAATTCATCCTATTCAGATACTATGCAACAATGGTTAATACCTCTAATTAGCTTTGACCGGCCGGGCATGGGGGAAAGACAGACCAGAGACTAGGTCCAATGGCCATTCCAGGCTATTATAAATTGTTTCAAAAGTACTCCGTATGTACCTTTTGATGACATTGTTGCTAAGGAATCAGACTAATAAATGTGTTGAATAACTATAGGGCGGTCCCGAGGTCAGCCAGGGGGGACAGGGGTGCATAATGCCATAACCAAACATGTTATCAAATATTCATTATTATTATAGTATGAGGGGGGAAGCGCACAGATTGGGAAGAAGAAATAAGCCCAAGTGAGAAAATCAGCATTCAATGACTTTGTTATATGTCCGCTTTACCATTCAGCTAAAAAGGTGTCAAAACAGTAATTTCTAGCTGATACAGTATTATGGTGGTCCACATTATAGTATAATGGACGTCAAATCAATGACGAAATGAAGTTCTATTGGGAAGAAAATAGAGATACGGGCTTCGTGTCGCTAAGCAGCGTTTGAAGATGGTTGGAAGTGAATGGAATAGGCAGGAAGTAGGCTTCCAGAAGGGGCCAACACCTCAGCATGTTATAATATAGTAGAATTATAGAGAATCCGACGAAAAGTCCGTTGATCACTACTTTTTCAACCCTGCTTCTATGCCCAAGTACCTGACCGAGTCATTCGCGGCTTTCCTATCCGGTATCCTGTGTCTTTCGATTGTCCTTTGTTCTTGTAGTCCCCCCCGTACATGATATAATAGTCGATGTGGAGGAATGTTGACCCTAACCATCAACTCCAGAAATTTCGCTCAAATCTGTGTCTGCCGATTTTAATTAAACTGTTCCGGGGTTACAGCCAACTCTTATATATCACATCATGTATGTCGAGGTATATTTCGGGTGGCCCGGATCCGCAAAATTGGCTGTGGCTATTTCTCGGGTTCAGGTACTGGTTGAACTAGCGTGTGAAAGAGTACATGAAGTGAAAATTATACACCACTATGCACTTGAGCGGAAGTTTATTGAACTGCAAGTAATGTGTTTTCTTTAAAGATGATTCAGGTGCGAAGTGGCATCCCAATCCCATATTTGGAGTGATTTGCCTACAGCAGGTCTAGACATACGTAGGTATGGACTCCTAGTAAGAGTATAGGCCAAGGGGGATTTTTTTTTTTACCATCAATGATAATGCACGGACTAGTTAAACAATACCAAGCATTCGTCATCTCACTCTAGATTCCGGCTAGAACCAATGACGGTTGTGTTTAGCGAGTTGGAGGCGTTCGTTAGGGCCGTGGTATACGTAACTCATGAGATCCACTCTCATTTCCACTTTAGAGGCCGCTGAAAAATTTGCGACTGTCTTTGCTTGAGGTCTGGCAGCTAAATCTAAGGGGATAGTTAAGGATGGAGGAAACAATGTATTATTTGATCTGGATAGGGCTGGTGCCAATGGTTGTTTCCATCAAAGTCATCCCATTGTATTGTATGGTTAGTACACCATGGGCGGAACAAGAGGATCCAAGCACGAATGATGGTGCATAGCACCATGCAATATTCTTTGCCTAGTGTCAATTGGCCACAATGGCATTGGGATCTAGATTCCTCTCAAATAATAGCAGTTGACCCAGTGTTTCTCGCGTCGCATTTCTGCCCAATGTACAGCCTTCACTCAGCCCATGGTATGCAGTTATCCATAGCATACCGTAATCAATCTACTCATAATAACAATCCTTCCCGGGTGCTGCGAAGATCTATCAATATTCATCATGTTTTAGTTCTAGGTAGCCAGCAATGCCGAGTCGATGAACCAAAGAGGGGCCTGCTTACGAGGCGATTGTATGTTTGCCCTGGGAAGGTCGTCAACAGTCGACAAGCCATGATCCAGAACACCGCAGACTATACCATTCCAGCTAGGGAGCCTACTTAGGGCAGTTAGACATCAGAAAAGACGGGACGCTTGGTTTCACTTTCGGTTCCCCTGAAAAATCAACCATAGATAGGGCTTCACTCGAGTGGGCCGCCGGACTGAACATTGCCTACGTAGACAAACGCCTGTCCACTATGAATGCTCTACCCAGACGCCAACGAGAGACTTTTTAGGCTACTCCTCTTACTCTAGTCGTCGTACACTCTTTTTGTTGGCGGTGGTCCCACTTGGAACGGTTCAGGAGTCTTGTTCAAAAAAGCCACACATTCATATATCAAGGGGAGCGCTATGCTTAACTCTTCTTCACCTTTACCCATCTAACTCCTACTTGGTCTCTATATTTGTTGTCCCCTTGTCACTCCTTCCTTATACGCAATACTAAATTTACCCATTCGTTATGAAGTGGGAGTCGCTCCTTTTCTCAGCCATGGCCGCTGGCACGGCAATGGCTATGGCACCTAACGGGCATGGTCATGCTCATCGTCGCCATCATGTCGCCCGTAACCAGGAAGTAAATGCTAGAGCTGAAGATGCGAATGTTAATGTGGTCATCACCACAAAGACCCTTGTCCATGTGGACGTCGTCACTGTGTATGCCACCGCCACCGCCCCCGTTGCCCCCGCAGAGACAATGAGCTCTGTCGACACCAAGCCCGTCGTGAGCGCTAGTGTCGATGATTCCATGCGCGTTCTGGATGTGGTCCCAACGACTATCAGCACCAGCACCACCACTACCACTAGCACTACGACCAGCACCACCACCACCACCACCACTACTACCACCAGCACTAGCACTAGCAGCTCCAGCACTACAGCTACTACTACCACCAGCTCTGGCTCCGGTGCCAGCTGGACATCCGTCCCCTCTGACGGTGACTACTCGACCGACGGCTTCGGTGAACGTACCAACTCCTCCGGCTCAGGCATCGAGTATACCGGCAACGTGGGCAGCCCTTGGGGCAGCAACATCATCGAAGTGACCGCCGACAACGCCTACGAGTACAAGTACGTGGTGCAGTTCACCGGCAGCAACACGAACGACTGGTTTGTCTCGTTCTGGAACAAGATCGGACCTGACGGCAAGATGGACGGCTGGTACGGGCACTCCGCATTGAACTTTACCCTTGCGGCCGGCGAGACCAAGTACGTTGCTTTCGATGAGAACTCGCAGGGTGGATGGGGTGCTGCGGAAGGCGACTCCCTGCCCACCGATGAGTATGGCGGTTATGCCTGCACATGGGGTGAGTTTGATTTTGGAGATACCGATAACGATGCCTGGTCCGGGTGGGATGTGTCGGCTATCCAGGCGCAAAATGGCGATTTGACCGTGCAAGGAATGAAGATCTGTCAGTATAATGGGGATAATTGCTCTTATATCACGACCGGTGCGGCGGAAGTCGTGGATGCCTATACGGCTGCCGAGGCCTCTGTTGATGGTATCGGAGGGACCGTGAGTTCTGGGGCTGTGAGATTGGTGGCTATCATTGATTATAGTGCTTGATTGGATATATAGTCCATAGATTCAGTGATGTATGCAGGCAGATCAGATCTGGGGTAAATACCCATTCGGTTAGATAGGCTGTGATCTACGAAATTGATATCAATACTAAGCCGACTTCCAGAATCACTACTTTATCGTGGTATCTGTGTTTCTGCAGTGATGACACTCCCTCACTCCCCACTTAAACGGATATGATTCGGGGCTGTCCTTCTACTGGGAATGGCGAATACGAGTACGATTATGAACCCTGCTCGAGATAGGGCTTGCAAACAGCCTACTGCAGCAAAGGGCAGATGACGCATGCCTAGATGGACGGAAGTGTAGAGCAGAAAATATAAAATTAGATGAGAAAGAACCAGCCTTCGCCAATTATGAATCGTTCCGTTCTCTTTGAGGCGGTGCTCCCGTAGTTTGCCGGCCAACACAGCCATGAATGACATCCCAGAGTCACCATCGCCAATCACTCGAGCAAGTGGGTTGTTGGGGTCCCGGGCTTAATATTGCTTGATCCACTAGAGTACAAGAGTGTGATGATGTCGTTGATCTGCTCTTTATTTTTCTGCCTGCTTGTGGCTACTCTATAACGCCCTGAATATAAATAATTACACGCATCCCCCTCCTCACTGGAAGCACCATTCCAAATACTATCTTCATACAAAATGTCTTCGATACCAAACAATACCGACTCCACAGCTCAACCCCCCGCTGATTCCGACACCAAAATGTCAGACTCTCGTCCCAATAAAATGTGGGCGTATGGCAAAAAAGGCTTCGACAAAGCCTGGGGCGCCCTGGACAAACTCGGTGCCCCCGTCAATCGGTTATCTAACAAACTCGGCTCCGAGGCCTTCTGGCCTATGACCCTGGACAAGGAAAGCGAAAAGGCCGCGCGCATTCTCCGCAGCTATTGCAAGGACGGGGTATACGTCAACGAGGATGCGACCGCAGCGAAAGAAACGCAGCCGGAGCACGCGAAGATTGATAAACCGCGGGGCAAACCCAAGGTGCTGCAGAAGATTCCAACCGAAGTCATCCGCCGGGCCAAAGGAATCGCGGTTTTTACAGCCATGAGGACAGGACTCTGGTTCAGCGGTGCCGGCGGGGGCGGAATACTGATCGCTCGAGTGCCCGAGACAGGCGAGTGGAGCGCTCCGTCCGGGATACTGTTGCATACGGCGGCGCTGGGGTTCCTCGTTGGAGTGGATATCTACGACTGCGTGATGGTTATCAACACCTACGAGGCCCTCGAAGCATTCACCAAGGTCCGCGTGACGCTGGGAAGCGAGATCACAGTCGCGGCGGGCCCCGTGGGCATGGGAGGTGTGGTGGAGTCGGAAGTGCACAAGCGACAGGCTCCGATCTGGTCGTACGTGAAGAGCCGCGGGTTCTATGCCGGCGCGCAAATCGACGGGACAATCCTCATTGAGCGCAATGACGAGAACGAGAGGTTTTACGGCAAGAGAGTGCCGGTGAAGGAGATCCTGGCCGGTCATGTCACGACAGACAATCCGTCCGTGAGATCGTTGATACATACCCTCGATTCCGCTCAGGGTGACAAGCAGTTTGACCAGACTCCATCCGGCGTTCCTATACTGACAGGGCCAACTCCTAGTGATATGGCACCGGAGGATCTGCCTAATTCAAATTCCATGGCACACGGGGCGTTGGCTGCTCCAGTCCAGTCCGAGGCCAATCCTTATTATGTGCACAACGACGCCTCTGCCTTGCCTAGGTAGATATTCGAATTATAGTATTCTTAATTGGAACCCATTATACAATATACGCTACGATTAATGTTCAGATGCTGGCCCAACCCTGGTCACGCAAGGTAGTACACGGAAGGCTGCAAGAGTCTTATTAAAACATGAAACGAGTCAAATAGTTCGAAGAGATTTATGACGGTAACTATATATATGTTTAGTGAATCGGATAGCAAGATCTACCCTTGGTTGCTTTGTGTTTATAAGCCTAGTAAGCCTTCTTCTCTTGTTAAGATATTGATATTAGTGTTGTAACCATCTACTCATATTCTCATCCATGATACGGCGCAAAGTAATATATTTTTCCATAAATGATGTCGTACCCTTGATATCATACTCAATGCCCCGTAAAAAAGAAAACAAATATCCAAACTAGTCACTTCAATATCTTACATGGCTGTTGTGTGATGTTCCCGCGCAAGAATTGTTAAATGGCTAATGATTTTTTCCATCTGCAGAGACACGCCCCATCTGGAAGTAATCGTGTTCAGAGCCAATTGAAGGAAGTTCATGTCGCTCAAAAGATTTATGGCAGGAAAAACCTCTCCCGTCGAGCTTCGCAGCGCATGCAATAGGGTATAGGCCCCAGAATACCCATCAACTGGCGATTGTCCAGCCTCGTGATGGAATTGTTCTGTGCTCAATGGGGATTCCCACACATCTTCCCATCTGGGTGTGCGAGGAAGCTCAATCATGCTTGAACCGAATAAACAGACACCACATATAACTACAGCAGAGGAAAATATCGCCGTGGGAAGATGGGGAGCGTGTGAATGCGTCAAAGGAAGGTCGTTTAGGAGATTGACAACCGATCTTGCATGGAGCAAGGCTCTTATTGCGTCTGCACTCTTTACCCACCCCTCCAGGTCAAAACGCAAGGCGGATGTTGTGGCTGGTATTCCTCCCAGCATTTGCGGTACGTCGAAGATGTCACATATGGCTCTGTACACGGGCATGGTTGGGACTGCGACTTCCATGCAAACGGTATGCCATCGAATAAGTAGATCGGAGTTATTGCTTGCGCCTGGAGATACCAACGGATATATGTTTGCTTGGTGTAAATTGAGCAAAGCTCGGATAATTTGCTGTCGGGTCACTACTCCAAACGAGGAATCCTCGACTTCCTGGGCTTCCGAAATCAGCGACTGCACGCCCTCAATAACCACAGAGATCGTAAATATGGAAATATCCAGTGGCGATAATGGATACTGTGCGTTAAAAACACACGAAAAAACCTCCGGCATAGGGTGATGTATTTTATTGGATCGGGACATCTCCAGAATCCAGTCATCGACCGATGTGGCTGCAAAAGCTGCATCCGAACACGCAGCTCCGATTTTGTTGATCAAGTGTCGAGCACTGGGAGGCGACCCCGAAGCCTGTGAAATAAGACCATCAAGAATATAATGGCCCAGTACTGCACGGCGCTGCATCTCCGAGGCAGCCCAGATTTCCCATAAGAGTCCCTTTTCGGACTCTGGGGAATCGACCGAGGGCACTGATGCTTGCGGAAACTCGCGCACCAAGTACATCCCGCAAGTTCTAGCCCAGTAGAATCCAAGTCCATGGAAAACAAATGCCGTTGTTCGTATATCGGTATTGGACGAAAGCAGCGCATACTTCTGTCCGAGAAGAGCCGTCAGGACCAGCTGGACCCCGTCACATTTATCATGGGGACCTCGCATAGTGATAAGGGTCTGCCATGACGTTGCCACTGCAGTGTGTCCCAATCTCCACAGTAATTCTCCCTTCTGCACAGAATTAGGCTGGCACACATAAAGCGATCCCAAGGCCACCATATTCAGTAGAAGCGGGGGGATAGACTTTTGAGAGGAAAAGGTTGGCTCATGGATGATTGGAAAGGAGGGTGACACTCGTTTGAAAAACTCGTAGAGACAGGCATCAAGAAAGTCCGACGTAATCCCCGTATTATCGATATCAGAGCTCAGTCGTTTGGACAGGTCGTTAATCAACTTGAATAATTGTTGGATGCCCATAGTTTCAGGTCTTCGATTACCCAGGCCTTGGTTATAATCAAATAATAGTCCCGAATTTGCCGTTAGGGCAGTTTGGGTTGTTTGAGTTGTTAACGCCGAAAGATCAGTCAATGGCAACGGGACAATTGGAGTCTCATTGAAACCGGCCAGCAACCAGTCCAGCAGGTTATCCGACTCTTGCAGGGAACCATGGGCTCCAACATTCGTTGCGGGTGTTGGGATAACTCCGGTGGTGTAGGGAATGGTTGGGCTAGTAGTGGACACCAGATGATGCAGTTCATCCTGTATAGTTAGGCTTGATTCCTGCGGAGTCTGGAGAGCAGATGCTCCTAGCCTGTCTTGCGGGTTTAAGTGAAGCTTTGCATGTCGTGAAAGAACATCCTGGCGACCAAAGCTTCTACCACATTTCTCGCAGCAATACGGCTTGGAATTGGAATCTATTTCAGGTGAGCACTGCAATGCCCAACCGACAACCATAGATAAACTTACGTGTTCTCTCGTGCCGCTAGACATTCTATTAGCCTTCAGCGCCAGGTGATCAAAGGAAACATACATTGAGATGTTCTAATTTCGTGTAGGATTTGGTACACTTCGAGCATCGAAAGCGCTTGGAACTCGACGCAACTTTTCTGTGGGGTGAGGTATGTGCCATCATTCTTTCTCATAGCTCCTAGACTATAGAATTGGCTCTGAAACTCCTATGATATGGTGGTTTCCGTGGGAAAAGAAAGACCAGTGGGGAAGACGCAGGAAGTCCGTGAAATATGCTTATTACTTGAAACAAGGCCGAAGTGGAGAGAACCCCAGCCAGTCCCTTTCCCACTTGAGTGGGGAAGTATTAACCCCCAGTAGTTGAATCGTACGACTTGCGAGTTGTCCTGGTGTTATTTTGCGTATAAGAAGAGTTCAATTCAGTACCTGAGAACCACAGCCAACATAAGGTTTGCTATATAGACGCCTGGACCTTTTTTTCCCGGTTTGATAGACCCTGCTACGTCTTGTGTAGAATCCGTCATACTACGCACCATCTCACCAGAGAACAGATATACGAGCAGGAAACTCAGTTATCAAGTCAAAACATGTCACCCTCCATGCAGCATACAAGGACCCCTCGTGATGAGGTGCCTGTTCTGATCGTTGGGGGCGGTCCTTCGGGGCTGCTGCTAGCCTTTATCCTGGCCCAGCTCGATGGTAAACAGAGTTGAAGCTTTGTGCTCAGAATAGGGACGAAATATTGAATACCAGGCTGACATCTGCCCAGTTCAAACACTTATAATTGAAAGATATCAGACAAGACTGGCTGCTCCAAAGGCGCACGCGCTGTCTCCGCGATCGCTTGAAATTTGTCGCCAGTTTGGTCTCGACGTGAATGAAATCCGTAACTTGGGTACTTCTCGTCGTGATGCATATTGGGTCAATTTCATCACCAATCTCAGCGGAATACTGGTCGGTCGCCTTCCATATGAGCGAATGGACCCTGAGGTGCTTGATGCCACTCCAACGGTACTACTCTCTTTAATATAAAGCCTTCTAACATTGCAACCTGTGAAGTACAATTTAGCTGGCAACAGCATTTAGTAATCATATTCGCTCTAACTAACCAATGTTGATAGATGATTCATAATATTCCTCAACCGGCTTTCGAAGACTTTGTGGCTAAAAGACTGGCGCAAATGCCCTTGAATGAAATCCGAAAGAGTCACTCTTTCGTCCGCCTACAAGAGGTATTTCTTCCTATACGAAAATGTCTATGGGGGAATTCTGACTCACAGCCCGGTAGTTTGATGACTACGTTCTCACGACAGTTGAAGACCGCACCTCGGGTCAAGAGTACGTTGTCAAATCCAAACATGTGGTCGCTTGTGACGGCGCCAGGAGTGCTGTTAGGAAGTTTCTGGGTGTTGATAGTGAGGGAGAGGACTCTTGTAAGTCACATCTGGTACGTTTGATACATTTGGTGAGGTGCCACTAACAAAATAAGATGAAACAATGATGACCATTCACTTCAACGCGGACTTACGTCCCATCCTCGGGGACCGTGTCGGTATGCTCCACTGGGTCATGGATCCCGAAGTATCTGGCTTCATCATCGGCTATGATCTCTCTGGAAACCAAGTCTTGATCTGCAACTTTGACGTAAGTCCGTTCTCGCAATTTGTAACATAAGGCTTTCACAGCCACTGACGGGACTCCCTGCAGCCGAAGAAGCACCCACTAGACTCCTGGGATGAAGATCTTTGCCGCAAAACCGTAAATGCGGCCATTGGCAGGGAAATTCAATACGATGTACTTTCGTATAGACCCTGGATACTCAGCCGCAAAGTAGCCAAAAGCTACCAGGTCAATCGAGTTTTCCTGTAAGTTATATATTATATTACCCTAGCATCTTACCCATGTGCCGCAATAATTCACTAACTACCATGAAATTCATGCTAGAGCTGGGGATGCCGCTCATTCCTTTCCTCCAACAGGGGGCTTGGGACTCAATTCTGGATTGGGCGACGTGCACAACCTAGCGTACAAATTAGCCGCCGTCCACAAAGGCTGGGGTGGCAGTAATTTGCTCGAAACCTACACTGTTGATCGGCGACAGGTTGCACTTGTGAATTCGCAGCAAAGCGTTAAAAATGGGCTTCAGATTTTCGGCCTCCTCAAAGCCCTAGGCACTACCGATGAAGACGTCGAGGTGGCACGGCAGAACCTCCACCGCAACATCCAAGACCCCCAAGCGATGGTAGCAATCAATCAGGGGATCGAGGGACAGAGAGAGCACTTTGATAATCTTGGACTTCACATAGGATACATATATGGTGACACGAAAATCCCGGACAATGCATCTGTCTTCCATCCAGTGTGTATTCCAGGTGCGCGCTTACCTCATACTTGGATCCGAATTGTTACTCCGTCACAACGCTCCTTGCCTGCTATTGACTCTTCATACGTTTGGGAGTTTTCCGAGGAACAAATCAAGCAGAAGCAGTACTCGACACTAGACTTATGTGGCCCAGACGCTTTCACCGTTTTGGTGGATCGGCCGTGGGCAAACAAGTGGGACCTGCACATTCAAGAAATGCGAAAGTCATTGCCAGCGGGAGTGGCGGAATCATTAAAAATGAAAATTTCCGTTATTGGGGTGGACTTTGAGCTGGAGGATGGGCAACAATCCGAGCAATGGATGGGTATAATGGGACTAAAGGAAGGCCAGGCAACGTTAGTTCGACCAGACCAGCACATCCTTGCTTGTTTTGACTCTGCCAATGTCCAAACTTGCGAGATCCTTGAGGCTCTCCACGGCCACCTTGCTTGGTAAAGCCAATCTTATAGCTAACTAGTTAACTAGTTGGTGTACTGTGAGTCGTGTGGCTTCATACTCTGTCAGAAACGAGATAGAGTAGCGCTCATCTAAGCCCGGTGAACACAATACCGAATCCTCTATTGTCGTATACCAGTCGGTGTGTTTTAGGTGTGGCAATATACATCAATCAGGATAAAGAAAGGTGGTTAAGAAAGATACGAAGGCAGCAATGCACCGAAGATCTAACGAGTAGATATACTTCGTATTAATTCCTGCAGACTAGACACCGTACAGGCAGTGAAGCTATTCACTTCAGTCAAATTACTACAAACTCAACAGGCGCAGTAATCAATGATAAAAACAACCCCGTTCCATGCTACTGCGCTATGGAAGAGCCCAACTAAAATTCCAATTAGATGACATACCGTATACAAAGATAGCCTATGGTATAACCCAGTCCTTTATATTCAAACCACCCATACTCGATTTAAGCGTCTCACGACGAAGTCATCAGATTAGGGTTAAATCACAAATCTTATACCTTCGATGAACTCACCATGAGATCAGCCCAAGAACTTTTATTATCACTACTTTGAACATGCTCTGCTCATAGGAGTTTCCTGTTTTCATAATCCATTTCCTATCGATCATGCCTGAAAAGCATAATATTTACGCCCAGGAGCTGGGGATAAATCTCAACTCCGCCGACGATACCGAGTACTTCAAATGGTTTCTTGCCTGTTTGCTATTCGGGAAGCCAGTCCAACAAGGTGTAGCAAAACACGCATTTTCCAAGCTCATGGACGATGGTATCACATCGCCTGAGGCAATCCAGGAGGCTGGGTGGGATAGACTTGTGGAGATTCTTGACGAGGGCCATTACGTCCGCTATGACTACTCAACAGCTACCAGGTTGCTCGACATGTCTGCTGCACTGAAAGAGAATTACGGCACCTTCGGTAATTTACTCCAGGGCTGTGCGACAACAGAGGAAGTATCGAGACGCTTGCAGCAGTTTAAAGGAGTAGGCCCAAAGACCGCGGAAATCTTCTTGCGTGATATGGCTCCCGTTCTGAAGAAGGGCTAGCATTCGTTGCATTTCAGCTCATTGTAATGGATTTATACCCGGAACATGCTATCTGTCCTGCTTCCAGGCTCTATATGTCACTTATAGTTATTACGAACCCTTGGATATAACACTAGGGAAAAGGCGCCATCCAGGTGAGGGCATTTTCTACCTCATCCTTGCAAGTGATCAGATAATGATATATTTTGTTCATGCTTTTGTCCGGCTCAGAGCCAGTTTGATATCAATTCGCTTTTGCCTTGGTTTTAAGTGCAATATGCTAATACATGGGAGGAATCTAATCCTCATGCTCCTCGCCTGGCCCAGGCCAATCCTCCCATCCATCTTCCCACATCTTCCCTATTTTCTCGTTCTTTTCCGCCGTTGACAGCTTTTTATTCTTCATGACTCTTTCCCACCTTTTCATATCAGCGTCGTCTAGCAAGCACTCATCCAATAACACCGTAACCGCATGTGGATCCAGCCCTTCGCCAATGAATACCAGTTCCTGGCGCCTATCGCCCCATTTGCCTTGAAAATCCCTTTCGATGGACTCTCGAACGTCCTTGTCCTCTGGCCAGGCCTCGTCTGGGACTTCTGCAAACCATGGGCCGCCACATCCCACTGTAAGCATCCCACCAGCCTGGCTCCATTCCCCGAATTGCATTGGGCGAGTAGCTAGCCAAAAGAAGCCCTTGGAGCGCAATAATGGGCCAAAGGCCGGGTGAGAACGCTTGTTGGCCAAGATGACAGCCTCATCCGGCTGCTCAAAATCATCAAAGTCGTCCAGATCTTCGGAATCTTCCATATCTTCATCTCCGTCTTCGTCTTCGTCATCTTCCCCTTCCTCTTCGCCATCATCATGTGCGTGCTGCGAGGACTGAAGGACGATAAACTTATCATGCAAGAGTGAAAAAAGGCGTCGCGGATGAAATGGTCTTCGCGCGGAATAAACAAAGTTATTAATTCCATACCTGCCAAAGTTAATCCACGAACACGTTGCTAGTCATACAGTGGATAAGCACATACTCCAAAGTTTCAGGCTTAGGTGCCATCCTCTTCCCCAAGCCTGTATTTTGCACCGTCATCTCATGCAGGCTTCTCAACCATCCAGCCCCCGAAGCAGCTTTGAGGAAATTAAACCTGCCTGTCCCGATGATTTCCCTCACATCAACCCGCGAGTACGAGCTTTCCAACACCTTGGCGTCTGGGTTCAGCAATCCAATAAGCCGCCGGATTTTGGCCGTTGTATCCTCACTGACTGTCTCTATCTTGTTGACGATCACGACATCGGCAAACTCAATCTGGTCAACCATCAGATCTGAAATCGTACGCTCATCCTCTGGGACAATTTCCTCTGAGCCGTAACGGTCAGAGAGGAACTCTGTTGTGTCGAAATTAGCAAGTAAATTGAATGCGTCAATGACGGTGACGGTCGTATCTAATTTCGCCAGAGTATGCAGCCCGCCCATATTCACACTGGCTCAAACAATTAGCCGCCTCCTACATGCCCAGCGAGTAGGATAACTCAACGTACATCTCGGTCAATATCCGTTTACTTTCTTCATCGCCGCCGTCCTCGTCCATGAATTGCTCTTCCGCATCCAGCATGGCCTTGCTAAACTCGGCAGTGAATGTCTCCGCCACTTGCAGGGGCTCGCTAATTCCTGTACTCTCGATAACGACATAATCCACCCCCCGTTGTTTCGTAAGACGTGCCAGCTCAGCGAGTAGGTCCCCGCGAAGCGTGCAGCAGATACACCCGTTTTGCAACTGGATCAGCTTTTCCTTTGTCTGTGACACCTTGTGGTTCGTAAGCAGGGTGGCGTCGATATTGAGCCTGTTCGGTATCGTGTCAAATCAGCACGGGATGCCACTGCAGGGTAAAAGATCATGGTGGCGACATACGTGCTCATATCATTGACAATGACGGCGATTCTAAGCCCATGGTCCTGGGACTTGAGAATGTGTTCGAGGAGGGTCGTTTTCCCGCTTCCCTACTCCCGTAAAAATCAGTCTCCATGTTCAATGTGCACGCGGGCGCTGGGAGTAGGCACCAGAAACCCCGAGAGGAGAGTCACTGGCAGCTGCCTGGTCTCTAACTCCTTCGCAATCATCTTGCTCTTCTCCTGTAACAAGCGCCAGTTGATGGATTCTGTAAAAAGTCGAAATCGTCTGTTAACACATCTCCGGGCTCCAACTCCTTTTATACACAGTCAGCTTTTCCCCCAAGGTTGCTCCTCTCAATAATGAGATATCTGGTTACATCCTGCCAGATCTCTGCGGTTTACTGGGGGTATACTCGAGAAATTACAAAAGCCCTAATCTTATTTGTGGAATGGCGATCTCCAAGGTACCTCCTGTCGCGCATGTATTTCCAAGGTCCTCACAACACTCCAAAGTCACGATCACCCTACTTCTGGAACTCCTTACTGGATGTTCTCATCTAGATGTTTTAATTAGCTTGCTGATCGCGGTATAACAGCAGATTATAAACGAAACCAACAACCAAGTATAATTGACAAGTAGGTCACAAGGAAATTCAATGTAGGGCTCAAATATTAGGAGGTTAAAATCACATAGTCAACTTCAGGAGGAGGGATGGGTGCAAAAGGACGTGCATATATGGCAAAGCAGCTCCATGAGCAGGCATTGTCACCAAGACTCAGCGCGGGAATATAAGCCTTAGTAGCTGAGACCCCAGCGAGGGGCATTAATGATGATGCCCGCCAAGCAGCCGGAAATGATACCAGTAGCGGGGAGGGTCAGTATCCAGCCAAAGTAGATCCAGGCCACCATGCGCCAGTTAATAGTTCTCCAGGTCCCGTTGCAGAGACCGACGCCGACAGTAGCGCCAGTGATACATTGCGTCGTGGAGATAGGCAGCTCTGGAATGTTGTTATTATCATGCAAACATGCGCTAGTCGAACTGTATGCCAAAACTTACTGAGTCTCGTCGCGACAATAATTGTAATAGCGGAGCCCAACTCCATCGTAAAACCGCGAGAGGGAGAGTGAAGAGTAATACGGTTACCCAGGTTGCGCATGATATTGTAGCCATAAGTCCACAGACCAATGACAAGAGAAATGCCTCCGAAGGCCCTGTGGAACGGGTATTAGCAGTGAACAGAAATTAGAAAATGAACGACACCTACAAGATCCAGTAAGGAACGGGGCTCTTAGATGAAAGTTCATTGGTAGACCAGATGTAGTAGATAGTTGCGTAAGGTCCGACGGCACTATAAAATTGATTAGTGGCCAGCACGCGGGAGAGTAATAGTGGAAAACATACTTGGAAAGATCGTTGGCACCATGGGTGAATGATGCAGTGGAGGCAGTCAGAACCTGAAGGAAGGAGAACATAAACTCGGCTCGGTTCTCGAAATGCGTTGCGTGGGCATGGACCATTTCGATATCACCAGTCAGGAGGTTCCTCTTGTTCTGGATGCTAATGATGTCCTGCTCAATACCGCGAAAGAAGAGTCGCTTGACCTGCCAGAATAGCACAGCCGGGTGGAATGTACCGCCCTCTGGCCGAGGTCCAGAGATTTGGAAATTCCCCGGCTCCGACTTTGTAGCAGCAGTAACTTGAGTCTGTTCCTTGGGCTCCTGAGACGATGGATCTTCATCAGGCTTATTGAAGTCGCCCTCGCTCTCCACATCCCCAGTTGCGGTGCGCTCGGCCTGGAGCTCATCCATGGTCTTGTGGCCGCGGTAGTAATTTTCAATCGCCTCGACACCATCGGGGCGAGGCGGAACCTCCCCACGGCGCAATAGTAGAGGACCAAGTGGCAGATGAAACCATGTCAGCTCCCAATCATCTTTAATCACCTTGCGGTACAGCCAGGGGACCAAAAATAGACCAGACAGTAGAGCCATAGCAGCCCCAACACCAACAATAACGCCAGCAGTCTCTGCGTTCGTGAGGGAAATTCTGCTGGACCCACCCTTCCACACGATCAGCACTATTGAGAGCATTAGCCATAGCAGTTGAACGTGAAAACAATATGGTACGTACATGCGAGGAGCGTGCAGGTGATGAAAAAGTATAGAGGCACGGTGAACAGGGCCCTCATGGCTGGATTCTTTCGAAGCAACACTGCGTACTTGGTAAAGAGGAAGATGATGGCGCCAAATACGCCAGACATCAGAGGCGCAATAACCCATGCCAAAAATACCTGCACGACCCCGGAGTTGATGTCTCCTCCCCACCACTTGATTCCATTTCCACCAAGAAGCGCAATCCCCATGCCAATCACACCTCCCATGATGGAATGGGTGGTAGAAACAGGGAGACCGATTCTAGTAGCAAAGGTAAGGTATAAGGAAGAAGACACCAGCGCGCAGGTCATTCCCAACATGAGAAGGGCTGGGTTATCCTCAAACCGATTCACATCCACAACCTTTGTGCGAATTGTGTCGGCAACTCGCGCCCCCACACCAATACTACACATCAAAAGGTCAGTCTTGTTCCACTTTGGACATGCCACGACCTGTGACAAGACTTACCCTCCACTGAACTCCATAAGAGTAGCAAGGATCATTGCCTGCCAATACTTCACGGACCGCGACGACACCGATGTTGCCCAGGAGTTGGCGACATCGTTGGCACCAATATTCCATGCGTCCAGGAACGCAAATATGGTGCCAATGGCAAAAATGTAGTCAAACTGGTGAAGGACCATAGTTCCCGCTCAAGACAAGTCTTTGGGGGATGGAAGTAAAAAGATCTTCAGGTCTGACTTTCTCGAAGCTGCCAGGGATAGGAGCAGTCAAATCGCTGGGATCACAACTATATATGCCTGTCATACGACGGGCAACGGGGTCATCGATCTCGTTTCGCTCGCTCAAGTATACCCAATCAGCGGGAATGAGCACAGCCCGTAACTCTCCTTGGTCGACATGAAGTCCCATGGCACTACCTAGGTACGATGATGCCTCGAGTTCCGGAGGTCTTGGCGTTAGCGCGGCATCTACGGCCAAGGCTTCCAAGAGCACCGGAGTGTCTTGGGAGCGGCGGAGAAGCTCTGTTCACAATATCCCGGGGCCAATGAAACAGACGGGATGGAGAACGTGTTCCGGAGAAGCATGGAGGCCACCACATGTCGCATCCAAGAACTGTGCTCTCCAGGAAGGGACCAATATATCCAAGTCGGGAAGTTCTTGGTTCCTTCGTCTCTGCCGTCATGTCGACAACGCCCGAGTACGTACCTTGGCCGTGAACCAAGACACTTGAAAGGACATCATTCAACCCAATCGGTGAGCTGCACTGATTCATGCGCCTCGAGGAGTTGTCTTGATTCCCTCCAACGCGGAGCCTTCGAAAGGGGACGTTCAAATATCTCGCTCAGGAGATCAGGAAAGCCTTGAATCCTGCGTGTCTAGTCGTACAACCCAACTTCATGGTATCCCGCTAAACCCGTCGTTAGGTTTAAAACAGGTTGGGCACAATGCATGCAGTGAGAAAGAGAGAAAACGCGGCCAATAGTAGATAAACCCCCCGAGACTCCTTTCTCAGAAGGGCCTATAATTGGATGATCATGGTTGCAAAGTGTTCGTAAAATCTAGAAGCCTCTTAATTGGCAGAGTAGCATTGCAAGTTTGCTTCGATCCTGTAATCTCCTGATGCAGAAGACCGATGTATTCAACCGCGGACTCGATCAGCTCCACCTAAACAAGCAGCGAACCATCCGCTTGAGTCCGAGTGTCGAAGGTGCTACTGAAGGGATCGCTTGTGTACCTTTGCTGCCACTCACTCCTTTTCCTGCTCGGTTATCGTCTGTCAGTTCAGTAATCGCACCATCTGCTTCGTCGCTGCCTTCATGTGATCCCGTTGATTCTTTATGCGTGTCATTTGCACTGGAACTCGGCTGGACTAGTGGGAGTCGTGACGAGCACTCATACTGAAGTAAACACGAGTTAACACCAAGACCAATTTCTGGCGCTTGAGAAAACTGTCTACATCAGCTCCCTTTGGTTTGGATCTCGATCAGCTTTTGTTTTAGATCCAACCGACTTGATGTTCTTCTCGTGACGAGGGGGGGATATGGCGAGATGATCCATGCTGCGGCTCTTGCGACATGACTATCATTGATTTTACCCTTGCTCTGCGTCTGCCCACTTTATTCCACTTCCCGGTTACTGTTTGATAGAAGCTGCGGGGCCGGAGGAATATATACAGATTCTCTGCCCAACTCTTGTTTTTTTAGTACCTAAAAAGGTGCGCTGCTGTCGAGATCCAGGAATCCTTAGTTCGTTCACTAGTTCGACCATTGACTGGATTTAGCTACAGATTTATGGCCTCCTTGAGTTGTAGAAAATCTTTTGTATAATATTTGAGAGTCCTGAATCACGAAAATTCTCGTTCAGCACTGGCTCAGTAGTTAGGAGCTATCTTCACTGATAATTTCGACAGATTCAGGCTAGATGGCCTCAAACACATGTCCAAATGAACCGAATCGACCTAAGCCAGGAGAACAAGAGGATAGCAATATCGGTATGCCGTAGAATATCTGTATACCTATGAATTCCTTCATAATTGTTTCAGGCCGATAATCCTGCCTCCTGCAGTGTAAGTATTGAGATAGCTTCTGTTTTAAGTCGTTCAAATGGAAATTATATATGTCCCTCATGCGGTCTACCCAAATTTACCCACAACACGATTTCAAAGCTAGGTCAGAGTCATCACAGCTGTATGGTCGCGCAGATGGGCAAGTTGGATCTTTTGGACCCTTCCCCGGTATATCCGCTGCAGTGTTTCGCCATTCGAGTCTGCATATTCGAACAGGACCGATGCATCACAGTGGAGATACTCTGTTTTTCTCCACCGAATATACTGACTGACAATCATTGTTGATTTTTTCCCCCTGCCGAGCACACTATGCATGTACACTTTCACTAGGGGTTAGAGAGCAATCTACCTAGAGAAAGCTTATACTATATATTAGTATTCTGAGCTTCACCAAACCTCTGAAGCAGGGGAGTAGTATTGCGCCCAATTGGGATACTAAGCTATGCAAGTTCCTCTACAGAACACACTGCTGACCAAAAAAATCAATACCGGGACAATATATTTCTCAAGGAATATGAATATGAACTTATGCAAAGATTTGCTACTATTATCGCGAAAGGGGTCAAAGATCAAGGTCAGATAATGAAACCTATTTAAGTTACGTGGCTGACCCAACGCATATATGAAAAGCCTGATATAATATTCGAGAGCAACACGAATAGCAGATCCTTCCTGAATGACTATCGTGCATACTTGAGTTGTTGAACTTGAAGAATCGGTTCGAACGGATATCCATCAACCACCTAAGCCCTGGTCGAGTGGAGCGCAAAGAGGTCTTAGGTCGAGAATATTGGCTTCTTTTGGAGAATCTGCTCGAACACCTGGAGCGCTGTCTCCGGTTCTACAATAATTAGCATCCGTCCACGAATTTCTTCAGGATAAGCAACTAACGGTAGTAAGGAACCTCATGCCCCGCTCCATACACCTTCAAGAAGGAAAAGTTGTCCACATTCTTGAACATGCCCTTTTCGGTACCGTTAACTGTGTAGGGCGCCAGGTCCTTTCCGCGGAATACAGAATGGCCTGGGAAGTCAACGGCGTTGGCAACTTCGTAATTCCCAAGCCAGTTGCAGATCCAGTCGGCGTCTCCGGCCCAGACGAGAACATTAATGCCAGACTGGACCACGCCGGAGAGGGTGGAGAGGAAAGATCGAGGGTCTATATTTGTCAGTTTGGTCATTGCCATAACTAGGAGTGGACTGGAACTTACTATCCCCTGTTGACGCAAACTTATAATACGGCTCATTCGGACATTCCTGGTACCTGGTTTGCGCGCCAATAGCTTTGACAACATCTGAATTAGCGAGATAGGTTGCGTATGTTGACGGAGGGTAAGGGTCGTTCGCTGGCTGCCGGATATCGTACACATCCCAATCCCCGGAGCTGCTGATGGGCCCTTCGATGCTATTATAGCAGACATCATTTGCATTTTCACAGGCCCTATTAGTGCCTGTCCTGGCGCATCTCTGAAGAGCAGGAAGGCATTGGCTATTATAGGCACTTAGATATCCAGCGCGGTCCGATGAGGAGATGAGCTGCTTGTACGAGTTATTGTAGCTGAAATCGATATACGCCTTTTGTTGAATGGTCGCATCGATCCAACCATTGTTCACGCCGAGGGCAACCAGGTTGATATTTTCGCCGGATACAGTTCCGGCTTTGATCGCCGTGTTCTGTTCCTGGATGTAAGAGGCAAATTCTGGACCATAATGGCCACCATAGGACTGTTTGAATTAGTCTCCATATACTTTACTAGTCGAACGGCAGGAAGTTACCTCGGTAAATATAGCGAAATCACGGCTCTCATACTCTGGAAACTGCGCGTAGAATGCTTGCAGTAACGTCCAGATATACGGGGCCGCAGTCACCGTGCTAGTAACATTGTCCGTGCCGTAGGAGAAGCCCACCCCAATGGGCTGGTCCACGTATAACATGTTGGCGTAGTTATTCCAGCTGTACTCGTTCAACGAGGGGGTGTCTTGCCCGTTGATAAAGTGACACGGCCCGTTTTCCTGAAACAGACCGATCATGGAGGAGCATCCAGGGCCGCCATTAAACCAGGCGGCTAGAGGAGCTTGCTGGGGGTTGTTTCGGGCCTCAAAGAACCTATTCTACTTAGACAATTACCATCGTTTGCAGGATGGCACTTACCAGAACCACATGTTCATGTTATCTCCAACCGAGAGATATCCCGAGTATTGATTGACCCCTGCAGTGGTCTCGCAGATACCAGAGTTCTTGACAAACTCCATCTTGGCTGCGGTAGCGGCATGTTGAAAGACGGTGTACTTAACACCATTCTTGATGACAGACGAAACGCTGTCGTGAACAGTACTGGCAGGGATAGCTTGAACTCCTGCTACTAGCAAAGGTAATATCCAACTCTGATGCCGCATTTTGTCACTCTCGGAATAGGTTTTGTTATGGAGGGAGGAAATAGTAGTTGTTTGAGTCTGTCTGGCCACCATAGGAAAGCCCTGTTCTTAAAACTGTCTACGGAGTACACATTGCGAAACTAGGATGACAGATACCTTTGTATGAGCTAATATCCCCATTGAATCAGGATGTCTCATCGCGAATGTGCCGCATAGCCAACTACTCTATTTTGCTGTCGGAATACTACCTTGCTATTGAATAGTTCACAATCTGTCAAGCCACCTGCCCAAGCAAGGCGCTGTTCTGAAGGATGATCTGCCAATTATTCCTAGCCTTGGTGAAGAGGAATTGGTGACTAGCAGGGCTCTGGGTAAATGTGTAATATTTACCAATAAACAGGCTCGGTCACTGTTACATTTAGGTTACTTGTGGGGACACAATAAGGAAATATGCATGCTGAGGGAAAGACAAGTTAAAGGAAATGATTGGAGAGAGATATACAGAGTATTGTGATAATCATTCTTAATAGGGTTATGTTTGCATGTGATTATTCTGATATAGCATTTGAAGAAACTAACTAGTTCACTGAATTATAAGGTTACAAAGCAAATATTTAAACACTTTAATTTTATTTATGTAAATCACAGGAAGCTCACTAATTATTCCTTTCTAAGAGAAATGGGAAGCACTTGCTGCATGTAATATATAGTGGCATGGACATCCCTAGAGCTCGTGATGCCGTGAAAAAAGGGTATGTTTCACCAAAAGTTGCTCCGTATTTATTATAACCATGTATTACGCCTTCCAGTTTATGATAAGTGGCACAGGACGTCTTCAACAGGTTCTGGAGCCTCGGACAGAAGTTTACCTCGCTCCATTGGAATATACGGGTCTGGATGCTGTTTGAGATATTAATCCCCTTTGGACATTCTGTCGGCCGCGTTGACGGCTACACCAGACTGACGTTCCTTTGGCATGAGTCTCTACTCTCAAGCGCCGCTTAGATCGAGACCAGCAGCGGGGGATTTTATGGATAAGCTGTTGGGATAAAAGGCTGCGCTCCTTTTTTCCCGCAGGCAAGCCACGTTGTTATCAGAACGAATAGATCTACGTCTCAGCAACATGGCGCGGTTACAATCCCTGCCCGACGAATTATTGCAGCAGATTGTTTCATATATCTATGATAACACAGACCTGGCTGCATTTTCCAGCTAATCTCGTCGGCTGCACAGATTGTGCGACATGGAAAATCGACGGAAATACGAAACATCTGCATGCCTATCAACACTGTCAGTAAATGGCTGTGTCGTTTTCTGGTGCGACCTCAGAATAGCGTAGACCGCTAAAATGTACAATTTTCCGAATGAATTGACTTATATAGAGAGATAAAGGTTTGAAATGTGATGCTCCATGGCAATTTCTATTCTGGAATTGAACAAACAAGAGTGTGGTTTTTGTCTCCCACCGCACATACTGAATAGCGAATCCAGTTCGTGAAGTTCATTCCATGCCTATTGCATTTTCCGTGGATTTAAGATGCTCTTCACACCATTTCAGATGGTCAAATACTCTCCAGTACACATCGTCGGCGGCAGACTTTCCAACAACAGGATCAAGGTGACCATAGCCCCGGACCAAAAACCGTCGATAGAGCGACTCCCCAAACTGACGTCGTAGGAGTTCATAGTCCCTAAGTGTAGAGTCCGGATCAAAAACCTCATTGTCCGTCCCTGACATAAGGAGAATCGGGAGACCTTTTAACCTTTGGATGTTGTCCGGTGTGAGGAGTGGGCGTAACTCACTATCCAGGCATCGACCGCGCGACCCCATGCGCACGATATGGTCGAGAATTTTGGTTGGACAACCTGTGAAAAACTTGTCTATGTTATCATGGGTACTCCGATCTAGATTCTCATGATTCCACAGCAGTCCGAATGCAAATGATGTCCGGCGACAAGCCGCAGAGGTACAAAGGTCTCGTGGGTAGGAAACTGGGTACAGCCGTAGAATGAAATCGAGGCAGAGCTGGAATAAACCCTTTTTTCCATGAAAAGCAATGGGGAAATAGGGGCCATCTAGAAACTCATAAAGACGGATAAGACGCGGGCTGTACGCTTTCACTGAGTTCCAGTAACCAAACACCTGGTTCATGAACACAGAGTTGCCAGTCATGCCCAGTAGTTGGGCGGGTGCAACTGTGCCGGACAATAGTGCCATACCTAGGGCAACGGAACCTTGACAGTGGGCGATTACATACGGCTTTTGTGTCTCTTGTGTAGATATGTACTCTACCGCCGCTGCAATATCCAGTCGACTATCAAACACGGTACACTCCATTGCGACATGTTCATCAGAGCTCCAGCGCGGAGTCAAAACATAGCATCGATAGCCTCGAGCTGAAAAGTAATCAACCATATTACACTGCTGGAAAGGAAGGTCAAATATCGAGAACTGTGGCCCGACTCCTGTAATTCCCGGAAGAAACAGGACCGGTGGCCGTGAAATGGATTCTTCTTCCTGTTCTAGGCCTGGCTGGGCCTCGTACATTTGGAGAAGGCTTCCTACGCCATCTGCAGCCTTCAGCTCTCGGACAGCAGAAGCAAAACGCCTTGATGGGTAGGTCGGGTTAACCCTTGGTGAGCGGAAAAGCAAGGACGGTATGAAAGGGTGAAAGAAAAACATGCTAATCTGGAGAGTGAAAAAGGTTAAGAACATAAGCAGTGACAATATGCTTGCTAGATCGAGTACTGCGGTTGGTCGAAACGTTCTCATCTGAAGCTGAAATGCCAATATTGGAATTTGTAGGGCGCCCATTCCGGCATATGTACCGTCTCTTTGCGAGGCCACGACGGTCACGGTACTTGTTGCTTTCCACATTCTCCTGAAGGAGAATGATGTACGGGAATCAATCCTTTTGGATCCTTTGAGAGTATATTCTGTGCCCTCTACTGATCGAACCGGTAGCGTATAAATGAGCGTTGTTGACTCAGCACAGTCCTCTGTGGACAAGAAGAAGTCAATCGTGCCCTCCATCACATTCATCGTCGCTTTTGAAAGTGTTAAACAAGATACAGTTCCGGTGCAGATGCCTCTGTATCGTGGGCCCTGGCCACCTAGTCAATGTTAGCTTTTTGTTTCATAAGGTGTGGACTATCCATGCGTAGGTATACCTTTTAACCTACGATATACTTCTACTGTTAAAACCATGCGCATTTCTGAGGATACGCCCTGAGCTTTAATTTCCGACATTGTCAAGCCCACTTCTTTGGTTTTGTCGGTGAAATATCCTTCAAGAACTTCGGTAAATTGCCATCCTACAGAAATATAGGAATCATGTCTTCCGGTTGCAAGGGGACGTTCTAGGGATTTGAGAGACACCCGTGGGGAGCTTGCGAAGTGCAAATTGCCGTTCCCTGTGTTTAAGTCAGGCAGAAGATGATCCCTTTCGGCAATGAGCGAAAGTGATCGCTCAGCAAGGGCTGTGATAGTGGCAAGTGGATTTATCCCTGGTATAATTAGCAGTTTGTGAATGACGTCTTGGAGCTTGTACGCACCTAGAGAAGTTGGAATCGTCGAAGCATCGCAGCAGAACAACCCACGGTACGTCTCACTGCCATGACCGGTGTAAACTTGACCAAGATGATTCGTAACTCCTTCACGACCCGTACCATCGCGGCTCATATTCGCCCCTCCAAGAATATGAACGGTGACCTCTTCCTGACAGCGATCTATCATATCAATGAGAACATGTTTCTATGTTGAGAGCAAGTCTACTTGCCGTAGAAGTACGAAAACCTCATGTTTGCTCCAGTGCGACTAACTGTGCTGCTTAATATCTTCTTCAGTTTTTCACGATACCCCTCGGTTGGTCCTTCGATATTGATTTGGTCTCTTTTGATGGACGCTGTGATCTCATTGCTATCATGGGACATAATCAAATATGTCGAGGTGCGTTGAATCGCTCCGCCGGCTGCATATGGACCCATGACAAGGGACTTTAAAGCGGCTAAAGTCTTGCGTATTTGGCGTTGCGGATGCCAGATAACTGATATTCCTTCGTTTCTTAGCACCTGAAAACTCAGCATAGTCTGTACAACTGGAGCAAAAGGTTCTGGAATACAGCCGTCCTCGATCACGTATCCATCAAGAGGGTCCTTATCCAAGCCTTTCTCCCGATTATCAATAATACCCGTAATTGTTGGGCCCGGTATATTTGAAGAGCGTGTATTATCTCCAGCAATCCCGTGTATATCATCGTTCCCGTTGTATCCTGTACAGTTCATCAGAATGCGCGTTGGCCCATGGAGTAAACCACCAACACTTACCAAACACTAAGGAGTTCCCATTACCAGACATACTCCGTCCAACTAATGAGGAGAGCGATAACCCCTTTCTAGCCGAGCGTAGTAGGATCTCTGTAGTCCCCAAGGCACCAGCACCAAGAAAGCAATACTCATTCTAAACCAAACCCGTTAGCATAAGGGTAAGCGAATCCTCTCTCTATCTCTCTCAAAAAGGGTACTTACAGCTTTCACCCAAAATAGCTGACTATGAAATTCTTCCTGGAAGACATCTCTTCCTTTCCCGTGCCAGGAGAAATAAATAAAATACCCTTTGCCGTCAGGAGCTTCTTCGACATCTCGCACTTCACAGCCGCAGAATATCTCTGCGCCCCAGTTCCAAGCATCAGCCAAGTACGTCACTGCGACAGAGTTCTTTGACCCATCATTGAGACCAGTGCATTCGTGTCCTGAACCTGTATTCGCGTTCATTTTAACACCGGTGCTATTCCGTGTACCGTGAAAAAACGTCGTAAGAGGTACCCGATAGAAGGTTTCGGCTTCCCCTAACCATTTCGATTGCTCCTGCAAATGAAGTAATTTTTTAGGTTGTGGTCGGTTGTCTGGATAGGTCGACGGCTGTAAAATTTTAGCCGCACGAGTGTAGTCTTTCTTCAGTTATAAAGAGTTCCAGCAAATCGAATGGACCAACACTTACATTCTGCGAGTGTAGTCGGGTCTCTTCTAATTTCCTCTGGCCACGAGCTCATCTGCAACACATTTTCCGTTGCTTCCAGAAAAACGCCGCCATTAATTAGCGAGCCGCCCCCTAACCCTATAACCACAACTTTAGCAATTGTAAACTAGCCAGAGCTTGGGGGTTTGTAGGTAAACCCTACCATGAGCTGTAAATGCATGCTGGCCCTCTCCGAGAGTCAGCTGAAACAGATTCGTCGGGCTTCCTGACAACGGCCACCTCCTCAGACCTCGATTTCGTCGAGATGACCCGGTAACATTCAACTCGCGTAGGCATTCCTTCAGCGTTTGGGGGAATGAACCCGCTATTTGGCGTCAATATACTCGTTCTTTCCCAGTCAAATCGGCGTAGTTAGTGCACGTACGTCGTATTTCCCATCCAAGCTCCAAAACCGCGACTCTTTTACCAGCTCGAGCCATTCGGCTCGCAGCAACGCCAGCCCCGTAGCCAGATCCTACAACTACAACGTCGTACTCGGGTTGCATGCATCGAAACGGGAGACTTAACTGCGGATAATCATCCACTCTGGACTCTTCGTGGTGCTTCGTCATTCTGGATGCGATATCCCATCGGATGGTATAAAATGTGAAGAGGGTTATGGCTCAGAGAACAAAAACCAAGATATTATATGGGGCCATCCATCGCCATATGAGCGGACAAAGATATCTCAATTCCAGCCATGGAGATAGAGCCCCGTTTATATGTCATATTCTGCGCGGCTCAAACTTCAGTGTAACCGAATTTGGACCCCAGCCACTAGTTAATGCACGGGTGCAGAATTATTGTCAGCACACTAACATCATCTTCGCAAGGTAGCCCGTCGTGTAGATTCAAAAATGCAATGGCCCGTCTCGTGGATTTGCGTCTAGACTCACCCGTTATGCTTATTCCAAACTAGCATGTGGTTTAGTGTAGGGGGCGGAAACGGGCGAAGCCATGTGGCTCCATATATGTGGGTTGGATGATAGGGGACAGTGTGATACTCCTCAATGCTACTAATAGTAAGAATTATAGTTACTAAAAACAACCAATACGTATGCGCGTTTTGCTAGTGATAACGGCATGTGGTAAACCGCTACTACCGTTGATTGGAATATGCCGTCTAAACTAACGTCAGCCTTGCATTTTTGGATGCTTACTAGGTCCCACTTTTGGCTTTGGGCGGGAATTGGGAATGCAAAGGGCAACCTGATACCATGACGAATGCTACTACTAACTTGGAAGAATAAACCAGTCCCAACGGCCTCCCTAAGACACAGTTTCCATCTACTAATATGTCAAGCTTTCTCGTCATCACGGTTATGTTTAACCTAATGCTAGCATATATAATTGCACTTTTGCTACAAATATTTTATGAGACTGATACATCATCGAACATCTCATCTATGTCTTGACAGAGGGTTATATGAATATTAATAACCGGGGGTAAGAAAAAAATCAGGAACAGACTTTTATCTGATCCGGAATTACTTCGATGTCTCTGCTCTTCTCTGCGTAAGGCTCCTAGTCCTGGTTAACCGTAGGATCCCACGCACAAGGTTGGTAGTCATCAGTGTGCAGCATCTTCATATCATCCTCATTCAACTCAAAGTCAAAAACATCTGCATTCTCCCGAATTCGCTCTGGAGTAGATGACTTGGGCAGCGGAACAAGCCCCTATACAACCAACCGTTAGCCATGTAACCCATGCATTCGACAAGAAAATAACCACCACCCTCACCTTTTGCAAACTCCACCGAATCAAGATCTGGGCAGGTGTCTTGTTATAATTCTTGGCTAAGGTTTGCAAAACAGGCTCATCTGAGCGAGTCCCCCGCACAATCGGAGAGTAAGCCTGGACAACTGCCCCGCGTTTCTTCAGCCACTCCACCAACTCTGCTCGTGCAAGCCACGGATGGATCTCATATTGGCCAACATCGATCTGACCCCCACCGCCGCTTTTGATGTACTCTTCCAACTCTTGTAAATGATGAATGCCAAAGTTGGAAACCCCGATCGAGCGAGTCTTGCCTGCCTTCTGCGCTTCCACTAAAGCGCGCCATGAACCGAGACGTCCCTCTTTACCTCCAAATGGCGCGTGAAGAAGGATTCTCAAATCTCGTCAGTTCGGCATGTAGCGCATTGGGGATGGATACAATTGCTTCTCACAAATCAAAATAGTCCGTTTGAGCTTGCTTTAAGCTATCTGCGATAGACTGTTTAGTAGCATCGTATCCAGTTGCACGTGGAGGTACTTTGGTGGTCAAGAAGACGTCGGAACGCTTCAACCCCGCCTCCCGGATAGCAGATGCGCACTCTTTCTCGTTGTGGTATGCAGCTGCGGAGTCTATCTACATTTCTTATGTAAGTAAGCTCTCTCACTCACAGGGTACGAGTGCATCTTTACATGTCGGTATCCAAGTCTAAGAGCTGTGGCTGTCACTTCTTCAGCGATTGCAGTCGGTCTATAACTCTTAGTACGGTACATCTGTCCATCAGACTATCGGAGTGAATGCCATACATTTTATACACCTGGGCCACTTGTTCAGTAAGGATTCATCGGCAGAGGAGGAGGCGAACGTACACCATATCCGAGCACAGGGATTTCATATCCCGAGAGAAGCTTCTGGGTGGATTGCAAGCTCAAGCTCTTCGCCATGGTTTTGGAAGTGAACTGTCGATAGGATGTGATAAGTGAGTGATATGATGGATCAGAGAGAACAGGATGGATATTATTTTCGTGGGAAACAACAACTTGACTAAATACGTTCTGAAAACAAATTCCCCGCAGCGCTGTGAAGTCGGGGTTTCTGGCCGGATATAAGATTACCACCGAATCTCCGAGGCCCTAGCTCTCCGGTTGTTAAGGACTATAAAATGTGCATGTAATTCAACATAGAAAGGTGTTTAAACCATTGTATAAGAGAGGTATTGTGTACTGTTCCCATTTCATAATGATTAAATCTACGAATAATCCTTCCTAAAAATGAGAAATTAGATTGAAATATGTGTACCCAAAAACATGTTATTACTAATTTAGGAATGCACTGCTAGAGTAAAGGAAAGTAGTAACAATTCCCATAAATTGAAGCCAAAGTGATGAACTTTTCCAAAAGTGGCGAATATGTTACTTCTCACTGATAACAACAGGAACTTCCCCCATAGTACCGGATTTATTCCATTTCCCAATATTGACGTTGTATCTCGGATCCTGGTTGCTCATTTGCATGATATTAGGCTTTCCGGGGTCCATAGAAGCCCTCCAAGCAAGAGTACAGATTCTAATATCCATCACATCGTCGACTAGATCGATCGTGCCTCGAGGGCCTGAGTTGGAGCCAGTGTCGCCCCGGGAACAGATCGATCGTGTTCCGCCGTTGTGACGAATACTCATATCATCAATGTCGTCTGTGCTTAGGATATCACTTCGATCACCCTCCCTGTAGAACTCGCCGCTAAGATGATGTGAGCAGCTAACACTAAATTATTGAAAGCGGACGGAGGAGCGGATACCTTTCTACATGTGCGTTTTCGATACGGATATCATACTTCAAATTATCCTGAATTTCGATATCCAGATACTGTTGGACTGCTGCGGAGGTCATATTGATTTCATGGGAGCATCAAGGATAAGATTTGTCGGAAGTAATGCAATGACTTAGGAAGGAGGTGGTCAGCTTGATATAACCCGCTGGATGGGATAATGTATTGATGACGTCTGTCCAGAACTCCGACCATGGATCGATACGAACTCCCTGCGCATTCAATGAATGGAAAGGCTGCATGGTTCTAGAGCAGGCTATTACTGTCTGTTAACTGGAAGTATATGTTAGAGCATGAGCTTTCCTGACCAATCGTACTATTATTTTACCTCATCCGCCACCGAGTATCTAAATATTTCCACCACCAAACGGATATTACTACTTGCACTGTCCCTGCTCCTACTAGTATAATGCAATTTCTAGCTAAGAAGGTAAGATATTAGTTACTATTTTTCGATTTTATTCCTTCAATTATGGCCTGCACGTCTCTATTTTTACATACCCTACCTAATAGAGTCCTTTTCCTAATCGGGAATAGTACAACTTGGACATCGTGGCAATGATCTCGTATTTTGACTCCGCTGCCTTTTCGCCCAATATTGTCCAATTTGACGTCTCTTGACATCTGGAGCCTCAATGCAAATATTCCATTTCCATACCAAATGGAGGTTTCCGTCAGAACATCCACCGGGACCGGCAGTCAAGTGACGCCAGGGAAGATGTGGCAAACGATATTCCGAGCAAGGTTGCCTGGTGGGCAAAGCGAGCCCGCCTATCATACGCGAAGAGCTCACAAAAAGTCCAGGGGTGGATGTATGGTTTGTAAAAAGCGGAGAGTCAAGGTTAGGATATATTCCCAGTACAAGACTCTGCTTGTAGCAGACTTAACCTGGGACTAGTGCGATGAACAAAAGCCAACTTGCCAAAGATGCCAGACTTATGGAGCGACGTGCAGCTATGCACCGTCTCCAAGCCCACTGCATGCTGGCAGAAGTGCCGTGTCTGTGCTTGGAGCGCCAACGAAAGTCATGTTTTCGTTGACGGTTGCAGAGATGGTATCCAATATCAAAGAAGTGCTGGCTGGTGATCTCATCTGCGCGCCCCGTATGATAGGAGATTACCACACAGTCGTGTCAATCGCTGTTGATTCGTTCCAACAGTTTGTAAATATCTCAACAAATACTGTTGGTTCCTCGATGATCCAGCAAGTCATGAAAACAGACATGATTCACGTCGCTTTTAATGTGGGTTTCTCGCGCTTTTGGAACCACTATACCCTCGCTTACAAAAAAGTCGAAGAGTCCCTATTTAATGTACACGATTATCGGGTGCGGTATTTTACATCTTAATCGCATGTGTCCAGGGTATAAGCCACGCGAGCTTGCCGAGGCCTACTTCTGGCAACAAGCCATAAAGCTGTATGGAAGAGCCTTGCAAGGCCCTGTCACAGAACACAACATAGACCCCCTTGTTTCCGCTTGCATGCTCATTGGCATTACGTCGATAATCCCCCCTGATTTCCAGCCCGAGGATTCCTGGGTTCTGACGGGAAGATCTAGTGATCTGAATTGGCTAGCCCTGCAGGGTGGACTGAACTGTATTCTTACTTTGGCTGGCCGTCTGGTCAATCGGAGCATATGGGGTGTAGCCTTTTCCATCAGCCACGAATGGGAAACCAAATTATATCGATACGATGTTGAACAAGGCCGCGAGGGGCTTTGTTCTGAGCTGGCCGATTTGTGTGAGATTGACGATACAACTACGGATGCGACCAGTCCGTACTATTTTGCGCTGAAGATCCTGAGCCCACTGCTCCGGTTGGATTTCAATGCGCAAAATTCGTCGCAATGCACGACGTGGATGGGCCGGCTCCACCCTAGTTATGTGGCGATGCTCAGGCAAAGAGATCCCCGAGCTTTGGTCATTATGGCCTACTGGGCAGGGTTGATGTGCAAGCTATCACAATGGCAGCCTTGGATAGAGGGGAGGATTAGACAGGAGTGTATCGCTATTTGCATGTATCTTGAGCGCCAGGGGGATCCAATCATACAGCCGTTTCTAGAGTTTCCGGCCAGTGCGTGTGGATATGCGTTACGACCTACAGTGGATAAGATCTGACAATTCTCGTTTTCATTTATAAATGACGAATATAGATGTGAATTTACTTGCTTGAGGTCAGGTTTTTTTTCACCTTCAGCGCAAATTATCCCAATTAATGTCAGTTCATTTTATAGTCCATAGCGGTTTCTAGTATACAACCAACGGTTGAAGTTTGGCCAAAGATTGGTGACCCCCAAAATACGTATATCATGATTCCTCCTGATGTCGGTCACGCCCTCCAAGCTGGCAGCCTGCTTGGCCGTGCCACTGCAGCCCACGCGCAGGATCGATCAAAGCTGGTTTTCCACCATGAGACTCGGCATTTTGCCCACGGTAGGCCCTTTCTCCACTCACCAGAAGCAATGACCGAGTGGTTCTTTTAGAAGCGTTACCCGAGGCCCCCCGCCTGAATATTCCTCTAAACCTTCCCTGTCATACAGATGCAAAGACCAGCCCGGTAACGCTCTATTTATATAGAAAGTTACACACAATAGCTCTGGATGGCACAGCGGATGCTACGCTACCTGAGAGTTGTTGATTATATGATATTCTAACGTGAATTAGTAGCACATTTTGCTGAACTAGCAAGTACTTCTGGTGCGGATCTTGGACAATCCCTCGACTATCTGAAGGATATGTAACGGCAATTACTTGACCACCGTTGGGCCATGGTAATATTTACCGATTGCTTCAAATTTCCAAGAATTACTATTCCCGGTCCGCAATGCAGCAACCATGCGAAATTTGTTGCTATTGGGAGACTTGCAAACTCGCCTGCTAAGGGAGCTTAAGTTATTTTTCAAGAACACTAATATTCAATAGTAGACTTTCTGAATTCCTCAATTTAAGGTGTGAACTGCTCCAGAGGCTTCGCAAAATGACTGGTAGAAATTTCCGAGCTGCTCGGCCGTCCGACATGGGCGTCTGCTAGGGCGGCTTTATTGAAAGGATCATCCGCAAATGGCACGTTCTGAAGCCTGTGTCCATTGATGTTTAGGAACATATCAGCAGCCAGAAGTGCAGTTCGCTTGTTGCCATCCTGTTAGGCATGATTCTTCATAATTTTCTCGAAAAGGTTAGCAGCCAGCTGAAAAACATCGTGCTAGTTCCCATAGTGTTTTGAGGTTCATCAGAGAGTCGATGGCAGCTGCAACAGCTAGACGGTTGGGTTCATCCAGAGACCATGTAAACGTTGGACTTGGTTCGCACTCAGGAAGCGGATACTCTTGCGCAGCCATCTTCGCTTGTAGGGTAATCCCTGGGCCTTTGTTGGCAGACTTTCTCCATGCATAACGATAATATGCGGGCGGGAAAATTACGCGACAACAAGAGGGAGGGTAGTAAAGAGCTCAGACCTTGGACTGGGAATTTTGGATTCTTATTTTTTAAAGGCCTTCCTGGAATAGTCGATGCAAACGTCTGACCACAGAGCGCTGGATGTAGCCGAAGGTAGACACGAAGGGGGAATTGGGACAGACTTATAGATTTCTAGGGCAAATACAACCCATGTACTATCTCTCGTACTAGCAGCACTGCCAATGGCGTCTCCTGCAGAAGATAGAGGACTGAGCGGGGTTCAGTCGCATTGCATCGTCTCGCATTGAGGACCCCCTCACCCTCAGCCACGTACAAAGGCGACTGATGTAGCTGGAACGGGGAGTTCCTTATGCTGCTGGACGGCATCCAAAAGTTTATAAATTCTAATGGTTTTTGCCTATTTAACTTGCAGCATGTATGGCGGGCTAGTAGAGATAGAGAATAATAAGAAAGAGATCTAGAATACTCCGTACTCACTGACAGAACCCCACTAGCTACTACTACTATATGTGCAGGGTACTTTTGTACAGTACCACAAATGGATCCTGACTTTGGTAGTTATCATAACTACCAACGGCAACAAATTCAACTATGCGAATAGGACAGAACAGATACAGAGAGTACCATCATGCTCCTTGTACACTGCGTGGATCGTCAGGAGACTCTTTCTTTCGTGCCATTACCCACATAAACTCGGCATCAAAGTCCGGATCCCCCTCCTCCAAATTCCCATCGCCTGCGTCCAATACTTCCACCTGCATGACATCAAACCCGATTTCTGTTAACATTGCCCGATTCTCATCCACACCGTAGCTGCTCCAAAACATTCCATATCCCAGGAATTCCCCGTGGATTTCTTCTTCGTCGAGAGTCGCAAGATTAAAAACGAAGACACCTCCGGGCTTCAACCAATCATAGATCGTGGTGAGCATGGCCTTGAGCTGCGACCGGGGAAGGTGGAACAGCGTATAGAAGCTGATTACACCATGGAAGCTCGCAGGCTCGAAAGTGAGGGTGGTCATGTTGCCCGCAACCAGCTTGGCCCCCGGGCAACGGGCCTTGGCCATCTCGATCTGCTTGGTTGAGATGTCATTTGCGACCACTTGAGCGCCTTGGTCGAGAAGCATTTTCAGAATCGGAACTCCGGGACCGCAGCCAAGCTCTAGAATGGAGGGTGAAGGTTGCAGCTTGTCCAGGAGCATCTTGGTGTATCTTTGTCGCGGCGATTTCTGGTTCTTCACCCACTGCAGGTACCATTCTGTAATATTGTCGTAGGCGTATTCAACGATACCTTCAGGGGTGTCAGACATCTTGCCGCAGGAGCAGGAGTAGAGATTGGCAGGAAGGAGGAGTGGAGGAGTGTATATAGCGGTAGATTAAAAAGAAGATGATAGAGCTTTGGAGCTCCGATCGATTGGAGGTACAGTTGTTGGAAATTAGGTAACCGCCCCTTCCGACCTAGTCTCCAGGGTCGCGCTCTACTTAAAGAATTAAATATTATTATTATTTTCTTCTCTTGACTTCTTCTTTCTACCTATATCTAGGTTAGATTAATATTATTCCTTCAAAAATCAGGCTAATAATTAACTACTTTCTTAAAAAGATCTTCTATTTATACCTCTATATCTTACTATAGCTTACTTAAGATAGCTAAACTACTATTTTCTCTATATATGTCACAGCGGGCAGGCTGGTCGGCTGACACCCTTAGCGTCAAAAATTGGTTTGAAGGGCTCATGCGAAGATCTTCTTTTTCTCCAAGTGCTGATGGAAGGGGAATGGGCATCGATGTGTTTTCCCTAACCGCATCCTAGGCAGCCTCATTCATGATTTTCTCGACACAATGAAAAGATTACTATTCATTATGAAGCATCCTTTTTAACAGCCACAGAAGTTATGACTTGCGTCTTACATTGCGCACATCGCCTTCCGGCTCAAGTGATCGTTTGATGGCCTGGTTGAGGTCAGAGTTACCATTCTCCGGTAAATCCGAACAAGCAGGCGAAAGATTCATGGCAACAACCTCGGCTCATATTCGTTCCTGTAAGTCTTCAAAGGGTTTGAATGGAATCTTTCTCCGATGGATAGCAGAAACTTTGGGACAGCTTGTGGCAGTCAGGGGTCTATCAAGCATTGTGAGAAACTGGGACGTGAACCGGCCCTCATAAAGATAGATGAAGTCATGATCATCCCTGTTCACCACAAGAAGGCGTGACTAATATGCGTGAGTCTGGGTCTCATATGGACAACGAGAAGAAATAGCTATAGCTCGATAGAAGAACATACCGTATGACTTGTTGGTGATGAATTTCTGGCAAGGCGCTCCTGAAGCTGTGCAATAGATAGCAAGACACACATAAAATATGGATCGTCTGTCCATTCATTGGGAGCAATGTGTGATGACCCTTTTGCAAAGGAATGCGTGCTCTCAGTGCTATAGCCTCTATTCCTCACCCGAAAACTAGTGACGTCCAAGTAGTCCAAGTAACCGAGCAATGGTTGAAAATCTTGGCCAGATGGGCTGTGCTGATGACGGCGGTAGAACACGGTGTACTGGGGCCGATGAACCGGACGGCCAGCAAAAAGAAAGTGGGGACCTTTGCTATCATCAAAAGCTTGTTAGTAGTATAATATAATCCCTATCCATGGCTACCATTGTGTCCCTTACGTTCGCTTATTGAAGACGCTTCCTTCGTGTAAAAGAAAGCGACAAAGGATGTGGTATTTCACTGAAGGCACGGCACTTGTGGCAAGCATCTCTGCATCACTCATCCTCATCCACTTTTTACCAGAAGATGTGTGGTTATCATTCGTCCGTTGACTCGCTCTATGGCCGTCGCAGGTTTCTTTCGTCGTGGCATTGTCAATGTGCCGGAATCGGCATCCCAGGGCGTCCAGGTGACGAGAGGTCCAGAATAACGGGTTCACTAAAAGCTCACGATGGTGCAGCACGATATCGGAGAGCGATGTCACTTCGGACGTGGCCTGCATGGTGGATAGTTGACATCGGATTGATGTTGAGATTTGACCGCCTTGCGTTGGGAGATGGTCTAAGGATGCGGAAGAATACATAAACCCCCGAGATAAGATCATCTTACTACGGAGTACAGTATATATCCATGCCTTTCTGCCCACCTAAACTGCTACCTGCTTTAGGTGTGCCACACATTCTTCGCGATCATATATTCTTTGTGATTTTTTAATATTTGAAGCTATATAATAATAATAATACTAGTAATTAAAATAAAAAAACTTTCTAGTTTTTTTAGTATATCTTGTATTATTAATTCCTCTTTGAATTAACTTCTATAAGTATAGAGAAAGTAAAGAATTATATATTTTCTTTTTTTACTTTATTAATCTTCTTTACTTATATTTAGTATTCTTTACCTTCTTATCTTTAATTAATTAAATAGTATTATAAACTCTTAGAACCCTATTACTAGATAGACTTTTAATCTAGTACTTAGTATAAACCTAGTATTAAGACTCTTATATAGCCCTAATCCTTTAAATTACTTACTAGATTATTTTTAGCTCCTTAAGCTTCTCTACCTAATATTAAAAGAGTTTTAATATATTTTACCTTATCTAGTTAGATACTTTATTAAGTTTCTTTATAATTTTTACCTAATTTTTTAGAAGAGCCTCTATTATTACTAGAGGACTGTTTTTAATGCTAGAGAATAGTAATAGTAGTAGAGATAGAGTTTAATAAAGATTAATTAATATATCTGGTATATTTATCTAATTTACTAGTTTTTTAATAATTTTAGTACTATTAACTAGCTAGATATTATATTTTTTAAAAGTATCTTAAATAATTTGCTAGTAAAAGATCTAATTATAGATTAGCTAGATAATCTTTAAGAACTTTACCTTTTTATATAGTTTATTCCCTTATTAAGATAGCTTATTATTCTTAAGATAAAAATTAGTCTTATAAGTAAGAAAAGATTTTCTATTAAGAAATTAGTAAAGATATATTAAATAAGTTATAAAATTAAAGGGAATAATATTATTTTTCTTATAATATTATAGAAATTTAAGTATAAGATATAAGCTATAATTATTAAATATTAGATATTATTTCTTACCTTATTTAATATAATTAGGATACTTTATTTTAATATTAAATTAATATAACTAGGCAAGTACAAGCTTATTAATTATTTAATTATTTAAGAATATTACTATTATTATTTTAAATAGTAATTATTCTATATTATAATATTAGATCTCTATATAGTTACCTATTACTTTAAAAATAAAAAATAGGTTTATTACTTAACTATCTATAGTAATATATTTAACTATAGTAATATTTTTATCTTACTTACTTTCTATAAGATTAGAGTATTTAGAACCCCTAAAAACCTTCCTATTATAATCTTTATCTAGTTAGAAACTATATTTATTAAAATTATAAATAAGGCAAGCTAGGACCCTATAAAGAAGTAATTTTAAAAAATTATACTAGTATTAAAATAAGCTAGTATCCTCTACTTATATCTACCTTAATTTCTTAGTCTTCTACTTTACTAGAGTAAGTTCTAGATCTACTAATATATATAATTTAAATTAATATAGCTATATTTTATTAACTTATTTATCTAATCTTATATAAGCAAGTATTTAATTTGCCCATGCTATAATAACTATAGAAGTTAGTAGGATATTCTATTTTTATATTTATATAATCTAGTTAATTAAGGCCTTCTCCTAATATAGCTATAAAAGGTTCTTATTTATTATTATTAGTATTACTAGTATTTTTAGTTTTTTAAGGCATATTTAGAGTATAGAGTTAGGTATATTAAATTCTTATATAATCTTTATAATATTTGGTTTTTTTTACTTTTAAACTATAGTAATAGCTTTAAGTAAGTAAGATTTATTAAAATCTAGAGATTTAGGCATGTTGTGTTGTAATAATAATAAAAATAAGTTAAAATATTAAAAATTACGAAAAATGTATGATCGCGAAGAATGTGTGGCGCACCTAAAGCGGGTAGCGGTTTAGGTGGGCAGAAAGGCATGGATACAATTTAAAGCCCAAACTACTCCGTACTCAGTACCTTAGGTAGTGTATACAGCGTAACCTGCCATCAATTGAAATATTCTCACTAATCAATGCAACGCGGCAGAATGACCAACAGTGCATATTTCAACACAGTCACCTCGGAGTCGGCCTTCAGGACTCGTTTCAACGCTGAGGGAGGGAGGTTATTTTCCGATATACATCATGTTGCTGCAAGTGAATGGGGACGGGATCATCTATTCGCCTGTCGAGTAATACGACGAGAGACTCAGCACAATATTCTTCCATTTTTATCGGAATACAAATCTCCCCCAGATGTGGAGTTCTCGTCCGAAATCCATGCTTTCCTGAGGGGTCCAGACTCAACATATTTGTCTCAAAGCGAGCACGGCCTCGTTCGTGATTCCGGCTATGGGATATCTCTTGCTCAAATTTGGGCTGCGATGGCAATGATCAAAGCCCAAAAGGATCTCCGTAGGAAAGTCCTAGTTGATGGCTCTATGGATGAAAGTGACGACGAATTTAGCGAAAGGGCAAAGCGTCCCAGGCGAAACGAAACACATTCCAAGAAGACTACGTCGACTCTAGCATACTTCAGGTTGGGTCTAGCAGTCCACAGGCTGACAGCTCTTATGAAGCGTCCTCTATTGGCTATATTGATATGGAAACACACATGCTCATGGTGTCACCGGAAGATGAAACTTTACGACTTGCATCTTGTGTCATTCGGCATAATTTGTGTTTCGCTCCACCTCAGGATTCCTGCGATTTACAGTCAGTTGTCGAATTTCGAGACGCTAAATCAAGACTCGCTGTATCCACACCAATATTAAGACGGAAAATAGTGGCTACTGACGATGGAGGTCTTTGTCGTCGACTAGAATCCGGTGATGTCTTTACAGTTGGCAGGGAGCGTGTGGCGATTGTGGAAGCGAAGAAACAATTCCAGTGTCTGGAGAACGGCAGGCCTATCATCTCCGATAATTGTTTCGCACAGATGACATGCGAGGCCCTGGTGGCGAGATTGGCTGATCCCTTCACGGAACTAGGCCACGGCAGGTAGTGCAAATCCTTTATATTTGACAGAACTGTCAGGCAAGATCAAAGGCAACTGACTACTTGATAACAGTGTTATACTTATTCACGTTACGCAGCACTATATGTGCTTCCTCCATTTCCAGATCAACGACGAGTATCTCCGCGACTTCGAATCAGCGGCACCGAGTAATTTTATATATGTTACATCCACCCCTTGGTTCGACTTAACTTCTCGAAATGGAAGGGACCAGGTTGTTCAAAACCTTAGCTGTATAATGCGGTGGGCGGCCGAGTGATTTTTACTTCCTGCCACAAAGGAAGGGAAGCTAACTACTGATATCTTCCCTTTGTGGATCGTAATGGAGTCCTAGCGCTAAAGGACAGGGGAGCAAAATCGAAAATATTCTAGTAGGGATGTTTCCAAGTGACCTGTAAATTATGCTCTTCCTACCCACTGCTCTTAAGTCCACTCTCTTACCCCCCGCCTGCGTCTTGTAGAAGCTCGGAGTTGAAACGCCCCTGAAGGTCGTATTATCGGCGGATGAGTGAGTCAGGGCGAAGGGAGCGGTAAACTTCGAATACTCGATGCTGTGGGAAAAGAAAGCTATGACGACGCCCATAGCCTTCGGCATCGCCAATTCCATGCTCCTCGGTCAAGACAACCTCGATTTCAAGCCGCTCCTGCTGCCGCTGTGGCTTTGTATGATTGTCTGGATATTGGCAATAGGTGCAAGGAGAGTAATCTCCTCCCTATAAGGCTCTAGGTCAATTGGGCGTGGCATAGTAAAAATGGAGGTTATTCATGGAGCCCCAAACAGTTAGGAATCATAGTATGTTAAAAGCAACGGAAAGGATTGTCTGCCACCGGGTGATACATGTATATACACTATACTAGCGTATTTAATCAGAGATTCAGTAAGATAGTGGTCATAGCCAGAACATGTCTTATATACTGTTACCCGTTACAACTATCGCCCCTCTCAGAGGTGGCACTCCCGGGCCACATGTGTACAGACAAATAACAGAGGGTCCTTGGAGTATTTAGGCAAAGCAGCCTAAAGGAGCCGAAGGGTTAAAAGTAAGGAGTACGCCGTAGCAGGAGCTATCTTCCTAATAGGTGACAAAAATATAACAAAAACATACAACAGTCAGGATTCGCATGTGGTCACCCACCATACTACTAACTGACCGGCAAGTGGCTTAAGTACGGCTGAGCGGACGGGAAGCCCTGTTCTCCACTTCCTATGGTCGTATGTACCGGACTCTGCTAAAGAATGGATTACATAGTGAATGATCCCGGTGTGATATACATATCCTCTTTCTAACTATTATATTCTAGATCTCTGCCCACGCCGAGGGTTAATCCGTTCCGGGTTTCTATCCACGCCGAGCTGTATCCTCTACATACCTTGATTGTATCAAAGGCATTGCTTGCAACTTACAAAACTCGTCTTCCCTACAGCTGATTATCTCTTTGGGATTTTCTGTTTCCTCTGGGTGCAAACAACCCAGGCAACTACTAATAAATGGACATTGTCTGGCGAGAGAAAAATGACCCCGCGATCTATGAAGCAGCGCGGACCAAAAGGCTTTTCAATGCCCAAGTCCCCGACAGATACCCACTCGCCATCGCATTTGTCGAGTCGGATATACACATTGTTGACGCTGTAAGACTAGCAATCGATCAAAAATGCCAGATTTCCGTTCGTGCTGGTGGACACAGCTTCCCAGCTTGGAGTGTTTGTGAGAACGCTATTCTTGTGGACCTGGGCAACTTTTCCGAGATTGTCATGGACGATGAAACTGGAGTTGTTGGTGTGACTCCTGCTACGACAAGCAGAAAGCTAAACGAATTTCTTTCCGTCAAAGGGCGAATAGCCTCTGTAGGGCATTGTCCTGATGTTGGACTGGGAGGATTTCTGCTGGCTGGGGGGTTGGGTTGGAACTCCAGGGTAAGTTATTCTACATCTTCAAAGTCATCAGTGGTAACTAAGATTGGTTCAAGAACTGGGGCTGGGCATGCGAACAGATTGTAGCAGTCGATGTTGTCACACCAGGTGGTGAACTGCTTAGGGCAGACCGTGAGAAGAATACCGAGCTTTTCTGGGCTGTAAGAGGGGGTGGTCCAGCCTTCCCCGGAATCATTACTCGTTTCTATCTCCAAACACGACCTGCTCCAAGACGCATACTGTCATCAGTATATGTCTATCCTGTGACGCATTGTGGAGAGGCGTTTAGTTGGATATTGGATGTGAGTAGATAGCAATCTTAGAATAGCGATATACTGACTGACATATTAGATTGGGAGCGAACTACGAGGAAATATTGAGATATCTGCTGTGGCTACTTATGTACCGGAGCAAGAGACGCCGTGCCTGATTATCAAGATGATGGCATTTGGGGACGAAGAAGAAAGCGTCAAGCAGCTACAGCGGGCTGAAAACTCATATCCACCAGGATCTTTATCTCATTCTTTCTGCCAGGAAACAACTCTACAAAACGAGTTTGATAATATGGAAATAGCGTTCCCGTCTAATCATCGCTACTGTGTCGATAACGCGTTTCTGAGGAATGACATCGATGTTGCTGCGCTTTTACAAACAGCCTTTACAACATTGCCTAGCAAGAAGTCAATGGTGCTTTGGAACTTTATGATGCCACGTAGCCAACGAGAACTTCTTGACATGGCGCTGAGCATACAATCCAACCATTATTGTGCTGTCTATGCCATTTGGGAGGACGAGAGCGAAGACGGATATTGTCGGTCATGGGTTCAAACCATCATGCGTGGGCTTGAAACACACTCCATTGGGTCCTATGTGGGCGAATATGACTTTCAGGCGCGCGCTTGCAATGTCTGGGGCGCCGAGCAGTATGAAAGGCTGAAGCATATAAAACAGAAATGGGACCCCCATAATCGAATGTGTCCTTGTCCAGGTCTCCGTCTATAGCTGGATCGAGTTGGTTATTGATCCATTCGTTAGTATTCGCTTCTATATTTTGCGATACTGCTTTGACGGGCATTATGAAGGCTCATCTAAAGATAAATGGCATAAGAAACCTCGCAAAGGACATCCGGTTTATACTAGGCTAACTGCTCGCTCAGTCATTGATACCTCTGCATAGCAACATCATAAACCGGAGACTGTGAAATGTTTGTAATACATGGAATTACGATATTTGTTTCAACCGTGACTCATTAAGTCTCAATCTCAGTGCTGCGTGGCTGCTTTGTCTCCTCCATCGTTTCTGGCTGTACAACTGCGGAGTATTTTCTGCGTTGGTGGATAAACCATCTATATTTGTTAGCCGTAGAAAACTTCACTTGGGGGACGCCTAGCGAGAGAGGGAGAGAGAGAGAGATTACCCTAGTCCAGCAGCCAATACAATCAGTATCGGGACTCCCAATCCTACACTCAACCCGATGATAAGTTTGTTATCATTTGAGTGGTTGTCATCGTCGTCATCACCATCATCATCCAAGCCCCCGCTATCGGTAGTGTTGGTAGAGGTTTGTGTGGCCACTGGGGGAGGTACGTAGGATGTGGGCGTCCCAGAAGTGGCACTCAGAGTATGAGCATGCTCTCCAAATGGGATGGCACTCGTTACAGATGCAAATGTGCTAGCTGGATAGGTGACATCCTCTGCTCCAGACGGGACACTGAGAATAGTTGTCATTGTTTTCTCGATTGATGTGGTAGTCTGTAAGCTGGCAGGACAGTGGACGAGACCTGCTGAGATGCAGCCGACGATGGTGTAAGTCGATGAAGTTGAGACGGCGGTGGTAGACCAGTCTCGTCTATCTAATGTGGCCTGTGAAGTAACAGCTGATGAAGCTGTTTTGCTACCTGCACAGAGGCTTGCCACAGTCGTGTACCATATAGGTATTGTTGTGCTGGGTGCTGGGCCCCATTGATATGTGTTGACAGCAACAGTTGCACCCGCTGCAGCGCCAACGGCCAGCGTGTACTCTGCAGCGGCTGCTAATTTGCAATCCGCGTCGTCGCTCGTAGAGCTATTGACCTGCACAAGGAAATCAGCCACATAGGCAAAGGCCTCTCCAGCAATGCCTGCGCTGAATGAAATTTCAGGCGCCAAATCCTGCGCAGAAACTTCAAATCCGAGACTAGCTTCCAGCTGTAGTAGAGCTTGGAGGCTTCCTTGGCCTTCAATCGTTATGGGCAGGAATTCCACTCTGCCACCGGGACTAATACCAGTGATTAGAGCACCGATCAAAAGCAGTAAGTGGAGAGCCGACTCACAGTGTAATTCCGGACACGTTTTTATTAAAAAGTTCCAGGTCCAGCTTCAACCCATCATCCAGTTTGATATGGATACCGCTGCTGATGTCGATTTCTGCCTCTGCGATTAGCACCAGGGACACTTTGAAGACGGCCCCAGCTTCCAGGTTAGGCACCGAGAATCCTGCAATGGTCTCAGAAGTGAACAAGTTCAACGTGTAGGTTGCGCCGGCAGACAGCTGAACATCTAACTCTAGATATAGCTCCAAGCCATCAAACTCGAATTGTGCCTGCACCTCAGGGAATCCATCAAGATGCTCAAAATCAAAGTCAATATCGACCGTTGGCCAGGCAGGGATCTCATCGAAATGAAGAAGAGTAATGTTTGTGAAGACATCCTCAAGGTACTCTTCTATTTGGTCGAATGCTGAGTCGGTCACGTTCGTAACCTCGTCTGTGAAACTATCTACCGTTTCCGTAAGATTGAAATCACCCCCCAATCTCAACGAGCCGCCAATGGATCCATTGACATAGCAGGTTGTGCAGATGACGGAGATGCCTTCGTGGAGGTCTAGTGTTGCGTTTTTAGACTCGGTAGAGCTGGTGCTGGAATGATGTACACATATAAGCAAGGGAATGGTGAATTGTAAAGAAAGCCGGGGAATTTTCCAATTCAAGGTGTGTCAAAGATTTCAAAACTTACCTGAGTTCAAGTGAGAATAGCGTGGCATCTGCCCAACTCTTTTCTATCGATGTCCGGTTCATCGAATAAGTCGTGTCTCTGGCAGCATGTAGGGCTCGTTTAATGGCCACGACGGTATCTGGATCCGCATTATTGCGAGTTTGTACCGGGACATATCCCGTGGAGAATGCTTCAACAGTCCATAGAAAGGACAGCCAGCAGAGCAAGTAGCTTTCTCGGGAAAACATTCTTCAAAGTCTAGTTGACGTTTCTCCGTCTCTCCTTTTTGTTCCCTGGCGTGGGAAATGCCCGACAATAAAATAGTAGTGGCATCTCCCGGCCTTGCTGCGCCGCCCAACTTGACGGCAGGGAAGAGAATATACCATCTCTAGTAGCAACCAGGTTTATAAACTAGTTCCAAATCCTGAGATTGGGAAACTTCCCAGCGATTTGGGGTCTAACTCCAACATGCAGAATTCCCAGAGACATGGATTCACCTAAGCTGAGCACATTGCTTTACCTGGTGAGTAGCACTCTCATCACCCAGTCCAAGCGGCCAAAGGTACAAATTGCGGGAATTCTCGGAAACGGAGCCAAATACGTGTTACTTAGATGTGCTAGACACTCGGGAGGCTTGAACCAACATCTTTTGATTGACATTAGCTTATCATGTCAACAAAGGATATGCAGCAGCAGGTCTCCGGCCCCTGAAAATAGAGCACCTTCGAGGAAAGGTAAAAGTTTTCCGTGGGCCATGTCCGAAACGTTCAAATGAGACTAGCTGTCAAGCCCATCACACCTATAGTATATCTGCATTATAGCTGTGCCGCTGGAAACACAAACTTAGTTTGGAATTAGGCCTCTGTTCGACATGTCTGGTCGTTTTGCTTAACGAATTAGAGACCGATCCAGAAGATGATATTCACGAAATTTGTCATGTACCCTAGGGGGTCTGGAGAGCTCGTATGCAACCCCACGCCGCTGCCTCTCTTAGTCAGTTTCAAGCCAGCGCAGGGTTCCTATAGTTTTGAAACCTGGATAATCAGAGGCCTAATCAGAATGCAGCTTTCTGTCGGTTCTACGGAGTATTTGATTTATTCCCCCTCCCCAGGCGCAATTGTACATCCAAAGAGGCAAGAACCCTAGACATATAGGGGTAGACTTCCTACCTGAGTAAACAAAAAGCACCTCTAACTACCCGGTGAGAAAAGTAGCAAGCAGGACAAGCCCATCCATTCCTGTGCAACACTCGTCCCAATTTGCGGTGCAACTCGACTGATCCCTGGAATCTAATGTCTTAAAGAGCAGCACTAGATAGACCACGACAATGGACCCACTGGGAGGAGCTATGAGAAGGTCTGTTTGCAGACTGCACACCGTCGTTAATTCGAAAGAGACTAGCAAATTCACCACCCGATAGATGACACATAGCCTTGAGCTCAGTTAATATCTTTATCTCTACTGCCTTGAAATCGATTGTGTAGAAGCCTAACCTTCGTTTTCATTGTTCAAAGATTCAACCCGTCCAGTTCCTTTCTCTATCCTTGCTCAATACCGCAGACTGAATGTTGGAATCATTGGACCCCGAGATTTGGTGTAAACGGCGAGGAATTGCTCGAGGCTATTCAGCAAAACCTACAGGTATCATTGTTTTTCACTTCCAGTTCACTCGGTATCTAGGTGATAATACTCCGTATATTGGGTTGCAAAATGACTCCTCAGGCTATCATTGCAGGTAAGAAGAGTCTTCTCCTCATGCATACCAGCCTCCATTGAGTAAAAGGCGCTGCGCCATTCAACAATAAGAATGCATTGGAATTATTCAGTGGCTGGGGATATTCTAATTCATGTATAGCGCTAGGTAATTACGGACTCTCCGGAACACATCATGCCATGCAAATTAACCAGGGGTAGCTTCCAACTGGTATTTCTAACTAGAGTTTAAAAATGAGAATCTTAGCTATCTGGTGAGAGTGAAAAAAAAACCGATGGCAAGGGCTAGGACGTGTGATAATTCATCTGGAAATCACACATCCAGATACTATGTCTGAATGTCAGTTCATGAACTATTTTTTCAAATCTATATTCCAAAGGCTGGAGGAAACTGCGGTGACACTTCAAAGCCCAGGAAATCCTAGAAGGGTAACGAGCAGCCATTCAATTGGGACTTGGTGGTATCAAACTACTCAGCCTCTTCCAGGTTCACGCAGCGTACTCCGTACTCACAGCCAGACTCATAGGTCAGAGATTGCCAACCCCCTTCATTCATTTAGCTCATCCCATCCCCTCTTCTCCGTCGGACGTGCCTATTCTGCTTGACTTTGTACGCTAAATAGCATGTCTCCAGCTAAATCTCCGCACCACTGACTCGCTAACCGCAGCTCTAGGCAGGGAGTTAGATCCTTCGGCTCTCACAAGCTGAGAGGTTTACCAGAGTAGGAAGTAAGACATGTCCGCCCAACCAATCCTGCTATGCCCGTTGGTTATCCTTAAATGTTTGACCTTAGTGAAGGTGCTGAGATACATATATCAGACAGCAGGCAAATTGTGAATTGCACTCCTCTCCACAACTTCCACAACTTCTTAAGATTTACATGCGAAAGAAAAAAAAAAAATCATATTTGTTTCTTTTAATCTCATAACCTTTGATAATTTGTTCCTACAGGATCTCTCTGGCAATCAGGGAGATCGTGCTCATGCCATGAGCCCTAATAACCGTCAACGCCTTTGGGACCAATTTGCTGCACTTTCTCTTTATGGCTACCACGTATTTTCATCAGACGCCGCGGCCAAGCCGAACCAAGAGGAACAAGAGGAACAAGTGAAAATCGTATTAGACAGCGAGGCAGGGGAGGAAGAAGAAACAACGGCATCAGCAACACCCTCCCCTAATCACTCAGTCCTTCCCCAGTTGGAGTTTCGAACTCTTCCTTCCCTTGACAAGAAGCTAGATCCGAAGAAGAGGGTCCCTGCTAGAATGATCGACCAGATGATGGTAGAGGAGCTGATTAAACCCATTGGAACCAATGATAAAAACAAAAGCTTCCTATACGTCTTTGGACATGAGAGCGCGAAGGGCCTGTATAAGGTCGGATGCTCCCAGACATACGACAGTCGACTCGATAAGTGGCAGGCATGCTACCCGGGGTTGCAACCTTATATCATGATCTATTGCCCAAATGCTGGACGCTTTGAGAAGCTAGTGTTGCAAGAGTTCGCCATACAACGACGTCAGCATTCTTGCACAAACTGCAAGACAGAATCTCACATAGAATGGATAGAGGCCCCTTGCCACGATATCATCGATAGTGTTCAAACATGGACAGCATTCGCGCAGCATGCCTATTCAGATAATGACAAACTGGGTATTGACGGCGTTCCAACTCCGGGATTTTCCACACAACCGAACAGATGGCGTAAATGGGCGAAGCTGCATGTCGAACGGTGGACCAAAGAGACAAAGAACCTATCCTCTCCACCTGCATCGCCCGAACCCCCCATCACCAGCCCTCCATCGCTTGTTTCTAGTCCTAGAAGTCCCGATGACCGCCACTTGGAACCCCATACTCCGACACCGAGAGGTAAAGTTCAAGTGCATCGAGGCAAGATACCACATATGTCATTACCAGGGATGCCACCTAAAACAGCTCTTAACCCCTACTGCTCCGGGAAAGTATCTCTTGAAAACAAATCGGGAGACGAATCGGGAGACGAATCTGGAGACGAATCGGGAGACGAATCTGGAGAGGAATGGAGAGAGGAATCTGGAGAGGAATGGAGAGACGAATCGGGAGACGAATCGGGAGACGAATCGGGAGACGAATCGGGAGATGACTATGAATCTCCCCTTCGCAGGCGTAGTCCTCGAATTTTATCGAAAATTCAGAGAAGGTTCACACATGCCGCCTGCGCTGACTGAAGTTCGTGTTAAGCCCCCAAAAAAAACACCAAGGGCAGCCAAACGTGAACAAGCGGAAACCACACATTTCTCCGACGCTGAAAAACCCGCGCCAAATCCCCCAGGCCTATTACACCCCGCAGGGGGAAGGATATACTTGATTGATGAAAGGTAGCTTGTCATCCATAGGGTATACGCTCGGTCTTTCCATGATTTTGTTCCTTGTTTTCATGTCTTATGTCCCGACAAGCATCAGGCTTTGGCTTAAGCATTCACCTTGCATCATGCGCTTTGGTGTCTGTAATTCACCTCTATAACAGATATCTCAAACTCCAGGCGATGTCTCCTGTTGGAACGAGGGCCGAGAAAACCTGCAATGCGATTCTAGGGTGTATGTAGCGTTTCTTTTGTTATAGGATCATACATGCTGTGTTTACATTAACTTGCTCTGTAAACGCTTAGGATTTCCTACTCAGTAACTCCATGAATAGTCGTGGCTCCAAGGTGTGCAAGTCAAGATCCATTATAAGCTGGGTTGTCGACCTGGCTCCCATGTTATTCAATATCTTGTTACATGGCCTCCTCCGTCAATCTCAGGAACAGGGGGCGCAAGATCTAAGAATAAGGTAAAATACTATATTCAGCTCTTCCGTTATGAACGAATGCTGAATAATCTCAGGTTATAGACCAGTAGTCGTGAAATCTAGATGGTAGTACCAACTGAACTCGAACCCTAACTCCTCGAAACAGGTCGAGACCAAGCTACGAGCCTTGAATATCAGGCATTATCAACCTTACACGTAAATCGCTATGCAGTGTGCATGAGGCCAGAAACCCAGATACAAAGAGTTGTTGATTATACTTGAATCAAAGGCGGCGCACAAATGCGTGCCGTATCTGTAGATATGTAGTTTCTAGAGTCGAAATATTTATTATTGCCTTGGATCATTTTTTTTTCCAGAACCGGCAGATAACATCTTGAATCATTCTCCTTCATCAGAGCGATACAATCATCTAGAGCTGTCCAGAAGACTTAATCACAACTGTCTTGCTGGGTTTGCCGCTCGAGCTACCAAGTTTCTCAATCTGCTGAACCACGTCCATGCCGCTCACGACCTTGCCGAAAACAACATGCGCGCCATCAAGCCATGAGGTCTTGACAGTTGTGATAAAGAACTGAGAGCCATTGCTACAGGGTATGGTGTCAGTCTGTGTTTTTGTCATCTGCGAAGAATGAAGGATCCCGGCCATAGCATACGTATTTTTACCGGCGTTCGCCATAGAAAGGATTCCCGGTCCAGTGTGCTTCAGCTGGAAGTTCTCGTCTTGGAACGTCTCGCCATAGATCGACTTTCCACCGGTGCCCTAGATGATTTCGATCAGTTAGCGTCAAGAGGCTCATGGCTTCTAGCGTTGGAAGGGGAATGTCGGGAGTCAGTCAACTTACATTTCCCTTGGTGAAATCGCCACCCTGGAGCATGAACTGTGGGATGACACGATGGAAGGTAGATCCGGCATAACCGAACCCCTTCTCGCCGGTGCAAAGAGCACGGAAGTTCTCAGCTGTCCTAGGCACCACATCATTGTACAGTTCCATCTCGATGCGGCCCAGAGGCGCTGCGCGACGTTAGAGAACGGGACAACCTTCTTTGTTAACGCAGAACGTACCACCACCAGCTTCCACGTCAAAATACACCTTGGAGTTGGAGGCCATGATGATGTCTTGAGTAATTGGTAGAAAAAGAGAGAGGTGGAAGTTTTTTGATAAATTTTTCACAGTTGACAAGGAAGAGGAGTATTTCGGAGCCAAAAGGAGGGGGTAGTAAGGAGGGGCATGCATATATGTATTTAAAACTACGGAGCACGGCGGCGGGGGGGGGGCTCAGCCACGTCACAGTGCACACAAAGAAAGGCCTACCCTACGGAGGTCGACATTCCTGACGGCTCTGTGCCCATCTACTGCACACTGATTCGTCATAGACTATTAGATCAGCTCTCCATCCCGCCTAGATTCCACCGTGGAGCCGCTATTTCAGCCACCGACCGCTCAGATCTGGGAGATTGAACCTGATTCATTGGTGTGCTTCCATTCCTCAGCCCACCACCCCCTTAGCTCTGGTGGAGGACAACCTTATATGATACGTCACGGCTTCCCTTCTGCCCACACTTTGGTTAGGGATTTGCTTTTCACCAAAGTTGTCCATGGGAGCTGTTTTGTTGCGTCATGAAAAGAACATTTCGGACACTTATTTAGGGTAGGGTTCTTGGAGCCCTAACTTACTTGCTGACTAAACGCATTCACCCCTAAGGATTATCTAATATCCGATATAGGGGTTAGAGTAGCGACGCAGGTAGTTTCTGATAAGTTATCCAATCAACAACTCACTTCAACACATCGGCCCCAGTCCCCCGCGCGGACTGTTAGTGGGATTCCCGCGACCTGTTGACTCGAGGAAGACGGTACTTACTCCCTTGTGGTTTATCGAAAAACCCTCAGGATGCCCGACTCGATAAAAGTCCCTGAGCATTTAGCAGAGGAAGTCTGCCATTCAAATGCTTGTCAAGGAACTACCCGTCCTGATAGGCATGCTATTCTGCCTTTAACTCCCCCGGCGTCAAGTGAACGTTGTCGAACATCAGGCGTCGTTGCGCTGGAAGGAGCTCTAGGAATTTTCAAGGAGCTCCAAAATTATCGTGTCCCAGCTCCTTACAACGGAGAAGAGATAACAATTGAGCTGCGGCATGATCAATATGTACAACTACTCGGGGAGCTTGAATCTGATCAAGCACTCAATAAGTTCGCGAGGGACAAAGTGCGGTATGCTTGCCGGGGCAGATACTACGTAGTCCACTCTAGCTCACAAGTATAGGTGGGACTACGATCCAGATAGATCCCTTCTTCATTTCCGCATGCCAACTCCTGTGCACGACTTTTTCGCCGTGTCGATCGCGAACGAGATACATAAGTAGCTCGAGCACATAGCAGATAATAAGGACGCTGCTGCTGGCAAATTTGCTGCGCGTATCGCGAATGGGGGATCATCTCGTGTTTTTTTGAAGGAAGGGGCATCTGGAGATGAGACACCGGCAGTTTTCCCACTGCGTCAGCCGGACGTTCAATTCCAGCACTATGTATGACGCAGCCTATCCGGGAGTAGTTGTGGAGATATCCTATTCCCAAAACGGAAAGGATCTAAAGAAACTCGCCTGGGACTATATAGTACATTCCAATGGGGATATAAAGGTAGTCGTCGGCATTGACATTAACTATGGTGGAATGCAGGACTCCACCTTGTCAATGTGGCGACCGTCGTATGTTCATGAAGAGGGCGAGGATATGGACTTGCTGGAAATACAGCAAGAGATTAAGAACCAGGTAATAGGTCTATATCCGTTCTTCCGGCATGTTACTAACACAGTGCCAGCCCTTTCGAGCCAAAGATGGATCCCATGTCAATCAAATGAAGAGTATCCCGCTTAAGCTGAGTGACTTTGCGCCTGACGAACTATCAGCCAGCTTTCAAGGAATTCAAACAGAGATTAGCTACGCGAAGCTAGCCGAAGTTCTGACATTCGCTGAGCGAATGCACCGAGCAAGGGAGTCAGGTCCCGGTATTAAGTCAAGACGCCGGACAAGGAAGCGGAGACGATCGTCGTCTTCGATGGAGGAGATGAAAACCGATGATGAGGCTAAGCATCGTCGCCAGGAAGAGAAAGCCGAGGAGCGTTCAGCTATATGTGATGATAACTTTGTCCCACCCTTTAGAAAGAGAAAGTCTTGAACAGACTATCTCATTGTTCTGCCTTTAACAATATCATACACGAACAATATATAATAAATAATAATGAAGAATAATGAAGAATAGGACATTGAAGTAGTTACAGAGCTAAAAAACATTCCAATAGTTATCCCATATTAATGCTACTAAATATACTTCACTAAGAATCTCCTCTAGGAAGGAACCTGCAGCACAGATACTGTAAATTAATTAACATTTCCTATTAGTAAATACACCTCCCTTTGTTCAGTCCCGGATTCATAGACCATTACTACCAATCACCGTGTCTTGAGACTAGTATACGCCGCTATACCTCCAGTGATAGTTTATCTCAGATCCATACATAGATCAGTCCTTGGAATTATGATCCTAGAATTATGCCTGCGAGAGTCATCTCCCGATAGTTAGTGGGAGCCGAGCTGATAGGACGCCTAACTGGAGAGCTTCGATCAAAGCTCCTTCGGATCCAAAATTAGTTCCCAGTTCTACGGAGGCAGGATAAAGATAGTAATCGATTCAAGACACGGCGGCATGCAAAATATGTAGTGGCACTTCACTCCAGCCAGTGAAATATGAAGGATACTACACCAGGTACTCCGTATGTCAGATCTAACTTGGTAGACGGTGCGGCCACTGGGAAGGATGCTGTCAGACGGTATAGCGTCAAGGCCACAGCTCGGGCCGATTAAGCCCAAGAATATTGGGTTCGCGAGCGATGCTGGAAAAGGTCCAGCTAGGTATGAAGCAGTCCATTATTATGTTTGTATCGCAGACCCTTAGAGAAAGAGAGAGAAAAAACTTGCACATCACTGAATGAATCCATCTGATCAACAGCGCCGGATGATTCATACCTAAAAATATCCATGAATATAACTAACTAGTGCTGATAAATCAATCCTGAATCCATCTCGCAAGAGTCGGTGATTGGCCTTGTTCCTACAGATCCCACAGTCTTGATGGATAGCGGATTTTGTATGGTGACATCTGAGACGGGCTTAGATACACTAGTTCAATAGAATAGGCAAAGTAAGGAATCCTGGTGTTGCTTTGAGTGGGACATCAGCATCAGCATCAGCATCACCGTGCATCCTAGAGTTCAAGTCAGCCCTAACTCTACCACATCCTATATCAAGGTCTGCTGCCTCTACTGTGAATACTTATCCCCATTCTCATTCCACTCCTCCCAACCAAAGCTATTCCAGTTTAAATAAAACAAAAAAAAAAAATACAACACGATGTCCTGCAACCTTGTCGCAAACCCCAGCTTCGAAACCGGCTCCCTAGCCCCATGGGCCGCCTCTGCCGCCAATGTGGCAACCATCCTCAGCGGCTCTACTGCATACAGCGGCGACTACTATCTGTAAGAGCCTGCTGCTATACTCCGCATGCATACGTCCAATATCCCCGGTCTAACTAGTTCACAAATAGCCAACTCCAAACCGCCGTGGGTAACCGCGGAAACACCATCTCCCAACGCTTGACGCACCTCGACCGCTCCAAGAACTACACTGTGACCGTGGAAGCCCAAGTCGCAGCTTACTCGGCGACTTACTGCTTTGTGAGTCTTTATATGGGCCATAACTCAACAACCGGCTTGATCGCTTCGGATGTCATCGACGCGACGGGGGAATGGACCGAGGTCAGGGGGTACTATGTGCCTGAGCACGCGAGCGAGGTGTTGCACATTGTTGCGAGTTGCGACCTTGAGGATCCTTCTTATGTTGGGAATGTTCTTCTTGATGATGTGATCTTTAGTGACTGCTAGATTGGAAATAGGTTGTATATAGTAGTATAGTACATACAGGATCATCCTCCATATCTGCATTCTGCACGAAACTATCAGGGATGAGTAGGGCAGTAGTGACGGAATAGGATAATGGTGCTACGAGGTAATCTGGAGATAAAAGAACCTTGACAGTTTCTCATTCAATTAAATTAATAATAATAAAAAAATAACCATCAACATTGATCCACCCCCACCCCCCCCCCTTACTGTGGCTGCTTTCGATCCACACAGAGCGCCTCGCCGTAAGAGCTAACATCGTAGCCATTCTCCTCCAGATAAGCCTTGAACTTCACATCCTCGGTCTCCAGCTCCCGCGACATATCTGGAATCAGGAACCACGAGATCAACCCTCCCACCACACAAAAGGCCGAGCCGATCAAGAACACGGCCTGTTGGCCCTTTGCCGTCGAGGAAAACGAGTTCTGGATTGGCGTGAACACTTGGGTGCCGATCGATGCGCCCGCTTTCCCGAAGGCGGCTGCGAAGCCCAGGAAGTGGCCGCGCAGAGGCGTGGGGAATGACTCGGCCGCGCAGAGGAAGGTGGAAACACCCGGTCCCATTTCGCCCAGTGCGTTGAAGATACCGTACATCACTACGAACAGCGGGAAGACGGTTTGGATGGGTTGGAGGGCACCGCCGAGGACGAAGCCCCAGATTGCCCAGAGGAAGAAGCCGAGCGTCATGGTTTGCTTGCGGCCGATGCGGTCCATGAGGAGGCCGCCGACGAGACAGCCAGGAAGGTAGAAGCAGTTGACCACGGTCTGGAAAGTGTTAGTGTCGGTTTTGTGTGTGTTTTTGGGGGTTTGAAAAAAAAAAGAGGGGACAGATGTCTTACGCCGTATCCGATGTTTTCGACCATAGTGTTGTTGGGGTTCAACTGAGAGATGATAGTCGACGAGAAAATTCCGAAAGGATAGGTGACGAAATCATAGCAGAACCATGAGAGGGCTAAGGACTTGTTAAGAGGTTCGGTCCAAATAACTACCAGGTTAGGGTTGGCTTACCGGTTCCAAGCATTGGCTTCCAATATCTCTTCAGGACCAGCCAGTAGGGGTATCTCGATTTGATGGCGTGTTTGCGGTACTGGGTGGAATTGATCATGCGAATTCGAAAGAAACAAACGACGAGCGGAAGCTAACGGGTCAGCACTTGATCGATCAATTATTTTGCAAGGACGAAAAACTTACGACAAATCCTAGCCCAAAGCACACCCTCCAGACACCCTGCCGGGTCTCCTGGTGGAAGCAAGCGAGGACAATCAGAGCGACAACCCCAGCCATCACGAACCCCTGAAAATCATTATTAGCTTTGCTTCTGAGTTCAAGATATAGTTCGAACGTACCAGGTCAACGGCGAAATCAGTGGTCGATGCGACAAGGAAACCCCTGATCTTTCGCAGGTTTGGTGTCTCATCGGCTGCCTCAGTAGCACTGGTGGCGCACACTGGATATTCTCCTCCAGCGCCAAACCCAGCGATTCCACGAGATACGATCATCATCCAGAACATGCTTTGCATATTATCAGCCTTTGAAATTATATTCGATTTTTTTTTTTTAAAGGGTCCTTACCCTAACTCTGTGGTTCCATGCGCAGCAGCAGCCAGAGCCACACCCAGAACCAGGAACCCAGTCGCTGCGAGAACACCGGTTCTTCGACCCAGTCGATCGATGATAGCTCCGAAGAAAAGCATTCCAAAAATCTCACCGATCAAGAAAGAGTTGGACAGACGAGATTTGATACTGGACGACATGCCTTTCGAGTACCTAGCCAAGTCAGTATCAAGCGGTGGGTGCGCGAAGCTGTGGTTTGCAGCGGATCTCACAAGACGGAGAAAAAAGGCTCCATGTAGCCAACTAGATCAACCGTTAGAATACTAGGGACGAGCTATGTTTTGCTGGAGTGAGGCAAGCTTACTGATTTGCGCGTTGTATCCATCGCTAAACAGAGCCAATCCCGCAATTATCACGTTCAGAACACCAGTGTGAGGCTTGCTCGAGGCAAGCTGGGTCTGCTCCTCCTCATCCTCGACGGTGTTCTTGTTGTAGTACAAGTCCTGTCGAGGATCCACGGTGATCTGGGAGTCCTTGGTCATATTGTCATGTAGAACAGATGCCATAGCAAAGACGAGACGGCGACTGCGTTTCTTTGGGGGAGAGGAAGATAGCCAGAAGCGCGTGATTCCATCCCTGCATGCATGCTGATCTCGACGTCCTTATTATACTCGGGATGCACGAGATGCCCTCCTATCTGCTATAGAAGCGTGCTACCCAATGGCAACCATGAAGCCGTGCACGGTGCAGAGGTAACCGAAACGAAAAGCGAAACAATCCACTACATCCCACGTGGATGGGTGAAGTTTCTGTGGCCTTGTGGTTGAGAACTGGTGTGTGCTGGAGGGTAGACTAGATACCTGGTATACTGGCGTCTTTCGGTCGTCGGAGAGACCGCCGCCAGTCTCCCAGCAATGTTTGGCGGACCCATGGTCGAGCCACTTCCGAGATCCTATCATTCGGTACACGCGTGGGCTAAAGGAGAAGCTTGTTCCTCCTGCCGCGGGTTCTTATTGTCCAGCATGCAGATTTCTTGTCTCCGCTCAGCATTAGCTTCGTCTGGTGGTTTACCCCGCTGCGGCCTTCGCACCGGTATCTTGACTCGATTTCGGACACACGGACGTCCATCGCAGCAGAGACAACATGGCCGAGGGCAAAGGATTTATTAGCTCGGGGAGTCCAGTCTCACTCAGGAAAGGAGCCATGTGTACTTGAGATCTCTACAATTGGTGAACGAAGCAATCCAAGCAAGAAGTTTACTGAAGTGGAAACCGACCCTCACTCAACATGGAGAACAAATCCTATACTCTATCCCAGGAGCAAGTCCAATTCTACCACGAGAAGGGCTACCTTCTCGTTCGGGACTTTCTGAATGCGGGGGAGACAAGGAGTCTCCAGCAATGGTCCCAGGAGGTTCATGATCTTCCTCGCACGCCAGATGCGTCCTATATGCCCTATGAGGTAGGAATACCCGATCCCCGGCTCAGCGACGGAATAAGCACTAACCGGCCCATAGGAGGTGAATGCACAAGGCAAGAGGGTCCTCTGCCGCACAGAGAACTACGCCAACAGCCATGCCGGCTTCCACAGCCTGCTTCGCGGCAAGCGCATGCTTAGCGTCCTCGAGCAATTGGCCGCGGAAGAGATGCTCCTGTTCAAAGAGAAGATTAACTACAAGTTCGCTGGGAGCGGTATGTTCGTGTGGGACTATTGGAGACATGACTTGACTTACTAAACCTTCACAGGCGGTTTCTCCCCACACATCGACGCCAATGCGTACACACATGTCAAAAACATCAAGCATCTGACGGTTCTCGTTGCTGTGGATGAGATGACCTCCGAGAATGGTGGTCTCGACGTTGTAAATGGTAGTCATCTCATGGAAGTCCCTCTGGGAGAAGACCGATGCATTGAACCTTCCTGGGTTGAAAGCCACGAATGGACTCCTTGCAATCTAAACCCAGGTTTGTCCAGCATTTTTTCCCTCCGCAATCAATGCAAACACATTCTAACAAAAAAAAAAAAAACAGGGGATATTCTGGTATTTGGCTCCTATCTCGCGCACAGAAGTGGTGCAAACCTGAGCCCCAAGGACCGTCGGGCGATTTACGCCACATACAACCGCAAAGCTGAAGGAGATCTCCACGACCAGTACTATGAGGACCGTCGGAAACTGTGGCCTGCAACACACATGCGCAAGGACGGCGAGAACTATGAAGAGGGGAGACTGCGCTACGGATACGGTTCTCCCATGCTCACGATTGAGGGTCAGGAGGAAGTGGTGGCGTAATTCTGTCTTTAATTCTGTAGATTCTTTTTGTCATCAGTGAATATCATAGTGAACTAGTTAGTTAATGAGTCTTAAATAATATCCAGGGACTGGGTGCGAACCCCGTTGACCTTGAATGCGTACCTTTCCTGATCTAGATTCCCAACTATAGTCGAGATGCGGCCTAGATTAAAAATCATTAAGCATCACACCAAGGATCTCAGAAATTTGGCCCTAAAAATCCCTCACCAGTGCGTGTGTGTACCTTTCCTCTGGTGGCTGGTCTCGCCGTTCTCCGATCTATCGTCGGCCTTCCTCCCGCGACCTAATATACTCCCAAGCCATCGCAATCGCTATGTAATCCACTAGCTTATATTATCGGAATACTAGGTACTACTCTCCTTTCCAACCCTCATCACTCATTTCATGATGAGCTCACTATCCCCCCTAGAACGGGCCGAATACCTCGTCAAGTCCCTCGAGGACTACGGCCGAGGCGACTACATCGGCGAGTCCATCAGCCAACTCGAACACTCGCTACAGGCTGCCAGTCAAGCACAGAAATCGGGTCCGTCCATATACAAATCAAAACACTGAACGCTGAATGCTAAGGGTTCGTACCATAGGGGCCAGAAATGAGCTGATCATCGCCGCCCTCTTCCACGATATCGGGCAGATCATCCCCCTAGATGCGACGAAGGAAGTCCGCATGACACTCAAGGAAAGCAGCTCGGAGAATGTTGGTCGCATGGGCCACGAATCCATCGGTGCCGGGTACCTGCGTTCTCTCGGGTTCGGCGAGAATGTGTGCCAGCTTGTGGGGAGCCATGTTGCTGCGAAACGGTATAGTTACTAGTTACTGGATCTAGGTTTTCTCATCCGATGTGATTCCCTAATACGCTTTCCCCAGGTATCTTACCGCGGTAAATCATCAATATTACGATACGCTCTCTTCCGCTTCGAAGAAGTCGCTTCAGTTCCAAGGCGGCCCGTTCACAGGTGACGAGCTGGTGAAATTTCGGGACGACCCGTTAAGAGACGAGATGGTGGCTCTGCGACTCTGGGATGATGCAGCCAAGGTCCCTGGGGTTGAGGATTCGACGCCACGGGCAAGGGCGTACTTGGATTTGATCACGGCTCATCTGGAAGAGCAGGAAGGGAGGTAATGTGAAAAACGCGTGGTAAAAATAGAAGTATACCCGAGATTAATATAGTTTATTCAATAATATTCAGACCAAAGACGGAGGAGATATTTTGCATGTGAGATATCAGAAGATACCTTTACATATATATATATATATATATATAGTTTCCCAAAATTGCCAACAATCGTCAGGCCCCCAGGTGTCAACATGGTGATGACGTCATCTATCCCAAACAGGCATCCGAGGCCTCAGGATCCCAACCCCAATGGAGGAGTGTGAACAAGAATGCTTATTAGTATACTCCATATTCTCCATACATATATATATATATATATCTTCTCTATCTTTCCACTGTCATTTGTCAAATAATAACACAAAAAAGAAAGAGTCAGTAGGAGAAACCCTTTTTGCTGACTCTTTGTTGGAAACGGTCTGCTTGAACCTTAAAACAGCCACTGCCAACAGCTCTTTGGACTGACTTTGGAGGCTTTGGGCAGCTTCTTCGCTCCTACACCTGCAAGTCCTGCATTTCCCGCATACCCCTTTAATCGAGCTCTCGCAAAAAGATATTCTCTCGCTGAATTTTCGGTATTTCTCCTGTCGAGGCTTTGTCCGTGTCACTCTTGGGTTCACAAGGGTATTTAGGCTAATCTTATCTACCCCCCCCTCCAACTATAATCCCACCTCCTGGGAACCGATATTCAAAAGAGCTCAGTCAATCTTCAGCTCACTCGCTCTACGCACTCGTCTAGCAAGTTGTTGCGTTGCTGCTCTCAGGGCCTGCAGACCAAAATGACGACTCCTACCTTGATTAATCTCCCGCCTCCTCCATCGGACCCGGTGACTCCGTCCGAGATGGGACCGTGAGACCCCCCTGCTTGCCCCAGCCCATGCTTCGGTCTGTCTTATTCATTTGGAAACTAACAGCGATATCATCGAGCTATTAGGGGAACCCCCAACTCCACCACCACATCTCTATCTGCGCTGTCTACTACGGCCATCAAAGACGGCCACCAGGGCCAGCCACATCCTCACAGTCGCCATGCGCACCATTCCTCCTCCGCATCCATGAGCTCGACGACCACCTTGGAAGCTGAACGTGCCGATCGCATCTCCCGTCTAGCAGGCTTGGAACGGGTTGCAGCTGCAAGAGCCGGTGGGGCGGGCCATCCAGCTACCGTCCCTCTTGCATATACCCCCGGTTACTTCGACAGCGGGCCCGGAATCAAGGAGAGAAGCACCGTGGGGAGTGCCAGCGCAACAGGCAGCATTGGCGCCCGCACGACATGGGCTAGCGGCAGCGATGCGTTCGACGCGGACAAGATGAGCGAGGACCCGGATGACGGTGTCTCCAGCGTGGGAAACATCAGTGACGAAGGAGATGCTAGTCTGGTTGGGTTCGGAGAAGGCGCCAGCACTATAAGCGGACCAATCTCACATCCTGGACTGAATAGAATGTCATCTGGTGGGAGGCCCGGTTCCATCGGCAGCCCAACCCGGAGTCGAGCACATCCCTTGCCCTTCTACTCCTCCCCACATACAGCCGAGGGCGCCCCGATGCAGCCGTCGGTGGTCTCCAGCGCGTCAGCAACTCCCGAGCCCATCCACGATGCGCGGTTGGTCGACGGAGTCACCTATGATCCGGATGTGGTTGACACCACCGTGAGAACCCCTCGACTCGCCACCCCCGGTTATTCGCACAGTGACCGGCGCTAGAAACGAGCACCTCGCGACATTCCAGAGAGGTTCTGAAGGATCACCGGCGTTTCCATGGAGAGATTGTTTCGTATTGTTTATTAACAGCATTGGGTTCCGGGAGTATAATCACAAGTCTGGGAATGGGATCGGGCAGGGGGTACACACAGGTTTCATGGGAGGACTCTTTCGATCCTAGACGAGAATTTGTATGGGATTCCTTGGTGGGGGGGTTTGTAGGATATTCTGTTAGCTCTGAATTTATTTATTCTGCTTGTATCCTGTTTGATCTCGAGCGACAAAGGTATTGAGGTGCAATGATTTTATTTATTTATTTATTTATTTTTGTGGGCGAGCCGGAGCCAGATCACTGTCTGTGGGATCAGCAGTAGACGAGATCCAACACCGTCACCAACGAGATGATGATGATGATGATGATGACACACAGACTTTTACTTAGAAATTAAAAAGAAAGTGAGTAAAATCCAACTGAAGAATAAAAATACTTGGTCAACTCCAGCTCAATGGCTGTGTTGGAATCCAAGGCTTGTCACAGAACCGCCAAATTGAGTTTTCCCGCTTTTTTCACTTCTTTCACGGATTCCGCCGCTTCTGGACTTTTTCTCTCTCTCTCTCTCTCTCTCCTCTACCATCTCCCCGTCCACCCCTCCTACAGTCGTCCTGTCCTGTTTCTTGCTGGCATTGACTTGTCAAGCACTGATCCTTATTTAAACTAACCTGGACTGGAGACTTGACAATAGTTTCCCAACCTGCCCAGTTCCGCCATCGCTCGCCTCGTTCTCAGTGTGTGTGTTGTGTGTGCAAGACAAACAACCCTTCGCCACGCCTAGCCTCAACCCTTGAATACAACCCTTTGTCTCGTCAGTAGCGTTACTTTTCGCCTTTATCCAGTCGCCTATTGTTGTCTGTATCTCGGGATTACGCCCTCCTCTTGCCTGTGCATACTCATCGGCCCAGCGGGGAACCTGCGTTCAGCTCTTCCACAGCCTGAATTGGTGGATTCCAGCACTACAACACACTACAACTTTCGCGCACATTTATCGCTACTACCAGAGTTTTTTGTGCATTCAAGTCTGTTTGACAAGATTGAAGAACATTTAACTACTTAAGATGGCTGCTCCTACACAACTTGCTTGTAGGTTCTCTTTGCCTTTTTCAAAAAAAATTTTCCCTTTCCTCTTCTTTTTCCTTTGTGGGGTTGGGCACACAACACATTGGCATCATAGGAAGCGTGACTGACTGAATGTTATAGTCCGTACCGTTAAGGGAATTGGCATCTTGGATGCGGATCCTGTTTACGAGCCGTTGGCAGGATTTGAGAGGTATGTCCTACCAACAAGCGGCCCTGCCACCTATGTACGATTTTCACTCATCGATTATGCAGACCTGAAGGGAACCTCCGTTGCAGTGCTTATTCTCCCTGCGGTCGATACTTTGCTTGGGCATCTCCGGAGAAGTATGCGCTCCACATTCCGATCACCATGATAGGGAAGGAAGGGCTGGATTAACGTCTTTAGGGTCACCATTATCGATCCCTCTGTCGGACATGTTGTTTCTACCATCCCCGCCGAGAACGTCTTTGAGTTGGGATTCTCGCCTCTCGGAACATACCTGATCACCTGGCAGCGTCCATCGAAGGATGAAAATGGCGATGCTGTCAGGAATCTGAAAGTCTGGCAGGTGGTGGAATCGCCAGACAGCAACGGGGCGGATCGGATTGTGGGCAGCTACGTCCAGAAGTCGCAGACTGGGTGGAATCTGCAGTATACCTCAGATGAGCGCTACTGTGGCCGCGTCGTCACGAACGAAGTCCAGTTTTTCCAGAGCGATAACCTGTCCAAGGTCTGGAATAAGCTGCACGTGGAGGGGGTCGCTGATTTTGCTCTCTCCCCCGGTCAGAATCACTCGGTTGCTGTTTTCATTCCTGAGCGCAAGGTAGGTAGAGTTCGATGACCCACCAGGTTTCATGTCACTAACACAGTTCGATACAGGGACAACCCGCCGCAGTTAAGGTGTTTTTGGTGCCTCAGTTTGGAGCGGCTGTTTCTCAGAAGACTTTCTTCAAGGGTGACAAGGTCCAATTGAAGTGGAACGCTTCAGGCACTACTCTGATTGTTCTTGCCCAGACCGATGTCGACAAGACTGGCAAGAGTTACTACGGAGAAACTACTTTGTACCTTCTTAGTACTAGTGGCGGATTTGACTCTCGTGTGCATCTAGGTATGATTCTTTTGGGGTTTGTTCTCTTCTTTCTATCCAACGATGTACTCATATTTGCATAGACAAGGAGGGCCCGATTCATGACGTTACCTGGTCTCCCAATTCCAAGGAGTTTGGTGTTGTGTATGGCTATATGCCCGCAAAGACGACTATTTTCAACGTCCGCGGTGTCACCAAGCACAGCTTCCCCGTCAGCCCAAGGAATACCATCCTGTTTTCTCCTCATGGTCGCTTCGTCCTGGTGGCCGGCTTTGGAAACCTAGCGGGTCAGATGGATATCTACGATATGGAGAAGAACTACAACAAGATCACTACTGTGGAGGCATCGAACTCGAGTGTGTGTGAATGGTCCCCCGATGGCCAGACCATCTTGACGGCCACCACCAGCCCTCGGCTGAGAGTTGACAATGGCCTCCGTCTGTGGCATGTCAGTGGCGCCTTGATGTACAACGAGGAGATCAACGAGCTTTACGAAGTGTGCTGGCGCCCACAGTCGACTACCCAGCACCCCATGGCCGATCCGTTCAACCCCCTGCCTACTCCTCATCCCTCCGCGCTGGCCTATCTCAGCACGAAGAAAGCCCCAGTCAAGCCCGCTGGTGCCTACCGTCCTCCCGGTGCGCGTGGCCAGCTCACCCCCTTGGCTTTCCGCCGTGAAGACGAGGGTGGCGCTGCGTTCATCCGTGATGGAGCCCCAGCTGGAGGCGCCTTGAACGGATTCGGTCGCTCCCGCAGACGTGAGGTCCCCGGTGCTGAGCCAGTTGAGGAATATCTTCCCCCCGGAGCCGCTCCTGGAGGAGGTGTCGCCTTGCCTCCTGGTGTGGAACAGCCCGAGAAGCTGTCCAAATCGGCCGCTAGGAACAAGAAGAAGCGCGAGGCCCGGAAGCTTAAGGATGGACAGGGGGAAGAGGGACCTACTATTGACCGCAGCCCTGCCCGAGGAGAGAAAAACACCGATAACGGCCGGCCCAAGGGCCACGGCGGCGAAGGCCACCATCCCCGCAAGAACGGACACCACCAGCAGCAATCCAATGGTGCCGCATCGACCAAGCAGAGTGCCCACGTCAGCGCTGCCATCGATGCGGGCGCTCCCACTGCGCAGGAAAAGAAGATACGCGGACTTCTCAAGAAGATCCGGGCGATTGACGAGCTGAAAATGCGCCTAGCCGGTGGTGAGAAGTTGGAGGATACGCAGATGAAGAAGATCCAGACGGAAGATGCTGTGCGCAAGGAACTGGACGGGTTGGGCTACGCTGGATAAGAAACTCTTCTCTCTTTTTTTTTTCTTTTTTTTTTTTTTTTTTTTTTTTCTTCTTAGATATCACGAAGCCGTTGTCGCTTACATGAATGTAAATATAGCGCATCATTTCGCTTACTCTTTGGCTTGAATCTTCTATCAATCTCCTCGTAGATGTATCCGTTTATGTACTATACATGTACTCATTCACATTATTATGTATTTGCAAAGAAATCCACTTGAACCTTAGATTTACCGATTCTTCATTCCCCTTTAATGCATTCATTAGCTTAGTTATTCAATGACCATCCGTAATCCCCTTCTCCCTCTCCAACCGCTGCCTCTCCCCATTTGCGTCCCACCACCACGCATTCACAATATCCATATCGGGCCCCGGACGCGGCGGCTCATCCTGCCACGGCTTCACGGCAAAGATATAGTGTACATTTTTCACCTCGTCGTCGCGCCAGATCGCATCATGCACCCCCTCCCAGCGCATCGTCTTCAACGCGTTATACACATACGGCAGCGCCACCCACCGATCCCGGAACGCATCCGAGAGCAACTCCTGGTCGGGGAAGGTATAGCGATCTGCTCTCGCGGGGGTATCCAGCACGGCTTGGATCTCTGCGAAGGCACGCTCGCTTGGCCTCACGACAAGAAGACCGCTGTTAAGCATGCCCACGCCTGCCGAGGGAGGGGCGCCTTGAATCTGGGCCTGTGACGGGGTGGGGTGCTGGGTAGTGAAGGCGCAGTTTTGCGGGGTCCTATCATATATATATATATATATATATATTAAAATAAAAACTATTGTTTGGATTCCCTTTTCTATACTGCGCGCGTATCGAGGAACGGGAAAGGAAAGAAAGAAAGAAAGAAAGAAAGAAAGAAAGGGGGGAATGCACGTACCATGAAGCAGGATAATGGGTCTTCTTTAATGGGTTACAGGCGCAAGCATGACTAGCTGCGAAAACCCGCTGTTCCGCATCGAGTTCAATCTCCATTAACTCGTCCATGTTCTTGCGGACCAGCATGTCGCCGTCCAGGAGGACAATCCGCTCGTAGGATTCCGCGAGAGAGAACACCACGAGCTTCGTCCATGTCTCGCGGAAGCGCGGGTCCTGCGCGTAGTCCCTTGTGCTGTTTGCGGGGGACAGGTAGGGCACGGCGTGCGTGGGGATTCCGCGGGCCTGCAGAGCGGCGAGGCCGGATTCCGGAAAGGTAGGCGTGTAGAGGGCGACAAAGGGATAGGCGGTTTGCGATTGCAGGAGGGAGTGGTGCAGAGTGAGGAGGCCCGGGAGGTAGTTGAGGTTGGTGATGAGGGAGGCCCAGACTTTCAGAAAGGGGGTTTTGGTTAGGTTAGGAGAACAAGTTTCAGGAAGAGAGAGGAAGAAGGTGGTGTACCCTTTTTTGGTTGGGACATGGTAAGAGAGTTCTCCTGTGTCAATAGGGACGGAGTATGGAATTATGATGAGAGAGTATGAGGATGATGAGAAGGATGGATTGTGAAATTGTAGATTGCGATATCGCTGCTTGCTTGCTTATTTCCCCGCGGCGGGGGTGAGGATGATTACCTAATTGGGATATCTTGAAACTACTACCAAGTACTCACAGTATGTGTCCTGGGAGTGATCCTACGATGCAATTCAAATACGAAAAAAAAAGAGGAGAAAAAGGTATGTCCACGCCACATGCTGAGCTGCATGGCCCCGTTCAATCCAGAAGAGACCACGCCGTGGCTATGGGTGGGACTAATGCAGCGCAGTGTAGCCCCCCGTTTATATCTCGCAAGCCGATACAGAGCTTATACCTTAAGAAAGGCATTTCAAGGCATGGTTCTCGCCTTGCGCTCCACCTTGCAGCGCGAATTTGACGTTAAAAAAAAAAAAAAAAAAAAAAGACACGTAGACTTACAGGGGAATGACGAAAATAAAGATTCCATTCAATCAAAGTGCGGGTATCTCGGTAATTGATTTCCCCCATTAAATCCTTCCACACGGGTTCGACGACTTCGTTCATTAAGAGAAAATCCGCGCCCGCTTGATTGGGCTCCCCATTCGGAGAGAGCGGCTGGCGTTCGCCATTCCACTCAGGAGCCGGTCCATCCCATCCACGTCAAGTTCTCCTCGACGGAGACGGAGTTGATCCGCCTCAACTGTGGTTGGCTCGTTCAGCGAGGCCCGAGAAATGGGGGGAGCATCTGGTTCGGTCAATTTGGGTGCTAGAATCACAAGACGGTGTTCTGCGGCAACGAGAATATCGAATGCCTGGTGATCTGCCCCCCGAGACAAGCGAGAAGCTGCAGGGAGATGGCAGATTCCCCTCAGCGGCTCGCCCATGAGGGTGATATCTTGAATGGGAGACACTCGACAACGGTTAGACGCATCCAAAGTTCCGCTTGCCTTCACAGCACTTCGCCATAGTGACAAAAGGCTGGGGATCATGGCGCTCTGCTTGCCATGTCGGAGGAGAATAGACTCATCTGGAAGAGCATCCTGAGGTGAGTTTGTCTGGTATACTGAAATTCCCCCGCACAGCGATGGGTTAGAAGATCCGACAGCAGTCCCTTTGAGCAGCGTGTCCTCCCTCAGTCGTTTTGTTGAAGGCGTCATTGGAGCGAACCTAGAACGTTGCGCCAGTGCGGAGGCTCCCGTATCGGATCGGCTCACACTTGGTGGGGGGCTGACAATTCGCCCACTCACTGAAAAGGTAGTCAACGCGCCGCCAGAAACTCCTTCTACGCTAGACTGCCGGTGGAGGGGGCCCTTCGCAGTGCCGGGACCAGCTCCTTCAAGATCCCATACGCCCCATTCACCATCCGCCATAAGCACCATGATAGCTCGCCCCCCGAGCACCCAGTCGGCATTGATGATCACCTTGCGCCGTGAGAGTTCCGGTGAGGACTGCTCAAAACCCGGGTAGAGACTGATCAACCACTTGCCCTCTGTCTCCGATGTTTCCAAGTCATTCTGGGTACTGGTCGACCTTCGAAACGCTCTGGATGGCTTCGTAGAGAAGCAGGAGTAAACTTTGACACAACCGCTATGGAAAGAGACAAGTAGTGTGGAGTGCCGTGCGGCAGGATAGCTTGAAGGATTAAATGCAATGTTTTGTGCTGGGGCTGGTAGATAGCATCGTTTCGACTCGATTTCTTCAGGACACAAACGATACGCGGTATCAGCATCTGCTGCCTCTTCAACGATTGGTATTCTGTGAGTAATGAGTAGGCCTGACGACTCTGCGGAATGAGTTGCCACAAGAAGATCCCATCTTCCTGGGCCACCGGCATCTGATTTGCCAGAGGTCCTTCTGCGAGACACTTCTTGATCTTGCTGTGGCTCGCTTTCTAGGTATGTGAAAGTAATGCTGACTCCTCTTGGAACCTCCTGGTGCGAGATGCCTCCATTGACCGAGAAGCTCTGAACCCCCCAGGCGGTAAGGTGGCTATCCGAAGGACGGGGAGGAACCAAGGGCAGTGTCACGACACGAGTGGAGTAGTCCGCACACACAGCGGATACAACTATCACTTTATTCAAAATAGGGGGGAATGGATCCAGCGGCGAGCGTGCAGTGTCAGGGAGGATGCGAGGCACAGCAAGCCCAATGACTTTGCTTCCAAGGGGGATATCGATTTGACGAAGGACGGTCTCGTAAGGATGCGCGGGGTCGACTTCCGGCTCTTCATCCTCAAACTGATGGCCCGCATCTATCTCGGGTGCCTCATCTCTCTGTGTGCCTGCCATACTCTCATCGTCGGAATCAATAATCATGATCGCGTCGTCATTGGCTCGGGTTGGCTTCTCCTGCGCTTTCTCCTTCGATGTCTGCCCTTTTTGGGTTGAAAACGGCCTTCCCCCTCTCCAGATGACCTTCAGGCCATCTTCGTAGCCATAAATGATAATTGATGAGCCGTTAGGGGCGAGGATTGGGTAGCCTTCGGCGGCATAAACACGGTGAGGGAGTTGATAGCTGGCCCAAGTGGTCAAGTCAGCCCAGCACAAAAAGCCGCTTTATATCTATCAGCAATTACCTACCTTAGCTGTAGGCCATTATCCCGCGCTCTAACCAATGGTCTCGAGGGTAAGGAAGGCATTGTGTCTGACGAACTTGGTCGGTGATGCTCACCCCGTAGCGTGGAGAGAGCACCAGTAAGGGTCCTGAGCTCTTACGCTCTATGAGGAGAGGTTCGCAATATGAATACAGTTTATCGAGCGCATATATTGAAGCAGTATGAAATATCAGTCTTTATAGCATGTGCAAAGACGGTGGTGCGGTCGAGGGAAAGGCAAAGAGGAGGAATTTTGGCGGAGAGGAAGAAAAAAGCCGCCGCTCAAGTATTTATGATTTGAATCCGCGTCCACCGCGTCACCTCAGGACTCCAGCATCACCACAACTTCTCGGTTTGCCAACCAACATCCATTCGTTAAGCATCTTCTCGATTTATATCGCCAGCATAAATATAAATCTCCATCTGGCGCCTTCTTTTCTCGCATTCGACGGGGCCGGATCGACAATGGCTACTATTGCTAGAGATTCCACTCCCCGCCGTACCTAAGACCCGCACCGATAATGTCTACAGTTCGGTCCCTGGGACTGCACGAAGCTTCGGCCATCCCTTTTCTCGTGGCGGAAAACCTCCTTCCTCCGGATCCCCCAGAGGAGCTTTATTCATGGACAACAACTGTTGATCGTGGTCCGAACGGGCCAGTCGAGGATGAGCTACTTTGGACAAAGACCTGCGTGGTCTGGTCTCGCGCGGGAGTAATTAAAAGGGTCTTTCGCCTGGACCTGGAGAAGGAAGAGGTTCGGCATGCTTTGTTGACAAATTTCGCGGTGGGAAAAACCAAGGGATCTGGAGAGAAGCCTGCACAGGATGTTAACAGAACGACATCGCACAAGAGCATCCACCTCAGTGAGATTTCGCTCGACGTGGGAGGGGATACGAAATGCCCAAAATCCGATGCCTCTTACGCTACAAATCAGACACAAACTGCGAGGGGCTCGACGCGAGCATTGGTTGTGGTGCTCAAATCGCAAGCCCACATTTTCTTTCTGGCGGGCAACAGCCACGTCGTCCCTCTACCCTTCGAAGTCGATTCGGTATTCGCGACACCTCGTGGGCTACTATTCCAAAGAAAGGTTCACGAGGAGGATGCCAGAACCTACCCAATGGCGCCCCCCAATTCGTTCGTGTCCTTCCCTCCGGAATTTCGAGCTTCCCAATCGCTTGAGCTTCCATCCAGCAAAGTCCAACGACCTTCTCTAACCACCGCCCCCGCCCAAAGTCCTGGCTGGAAGTCCCGACCAAGCAAGCGTGTCGATCTACCCAGGGTATTCTCTCTCATGGACCCCCATTCAGAAATGGGGCTGGTGGTGACCAATCAGTCTTCTCGTTTGTTACAAGCTAGCCTTAATAGCAAACCTTCAGGTTTAGATGTGCTAGACCCGGCGGATGAGATAGTATACGTTTCCCCCAGGGATGAATTATCAGGTCATCATCGAAGCAAAGGCAAATCTCCACTCATTCTAGTTCTGACAGTTAATGTCAGCACCGGTCTGTATACTATCTGGACTGCACGTTATCGAGATGACGAAGTAGCTCCTTCATCCAAAAAGAAACGCAGAGAAACCGGTGGGACTCGCTCTAAAAGACGCAGCTCTCACTTTGGAATGGCCACAGGGACAACGACACCCGGTGCACGTCCAACAGCCACGAGGGAAAGCTTTGGACCAAGGGCTGAGAACTGGAACGCGTCAGTCCTTTCTCATTCTCAGTACTCTACGGAGGGGAAGCCTGACGACGATGATCTCGTGTCTAAGCTGGGCCAGGATTTTGGTGACATCGGAGTCCCCCTGAAGACGTCCAGACGAGTAAGCTCTTTACTGGCTCGCGCCGACTTAGCGACAAGCCAAGATCGAATCACGTTCTCCGATCTTGCTACGGGAAGTCAGTCCAGTACAATAACTCATGCAGGGCTACGACAGTCGATAGGAGCAGGCAGTACCCGTGGCAGCTTTGGCTTCAACCCCAGAGGTTCTCTTCCGCCTGGCACTGGCTCAATCTATAGCACTACCGGTGGCTTTGTGGATGCTCCCGTGGACAAGCTCCTTGAAGAACTGAACAATGAGAATTTATTTGAAGGATTTGAGAATATGGATCTAAAAGAATCCGCATCTGGCCTACCGGAGGAAGTACTCCTCTCAAAAGTGGAAAGCTTCTCCTCCAGATTCTCAGGAAGTTTCTTGACACCTTCCAAGATAAAACAGTCCCGAAAACTAAAAGTAATTACGCTATGCCCCTCTGGCTCTAGAGGAATCTCGCAGAATTCAACCTCAGCGACTTTGGCCGTTTGCGTGGTGGATCAAGAAGCGAAATCCATGACCGTAGTCAACCTTCGAGCGGACAAGGTTGCATTGCCAAAGAAGGATGCGATGTTTTCAAGCAAAGCAAAAAAACGCATGGTCTCCGATGAACGCCCATTACTCGTGCAAGCATCGGGTATTCAACACTTCCCAGGAATCCTAGATGCTTGTAAGGTAATCGATGGGGAGGTCTCCCGAATCCTCGCCCTTAGTGTTACCGAAGATGGAAGCTGTGGTCTACATCTACAGACTCCTTGGAGCAGCCATATTTCTATTGAAATTCCTCCTAAGCTCATGTTACATGAAACCGACGCGCTGTCATCGCTATTGACGGCAAGCCATCCTCGAGAAGGGAGCATGAAACGTCTGATGGCAGATTCATCTATCACTATTACAGGGCTAGATCACTCCGCAGTCGGAGGCAAACTTGACCTAGTCGACTCCTCTGGGCGAAGACACAAAGTTCAGATTCGGATGGAGCCTACTAATGACTTCGTGAAAAAGATATTCGGCGTATGCCGCTTTGCCTTGCTTGAATCGGAAAAGGCTGCGGATGGGATTCTGGCTGGCTGGTGGGAAACCATGAGATGGCTGCAAGAACGGGAGAAAATCGAAAACGACATGGAATGGACGGCTCTGGTAATTGTGTTATTCGCGATGGCTGTGCCCTTTATCGATAGCGACCAGGCCTGCATTTCCCCCAGGCAGACCCGTAGAAAGAGGGGTTTGCTCAGGTCCAGCAGCGGAAGCTACGTGGACACAGAGAGCTGGGAAGCAATGCTGGATCAGGAATCAGGGTCTGCTGGAGCAGTTGCACCTTGGATGAACACTGCTGCTTGGGGCTGGATAGTTGAACAGGACGCCGAAGGCGAGACAATCTCCAACCAAACGAGAAAATCATCGAAGGCGGATCAATCGGTTTCTAGCCGTTCAACGTGCCGGAAGAACGGTTATTTACTCAGATGTGCCGCGCTGACAAGAGAATTCCTCCAAACGCCTAGAGGCATTGCGGCAATTGGATCTGATGGTCATCTCCCCACAGCACTCTCCAGTAGCCAAACGTCACGGCGAACCGCGCTGGGCACAATTGTAGTTGGCTTGCACTTGCTTCGAGAAGAACAGAAGTTATCAGCTGGTGAGAGTGAGCAATGGCGCAAACCTCTAGGTCTTCTGGCTCCAGTCCTTGCCCAAATTGGCGGATGGTTAGGATGGCAGTCCTGGGGTTGGGCGGAAGACTCGTACTACGGCATGGAAATGGCTAGTATGAACCGTTGGCAATTCGAAGATACCCGGATCTCGATGCTGGATATCCCCCCAGAGCCATTCGCCCCGCCTTCGATTTTCGCCTGGTTAGAAAGTGCGTGGCGTGCACCTTGTTCCCATTTCTTCACTCTGCTTAATCTTGCAACCGCCTCGGACAACCCTCCAAGAAAGGGAAAGCTATGGCAAGAATGCTTCGTTTTAACCCCAAGGACGCTAGCCCTAGATGGATTTCTCTCGGAGCTACATGATCTCTCGACACCGCTGGACCGAATAAAGCTCCTCCATCGTTGGGGGTTCACACGAAGCATCATTGAAACTTTTCCAGAGGGGGTGAGTACTCCGTTTTACGAGGTTATCTTGCAATCACAAATCCATGCCTCAACGTCATGGAGCCCGTCTCTTTTGACGCTCATCGATCGAGACGACCTCAGCATCTCGATGAGTGCCGGCGGGTCTTCGCATCCTGCACCGGCTCCATCGCAGCCCGCATTATCACACGACGCCGTACGCGACTTCCATCATATTGGCAACTCTGCCCTGGAGATTGACACGATCAATTCCTTCGAGGCTTCTGCTGAAGCTGATCGCTTTTCCATTACCAGGTTGATATTCCGTGATGACAAGCGTTTCATTGAAGCAGCACGGCTACTCAACCAGTCCAAAGCCCCCGCAGCTGAATGCATCCCAGAGCCTGAATGGTCTGATTCTGACCTGCTAGAGGCGCAGAAAGAAGTGGTGCAACTCGTGACTCTGCGAACTCTTTCAATTCCTACCGGCCGGGCTATGTTGGCTTTCAGCGGACGTCTTCCTCTTCTAACAGAAAAGCTCCCCATTCCGTCTTTTTCATTGCAGTGCGTGATGAAACCTTCAAATGTGACCATCAGTGCGGATCGAGCTTCGTTCAGCGAGGAGAAGGTCTGCTGGGCGTTCTTTCACAATGGTGTCTCCACCGGTCTTGCCATTTCCAGAAATTCGAAGGGGATTGATACTTCATGGATCCTCTTTAACAAGCCTCAGGACTTGACAAATCGACACGCAGGATTCTTGCTCGCATTGGGACTTAATGGACATCTCAAGTCGCTAGCCAAGTGGGTTGCCTTTAAATATCTCACTCCCAAGCATACCATGACATCCATTGGTTTATTACTTGGTCTATCCGCCTCCTATTTGGGCACCATGGACACACTGATTACTCGACTCCTGTCTGTGCACGTAACACGAATGCTTCCTCTCGGAGCAGCCGAGCTTAATCTGTCGCCACTTACCCAGACAGCAGGGATTATGGGAATTGGCCTTCTTTACTGCAATTCTCAACACCGGCGAATGAGTGAGGTGATGCTGTCGGAGATCGAAAACGCAGAGTCGGAGGAAAGCTCCACGTCACACGATGATCTGCGTGATGAAGGATACCGTCTAGCTGCGGGATTCGCTCTTGGCTTTATCAATTTGGCCAAGGGGAAAGACCTTAAAGGTATGCGTGACATGCATATCGTGGAAAGACTACTTGCTGTAGCTGTGGGGACAAAAAACGTTGATCTCGCTCATATTCTCGACCGCGCTACAGCCGGGGCTACTATTGCTCTGGCGATCATTTTCATGAAGACAAATGATAAGACTCTTGCACAAAAGATCGACATACCAGATACCACTGTGCGTTTCGATTATGTACGACCCGACCTTTTCCTCCTCCGCACCCTAGCACGACACCTGATCATGTGGGACAGCATTCGGCCCTGCGACGAGTGGTTTACACGGAGCCTTCCGTCTGTATATCGCGGTCGATATCGCCTGACTGGGGTACGTCGACTGAAAAGTGATGATATGCCGTTCTTCAATATCATTGCTGGTCTCTGTTTTACGCTAGGTCTCCGATACGCTGGTTCCGCCAAACAAGACGTTCGTGACATTCTTCTCTCATATCTCGATCAGTTCATCCGCATTTCGCGGCTCCCCGCTGTCAACTACGACGGAAAATTGGCACGTAACTCGGTTCGTCACTGCCAGGATGTTGTTGCATTGTCCGCTGCGGCGGTTATGGCAGGAACAGGAGATCTGCCTCTATTCCGCCGCCTACGATCTCTTCACGGGCGTGTTGACCCCGACACCCCTTACGGCAGCCACATGGCCTCCCATATGGCTATTGGACTGCTATTCCTGGGAGGGGGCAGCTATACGCTAGGCACATCAGACCTTGCGATTGCATCCTTGATCTGCTCCCTGTACCCTATCTTCCCTACGACGGTCCTTGACAACAAATGTCACCTGCAAGCCTTCCGTCATCTGTGGGTTCTCGCCGCGGAGCCACGCTGCCTTGTGCCGCGCGACTTGGACTCCCGACGACCAGTCTCCATCCCAATCACGGTAACAAGCCCCAGCGGTGACACTCGAATGTTCAACGCGCCTTGCCTCCTCCCAGACCTAAATTACATTGCGAAGGTCGAAGTCCGTAGCCCGGACTACTGGCCACTAGTCCTAGACTTTGCGCACCATCCCGGAATCCGCGAAAAATTCCGCCGAGGCGACCAATCCGTCTTCTTGCGCCGAAAGGCAACGTACAACCCAACCGGCACGTCAGTATTCGGATCCACGCTTGCAGGCCTCAGCGACGCACAAGATATCCTCCCCTCCTCATCCCCTCTAGCCTCCAACCAGGGCAAGGGTCTCCCCCCCGCAGCTCTACCAAACATCACGACTCTCCTCTCCACCACCAAAGCCCATACCCGCACCCTGAAATCCGCCGCCCAAAGTGTCTGGGACTGGATCTTCCAGCTTGACTCCTTCCAGGGTCTTCTCGACGCGCGCGAGAAGTCTCTCATCCTCCCGTCCACCGTCCCCGGAAGACCGCGCCCCTTCATCGCATCGCACGACGCGCCCTGGCTCCGCCAGTCCGCGGTCGACAGCAAACTTGTCATCGAGCGTACCGTGCAAAACATCATCCAGGCTGCCACGGGACGCGGCGCAGACCCCGACGAAGTCCGTACCCGACTATGGCAGCTCCGGTTGCTTTTTAGTTGGGTTGAATCGGGTTCGTATCTGCAGGGTGGGGGTGAGGATGCCGAACGACAGGAGGGAGAATCTACGTCATCGAATGGATTGTGGCTGCGTCGGGATTATATTGAGGAGACGCGATGGAAGATATGGGGACTGCAGATTGGGGAGGAGGGATAGCGAGAGAGACAGAAAGGAAGGAAAGGGGCGGTTAGAGAAAGATGAATAACATGTCTAGGCTATAACTCTACCGGAGTTTGGGTTGATTCAGAAATGAAAGGAGTGGTTTTCTTATATTGTGTGTGTATGTATGTATGCTATTGTTATATTTTATGATGCGTAGAGGGGCGTGCATATTTGAGACAAGTTACAATATGTTCACAGTATATTCCATCATAATTCATAATAATTATTATCTTCATATAGCCGGACCATTATATAGATGCGCCTGAGAACTCCTGGTGTGCAAAGAAAAGAAAAGACCACTTTTGGCCCCAGTAAAGATAAATCAAGAAGAACTACTCGGATCGATGCGCTCCCGGCTTCAGGACCCCCCGATCTCCGCCGCCACCCATCTGCCATAACCAGACGCCCTCCACAGCCCACGCAGCAGCGCTGGCATGACGTCCGACGCCACCTTTCTTCATCATGGTCGAATCCTGTTCGCTTGGCTCTGCGGCTGTAGAATCCTGGTCTCCACGCCGAGACGACGAGGAGGAGGACATGGACGCATCGGCTTCCTCTAACATACCGGCCACCACACCCTCGCGTTCAATAACCGACCATAATCCTTGGACAAGGGTGCTACCGCGTTCCCCAAATTGGCCCTTTCCCAGGCGAAACAAAATGCGGCCGAGGACCTGCCAGGCAATGCAACGTTGCGCGGGGAAAGAAGAGCGGCTGAGTATGGCGAGCTCTGGGATAGTGTATCCGGCGGCGTGGGGGTCCTTCCCGTGATGATGTAGGCCCATGGTTGTAGGGAGAGAAAGCGATGTAGAGGGCGATAATATAGCGCCTATCAGAGAGAATCGTAGAGACGAGGGATGGACAGCTTCGGCGCTGCTTCCGGGATGATACGCGGAGGAGGGAGGGGCACCAGGGGCATCGGGATCGGACGGAGGCGGTTGGAGCCACGAGAGAGCAGAAGGATCATGGGAGATGTCCGGGAAGTAATGTGCTTGAAGATCGGAGAGAAACGACGGCGATGAGGGGTCTAGTGTGGGCATGACGGTAGCTCGAGGCGGAGGAGTGGGAAAATGCACGGAGCCCGAGAGAGGAAATTCGGCTGCAGGAAGGAGGTCTTCGGGGATTTTGGAGGGTGCAGCATCATCGAGATGAGAAGAGTCTTTCGATTTCGAGATGGATTTTGCGACAGGCTTTGCGGCAGGTTTTGTGACAGGCTCTGGGGGTGGGAGGGGATCTGCAGCATCAGAAGTGGCATTCCCTTCCCCAGGTTGGATTTCGGACGATGAGGAAGGATCAGGATTGTCGTCGTCAATACGAGCCCTACGGAGGAATCTCTCGAGTAAAGATGGATCAAGGGACGATATCAATTCCTCTCGTTCTTGTTGGATCTGTGCGTCGGACATGGATCCCAGCTGCTGGCGATTTTGTTCCTGGATTTGTTTCTTCTCATCCTCGACGCTAGACGTCGTCACCTGCGTGGATGCAGTGGCGGCTGATGTGGATTTCGCCTGTCGCTGTTTGAATGCGGACAGCTTGGTCCGCTGACGATGGGCTGGGAAACCTGTCGTTGACTTGAGCGTGGGAGGGGCCGGAGGAGCAGCGGGAGAGCGTTCCTGGATCTCACCGATAACGCCAGGGATGTTGAGGGTCGAGGAAGGAATCCGCGACTGATCTTCGGGATCAGAGTCCAAATCGACAACAAAACGCTCTCCACGGAAGGCCATGATGGAGAGGGGGAAGAATAAGATAGAGTGAATGAATGTTGGACCTTTTTGCAGCCATGAAGGAATTAAGTGGGATGTGCCAAATCGGGAAGGCGGCGATGCTGAGTCAGCAATGCGGCTCAAAAGCTAAAAACACGTGCTAGTCCAGAGACGGGATAGTGTGGTCATGTGATGTGTATTCCCAGAAAGGAAAAGCGTCGGGATCATCTGATCTTCCATGAAGAAAGTCGGAAATGCTTCATTGATCGGGCTTTTGATAGTTGATATCAGCCATTCTTGGGGAAATGTGCAGGGGATTTGGGTCCAGAGTAGATTGTAGTTCTGTCTTGAATCTCACGGCCTCGGAAGTTGTCTGTGAGACGAAGAATGTCGCCGATTATCAATCTGTTTTACTGCCCTCTTTTCCCTGTACTATAGGACGATATCCGATATAATGCCTTCATTTCGGCTCTTTTCAAGGCGCGTCAGTTTCCAATATCAACCCATTTCTGTCGGTCATTGGGTCCTTCTTCAGTTCATCCTCTACTTCTGCTTCCCTGCCTGCATTCATTCCCCTACTTTCCCCTTCTTCCTGGGCCTCCTCATCCCTTTTGTCTTCCTCCTGCTCGTCTGCTACTAAATTCCCCTTTTTAACCTGCTTTTCTCCATCGGTGTTTCTTCTCCGTCTTGCTTCTTCTTCATCTTCTTCCCCTGTTCTTTCCTCCTCCTCGTCCTTCTTCATCCTCGCCATCGCCCATCGTCCATTTCCACCCTCTAACACAAACACCCTTTCTTCTCGCCATCCGTTCGTTTTTACATCCCCGCTTTGAGAATTGAACTTGGGAGATCCCCCCCCCATCATCTTACACTGCCACCATATCGAACTCCTCCTTCCGCGTCCTCTCTCCCTCGATTTCGCTCCATGAACCACCTCTGATCGACTTCAGCCATCATGTCAACTGAGCCGCCCGCCTGGCCGGCTCAGGACGAACACGAGTCGCGATCTCCCGCCGGAACCCGTCCCCGACGGTCGCGTCGGAAGAAGGACGACGACATTGACGTCGATCGCAAAGAAAACACCAAACTCTCCAAACCAAAGGATAAGGATAAGGACAAGGACAAAGAGAATCAGAAGGAAAATTTGGACAACAACTCCGAACCCAAGGAGAAAGAAACGAAACGGGCCAGTCGACGTCAGCGGGATAAATCCTCCTCCACGTCAAACAACACGACTCAATCGACCACCTCACATCCTCGCAAGAAGCCCAAGCTGGAACCGTCGCCGCCGGATCAAAGCCCCATACTTGCTCCGGCCATAGCTGCTGCTCCAGCAGTCTCAACAGCTCCAGCTTCTACGCCAATATCCACCCCCGTGCCAGCTCATGTTGCTCCTGTTTCTGCTCCTGCGCCCAGTCCTCCGACACGTTCGCCCCCAGAGCTAGCAGGAAATCCACAGCCTCCCCCCCAATCCCTGATGCAGCAGTCCCGATCGCTCCATACGTCCTCGCCGCTACTCTCTTCGTCCCATCCCACTCCTCCTCCCCCACCAGCTCCCTACCCGGCGATGCTTTCGTCGGCGCCTCCCCGACCCCAATCCCAACCATTGGCCCCTCCGCCTCAGAGGACCAGTGGCCAGAACTTTGACCCCATACGATCTGCTTTCGATACGACCTCATCGGCTCCCGCTCCAAGTACCGCCCCGGTTTCCGCTGCGTTTAGTCCGCCCCCGCGCCCAATCTCTCCTCGGCCACCATACCGCGCCAGCGCCTCCCCCGCTATATCTAGCATAATTGATCCTCCGCAGAACACATCGCCTCCTCTCTATGCTCCCCGCCCGTATGGATCCCCTGGTCGCGTTGCGCCGGGCTACTCGCCGACCCCCATGGCATCTACAATTGCACCCGCAGCCACTCAGCCCCCGCTCCAACACCCTCAAGTACAGACACCATCGCCATATGGACCTCCCCCGCAGGCCAAACCCTCCCAGGAATCTCACACTCCTGGTCGATTAACCCCATCGCAACCTCCTGCGCCGGCGCCAGTGCTGGAACCCAAGCCGTCTCCGCCTGCAATCCAGAACCCTTCGTCGCCAGGGCCCACACCTATGGAAGTAGATAGCGAGCCAGCCCCAACCACCACCAAAGCGCCCAAAAAGGAAGCAAAGCCTCCTGCAACAGCGCCTTCCTCGAATGCGCCGTCTCCAAAACCTTCACGACCGGCGAAGGAGGCGCCTCTTCCGTTGCCTCAAGGCTCTGGACTCATTTCCAATGCGTTGTTTGGTGGTGTGGATGATAGCGCTTCGGATACCTCCGCCCGCCGCACGCCAAATATCATCGTGCACATCCCCCTCAAAGGACACGCAAATCAAATCGTGAATTTTGCGCGTTTGGCGGAGGAACAGTATGGGTTTGCTGCCCTGCACCCAAGGCTAGCCGCTCATAAAGAACGCCTGGCTCGAGTGGCGGCTGCAGGCGCTGCTCTCGAGCGAAGTGATCGATCCGGCCGGGGTCTTTCCGCTGGCGAAAGCGCAGACGAGGACCTCAGTCTCGATGCTGACCGGGATAGCGATCTCGATGGGGAGGGCGCAATGAGTGCAGCACCCGCGCCAACCAGTGAGCCGGCGGATGGTAAGAAGAAGCGTCGCAAGAAGAAAATGGAGGAATACGATCGAGATGATCCGTTCGTGGACGATAGTGAGATGGTCTGGCAGGAACAGGCCGCAGCTAGCAAAGACGGGTTTTTTGTATACAGCGGTCCCTTGGTCGCTGAAGGTGAAAAGGTGCAGGTCGAAAGGTGTGTTTTTTTTTTGTTTTTTTTTTCTTTCTTTCCTCCTTTCTTTCTTTTGGCCACGGCCGACATGCTAACATCTGTCCTCAGAGCGGACGGCACGATCAAACGGGGTCGTGGTCGTGGACGCGGTGGCCGCAACCGAGCTCCGCCAACGGCTCACCATCAGGTACCTCTAGCAGCGGCGGTCCCTATCTCACAGGAAACGGGTCTTCCCATCCGTGGTCCTGGTTCAAGGGGCGGCAATATCAATCGCCGACCCCGCGTGAGCAAGAAGGCGGAGCAAGACAAGCCTGGTGCATCACCATCGGCATCACAAGGACGAGGGGGAAGTATCGCTGCTCGTGGAGGCTCGACCAGCCATCGCGGAGGCAAAGCCCCAATGGTAGAATTAGCACCACGACCAAATCTCGCTCCAGCTCCACCAGTCCCGAGTCCAGGTCCCAGCCCGGAGGTTGCCACGAAATAATCTCTTGCATTTTCTTACTCCATTGTCTTTTTTCTCTCTTTGTTTTTTTTCTCCCCTTTTGTAACACAGCCTGGTTGCTTCCCCCAGAGACAATCTGGGGTTGGGAGGGAGGCTGGGTGTGTTGATTTTATTCATGAAGCTTGTGTACTGTTCCAGATCATCTACGTATCTGTATGGATCTGACGGGATCGTGCATGAAATGGTGTATTGTTTTAACTCAATTGCGTTTGTCGGTTATCATATTAGGCCATGTTTCAATGGCTAGGTAGAATTGGACAACGGTCTTACGTTTCTACTACCCACGTAGCTCACAATAGTAGTATGTATTCTAACTGTACCCAGAAAGGGGGGGGGGGGTTGAGATTTCAGTGTTTACAGCCAAACGGAAGACAAGATACATAGCATCAACTGCATTTGATTCAAGAGCGGTGCTCCCCTGCAAGTTCCACCGATGGTCCCGTTCGGCGTAAGATCAAGTACAGCCCGGAGCGAAGCGCTTGAAGTTCGAGTAATAAGGGTTGCGCGGGTCATTCAGCAGCATGGTCCTCGGATAGGACAACCTGTTCTCATACAAATGGCGGATCCCCTGGACATCCTGGGCGGACGGCACAACGTTGTCCTCGAGCACCTGTTGTCCATGGCGGCGCATGAGCACATAGGCGTCTTCGGCGTTGGCGCCAATCTTGGAGCTATACAGCATAATCGAGTCCCAATCGACGTCTTCGTCGCGGGCATAGCTGGCCCAGATCGAATGGCCCCAGGGCAGCGGGAGGAACTCGGTCGAGGGGACACCGGCATGCACGGCCGTCATCCAATCCACGCAGACACCCCGGGCCCCCCAGATCTCGTCCCGCGTCAGGCCCCGGGTCGCCGCGGCGAACCCCTGCATGTTCTCGCACTGGAACACGAACACGCGCTGCTGGCCGTCGGCGGCCCAGAAGGCCTTGTTCTGGTGCTCGTGGTACAGGCCCCAGGCGTGCCCGAGCTCGTGCGCGATGTTGCCGATGTGCTCCTGCAGCCCCATCGCCGGGAGGAGGTCGAGGTCCGATTGCGGGCCCGGCGAGCCTGGGCCCGGCACGTTCATGCCGATGGATGTGGCCAGTCGGCCGGGCGTGTGTGTGACCCTGAGCGTCGTCGGCCGGTTGTACTCGCAGTAATGCGGCGGCGCTATCTCGACCCGGTATGCGCGCGGCAGGCCGGCGGCGTACCAGAGTTCCATGGCCGCGGTGACATAGGGACCCAGGTACCGCTCGGAGTTGGCGTCTTCGTAGCAGATGGGGATCATTTTGTCGGGCCACGGAACCATGAAGCCCATTGTTGGGTCGAAGTGGAACCAGTTTGCGTGCACCAGGTTGGACAGACGGCGGGACGGTTCCCAGAAGCGGTTGCCGGCGTGGACGAAGGAGTGGATGAGGATCAGGAAGGGTAGGAAGATCCGGAGCAAGGACATTGTGCCAGTGAGTCTGCAGGAGGGGAGATTGAGTTGTTGTTGTTGTTGTTGCTGCTGTTGCTGTTGCTAGATTGTTAGGGTTTGGTGCGGTATAAGACCACAAGAGGAGTAACTAGTAAGTAATATTTCAGGTGGAGGGTAGCCTAGGAGTGAGTGAATATAGCAAGAAGGCAGGGAATTAGAAAGGAAGTGTCTTTCACTCTCTTCTACTCCCTGTGAAGCTATCCGCAAATTCACGCACAGGTAAATGCGATACACAATGAATACAACGCAAGTGAATGCGATGCAAGATGAATGCGATGCAAGATGAATGCGATGCAAGATGAATGCAATGCAAGATGAATGTGTTTTCTATACTCTTTTTTTCCTTTTAGCATCTTCCAAAGCCAGGATAGGATGTATTCTTCTTTTCTTCTTCATTTCTCCCCTCATCAGCTATCACGAACTCTACCCACCCTTCCAGCAAGATGAAACTCACCATCCCCCTCCTGCTGCTCTTCCAGCTAATTGGCAACTGTTCCAGTTCTGCGCTTGAAAGCCGGCAGGTTCTCACTAACGCAGACGATGACTCTTCCTGTACGCCCTCGAAGTCCTGCAAGATCGGATGCTGCGGGCCCATGTAAAGTCCTCTGCCCAGCTTGCATATCAGCCCTAACAGCATCTAGAGACACAACCACCGGGAAAGGCTTCTGCGGGTTTGGACCTGACTTTTGCGGCACTGCCTGCACTTCGGACTGTGACCGAAAGAGCGAATGTGATCCTGGCTGGGGAGCCCAGTGGTCAAATGCATCGGCTTGTCCGCTGAACGTGTGCTGCAGCGCGTTTGGATTCTGCGGTACCTTGACCTTACCCTGTCTATCATTTAGATGTAATGGACTGACCAGGTCCAGGTACGACGGACGATTTCTGCAACGGCAAGAAGGTGATATCCCCCGAGTGCAGTGGAACCAGCGCCCACGGCCGAATCATCGGATACTACGAAGGATGGAACACTGACCGTCCGTGTGGAGGTATATATATACCTTCTTCTTTATGCACTCATCAGCCATGGCTAAGAGAATCAACCCCCACCCACCACAGCAATGCAACCCCAGGACATCCCGCTCGGGTACTACACGCACATCTACTTCGCGTTTGCCCTAATCAACCCCACGACCTTCCGCATCGCGCCCATGGACGCAAAGACCGCCTCGCGCTACCGAGCCGTCACAGCCCTGAAAGCCCGGCAGCCCTCGCTGCAGGTCTGGATCGCCATCGGCGGCTGGGCGATGAACGACCCGGGCCCGACGCAGCGCACGTTCTCGGACCTGGCCGCCTCCGAGCAGGCGCAGGACGCGTTCTTCGAGTCCCTGAGCAGCTTTATGCAGAACAACGGCTTTGACGGCGTGGACCTCGACTGGGAGTATCCTGTTGCAGACGACCGGGGCGGGCAGCCCGCGGACTTTGACAATTTCGTGACGCTGTTGAGGCGGTTGCGGGAGAAGTTGAATCAATCGGGGAGTCGGGTCGGGATATCAATTACACTGGTATGTTTCCCTCCATATACACACACACACACACACACACACACACATATATATATATATATATATATATATATATACAGCAGAGCTAACAAACCCAGCCCGCCTCATACTGGTACCTCCGCGGCTTCAACCTCGTAGCGCTCGAGCCGTACGTTGATTTCCTCAACATCATGACCTACGATATCCGTACGCTTGCCTTCTTCTTCTCTCCCCTCTCCCCTCTCCCCTTTACAAAGCAAAGCAAAGCAAAGCAAAGCAAAGCAAAGCTAATGATAGTTTAAAAAGATGGAACCTGGGACGCCCCCATCCCATCGCTCGGCCCGCACGCCCTGGCGCACACCAACCTGACGGAAATCAACCAGGCCCTGGAACTCCTGTGGCGCAACAACATCAACCCGCACCGCATCAACCTGGGGCTCGCCTTCTACGGCCGCAGCTTCACCCTGGAAGACCCGCAGTGCACGCAGCCCGGATGCCGCTACAGGGACGCCGGCCGCGCGGGGCCCTGCACCAACACCGCCGGCGTGCTCTCGGCCACCGAGATCCAGGGCATCCTGGCGAGCGGCGGCGGGGGAGGGGGGGGAATGCGCGCGCGACAGACCCTGGATGTTGCGGCGGCCGTGCAGATCGTGGTGTGGGACCAGGACCAGTGGGTGAGTTGGGACGACGAGGTGACGCTGGGCTTGAAGGTGGAGTTTGCGAATCGCCGGTGTCTCGGGGGGACGATGGTGTGGGCGGTGGATTTGGATGCGGATGGCACGTTGATTAATGGGTTGGGCAGGCGGATGGGGAAGAAGAAGGAGGAGGTGGTGCTGTTGCCTGGGGGGGGGTGGATGGGGACGGATTTGGGGACGGGGGGGAGGAATGGGACGACTGTGTAGTTTTTCTTCTATCTTGACGGCTTGACGGCTTGACGGCTTCAACAGGGTTGTTTTCCGGTTTGCCTTTACAAAGGCGAATAATATCACCCATTTGTTATGTATCCGATCAGTACAGGGAAAGCAATAGTGTAGATGAGAGTACTGTAGATGAGAGTACCCTCTGGACTGCATTCAATCGTATCTATGTACTCCGTACTAAGCATCATTCCCTCCACACCCATCCGTAAACCCAGCACACCCCTCGACCACCTTGTTGTTCTTGAAACATCGAGACCGCGTGAAGATCGGCGTGTTAAAGGTCGCCTTCCACTCCATGCCATTCTTGTCCGGTTGGTCCAAGTAGTGGAACTTGAACTTCGTCACCCCCAACCCGACACACCCAATCGTACTCGGGAGCAGCGTCTTCCGGCCATGGTCCCAGCCGGCCCAGCCGGCGCCGTAAATCTCGTACTTCGTGTAAGCGACCTTGTACCAGCCCCTGCAGCTGCCATACGGTTTGCGGATCACGGGCCACGGCCGCTCTTTGCCCACCATGGAGAGCTCGTAGGTATACGCGCCCTTGACGTAGCGCCCGCCCAGCTTGAAGTTCATAGGGTTCTCCCAGTAGCGGAGAGGCGAGCAACTCCCGATGATCGTCCGGAACGCATCGAGACATTCCTCCTCGACATAGCGATTGGCGCCCCCCGCGAGCGAAATCCGGAACTTGTGGGCGTCCGGGGTATCCTCGTAGAAAGTGCGTTCGTCCGTCCAGTCGCGGAACCCGCTCTCGGGGGGCCGCACTTGCTTGCAATACTCCACGTAAGTTTGGAGGAGGACATCCGGGTGCACATACCGCTTGTTCGCGTCGTCGCCGGTCCAGCACCGGAACTCGTCGGTCCTTTCGCAGATGGGGTGGCTGGCGCCCAGCAAGGCCGCGCGTTCCGCGATCACGGCTTCGAGGACAAACGAAGCCATCGTTTGGTGGCCGAGCTCGTTGGGGTGGAAGAATTTGCCCCAGCGGTCTGGGAGCCCGTAGCCGAAGGTCCGGTCCGACCGACTGTCACCGGGGCATTGGGCCGGGCTGGGGCCTGGCGAGGGATCCCGGGGGTCGAGGTCGTGCAGGATGAGCGCGGCCGGGTTGGCGCTTTTGTAAAGGAGCGTATCGTAGAGGTTGGGGACGGTGGCATCGAGTTCGGCTGGTGTGAGCGGGCGCGGGGAGATTCCCGTGTCTTCTTCTCCGTCATCCTCTCGGTCGACGGGGATGATATCCAGGCCTGCTGCAGACTCAAGCCTCAGGAGAGCCTCGGAGCTGTTATCTCGTTTCTTGAGACCGTCATGGCCGTAGGAACGACGACGGACATCAGGACGGAAGAAGTGCAGGCTCGGTTGCTTGGGATCTGGATATTCGCCCGTGGTACCAGGGACGCAGAACTGTCCCAGAACCCCCTTGCGTGGCCAGGGATCCCAGTCCGCGGCGATAATACGGTACTTGATGTTCCTGTCGCTGCGGAACTCATCGACGACTTGCCGGATGGCCTTGTTGATATTCAGAACGAGGGTGTTGAACTTCTGGCGCCGCTCGACAGTCAGCTTGAGGACCTCGGCGGGCCAGAACGAAGGGAACGCCCAGTTCTGGTTGTCGACGCATTCCTTGTTACTCGTTGTATCGAAGAACTGCGCGTACAACGTGTACACGACGATGCCGTCTCTTCTCACTTTGTTGTTGAGGGCCTGGAGAACCTGCCGGAGGTTAGGCTTGAGGATCGTGTCGATATTCTTTTGAGCTTGGTTGAGGACGTCCTGGCATTTGCCTTCGCCTCGGAAGGGGAGAAAGATGCAGGTGAGGATGATGTCCGCCTGTCGTTTACCTCGCAGTGAGCTTTCTTTTTTGTATTCCAGATGGTTGGAGCAAGACAGATAGACATACCAAACAAAGATCATTGCCTCCCGCTGTCATAACAACCAAATCCATTTCCCCCTGCAGTCCCAGCACCTGCTCCCAGATTCCAGGGGTACGATCCCCGCTGCAAGCGGCATAGTTGAATTGCTTGACAGAGGGACCAAATTCGCGTTCCAGAAGAGCAGGGTAGGACCGGTCATACCGCGAACACTTGCGGTCGTTCTTGTCGCTGCTGTAGAGATTACCTGCGCCAATACCAGCCGTGAAACTGTCGCCAATTGCGGCCCAGCTGTGAATCCACGAGAAGTCGGTCGGGAGCATAGTTCCCGCACGAGGGGCAAGAAGAGAGAGAGAAGTGTTCAAGGGAGAAACTTGGATGTCGGGTTCTTTGGGTTGGGGGATCGTGTAGCCTATGCCAGGGACGACGAGGAGAGCGAGGAGAGCCAAAAGAAAGGCCATATTGACTCGATCTAGGCAGAGAGTTGGAGATGTAGAGAAAGAGGAAAACATGGACAAAGGGAAAGGGTGCATTTCAAGAGGTTACGCCCCATGTCCCGGGGGGGCATCGCATTCACGCGCAAATTCACTTGATATTTCCCTGGCATTTTCACTACATTAGCTCAAGTGCCCACAGCCTTGTGACAAAGGGTATAGCAATCACTGCTTACCATCATTTTCACGTACAGTCCACAATCTTGCTGTTGTAGAGGCCATTTGTCAAAGAGTCTGATTCTAGCCAGGAATCTAAGCAGAAGAGAGGGGGATAAATGTTCATAATTCATTGATCATCTTAAAACCTTTCGTACAAAAGTATATAATGCTGGAACTGATGCATGACAGCTAATTCGCCTTTCGATTCTCATAGTGCCCCCGAAGGTCATCGACCTCTTTCTGTAGACGCGACAAATCCGCCAGAATATCCTTCGCATTCGAGGGATGCGGAACAAAATTCTCCACGCCATCGGCACGTTGCTCGGAGCGTATGCTAGCAGGACGGGTACTTTCATTGCTGTGGTTACTGGTGCCTCTGGTACGGCGTGGAGGCGGAGGGGGTGGCAGTGGGTTGTTGTTGGCTAATGACGCTCGCTTGGATACCAGTCGAGGGCTTGCCAGGCTGGGGGAGCCCTCGGTGGATGGGATCGAGGGCGTAGCAATCTCAGAGCGCACCGTGGAGGTCGAGCTAGACTCCTCGGGGAATGTTGCATCCAGCCTAGACTCTCGACTCCGCGAGGGAGTCAATGGTCTCAGGCGCGGACTTGGCGGGGTTGATACGGTAGCTTCCGCCTGGACAGGTGGTGCCGCAAGCTGAGACGAGATGGGTTTCGCAAGGGTGGACTTGGATCTTCGCATCTGGCTATGTCGTCGACTCAGCGGGGGGGTCGGAGGGCGTTTATACTGCGACTGACTCCGCCGGAGAGCATCCGTCGAGGGGACGACGACAGCTTGGCTCGTTGCCAGGCAGGAGAAGTCCTCCAGGCTCGAGTGCGATCCTTGACGTGCAAGGGACGGCCCTGGGGAGGAGGAGGAGGAGGAGGAGGAGGCATGGTAGTATGAGGCACGGTTTACAACCCGGCCCGGCGTCGTTTGCGAGGTGGGAAGCCCTCTGCTCGAATTGAGACTAATCAATTTCCCATGATGGCTTTTGGGAGGAGGCGGTGGTACGCGGTCTCTGTTCCCGGAGCGACTGGTCAGAGCTTTGGGGTCGAGGTTAGATGCTAAGCAGGACAGTGGACGAGGTCCGTCAGCAGCGATACTATCGGCGTCGTCCGCGGCGACGGCTGCGGTCCCTGTACTCTCAGGCAATCCCTCGGGATCGCTTATTCTCGGTGGTCGATCCCAAGGACTCGAGGATGAAACAGAAGGTGGAGTAACGCGGCGGTGGGATTCGCGCGGATGGCGATCGTCACTCAGGGGAGCTGTCATCGAATGCTGGGACGGGAGTGGTCCTCGTTCCCCGTCCTCATCACTCAACTCAGAGCCGTACTGGAAGGGATCCGAGGAAGATTGATCGTCCGATGTCACGGAGCCATCGATAGCAGGCGGCGGGGTGCAGCGCCGCGCTGGCTGGGACGCCACCGCTGGAACCGAAGGAGGAGCGAAGAAAATGGGATCGGGGGCGATCGAAGGAGCAGACGCGGGCTGGGGATAAGGATGCTGCTGGTCTTGATGACCGGGCGGATCTGCAATTGTCAGTCGGGACGGTCATCCAAGCAGCTCCCGGAAGCGGCGGGGATACACTCACTCTCTGGTTTCTTAGGGCGGAAAGGATTTAATCCAGACATCGCAGAGAGAAGGGACAACAGCGAGCATCAGACAGAGCAGGACAAAGATACTGGGATAGGGAAAAGAAGAGAGGGGGGGAATGAAGCTGAGAGGAATCGAGCTGCGAGCATAAACAAAAAGGCGTCGTCGAATGCTGACGGCGTTCCGGAAAGCGCAACGGCCGGTTCATGGATAATAGGAACCCTTTCCCTTTCCCTTTTTTTTTTTGTTTTTTTATGGTTTAGATCTGTTGCTGCAATCTGCCTGGATTTCCGATATAATAATACTGCTAATGACGATGGAAGTGTAGGGATATATATGGTACAGAGAGAATCAAAAGAACCCAAAACACGATCCCAACGTAAATAATCAAATCAATCCCCAGAATCCTCCCATCCAAGAAACACCGAATAAATAATATAGAGAGCTCAAAAAAAAAAAAGAGAACCAGGTAAAATGCTCCTCACAGGATTCCTCCCTTTACGGTCCAATGCCCGAGAAACAAAAATAAGGGTATCAGCTCGCCGGTTTATCGAGTGGTTTCAAGACGAAAAAGGGGAAAAAAAAATGAAGAGGGAGGGCGGCTGGCTCATTAAGTTTCTTGATAGACATGCCATTCGTTCTCTGCGCCAAAGAATGCCTGGGCGAGGTTTTTCCCGCTGTGGGTGGGTTGACTGAAGGCCACCTGTTCCTTGGGGATTTCCATGCCGTAGATGAAGTTGCTCACGACACAGTCCAGCAGATCCATGGCGATGCCCTTCCGTCGCGACGAGCCCGAGGTCCAGATGCGGGAAATTCCTACAATCGCCGCGTGGGTCGCGTCCCGGACGGTGACGGCGGAATCAGCGCCCTCCTCCTGCACCGATGCCCGGTCCACCGGTTGGGATTCCCAGATGCGCTCGGTCAGACACGCGCCCACACACCGACTATCCTTCATATGTAGAAACACCTTGTATCGATCCACCTTTTCTGTGGATCCGGCCTGGAGCAGATGCTGGGGGGTCTCCGTCTGACTCCAGAGCACCTCGTCTTCGATGACAGGGGAGGAAAGCTCCTTGCTGATGACCTCCAGGACCTTCTTCGCCTGGTTCTTGGCGGTCGGAGACGCCTTGCGATCCACAATCACCACGTATCCCTCGTCGAATCGCGTCGCTTCGTACACCCAGCGGGACGCATTTGCCTTCATAAAGGCCTTGCCCAGATCCACGCCGGTCAAGTTCATGTCGTGAAATTTCTTGTGCAGGGCGGCATCCTCGGCATTTGAGGGGACGTATTCCATGCCACAGGTGGCACAGGTCTTGCGGACTTCGTGGCCCAAATCCAGCTGCATCTGCTTCAAGGTCGGTTGCGTCCCCACTTTTTTCGTGGGCGGGTCGAGGGAGGCGCGGACGCTGTTGGAATTCACCTCGGAGAGCGGCGAGCCATTGGTGGAGGAGGAGGAGGTGGTCGTGGCGTGTTTGCGTTTGAGAAAGGAAAAGGTGGGTTTGCGAGTGTTTTGCGGCGGGGGGCTCAGCCGCGGTGGCGGGGAGGAGGGAGGCGTCGAGAGATCATCATCCTGTGTTCCCTCTGAGAGAAGGACGGAGTTGCGACGCGACGGACTGGATCGTACGGCTAGGGACGACTCGCGGATGGCATATTGCAGGCTATTTTCCGCGTCGTCGGACTCGGGATCGGACAGAACGCGTCGTTTTTTGGCAGCTGGGCGCTGGTCGTCATCGTAGACGCGCCAGGGGGATCGGCCGTACGTTTTCATCATGAGACCTCTGATCTTGTTAGCACGAAGAAATCCAACCCGGGGGGGGAGGGGGAGAGATACCGCTTGAATGAATTTGTTACAGTCCACGGCATATCCCTTTTTTTATCTGGAGGAGCTTAAAACATGAGGCGGATGGCGCATGGGGAGCAGGGTGGTAGACGAGCAGGGAGGAAGGGGGATCAGGAGCAGTTATACGTTCGAAGAGGGAGGTTATTTGATAGATTCGTCGTCGATTGTTCATTCATGAGTTGGGATGGGATTCTTTTCAACGGAAGGCCTCGGCGATGATCGACGACGGGGTGACGGAACGCGTGCCCAACTAGCCTGATTTAGTCATATTACTTATATACATATACATATAGTTACAGAGTGCCTCGAGGTAAATTCATTGGATCATTCTATACATCGGATCTAGTGTATAGCTTTATATTATCTGTAGTTCCTAGTATTCAGAACCGAGTGAAAGAACCCCGATACCGAGAGAATACTCCGCCCAGGACCGAGTAACGGAGTTTTCTCGAGATACATTATGAAAAAGAAAGATTCCCTACTGAAGTAGGAGATTATTACTCCGGGAAGCGTAAGTCGTGACATTTCCTTTTCTGGGTGGGACCGGAGAAGCGATTTTTTCTTCTTCATCTCATCTTCTCTCTCTCAATCTCATCTTCTCTCTCTTCATCCTCGTCCGTCTCGCTGACTTTCATCCTCGTCTCCTATTCAATATCCCTTCTTCTGGTGCTCAACTCGTCTCCAGAAATTCTTCTCTATTGATTGAAAAAAAAAAAAAAAAAAAGAGAGAACCCTCAATCTCAGAATGTCCGACACTCATCAGGTTGCAGGAAAGAGAAAGAGAGCCAGTACGTACAAAACAAACGCCCAATAAAATCAACCCGATGGCAGCTAGTCGATGGTTTTTCTTCGCTGTCAGATTTTTCCCCTCTTCCCCTTCTTTTGTGGCTGCAAATTTAGAGCCGCTCGATCGTCGTCTCTAGTCCCACACTTTGTCCCTCCTCTCTCTCTCTCTCTCTCTCTCCCTCTCCCTTCCCCCTGATAACGTTCACCCTCACAATGGGTGCTGACCTCTCCGATCGTGTAGGGACTCAGTCTTGTCCTCCTCCCGAGCTGCCTCAGCTCGTGGCCGAACAACATACCCCCATCCCCCCCAGTGACAAGGAGACCAAGCGTTTGATTGTTGTGCTCTCCCACGCCAGTCTCGAGACATACCGCGCGTCCCACGGCGGTCGAAATGGCGCCGGTCGCGAGGAGAAGTACTCGCTCCTGAACAGCGATGAGCACATTGGGGTTATGCGCAAGATGAATCGAGACATCAGCGAGGCCCGTCCCGATATTACCCATCAGGTTTGAACCCCCTTTTCTCCGAAGCCATGATCCCAGACCCCGCTTCTTCGTTAACAGATCGCTTAGTGCTTGCTCACTCTTCTGGACTCCCCCATCAACAAAGCCGGCAAGCTCCAGATCTACATCCATACCGCCAAAGGCGTCCTGATTGAAGTGAACCCCACCGTTCGCATTCCTCGTACCTTCAAGCGATTCGCCGGTCTCATGGTGCAGCTGCTGCACCGTCTCTCCATTCGCTCCACCAACTCCCAAGAGAAGCTGCTCAAGGTGATCAAAAATCCCATCACCGACCATCTGCCTCCCAACTGCCGCAAGGTCACCCTCAGTTACGAGGCCCCCGTGGTGCGGACCAGGGACTACATCGAGTCTCTCGGGCCCAAGGAGAGTATCTGTATCTTCGTGGGAGCCATGGCCAAGGGTCACGATGACTTTGCCGATTCCTTCAAGGACGATACCATCAGTATCAGTAACTACAGTCTGAGTGCCAGTGTGGCGTGCAGCAAGTTCTGCCATGCCGCTGAAGAGGCGTGGGATATTCTGTGAGCTTGTTGCATGGCCGGTGCTCCTTCTTTCTTGGAAACTGTCTCCCGAGTTGATGATGTGACGATTTTTTTTTTCTTTGCCATCATACACCCAATGGCGCACAATCAACAGAGTTCGGGGCGGATGCCAAGGGTTGATGCACTCCTCTTTTGATCTTGCGCCACCGTCTTCCTGCCTCCGTGGAGTCGAGTCCCCAACTGTCGTTTGGGATATTACTGTCTTGTTTTTTGCCTTATTTGTTCCGTGCGCATCCGACAACCTTTGGCCCAGTCCATCACCGACAGCTCAAGATTACCGACTCTTAGTAACATCCCTTTGGCAGTTTTTTTTTTTTTTTTTTTTTTTTTTTAGCAGGGCGTAATTGGGCATTTTGAACCAGAAGCCTGAGTCCCGGAGCATGTCTGTCCCGGGTTGCTCTGCTACACGGGTTCTCCCTGGTTCATTTCTCCCGCGAGGCTCTACTCCTATCTGTCGAGTGATCCTTCCGGTTTAACCTCCGTTATATGAGAGGCCCTTCTTCTTTACCTTTTCCGCTCAGGCGACATCTCCACCAGTACATAGATAATTGACCGAAATAATGCCGGACGATTGTGAAGTGCCTCCTTCGTTTTGGAGTACATTACGTGGCTTATTGGTGGCTCTCGGTGGACTGTGATGATAGCCACAGTGAACAGCGTAATTACTTGGAGTAAGGAAATAGAATGTCCAAAAAAAGATATCGTTCATAATTAAAAGTCAAGTATATTGATCGCTAGGAGGGATTTGGACAAAGCAAAATAAAAAATGCCCGAGGCTGTTTTCAGGCATCACAGAATCACAAGTACCCCTCTCTCTCTCTTGCTCTCTTGCTCTCTTTCTCTCTTTCTTTCCCATCTCCTCGTTCCATCCATCTCACGGTTTCAGATTCTCTGACTCATTTCCTAGTGGAGGGTCCAGGTATCCAACACGGTATCCATTCGGGATCCATTCAACATACAGGAAAAACCCTCTAGTTCCGGAACACATGCTGATGTAAATAAGTACCGACTGAGTGGCCCCAGTGGCAGGAGCCGGAGGTCTCTTCGCCTTTTGACGTGGCACACAGACATCGCGTGCTCCATCTAGAGGTGGATCTCCCGCTTCACTTGGGCCATGGGCAGGATTCTCTGGGGTCTGTTGTTTCTCTCAAGGATACCCAAATCACTAGTGCTGATCAGGAGCCTAGGCTCTTGTCTCTGTCCGATCACTATCCAAGAGACGGTCACTACAATCTCTTTCTCAAAACTGTCTCTTGCATTCGCACAGGACCGCTGATGTCATGAACTCTCATAGGAGACAAGAGACAAGAGTGGATAAATCTTGAGCGGTCAGACGGCACCCAAGCGGCGACTAGCAGCAGCAGATGTGCCCAAAGCAGGAACGAAACAGGCCATCCGTCAGAGATGCGGGCAGCAAAAGCCCCTCCCTCCGTGGCCTCTCTCTCTTCTCCAAACACTTTTCTTTCAACGTTGCCTCCCGAGCTCCCTTTTATTCGTTGTTTCACCATGATTGGTGGCCGTGACGAGCATCGGGACCAATAAAAACTAGTCCAACTTAACCCAACCAAGTAATGCAGCCTCTTTGAAGCATCCGATTGCACCCTCGTTCATGCTTGCCCGAGAGAGCAGGAAAACGAAGGATGGCTACAAACTTAGAGCACATTGCGCGCGCTTTACGCCTGTTGGATCTCCACTGGGCAATCACCAATGCTCATCTTCATCTTTCGCCTTGATCTAGGTTCTTGCCTCACCTAAACTCTTACAGAGCGCCGAAATTGCTGTCGCTGGCGCTTCATTCATGCACGGTACCCACCCATTTCCTATTCCGACCCTCTGCCAGACTTCTCCACGATGACCTGGCTGGCCTTCGAGTTTCGACCCCTCGTAGCTAGCTTCACCGATAGATAATATCGTGGGTCTCTTTGACCTCTGGTGACTCCCGATAGGAGCGCAGCATCACCGGTGACTGCCTGCAGTGGCCGGACTCTGCTGGTGCCCTAGGTTAATGCACTACTACCTGCAACAACCAAGGCCACCACCCTCTCATACGAGGGGCATTCGGATTAGGATGATAATGTTATCATTCGTTAGCTTCTGGCAACGCTTTGGTTGGATATCAATTGGGCCCTTTGGGAAATCGGCCAAGACGAAGGGAGCTTTGCTATACCTTGAAATACCCCTCCTCTCTCCTGTTTCATTCATTCTCTCCCCCTTCCTTTATTTCCGCTTGAAGAAGACTTGAACTTTATTTATTGGACTCTTATCACCTTGCAATCAATAAATGAGCCGTGTGGGTGCCTTGCCTGTTACTTTGAAGCTACCACTGTGTCCCTGAGTTCCGATAGTCTCTCTCGCTGGAGATTCTTCACGGCGGGTCACCTCGTGCGTTTTGCAGACATGCCTTTGTCTCATCTAACCCTCACTGTCTCCAACCTTCCTACCTCCACATCATTCTTCCTCTCCTGTCTACAGCCCCTGGGATATAAGTTTATCGGGCGTCACGATGACTATATCGGGTTCGGACAAAACTCTGATGAACCGGCCGATTTTTGGATTACAGAGCAAAAACCAGGGTAGGTGACTGGCGTGATGCATGGATGCCCTTCATCGACAAATGCTAAACCATTTGCTCCCAGATTTCCCGCAGGGGCGGCGCATGTAGCGTTCCCGGCACCGTCGAAAGATGCCGTCAACTCCTTCTTCATCTGTGCCCTGAAGGCCGGGGGAAAGATCCATGGCGAGCCCAAGGTCCGCGACTCGCAATCCGGCTACTTTAGTGCTGCCATCATGGATATGGATGGAAACAGCATCGAGGCGGTATACCGCCCCAGTCCTAGCAGTGGTAGCAGCTCCGTCAGCTCCGTGGCCAGGTCAGTCGTCAGCAAGCCGGCGTTGGCCCTGCTCGAGAACGGCTCTGTGGTTTCGAAAGCCACATCCAGGGCCAGCACGATCAGGACGGAGAGCATTGCACCCCCCCGATCTGAAGCCAGATCCGAAGCCAGGTCTTATGCCTCCAAGGCAGTTACCGCGATAGATCGAGGAGCTCCTTCGGAACGAGGAACGGTGGTCTCCACGCGGGAAATCCAGCCGGCTCCCTCCCCGACATATGTTGTCCACCACACGACAAGCCACACCACGCAGCAGAGCGACGACGGCAAAACGGCCAAGACCATTGTCGGCACGCTTATTGGAGCCGCTGCAGGCGCCGCCCTGGCCTATGCCATGACCAAGAGTGACGCTGATACCAAAGAAACAACCCCCTCCACGCCAGGGTGGTCCGCGCAGGACTTCCGTCAGCTTATCTCCCCCTCCCAAGCCCCCTCCCAGATCCAGCAATCATTCCAGCAAATTCAACAACAACTCCAAGGCGCCCAAGGCTACCCTGCCCTCGAGCCGCCCCCGGCCAGAAGCACCTGCTCTCAAGCGGACTCGCGCCCTCACATTCCTCGCAGCGTGAGCTCCAAGAACCCTCACGCCAGCACCATCTACGAAGGCACCGAGTTCATCCCCCGCGGCGCAGGAGGTAGCGTATACTATGACGAGAATGGCCGCCGCGCCTCCGATGGAAGCATCTACAGCCCAAGCGAACTCCCCCTCCGCGCAATCGAGTACCCCCCTGGCATCGACTCCCAGGGCTACCCAGCAGACGTCAGCACCTTGATCAGCTCCTTCCGCGAGAAATCTCGGATCTCGGACAAGGGCGGAAGTGTCTACTCCTCGGCCTCCACACTCAAGCCATCCAAGGTCGGCGCCAACAACTCCTACTACCACCCGGACCAGCAATCCGCCATTAATTCGTACCACTCCACCTCCAAGTCTCACGCGGGCCACAGCACGGCCTCGTCTACGCGCTCCGCGCGACAGGTCCCCCTTCCCGAGGGCTCCGTGGCCTCCTTCGCTTCGTACCGCAGCGGGGCCAAATCCGCCGCCTTGTACGACGACGCCTTCGAAATCCAATCCCACGTCACCCCAGACGACTCCATCAGCCAAGTTGGTGACCCTGCCGCCTCCTCCCGGCGATCCTCTTACTCGCATCGCTCCCATGCTTCGCATACCTCGCATACTTCCAGACGTTCGAGTAAATTCGACGAGCCAGTCCGGCCGAGTGACAGCGTCAGCCAGGTGTCCAGCCACGCTTCTAAGATGTCCCAGCGTACCGTAAAGGCCAACGGCAGCATTGCGGGCGGTGCTTCCCAGGCCGGTTCGAGAATGAGCAGTGCGAGTGCGAGTCGGAGAGGAAGTCAAGTCGCGTAAACTTCTTTCCTTCTTTTCTTTTTTTTTTTTTTTTTTTTTTCCCCCTTGTTATAGATATACATACATACGCACATTCTCCATGATCCATGCTATCCGACAGATTCGACCCAGTCAGACTCCGGCAGAAACAGAAACAAACCCCGAAATTATCGAACAATGCTATCGATCTCTTCACCCTGTCATCTTTACTACCCTTTACATTCCAGGCATATTATTCCGGCGTTTCCTTGCATTGTTCCATTCATCATGTGTTTCTATCTGATGTTTCGATATTCGATATTGGATTTGCATTCGCATTTACGTCTATTTGGTCAACTCTGAACTCGTAATGAGAAATCTGAATCATAACATGAATATATATCAAAAGAGTATTCATCGTCTTGTAAACAACAATCCATACAACAATGCTGTACTGGCTTTCTATACGCTTTGACTCATCCAGCAGCAGGGTCCACCCCGACTTTTATTCGCAGTGTACATATGCTTGGTTGCACGAGTCAAAACCCAGGAGATACAGCATTTATATTTATATATATATATATATACAGGATCGAGTAGAGGAAAGAAAGAGAAGGCTACGGCATAGATGGCTCCATCAACTGGTAGTTGGTCTTGTTCGATATATGCTATCTGATACAATCCCCCGCCAGCACCATTATCGCCTTCCCTGACTTTAGCTACACACACACACACACACACACAAACACACATCTTGTCGACCAAACTACCGAAAAACAAGTTTGTCAACAAGATCACATCTTCCCCGCCTTGAACACCCGACCCAAGGGAAAAAAAAAACCACGATGCTTGGGTGGTAAGTGAATCACGTAAAATTGTCCGACTCCATTGAGTAAAAACAAAAATGCGATGAATGCATGATGAGTTGGTCATAATGATCGTTGGATATGACATTTCCCGCCAAAAGGAGAAAAACGAAACAAACTTAAGAATAAAATTTTAAACACACGCAAATGGGTCGCGGAGAAAACAAAAAGATCTACGATCACGGTTCGCCAGGCTTCGTGGATTGTGTCACCCAGCGCGAGGTAAGACGCAAAGCGATTGAGAAGACCAAGGGGGCCGTGGAAACTTGATCCGCGAAGATCAAACAGCGTATTTGCGAGTCCATTCACGGGCGGTTGATTCGTATCGAGGGCGGTCGGTCTTGTACACATGTGCGATCTCGGGGACCAACGGGTCATCGGGGTTGGGATCTGTGAGCATCGAGCAGATGGAGAGCAGCACTAAATCGATTAGTACACCTGGATATTGCAAGGACGGGAAGCGGATGACAAACCTTTCGAGATTGTCAGGGCTGGGCTCCATTGGTCTCTGAGGATATCCAAACAGATACTTCCGTTCGAGTTGATGTTGGGGTGATAGATCCGGGTGGTGAAGTTGACCTTTGGCGGCTTGAATGGGTAGTCGGTAGGGAAGTGGATGTTGAGGAAGAACACGCCTCCTGAGTATGGAGAGTCACCCTATCGGCCGGGAGATTAGCGATCCTTGATCAAAAAGAAAAATATATATATAAAATATAACTTAACCCGCAAGGTTGTTATGTTTGTTCTTGCGTTTGGACAAACATGACCAACCAAACCCTTGCAGTGGCCTAGGAACAAAAAAACACTTACAGGACCCATGATTGTAGCTTGCCAATGAAACTATTAGGGGGGAAAGGGAGATCGTGTTAGTTTAACTCTCGATCGATAATGTTGAGGGAATAGCGGGTTTAAAAATGGGCCCCGCCACATTTTGGCGACCGTCGCGGGAAAAGGAAGTGAAACCGAAGAGGGGGGTTAAGATGCGTACCAAATCATCACCCACAGGCCCAGCAGAGCAGGAAGAGGGTGGATCACTGCAGGAGAAAGGAGAGAGATCAGTATGATTATCACAGAAGATGAGGGATATAGGAAGAGTAGTCGAGTGGGCAACTTATTGACGCCCCGCGATATCATGGTGGGGTGACAGGAAGCGGGCTTACCGGCCGAGATCAGTGAGTTCCTTGTTAATTCTCTTGAGAGCCATTTTGTTGAAGTGTGAAGAAGGAAAGAAAAGAAAGAGGAGGTGAGCAGAGGAGATCACTCGAGGGGTCGAGAAATAAGAGGGAGAGGATTGCAAATGAGGCGGGGAATCTGGTGATATGAGAGTCTGTCAGATATATTCCCAATAGTGAAGTGATGGATAGAGGGAGAGGAAGAAAGAGAAAAAACAAAGAGAGAGAGAGATAATAACAGAAGAAGAAGAGGAGGGAAAGATACTTACAGATAGACGACGATAATGCCAGGACGACAGAGGAAGAGGAAGAGGAAGAGGAAGAAAGAAAGAAAGAGAGAAAGAAAGAGGAAGAGGGGGAGATTTTGAGATTTGAGATTTGGGCTGAGAAAGAAAACGATGACTGTCCGGGTGGTATTGTTCCATACCGTATATTACGCTCTCGGTCATTACCAGCCATACCATAATTTACTCTTCTATATATGTAGGAATAATTGCCACCACCGGGTATAATTCTCTGGATAATTAACAAGATAGAAAACTCTTCTTAGTCTTTCTTAGTAAATGCTATGGGTATGATCTTTCTGTTAACTATTGCAAGGCTGTACTGTACTGATATTAGTAGCACCACTGACACTACCAAGTAGTATATATATATATATATCACACACGCTGGGATAGAATGTTCCTATGGAGAAACCCATAAATCTGATTTCAGAGAATATCAACACACATATATACAAGAGACAGATACATCATGATAATAATCTAACTATGCAGGTAGAGATCGATTCTTAGACTAGGCCCTAGACAAATGCTTGCACGCCGGTAATGGCACGGCCCAGAATCAACGCTATCAGATGTCAGTCAGTCAAACTCCACCACGGAGAAATTAGAAAAGATAGATACATAGATAGGTACATACCGTGGATATCACTCTGTCCTTCATACGTCTGTACCACAAACAGGTTGGCTACATGACGGCCAATATGATACTCGTCACTGGTTGCGTTGCCGCCAAATACTTCTTGGAGGCTATATCGATCAAGTCAGTACCCTAATCCTTAATTGAAGGGGAAGAGGGGGGGGGGGGGGGGGGGGAACTCCTTACATTCGGGAGTTGGCCAACGCCCGGTCACAATTCTGCCGCTTAATCATTGAAATCATCTCCGGAAGGCACTTGCCAGCATCCTTCAACCGGGCAACTTGGACCGCGGCCAGAGTACCATATGCCGCGTCCGTAGCCGCATCCGCCAGCTTCTTCTGAATCAGTTGGTACTTCGCCAAAGGGTTCCCCTTGAACTGCTTTCGCTCCAGCGCGTAGCTGCGGGCACGGTCGATACAGTCCTCCAGAGCCCCCATGGCTCCGAACGCAATCCCCAGACGAGCACTGTTCAGGCAGGTAAAGGGTCCCACCAGACCCTCCACCTCCGGGAACATGTTCTCCACGGGGACCGGGCAGTCATCCAGCTGGATCATCCCCGTAATCGACGCACGCAGGGCAGTCTTATTCTTGATAGCCGGCGTCGCCAACGTCCCGGGGGGGCACTTGCTGCGCTCCACGAGGAACCCGCGGATCTTGCCGGTGCTCTGCAGTTTAGCCCAAACGACCAGGACATCCGCAATGGGCGAGTTGGTGATCCAGGTTTTGCTCCCGGAGAGCAAGTAGACGCCCTTCTGGGTCGGGTGCTCGCGCGCTACCGTCTCCATTGAGCCCGGGTCCGAGCCGTGGTTGGGCTCGGTCAGCCCGAAGCACCCGGCTATCTTGCCCTTGGCCAGCTCGGGCAGAAGACGGTCCTTGAGTTCCTGGCTCCCAAAGTCGTGGATGGCAGTCATCGCCAGAGAGCTCTGCACGGACATCCCCGACCGATATCCCGAATCCACACGTTCGACCTCCTTGGTGATGAGACCCGACGCCACGGTGCTCACGCCCGCACATCCGTATCCCTCGATGCTGGCGCCGAGGAGGCCCAGCTCGCCCATTTCTTCCAGGATCTTGCGGTCATAGTCTTCGTTTCGGTAGGCCTCTAGGAGTCGGCAAAGATAAAAAAAAAAAAAAAAAAAAAAAGTGGTGTCAGTGATTTCAAAGCTTGGGACAGGTGTTGTGCGCGCTTACCCAAGACCCGTGGTTGCAAACGCGCCTGGCAATATTGTCTCGCAGTCTCCTGGATGGCCAGCTCTTCCTCTGTAAAGAGCTCTGACGCGGCAAGAGGATCCTCCCAGTTGAAGCTCGTCGCATATCCGCGCACCGCCGCCGCGCGCGAAGCGGCGGGGGGGGCCGTGGACGAAACACGGAGGGCCGAGCGAGAGGCGGCACGGAAGAGGGAGGATGGGTTCATCGTGGGAGAAACAAGATATTCTAGGATCTTCCGGGGGGTCAATTCAGCTGTTATTCGGGGGTAAAATCCGACGACGCAACGAAGCAATTCAAGAGGACAACGCTTCGGGAACTTGACGAGAGCGGAAGAGCAAAAAAAAGGGCCTCGGCAATCGGTCCGGTGTTATGCTTATCAGGTATGTATCTATGAAGGAAACGGGGGCAACGAAGGAGTCAATCTCTAAAAAAGTAAAAGAAAGAAAGGAAAAAAGAAGACAAAAAAAAAACTAAAATCATTTCAATTTCAAATCTCTTCCAATGGAACCGAATCCCGCGGATGGTCCTCTATATCCAATCCATCATCCGCGGGCTGCCTCCCGATCCGATGCTATATTCCAATAACCGGCACATTCCAATACATTTACTCGAATTACCCTCGATTATGGGCCCTGGTCCATAGAATCTGTTGAATTGCCGACTATCCAACACTGAACTGGGGTTGTTCGCGGTTCCTCAGAGTGTTGTGCTATACAGGACCCTCCTTGCACATCTACGTTCAGAGAAGTATTCATTGTTCATATGTAATAGTATTATTCAATAATAGCTATATGTAGCTCTCGAGGGATTTGCATGCGGACCCATCCTCTTCTGGGCCGTCTTCTACTAGGGCAAGTCCGGACGGGTTATGGTAAAAGTAGTCCTGCATTTCAAGGGTTAAATTTCCGACACGACATCAAGCAGGCATCTGCGATTGAAGAAAGTCAAAGACACCCGTGGGGAAATATTCCTCGTCAAAGCCCCAGAGATCAGCCATCATAGGATCTATAGATCCCTCGGACAATCCATTCTGTTGCTTCATCTCCGGTTCGAATCCATTGCCCCGCTCTGCGGATAAGGGGGCTACTCCTAACAGAGGGCGCGGATGGGCTAAGATAGTATCCTGCTCGCCTAGCGGTTGAGCCCCCGGAATCACTATCGGCTTGAACATTGAAGTGTGGTCATGGGAATTTTGCACCAGTGATAGCTGGGCGGAAGAACTTCGCTTTTCCCACTCCTCCAGACCGGTCAGCATTTTCTTCAGCCCACGGGCTATGTGGTGGCTGAGATGGCGCTCGCTAGCACGTTTGCTGCAAGACACCATCAGATCAACAATCTGGGCGACCAAGGCACGCACGTATGAAACATCGATGTGCAGACCGGCCGCGGCAATAGAGTTCTGCTGGGTCTGGCCTCCGGAAATGGCCGTCGAGCAGCCCTTGGCAGCGATCTTCAACAAGAAAACGGCCGCAAATGTAATCATGCTGTGGAGATACAATGGAACACCAACCAGAGCTCGTTGGATGTCAGGTTCATCCAAGACAGCCATGAGCGTCCCAATGGCGCACTCGATAGCAATATTTGCCCGCTTCTTTCTCTCCGTGGACATGGGACGCGTTGAATTCGAGGAATGATAGGTCCGCAGAGCGACCGAGTTCAGCTGTAAGCGGGAAAAATTATAGTGTAGGTATACTGCTTTATAAGGGTACGCACCAACATACCGACTTCCGGCTAGTTATATCATGGCCGGGTTAGCAAACGCCCATACCCACATCTAAGGGGCGATTCATACCTAAACGAGGTAACCACGCAGATCGCCATCCCCCAAGTTCAGCATCATATTTATCAATCGTGGAAAATTCACTCTCGGGAACTTCCAACTCAACATCCGGGCCAAAGGCATGATATATTCGGGTAAGGATTATAAAGAGATCAACTTGGCTGTGTAGGCGCAGGTCAGATTGCGGGGCGGAGGGGGAGAGTATAAAGGTATTGTGGTTGGTAATGCTATAGTCTTCGTGGATAATGGGGGGTCGTCCATATGCAATCGAAAAATGGTGTTCCAGAGTCTGAGGAGGTCAGGCACACGTCCATAGGCAAAAAGTCGAGTGGATAATACTTACGTAGAGAAGATACCAAAGCCGAGCTTGTTCGATGTGCTCTGGAGAGCCTAGTTTGGCCCTGCGGTAGGCCTGGTGCAGGCCGAGCTCCGTTGCGATACGAACCGCATACCCAGACAGCTTCCAGCTTACATCTGCAAGCCAAAACGCCCCTATGCATAAAGCGCGCAAATCATCTAAGGTGTGATGTCTGTCTAACATGGACTCTGAGGCTAACTTGGCGAACTCGGTGTAACTTATATCGAAAGTCCGTTCTTTATTGGGGAGGTGAAGAGCCGCCACGGCGAGGATGGCGGCAGTGAGCATCGAGGAAGAGTTGCGCAAAGACGTGAGATCCTTATGTACGAGCAATATGCCATCCCACAAATAACGGTTAAGAACCTGGTCGAAATGGTAGAATATCTCCTCAGCTTCGTGTACGTCCACAGCTCCACGCGAGACAAAATCCGTTACCAGCGCCCGATCAGATGCATACTGTCGTCCAGGAGAGCTTCCTTGGATATCGCCCAATTGAGTAACTTCGTACAGACTTCCCATCGGCGCGGTAACCAGCGACGAATTACCATTCTCCTCCCTATCAAGTGAATATTGCGCCGGTGACTGGAAGGTATTGTTCTGCCGTCCATGCACTTTCGATCTCGCACGCGACCCGGCGTCGGTCGCCTCTGTTGTTCTATCAATTCCTATTGTCGGGGGGCTACCTTCCGTCGAAGCGGTCGATGCTTTTCGATCTCTCCTCTTGGGTGGTGGCGGGTCTGCAGATCTACCCAATGCTTGGTAGTACGACAGTTCCGGCAACTGTGCCTTTCGAAGCAAATCGGCCATAGCTAGCTCAATTGTTGTCTTCCACCTACAAAGTTACACCCAAAAGAAATCAGTAAATCGGCAAAATGAGTAAGTTGATTTTTCGGCAGCATCATCGCGGGGGGTCATAATTACTCTGCTTCATCATCAAGTAATGTCTGGAGACTTTTGTTGACGACACACTCCAGACCCATGCGACGACATCTCTGGCAGGTGGTCTCCCCCGCATTCATATCACAGCGCACCTTGTGGCGTTTGCATTCGGTACACGCCCGTATCCTTCGAGAGATCTTCGGGACATGTCTCGGGCTTTGGCGAGCGTCATTTTCCGACCCCGGAGGGGGGAAAGCGCCCTGAGGCGACGAGCCCGACGAGGTCTCGCCGTTGGCTTCGCGACTCCGTTTCATGGTGCAGCGATCGTCGTGCTCATTGTCTTCGACCAGGTCACTGGAATCTCCCTTCCTGTTAATTAAGTCGAGCTTGTTGAAATGACCTGATGGTAAATTTCGATATCCACTAGACAATCCGATAGGGCGTAGCGTAGCCCAGTCAGATAGAAGAGAAAGAGAAGAGGGGTTGGTTGGTCCGCAAGTCGGAGCAGATCCGCTGTTATTATAGGGCAGGTAGCATAGTCTCCGTCGCTGTGACCTGCTATCTGCCTACCCAACCAAAGCCACCGCCACTCGGGGCTTACGGAGACATGAGGGAAGAATTAACTATATAGTTAGTTACCTTTTTCTGCTGACCTCGACTTGTTGTTGACTAAGTTGGACTTTGGGGAAAATGAGTCGAAGTGGGGGAGAGTCACGTGCAGGTGCCTCGGGGACTTTCCCCAATCCGGTCTAATGATGTCGGCGCGTTCAAACGCGTTCTGTCGCGGCGAGATCCTGTCTTCCAGATGAGTGTCTAAGGAATTTTCTGGTGATCTTGCTCAACACGCAGTCTGAAGTTGGAGTGTTTTCTTCTTATTTGGTCGCGGGCAGCTTGAAATCCATCATGGGTATTAAACGTGAGTCAACTTGTTGGCCAATATGATCACTTCTCCTGGTGCTGACTGATGCTTCCACCTCCAGAGCTATACCAAGTGATCGCAGAAAATGCGCCAGATGCGATCAAGGCAGGGGATATTAAGAATCATTTTGGTCGGAAAGTTGCGATTGTATGTCAGAAATAATTCCTTTCGTGTGCTCGTGCCTGGACCTGATACAGAACTAACCAGTACTGAGGTGTAGGATGCGTACGTGCAGCTGGCCTTCAGCAAGGACCTTAGCTATCTAGACTGACAAACCCCAGATCCATGAGCATCTACAGTTTCCTCATCGCCGTCCGCTCCGAAGGCCAACAACTCATGAGCGACACCGGCGAGACCACGTCACATTTGATGGGCATGTTTTACCGCACACTCCGAATGGTGGACAATGGAATCAAGCCGCTATATGTTTTCGATGGAGCCCCACCGAAGCTGAAGTCTGGAGAGTTGGCCAAGCGTAGTGCGCGCAAACTTGAGGCATCTGAGGCGCACGAGGAAGCGAAGGAAACCGGGACCGCAGAAGATATCGAGAAGTTCTCGCGACGGACAGTAAGGGTTACGAAGGATCACAATGCAGAGTGCAAGAAGCTCTTGAAATTAATGGGCATCCCATACATTGATGCTCCGACAGAGGCTGAAGCGCAGTGCGCAGTGCTTGCTCGGGCGGGGAAGGTCTACGCCGCTGCTTCCGAGGATATGGATACATTATGTTTCGAGGCCCCGATTCTTTTACGACATCTTACCTTTAGCGAGCAAAGAAAGGAACCTATCCAGGAGATTCATCTGAATCGTGCACTGGAGGGGTTGGGCATGGATCGGAACCAGGTATTTATTTCCTGCTCTATACATCAGCACTTAACACTGCTAATTTTTTTTCCCCCCCATGTGATCTAGTTCATCGATCTATGCATCCTACTTGGATGTGATTATCTAGAACCCATTCCTAAAGTTGGACCGAACACGGCGTTGAAACTGATGCGGGATCACGGGAGCCTCGAAAAAGTGATTGAATATATGCAGAAGGACCCCAAGCAGAAATACGTGATCCCCGACGTGTGGCCGTACCAAGATGCGCGAGAACTGTTTATCCACCCGGACGTCCGAGATGCCAGCGATCCGCAGTGCGATTTTAAGTGGGAGGCACCGGACGTCGATGGCCTGGTAGACTTTTTGGTCAAGGACAAGGGATTCAGCGAGGACCGAGTCCGCAACGGCGCGGCCCGACTGCAGAAGAACATGAAAACCGCCCAACAGTCCCGTCTCGAGGGCTTTTTCAAGCCCGTGGCCCGAACAGATGAAGAAAAGGCCAACCTGAAGCGCAAGCACGACGAGAAGATCCAGGAGCAAAAGAAGCGCAAGAAGGACGAGGCCAAGGCGAAGAAAGAGGCGAAAGCACGGCCTCGTGGCGCAGCATAGCGAGCGTCGTGTCTGTTCACGGGACACTTCGGCTCGGAGAAGAGAAGAGAAGGAACGGAAAATATATGTAACACGCAGGATACGATGGCATGCCTTGAAGGGCGTTTGACGGGAATGTGTAGAATATTCATAATCATTATATTACTTACGGGCATTGCAATGGGTCTCGTGGATTTCAACCGCGCGACATACGGAGTATATCCCTCCTCTACTAAAATATCCCCGGGTACTCTATACACAAGTATCCGTACCTGTTTATTTTCTATCAGTTAGTAAATAATGGGGAAGATCCCTCGAGGATTGAAATCCCTTGGAACAAGTTTGGTGATCAGAATCCTGGACCGAGGCCAACGGACACCGAACGCGTTCAATCGGAATAAAGAGAATCAACCGTGATTTAAACCGAAACAGGAGGGACTAGTCATTTAGTGCGGCCTATTTAGAGCTAGTTTCTCGTTTGACTACTGTACTATGCCGTTGCTTTGCTTTGATAGCTCTCAGTTCTAACTATGATTGTTTTGTTGTGGTGGGGACGTGTTGTACTCCGAGTACCACCAGGGATCTGGTATAGTCAACCAGCTAGAATTGGTTTGGAGTGGAACTTCAAATTATTGGGTAGGAGGTTGATCTTGGTGTTTCTTGTAGAGATTGGGTCCAGGGTTGTAGTTGTTGTGCTATGTTAAACGTACTCTGCATCAGTGATATATATGTATGTAGATGTAGATGTATATATATACCAGGTGCGGGGATCTTCCTGATAAAAATGCAAAACAAAACAATCACCTCGGATCAGATATTAGTTATCTATTCAATATAAAAATACTCTTTCCAACAAATTATTTATGTACGAGTCGTAGGTAGTGTTTACCCAATCCCTCTAGTTTAAGGTCTTACTTAGGTACACAACCATCATCCATCATCCATCATCTACCCAACTATCTCGTGGGAACCGTGGAACGAAATGACTCTTTAACTTGAAATCTACACTCGCGATTGGTAGGTTAACAAACCCAATACTCATAGTACTATTAATTAACCAGGTCTACATCATCTTGTTGTGCCTCGTGACCCATCCTCCCTCTTGTTTCCTTTAAATTTTTTTTTATGATTGATCGGGACCTTAACTGCCAGATTTAGAGATGCAAGGGGATCGGTTGTCAGTCAGAGCCACTGTGCACGATGTTAGGAGTTCCTGAGCTTGATTGAACCCTGTACTAGGTACCTAATGTATGTACCGTAGCTGATGATCCCGAGTTGAGATGGAGTGGATTTACTTCTGTATCAGTACATCGCATTCCAAGTGTACACACATATATATATACATATACATATCTAAAGGAGATAGACTAGATTTGATTCAAAGTGAAATAGATCTGGATCTTGAAAAAATTGAAATCTTTTGGTCTGTTGTGTATAGCGTCAAGATTATGCGGAGGTGAAAGGATGGGAGGAAGTGACCACAAGCCGAAATTACAACGAGAACAACAGATCAAGATAAGACAAGACACGAGTCAATTTCTTTGTGCTTTGGGATGTATATCGAATGTTGATCTACCTCGAAATATCCGGGGAAAAAAAAAAAAACCCATTTCAGGGGAAAAGGGGATGTCAAGAAAGTGTGAAGAAAATAAGAGAGAGGGAGAGGGAGAGAAGAACGAAAGACGAGATACGCGTGGGTTCAAGTGGGAAGAAGAATAGAAGAATAACAACATTTCCAGCAATTTTCCCACCTAAAATAGGGGACTAAAAAATCCCAGAAAAATCCGTAGAAAATCCGACCCTACCAATCAGCCGAGTAAAAAAAATCACAAAATACAAAAGAGCCAAATTAGATTTGAAAAGCAAAGAGAGAAAAGAAAAAGAGAGCTTGCTTGACGTGTGTGCTGCTGCTTGCTTGCGAGTGATCTTGTGTCAACACCCGCTGCCCTATAAAGCGCTCATGCCCCGCGGCCTTCCCACCCCCTTCCCTCCTCGACTGCTTTTCCTCTTTTTTCTTCTGCTTCCTCTCCTCCCTTCACCACCACTGGACACCCGTTTGCAACCGATCGCTTCATCTGATCCTCCTCTTCCACTAATCGTTCCCGGTTGGAATTTCTTCCTTACCCCCTTCCATCCTCATTCATCATGCCCCCCAAGAAGGCTACCGCCAGCGCGGCCAAGAAGTCTGCCTCGACTCACGCCTCCTACCGTGGTATGTTTTTGCTGATCTTCCACCCCCACCCCTTCGCGTCGGGATGATTTTACTCTCGTTTTTGTCGCCGGTCAATGCTGATTCTGTCCATATAGATATGATCAAGGTTGCCATTCTGAATGTGAGTTGATCACGTTTGTTGTTGGGGTGTCTTGGGTGACGGGCTGCCGGGCGGGAGCAACCCCGACCGTGACACGTCTCCCTCCACCTTCAATCATCCCACCCCCCTGTCGGACGGGGGTGATTTTACTATCAAGTGGATCGCTAACATCGTTCGCTTCAGCTGAAAGAGCGCAACGGGTCCAGGTATGTAGTTGGTGTTCCTGATGGTCCGATGCAGGGGCCCGTTCCTCCGCGACGTGGCAACCCTCATCATCATGACCTTGTCGCGTTTCAAGCTAACTTGCCAACTTTCCTCCCAGCCGCCAGTCCATTAAGAAATATGTTCTGGCCAACAACAAGATTGCTCCCGCGTCCTCCAACGCCTTTGATAGTCAGTTCAACAAGGCTATCAAGGTTGGTGTGGAGAAGGGTGATTTCCTTCAGCCCAAGGGTAAGTTGCCCGCGCACTCACTCTCCTGGCTTTCTTTTGATTAAGAGGCAACCTTTATTATTATTATTATTATTTAATCTTCAGCTGAGGTCATGACTGACACGCCATCTAGGTCCCTCTGGTCCCGTGAAGCTTGCCAAGAAGGAGACGACTCCTAAGCCTGCTGCTGCAAAGGTAACCTTGGTCTTGATTTTATATATAAAAGAGACTGTACTGACCCCATTCTAGAAGGCTGTTGCCCCCAAGACTGCTGCCCCTAAGAAGGTTGCTGCCAAGAAGACTGAGAAGACCGAAAAGGCCGAGAAGGCTGAGAAGCCTAAGACTAAGAAGACCGGCGCTGGTGTCACCAAGAAGACTGTCGGACGGCCCAAGGCCAACACCGCAAAGCCTCGCAAGGCTAGCACAACAGTGAGTGACCCCGTTCTTCTCTCCTTTATTGTCTCATCCTGATTTCTTGTAGGCTCCTGCTATTGTCGACAAGCCCAAGATCGTGAGCAAGACCAAGTCTGGCCGCACGACCACAACAACGGCAAAGCCTGAGAAGCCTACCAAGAAGGCCACAGCAAAGAAAGAGTAAAACAACGTAACCATTTTTTGGAAATTGTTTTCAGCGGCCAATTGGTGTTTTTTTTTTTTTTGTTTCTGTGATGTCTTCGGGTTATATCTTTGGGTTGTATCCCTGTTTTCCTTTCTTCGGATGTAATTTCTTTGTTTCACTTACCCTTTTTTTTTTTTTTTTTTTTTTTTAACGGTGAGAGCTTCTGGGATATGATTATTGTGGATTCTTTCGTTTTCTCGCGATGTTGGTAGGGTTGGCGTCTGGATTTTGAAACGGAAATGTTGATTGACTGTTATTTCTGAGCTCCTAGCTGAGTTCGAATGGACTGCGTTATGCCATTATTACCGACTTGTAGTGTTATCCCGACATATCCAAGGGACCTACTACTCGAGATGCGCTCCAATTATCATAATTCTATTTCTGTACATACATTAAGTATAGGTAGGTAATCTTCCGCCAACCGTTCGGAGTTCCTTCCCGCTTAGCTGCCTAAGGCAATACCTATAACTAGTACTCCGCATAAGTAAATGTATTTTTGTCAGATCGAACTGATCGATGGTTTCCTTGATTTATATACTTACTCACTCGTAAGTAAATCAGTAACTAGTTAACTATTGTATGTATATATTGATGACTGTTGTAGATTATGTCATATGTTGTCTTCGGATTTAGGGAATTATAGAAATCACCAGGGAAATCCTTCAACTAGGTAAGAGGAGAAGAGAGTATTGTTACTATTATAGTTCTTGGAAAGTATTTGGATGTAAGATCAGAATATTTTATATTTATTCATGAGTTTTCTTCTTCTTAATAATTATGATTATTATGATGGTTATGATTGTTGAATTTTGTTGTCTTTTGTATAGAATCCAGTGGAGTCATTCTCCTGTATTAGTGAGGAGACCATTAGGCAGTCATAATAGCACCACAGAACAGAGCAACAAGAAAAGGAGACTATAGTTCAGAATCAAATGATCCTCTCTTGATATACATATATCCATAGCTATAGATTATTTTAATTAAACTAGTAAACAAGGACCGAGTAGAAGAGGATCCTAAATTAATACCTGGTACTGATGATTACCCGTACAATACAGACAGACAGAACGCCATGCAAGCTGGAATCTTTGGCTTCTTCTCTTCATCCTCTCTCTCTCTCTCTCTCTCTCTCTCTCTCCCTCTCTCTCTTCATCTTCAACTTCTTCATCTAATTCTTCGCCATCCCCTCCCTTCCTTCGCCTTCGTTTCTCTCCGCGATCTTTCCCTCCTTTCAACTGGATTCGCTTTTTCTCTTTTCTTCTCTCTCCTTCCTGTCACTCTCCCCACCTATCTGTTCTGTCTCCTAACACCCTCCTCCCATCCTTCCTCACTACGCGGACCTCCCCTATCAACACCCCCGACGCTCTGCTCGACCCATCACTGCGATCTCGATCTCGACTTTTTCCCTCCTGAACATGCCTGTCCGTCGCTAATCTCTCTGCCACGCCGCGGCTGGCTACATGCCTATCGATCTTGGATGATCTGATTCTTTCCCCTTCCCGCACTCTGACCCTTCAGCTCAGCAGACTCTCTCCACCCCTGCTTGCCTTTACCGTTATCTTTCGCCAGGTCGACATACCCTCCCTCCCTTCCTCCTTTTTTTTTAATTTTTTTTTTTTTTTTTGTGTGTGTGAATATATTCTTTTTCTATCGCTCCCCCCGGCGTTGAACCTATCTAGCGACCATGCCGTCCTTCTCGAATGAAATCTCATATTCGACCGCCACCGCTACGGCTACGCATCCTCGTCCGTTTGACTCGTCGCAGGGTAAACCGCATGATAAAAACTCCATGGGTAATACGTTTGTGTGGACAAATTGGCCGAATGGTGATTCAAGCCACTTGGACACCCCCCCGAACGATCGCCATCTCCCCAATGGTAGCACCTATTCTTTAACGGGTCCCCGGTCGAGCGCGAGCTCTTACAACAGGGACTTTTTACAGTCCAAGGATGGGAGTTTACATTCATTGGGAAACGGTTCCGCTCGCGAACCCAGAGAGATGCGGCCGTCGTCCATTCCCCGTCAATCTTCCGACACGGGGGCGGGCATCGCCTCGACACCCGCGTCGATTACGGGCCAGCAGATCAACGGGCCGTCGCTGAGCCATCGCTCGCTCAATGGGGTGCATATGATCAATGGGGACTATTCGCGACCCTCGGTCGATGAACTCGTTTCCTCCAATTCAGTAGCTAATGCGTCACCCACACCATTGTCCACCTCCCAACCGGATAACGCTGGCCGTCTCTCCCCGGACCCTGATTACCTCTCCCCCACCCATAAAGGCGCCCATCGTCACTCCTCTCCTCCAGTTCCAGGGGCGGTGAATCGCAGCAACACACAAGACTCGGCCAACTCGAGTCTTCGACAACGACATACCTTGCAGGTCCCAAGAACAACAAGCGGCCGTCGAAGTAGTCGTGACCAAATGGAGGATGTGGCATATAGCACCGGTCGCCTCTCCCCAACCGCGGGAATTCGCCGTCCGTCCCTGAGTTTGGCCCGCCGGCCGACCAGAACGAACCAATCTGACATCGAGACAAACCCGGATGAAGATGCCGCCCGGTGGGCCGAAGCCATTAAGCAACGGAGGGCCTCAAGAAGAAAACGTCGCGATGAGGAAGATGATGAGCGGGTTATTGTGGGAACCAAGGTTGACCGCAACCATGCCAACTGGGTTACCTCCTACAACATGCTCACTGGAATTCGCTTCACCGTGTCCCGGATCAATGCAAAGATGGACCGGGAACTGACCCCTGCCGACTTTGAAGCAAAGCACAAGTTTTCGTTTGATATGTATGTAATCGATCTCTCTCTCTCTCTCTCTCTCTCTCTCTCTCTCTCTCTCTCTCTCGATTGGTGGGGCGTTAACTAACGTTGCATAATGACCAGAACCGGCAATGAATTAACCCCGTCTGCGCAATACGATTTCAAGTTCAAGGACTATGCGCCCTGGGTTTTCCGTCACCTTCGGGCGAAATTCCGACTCGACCCTGCCGACTACTTGATGTCCCTTACCAGCAAGTATATCCTTTCCGAATTGGGCTCTCCTGGCAAAAGTGGTAGCTTTTTCTACTTTTCTAGAGACTACAAGTATATCATCAAAACCATTCACCACGCCGAACACAAGTTATTACGGAGGATTCTTCCTGAATATTACAAGCATGTGGAGCAGAACCCGAACACCCTCATCTCACAATTCTACGGACTCCATCGAGTGAAGATGGCCTATGGTCGCAAGATTCACTTTGTGGTTATGAACAATCTCTTCCCCCCACACCGTGATATCCACCGCACATTCGATTTGAAAGGTTCGATGATCGGTCGTGAGGTTAGCGAGGACTATATCAAAGACCACCCGAGGTCCACCATGAAGGATTTGAACTGGCTCCGGAAGGGCTGTCATCTTGAATGTGGCCCGGCGAAACGTGAATTCTTTCTTGCACAACTTGAGCGTGATGTTGAACTGTTAAAGCGGCTCAAGATCATGGACTACTCGCTGCTCGTGGGAATTCATGACTTGGAAAAGGGAAATGAGGAAAACCTCCGTGACAAGACATTGCAAGTTTTTCAACCCGGAGGTGATCGCGAGGAAGAAATAAACCCGAACATGTTAATGCGCACGCCTTCAAAACTGGAGAACGAACGCAAGGCCCGTGAGCTTCGAATGTTGATCAAGAAGGAGCGCCCTGTGCCTCTGGACAAGGCGGCTGCCAAAATGCCGGATGAGATTCTGGACGAAAGGAAGTTCCATGTCTTCTACTCGGATGATGGGGGATTCCGCGCCACTCATGAGAACGGCCAACCTGGCCAAGAGATCTACTATCTCGGGATTATCGACTGTCTAACCCATGTACGTTTTTCTTCTTCTTCTTAGAGTCGACACCGTTTTAGTGGTATATGTATGGCTAATCATTGAGAGTAGTACGGCACGGTGAAGAAAATCGAGAATTTCTTCAAAGGCCTTGCCAACGATCGAACTCAGATCTCTCCCATCCCACCCGAAGGCTATGGGGACCGATTTATCAACTTTATCAAGAGAATTACCATGTCTAAAGAAGAAGCAGAACGACAGCAAGACTCCCAAGCGTTGCGCGAAGCTTCCACAGAATACGCCGGTCCGAACGAGCACTCTATCCCCATGACGGAAAGAGAAGCACCAAGAAACATTCCAAGGTCCCCCTCGATGGGCCCGGAGTCATTGGATCTCGCTGGACCCACGACAACGCTCCCGATTGTGGACGAGGCTGGAGAGGCCAGCAGTCTCGGTGGACACAGTCAACACAGTCGACGATGTCCTTCCCCGCGCCTAGACAAGGCGCTACCACCGCCGCCAGATCATCATGATCCGCGTCTTCAGAAGCAGAACGGGTCACTTCGGAATGGGCAAAACTTCTTGATCTCTGCTTGATAATCCAAGTCGCACGATGCTACTTACCGTGAATAAATACCTCCTTGTCGCTCTAATTCTTGTCGATTCTGATGATATCCTCATTCGCAATGTTTTCTTTCCTCATCATACCCACGGGCATGCGCTCTATATCTTCCATACCCACGCAATGAACGCATCTCAATATTCCACCTTTTTTGAAAGTCATAATCTCATGTCTCCACGATTGATGCGAACCAATTTTTTTTTGTACTATCGGACACACCCTGGCCCCCCTCCCTCCCCCCTTCATCAGGACGGTGGATTTTTTTTTTCCAGGATGATTTACAGCCTTCATTTCAGATTGGCTAAAATATCTTGGTCCCCGTGTTATCCTCAAAACTTGACTTTCATTCCAGTATGCCTATTGAGGATGTCAATCCCCACCTTTTTTTTTTTTTTTTTTTTTTTCTTTCTTCCTGTGCTTAATCCTACTATCCTTGAACTGCCTTTTCATTATCTCTCTCTGTTTTATCTTTCCCACCCTGGTACTTTCCTTACGAGAAGCCTGACCTCACGAGGTGCACTTCCTTTGCAACCAGTCTGGTCGGACTCCCACTCTCTGGGTTCCATGAGGGCTTGAAATACCCTGTACCACCTGTCATTTTTTTGACTTTATATATTTCCTTTTGTGTGCACTAAAGCATTGTCCCATTTTGTGGGGTCCCTCGAAATCCAGCCTAATCTCTCAGTAGGCTTCCATTCTCTCCCATCTCTTTTCTGCTGCGTTACCCATATACTTTGTACCGGCGACCATATCATCATTTGCCAAAGCCTTATATCCTCTTCCTGATTTTTTTTAATTCTCTTTTTTCCCCCTTGTATACATTCATGGGAAAACTCACTTTTTCTGTCTTCTTTTTTCTTCATTTTCTTTTTGTATGTGAGTATGCTTGAGCGGTTTTAGTCTTTTTTGATCTTTTTTGTCCCCCTTTTTTGCATCTTGTGCTTTGCCCTTTTCCACTGCTCTCTGCTTTGCCTTTTTTTTTTTTTTTTCTCCTTCTTCTTTTCTCTTCTGTCGCCCCTGTGTTCATAGAAAACTGATAGAAGAAGTACAGTAAGTAGAGAATTGATACCAACGTCGTTTTGTTTATTTTTTTTTCCCCTCCCGTGGAGGTTTCTCTTTCCTTTTGCTTTCGTTTAGGTTCTAAGCGTAGTCTTCTTCCGTAATTCTAAACTCCATATATATATATATAGTATTATTACTGCTTTATGATTGTCTCGGAGAAAATCTACTAGACAAAAGCTGATAAGAAAAGAAAGAATACGAAGACAGCTAGCTACTTTTATAATAATAATAATAATAATAATAATGATGAATGAATGAATGAATGAACCTTTCTAGCTCTAAACCTTAGGTACCTGAGTAATTTCTAAAATAATGAATACCCTACTATCTATACGTGAAGATGAAAAAAAAAAAAAAAATTGAAATACTTCATTGTTGTTAATTCATGTTTCCTGCTGCTATCAAGTTAAAACAAACTCTTCACTAAAAGATGTAGATAAAGGGGGGGGGAAAGAAAGGAAGGAAAGCCAGTAACAAACGCCAGTGGACATGCATGCAGGGATTCCAAATATCCAGTATGATTGATTAGAGGGAACCCAGGGGTTAAAATAGACAAGCCTGAATGAAGAGCGAGGCCAACAGAGGACAAACAGCCAACCATCAACCATCAGCCATCGACGCCGGTGGAGATCAAGAAAGAAGAAAGGTCGTGACATGATAATGGGGTAGAGGAAGGGGAAGTCATTTTTGTTAAAACATGGATGTTCTTGCGAAAGAAAGGGGAGGTTGGGTTGGGGAATCTCGACTTCACCCTGGTGTATTGAAGGAGTTGAAATGAGATAATGATAGATTGTGCGTGACAGGAGGAAGAGAGGTATTGGATGGGGAGGTAGAGAGAAAAGGAGGGGGGGGGGAGAGAGAGAGAGAGAGAGACAGAAAAACGTCTATTCTGCTTTGCCCTGGGTGACTTTCGCGGCTTGAATGGCTGACATTTTCTGGGTCCAGCCTTGGGTCGGTTGGGGCTTCTTGACGGTGCGGAGGTCATCGGTAGAGAATCCAGAGATGCGCATGTTGTAATTTCGCTCGAGAACAAGCTGAATATCTCGGATTTCGAGCGTAGATGAGTGGCGCAGCTTGGCGAGACGGCAGGCAGCGGTGATCACGTCGTCAACGAAGTCATCGGCCATTTGGAGGACGAACTGTGGTTGTGGTATTGCTTAGCTGAAGTCTCTAAAGAAAGTAAAAAAAAAAAAAAAGGCCTACCTCTTCGGCATCGGGAGTCAGGCCCTCGCCTTCTCCGCCTCCCGTAACCTGGCGGACTAAGATGTCGAGCATTTTCTTGCTTAAAACACGCTGACCCTCACCTTCAAGCACGTATCCAGGATGCTTTTGGATAGCGGGCTGGCCCATCATACCCATACCGCCATGGCTGGGGCCACTAGACAGTGTCGGGCGGTCGGGGGCCATAGAAACTGGCTTTGGAGGGGGCACATTCAGAGTCTTTGGAATGGCCATATTGACATTTCGCGCAGAAGTTTCGGTTGATCGATTTTGCATGTAGCCCTGAGGGTGCGCATGTGAGTTGGCACCAGGCTGGGTCATGTTCTGTTGTTGCCCTGCGTTAGAATTGTTGGCGTTGTTGCTGTTGGAGTAGCTTTGCGCGGCTTGTGCCATAGCAGCTTGTTGGGATAATGGCCGCGGCGGTCCTTGTGCGTTGATGGGTTGCGTAGTAGCTCCCGTTGGGGTAGAAACATCCACAGTGGCACCCTGATTGAAAGGGCTTTGGGTCCCCTGAGGTGGTTGAGCCTGAGGTGGCGGTTGCTGCTGTGGTGCACCAGGAGCAACGGTAGGTCCAGGACCGGTGCCCTGGGTAGTAGAAGTTTGGCCTAGTTGAGATGTGGACGGGGACATTACAGTCTGCCCGGCCTGGTTTCTTGCAGCGCTAACAGCAGATGTGATGGTGTGGGGAGCTGGTGTTGGTGCCTGCCCAGGATGAATAGATGTGGGGGTGCTTGTTTGGGGAGCTGCAGCTGTAGGGGTTGCCGTTGCGGGTCGAGCAACACCCTGTTGGGGTACTTGCTGGCCTATTTGCTGTTGTACCCCAGCTCGCTGTTGCTGCGCTTTGAAGGTTTCTTGTTGTTCTTTGAACTTGGTCAAAAAGTCACTGCCCTCACGGAAAAGTTTTTCCGCAGCAACCTGTCGGTTCTTAAATTCCTGCATCTCTTCCTGTGTCATATTTCCCGCACTTTGACGCTGATTGACTTGTTGACGTAGCTCGCCCATTCGCACTCGTCCAATTTCTTGCTTCTGAAGTGCAATACCGTATCGGAGTTTAGCCTCCGGGAGCCATGTCTGTGCTTGTTCGTTGCTGATGTTGGGAGGAAGGAAAAGTTGTAGGGAGTTGACCTTCTGCTGAATCTGAGGAAGAAGCTGGGCGAAGTTTTGGGGATTTACAGACTGCGGTCGTTGAACTGGCTGGCCCTGCGCAGCAGCAGAGGCAGCTTGCATCTGCTGATGCTGTATCTGTCGGTTTTGCTGATACATCCGCATACCCTTCATCAAGGACTGAGAAAGCTGCGAGAGTCTCGAGTGTGCTTGCTGGTACTCAGGGCTTTGTGGATCACGAGTGTTCAAGATGTCCCAGAAGTTGCGCACAATCTGCGTGTGTTGAACCTTTTGCTGGTCATTCAGATGAGGGAGCTTTTGCACCTGATCTGTTCGGATCAGGTTGGAGTGTTGCGGCGTCATCTGCTGAGGCACTGGAGCCTGAGCACCCTCCATTGCGGCCGAGCTGTCTTCGGGGGTAACAGTGAGGGAGAGTTTATTTAAAAGCGAGCGAGGTAGAGGTGCCTGTCAAGGCGTGTAGAACGCGGTCGACGGGAGGCGGGATCCGACACAACGTTGGTGATGTACCAAAGGAGAGCTTGGAGTTGGGGCCGCGTTTCGGATGTCAAGCGTTCTGCATACAGTCGGAGGGGAAGGGATTCGATATTATCGAAATAGGAGACGATAACAATCGACACAAGTCTCGACGGTTTCCGACAGTAAGTGATAGAACGACTGGAATTCGATCAGTCAGTGATGGGATGGCGGAGAGATTTGCGGTCCTGAGGTTGGAGCGTCAGGCTTGGCACCCTCGTCGCCTAAGGGTAACCTCCAGTCATAGTTGTGTGTTATTGTGATTGTTCTACGACAATAGCATGGGAGAGAAAAAAAAAAAAAAAGAAGGGAATTAATTAATCAAGGCCATCAAATTATTGTCCCACTTCATTTCTATTTTTTTTTTTTTTTGGATCCAAGGCCTTACTGGAAAGCATGATTTGAATGATCTCGTTCATAGAATACCGCTTCCAGCCGAGTAGACATGCATCTAGGGACACTATACTATGTACATTGCGCGATGAAATACACATCAGTTTGAGCACAGATCATGCCAGAGTGGTGCGCAGGGGCTTTTCACAGCTAGTCAATATCCTCAGCTATGGCTCCCCCTCCCCGGACGCAACGCGGTTGCTTTAAATATAGCCTGTGGGTTGCGAATACGCCCCTGTCATACATTCTCGATATCCTGAGACTCGTAGTGTCGACCGCCTTTTGCTAGGGAAATATCATACGGTGATCGCAATTGGGTAGGACGATACCAAGTCCCGACGTTTATCGGTGCGGTTGAATCTCGTCGCATTATCATCATCACTACTAATGAGATCACTGCAGGACTTGAGGAGACATAGACCTGGTGTGTGTAATAGTTTTCTCATAACTCGCACTGTAGTGATCGTTAGTATCGAATGCTATTGGAGCCGGTGTGTCTACCTACCAGATTTGCAGGTGCTGGAGCGCATGTCAACCATCGGGCATTCCGCTGTGGTGCTGGCCCAAATGTTAACCTATTGAGAGTCACTTATATTAAGCATTTCTTAGGCAATTCATCTGAGAAGGCCGCCTAAATCACGATCCATGCCAGTGACGCGGGCTTCCAAACTGCGTTTCTTTCGTTCTAGCTCTCTGATTTCCTCCATTTCCTGCTCGATATCCGCGTCACTAACACCGGCTGCCTCCGACTGCAACGAGCCGGGATTTTCAAAATCATCATGGTCGTCCTCATACGAGCGACTCATGTTCTCCAGCTCGACAGTATTCTTCGCTACCCGTTCCTCCAGCTCAGCAATGGAGTCTGTAATCATTTCGTGGCGGTATCGAAGACTGGCCATCTTCTCCTGAGCCCCGGCAACAGGGCTTTACTGCGTGTCAGGGATATTTCCCCATCAGACGGAGGGGGGTAACTTACTAGACATTGCAGAGGATCTCGGCTCCTTTAAGCAGGACATCAATGTTGACTTCGCCACGGGGGCCTCTAGTTGATGTTCCAGCAGAACGCTTAATCTCTTCCATCATATCAGCGCCCAAAACTCGAGCAACAGCCGACTGGGTTTTGTTGTTCCGAGCAGAGTAGATCCGACTTGCCATCGACTCGGATTCTACCTCGGCCTGGAATTGGGTCGCCCGCCTTGTGGCTCTTCTTTGAGAAGCGCTATTTGCTTTTACGGTGGGATCGGTCTGGAATAGAGCGCGCTCATGAGCTTCTGTATCGCGAATTAATGCCGTGATATCATGGGATCCGAGGAGAGCGTTTGTGAAGATTCGTGGTGGGGGAAAGCTAGCGATGGTGTTGTTAGTATTGCAGTCGGCGTGGGTTCTCGAAAACGGGATGCTCACGGCAGCTCTGCAATGGCATTCGAAGAGAGCATAATCTGCTCGAGGTGACTATTAAGAAGGGACATCTTCGTATATGATTCTAATCTGTTGTTTGGGTTACGAGAGTTCAGTGTGTAAACAGCGTCTTTTGGAGGGAAGGTTGCCGGTCGCGTGTTTTGCCAAGAGAAGCTGCAACAAAAGCTAGCTGCCTCAGGCCCATCATGAGGTGGCAAGGCACAAAGGCGACAGGACCAAACAGGACAGATCCAGCGCATTCTTCCTACTTCAGTATTTATTCTGTGAGAACTCTGAAGAAGCAGGAGGAAAAACCACTACGTATTTTCTCTCTTCCTCATTCCTCTGCCATCTCTACTTTCGTAAATATTTTCTTGATTTTCCCTCAATTCTGACCGCGCGTGAGGCTAAACTGCACCTGACCAGTCCTTCCGTTGGTGAGCTTCCTTTTCCTCCCCAACTGCTGATACTGACTAAGCTCCCTGTGCTGGTTCTCTTGCTGTCCATCCAAAGACCATCCTTGACATCACATCACCACCTCATCAACCACCTTCCCCAACCCTCTTAGCCTTCATCCTCCATCATCTCTTCGTTTTTGTGTCTTCCTTGTTGTCATCTGTGCTCTTCTTGTCCTCGCGAGTCTGTTTCTTAGTCTCCTTGGACTCTCTGCCTTCCATTCACCCCTTCCTCTGTTTCCGGTGCCGCGGTCCTCATTCTGCTCAGCCAAGCTTCCAGCTGGACTCCAGACAAGAAAGATGCCGGCCGAGAGGCGCTCTTTGAGATCAAACAGCAAGTCAGATACCTCTTCATCTACTAACGGTGAGAAGGCCCGTTCTACCTCCCAGAGTTCTAGCTCCACCAAGGATAAGCCGGCGCCTACTCGCGCTGCTGCCAACAAGGCCAAGTCTACAAAGGCTGCTTCTTCAAACAGCACTTCAAACTCCGGAATGGGTGAACAGCGGGAACAGCCGCACACCAACGGCTCAGATCCGACGGAGAATGGCGTGAATGGCTCTGAAGATGTCGAGATGGGAGAGGATACGGCAGGTGGGCCTACATCCTCATTCAACGCCAACAAGGATCGAAAAGGTGACGAGAAAATGACTGTTGTAGTGCCCCCTACTAAGGGTTCGAGGATATCCGGCGAAAATCCCCAGGACCAGGAAGGTGATGTGGCGATGGACGGTGCCGACGGCGATGATTCCCAGAAGCCTCAGTCAGAGGTCGTCGACCCCAAGGACAAGGCCATCCAAGGTTAGTTATTCCTGACGCATTGCCTGCGACTGCTAGAGTCGGCTAACAGCCTTGCCCAAAACATCTAGATATCAAGATCAATTTCACCCTTCTCGAACGAGCCGTCGCCCATTTCGACCCCAGATTCACCCTCCGCGTCCTGAGATCGATATCATCAATGCGCAAACAGATCACATCCGACGTGATTGCCGAGGTCGTCACTGAGACCTACCCACAGTCGAGTGCTGCCGCGTCCTTCTTGCTCAGTGCGGTCGATCAAGCCGATGCTTTCGATAAAACTGCGGCCAGCTCCAAGATGGAGGTCGATACGGAGAAGAAGTCTTCTAAGGAGGTTCTGCCTGAGATTGACACTTATTTGTCTATTCTGGTTCAGATTTACCTCTACGACAGAAAGGAGATCCAGAAGGGGGCCAAGTTTTCAACAAGCTTGATTGAGCGCCTTCGCACTCAAAACCGCCGTACCCTGGACTCTCTTGCTGCCCGTGTGTACTTCTATTATTCCCTTTTCTTTGAGCAAATCGCTCCTCTCCCTCCATCTCCCGCGGCAACAGTCACTACCATCCGTCAGCCTCTGCTGGCAGCCCTTAGAACCGCGGTTCTGCGGAAGGATGTCGATACTCAAGCTACTGTCATGACACTCCTCCTGCGCAACTACTTGTCTACCTCTCATATCTCCCAGGCCGATCTGCTGATCTCGCACAATCGTTTCCCTGCATCTGCATCCAATAACCAGATCGCTCGCTACCTCTATTATCTTGGTCGTATCCGTGCTATCCAATTGCAGTACACTGATGCTCACGGACATTTGATTGGTGCCACTCGGAAATCACCCTCAAGCCACAGTGCGCGTGGCTTCTACCAGGCGTCCCACAAGCTGCTGGTTGTCGTCGAGCTTCTAATGGGAGATATTCCCGACCGTGCTATCTTCCGACAGCCTACTCTGGAACGTTCTATGCACCCTTACTTCCTGCTTGTCCAAGCTGTTAGCGTTGGTGATCTGGATGGATTTTTGAACATTGTAAATACACACAGTGCGACGTTCCGGAAGGATGGCACATACACTCTGATCCTGCGCCTGCGACAAAATGTGATCAAGACAGGCATCCGCATGATGTCTCTTTCTTACTCTCGCATTTCTCTTCGGGATATCTGTCTTCGTTTGGGTCTAGACAGTGAAGAGTCTGCTGAATACATTGTTGCGAAAGCCATTCGGGACGGTGTTATTGAGGCGACCCTGGATCACGAACGAGGATTCATGAAGAGCAAGGAGGTTGGTGATATATATGCTACGAGGGAGCCTGGCGAGGTTTTCCATGAGCGTATCAGGGCATGCTTGAGTCTCCATGACGAGAGTGTCAAGGTAACCCCCCCCCCCCCAAATATTTTGACTCCTCATGTGACTAACTGTTCACTACTTCTCACGTCAGGCCATGAGATTTCCGATGAACCAGCACCGTCTTGAATTGAAGAGCGCCCAGGAGGCAAGGGAACGCGAGCGGGAGCTAGCCAAGGAAATTCAATATGGGGACGTGGACGACGAGGATGCCGGAGGGGATTTCGATGCCATCTAATGGCTATGAAGGCCGATGGATATAAGCACGCAGAGGTTTCCATTTCACTTTCCACCCTGTCATGTTCTAGCCCCGGGATTAGGAGATGATCGGGGGGACATTTCCACTTGTGTGTTCTTATTGCAATTTCATCGTCGTTCGGGTGTGCGTGAAGGCCAATGGGCAATGATAGGATTGTCCAGTTGTCTTTCCTGTTTCCTATATTCTACAGAAACCCTTTTTTTCCTTTGTTCCAGAGGACAGCTTCATCCGCCGTGTCCCGACCAGCTTGTCTTTCATTCGGTCGGTAGGCGCATGTTGTTCCTGGCTCCCTTTGTAATTTCCCTCCATCCTTTAGACAAGAAGACTCGTTGTGAAACTCTGGTTCTCAGATGCGTAGATTAATTTCAATTCATTGTAGAAATTTGTCGGGAAGTGTCGCGCCCAACTCACGATGCGTAGATGACAGGACAGATCTTGTGCTCGGTCTGATAAGGTGTGGTGGTGGTTGATATCTCCCGTTCCGGCCCGAGTCCAGGTCCACCGCCAGCCTACGGGTAGAAAATCTTCCTTCAATATTTGCGGACTCACCTAGCTAGCCTTAGATCTGCGGTTGCCTTCTCCGGACGGGTGAGGCTTGCATTTCTGGGCCAATTTTACATTTTTCATTCTGTCTATTCTTCTTCTTCTTCTTCTTCTTCTTCTTCTTTTTAATTGCTGAAGCTGAGCATGAAAGCTCGCCCCGTTCCAGCCCGGAGGCTGGTTCTGCCCTCGCCGGTGACTCCCAAGACGCCTGCGATATGCTGGCAATGCCTTCGCGACGACCTTCTCTTGGACCGGATCCAATGTCAAACACGCAAATACCATCCTACTAGACGGAAAGATGTCTCTCCCTTTGGCGCCGCTGTTTCTGCTGCTCAGACCCTTTTCAAGGGCTTACCCAAAGCTCCCCCAGGAATTTCGGTCGACCCGTTGAGAATGGTGGGAAAGGAGCTCAAATTTCTGACCAAGAATATTCGCCAACTGCTTGGATCGGGTCATCCGACGCTGGACAAGGTGGCAAAGTACTATACTCGAAGTGAGGGCAAACATATGCGTCCCCTTCTGGTGCTGCTCATGTCCCAGGCCACGGCGTTGACTCCCCGGCAGGGTCGCGCCGCCCCTACTGGATCGGTGCCCGTGAATGACCCCATTAGCTCGCCTTCGATTCTTGCCGATACTAATCCAGACCTGCACCCTATCACGTCGTCATCTGCCGAAGCTAAATACGACTTCGTCGGCGACGAGAACATTCTTCCTTCCCAGCGTCGACTGGCCGAAATCACTGAGCTGATTCACACCGCCTCTCTCCTCCACGACGATGTCATCGATAATGCCGTGACTCGCCGATCGTTCAACTCTGCTAATATTCAGTTTGGAAACAAAATGGCGGTTTTGGCAGGGGACTTTCTACTGGGACGTGCTTCTGTGGCATTGGCGCGTCTGCGTGATCCCGAGGTTACGGAACTGTTGGCCACTGTGATTGCTAACCTGGTGGAAGGAGAGTTCATGCAGTTGAAGAACACTGCCGAGGATGAAAAGAACCCGGTCTTTACGGACGAGACCATCTCTTATTACCTGCAGAAGACGTATTTGAAAACCGCCAGTTTGATCAGCAAATCGTGCCGGGCAGCTGCCCTGCTTGGAAATAGCACCCCCGAGGTTGTCGAGTCTGCTTACTCCTATGGCCGTAACTTGGGACTCGCCTTCCAGCTGGTGGATGATATGCTGGATTACACAGTCAGCGGGGTGGAGCTGGGCAAACCTGCTGGCGCGGACTTGGAGTTGGGTCTTGCGACAGCTCCGCTTCTGTTTGCCTGGAAACAGAATCCTGAGCTAGGACCGTTGGTTGGACGGAAGTTCAGCAAGGAAGGAGACGTGCAGAAGGTATGTCTACGCTACAATCTCTTATGGCGCCTGGATGGAAAGTGGAAGGCTAATCGGGACGATTGTTAGGCCCGTGAATTGGTGTACCGGAGCAATGGTGTTGAACAGACTCGTGCTCTGGCTCAGGAATACGCAGATAAAGCGGTGGCTGCTCTTAGTAGCTTCCCCGACAGTGAGGCAAAGACGGGACTGATCCAGATGTGCGAGAAGGCGATGAATCGGAGAAAGTAGAACATGACTCGCCTCTTCTTCCCTTCATATTGAAATCCAGACGACTCTGCTCCCTTGATAGATTCGTGGCCATTCATGATCCTTGATTCGATGTTTCGAGAGGATGTATCCACGACGGTCGAGCCCACACACTACCAGACATTGCGACAATGTCTATGTACAAGTATTTCTTTGTTTGTATTATTCGCCAATGTACGTTTTATTATTATTATTATTATTGCCTAGATGTTTTTTTGTCTTTGTTCTATACATATGCAGGAACGGGTAGGAGTAATGCCTGAGGGTGGGGGATGGATGACATCCTGGGTTTATTATATATAGAAGTCATCAGATACTCTTTATTTATCCCTCAGTATCATAGTGGTTCATTTTGAAACCCGGACCAGTGGAACAAATAGCCCAAGGGTGGTGGTAGGTATACTCTGTATATAACTCCGTATGGCTATCACGGTCTAGGTATAGTTGGCCTGAGTCCGCCATGTCATTTGACCCGGATCGACGTCAGTATCCAAGTTTTGTATAGAGTAGTGTGATATTCAACTGCTTTGCTTCATTATTTCTGATTTCTGATCTCTTGCCCCTGGAGAATGACCAGGATAACTAAAGACAAGTGTATCCCTTGCTCATCTGAAGATAGTTAAGACGCAGGATCGAAAGTAGCGGGGCAACATTGGATGCCGAGTCCACAGTTACCTATTAATTGTACGGAAACAGACGGAGTTCCCTTCGTCATACTTAGTAGTAGTACTCACTAACTACTCTTACTGTCTCGTGTTCTCTCTCACTTGTGTCTTTTTTTCTCCCTCTCTTCCTCTTCCTCTTCCTCTTCCTCTTCCTCTTCCTCTTCCTCTTCCTCTTCCTCTTCCCCATCCTCCTTCCTTCCTTCCTTTCTTTTTGTCGGTTTCGGTTTCTCTTTTTTCTTTTTTGTCTTGCCTTTTCTAACCTCTCCCTCGTTCTTCTGTCCCTTTCTCTCCCCACACTCCTCCGTTGCCTCATGATGATGATCGTGGTGGTAACTGTGGAGCTCTCGTGGATAGCGATCTGATCGACTGGCTCCTCCAATGGGTCTACTCGGCTCCTTTCTCTTCATATACTGCCTCGGGGGACTCACCTTCTTCCCCCTGCTCCTGTTGCTGTTTCTTCTTTACTCCTATCTAATCCTTCCGCCGCCTCCACCGCCGCCGTCCCCCGAGCATGCGAGCGAATCAGTTCGTGCCGCTATTCGTCGCTCCAACGATGATCAGTACAGCCTCAAATCCGGCACCGATGAGCTAGCGGAGAAATTCCACCGCACCCATGAAACAGATGTCGCTGCCGGCTATTTTGCTGTCTGCCGGGAGTATGTCCCTGGTGGGGTTAATGGGAAACCCCCAGAGAGGACAACCCCTGCAGGCGAGGTAATCGCCGCGGAGAGTCCAAGCGTTTACCAAACGATGTATAGGAGTCTTTTCGATCGCAAGCAAACCCCGACAATTGAACCGGTGAAAAATACCGCCAAGAATGGGAAACGCGGTCGAAATGTGTTTTACATTGTTCTTCGGTATTGTTTCTTTTCTTTTTTTGGGGGGGGGGGGGAGGGGGGTCCTATACCGTGCTTGAGTGGTGGTGCTAATGTCCTTTGGATCCAGACATGGTCATCTGATGCTCTATGATGATGTAAATCAGGTAGAGGTGCGATATGTCATCTCCCTGGCTCATCATGATGTCAGTATATACGGTGGGGAAGAAGGCGAGATTCTCGAGGGGGAATTATGGCTGAAACGAAATGCCATCAGTCTTTCGCGGCGCCTGGATTCTCTAGGTGATCTTGGTGGCCCGACTCCGCCCTTCTTTTTGTTCTCGGAAAATCTGTCTGAAAAAGAGGACTTTTATTTCGCTATGCTGCAGAACCAAGCGAAGCTGGGGAATCCTCCAGATGCTCCACCCAAGCAACAGGGATTTGATGTCAAGCATATTGTCACGCTCGTCCAGCGTTTACATTCCTCTGAGGAGCAACTGCAGACCCGATGGATCAATGCTGTCCTCGGACGATTATTCCTTGCCTTGTATAGAACCCCTGAGATGGAGGAATTTGTGCGGAAGAAGATTGTCAAGAAAATCTCTCGTGTCAATAAGCCAAACTTTATCAGTAAACTCGGTCTTCAACGCATTGACATGGGTAATGGCGCCCCTTTCATCATCAATCCTAGACTCAAGGATCTTACTGTTGACGGAAACTGTTGCGTTGAGACGGACGTTCAATACACCGGTAACTTTCGTGTCGAGATATCCGCAACTGTTCGTATTGATCTTGGGCAACGATTCAAGGCTAGAGAGGTGGATATTGTGCTAGCAGTGGTGTTAAAGAAACTTGAGGGCCACATGCTGATACGGTTCAAGCCCCCTCCAAGCAATCGAGCTTGGATTTCTTTCGAGAGCATGCCCAACATGGTCATGGATATCGAGCCTATTGTCAGCTCCAAGCAGATAACATACGGCATCATTCTACGTACCATTGAGAGCAAAATCCGTGAGATGGTAGCAGAGAGCATTGTCCAGCCTTTTTGGGACGATGTCCCCTTCCTGGATACTTTGTCGCAACGGTTCCGCGGAGGTATTTGGGAGCGAGATATTTCGAAACCCGAATCACCGGTTGATATCCCCGACGAATCTGAGAGCCGTCCTCAAGGGCCAGAAGGTGAGAGGGACGAGTCAATCAGTGTATTGAAGACGAAGGATGACCGCACAATGAGTGCGCCTGCTCTTGCAGAGTCTCTGCCTATCCCTGTCAAATCCCGCAAAGGGTCCAAACGTTCCTCCGTGGATTTGGACAAGGGTACTTCGACGGGGTTGTCAACATCACCGGGAAAGATGGGGACTTCACCTCCACGAGCTATTCGTTCCCAAACATTTTCCCACGCTGCAGATCCCGTGGTGACTGCTGACCATGGAAAAATGGACCGAGCTCTGTCTGACTATAAGCGCGAGGATCAGAGCCACGCTACTAGCGCTATGATCGAAATATCAAATCGCTCACTCCCTGCTTCACCGAATAAAACGCCCAATAGCTCACCTCCAACGGATGGCCCAGGCATAATGGAGACGGCCTTTGTAAGTCGGGAGCCTTCCATTTCGGAGTCAATAGGAAGCGGCAAGGCCTCGCCAACGCGCCCGTCCTCTGCCCACACGAGTGACTCATCACTAAATAAGAGAAGCACAGTTGGTAGTTTGAGCTCGTCTTTCGGTAGCAATAAAGCCCGACGACGTTCTACGCTCGAAACCCTCACACGCTCGATTAATTCTTCCACGCCCGCGGAGCATAAGCCCCAGGCCTCCCTTTCTCTTAGCAGCGCGACGTCGATGGCAAAGAAATGGGGATGGAATGTGTTTGGAAAAGGGGATTCCAACACTCAGGGACCGTCACGCCCGGCAGGGACACCGGAAGAACCGATCGGTCGTGGACATCCATTCCCCCCTCCTGGAACTCCACTGCCAACACCCGCCAAAGTCAACAGGAAGAAGAACTCCGTTTCACTTCCGAAACGAAAGCCAGTTCCGCCACCTCCTTTTACGGAGAATGAAGTGCTGAAGGAAAACCAAACAAAACCTCACTCGAAATCTCCCCTTCCGAGACGAAAGCCAGTGCTGGGTTTAGCGAACGGCGCGAGTCAATCTGACGAGGTACTTGTTGTACAGGCACCACCTTACGACTCTGCTCCTAATAGCCCCGTCGACTTCGCACCGAACCCGGCTGTTGAGCCTCGAGCGCAAAGCCACTCGTCGTTGACATGGTTGACACGCGGCGATACCGAAGCCAGGAGTTCATTGAATATTGAAAGCAAGCGTGACGATGCTTCAGACCAGCACTCTACACCTCGATGCCGTGATATCGAAGCGACTGGGCTCAGGATCCTCTCTTCTGCGAATGAACCAGTGGCCCGAGAAGAAGTGCAGCCATAAGGGTGCATGACATCCGACGTCTAATAATATACCGTAATTTGCAGGGTCTACTTGATTACTTGGCGAGTAGTAAATAAGATGATATGCCTATGAATAATAAATTTCGTCCTCTACAAGACGCGATGAATGGAGTAGATGTAGAGATGATGATGCCCCAGTAGTTACTATATAGTTATATATAGTGATATAAATATAAATATATAAATAACGAGATGACGAAGTGTTGGTCGCTAGTTAAGACCTGCGGATCGAGAAAGACATGTCATCGCCCGCCAGGCGTCAGCGTTCCCGCTAACTTAAACGTCATTCGCTTCGTCTTCTTCCTCTTCCTCCATTCTTTCACCCCAGGGGAATTTCTCTTCCCTTTCCTTCGTGTCCCCCTTTTTCTTGAAGGACTCTTCAATCCCTCGTTATCGCCCGGCCAGCGCACGTTTCCCCCTCCCCCCTCCCCCCTCGCCGGTCTTGCTTGAACTGCGCTCGCTGTCCGCCCTCGGTCCCTCCGGCTTTTCCCCTGGTTCTCGTGGGTTCGCAGCTGTCAGCATGAGTCGGTAGGTGCTCCCTCGAATTGAAAGTTGATGATTGACGCGATGAATTGCTGGCGAAGCGAACAACTGACTCCTATCCCCGCAGCACGGAAGCTGATTTGGCGATTAACATTCGCAAAGCTACTAGTATTGGTATGTCTGGAGACCTCCCCCCCTCTCAGATCTGCCGCCCACCCACTGACCAGATTGGAACCGCAGAGGAAACCGCGCCGAAACGTATGAATTGCCCTAGTCACCCCTCCCCGTCTTATCCTCGATCCGATCCATAATCTTCAAAGGCGATTGACCCGGACGTCGCTCACACTCTCTTAGGAAAACATGTTCGGAGTTGTATCGTTTACACATGGGATCACAAGTCTTCTGCTGCCTTCTGGGCTGGTATGAAGGTGTATGTGGCAGTCTTGAGACTTTCTGTTCTTGTTTTGTTGCGGGCTTAGCTAACGGTCTCTCTTCGGTAGCCAACCGGTGCTGGCCGATGAAGTCCAAACGTTCAAAGCTCTTATCACGATCCATAAGGTCCTGCAAGAAGGGCATCCCGTGGTGATTCGGGAGGCGCAGCAACATGTCAACTGGATCGATAGTTTGATGAGGGGTGTCGGAGGAGATGGCATTCGGGGTATGCAAGGCTATTCGCGCTCCAACTTTCTCCTGAGGTGATATTGACTGGTGTGATGGATAGGCTACGGTCCTCTGATTAGGGAGTATGTTTTCTTCCTGGAATCCAAGTTGACGTTCCACCGCAACCACCCCGAGTTCAACGGTACGAGTCCTGCTCTTACACTACTTTTTTTTTTTCATGGTTGATTGATTTCGATAGGCTTGTTTGAGTATGAGGAGTATATCAGTTTGAAGACTATCAATGATCCGAACGAAGGGTAAGTGAGGCTTTACTTCTTTTTTATTATGCTTGGCTTGCTGACAATAGCTAGATATGAGACTATTACGGACCTCATGACCCTTCAAGACCAGATCGATGCCTTCCAGAAGCTGATCTTTTCTCATTTCCAATCTGGTACAAATAACGAATGTCGAATCTCTGCGTTGGTCCCTCTTGTGCAGGAAAGTTATGGAATCTATAAGTTCATTACTAGCATGCTGAGAGCTATGCACACAAGTAAGGACTCGGTTTTTTTTTTTTTTCTCTCTCTCTCTCTTCACATGCTGATCCTGTATCTTATTAGCGACGGGCGAATCTGAGGCCCTCTCTCCCCTTCATGGTCGTTACGACGCTCAACATTACCGCCTTGTCCGATTCTACTACGAGTGTTCCAACCTACGCTACCTGACCAGTCTCATCACCATCCCAAAACTCCCACAAGACCCACCAAACCTGCTCGCGGAGGACGAAGACCGACCGGCTTTACCGAAGCGACCGGCCAAGGAGGTTGAGGTCACACCATCTCCTCCGCCCAAGCCGGTTGCTGCTGAGCCGGAGCCGATTAATGAATTCTGGAACAGCGAATCGCAACGCCAGCAGGAAGAGTTTGAAGCAGAGCAACGTCGTCTTCAGCAGCAGTGGGAAGAGCAACAAAGGCAGCAGGTCCTTGCTCAGCAGCAGGCCCAGCGTGATTTTGAGGAACAGCAGCGTCTGCAGGCGGAACAACAGCGTCTCGCCCAGGAACAGCTGCTGCGTGAACAGTACCAGACCCAGACCCAAGGCCGACTGGCTGAACTGGAACGGGAGAACTTGAATGCCCGCGCACAGTACGAAAGGGACCAGCTAATGCTTCAACAATATGATCGTCGTGTGAAGGATCTGGAAGAACAGATGAGCCAATTGAACAACAATATTAACATGCAGAATGCTTCTAAGGACGAGCAGATCCGACTACTTCAGGAACAGGTTAACACCTGGCGCACAAAGTACGAGGCTTTGGCCAAGCTCTACTCTCAACTCCGACAGGAGCATCTCGACTTGCTCCAGACGACCAAGAGCCTAAAGCTGAAGGCAGCATCTGCGCAGGAAGCCATTGATCGACGGGAGAAGCTGGAGCGTGAACTCAAGACCAAGAATCTCGAACTTGCTGACATGATCCGGGAGCGTGATCGTGCTCTGCACGACCGAGATCGCCTGACTGGCAACAACAAGGAGGAGCTTGAAAAGGTCAAGCGAGAACTCCGCTTTGCTCTCGAGCGCGCAGAGAACGCCGAACGCCAGAAGGGCACTGAGATTTCTTCCTTGCTATCCAAGTATAACAGGGAGATGGCTGATTTGGAAGAGGCGCTCAGGGTAAGTTGTCAAAAGTAGTACTTTGGAACAACGTACTGACGCATGGAGTAGAACAAGACACGGGCTTTGGAAGATTACTCTTCCCATAACGACATGAGAAACGGAGACCACGATCTTGCTCTTCGTGAGAAGGATGAGGAAATTGAAGTATACAAGTCCGGAATGGAACAAGCTCTTATGGAGCTCGAGGAGCTGAAGCTGGTATGTTTTCCCCGGGTCTGTATCTGAGGACCACCTGAACTAACTTTGGCGATAGAGCCAAGGCGATGTCGATAACGCGCTGGATACGCAGATCGACCATGTTCTGCACAGCACCGTCTCGAAGATCAACGATATTATTGATTCCGTGCTCCAGACTGGTGTCCAACGTGTTGACGATGCTCTTTATGAATTAGACTCGTCCATGCAGGGCGGTAATCAGAATGCTTCTCCCTCCTACGTCCTCTCCCAGATTGAAAAGGCTTCCGCTTCCGCCACCGAATTCTCTACCGCTTTCAATAACTTCATTAGTGACGGCCCTAACAGCCCACATGCTGAGATTATCCGCACGGTGTCCAACTTCTCCGGAGCCGTTGCAGATGTGCTCAGCAACACGAAGGGTTTGACTCGCTTCGCGAACGACGATAAGAGCGCCGATCAGCTGATCAATGCCGCCCGCAAGTCGGCGCAGGCCACTGTTCGTTTCTTCCGCGGACTGCAGTCCTTCCGTCTTGAAGGACTGGAGGCTCTCCAGAAGGCCGACGTGGTCATTAACAACAACTCGGAAGTTCAGAGAGATCTGCAGTCTCTGTCGAAGCTTGTGGATGCCTTTGCACCAAAGAGCAGCAAACTCCGCACCAACGGCGACCTTGGCGATCTCGTGGACCAGGAACTTACCAAGGCCGCAGACGCCATCGAAGCTGCGGTGGCGCGTCTCGCAAAACTCAAGAACAAGCCTCGCGATGGCTTCTCTACCTACGAACTCCGCATCAACGATTCGATCCTGGAGGCTGCGATTGCTGTGACCACCGCAATCGCCGAACTGATCAAGGCTGCCACGGCGTCGCAGCAGGAAATTGTCCGCGAGGGACGGGGAAGCTCCTCCAAAACTGCCTTCTACAAGAAAAACAACCGATGGACGGAGGGTCTCATTTCAGCCGCCAAGGCCGTTGCGACTTCGACCAACACGTTGATCGAGACGGCGGACGGCGTCATCTCCGGCCGCAACTCCCCTGAACAGCTTATTGTGGCCAGTAACGACGTAGCCGCCAGCACAGCGCAATTAGTGGCCGCTAGTCGTGTCAAGGCAACATTTATGAGCAAGACCCAGGATCGCCTGGAGACCGCCAGCAAGGCTGTTGGTGCTGCTTGCCGGGCTTTGGTGCGGCAGGTGCAGGAGATCATTGCGGAGAAGAACCGCGATGAAGGAGAAGCGGTAGATTACGCGAAGCTCAGCTCACACGAGTTCAAGGTGCAGGAGATGGAGCAACAGGTATGGTGTTCTTTGTTGCTTTCTTCGCGGGCGGCTGCATGCCTGATCGACAATTATTTTCCCCGTGAAATTCTAACTCTGAACTGACCATCTCTTTTCTTTCCAGGTTGAAATCCTTCAACTCGAGAATTCCCTTGCACGAGCCCGCCAACGACTGGGAGAGATGCGCAAGATCTCTTACCAGGAGGAATAGAGTAGTCGGTGTTCCTGTCGTTGCTGTACAGGTGATGGATTAATACAGGCGGTAAAATAGCATTTGCCCCGGCCTCGTCGTCTTCGTATCCTATTATCCGACGCCTTCCTTTCCTTTCTTTTTTTTTTTTCTTTCCATTTTCTTTGTAATTGCACGGTCTTTCTTCCCTCGCTTAATTCCTTCTTTCGTTTCCTATTTCGACTCGTCGGTTGAAGCTCCTTACCTTCGCTGTGTTATTTTCTTCTGTCTGTCAATACTTGGATATACCATTATCAACTACCTTAGTCTTATTCTCCCCAAGTCCTCTCTTCTCTACTGCCAGTGAAATCCCGCGCTCCATCCGGTAGCTCCTAAGCTGTCAGAGTAAATATAGCTAACCAGAAACGACCAAGGAGGCTGAAAGATTGAATTTTGTGCCAGGACTAAACTGCATCCTTTGTCTGCATCCTGGATCGACAGAACTCTAAAGAACTCACTAAGGAGACGGTAAACAATGTTGTGCTGCTGCCCACCATACTATGTATGTATGTATGTATCTACTGATGTATCTATCTCTCCCTTAGCAGAAAATTCTTTGAATTCTGCCATAGTATCTTAGTTAAAGGGATGATTTCATAGTTCTACGCATCACCTTGCCTTGCCAGTCATGAATAGCTCATGGTCATCTATATATATATTCACGTCTTCACTTTACTTCATACCTAGGTACTACTAGCAAGTTATTAACTATATAACCTAATCCCTTCTTGTCTTAATTTCCGCAGATAGTGAATCGCATCATCACGAGGATGAAATAGTTGGTCACCCTGTTTTATTCATGGTTGGATGGACTCCCCTCCTAAACCCCGTTTTCTTTGTTCTTTTAGCGATCGACTAGGTAGCTGCTAGGGTAGCTAGGGTAGCTAGGTAGACAGTGTGCAGCCCTACTGGGTTCCATGCATACCTTTTTGGTCCAGTGGCATACGTTCTTTATGTACTTGGCCTGTGCTTGTGTTTGACCAGTAGCATCCGGTTCGGTGTTTTCTGTTCGAGCTTGGGTTGACTTCTGCTGTGCTGCTGTGCTGCTGTGCTGCTGTGCTGCTGTGCTGCTGGTGAGAATGAGAAATGTAGTACTCCGCATCCTACCATCCCACAGGAAGCCCCGGGATCGAGTCGAACCAAGTCAGCGGTTTCGGTCTTTGTTCCATGTCGGTGCTCGTACCATGGTAGTAGACTCTGGGTTGTTGGGTTCGCGGCTCGGGCTTTGGCTTTTGTTTTCGGTGCGCGTGCGTTCGTGCCATGGTTGTCCTGACTCCACGATGATGTTAAAAGTTAAACGCGGGGGACGTTTCATTGCCCATTGGGTACTAGAAGCGTTTCTGTTTTCTCGTTAGTAGGGATACATACTGGAGGAAGAGCAGGAGGGGGAACTGGACCTAGGGAGGGGAGGTCGAGAGCGGGTCTTTCTTTCATCTTGCCGGGGAAGGTATGTAGGCGAGTTTCTTTGTTAACTATCCATCTCGTCGTCTCGTCTCTCTCTCGTCTCCTCGGTGGTGCTCACAGTAGTTCCCTAGTTGCAGTCAATGTCGTGACAATGTAAATCGAGTCTCTCCCTCTACGTACGTCTACATTTTGCGTACTGCGTGGAATTTCCAATCCGTATTGATTTCATCCATAGTTCCATAGAAACACGATCGATCCCAGAAAGACAGTGATCCGTTCAACTAAAGAAAGGACAAATCCAGTTTCTTTTCTTTTCCTTTTTTTCCTTTTTCTTTTCCTCTTTTTTTTTGGCTTTTTGTTTGTTTTTGTTTTTTTTTTTTTTTCAAGGAAAGGAAACAAGAGTGTTAAGCGGGGCTTACTCCGTCGCAGCTTTCCAGCCATTATGTAGTACCACTCCAGGTGATTCGACGTCGCCCGTAAACGAAAACAATGCGAAGGGGAAAAAAAAAGAAATAATGATGAAGGTTGAGCCAATTTGGTAAAAGGAAATAAAACAGATGAGAACCGAGAAACCTTATAAGAAAAAAAAGATGAAAAGAGAAGATGTGCACGCCCATGCTCCGAGATCTGACAGAACTGCCATCATGCAAATGCAAAACAAGTTGTCTTTGTAATCATGTCCTTGATCGCCGTAGTTAATGAATTCGTATGCTGAGATGAGGATCTTGTCCACTCGTAGGGTATCATATTTCGTTTGAGGGGGTGGTATTGTCTGCCATCGCCAGGGCTGATGTGGTGTAAAAGATGTGAGTAATGTACATGAAAAAGGCAAGGAAACTATGGTGTGGTAATACAGGAGTGTGAAATGTTTTTCACTGGAGATGAAGGTCAACTTGGAGAAAAGATTTAAGAAAACTCGATAACTTAGATGTCCAGAAAAGGGTTAAAGTCGAAAGTTTCGAGCGTTTCCTGCATCAACCGGGCTTCGTTGTAAGGCATAAGAGCAGCTGGGTTGTACCAGTTTGGAAGTTCCATATTTTCAAGATCCAGAACGTTTTCAACAGGCGGTTCTTGAGACTGTGGGGTGTCATACATGGCGGGTACATTGGTCACTTCGAACGAAGCCTCATCGAGCAACGGACTCATGTCACTCAGATTCGGGGAATCCGTACCTTGTGTTGAGTCAGGGGTTGTAATCTCCATCGGCGGACGTCCATTGAGGTCATCTTTAACACGAGTGTGGTTGCCGGAAATTTGGATGCTGTTGTTTCTTTGAACAACCGAAGTAGGCTGAGCAGCAAAGGCCATAACGGGGGCATTGAAATCCTGAGTCCTGGCGTTTTTACGTGTGCTCTCGGAGACGTACCCAGCCGCATAACAGTGATTGATAATGTCACTGACCGAATAATTAGTGGAAAGCTCGGCTTCTGTCGGAGTTGTGATTCTGATTCGAGCCATTGTGTACTGTTGAGGGCCTTCGGCGTTCAGTTGCCAGCCCATTGCATCCAGGTAGCGACTTGGTTCTGGTACACCTATTACATTGGCATTCAAGTTCAGAAAAGACTCCAGAGCCACCTCGGTGTCGTGGTCATCACGGATGATAGAGTAGGCTTTGGCGAGGATTGTCCACTTGGCTTTGAATGGATCATTCTGCCAGAGGAAACGAAGGATTCCTGATTTGGCTTTCTGAGTAAGGTCGGGGAAAATCACAGAGTAAAAACCTGCATCATATTATTTTCTGTTTTCCCTTCATAGTGAAGAATCTTACTTACTTCTGAAAGCAATGAAACTGTTCAGTGGCCTTCTCTTTCCATCCTGAATTCGTCTTCCCCGAGAAGCTGTAGACCGGGAATTGAAAGTGGAGCGAACTGCAGGGCCACGAACAGTGTCTGAGCTTGGATTGATACGATTAGTGGGGTTCTCATTCCTGGGCGGGGGCTGCCTCTGCTCCTGAGCTCTCGCGTTCTGTAGGTGCTTGAGCAGGTCCTCCAACTCTTTGGGGGGTATGTTAAACAGAAATGAGTTGAAAGCGTTCTGGAGAAGAGACATCGTGTTCTCCATTTTAAGGATTGACTTGATTTCCTAGTGTTGAAATGAAGGTGTATGCTTGTGTCTTGCTGACTAGAGGGATGAAGGAAAGTACAAGTAGTACTAGAGAGTCATACAATTCTCAGAGATTGAAGTAACAAAGAAATTTGAAGGAGAAAGAGAAAGACAAGGAGAGAAGAAAGATAAAAGGTTCCTAAGTGTTAGTCTTCGAGAGAGAGAGAGAGAGAGAGAAAGGCAACACCGGTGTTCCAGGCTAATTATGGTGGCCGGTCCAGACAAAGAAATGCTATCCTTCACCAAGACTTTAGAACCATTCACTAACACATTACTTAGGCCTGGGAAAGTGATAATAGCTAGTTAAATTTTAGCTAAAACATATATTTGGATTTTTTTTTTTTTAGAAAATTCATAAAAATATCTAATAGCTTTAAAAGAAGATGCATGCCTTACAGGTTAAGCTTTCCTACTAGAGTATTTACTTCAGCCTGATAATATTCACTTCAAAAATGGAAGATCTAAAAGGATTCTTAAAGTGCAGAATAAAGTTAGGTTACTAGGGTTTTTGTTTAATGAATTAGAGACAACTACTAGATACATCCAAGACAATTTGATGATGTTGAGTACACATGTTCGAGACCTAGATAGAAGCTTGGGAGAAATTTATGCGGCATAACACATATTGAAGATACCCTTCCCTAAGTTTGCGGTGAATAAGAATCATGGTAAGCATTGTATAGCAGCTTAGGTATCGCATAGTTTTCCATGGCCTAGGGTTTAGACTGACATTGCCTAGTCCTACCTGCGCATTCACTGTTATTATACATCCTGTCCTAAAACCTACTAACACAGCAATTAGGGGGTTCACAGACGATCGACCGGATTTAAATCTCATGTTTGACTCGAGTAGTGTATCCGAAAGGCATTCTAGCTTTGATTCGAATGCCTTCGACACTCTATTCCAACAGCCTCAGGATGAGTACGCCAGAGCCACATTATATCCCCATATGAATCTAGCCGAGCAAAGTTTTGGAGACTCATTTGAGTTTCCCAACTTCCCAGGCGATTGCTTTTGAAGTCCATTTCCTTCAGCGTTTTGTGGCCATTTCTTGCGTTACTTGCTCTTCTTTTCCCAATATCTAGATACCATCTCCTTTTCTTTGTACCATTCCATAGCAAACTACATTCGCGGATCGTTGGGTGGATATATGCAACTGATTTATTCCGTGGGATTTCCGGGCATTCGTCTTGTTTTATGTACAGAAGCAGGTATGAAGGGGCGCCGGAGGGAGGGAGGGAGGGACTTCATGCGTTCGATCCAGCCAGGTTATGTCATATTAGGGCTGCTAATACATATTTTTTGTCAAAACTGTGTTCAAGAGATTTCTTTTCAGAACACTTCTCTTAGCTTTTCATCCCATTCCTGTTGAAGGGGATGGAGGGGATATCATGGACTGACCTGCAGTTAGCAGAGATTGGGGCCCAATTTGTCCAGGCTTCTGATCTCTTTCCAATACATACGAGTGGTTCATCCGGTCTTCTTCAGTTTCGTCCTAGACAAGAAGTGAAACAAGTCGCATCTGTCTCGGTTTTCATTGCCGGCATAGGGGCTTCTGTTGTGTCTGTTCCAGTTTTCTGCCTGGAATATGAATCAGGAGAGCACTCTTGCTCGATAATTACACTACACTAGTGGGCATTAGTTGATTCAGAAAAAGAAAACACTTTACCTACGTTTAGGGGAAGTCTTTCGAAGAGATAGAGGTGTTGTTGGCAATAAGTTGAATAGTTGAGATGGGATTCTACACGACGATTAATATTTTACACTTATATGGGTAGTAGACGCCTAGAGAAAGTATCCAATGTTGGCACCAACGGAGAACAAAGTATTAAGACAATAGAATCCCGTAGATGAGAGTGGGAATAAACTGAAAAACATGGCACAATATGTATTTCTGTGTTAGTCCATCATCTCATCCTTATTATTTAAGGCTAAACCTTTCGAACCAAAACCATGTTCATCCTTTATCTTCAACAACGACGCCAAAGCTGCATCCTTCGTGAGCATGGACGCCCACGGCCAATAGAGAAGCTCTTGCAGAGTACCTTTAACCTTGCAGGAACGCCATGCAGGTATTTCATACGATCTTCGTGTGAGTTTGATGCTGACTCTAGTAGCAGAGGCTACCCCATGCGTCGAGATCAAACCGAGCAACCTTCAGTGAACGTCCTAGAACACGTACCGCGCACCGATATAGGAGAATACCTGTTCGACAAGGTAGGGGCTGGGGCTCTTCGATAGCTGGAGTCCGAGTTGGCACTTTCCTCATGATCCTAGGAATCCCCGATTCTAGCAGATAACCACTGACGATTCGTTGGGAATCCGAGGTTAGGGACATCTTCTGCCCCTTTGTCCCACAATTATCGAACCACTTGTGTTTGGGTGTCTTCCTGCTACTTGTAGAAGGACTGCATATCCCCATGGTGCTTGAGGACGCGTTCAACCACATATAGAACACATACTATGCCAAGTTTCACAAAGTTAGCAACCCCGAATTGTTAGGTAGCTGCAAGGGCATCTTAATTATTTAGTCACGCTGATCGGAATTTAAGCTTTCTCTGAAGTTGTTTTGTCCGGCAGTTCTGATTCTTGAGTGCACTGTATACAATGCCTTCTCTACTTTTGGGGCGAAATAGATGGAACACAGGGGAAAGAAAGGGTTTTCCGGGACATTTACGATACCATACGTATGGAGGAATTGGCTGGAGCAGCAAATAAAAAACTAATAAAAGACATACAACAGTCAGGATTCGCATGTGGTCACCCACCATACTACTAACTGACCGGCAAGTGGCTTGAGTACGGCTGAGCGGACGGGAAGCCCTATTTTCCACTTCCTATGGTCGTATGTACTGGAATCCTTGTAGAAATGGGATATATAGTACGAATCTCAGCGATAGTGAATCCAAAGCCAGCATCGAGCCGATCTATATCTCTGTTGAGCCAAAGAAATCTCCAAACTCGACGACATTGGCAATGTGCTTAACACTTTGAAGAGAATTTCGGGCCTAGCTATAACAGAGAGAACCTCATACCCCAGGTAGTCTATGTCTTATTAAAATGAAAGTTGTTACATGATTGGCCTAGAAAAGGCACAGAACCATCTAACATAATGGAAGCGCCCCAGGTCAATTTATATCAAGGTGCATAAGGAATCCCAACGCCCCTATTCCAATGCTCATTGGTTGCAGATCTTGCTACATACACAGCTGCTTCAAGTCCTAAACTAAAGGTACTAGCACTTCTCTTGGGTATTCTGATCGGTGGCATAGAATCCTGAAAGGGTGCATATATATACAACGAATCCCTTCACTTGTATAGCTCTGCTTCTAAAATGACGACCCCCCTTCCTCTAGTTAGGCTTTTTTATAGTAATATGGATGTCTGGGTCTGGTTTGGGAATGGCGAAAATGATTTGATCAAGAGCTCTAATGCAACACCACCTGCGGCGCGTCAATGTACTAACGTTAAAGCCACAGCTAAACTATCTATTTATGAACATACGCATTTCTGAAATTAAAACGCATGCAACTAGCTTTAAGGCTATCTAATAAAATGCCCTGCCAAAGAATTCAACTATCTTCAGCGGACTCTGAGAGAAGCACAACACTGTCTTCATCGAAGGACTTCTGCTGGATGATAGACCTATCAACCACGCCAGGGTCTCTAAATCGATTGACAAAATCAAGAAATTTCCTCATCAGTCGTACGGAAGTGCGGGCAATGACAAGACATTCATAATACACTCTGGAGGAGGGAAGGTAAGCCATGATTGTGTTACTAGGAATGAATCATCGTGGAGCTGGTTTGTAAACCAGTTGACCTCCAAGATATCAGGAGCTTTCTGCAAATAAACAGCAATAGAAAAATAAGCTTAAAGGCTTGATAGTAAAAACTACCATAGAAGAGTATGTAATGAGGACGCTGCAGTAGAGAAGCTGAGGACATTAACAAGTTATCATTAGTGTTACTGCCCTTAGTAAATATACCTAGAAGACAAGTAAGTCTCCCCATAAGTTTATCCTCTACATATTGAAAAGGTAAATAATCAAGAGGTAAGAGAGTCAGATTAAACTATAGATTTATAGATCGAGCACACGACTAGTCAAGAATCTATCCTACTTGGTGCAAGGACCTTCCCAGGAGCACAGCCAGGTTGTATTCATAGACTTTGAGACTGTCGAACATCCGAAATAGCAGCTTGTAGAAGATCACCTTGAAACCCAACTACAACTTACCCCAAGGAACCTATCTGTTTCTTTCCTAGTAGTAGAAGCAAAGGCAGGAAATATAGTAGATAAGGGTTTAATCTGTCTACAAACAGAGTTCCCTATCTACACGTATCTCAATACAGCAGTCTAAGATCTATAGTAGGACAAATAGTTGGCGGACTTCGAGCCCCGTAGTATGGATTTTTATGATGAAGGCAAGGACTAGACTTTGGTAGATTAAAGCTCTCAGTCCTGGGTTGCATCTCACTATGCCATACGTACTCTAGTGGGCTGCTACTATTCTCTGATTTATCACATCATCTAACTATGCATAGATTCAAGCTTGGGTAGGTTATATCACAAACTAAGATAATGCCGTTTGATTGTTCTGATCATCAACTACCTTGCTGATTGCGAGAGTAGACTAGTTACTCTAATTAAGCTCAAGATTCTATTAGCTCCGAATACGGAAACTGCTACAGTTCTTTCCACTAGAGATATTGCTATGAGTTTTATACTGGGATATATTGGTTTCGGATTCAGTTATAATACGCTGGGTAACCCCATGATAGATTGGACTTTGTATTAGCTCTTCATATATATAACCAGTAATCTTCCCGGATCCAAAATATTATATTATAGTTGCTACGCTTATATTGATGGTTAGACCCCAAGCTATGAGTTAGGTATATTTCCTCGCTGGCGGCCTCGCTTTGTTCACGATCATTTTTGCTGCGTTGATGTTGGGCCACATCCTTCAGTCTACTCAACAGACATGGTTCTCTAACATTCGCCATTGGAGATATTGGTATGTAACATAATTAGCAGAAATCTATCCCTGATATTGAACGCAAGCCGATTGACCCTCTCATGGGACGGCCGAAGTAATCAGATAGGCAGCTAAATGCCGATACGATGAGACAGCTTTTATGATTCTGCTTATTACCCTTGTCTTAGGACGCAACTCTCATCATCAAGCCAAAGGTTATTATTATATCCTATATCTGTGACGTAGCTGTTGCTGTACAGGGTGGGTGCCGCCATCACATCTACAGACAAGCATACGGCCGAGCAATTTGGGGATACCTTCGTCCTCTAGAGGGACCAATATCAACTCACCGGTATTATTTTCCAATTATTTTCCACTGCTATTTTTATGGTGCGCATAGTAGACTCTTCATCTGTTACATCCGTCATCGTTGTGGCCTTCTAAAAAGTATTATTCTCTTACTTTCATCCTGGTCTTACTACATCGGTATCTTCTTTCGTTGCGTTTACCACCCTGTGGAGCTATTAGAGGATGATATGGTTATGTGCTTCTTTACGGAGGGTTCCATCGCTATATAGTGTATCTAGGTTGGTTGCTACCAAACGTAAAGGGACGGTTGGAAAGAATAACATATAGTATACGGAAGAGCAAGTGACAATTATCAAGCATACATGGCAGGCTATATAGCGCGGCTCCGCAAAGCCCTTTGTCCCTGGCCTTGGCCGTTAGAGATGAGTATGGATCATAATTATCACCCAGAGCTCGTATATCTCGTAGGAGAGATGCCTAACCAGCCAGTGACCCTTTTCATAATACAGACTTTAGGACCAAAGAATCTTGAATGCCTCTATTTCGAGGTTTTTCCTACCTGAAGGTAACTCGATAGCCACGGGTATATTTTTAGTATATATTATCCTTGTCGTGCCCTGGAGAGGGCCCAAGAGTCATTCTCTCCTGATATACGAGCGTTGATCATCCTAGCTTACCTATAGTATTCTTTTATCCTATCTCGAGTTCCTACAGAATGGATGTTAAGATCACGGCAGACTATACCGCTTAGCTCTTCTATTCCTTGATAGTGTAAAGGCACGGTGAGCAGCTAGAAGAGAAAATAATGGCAATACGTAGCCCTCTAGCATCTTCATTTAAATCTAAAGAAAGAGTGTGCAGTCTTCTCTATTTATATGATATGGAAATCTCTATATAGCAATCAACCAAACCTGCAAGATTACAGTTAATTAAGAAAAGATATAAACATCGCTATTGGGAGAAACAGTATATCTTGTAATTATGGCCTCTCGCATGATATCTCATTAGACTGGTACAGGCAGTCCAACATACGGGTTTATTTACACTTTTAGCTGTATCACTTGGCTTACAGCGTCGATTTGTGTCATAGGCATGCCGTGAAAGGAACTGTAGGAGTCTGCAATGTATGACTTCCCTGACATCCTTAAACTGGGTGACACCAGGAAGATCCGTTCCGAAGTGAGAGATGGCTTGTTATTTACCACCATGTAGTACGCCTACATAGACGTCAACTCAGGCTCTTATTACGATAGAACCATAATTCAGGCTTGTTAATACTCCACTTTGGTTCTCCGTTGTCGTCCCTTGTTTACCGAAGGCCAGAATCTATAATGATTCTAATCTAAGGCAGGGATATCTCGAAGCTTGCCATAATTTTGCTAGTAAGATATAGTTATTCTCGGAAAATATTTCCGTCCAAGGGCTATAATATGTCAGAGGGAATATCCTGGACTAGTCTCGCGATCCCGGAGAGTCGGAGACTAATAGTGGGTCGGGTATTAGCCGCACCTTGATTCTTGTCCTAACGGTCCCACGGTCCCACCGTTCCACCGTCTTCCCGGCTGATCGTATCCACCGCGGGATTACCCGTATTATGCACATTGGCGGGTCCACACAGCTGGGCTACTACAGACTATACCCACCGTATTCTACTCGCCCCACTAGTATATTAGGTTCTTAAGAGCCTCTAGTTTATTTGTACGAAACATACTTTATTATAACTTGCCCGATGAATGAAGTACAATACCCACATTGCAACACTGCGAGCACGAGTCTACGCTTCATACAGAAAACTACTCGAATTTGCTGATGATATGACAAGACTAATAATATTAATGAATATTGATTTCGCTCAAGGTACTCTTGATTAAGGTCATCTTGTAGAAACCCTGGATCTTCGGTAATCCAGCGCTGATTCTCCGTTTATCTTTTTCAATGATTGCGATGACCGTGGTGATGAGCATGGCGTCGATGAGAAGCATCGTCATGTCCGATAACCGGGTCTGCAGTACGTTTATATTGCTGTGTTGCTTCCCAGTTAATAAGTGGGTTACAGAGCAGGCAAAGATAAAAAGAAGCAGAAAAGAAACTTACTCCCCACATGGCCGATGACGACGACGACGGAGATGGAGATGGAGATGGAAATGGAAATGGAAATGGAAGTGGCGAGGAAACAGAAGGACGAGCAATTCGAGACGAGACAGGTCTTGGAGGTTCCCCGCAGAATCCGGATACAAACAGCGGATTAGCAGATTGATATACGGGCTGGTCGCGATATAATTGACATTCTTGCCCCGAGGTCGAATACAGCCATGCCTGGCAGGAGACCAAGTCGGCACATCGAGCGGCACAATCAGGGGCACTGGCTATCCCGTAGGAGAATGTTATCGGCGCCTGGCTGAAAAAGGAAATGGTGTTGTCGCTGATGGATTCCGAACAGGTTGGGGAGGAAGAGCGGGGGGATGCTGCTGCTGCTTCAAGAGCGAGCAAGATAGCTACAGTTGAGAAAGGGGGGATCATGGTGTTGGTTGGGTATAGCGGAATAGCAGAATACGGATAGAGTCGTTGTCGTTCTACGTTCACCCAGTGGGCGAGGGGAAGAATATATAGGGGCCGGAGGAAACTTGGAGTAATTTATTAAAATCATTAGTATGTGCTAGACTCTAGACTAGGGTGAATAGGAAAGCCGACAAGTAGATTCATTCCGGCCGAAAGAGAAAAGTTCATTGGCCCGACTCTTTATTATGACTCCCTGTAAGCCTACGATACTATTGATTTGGTCCCCACACACTTCCGTGGAATTAGGGTCTGAATCTACCTATCCGAAGTGCACAGTGAGGCAGGTGGTCCTCCTCAGTGGAGCTGACCCTGTTCGCGCCGCGCCGCGCCGCTGCTAAGCATGGCGGGGCTGAAACAAGGGTATAATCTAGTCTCAGTTAGCCCTCACTTGGGGTTATCCTAGGGGAACGACTATTGGCATAGTTCAGGTATTGGAGTGGGTACACAATGTGATGCACTGTGGAAGCAGGGGTAAATAGGGGTATCTCATTACTCTTTCGAGTTATTACTATGGGAACAGTGTTCTTTCTTTTACTACCTAGGTGACTTGCGAGTCATGGGTATCTCGACTTCGTAGGAAAAGTTCAACCTTAGCAAAATTACTCCGAGTTTGATCCCCACGAACACATCATGATCAACGTTCCAATAATCTGCCCTGTCTCACAGGTCCCATACCTATCTTGATACCAAGTGCATGTTGCGTCCGCGTACTTATCGCATACGAGTTTCCCGACAACGGCGTAAGGTACCGGGTAAGAAGCCGGGTACGAAGCTGTAAGTGAACACGTGTTCCCAAACACTGTGATGCCTGTTAGACTGGTGGGAGCTATTTCATTGTTGTCCACGCTGCGAGACCATGTTGTGTCGTGCACACAGAAATCCAGCGAGAGACCATTTTCCTCGTAATCCAGGCCCTGTAAGGTGTAGGTGACGCTTGGTTCGGCGTCGACTTCGCGCATGAAGAGAGCCCACCTGGAGGAGGTGCCGTATTCAGGAAGCGCGGTCTTTGTGGATGTGGGCGCAGTTGTTCTGCTGGTGGTGGTGGCGGCGGTCAGAACCGATGCAGTGCCACTGTAGATTACCTGGGTGTACGTGCCCGCGTCGGTGATGGTAATGCCCAAAGCGCTGGCCAGACCCGACCAGCCGGAACTAATACTGGCGAGAACGCTGTTGCCCAAGGCACCGCCATCTTCGCCTTGGTCGTCGTCTGGCGACACAGAGTAGCAGGCCTCGGCCACGCCCGTCGTCGTGGTCATCGCCGTCACTGAGCAGCCCACTACCTCCTGCGTGCTGGTGGTCGTGCATGAAGTCGAGGTCGAGTCGATCGAGGTGCAGGAGACCCAGGCATCCGTGACAGTCTGCCGCGTGCACGACGACGTGGTAGTGGTGGAGGTCGCGGTCTGTTTCTTGTCCGTGTCGTCGTTTCCGGCGTTGGGGTCCGGCCCGTTGTCGACATTGTTGCTGCTACTTCCAGAGCTGCTGTCGGAGCCCGGGTTGTCGTCGTCATCCGGCGGCGAGCTGCTGTCGCCATCGTAGGAATAGCCGGTGGACGGGCAGTCCCAGGAGCAGTGGCAGAAAGGGTCGTTACAGACCGTTCCGCTGGATTTGCCTTTGGATTTAGGCCTACTGGGTCCATCGGTCACTACGATCGATGGGGGCTTGGGGATATTGAGATCGTCGTCGCTGCCGCTCTCGCCATAGACACTGGTATCCCAGGGATACGGCGGAATGATGATCGTGCGGTTCTTAGGCGCATGCGTGACGCCAGGCTCGCGCAGTGGGTTTGGGTCATCAGTGATAATCAAGGTGGCTGGGGGAAGTCGCGGCGTGGGGGAGAAGGTGCCAGCGCTGGATATAACCAGGTTCGAAACCGGGTACCCAGTGGTGACAATCGGGGCCAAAGGAATCACCGTGGATTCAGCCACGTTGCTGGTCCTGGTGACGGTCGACAGATCGCCGTCGTCCTGGGTCACCACGGTGGTGGTCGTCCACTGTACATCCACGGTGGTGGTATATGGGGGTCGTATGATAGTCGTCGTCGTTCCCAGGGTGATCTCGGGCAGCACCATCGTGCAGGGAAAGGGGCAGGCGGCTTCCGGGGTTGACCACACGCTGGGATCGATGTAGACCACGGTGATGTTGGACGTCGTTGTTGATGAGGAGGAACCCGAATCGTGGCCTACTGAGCTGGACGAGCTGGACGCGGCAGTGGAGGTCAGGACACAGGCTCCCTCCGGGCAGTATCCTCGGCTGCAGGCAAAGTCACACAGCCCATGATATGTGTCGTAGTCGACCGTGGCCGCTGGGACTCCCGTGAGACTGGAGTTGGCGGCTGGAGCGTCGATCAAGACGCCCTCCGCCGTACAGGTACATGAATTGATTGGGCAGTAGCCAAAATTGCAGGAATACGAACACAATCCGGCCAGGTTTCCCTCACCCTCTCCCGCCACACAAGCGGAAGGCGTAAACGGCGAGCTGGTAGGAGTGGATAGCGGCACTTCCACGGTGCCACACGCGCCGTCGGGACAGTATCCATAGTTGCAAGAGAAACTGCACAAGCCACTGTAATTGGCGTCCTCACCGGCGGCTGGATATCCGATGGTGCCCGTAGCATTGGGGAGGGTGGCTGCCATTCCCATTTTGGTGCAATAACAGGCGCCAATCGGGCAATAACCATACTGACAAGAGAATTCGCACAGGCCGGCAAAATTGCCCGTACCCGTGCCTTCAACGCAAGTATCGTTGGACAAGGAGAGAGATTTTGCAAAGGTCGTACCGATCGCGGTGGCACTTCCCACCCACGCGTTCCAATTCTGGAAGCCGTTATCGCAGACAGAGGTGATAGACCCTCCCGAGACCTCGACAATCGTCTCCCCAACGCGGCTGACAGTCACGACAACATCACCAGTGCCAGTATAGGCCGCACTGCCATGGTAGATTCCTACACCGCCACTGGGTTTGTGCGTCCAGGACACATCGGTCAAATCTGTGTCCCCCACGGTGACGAAGACGTCAGCCGTGGAGCCGAGCAGGGCCGAGAAGAAGATCTGGTCGTTCAATACACTCAAAGGCTCAAACTCGATTTCAAGCTCGCTCGCGGTGTTGATTGTCGTGTTGCCATCATTACAGGCGCCCATGGGCTGGGGTCGGAACCAAGTCACCAATCCCTCCTGGGTGACAGTGCTGGTGTTATATTTGTACATATCAATGATAAATGGCAGGAAGAGACGCCAACCGTCATGAGGCATGTTCTGAACATAGTTGAAGGGTGCCTCGCCGACATACATCGGGGCAAGCGCCTTCTCGTAGAGTGGGCCTATGTAGTGAGATTCACCGTAGTCGTTCCAGGTAAGGATCTCTACAAATTCCGGCTGTAGATACCAGACTTCCTGCCAGCGGTCATACCAAAGGTTATCCCCCCGCCACATCCAGTTCTTGTTGTAGCCGGGCAGGTTGGTGTAGAACCACGGGGAGACAGGCATCATGTACGGCAGCCCATTCAGATAACCCCGGTAGGATGCGTCCACATACGTGTTCATCTCCTGGGGGCCCCAGGGCCAGGCCGCCCAGCTTAGAAGTCCGTCGGCCACCCCTTTGGCCATGGCAGCTTTGGCTCCAAGAGAGGACCAGTCCGGAATCAGAAAGCAGTTGGTCTCTTTCTTAATGGTCACCCAGTCATCCGCATTATCAGGCCCTTCGAAGGTCGAGACCAAGGGCTGGCCATTATACTGATAGTAGGCACTATTGGATCCATAAGTAGAGAGGTAGTCGAGCACCTGGTCCTCAGGCCACGGGCCATTGCCTGCGTAGTCAAAAGAAAAGAACAGTCGGAAGCCCAAGGAATCGGCCACGGTGAAAGCGGCAGACAGGGCCCCACTGTTAACGGGATCCGCATAGGCCATATTCATGGCAAATGCATCAATGTGAGCGTCGAGGGCCAGAGTGAAGTCATTGGCCCAATCACTTTGCGTGTAATTTTCGCTGTTGGACACCATGAAATGGGCAAAGACAGCCTTGCCCTGCACTTGGCAAGCTCCTAACAGGAGTAGGAAGATGGATATAAGATTCATGATCAAAGGTTAACGAACGTATAAATCCGGACTCCGGAAGTTTGAAAGACGGGGAGGCTACACCAATGCCTGTCCCCGAGAGGAGTAATGAGTGATGAGTTAAAGCAGGATCAAAGACAGAAAGGGGAAAAAAAAGGAGAGACAAAAAGAAAGGGAAAAAAAATGGTGGGTTGACCCATATCCATCACATCACAGCCGTAACGAAGAGGCTTATATAGCACCATCCGAGCTACAGCAATACTTTCATTGACAGCCTTGGATTTTAGGGATTCAAATAATATAATCTCGGGTAATCAAACCCGTCGATTCATCTGTAATCTAAGTGGGCCTTTCGTGTAAAATGCCAGTCTCGTAGCTGTAGAGGCCAGAGGAGGAGGTCTTAAGTACGACTATGTATAGTGAAAGACCGAAATTATCATGAAATGACATGATGGGACAATACTCTCGTCTCCTCTTTGGACCCTCATCACTTGAATATCAAGATTGGTAAAGTCAGTCTCATCTCCAAGATGCTTGGTGTTTTACACTGCCATGAGCGAAAGGCACGTCTGATCAGGCAGCTAAGGCTAGACAAGAGGCACCAAGCTTTGGTCGACAACAGAGTCTCTCAGGAGATGGCAGAGCTAGTCAGGTAGTGCATTGGTCACAAACTGTCCAGAATGACCCAATTTTTCACAGACCCCTGAGGGACCGTGGGATTATGATCGCACTGAGTGGCTGTTCTGGTGGGCCTCGGTGGATTAGGGCAAAGTAAGCTAAAGGGCACTTCCCACGGGTCTGCGATGGGCCCGTCAATCCACCGAGTTTGCGGCTAAACCAGTGAGACACAAGACTAGGTATATATTAGACTGTGAGACGAACTACTGCTAGTGCTCATAACTCTCCTCCGTTTGTAGTCATAGTACGCTTTCGTTTTCGGCCGGGCCACCGCTAAACGGCTCTAGGGTAGGAAATCACAAAGACAAAAGTCCCCTCTCATCCCAATCGAGTTGTGCATGCATAGACGATTGGATTCTGGGATCCTTAAATAAGAAGCTAAAGAGATAGCACAGAAAAACCACGCAGTATGGTTCCTTGTTGATGCCGAAGCGAGATAACGGATAGAGACCGTACTGGTGGTCTGAGAGTTATGACTCGCAACTCTACCACCACTGCATTATCCGAATCGATCCTAGCCTTGATTGGAGGGTCTCCATACGGGATGTCTCAAGACGAAGACGGAGATTAAATGGAGAGGAAGAAAGGAAGGGGAAAAGAGTAGGACAGCCGTAATCCCGGAGCAAAGCTTTCGGATCGCAGCGCCCTCGGTCATGGCTTAGATCTCCCAGGGAGGCTATTCATGGCCCTCCTACTTAAATGAACAGTGGGATCAGCTGTAGAGAACAAGTCATCCTCATTTTGTCAGGCTTTTCATTCCTTTCGCCGTCAAGGGGCATACACTCGTTTTGACTTGCCTTGCTCTCCAACTTTAATACACTCATTCTTTTTTTTCTTGTTGTTCTCTTTTTTGTTCTCTTTTTCCTTCTTCCCTCTCCTTTAATTTTCTTGTTTAATTGCCCTCTTAATTCTCCTCATTACTTGTATCGGTTCGTGTTCGGCTCTCAGTATGGCATCCCCGGCATTGCTTCGAGTGGGATTTCTATGCCTGGTGGGTCTTCTGTGCCTGCTTCTGGTGTACCAGTCCTTCCAGGTCGCCAGTAGTAGTCATAGCCGGATCCATGCGCGAGATCTCGAGGTCTCTGCGACGGCTGAGACATGGGAAGACCGAAACCTGACCGTTTCTGTTGCATCCTACAGGGGCTTAGCAGCGCGCGCCGACCTGCTTAATTTCGAAACAGCCGTGAAAAAGGGCAGCGGCTTGTATTGCAGGTGCAAAGCCAAATGGGAACTTAGCGACGACTCCGATTGGGCAACCAAATCCCAGCTGGAGGACTACTGGGAGAAGAAACCTTACAAAGTCGATCCTGCAAGCAATGTGCCCACCAGTGCAGGGTGGTTGAAAGAGGCCCTGACCGGGTTGAACCTGCCCTATCAGATGAGCTCAGGAGGAGATGGAAAGGACGGTAAGCTGGTGGGAGAAATCTGGTTTCAGTCAGAGGATTGGACCACGGAGTTGATCGCCAACGGGAAAGTCACCAGGACTACTCATGAGGTAAGTACTTAGAGAGCGAAGAGATCAGGCATTGTCAGCAATGCTAATGTTTTGTTCTGTCCAGGCAACACATGGTTACTATATCAACGTCATGAGCCCGCAGGCCGGCTTGATCATTGCAGAACTCAACTTTAGTCCAGCGTACATGAGTGGTGGCCAAAGCCCTCCGCTAAGTAAATGTTGGAGTGCTGCACTCAGTGAATGCAACCAGCACCACCATAAAGCAGCATCACCATAAAGAAGAAGATAGCGACACGTGACTACTTTGTGTATTTAAGGCCACTGTTTCCTTCTAGATCTCCATGCTTCCTTCAAGCATCTCTCTATTTCCTAGTTAGACCCAAATTAAATCTATTTTGGTTAACTTTCTACTGTCATCATTTAATGACCTTTATTAGGTTATGAGCCCTCCTTGAGGTTCTATTTTATGCTTCATAGACCTCCAAAAACTCTTATCATACCCCTGTACTAGAGATCTGCTCCCTGATTGGATAGAGATCCTGGCAGAAATACTACCTGTACTGCTGTTATGTTACTCTACCTGGGCAATAGTATGTGGAAAATCTCTATAATTTGACTAAAATAGCAACTAAACCTACCCCTGGCAGATACCCTAACATCCCTGACTTATTATACCTACCTTTAATGGCTACTACCCTATTTACTAATGACTGAAATCAAGTAATAAAGCTGAAGAATAGTATATTTAACTTAAGCCTGATAATAGTATTAGAAAATAATTTAAAATTCAAAATTTAGGCTTTATTTATATAAATAGAGTTAAAGCTTTATAAGATAGATAAGCTTCTTAAAAGTAATATTTCTAGACTATAACTTAATAATTTTAAATATAAATTATAGGAACTTCTTTTATAAATAATAGCTAGTTAAATACTATATTTAATAAGTAAGAAACTAGTAAAGAAACTACTAATAAATACTACTCTATATATCTTTATAGATAATTTTATATAGAAATTATAAAAAATAATTATTAATAGTAGTTAAAGATATATATACTAGATATAGAGAGAAATTATTAAGATTAAGTATAAGAATTATATAATTATTAATAAATTTATATTAGACTTTATCTAGAAGATAAATACTTTTAATAGGTTAAAAATAGTTATTATATTTTATTAAGTAATTACTATAATACTTTAAGAGCTTGAAAGGAATAATATAAGCTTTATAGATTTAATCTTAAATAATTTAAGTAATAATCCTATTAAAATAATTACATGGAAGTATTTTTATACTATATATAATATAGTAAAGAATAAGGTTTAGAAAAATCTATTATCTAATACTATATTTAATACTACTATACCTGCTATAAATATATTAAGTTCTTAACTAATAAATAGAAGAAGATAATAATAATAATAGAAATATATATTATTATAAAATATAATAATTATAGGCTATATTAATTATTAGTTAAAGTAATTAAGGAAATTTAGAATGCTATACTTATTTTATAAAGAGGAAAAATATAATATTAAGGACTACTTATATTTAGTGATTAATAAGTAGAAGAAAGGATAGAGACTAACTTTAATACTTTAGTATTTTAAGCTATATAAGTTAAAGAATAGGAATAATTTAATTTAAAACTAAGCTATTACTTTAGCTATATAAGCTAATACTATTCTAGATACTAATAATTTTATACTATCTAAAGTTAATATACTAATAATTTTAATATTAATTATTTTTAAAAATAGATAGCTATATAACTCTAGAGTAAGCTATATAATATATAATAATTATAATCTCTTTAATAACCTAATTAAAGACTTAAATAGCTTTAAGAATTATGGTTTTATTACTTCTAATAGTAAGATAGTATATTTCTAAAGTTGTGGAAAAGTAATAATTTAATTTAAATTAGATAATAGTACTTTAATATTATACTAAATAGAATATCTTTAGAATCTAAATATACTATATAACCTAATACTAGTAGAAAGAATAAAGATAGAATTAAGAATCTATTTTAACTTAAAAAATTAATATATTTATAAGATAATAATAGATAAAGTAATTAGATATACTATCTTAAATAATAATATCCTATTTTTGGTTCTAAATAAGGTAGTAATTATGCCTACCATACTAATAGACTTATTATATTAATAATTAGGTTATCTATCTATTAAATAATTAAAGTATAATAAGGTAATACTTTATAATAAAAGTAATAGCTTGGCTACTAATAACTTACCTACTAATTAGAATACTGAACCATATTATAAAGCATGTTAATTATTAAAATTAAAGAAAAAGATATCCTAAAAATTATAATTATATATAATAAAATTATTATAATTTATATATATAGATCTCTAAGAAATTAAACTAATTAGAAGAGATAGTATTAGGTATATCTTACTAGTTCTAGATAATTATTTTAGATACCTTTTTATATAATATTTAAAGGTAAAAAGTAAATTTTTAAAGATATTAAAGGAAATATATAATAGTTAGCTAAATATAACTAGTATCTATATTAGAAGGGTTAGATTTAACTCTACTCCTAAATTTAATAAGTATGCTAGATAGAGTAAGAATTTTAGTATTATATATAAATTAATACTACTATAAACCCCTAAAGAAAATAATATTATTAAATAATTTAGTAGCTATATAATCTAGACTACCCGCATAATATATATATAAGTAAAAATAGAACTAATAATATGATTATATAATATGGATATAGTAGTCTATATTTTAAATAGGTTAGTTAGGGAAGGTAATAATAAAGGAAAGCTATTTATATAATTTTTTTATAAAAGATTAAATATCCTAATTAGAGATATTAATTTATAATATATTTATATATAAGAATACAAGGCATTTATAAATATCCTATATAAAGATAGGGTTAAAAGTATGAAAATATTACCTAGAATAAAAATTAGTTAACTAGTTAGATATAATAGAGATTATATTTATAAGGTATAGTATCTAGATATAGGGAAGATAATTTAGTTAAGGGATGTAATATTTAATAAAGATAATATTAATAGAATAGATAAAATATAACTATAATTTCTTAATAGATTAAAATTAAATAATAATAGTCTATCTAGAGTAATTATACCTGTTAATATTAAAAGAGGAAGAATAACTTATAATAGTATATCTTAAAATAATACTATTCCTTAAATCTTACTATTAGTAAATAATAATAAGATTATTATAAGAAGAATTTAAATATTAATACCTGATCTAGCCTTACCTGAACTAAGCCTACCCAACCCAGAGGCGGGTATCAAACTCATCATACCAGAGTGGCTACCTGCCTCTGGGGCTACCCCTAGGGCTATCTCCAAGACTACCGAGCTCATCATACTAGAGCAGATACCTGCCTCTGGGCCTGCCTCTGGGGCTGTTTCTAAAACTATTGCTAAGTGAAATAATTAAGTAATTAGTAAGGATGTGGAGGAGATAGTAAGATCTAGTATAGAGAAATAATCTAGGTAGGATAGATATAAAGGGATAATTAACTATTTTACTATAGATAATTTATATATTAGTTAACCTATTTTTAAAAGGATGCTAGTATTATAACTAATATAAAGATTTCTAGAGTTATTTATCTAATATAGGGAGGTCTTACTAGTTTTAGAACCTTCTAAAGATAATTATACTCTAATAACTCTAGATATACTAAAAAGGAAGTATTTAAAGACTAGAAAGTAAGTTAAATTTAATATTAGGAATATAGAAATAGTTGATCTGGTAAAGGTATAGAATCCTGCTAGTAATAATACTAGTAGTAGTATTACTACTCTACAGAGATCTTTAAGATCTATAAAGGATTAATACTAAAGTATTTACTTTAAAGATAAGTAGACAAAGTAATTATAAGAAAAAGAGGTAAAATAGGAATAATAATTTTAATCTTAGTTTATATTATCTTTAAAAATACTTCTAAAAATACCTTATTTACTAGAATTCTATTTAAAGCTAGAAGAATCACCTAATATAATTACTATAATATTACTAGATCCTAGTAATTTTATATTAGAGATTAAGCCTATAAAGATTTATAAAATTAGAATTCTATAAATCTATACTTAAGTAATAAAGTTACTATAAAAGGATTACTAGATATAAATAATATAAAGTTAAATTAATAAGCTTGAAGCTATTTAGATTTATAAATTTATACTATTACTAAAGAATATAAAGATCTTACTAGGAAAATAGATATATAACTTAAAATTAGATATAGATAATAATATATTATAATTTTATATAAGATAGGTTATATATAGAAATTTTTAAAAGCTAGGTATAGATTTTAATTAAGTCTACTCTCTAGTAATAGTAGATACTTTAGTAAAGCTATTTTTAAGTATAGTTACTTATTTTAATTTAAAATAGGTATAATTTAATATAGTGACTACCTATCTTAATATAATAATTAAGGATTGAAAGATTTATATATACTAACTAACTAGTTTTAATAAGTAAGATAGTATAGTATATCTATTACTTTAAGCCTTATATAGATTATAATAGTTAGTATTTCTTTAGTATAAGGAATTTCATGATATTCTAGTAAAAATTAGTATAAAGGTAATTAATAAAGACCTATACTTCTACTATAACCTAGATTAATAGCTAATACTTATTATCTATATTAATAATATAATAGTTACTAGCCCTGATAAAGTAAATATTTAATAATTTATAGATAAGCTAGAAAAATATTTTAAATTAAAGTAACTAGGTAAACCTATATAGTTTTTAGGATATAATATTTATAGATTACTTAGTAATTTAATATTAATATCCTAATATATATATATCTAAAAGATACTCCATAAATAGAATTTCTATAATCTTTAGCCATGTCATATACTAATAACTCTAGGATAGAAATTAACTAGAAAGATACTAGATACTAGTAATATTATTCTAGATACTATATATACCTCTGCTAGTAAAGATAATATTACCTATTATTAAAAATTAACTAGATTATTAAATTAGATTACTATTTAGACTTAACTAGATATTTAATATATAATAATATAATTATTACAGAGAAATTATAATCCTACTAAGTTAGATTATAATATAATTAAATAAGTTTTCTAATATTTAAAGAAGACTTTAGACTGTCAGGGGGCAGAGTCGGATTCAGATATTCATTGACTAGGAGCTAACCAGACAGAATAGCAGAACAGTAGGTGTCAGGTAATAGACAGGACATAGCTCGA